AAAATTTTTCCGCCAAGCTTCTCGCGGAAGACAGCGCGCACGCGGTTAGCGTATTCGTCCGCAAACTCGCCGGGGTTCATCCGCATGCGGATAAGTTCAACAACAACAGCGAAGCGGGTGGCCATCTTCTGACTGGCGTACTTATTTTCGAGCGCCCAAACCATGCGAAGCAGGTGCGTAGGCTGCGGGCCGGTGATCGCGCGCAAAATTTGGTGGGGGTCCGGTCCGCAACTTTGCGAAATCATGGCGGCGAGCGGTTTCGCGGTCCAACTGTTCCAGCTGGGGGCGGCTTCAACTTTCGCCAAGGCGGTCGGGATATCCGTGCCCTTAGCGATCTCCTTACGGTAATCCACATAAAGTTCGGCCCAATCCTTCCAGGCTGTACCAGCTCCCGAGGGCGGGGCGGAGGAAGAAGAGGAGGCGCCGACGGCGGTGGAGGTCGGGGGCGGGTTGCGCGGGTACCCTTCCAAGATGCGAAAGAGGTCAATCAGCTGGAGAGGCCGGGGCGGTTTCAGTTGCTAAATATTTTCGAAATTTTGCGGGATTTTTCAGAAATGCAAGCCTCGAGAGCACGGCCGAGGATCGGCCCTTGCCGGATAAAGAAGAAAGACAAAAGGAAGAGAGAACCCCAAGGGCGACTGTGGAGGCGCGGCAGAACGAAAATAGGCAAAAAGCATGGCGGGCTGATTTAGCGGACCCGGGCCCCAAACACACGAGCCCGATTTTCCAAAAGGATGCGACTTCGCCGACCATAGGGACACCGATTCAGCTGCCAAACAGAGGTCATTCATGAGGGTACTCTGCGAAACCGCTCCAAATGGCACTCTAAATGGGTATGCTAAATCGGCCCTCTAAATCGCACCCCTCTAAATGGGGGTGCTAAATCGGCACTCTAACGGAAATCCTCTAAATGGGGGTGTTAAATGAGGGCGCTAAATCGCCCCTCTAAATAGCACTCTAAGTCGCATGCTAAATCAACATGCTAAGTCGCATGCTAAATCGGCATGCTAAATGACCCTGCTAAACCATGCGGGAAGGCACCCTCTTCGACGACCGCGAAATCCCTGTGAGTTCTCGAAAGCGCAGATTTGTTCCCGAAAATCCACCCCCCGGGGACTCTAAATGAGAACGGAGGTGGTCGAAGAGGTGACTTTCCCGCAGGAAAGGTCGCTGCGCGACCCCGACCTCGGGTCTCGCCGAAGGTGCGTCGCCAGCCCCAACGACCTCTCCTTCCGACGGACGACTCAAAAACAAAGCAATCCCCTCCAAGCATCACATTGACTCACGAGAGCCAATGCGATGCTGGAAACAACCTCACGCTCGGGAGACAGAATGTCGACTCCCAACCAAACACACCCGCCCCGGTGTGTCGACGAAAACGAACACAGAGGACCCCGCCCGACTTCGGAATTTGAAAAATCCCAGCGCACAGCATACCACTCAAAACGCGGCAAATTTTTAAATTTTAAATCTTTGAAAACCCCAAGGCCGCAAGCAAATGGGAACCACAGAGGGGAATACGCTGCGGCCTGGCACGCGGACGGGGGCGCGTGCGCCAAAGGCGCCGCGGTGCCGGACGCGTGGCGCCCCTGCCATCCGCGGCACCACAGGCCGAGACCCGGCCCCCGGGTTTTCCATTTTCCAAAAATCCCGCAAAATATAGAAGATATTTAGTCGACTTCACCGCCCCAGACCTCTCCGACTGAGGTCAAAACTCCAGCGCGGCCAATCTTCCGCCGCCTGCAATTTCGTGGCCATCTTCGACGGGGTGTCCTTCTCGTTGCCGGTGGCCATGTTTGTGGTTCCTAGTTTTTCGAAATTTTTCAAAGTCTAAAACTAGGCGCGTCCAAGTGTAAAACTCAAGGGGATAAACAAAAAAACTCTAGCTAAAGCCTAAAGCTTTAGCCCTCTAAGCACAGGGCTCAAGATTGTTAGAACACTAATACACCATGTAGCCCGGTGAGCAGGCTACTGCACTAGTATCCACGTAACTGTGAGAGCATGGGGAAACACAAAGCATCATCATCATTCATCATCTCTCAGTCGCTCCACCTCTCTGAGCATCGGGATTCCGCTCGGGATAATGAAGGATCTGATTTCATGATCGTGGATTTACAGTGGTATTTGCATCGGTATTTGGTCGTCATGATCAGCATTGCATGGTGATTTAGTGATCATGCCTACATTTTTAGTCTTTACTTCTGGTTTTTCTTTTTATTTTTAGCTTTGTTTTGCTTTTAGCTTTTACTTTTAGCTAGCTTTTATTTACTCTTGGCTTTTACTTTTAGCTTTTCCTTTTAGCTTTTATTTTTGTCAACAAGATCGGCCCCCCAGTAGCAGCAAAAATAAAAAAATGTAGCAGCAAAAATAAAAAAATCATAACTCCCGGGAAAAATCAAGCAAAAAACTTTTCCTGGTTCGTTTGCATTTCTCGCGACCGGCCCGGCCTTGCCTGTTCCCGCTCAGATGTTGGCGGCCTGGATATGGTGATGGGCGTTGGTTTTCTGATTAAGGCCGCGGAGTTGTGGTGTGTGATCGATGTTTTTGGTCTGTTCAATGGGCGGCCGGGTTTGGGTTCCGGGCCTTCGGCCTTATCTTTTTATTTTTGGATGGGAGGGGCGAACTTATTTTGGGACAAAAAATAATTTATTTTGGGAGAAAAAATCTGAAAAAATTCAAAAAAGTTGGCCTTTCGTGGATTTGTTCCTTCGGTTTCTTGTTGTCTTCCCTTTGGTTTGAAAAAGTTGGCAGTCGTGGCACACGACTGGCACAAGCTTGGCACAAATTAAATAATTTTTTGGCACAAAATAAATTCACTCCTCTCATGATTTCATTTATGAAAGATTAGTCTTCCGGCCCGCTCGGAGTTTTTCCGTTTCACGCGGACCACTGAGAGATGTTGCGCGTGCTTCTTCGGGGCCCGTGTTTTTTCCTCGCCATCTTCTTCGATGAGTATGGGTAGCGAATCGCTTGCCGTAATCGCTCGCGTCATTTGGCCAATCACCAACCGGGGAACCCACAAAAAATTTTTCCTTCGGATTTTTTTCGGGAGTCATGATTTTTTTATTTCCGAGGCCACTGGGGGCCGATCTGGATGGTTGACCTTTGGCCTGAGCTTTTGCTTTTTGTTTTATGCTTTCAGCTTTTCCTTTTAGTTTTTACTTTTAGTTTTTGCTTTTAGCTTTTACTTTTAGCTTTTACTTTGAGCTTTTACTATTAGCTTTTACTATTAGCTTTTACTTTTAGCTTTCACTTTTAGCTTTTACTTTTGGTTTTCGCTTTTACCTTTTAGCTTTTGTTATTACTTTCTCTTAGCAAGGGATAGACTTAGTAGATCTTCCGATTTACCTCAGAAAATATCATCGAGCGACCAGATAGGAACTTTGGAAATATTTCGAAAATCTGTAAGATATGGCTATTTTCGAATCTTTAATTATCCAAAGTTGTCAAATAAATAATGGATCCTAATCTTATAAAAATTTAAAGAAAGATTGTATTAGGAGGTCTTCATGAAATCTTTTTCTTTTTTTTCCCATATCATATAAAGATTATCCTGAATTTGATCATGGGAATTTTTCAAAAATATTGAATCATGATCTTCATTCTTCTGACAAATAAATATTAATTCATATATCAAAAAAATACTCATCGATCGAAAAAGAAATATCTGGAATCTTATCATGGAAAATTTTCACAAATATATAAATATCCGAATAATATTAAAATTAATCGATGGATGGCTCTTTTTTTCTTTCTGGTCATGTCTGGGCATGACTCTCAGGCTGCCGGCCCCGGGCAAGCTGCCCGGTTTTAAATTGGTTTGGACGAGCATTAATGTAAAAGCGGAAGGGGGGCCAAACAAATGCGCCAAAATGCCGGCGCGAATGGCCAGGGGGAAGGCGTGACACATTGCCCAAACAGACAGGGGGCGAGCGCAGCCGTTGGCTGCGGCCGCGCGAGGGCAACCGGGGCCGACTGCCTGCGGGCCCATCGCGCCCAAGGCTTCTGCGCCCGGTCACGAAACGGAAACAGGACCCGGCAACAAAATGTGGCAAACCAAGACCCCCAAGGGGTCTGCGAAACATATGCAACACAGCGGGGCGACGCTGGCAAAGCACCAAACGGAAGCCCCCGGCAAAAAAATCCCACAAAGAATCAGGACAAGACACGGCAGGGGCCGCAAGGGCTGCGCCGCAAAAACCCACCCAACAAAAACGGCGCCCAAAAACAAAAGCCCCGGGCCGCCCCGGTTTTTGTGCAGCCCACGCCCAAAACACTGCGAGTTTTCTGGCTTCTCCAGTTTGGGTCTCCACTGCGATTATTGTGTTAATTTGTGGTTTAAATTTTGTTTAATTTGTGGTTTAATTTTGCATTAAAATTTGCATTAATTTGTTGGGGGTGCGAAATCCCTAAGGATTCGCCTAGTTTTCAAATTAATGCAACTTTTATTGCAAATTTTATTGCAAAGATTATTGCAAAAATTATTGCAGAGGTCAGGCCGCGGGATTTTGCGAAAAACGTTGCAAGTCCTGCCGCCTCCTCTGCAAAAACCCTCGACCCCTTCTGACCCACAAGAGCCCCGCTACCAAGCAAGGGCCGCAGGTTGGGCCGGGATCGGCTTCCCGGTACCGGCGGGCGACACCCTGCCCCCACGGGCCCCTTAGGAAAAAACAAGGCAAAACCCAGGCCCCGGGCCGAGAAACACGACCACGAAAGCGCCACCCGAGAAGCAACCCGGCGAAACCCGTCCCCGGCGGCAAGCCGGGCGATTTCGGCAAGGCAAATGGCAGGCCTGCGCCCTCGCGGCGGACACAGAAGCCAAATGCGGCACCCGTTGGCCTAGGGAACAAAAGGACAAGGCCTCCGGGCTCCATTAGTTTCCCCCCCGGGGGCAACGCGCGGCGCCCTTCGGGATTTCCGAAAAGCAAACCCCTTCCCAATCAATAAACAAAGCCAATGGGACGAAACCCGGCGCAGCTTTTTTATTAGTGCTTTTTTACGCTGATTTTATTGGCCCGAATTTGCCCGGGGCTGGCTGGCTGATGACTCAAATTGTCTCATAGGCCCGGTCCGAGATTATCCGTCTTTGTTTCCATCTTCATTTCTCTTTCTCTCAAAAGATAAAACTCATTTTCCTGGATTATTTAGTATTGATATAAAGATCAACATAGAATTTGATAATGTGGTCATCGAATTTAATAAGAAAATCATAACAGGTGTAAAATAGTAAAACTCGTCTTTGTTCAAGATAAACATTTCCTGAGTTGAATTCATAAAAATGAAGAAAAAATAACAAATCTGCTTTGAGATTTCTATTTGTCAAGAAAAAAATCCAATGTCCTTTTTCTCTTTTTTTCTCCTGTTCAGATAGTCATTTCTCGATTCTTCGTCATCATCCCTTGTCCAGATTGGTTCGAAATCGGTATCCGTTTGTTCGTTTGATCGGATTTCGGATCTCGTGTATCAGCATACTCGTGGACTTCGCAGAAAAGCCGCATCTTTTTCGGGTTTCGCGATGTGGCATCTCGATCGTCTTGCCCCTCCATCCTGAGTATCTCGCTCGGAGTCGAAGGCCCATATTGCGCCGTCAGGTGCGAGTTCCAATGATGGGGGAAGTGGCTCTGTTTAGTAAAGAGGGGAGACGACGACGGGCAGGTGTGAAATTGGTTCATCATGATGAGAACAATCCCAAATATCTTAATTCTCCAAGATGATAACATAATTTATCATTAGCAACATAGTAGTAGACCAGTACCATGTTGGACGCCCCCGCCACCAATCCGGTGGGTGGGTCGGTGCTATAGGTGCGCGGGGTGGGCGGGGGACGTCCAGGCGCTGCGTTTTTGCAAGCGTTGATGGTCGTCGTTCTGTGTTCCGGTGCGCCTGTGGGTCCTCTGTGTAGTTGGGCACCCGGACCGGACCTTCCTCGCGCCCGCGCAATGCCTCGTCTTGGCCGATATTTTTCCCCAACCCGTTCTCGGTCGGTATCCTACCTCTCCGCTATCGTCGTGTTGGATGTGTTGCCCGGTGGTCAGCAGCAGCGGTTTCTCCCGGAGCCGTGCGTTGGTCACCACCGGTCGATGGTTCTGTTTAGACGAGGAGGGGCAAGGGGAAGAACCACGAGAAGATTGAGCAACCCAGATCTTGGATTCCGAGAATGAATTTATCAAAAAAAAAAATATAAAGTTATTGGATTCATTATGAAGATTTCTTATATTATATCATGAAAATCTCATCATCACCATGATAATCATAGAATTGAATTAATCGATCTTCCCAATTACCCGATAGATGATGAAAGAAAGAAATTATCCACTAGATGATGATGACATTCATTCCCATATAATTTTTCCCAATCACCTGATAGATTAGATAGATAGACTCATTTGCGAAGACAAAGAAAATATCCATGAGATTTCCTTTTTATCATGATCCAGAATGAATTTTTTCTTATATGAGTCTAGTAATATTGTTTTCGAATTCTTAGATTCTATTATAACCATCAATCCATTCATAGAAGATGTAAATAAGAACACAGGATGAGGAAAACGAAAGGAATCATAATCAGATAATTGCAACTCTTCTCTGAAATCAAACACTCGAATTCTTTGGGATATTCCTTTCCCCATATTATGTTGGGTGCAACGAAGATGATTTTTTCCATGCCCCATAGCGGCTTAACACACCTTCAATGGTTAGCGTGTAGGATGTGTCTATTGTTATTGCAATCATTGGATCTCCTCGGTGGTAGATTGGTGACATGAATTTGATTTCCATCATACCAGGCGTGGATTATCAAAGAAAAAGGATTAGCACGGCATTTGCTTACAATCATCACCGAACAACAACTGACTTCTCGTTCTCCGCCAGCCTATCTTGTCAGCCCAGGGACTGGAATTTCATGCCCAACGCCTCCAGTTTCGCCTGTTGTGCTTTCTGCTGCAGCATCTCTTGTTCGATGCGGTGACTATCTTTTCCTTCCGAGCGGTTGAAAACCAAGTCAGCGACTTCCTTTTTACTAACCAGGCCCCAATACGTCTGCTTCTTCTGCTCATCTACAACCTGACAGCCGAGGATAAACGCGCCCAATGCTTTCGAACCGATTAAGCTTCGGGCAGCAGGATTGTGTTTGTAGTCCCCTTCTTTTTGCAGAAAACAGTCGTCGTACCAAATTTTCCACAGCTTTTTCTGCTTTGTCACCGGATCGGTGGCAGCCGTCGCGATGTTGTATCCCGGTAGAAACGTTGAACCGATGGTGAACGGCGTCTGTTGGCGGGTGTCCGGTTTTATTTGCGCAGCTGCGCCATCACCTCCACTGGTGGGCTCCTCGTCGACCGATTTGCTCCAATTAAGTTTTGTATACAAGCCCTTCAGCAGAGCCTTTGCCTCTTCGGTCGATACAGATGTACCATGCTGATCTACTGCACCGTCGCAGCGCAACCCATCCGCTACCAGACTGGTGGACGCTGGAGCGTCGTCGTCATCTGCTTTGTTCTCGGTGTCATCTTTAACTTGAGCTAGTAGCGCTTGCTCGTCTTTGTTGATACCCGCATCCTCAACGATCTTGCCGTTTTCGTAGTCAATTTCTACCTCTACATGCCGTCGCGTCTCCTTGTCGAATCTTTCCACCGTGAAAGGCTTGTCTTTTTTCGGTTTCGACGACACTTGAGTAGCACCACTATGCAGCTGTTCTTCGAGTTGCAAGACATTTCTTGCCAACACGTCTTCTTCTTTTGATCCCGCTAAAACTCCTTCCAGGACAGTTTCACACAGTTTCAGCTTGCCGCCAGGAATGTACTCCCGCGGATGGATGATTGTGAACTTTTGCTGCCTATGGATTGGGGCAAACATCATGCTTGGATCTGGAGTGCAACGTTTAAGTTTTCCATGCTCTGTCATGCGCATTTTTATGTTTATTCTTCTTCTATAATCTATTTTTTTGTCATGTGTCATGCAGAATCTGAATCACTAGACAACACCTAGCAGCAGCTCAAAAAGTTGTCATGGTTGTTGGCCGTCGGTTCAGGCGTCCTTGTGCTTCCCGAGTCCATCAATAAGAACCTTCCAGACCCAGACATGCTTGCAATTGATACTGCTTCACCGTGTGCTTCTTCGGAAACTGCTTTTCTTCCTCTTGCTCGCTATCACTGTCCAAGTCGGCCGCGAACTTCGACCACTTGTCGTAATTGGTGGACGGCATTATGTTTCTTGTGCTGGAGTTTCAGTTTGTGATTAAAAATAAAACAAAAATCAGTATTGCAATTGTGATGCGCAAATCAACATCCACTAGTGGATTCTCTCACAGTCCTAGGCCGATAGGATACCAATGCAGAGTCCTCCTGCTGATGTGATCCTGAAGAAGCAACAAAAAGATACAAAAATCGAAAATAAAAATGAAAATAAAAAGTTATGCAACAAGATCCTTTCTGTCTTTCTTTCTCTCGTGCCTGGGCATGGCGTCAACGGTTCAAGGCCCTAACAAATCATCGCAATCCACATGAAACACTTTATTGCTCTGTGTTCTAAGACCGGCTTCAGCCCCTCATCGAGCTCGACGGCTCCTGCTCGAGGTCGAGGTTTTTGCTATATCAAAATACATTCATTCATTCATTCTACGATGCGCCAGCCTTGAGCGCGAGGAGACTTGACTTGAAGATGGTGCGCCCCACCCTTCGCAGCTCGCACTTCTGATGGTGAGACACCGCAAAACACAGACGCGCGCTTCGCGTACTTCTATTTCCGTTTCGCAGACTAAAAGAAGAAAACAAAAAGGGAGGGTAAAAATAAAAGGGAAAACGCTAACAATGCGTAAACTCCTTTGCTCTTCTACTTGTTTTCGCTGCTGTAGTCTTCTATCTTTGCGTTTGAGTTGGTGGCTTATAGTCGGCGGAACTTGAGTTTTTAAGGATTTTGCACGGAAGTGTTCGTATTTTTTACATTCCTCGACGAAGGACGCGCTTCGCGTGGTTGCAAAAATTTTTTGTAGATGTTTCGCAGTTATAAATTTTTTGGATCCAGGTGGTGAACAAACACACTGCCGCAGAAATTTCCAAGATTTACGCTTACATACTGATACTTTTTCTTTGAACGAGCCCTGAAAGCTGTCTTAACATGCGTAAAAATTAGTATAAATCAGGCACGTTTATCTTTCACCTCGCCAGCATCTTGCCGTGGCGATCCATTACTACGAGGCATGTCAAAATCAAGATCGTGTGTCATTTTTTCGACTTTCGGGGGGAGGCGGCAGGCTACTATCTTCCTATGGCTCTGGATTGGCGGCAACAGGGCTAGAAGCTACTAGATGATGCCTAACCTCACCACTAAGCAATAGTAGGGGTAATGCCTGTCCGAGCGGGAGCACCCACTCACATATAAACCTAAGTTATCAGCTTTCTACGGTTATGGGCTCATAAGACTTTTCCTCTAGGCTCATAGAGAGCTCAGCGTGCTGTTGCTCGGTTGCGGTACATGCTTATCCCGCTTGTTAAGATAGAATATATCGATGATTGCGAAGAACTAAAAAAAACGACGCTCTAATGTAAAAAGGCGATTTCCGGATCTCTAGCGACTTCGAGTTTTATCTTCATTCGAATCGAAAACATAGACAAAAACAAAAACTACCCCTCCGAGGACCGAGATCTTATATTTCCACCGAGCGCATACAAAATCTTACTCTTTTTAAGCCGATCCGCACGGCGTCCTTGTTGCTCTCGCGATTCATACACAAATCAAATAATTACTGAGGGGGCGCTACGCGGAGTGCTATACTAGTGCACGGACCTAAAAGGGAGCCACGGGCTGACATGCTGCTTTGCAGGTTTAGGGACTTTTGATCATACATCATCACCAAGCACTGGTGTAGAACTATATTAATCTTCGATCGTGCTTTCCTGCTCCCCCCGCGAATCCCCCGGCCGGCACCGCAACCACCGGCACAACGGCAGAGCGTGGGATGTTGTTATTCTAAGCCCAGCTGTGCTGTAGCATAAGTTAATGCCATCCCGATCTAGTTGTTCTCCTGGCGGTATGTACGTGTCTACGGGGATAACTGCCTGGCGCAACAGGCGGGGATAATACAACTCTAACTATCGAATTTATATAAAACCTGATCTGAACACCGCGGGGGTTTAGCCTACTATAAAACTCAATTATAGTATGCGCATGCCACTAGTGCATCTATTACGTCTGTATCTACTTGTTGTTTTCATTCTTGGCCAGATGATACATACAGCACAAGACTCAACTGACAAAAAGCTGCGGCGTTGATGTGATACTGCACAAACAGAAAAATAACAGCAGGATTTTTTGGGCAGACGATGTTGACGCGATTTCTACATTTTATTTTTTCGGTAGCTACGTGCGGTTTGTAATTTTGATACTAGGAACAGTAATAATGATACGAAATTGAATCATCTACAACTACATATTTTGATCTACTAGTTGGTTACAGTCTATCGTTTTATTTTTGGTTTTGGACATTATTAGCAGTGCTCGCACCTACTTGTTCTTGTTCATATGTCCACCTGATAAGAGAACTCCGCGTTGTCTCCCAGGCGAAAACGCTGTTGCTGCCGGGACGAGGTCGTGACGTCCGTTGCGAGATTGAGCCCTCCTCTGTGCTGGTCTTGGACAAAGGGATCCAGAACGCTTGGATAGATCGCATCTTCCTTGGGCACGAAACCTGGCGTCGTCTGGTTGTACTGTCGCGTGGTGGCAGGCAGGGGCCCGCTCACGACGCTTTTTGCGAACATGTAGCGGGCGGCCGTGTCGGGAATCCCGGTTGCCCACGGCTTGGCGTGCATGCGAATGCCGTGAATCTGCATGCGGAACTGGTTTTCCGCGCCCTGCGGGATCAGGGCGTAGAGCCGGTAAAACATCCCGCCGGTGGCACTGTAGACGGTGCTAAAACCGTGGTAGGTGAGCAGATAGGTGTCGCCCCCGTAATCGTAGTCGGTGGTGCAGGTCGTGCAGGGTCCGCGGCGCTGCCCGTCCTTGGAGTACTCGTGCGGCGCCGGACCCACGAGGTCTTCCGCAATCACGTTGTGCAGCGAGGTGTGCAAGCGCACAATGAGAAATACCTTTTGCCTCCCCCAGCCTTGGTCGTTCCACTTGATCGTGAGCACGACCTCTTCGAACTGCCCACTACCCGATGTGCGGGGAAGAAAGTAGTCCCAGATGGGCGACACGATCTGCGTTTCGGTCGGATCTGCCGCGGGGTCGCGCGTGTTGCGCACCCCCACCAAACCGGGGATGGGGTATGCCAAGTCGCCGCTTGGAAGCCGGAGCGGCCTGTGCATGCGCACGGTAGACGCCCGCGCGTCGTAGGACAGAGTGTGCCGGAAGCGATCCGAATACATAAAGGCGGGGCCGTCGTAGCGGTTCCACCCGTTTTTTCCGCAGTACTGCCGGTTTGCGTACAGGTGGAATCCGGGACGACAGGCCACGCAGTCGGGCGTTCCATGCACTGCGCAAGCAAATCCTTCCGAAGGGATCCCGTTGGGGCACAGGCACTTCCGCGCCGGGGCGATGGTCGCGGAGGTCGTCGCGGAGGTGACCACGTGCGCCACACTGGTACTGGGAGGAGGGGCGGTAGCAACTTCTACACTGGTCGCGAGCCTCTTGCCAAACACCCGCACCTGTGTAATTTGCAGTATGCGGACCTCCCCCGCGGCAGCGCCGGGCAATTCCAGTACCACGTACCGGCCCGGCTTACCCCCTGCGCACTCAACGGAAGCGGTCCCAATCGTGGAGCTCCGGGCAGCATCCAGGAAGTCAGCATTATACACGGCGAAGCGATCCCACCCTTTCCCGCTGTCGTACTTTAACGTTTCGCAGATCTCGTCCTCGTTTTGGGCAGGGCAGGCCGGATTTCCAATCTGCACGCAGGCGCCGTCCACGTAGCCCGCATCCGTGGCGGCGGTCCCCTGCAGGATCTTGCAGCTGGCGCTGTGCGACCGGCGGACAGGAGAGACGGAGATCGTCATTCCCTTGTCGTTGGCATCGGTGTCGACACCGGAGTTTGTCCCCAGCACATCGGGCCCCCATAACTCCGTGTTGAAGAACAGCCGTCGCAGAACCCCATTGGTACTTTTGAGCGTGCTGATCTCGACCCTCGTAACCGTGAACAGCCCTCCGAGATCCACTTGCAACCAGGGACAGCGCAGAGTGGTCGAGTGGAAATTTGTATTATGATTCTCGTCGAGTATGTTTTGCGCTATCGTGGTAGTGCCCTCAGCTGTTACGAAAGGATGGTCGCCGGCTGTCGTCACCGTTCCGAACCCTCCCTCATAGGGAGTGATGTCATCCGGCTGGCGCAAGGGCTTGCACGCCTCGAACCTTTTGCCACTGTACAGTGTGTAGCAAAACGGCAAGTAATGAGGGGTGGCCGGCGGGTTCCGACAGTAGTTGTGGTCTCCCACCCCTGTGCCAGGCCGGAGCGCAAGGGTGTTGGTGTGCGTTTGGGGCGACTGATCCGTCCACTTTTGGCACGGGTATCCCGAGATGGTGACGGTCTGGCAGCCGCGGTAGTTCTGTCCTTTTTCGTCGTACAAATTTTCGTCTCAGGATGCCGTTGTTGTCGTGGTCAGGGTAGTACAAGTACCGAACCTGTGATTGGGATCTGCAGTGTAGCAGAAGATGGTTGGCACGTTCGCGGCCGGGGGACTGCGGCAGTAGTTGTGATCTCCCAACCCGTGGTCCGTGGTTCCACCGTAGTTGTGCGTGTGCGGTGACTGCGTCGACCATTTCTGGCAGAGATGGCCTTCTATGGTGCGCGTCTGGCAGCCACGGTAGTTTGCGGCGTCCGCCCCGTATGTCAGGACGTCGTTTTCCACACAGGAGGCGGTGGTGGTGGTAGTGGTGGTAGTGGTGGTGGTGTGATACACATTCTCCGGGTCCTCCACGATGCCTGAGCTGGGGCCGTTCAGATTGATGGGGATCCGGATCCGGTTTCCCCGGGGGCGAAAGCCCACCCGGCGAATTTTGCGGCCCGGCAGGTCCTATCAAATGCAAAAATGTCTGGGTCTGGAAGAGTGCAACTTGTCATGATGTTTTTGGACTCTAAAAGTGCAAGACCAGCAAGAGGTGTCCGGTTTGTGCTACACGGACAGGGCATTTTTCATGCGGAAGGGGCATCAGTAAGCCCTCTAAAAGTCTGTGATGCTTAGTCATGCATTATAGGCATCATGGATCATGAGAAATCTGCATGACAAATCTTGCATTCTTCCAGACCCAGACATTTTTGCATTTGATAGGTCCTGCGGCGAAATGTCGAGCGCGAGCTGCTGTCCGAGCCGCGTTATCCTGTGCAAAAGTAGCGTATTCGTATTGCAATCATGCATATGCAAATCTTTTTCTTTAGGCAAATCCGCACTACATCTCTCACGTTGAGGAAATTTGTAATGCATTTATACGAGTACGATACTTTTGCAATGCATACGAGTGGGCTTCCCGTCCACCAGCAGTCGCAGCTTGGTTTTCTTCTCCGGCGTGGCCGTGGTGGCTACCTTGCGCCGTTTGACGGTCGGCCTCGGCGTCGACGGCGTGCCGTGGCTAGTACGCAGCTTTTGTTCATCACCCACACTCGAGGTGGTCCCGCCCCCGTGGTCCTCCTGCCCCGCCCCCGCGGCCGCGCTAGTGCCCTATCAACTGCATATGCGTCTGGGTCTGGAAATTTGTGATGCAAGAAAGGGATGATAGTTAGCACACTCTCAAGGCGCTGGCAAGCGTGACAACTTTAAGCTTTTTCGTGGTTCGGAGTTGCGTACTCCGCATGAGAAGCTGCGTTTTTGCATGACAGGCAAGAGGAGCGTTTCGCGGCCACGCAGTACAGAGTTTACTTTAGAGTCATGCCAGAGTAGCATGACAAATCTCGCATCAAAAATCTTCCAGACCCAGACATATTTGCAATGCATATGCCCCCACTGCTGCTGATCCTCGTTAAGGTTGGCGCGTCCCCCCGCTGGTACAGCCAGAAGCCACAGAACATCAGCGCGTTGTTGGCGGTGTTCCCCGAGCTGTCTCCGATGCGGATTTTCCAGACCCTTTTGTTGATCGGAACCCAGGTGCCGGTCGTCTTCACCAGGCCCGGCGTCCGGAGGGCAGCCTCCGGGATGCCGCTGTCGTTCAGGTAAATTTTGGCGTTCTGGATGGACTGGCCCCGCGAGCCATCGTCCAGTTGAAACAGGGTGAACCCCGCAATGTCCCGCGGCACGCGGTCCTGGAATTCGACCGCCCACCAGTTGTTCGTGCCCCCGTTGTATGCATTGCAAATATGTCAGGGTCTGGAAGGATTCAAATTTGTGATGCGAGTTCCACAACATGCCAACATCTGTCATGCGTGGCCAGAAAAAGGCCGCGCTTCGGCTTCTTGTCACAGAAAAAGTGGATTTGTAGTCATGCGGCTTAAGCATTAGGCTACCTGCCCGAAACCTGTGGCGCTAGGGCTTGCACGCCAGACGATCTGGGTCAGGCACAAACTGCATGACAAATGTTCGCATTCTCCCAGACCCAGGCTGCATATTTGCAATGCGTACGTTGTGAAAGCAGTACCCGTCCGCCTGTTCCCCGACCGCGGTTATGACAGTGCACAACCCCCCCTCGCCCTCATTTGTCATACAAAAGCCAAAAGCCCAAATCCACGCGCTGGGCTGCGCTGCCATGTGGCAGTGTTTGCATGACAGATTGTGGAAGCCTAAACAGTACTGCATGACGCGCTTGAACTTGTCATGCGCAGGCTCCATGTGCGCTGGTGTTTCTATTGCTGCTCATGCAATACGAACAATGAGGCGGAGGGGGGGGGTGCACTCTCATAGCGGTGGTGATGCCCTCGGGACGGGTCAGCACCCAATCTATCCAAAGAAAAAAAGTGTTATGGTATACACATCTGCTGCAACTTCAGCAACACAAACTTGCTCTGCACTTTTGGTTTTGCAGAGAAAACTTGCAATACAGAGACCCTAAGGGAAAACACGTACGAAACTACGCTCGGGCTCGCATGCCTTTCGTCCGGCATGAGAGAGGTTGTCTGTCTTGCGCGTTCCGCAACACGATGTGCAACTGTAACGCTTTTTTCTTTGCATACGCTCGGCGCCGCACTTCGCAGGGAAGTCCACAGGACACGTATCCAAGCAAAACACTGTGTGAGTGTAGCTTTGTGTTCCAGACGATGCCATACATTTACACCTGTCATGCTGGACATGCGTCAGAGGCTCTTTTCGAACGCGGTTAGGTTTGTTTCACGTACTCGCTACGCATGACAGGTTTTGTCTGTTATGCGGAGCAAACTTGTGATGCTGTTCCTCCAAGAAAGTTACACTTACACATACACAGTTTTTCTCTCGCATAACACGATGCGGGGGTGGAATCGCACGGATTGTCCACCGCACAGGTTGCGGGGTTACTCGTTGCCGCTGGGTCCACCCAGTCGCTGCCTCGGTAGTAGGGCGACATACTCGCCCGCAATAGTTCGGGCGGCACGAAGCTTCCGGTCGTACCAACCGGGAGCCCGTTCAAGGGCAGGAGCGCGGCCGGATCGCTGCTGTCGTAGGTGCTCAGCACGTCCTCCCGACACAGCGCTGTCATGTCCAGGCTGTTCAATCCCGTGTTTTGCGCTTGCGAAGAATCCGGCATATCCTCGGTTTTGATGTTGCAGTCCCCCGTGGTGCCATCCGTCAGCTTTGCGGTCCCAGCAACACCACCGTCGGGACGGTGGACCAAGTGCTTGCAGCTGGGGTTTTGCGCACAGAGACGGACTATCAAATGTAAAAATGTCTGGGTCTGGAAGGTTACCAGGTTTGTCGTGCATATTTTGCATGACTCAGGATGTCTGTAATGCATGATCTAGCATCACATGTTTCTAGAGGCCTTCCTGATGCCTATCCCGCATGACAAATGCCCTCCCCGCGTAGCACAAACTGGGCGCCTCTTGGTGGTCATGCAATACAAATTTTTTTAGAATCCAAAGTTAGCATCACAAGTTGCATTCTTCCAGACCCAGACATTTTCACATTTGATACGGACGCATTCCTGCCACGTTTTTCCGGATGTCGTAGTCGTCGCGCCTCCACTATCCAGGAAAAAACACCCATCCCCATCCAATTTGTCATGCAAAACATGCATAAAATCCACTATTTGCCATGCAAAAAATGGATGGGGATGGGTGTTTTTTCCTGGATATCCACCGTAGTCGGTATTCAACAAAGGTCTACAGACGGACGACCCAGACGCCGTGCCGGCCAAAACGTCGTCTATGGGATTCCCAAACGTTACATCCTCAGTCAGCTGTATACATGAATTAGTAATGCAAGAATGGCAAAATTAGTAATGCAAGAATGGCAAAAGTGAAAGGAGGAAGATCACGCCTTTTGCATTACAGATTTGCCACGGATTCTAGTGCTATTTAGCGCGTCGAGAAGTTGTCATGCGAAGAATCATCATTTAGTGGACACCCGCTCCCAGCGCCAAAGGTCAGGGACGCCCTCGCCGGCGGGTGGGCGAGGAAGCACTTTCGGCGACCTCATCATACAAGATCGTGTGAAGATGAGTGATGCTGTTTTTGCATGACAAATCATGTTTGTAACAGTTGAGAATGTAACGTTTGAAAGCGCCATATCGCACTCGGCGATGTTTCTGCCCTGCCAGGTGGCAACCTCCGCGGCGTTCGTCGTGCAGCCAGCGGCCATCAGCTCGCACCCTGATGCAGTTTGGCCGACGATCGGCATAAAGAACGCGCTGCACTCGGGAGTCAAGGCTCATAGGTATCGGCACTCGCTGATGGTGTAGTCGCGGTCCACGTACTTGGTCTGCACTTGGCGCGGGATAGCGTGATTGAACGAGACGCCGTCCGGGGGCGTGCAGTGCCCAGCATACGCCACCGGGCACGTGGTAGCGTCAACCTGCGGCACTGCCGTGGCGTCCACACACGTGGCGCTCAGTTTGGCCAAGGTGTAGAAGTGAGCTGCGTGCACGTCCGCAACCCGATCTTGGGTGCATCCGGCTCTGTAAAGCTTGCAGGTGATTGCTCCGCCGGGGCTCTCGACAACGAAGGCCGCACAGTTCGCATTGGCGCGACACCGCGCGGCACACGCCTGCCACGGAATGTCATTTCCCTCGTTCGAGATAAGCAGGCTGCTGTCTTCATTGCACCCGCCGATCCACTCCATGGCGCAGATCGGGGTCGCGTGCACGTCTTCCATGGGACGCGTCGTAGTCGTCGTCGTGGAGGTCGCCGTGCGACAGGTCTCGAGCTTCCACGACTGCCACTTTGTGGCGGTCGTTCGCTTCCCACATTTCGCAGCATTGGACAACAGCGCGCAGTGTTTTCGGTCTCCTGCCCCTGTCTCGTACAAAATTAGCATAAACGAGTCGCAACCTTTCGTGACAGCGCACAGGTACCGACATTCGGCCACCGTGTACTCTCGCCGGTTGTCTTGGTAGAACCTCGAAGCGGACCCGTCCGCAGTATCGTAAGGAAAAATCCCCCCTCCCCATATCGCGACGAAGTTCCTGACGGTGGATTTCCGTACACAAATGCGCGCTGTCCTGCAATAAGGCATCGCAGCCAGATCCTCAGCCTAGGGAGGGGCGTTCGGGATCGGGTCTAGTTGTTTAGCATTACAAACAGCTGCCCCCTAGGCCCAACAGCATGCCAAATCGCTTCCATAATGGCGCGGAAGCCTCTGCGCTTGTCCTCTTGCAGGACAGACATGGATTGTGGTCTCAAATCAGCAACACAAATTTTCGGAAACATACCGCTTCGATATGGGGAGGGCGGATTTTTCCTCTCAATACGCAGGGCAACTGCCGTGCGTCGTGAGAATTATTCCCGGGCCGCCATTCTTCGGACATATCGAAGAAAAAAACCCCATCACAATCACAAAATTCAAATTTTCAAAATTTTGCAGGAGCTGAACAAAAAATTATTTTGATTTTCAGGTAAGAAAATACTTTTCAATTCTCGAATGCGAATGTATTTATTTTTGTGTTAGCTATTTGGTTATGTCAAAAATGGCGGCTTGAATAAGCTAGTTAAGAAAGAGTTCTGAAGACAAACGATCAGCTTCCAGCAGACGAAGCTTGGTAGATGGGGTTGTCGCCCTCTGGCCCCAGGTGGGGCCAGAGGGCGACAACCCACACTACCACTGTTCGTCTGCTGGAAGCTGAGCGATTGTCTTCAGAAATCTCTCTTCTTAACTAGCTAGCTTACCGCCAATAGCCAATATCATAAGTCATCTGCTGCAAAACTCAACATTCAAAACCAGATACAACAGGTTCGGGAGTGCCGCGAAAGTCCAACGAAGTTTTAATTTTGATGGTCAAAAATTTTGAAAATTTGAATTTTGTGATTGTGATGGTGTTTTTTTCTTCGATAGGACAGGAATCCGTGTCAATCGGCGGGACCGCGGAGCTGTCGAGGCAATAGGCGCTGTTCTTCTCGAGGGAGTAGTATTTCGTTGTCTTTAGCTTCTTCGGCTTTGGCTGGTCCGGACCAGGTGTGATATCCTCGCCCCGAGAAAAGCCAGCCTTTGTAAATTTACAGCCTCCATTATGCAAGAAAAAAACTATGTGAGTGTAAATCTGTGATGGGAAACACACAACACAATCACACCTGTCATGCTGGTCAGCCATCAACTCCTGTTTTCGTATGTCTTTTCACGTACAGGCTGCGCATGACAGGTTTTCTTTGTCATGTAGAGCAATTTTGTCATGCTGTCTCTCCAAGACACCTACACTCACGCAGCTTTTTTCTTGGATATCCATCGTTCGCGCAAAAGCCGGTAGCTGACGGGGAGTCGTTGCATCTCCTGAGCAAAAACGTCCCCACACTAGAGTTCTTGTCATGCAAATCTACACGCCAAAAAAGTTTCTCATGCGGAGCCCCATGAGAAGCATTCTCTATTCGTGTTTAGGGATTTTTGATGCTAGAATCAGCATGACAATCTAGGTCTGTGATGCTGCTTAACTAGCTAAAACAGAAGCACACTACGACGGCAAGCCTGTCATGCGAAACCACTTAAAGCTGGTTGATTTGTCTAGCAGATTTCCCAGCTTGACTCTGGTCGTGTGGGGACGTTTTTACACAGGATATTGCACATCTCGAAGCCAGCGCATTCCGGGTCCTCGCGACAGCGCGCGTCGCAGACCTTCAAGTTCCCGTTCGCCGTGGGTAGCGCCAAGCTCGTTTTCTCATCGAAGTTCAGCGGGATTCCACTGAACTCCGCGGGACACACGTCGTACCCGACGGCGCTGGCCCCCGGATGCGCGTGCACGCCCAGCGCGACCGAACGGGATGCCAGACGGCAACTGCGCATCTCGTACCCTGTCACGGCGTCCGCGTCCTGTGCGTTGGTGGAGCACCCTTCTCGAACCAGGTCACACGTACGCGGGAACGCGGTTGTGAGGAAAAACGCGGAGCATTCCTTTTCCTGCGAACACAGGTAGCGGCACTCGCTCGGCGTGTAGGGGCGCTGTTCGCCGGAATACCGCAGTAGCAGCAGGTCGGCCTCGTACGATACGCCAGACGGGGGTACACAGGAACCGTAAAACGCGGGAGCGCAGGAAACCGAGTCCACCTTCGGCACCTCCGTCCGCTCCAGGCAGGTTTCCTGGTTCCTTGCCAAGGTGTAGTACGCCAAGCTCCCGGCCCCGCTGGTCGGCCCGCTGGTCGGTCCGGTCCTCGCGCACGCCCGCTCGGTTTTGCGGAAGAAGGAACACTTTGCCCCTTTGCCCTCACTGGTCGCACCTTCGTAGACGTACACGTGGGCGCCGCAGATTGTAAGGGGGTCGTCCCCAAAGGTGTATGACGTCCCTTTGGAGGTGCGGTCCAATTGGGCTAGCACGTACACCCGCTGCACCGGCTGCTTCGCCAAGAGGGTGGCGCTGCCCGCGTCCAGGCTGACCACCGTGCCGCCTTCGCTGCCCGGTAGCACGCGCCCGAGCTGAATGTAGTCCGTGCCCGCCACCATGGTGCCGCCGGTGAGCAGGCCGTACAGCTCCCCCGCGATGGCGGCGTAGTTGCTCGATTGATCTTCGTCCACTGTGATCGGCGGATCCAGCCACACGGTCGCGTAGTCCAGGCGTTCCTTCAGCGAGGGGTCCGACACATCCCGGTTGAACAGGTGCAGGTGGGACATGTGCCGCCGAATGGAATTCTTGAACCCGACCCGCCACCAGTTGAGACCCGTCTCCGGAGTGCTGTCGGTAGCGCCGGTCCCCGCCGTGAAAGCGCACGTGTCTCCCCAGGGGGAGCTGCCACGTTCGTACCCGAGCGGGTTCGTCGCCACTTTGTCCGTATAGCTGCCATCCATGCTCACCTGCTCCGCCGTCAGGTCTGCCTGTGCCACCCGTGTTGGCGCACCCACCAAGGTAAATCCCATGCAGTCGGCGATGGAGCGGCACTCCGCATCGCACGACTGCACGGACTGGCCCGCATTGGCCGACTCGGAAATCTGTAGCGGGTGGGACAGCGCGGCGGCGCGGTAGTAAACCGCGGCCGCCGCCGCCTGATCCGAAACAAAATACGCCCCGCAGCCGCCGCGCCAAGCCGCCGCGCACACCGGGTCGGTAAGGTCGCGCGGAACACGGTCTCGCCGCTCTGGCTGCTCAGCCCCCGCCTCATTCGCCGGCTGCGGAAGCTGGTCCAAGAAGGGAATCAGCACGCAAATGTTATCCTGTGTAAAAACGTCTCCTGTCATGCAAATGTTGCGCAATGACAGGAACATTTCATCTCCATGAGGGGCATTTTCAATCGAGTTTTGGCCTTTGTAATTCTGTAAACAGGATGAGCAACTGGCTTTCTCGTGCGGCTTCCCTTGCTAACTGTAACTACCACTACACTGCAGATGGAATCTTGTCATGCACAACTCCCAACACGCCCTCGCGGAGATTTGTGTTGCAGATTTACCGACTTGACCAAGGGGTCATGGGAAGGCTTTTGCTCAAGATAAGTGTGGTAGTCGTCCGCGTGGCTGAGGTAGCTTGGCCGAAACCAGTCGCGGATCTGGGCCACATGGTTCAGCCTTTGGCACTCGGGCGGGTCGTACTGATTTATCTCGTTGGTGCTTTTTTCCAACCGGCAGGACGCGCCCAGTCGCCCGTTTTCACTGTTGCACTTAGTGCACCACCCAGGGACTGTTTCACTTACTGCACCACTGCAGGGGAAGTGACTCTCCTGCGGCCGGGGACCACAGCCCGTGCACAAAGGCTTCTCGACCGGACCGGCCGAGCTGGCAGACGGCTCGGCGGTTGCAGTGCTGCTGCTGCTGGTGTGCGAAGCGTGGAGGATCTTCGGCAGACCTGCTCGGTCGGTATCGTGGAAAGGCATTCCGTGCCCCGGGAGGGCGGTCAGCTGGCGCGGATCGGGCATTAGCCGGATCGAGACCGTGTGGAGCTCACCAGCGGTGATAGTGGCCCCAGGGAGCAGCGCAGGATCCCAGATTTGCAGCGTTTGGTTAAAAACCTGTCCCGGTATGTCGTGCCACGCATCTCCCGGCTTCCAGCCGGCCCCGCCTCGCAGCGTGAAATAATCCAACTCGACAATGTACTCCTTGCCTTCCTCCTCGCACTGTAGCACCAACTCGAACGATGTCTTGGCTTCGCACTTGTCGGCGTTCAGGTAGCTGATACCGCATGTTTCCTCCGACCCCCACTTCTCTGCCACGAACGTCATCTCGAAAGACTCCAGCACTTCCTCCGGACTGACTTCCACTCCCACAAAGAGCGACGTCGCGTTGCACTTCCGCTGGTCCGCCAGAGAGCTGGTCGGCGTGGTGCCCGGCTCCGTTTCCCCGCCGCAACCGAGATGGCACACCCAGTGGTTGAACTCGTAGCGGTTGTCCGAGGCTCAGCCGTGGCAAACCCAGTATTGCCCCCCGAATGCGGGCGTGAGCCCCTCGCAGGGGCGGGCGTCCGCGTCCACGCCACCCCGGGCAAAGTCGCCGGACCGGATCGTTTTATCGTTCACTTTCATCTGCAGGAACACATCGGCGTCCGGAGAGAACAGGTTGGCGCCCGTGACGAAGTCAAAGGCGTGCTCGTGGGACGCACGGAAGTCGGTGGCTACCGTGCCGCCCAGGCTCGGAAAATGAGGAAAAAAGAAGGAGCGCGCCAGGTCCGCGTGGATCTCCAGGGAATGCTGCACGCGTGCACCAGGCGTGGTGCCCCGTTCCTCCTCTTCGCAAATCTGGCCTCGCTTGACGCAGTGGCAGTAGAAGCTGAGTCCGGACCCGTCGGTGACGGGCAGAATGCCGTACGTCAGCACCGCCCCGCATTCGCGATCCTCGTCCACCTCTGCCCGGCAGCTTTCTGCCGTGTTGGCAGTCGCAGCGAGCGCCTTAACCACGGTCCCGACCGTGCCACCGCAGGCGTAATTCTGCTTCCCGCTTCCGATGGGGTACTTGCGAAACCAGCGGGGCGAAGACAGCGTCTTGGCCGCGGCCATCGTGCGAATGCCGATTTCGCGCGCATACAGGATGTCCGCGCCGGTGGTCCGCGCGGCTCTCGGCGGGAGCAGGTACGAGTAGGCGCCCGGGACAAGCACGTCGCTTGCTGTTTCCGTCGTAGTTCCTGCCCCGCCGCTTGAAGTAGAAGACGCACTGGTCGCGGTCGTCGTGTAGTTCCGGGACTGCACGAGCCAGGAGGGCGCCACGTAGTGGGTGGCGTAGTTCAGCAATGGCTTGACGCGTTCGCGGCCTGTGTAGGGGCTCCGCATCAGACTGGCGCGGTCCCGTGTGGCGTCCTGGTCTTCGAACGTCATCTGGGTCCGTACGTAGATCCACGCACCCGCGAGCATGATATTTTTCGCGTGTCCGCGATGGCCCACGCTGAAGCCGACAATCCACTGCTCCACATTGTGCCACCGTCCGGAAGCCGGAATTTCGCCCGTATTCCCGCCATACTCGTCGCCGTACGGCCACGCGGCAAGAAAGTGGTCGCCTCTCGTGAAAGGCACGCGGTCGCGGTGCAATAATGTGAAGAGCGCGATGCTGAGATGATTTTGCCGACTCCAGTACGACCCTGCGTCCTCGGCGCGGTTGAACAAAACAATGGCTGCAACGTAACGCGGAATGTTGTCGGGAAACACCACTTTCCACCAGCCCATTTCACTCGCTGCCGTAACCGTATGAACCGGAATGTGTTGGTACCGGATCCACTGCATGCCCAATCCGTCTGCATTAGTCTTCGTCAAGTGGTAGTCGTGTCGCCGCGGGCTGTAGTCCCCGTACTGGCGGTTCAGGGGCCCCTCAAAAGCGACCTCGTGGTAAGGGTCAAGCGCTCCGGTACCCCCTGGGTAGACGTCCGCGCCCCGCCCGCTCGCCGTCAGCATCTTGCTTTGCCACGGGTCCAACATCTCCCCGGGATGGGGCGACAGGGGCTCGGCGCGCGCCAGAAAGAGGTGGAACCCGCACACCGTCAGGGCCTGGTCGCCGAATCCACTGGCGCCGTCGTTGACGATTTTGATGCGGCGGAACCAGCGGTATGCATTGCAAGAAAATTATCGTACTAGTATAAATCGCAATACAAATTGCCTCAGCATTAATAGAAATGGAATTTGCAATGCTGTTTTACGTTTAGGAAGAACATTTGTCACGACGCATAGTTGCAATTACTACGAGCAGTACGATACTTTTGCACAGGATAAGCGGCGCACGGGGACGTAGGTCCCGAACGGGGATACGTACAGCGGGAGCCGGAAGGCCGCCGTCACCTCGTCGTCGAAAAAGACAGCAGCCTGGGCGAGGGACTGACCCTGTATGCCCTCGCGACTGTAGATGACAAAGCCGTCCACCGGCCGCGCAGTGGAGTGGGTGGACCGCCCCATGTCCGCATTGATGCTGACCCCGGGCTTATCGAAAGGAAAAATCTCCCCTCCCCATATCAAATAAAACGCAATTTCTGAGGCTGGATTATTTGTGTACACAGAGCAGCTTTGTATTGCAGGAAGGCATTGCGGCCAGATCCCCGCGCTAGGTAGGGGCGTATTGGTCTAGTTGTTCACCATGGCAAACCGCTCCCCTTTAGGCCCAACAGCATGACAAATCGCTTCCACAATGGGGCGGAAGCTTCTGCCCTGGTCTTCTTGCAAGACAAATGTGATTTGTGAACTCAAATCAGCAACACAAATTTTCGGAAGCATACCTTTTCACTATGGGGAGGGGGAGTTTTTCCTTTTAATAGGGCTCCTGGAATTCCGCCTGCCAGAACGCGGTACCGCGAACGGCCGGCACGTCCGTTTGGCTGCACTGCCTATGAAAGTGCACAACTACCCCTCCCCCTCGTTTGTCATGCAAGATCCCAAATCCAGCTGCTGCCTTGTAGCACTGTTTGCACCATGCTGACAAACTCTGGAAGCCCAAACAGTACTACATGAGGCGCATAAATTTCAAATTGTCAACATGCATAGGCTCCATGTGTGCTGGTGTCTGTATTACTGCTCATGCCATACGAATGGGGGGGAGGGGGAGTTGTGCACTGTCATACTGGGACGCGAGGGACGCGAAGGCAGAGGAGTCGTAGTAGGCGCGCGCCACCAGCGACGTGTCCGCGGCACCGGTGCCGGGGGCGTGGCTCGCCTTCAAAGTGCCGGTGTCATACGAGGAGACTCGGGGCGACTCGTTTGGCCGCTTCCCGCCGTCAAAGAGCAGCCCCGGAAGCGCCGCGTTGGGCTTCAGGACCATGACGCGGTCCCAGGGAATCCGCCTATGAAAGCCTCAGAATGGAAATTCTCAAAGTGGAATATAATTTGATGTAATGCATGATGAAATGCGGCACCAAAAAGACTGCATTCAAGAGAAGGCAATGGAGTCCGACTAATATTGTAGTGCTTCTACGGATTCAGAATTATTGGGCTGCTGACTTATTAGCACGATAGAGGGTCACGTCCCCTTTGCCTAACTAGCATGACAGACGCGTTTTGAGTGCCCCCGGGGAAATTTGTCATGCGCCGACTAGAAATGGCACTTCAACTGGAATGATCGTTTTTTTTGCAATTGCAAATTTACTATATTTTCACCTTGAGGATTTCCAACCTGATGCTTTCATACCGCCACCAGTGCTGGGGCAGGGGAATGCTGAGCTGGCGTTCCTCCACCTCCGCCAGGGAAAGTTTCTCGCTAGCCCCGGTACTAGTCGCGAGCTCGTCCTCGGCAGAAAGCATGACGCCACTGGTCCGGAACTCGCTCTCGCGCAGGACACTCTTTCGGCACTCCGCCGTCATCTCCATCGCGTCGACGTCGCTCTGTGCCGACTTTGTTATGGAGGCATCCGCGGCCCATCCCAACAACAGGCAGCCATTGGTTGGGTCCCGCACGAAACCGTTGCAGGTGGGGTAATGCGCGCAGGTTAGCATGCACTCCTCGAAGCTGGAAAATTTCGACGCGCCACGACTGCCATAGGAAAAGGAGCCGTCCAGATCAGTGCCCCCGACGAGTGTCGTGGCTTCGTCCCGAACGCAGGTGGTTGGGATGGGGATCTGGGTCATCACGTGCGCCAAGCGGAAACTCGCTTTCCACGGGTCCAGAAACTTCAGGAGCTGGCTACGGCACTATCAAATGCAAAAGTGTCTGGGTCTGGAATGTTGCCGGGGTTGTCATGCATATTTTGCATGACCCAGGATGTCTGTAATGCGTGGCCTAGCATCAGAGATTTTTAGAGGGCTTCCTGATGCCTATTCCGCATGACAAATGCCCGCCCCGCGTAGCAAAAGCTAGACTTTTCTTGCTGATCATGCAATACAGATTTTTTTAGAGTCCAAACTTAGCATCACAAGCTCCAACCTTCCAGACCCAGACACTTTTGCATTTGATAGGCAACCAGAAGACAGCACTGTCACGTCGTAGTCGTAGTTCGTCTGCCACTTCACATGGGTCATGTCACCAGTTTCAAAGCTATTCTTCTCTAGGAGGCAGTTACTGCTTTGAGGTGGAAAACCGCGCTTGTGAAAATTGAAGCCCGTGCACTCTTCCACCGCTGCACAGCTCAGGAGACAGTCCTGGTAGGTGCGCGCCTGCGGCACCGTCTCGAAGCCGGCGTCATTATAAAACCGGTTTAGGTACCGTACGCAATCCGCCGGCGGCGCGTGGAACTTTCGCGGCACCATCCGGCGGCGGCACTTCGGGGTATAGAGGGAAAACGCGTGATCTTAGGGAGTGCCGCTACTTACCCCTAAGAAAAGTCGCAGCCTGTCTTCATGCCGAGATGCTATTTCCTCCTGATTTGTCATGCAAAGAGCACACAAAAAACCACCCCATGTCCATTCCATGCGGTCTGCAGTGGTTTTTGGTGGGCGTTTTGCATCACAACAAGAGGTTTCTAGGCGAATCTGCATGAAAGGCCGCGGCCTTTTTTCTTAGGACTAGCAGCAGCCGGGAAGGTCACTCATTTCCTTCTCCCCTCCATACGGGGTCATCACCAGCGAATCGGTGGTCAGGTCCGTCACGGCCGCGCTCGCGGGCATGTCCTGTTTGAGGCGGCAGTTTTTTTCGTTCACCCCGGCCCCCTATCAATCGCAAATATGTCTCCTGGTCTGGAGGAAGATTCTGAGACTTGTCACGCACGTTTTGCGTGAGCCATGATGTCTGTGATACATGCCGTAGCATCCCAGATTTTTTAAGAGGTTCTTGAAGATGATGCCAATTCCGCATGACAAATCCCCTCTCCGTGTAAGTAGCAATATTACAACATTCCCGCGTTTGCTGCTCATCCAATTCAAAATTTTTTCCAAATCCAAATGCAGCATCACAGGTTGCATTCTTCCAGACCACCCAGACATATTTCCACTTGATACCCCCAGCCGGAACGTGATCCCGGCACAGCCTTCGAGTTTGGCACAGATGCGGACGCAGCCTTCAAAGTGCACCGCGTCGGTCACGAAGTCCGCCGCTTGGGCGGACCCGCCGAGCGCGTTGCCCCCGAGCGGAAGCGGGTAGTCCAGGAACTTGAGCCGTTTGCAGTAATACTTTGCGTCCCCCTCCGCGGAAGGAGCGCCGTAGGCCGGGACTGGAACCTCGAAGATGTTCGCCCGGGACAGCATCGCGGTGGTGCGGTTGGCGGCCGCCTGGTAGGCCGCCGGGGAGGCGAATTGGGGGACGCCGCGGGTAACGAACAGGTGGAAGCCCGCCACGCGGAGGTAACTGTCTCGGTTTCCGTCCTTGTCGGGGCCGAGCGCGGACACCAGGCGAATGCTGAACACCCACCGGTGCACATTGACCCAGGAGGTGCGCGCACTCTCACTGCCCCCCGACAAGGGGCTGGGGACGTAACTGTCCCAGTCGTATACGTTGCTCCGAAAGTAGGACTCGTCATCGTTGTACACCAAAAGCGCTCCCGCGAGGGTTGAAGTGCCCGACTGCTGCAGAAAAAACCCCTCCACGGGGCGCGGAACACCGTCCGCGAACCGCACCTCCCACCAGGCCGATTGCGTTAGCGGGGGTATGTACCGGGTCTTCCGAATGAGCAAGGTGTAGAAGGGCACGTCGGTCATGGTGGACACCCCGTAATATCCGATGGGTGCCGCTCCCTCCGACCCGGCGAGATAGTCGCCGTACGGGTTGACAGATAGACCATCGCTTGCGGTCGAGCTATGGTAGTTTTCCGGCCCCTGACTAACGAGCAACCCCGCCGCATTGTCGGGGTCTCCATTTGCGTCCAGCAGAGGGAAGGCGGTCGGCGGGATCTTGGCGAGGGGGGAAGCTTGGTAGAGCCAAAGCCCACAGATTATCGCCCGGCCCTGCACCGTCACTTTCGTTGCCCTTGCGCCCACGGAGACCCAAAAGCCCGAGACTGTCCCCAAGATCGCGGGAAGGGCCGCAATATGAGCCGAGCCGGCGTCGTCCAAATAAATAGATGCGGCGGCAAAGCTTACGCTGCGCTCGCTGTTCCGGTCTAGCCCAAAGATGACCAGACCCGCAATTTCGCGCGGAACCTGATCCGCAAACTCGACGGAATATCGATGCGGGCCTCCGTCGGAGGAATCAGCATTCCAACAGTAGAACGGCTCGTCAGGAAGGCCGCGATTCTTCGTGTCGCCCACAGGGCGGTTTAGCGGGTTCGTGGCTGCATATGTTGCCTGGTTGTTGTACACACTGGACGCGGTCACGGAGAGGCGCGCAGGCTCCACGAAAGTGCCGCTAGATGTGGCATGGTGCGTTGATTCGTAGAGCCAGAAGCCGCAAAAGTTCAAACCAGTGGCTTCCAGTTTGATTTTCCAGACCTGTTTGTCGAGCTGGACGAAGGTGCCGTCGTAGCGTACGATGCTCGGTGTCTTCGCTGGCTCTGGCGAAGGACTGTCGTTCAGGTAGATCAGCGCGTTTTGAATCTGATTCCCGTCGTAAATGTTGTTCCGCCTGAACACTGAAAATCCCGTGATGTGCCGGGGTTTTTTGTCCTGAAATTCGACCGCCCACCAGTAGGCGAACCAGTGGTAGCACCATCCGGTGTACGAGACTATGTCCGTCGCGGTATTGTCTCCCTCTGGGCGCGTTAGCGGCAGCGAATGGTGGCACTTGCTCTCGTCGCCCCCACCACACACCGCCCAGGTCCATTCCGGGTACGGGGCGGAGCTCGTCTGCAACAGGGTCGGCGGTACAAACAACCCGTTTGTTCCAGCAGGCCTACCCGCCTCTGTTCCCACGGGGACCAGGGGCAACTGCTGCACCAGGAGGAGCAGCAGGCTGCTCAGTGTAGGCCACGCGACGTCGCGGACGAAGCAGTCCTTCATCTTGAAGGCCTTTTTACTTCTTTTGCAGCAGAAAAAATTGTAGTGCTGCGCGCCGCCTCTACTGCGCGGCCGCCAGAACCACGAGCACAAGCGGTGGGCTGCGGCACAACATCCTGCAGCTGCAGCTAGACCCAGAATTTTTATCCATGGCAGAAACGAGGAAAGGTACCAATTCATCAAAAACGGCAATGTCTCGGCCGGACGAGCAGGAGAAGATGAGCCAGAAATCAAAAATACTGGCTTGCTCCTGGTGGTTCTGCTACAGCGAGAAGCGGGAAGATCTTGATGTTGCCTGGGCGGGTCGGAACAACATGTCATGATTTCTACTACCTATCGGGATCTATAAATATATGCGCGTGTAGACAGCACGCACGGGACCCGCTGAAAAGTCTCGCTTCACCGTGGGACGAGGTAGATACCACATGTTAAAACGAGGGGAGTTGCACTACCTTTTGTGCGTTGATCTTGATCTTAACTATCATGCGAGTAGATTATCTGATCGATTTTGCGGAGCGTTGCTAGTTTTGCTTCTGATATCGCAGACATGATTAGATTACTTCCTGTTCCTGTTCCTTTATTTTCATAGGTCCGCGTCGCAGGAACGCGGAACGTGCGGAATACGAAAGAACATTCGCGGACAGCGTGAGGATGTTCAGCGAAATACTGCGCAGACGTCACGCTGTCATGGACAGGCTTCGCATTCATCCTTAAATCTCATCCGATGCTCCACGACGTTTCCTGAGCATTTTGCTTTTGATTTCTGAAATATGAGATAACAACTTCCATGGAAGTACTTTTGATTGTTGTTGCTAGCGCGTACATTTCTATCCGAATGTGACGTAGTAGAGCCCAATAGGCATTTGGTTACTCTCTGCGGCATTTGATTCCAGAATAAGTTGAATACATGCAGTGTCGATTGCCGGCGAAAGCGCAAAAAACTGTGTGGCGGCCACATCCTGAGTTGTGAAAAAGGTATTGTCCGCCGGGGGATAGCGCACCCACTCCCATTCTTGTCGCTTTTCCTTCGCACCAGTGGAATTCGCATCGGTTGCTGTGTCAGCACCTAGCAAGTTGTCGCAACGGTGTTGAAACTGGACAAACCGTGACGAAAGCGCTGGATCCTCTTCGTTAACTATAAATTGATCAGAAAACGTTCTCGTCTCCGGTTCCCCTGCAAGATTTTCTCCCACATCAATGTCTCTGACTGTAAGACAATCGGGGTCGCTCCTCCCAGTAGTAGTTGAAGGTGTAGCAGCCACTCCAACTCCATTTGGAAGCATAGTGGTCTTGGCGCCTTTAGTATTTTCGTTTTCTGCAGTACCGGCTAGCTTTTTCGAAACAACGTCCCGGTGATTGTCTTCTGATGGATCTTTTCTGCGTGCAGCGCGTAAGTAGAACTTGCGCACACTAAGCGGTCCCATCGGCATAGGCGGAATTTTCAATGCAACAAATCGAATGCGGCAAACATCCGCTATGTCTGTACTTACAGCATGTTCCTGTTCAGCCCCAGGAGGTGTGACAGCTTCGTCTAGCAGTTGCTCTGGTTGGTCGTGGACTGAGCCAGTCGCTCCTGTAGCCACGACGGCACAGCTGCGCTGAACGAAGTGAAAGAGTAAGCAAACGGGGCCGGTGTGCATTAGGGTCTGGTCAGAGATAAACCAGGTGCGCGCATGCTGATGCAGCACCTCCTCCAATGGAAAGTCACCGCGGTGGCTCGATGCATGCACATCGGTTGTCGACCACAGCTGTGTGATTTTATTTTTCCGCAGCTTGTAATCGCCATTTGCATAATTTGTTCGTCTTTCACTGCTCGGGTGGTAGCCTCCATGTCCATTGTCGCTTCGATAACGATAGCCCCTTGTTGCTCCGTCATTCACTTCCGCGTCGCTGCGGCAGGAAGTGTTGGCGTTCTTGCGGTCTCTCATTTGTTCTGGTCCTGGGCACATTGCGATCTGTTGTGAGCAAGCGTCTACTTTGGTGGCGTCATTTGTAATTTCGTGCAGAATCTTTTTCCGTCCCCTTCGACTCACAAGCAGAAACGAACCAATTTGAAGCGCTAGAGGCTCTGAAAATCGACGTTCTAGCAAAAGGACCACTTGGGCAAAAGACGCGGGGCAATTTGCACCAGCGTGATGCTGGCAGCCAAAGTCCAGTGTCGCGTGGCGAGTGAAACAGTCGTTCCGTTGGAAAAGAAGTCGGGACAGCTTTGCACGCTGGAAGCCGAGCGGCAGTTTTTTCCGCTTTGCGATGCGGGTGGCCCATCGCAGTGGCACCACATTGCTTCGCTTTACCGCTATGGTCTGCTGTTCTGTACCGCCCGCAAGGGGTTCACTTTCTGCAAGCACATGCAGCTGTGCTGGATCAGTTTCAACATCCACCTCGTTCTCTGAATCCGAAAGATCGTGGGCTCGACCGCTTTGGTTCATCATTACATCTTCTGCACAAACAACAGAAGAAGCTCTGCCGCCACCCAGAAAATTCAGAGGCTTCACCAGCCGCTGCATGGCGCGTTCCGGATAGAGCTGCACCGCAATGCGCTCAGCGTCTCGTGGTCGTTCCGAGGATACGAAAGATAGCCGCCGGGGCGGGGGTAGTGAGGTCGTGGGCGTTTTTTTGCCGACCGCCGCCTTGGCCGCGGCTTTGCTATTTCTGGGCTCGCCATACCGCCGTGAGTAACGTTATGCCGCACGGTATTGCGGCCACTTGGGAAACGTCACAAATTTTGGAACATTTCCAAAATTCCTTTCCGAAAGCCAACCCCGATGCTATGGGGCCGATCCGGGTGCCAAGGGGGGCGCCCAAAAAGCGAAGAAAAACCGGGCCCATAGCATGCGGATTGGCTTTGCGCGTCTGGAGCGCTTTTTATTTTTCGCGTTTTTATTTTTCCCGCCGGCGCTTTTTGCAAAGCTTCCCCGGCTCTAAAACCGGCGAAAAGGCGGCCGCTTTCGCGGCCGCCCAAAATGCTCCGAAATCGCGGCCGTGCCATGCTGTTTTGCTGTTCTGATTTTGGGCGCGTTTTTTGCGCGCCCCTTTTTGGGCGCCCCAAATCGCCAGAAACCAAGGCGGCGGGCGCCTCAGAAGGGCGCCCCTTTTGCCGGCTCCCCTGCGTCGTTTTATCAAGTGCGAATCGATAGTTTTCGACCGGGCTTGTTTGCCAGCAACGCTCTGCCCGCTTGATAATTGAGAATCTTTTTTGTCAAAAAACGCTTCCGCCCGCTTGAAAACTGACGGCCGTTTTGCTGTCTGGCTGTCAAAAAAACTCCCTGGTTAGAACCGTTCGGTGACCTCACTACATATTATGCCAACATGGCCGTTGAGGTCCGGACGCTTAACCAGTCCGTGAAAATAAACGAGAGCGCCCGGCTCGGTACCGCACTCGTAGTTCTCGGGAGCTACAGCTGGGTGGTCGAGGTTCGTGTCACTCGGTGCGAAAGTCGACGCGGAAGGCGGTCGCGGTAATGCTCCTTCTGAAGATTCTTCAGCCGCTGGCTCTACAAGGCCAGGGGCTAGAAGATTTTCCTGACGTTTCAACGCATTATTTACTTCGTTATTAATGACGGACGTAGAGCTAGTGGGATTATTTTCAGCGGACACATTATTCGACGTTGAAGCATCCGCGGCGGGGCCGGGTGAAGCGGACGACCGCTCTTCGTGCAGACGCCGAAAGACGCCCTTCAGATTCAAGTTCACCATTATTTGGCTGTCGCTTGCGCGTCAACAGTAAAACCAGGTGCCACTATTAAGGGGAACCATAAAAACAAACAACGATGGAGATAAAAATGAAGCTCAAGCTAGCCGATGATAGAGGGTAGGATATGGGTACTTAATAGGCGCTATGCGTTCTGGGACGATGATAAATTGAAAGGCGTCTACTTTAGCAAGAGTCTGGGAACAAATTATAAACTGCATATTAACTTGAAGATGTCTGGAGCCCTGTACTTAAGAAAAAAGTCGCTAGAACGAGAAAACTTTTTTGCGAGCGAAAATTTAAATTTATGCAGCTTCACTATATCAGCATGTTGATTCTGCTGCTTATCCGAATCCCACACTGTGTCCACTCAATTTCTCACTCACGGAATGGACAGATTTTGGGGCGTTTTATCCTTCTCTGTTCGTAGACACGCCAAACACAACACAAAAACAAGAAGCCACTGCAGCTAGTGGCGCCGATGCGCAGCAAGCATTAGGAGGTCCTGAAAGATACGGCATACGCATAAATGTGTGAAGCTTTTTTTCCAGTAGTAACGGGCGTTGATGCGCAGAAGACATGGCGGATTCGGTACGATGAATGCTGTGAAAATGCTCGCCTCGCGTGATCGTGACAAACCAGGTTTATTCGTTTTCATATTGAGGCTTGAAGTTGCGTCCTTTGAGGAAGTACGGCACCGTCCTATCGCGATGGCGCAGTGGCGTGCGCAACTGGGGGTGGCCGAAGACCAGATGCCAAAATTTCATCATATTTTGGCACAGGGTTCGGGCCCGCAGATCCCACTGCATCGGGCGCGGGAAGGGAGGAATGGTGTACCCTTGGTGCGTAGTGAAGAGCAGGCGAGGGTAATCCCAGGAAATAAAAACTGGTTCACTGTGACTGTTTTCCACACGACCATGACAAATAGTTTGCCGCAGATAAAATAAATGGCAGATCTGCGCGATTTAACACATGAGGAAGGATACCTTCCCACTGCGCGTGTGCTTCTACTTGTTCAGGGACTAAAAAAACGCCTGAATGAACAAGAACAAAGTGGCTCGCTTGTTGCATCTCTTTTTTTACTAGCAAGGCCAGCACTTCTTCGGCGGCGTAGTGGCATTGACTTTGTGTGCGTGAGAGGCACCAGCTCACAATGACACAAAAGCAAGATCTTGGATAGGCGTCGCGGTAGAAAGACTCTGGGCGGAGCCGGATGCGGTGCTTGGACACGATGAAGTGCGAGCAGCAGTACGATCTTGGGGCCACCTGGGGGCGGACGTTGGTCTTGAAGAGCCGCTGGAACAGGAACGTGGTTGCCGGGTGTTCGAAGGGGGACGTGTCGCGGTTGTGCGCCAGGTTCTGGTACCCCAGGTTGGGAATGTTTCCCACGAGCGCGGCGTGCAGCGCGGCCTCCAGGATGTTGTCGCTCCCGAGGGACTTCCTACGCAAGTACCGGCTCGGGAGCTCCTCCGGGCTGGTGACGCCCTTCGCCAGCTGCTTCTCGTAGTCCGGATTCGGTCGCACGTAGGGGTCGTTTTCCACCACCGCGGGGTGCACGCTGGGATGCGGGTCGTACTGCGTGTCCACGTTGATCATGATGTGCTCATCCGCGTCCGGGTGCACGAACATCGTGTAGTCAGCCAGGCTGGTGTACCGCTTCTCCAGAAATCCAAAGTACCCGCTGCACTCGTCCCCCCGGACGTCCTCGTCCTCGATTTGTAGGAACCGCAGCTCCTTGGTGTGGTTGAACACCTGGTGAGGCACCTGCCGCAGCTGGGGTGTGTCGCCACACTTCAAAATGACCGTGACCGTCAGGTGGATCTTGACGAACCGCGTGAAATATGCATTGCAATTATACGCCTGGGTCTGGAATCGCATGCGAATTGTGGATCGTGAAAAAATCTGTGTTGCCTGGTCATCAAAAGATGCTTACTTTTGACCAGGTTGGCAGGGAGTTTCTCATACAGGATAGACATAATAGCGATCTCGCACGACCATCTGTCATGCTAGGCGCTGCATTCTAGATCTAGACCTCATCCGTCATGGAAAACCTGCATGAAAGATCTTGCGTTCTTCCAGACCCAGACGCATTTGCATTGGATATGAAGGCCTCCTTGTACCAGTCCAAGATGCGCGCGGCCGGCTCCTTGCAGTAGGGCAACACCAGCTCCACGGACTTTTTCTGGCTCTCGTACTGAGCCAGAAACTTCGCGTGTTTGCTGTTGCCCGGCAGAACGGACTGGAGGTGCTCCCATCCGATGTCTAGCGGCCACTTGCGAAACTCCCGCTCCCCCATTGCACCAGATTTTACCTGATTTTTTTGTAAAGGAATTCCATTTTTTACCATTTATTACTATACTTATTCATATTTCCACCTATGATTGAGATTGACAATGCGTGTTCGAGTACGTGTTTCTTCTCTATTAAGTGGTCCAAGTCCACCTTTCTAGTTTGTCATCTGAACAATTCCACGCCGAGGCGCAACAACCTGTCGTGGAGTGACATCGGTCGAAACATCAGGTCGGTCTGGGGACTTAGCTTTCGTTGAAAACTACTTTACACAAGAAGCCAAGAAGGAGAATTAAACGCATCACATCCTCGGCCACATATTATCAGGATGAAGAAGAGCAGACAGCACCATTTCTTGCAGCTGGGCGGTGTACTGCAGGAGCCCAAAGAAGGCGCTATGCAGCGGCTTCATGGCCAAGTCCTCTTCGAGCTTGATCAGAATGGTGACCAGAACCGCGGGGGGACACAGGTTTTTGTGTGTCACCCAGTTGGCCACGGCCTTGGCGTGGGCCTGAAACATCCGCGGATGCGTTTCCTGGAATTTGAAGTAGATCCACGCGTCGCGGCGGTAGTTGCGAAAAAAAGTGTTTTCGCACCCGAACAGCGTGTTCCGGTCCGAAACGTTTACCCGTGGCTGGAAGCAGCACACGTCGTAGGAGTAAATCTCGTCCCAGCAGGCCTTATTGCCGCGGACCCCGTCCGCACCGGCCCCGTAGTCCAGGCAGCAATCTTCGTACGCGAAGGCCCCGTCCTCGAAACAAAGCGGATTCCCCAGCGTGTCGCCATCGGTGTGAGCTGCCGCAGCCTGCGCGTCTGCATCCACTGCACCAAAAACCCTAGGACTGCTCTTTGTCGTTGGGAGCATTTTTTCCGTCTTCTGGTACACGTCAACATGATCCTGACTTCGAGTTGACGATGATGAAGCTGCTTCGTCCAACATCGGGGTTTCGGCCGGTGTGCTGGGTGATGATGTTTTCGACGTGGAATGAACAGAGGTGGACGATCCTCTATTTCTTGCTTTACTGGCATCTTGAACACTTCTTCTCGCTGCGGTTGTTCTTTTGCCAGGAGCGATGTTCGCTTCAACAGCTTTGTTGACATCACTTGTCGTTCCGTTGGTCGTTTCATCATCCTCTTCCGCGAAAAACTCGCGGCGCTCCTGCTCTTCCCCGTTAAAATCATCGTCCCACGTAGTCGACTGCACGAGGACCCACAACAGGAATCCGACCTGCAGACCAAATTGCCACCGACATCCTCCCATCGATACATAATTCTTAGTTCACCACAAGAAAAATGACGGAGAAGAGGAACGCATCAAAACAAAAGAACCAGAGCTGAATGCTTTGAATCTTCTTTGAATAACCGCTGGGCCTGGACGAATCGAACGGAGTCTGTGTCTGTTCAATGGAGTGACGAAGAAAATAAAGAAAACCTTATTAACGAACTGAACCGAGCCTCAACATATGGAAAGTACAACTGAAAAGCCAGAAGTCGAAGTGCCGAATGACAATGAAAACCAACGAGGAAAGACGAAAAATAGTATGAGTGGCCCCACTTTGATTTTGTTGCGCCAACTCGAAAAAAGGCACGATCGATGATGTGATCATTTCCTAGTGGCGGAGCCAAACGTGCAATGCTTGGGCACAAGAAAAACTCAGAATCGACGGTGCTGGATGGAACAGGAGGCTAGTGTATGATCATACGATCGAGGACAATACGAATGGATCGGCTCACAAGACACGGAGAAGCCAATTCGTGCTTAGTGATGTGCGCGATCATCAACGCGACCAAATGCTGGATGTGAACACGTCGTAGCGTGCTGCACACGGTTCATCTGATAACTGCCTCGCAGCGCTCCGCATCCACCACACACTTCTGTCGACTGATCGGGCATGAGCTACAATCTTCTTGTCGTTACATTGGGTTGGTCTTGGTTACGCCAAGCGATTTACATTTATGATGTTGCATTTACACATATTACATATACAAACATACTAGTGAAACAAAAAAATTATATTTATTTCACATGGGGACTTTAGTCAGCACTCAGCACGACCATGAAGCCATCTATAATAGCGCGACATGGCGGGCACTGCAAAATCGAACGCTTCTTCTCGGTTTATTCAAATTTTCGGTGGCACTAAAAGAATGTATCACAGCTCAACTCTGTCAGGGCAGAGCGTGGTCTTGACCTCGCCACCTTATCTTCATTCATGTACAAGAGAAAGGATACTTACATAATTACAGAAAGGACAGCGCTGGTTTTTTGTGGGCCGGGTTTTCGCAGCTCAGACAGACTGCTGAGGTTCTTCAAGGACGTGTGAAACTTGAGACAGGCGGTCCGCGGTGGCGGCCCGGTTCAACGTAGTTTGCTTCATCGCGTCGAGCATTTGCTGTTGTGCGTTCATCTTGTAGCAGAAAAAAATCGTTAAAAGGGCCCCGAAAAGAAGTGCGGCTCCGCCCAGCCCGAGAGCAACGATGATCATCATCTTGGCTGTTTCCGTCTCGTCGGCATTTTGCGAAATCACCGACTGGGCAACGCTGTCTTTCAGAGGTGCCTTCATCTGCTCCACCGACTGAGAGTATGAAAATTTTTTTTAGTAAGTCTAAGTTGGTTCGCGTTCGCATGTTCTAGTAGCGAGATGTACCACGTTGAAAAAGAAAAAAGGCCGCTGCAATCAGCGCATAAGCGAGGTAAAAATTTGCAAACGAGCCGAGACGCAAGGGCACAACGGAAGTTGTAGCACGAGAAGTAGTTTTGAGTCACAATCTGAAAAAAGTATGTACTGAACTACATCAACCTGCTCTACTTTAATAGTACCTGCTGTGCTTGTGTGGTAGCCGCGTTTAGGGCGTCCGCCGTGACCTGCTGCAACGAGTCCTGTTCGACCTTGGCGGCAACCATATCTCGCAGCTGCGCAACCTTGTCCACGACCTGCTGATTCAAATTCTGCTCCAGTCCCCCCAGCTGCCGCTCCGTGACGCTTTGTCGCCCTCCGAGCTTCTCAATTTCACCCTTCTGAAGCTGCAAGCTCTGCCGAGTGCTGGTGTTGTCCTCCTCTTGTTTTTGCGATTGGGTTTTCTGTCCATCTTCGAGCTGCGTCAGCCTTCTTTCAACCTGATCCGGATCCAAGGTCGTCCCCGCCACCATGCCCGGTGTCACCGCCCCCAGCTCGCCGTTGGGCCCCACGTTGGAAGCGACAGCCTGCTCGGATACTGATGGGGACGAGGGGGGAATGCTCGCTGCCGTTGTGCTTGTTGCCATGAGCCCCATTTGGGCTTCTCCGGTTGTTGCACCGCCCGCAGGCGGAGCGGGACTTCGTGGCGGCGCCGATGCAGCATCTTCAGAGGGACTGCGAGTACTACCTACTGGAGGGCCCAATACGGAGGGAGAATTCGAATTGGCAGCAGCAGAGAGGGGCGCGGCGGTTGTGCCTCCATTGACGGGTAACGAGTCAGGGAATGTGGGATTGCGTACTACTTCTGGGGAAGTCGCGCCACCGTCAACAGTGCCAGACGGCGTTGCTGGTTGACTGGGGAACGCGTCACCAGTGCGGGAGTTCGTCGCCGTTGATGGGAACGCTGGTCCGCCTTCGGTATTCGGAGGTGCAGTGGCGGAAGGTGCAGTGTCAGGAGCCGGACGAGGCACTGTGGAGGCAGCAGTACTATCCGGCGCCTTAGCTGCTTCTGGCGCTGAAACCCCTGCGTCACCTTGAAGAACTTGCGACGGATCCTCTGGTGGTGAGTTCTTGCTTGTATCTCTTTCCGGGTCCGGCGTTGGTGCCGCAGTGCGGCTCTGCGTATTCGCTTCGTTATCGCTGGTGCTCTCACTCGGGGGGGTTTGGCTTTGGACGCTATCCGGCTGTGGTTGTAGTTCAGCACTGGTGACACCTGTATCAGGAGAAGAAGTACTGGCGGACCCTGTATCTCCTGCACCTGGTACTTCTTGTGTGTGCGTATTCTTGCTGTTAATGTTATCACTTCCAGTTGCCGACGTAGCCTGTGGCGCAGCGTCGGACGCCGTTTCCTCTGCGCCAGAAGATGTCGAAGGTGAGTCAGGGAGAGCTGCTGCTGCAGGCACCGCGGACGAAGGCGTGCCGTCAACAGGCGGGGACGCAGCAGCTGCTGTGTTATCTGCACTGATTTCCAAAGCCACACCGTGCGGCTCCTTGCGCATCCTTCGCTCGCGGTCCGGTGCGGGTATCTGTGAACATTGATTTTTGGTTTCAAACGAGTGGAGGTTCCTCCCGGGAAACGGAAACAAAATCGTTTGCATTAATCTCACTTTGGAGAAGAAATGAATCGGCGTCACCATGATTTTTTTTGTAGTCGTTGAAATTTGTCATTGTCATGTGCAATTACAAGTTGCGCATTTTATCGTCGAGAGTCATACCTTCGCGTTTTGGTTGTTGTTTTCCCGTTCATGTTTTGCAGCCAACACGAAGTCCGATGAGGTCCTGCAGCACGCATATGCAATTATTATCATTCGTGCGAAAGATATGAGCGTGGTGCTAGGCACGGGCTTTCGCTGGGGGCTGATGCAGCCGCGGTACCGAATAGGAAAATGCGTCCTGTCCATCATCATGCCAGTCTTCAACTTCATACGCATCCACATCTTTGTGCTTTGGTTCACCGGAGCCACGATTTTCTAATTCGATTTCTGATAGCAAACCATCTGAAATGAACTGATAGACCTGTATGATGAATAACTTTCCGGGTAGCTTTTTTTCGATTGATGTACTTGTGAACTTTATAATTTTGCACGAAGGAAGCTCGACTGCTGATTGAAGTGGCGAACTTATATATTACAGCCTACGGCAGAGTAGACGAGAGTACGCTTTTTTTATCTTTGTTTCAAGCACAAAAAAAATATATGTTTGATGTTGAATAATGTCACTCACACAGGCGTTTCCGTCTCTACTCAACGAGTTTCAACAACGAGCCAAACTCAGCAGCTCGCTATTGTAGTGCTAGTGGGGTCTTCTCCTCTCGAACGAATATTCGTGCGGACCGGGATAATTGTCTGGAACGAATTTTCTACTTAAAAAGGTGCGAACAACACGAGACGAAATCACGCCCCCATCGTGTTAGTTCAACATGATGTGCTAATAACGAGTGATCTTCGACGGCAATAGCGAAAAAGCCTCTCATCAGCAGGTCGCTAGGTCCCCTACTCACAGGGTCTCTGAGGGTATCAAACAGTTCCTCTTCGTTGAAGGCCGTTTAAACAGCTCTTCTTCTAATATAAGTTGACGAATTGCTGCGCGGTGTCATTAAGCATCTCGCGACCGCACCACGTGTCATCGAAGAAAATGCAGGGGACACGGCGCGCGGAAATCGCGTCCTCACGTGTATGCGCTGCAACGTCATAGGAGCGGCGACGATGATTGGAGGCCGCCGCCGCGCCGCTCTCGATAACTTGCTGCGCCAGTATTGCAGAGGACCACAGTGTGACGTTCCGATTGCTTTCTCGGTCACGCCGGTGGGCCTGCAGGCGGTATAGGACATCCAACCTCGTTGGGTCGATCCTTAAGACGCCACTCATCCGGAGCCGCCGACACGCGAAGCCGTGCGAAAAATTTTCGTGGTCTACCTGCGGATCGAAGAAGTGGGCACTGAGATTCCGAAAGTACGTTTCCCAAGTTGCCTGAGCATACCTGGTGGGTCCCAGCTCCGCGCTGCAGTCAAACACGCCGGTATTCACTTCGTCGTCTACTTCTGCGGACACCAGCGGGCGTTGCCTCCGTGTGGGATGGCCGCCAGCAAGCCACCCCCGCTCCCCCAGTGCTTTCGTGTTGTTCAACCGGAAGGCGGTTATAAGTCCAACGAGGAGCTGCTCCTCATCAAGGGGAGCAACACCTCCTTGATGACTGCTGGACGTTGTGGGTGCTGCCTCGTCAGAATTCTGCTGAAGCAATGGCAAAACCACGTTTGCTGCACGACCCAGCGCTCCTGTAAACTTCACAAATGGCGGGGTGGAATCGCTTGCACTCGCAGCTCTACTAGTTGACGTTTTCTTCTGAAGATTGTCAGACGCCTGGCTTTTTTCTGCCAGATGAAACACCTGGTGATGAAGTTCGCGGGCGCGGTCGTAATAGTCCCGACGCACGTGCACCGAGCACAGCATGCGCTTCTTGGCATACTCGTCTCTGGGGCCCAGGCGCGGGTAGAAGTTTTGGTACTGCCAAGCACACTTTTCCTGCGCTACCGGTTCAGGATGTACAAACCAAAAATCGTTGTTAGTAACCTGCTGACTGCTCTTAGCGGATATTTTAGGAGCCACCATCAATCTATGAATTTGGGATGAAAACGAATCTTCAGTTGCTTCAGCTTGTTTCAATGCGGAACCCCCGCCGGTACTATAATCAGTCTTATCTTTTCCTCCAGCAGAAAAAGCTTGCGAAATGAGGTAGACGATGTCGGGATTGATGTAAATGTCAGCCGTCGTCGCTCCCCGGACGTAAAGTCGGCTGTCGCGTTCCTGAGATTTCGACATCTCTTGCTCTTGGTCGGAGAGTTGTGAGCCGTTCATTTTACTCGAAGCTTCTCGACGGCGGCGGTCGATTCGGCTGTCAAGGAGAAATTGCGTGCACTCGTAGCGTCCTACAACGAGCTGGTAGTACTCAACAATCCGGCTGACTACCAGCTCCGCCGCTAGGCGCGTATTCGCGTCTCGCTGCAGCACCCAGAGCTGCCACATCCGGAACAATGTTTCCGAAACCATAGCAGAAAGTTTGGCTAGAGCGACGCGAGAGCTGCCTGGTTGCTCCTTCACATCTTCGCGGAGACGAGGATGTAATTCATGATGTTGGTGTGGTGCAGATCCCAGCCCCTCCTGCTTCATTTCTTGCCGTGCACCGTCAACTAATTGGAGTAGTCTTTCGCGAAGCAACTCGAAAGGAAATTGTAATACGCTGCCGAAGTGGCCGCGAAATGGACCACGATCCTGAAAGCGGTCGAAATACTTGTCCAGGTGCGCGAACCGTACGGTGGCCGTTCGGTCCTGAAGGCCGCCGTAATCTGCGCACATAGGAACCCAGAGGTCGACTTTTGGTCGCGCCCGATTCCACACCGCATACTGCGCACGAGAGGCCGGTCGCGCAAAGCTGTCGGCGACTTGGGACTCCAGCATCTTCGCTGGAGGGTGGGGGAATGCCCAGAATAAGTCGTTCCGTGTGAACACAACCCAGTCATACGTGCGTCGCTGCGCACGAATCAGCGCTGCACACCGTGCCTTGTTGTGGTGGTTGAGGAGGTCGTAGCGGAAGTTACCCCGGGCGGCAGCCCCGTCGCCGGAAAACACGTCTTCGTAGACTTGCGGATGGATCTCGGTGAGCACTTTGTCGCGCTGCCGGTCGATTTGCTTCAGCTGCTGCACCTTTTTTGGAAAAAGCGCCGAACTCCGGTGACGCCAGCGCGCGGCACTGTGGTACAACGGCTCCGCTGCGTGTTTGCGTGCGGCTGCACGAAAGAACTTTATTTTGTGCGTTCTTGCGCTGCTTGTTGTGCGCAATTGTTCGCGAATTTTTTCAGTCCTCGCCTGCTTTGATGTTGTAGTTGGTTCGCCCGCAGGGCTTCCGACGCTTTCAAATTCGAGTACAGTGTCCACCGCGCGCAGTCGTGGGCCGAAAAAATACGAAAAATACTCCCCCGCATAGGCCTGGAACGCATCTTCATATGAGGGCTCCTTGATCTCGTCGTGGCGATCGCGAAGATAAAAATCTTCGACCGCCGGCGTCCGTTCGTCATCTCCTCTTCCATGCGTTAAAATGATTTCTTGGACGTCCTGAAGAACGAAATCGCGGGTAGCTTCGCTCACAGCAGCGACCACCACGACGTCGGCTTGCAACGCATCGACGGCATTGACCGCTATGGACTGCAACGATTTCGGGAAAGTCCGGTGCAACGCCCCCTCGACGCAGACCACCGCCTTCGCGGCGTCGGATCCGCGTGACGAAGTCGAAGCTGCATGAAGATATGCTTTCCCTTTCGCATCGGCGGCCACAACAAGGAAAGTTGCAAGGGTACAACTTGCCAGGAACACACTGGTTGCGCCCGGCAACCCGCGTCGTACCCGGAGAGAATGCAAGCTTCCGTCCCTCTTTGTCATTCATGATTCACCATCGACGAATCAATTTCAATCGATCCTAGCTTGGCTCCTTTCGGAATTCAATTTTTAGGCCGAAGAAGTGGAGTCACGGAAAAATCTGGATCGATACAGCTAGTGCCCACAACGAACAGTCGTGATCGTGGATTTATCACGCGTGACGCGGCAAAAACACGAGACTTTTGACACCACACATATATGGGTTCTTGGTCGTTGTAATTTCGGTGATGAACTTTAATAGGTGGTCGCGGTCTGTCCGCGTGAAACACCGTTGTCCAGAGGACTGGTCGCCGCATCGCGCAGGGTGCTGTGTCTGGTGCGCCAACTTGTGATGGCTTTGCTTCTGATGAAATTTCTTTTCGGCGAAATGATGATTTTTACATTGCATTGATATATTTAGTTCCAACATTTACATATGCATACTTCGCATCGGATTTTGTTTTTGAGCATGTACGCGCGGCCAATATGTACAACATGATTTCCCGCCTAGCGCGTCGCTCCCAATGCGCACTGTCAGCTATTGTTATCTCTTTCTTTCGGAATTCGGTAAACGCAAACGTTGAACTTGTTAAGTCTTGGTGGAGATCAAAAGTTCGTCGGTGATCTGCTATAGTGAACATCTAATCGGTATCGGTAAACAAGAGCTGCTTGAATAGGTAATGGTAATGGTAAACTCCGCTTCGCGTCGGGCCACGGCTCCCTAATACGACTACAATGACAAAGGTAGACGGCCGGCACTGCACCGGGCTGGGTCACCTCCGCAGCGCAATGCGCATGCAATGCGCCAGCCACTGCCGAGCTCCGGCGGCCCGGCCCAACACACACGTTGCGCGCCGATTCTTGGGGAGGAGGGCCTGGGTCAGGCCACAGTCGCTACCGCTAGACCCACGCCAAGCAACAAATAAAAGCAAAAGGACGAAAATTGGCCCGAGCAGCCCCCGCGCGCCCGAGGTTGCTGGCCGTGGCCTTCCATTCACCCCTGCCTACCAAGAAACGCGTGGTGGTCTCGGTGGCCGTGAGCCCCACGGGCTCTGCGCCAACCATGACTCTAAAATAATATGAACTGGGCAGGCACGCGCGTTGTCGCACCGCGGCAGTGCGCGTCTCGCTCGCACCGGAGCACCCAGCTCGTTAGCCGGAGCAGACCACAAAAAGCCAACCGGGCCGCAGAGCTCCGTCCGGAGGTCCGGCCCCGCGGAGGAACCGGCCCGCCGAGGGCTTTTTGTCCGCTGCCTTGCTACCCGGGCGCGCATACCAAAAAATCGCACAGGCCGGCACACAGGCCAACGGCGCCGGCGCTTCGCAGAGGGTCGCGGTGTGTGCGCGGGGCTCTGCAGCGCGTGCGTGGACGCACAATCAAATTTCCGCGGCCGGCCGAGCCGGCGCTGGCAGCACAGGCTTCACCCTTCTTTCAAGAGAAACAGGGCCACTACGCTCCGGCTTGCTGAGGCCCGCTAGCGATGCACCGCCCAACGGTTCCAGGCATTTTAGAAACGCCCGCCAGTACTTGGGCTGCCGGACTGCGCCCTTCCGGGGCGGAAGGGCGCCAACGCTGCGAGCCGGGCTCACCTTTATCCGCGTGTCTGGGGGCAAGACGCGCAACGCCTGTCTCACCACGCAAAAGCGGCGGCCTGTCAGCTACTGAAAGTGCGCCACTGGTGGCCGCGCGATGATACCAAAACCCACAAACAGAGCGCCACCGTCGCGATTCGTCGCCCTTTTTTGCTATGTTTTTCGCTCATGATCGCAACATTTTTTCGATCATGAGCGAAGTCGCGATGGTACCGCAGCGGTATTGTGTCCGTCCATATCGGTAAACAAGAGCTGCCTGAATAGGTAATGGTAATGGTAAACCGACAGATAGTCCCGGTCTGACGACACGTCCTACGCACGCGACTTACAGAAATTAGTTCCCATGATTTCCGTGTTTTTTCTACATCGCCTCATTTGGACACGCGGATCGAACTTTCACGAGCAAAGCGCCAAAGTTCGGCACTTTGCGTGTGAAAGTTCTCTGGCAGCTCACATCCGCGAAGTTCTCGGATGTGAGCTGACATCCGAGGAATTGTTGTATGTGGGATCCTGGGAACTAATTTCTGTAAGTAGGTTGCGTAGGATCTGCGTTTCGACCGGTAATCCCGACCTGACTGCAAATCCTACGCAACGGACTTACAGAAATCAGTTCCCAGGATTTCTTCTAGTATCTCAAGGCGCCTCTGAGGCACCTTGAGACTCTAGAAGAAATCCTTTGAGAGTCTAAAAGAAATCCGTTGGATTTCTTTTAGACTCTAAAAGAAGTCTTCTTGGCTTCTTTTGGAAAAGGTCTCGCGGAAACCCCTTTCCAGAGAACCTTTCGCTGACCCCTTTCGTTGACCCTTTGTTAGGTCGTGATTAAGGCACTTTGCGCGACCCCTTTGAAGACCCCTTTGCAAACCCCCTAGTTTGCGTTTTCTTCCTAGAAGAAAAAGTAGATCTTTCTGTGCATGTGTTCAGACGCACGCTTCTAGAAGGCCAGGAGGGGAAAGCTGCTGCGCGAGCTTTCTTACCTAAGAGCACAGCAGAACTCGCGCGCCTACAGCTTCGGCTTTCGTGCCTCAAAGAAATGCACTCCTGGGATTTGCGTACTGCGTTTCCAGTCGCCACACTCGGACACACTGATGATCCTCGTTTCCAAGTGAGGCGATTGGAGACGCAGCACGCAAATCCGGGGAAGTAATTTCTGTAAGTCACCTGCATAAGATTTGTGCCCAGATCGGTATTACCAGTGAGAAGACAAATCTTACGCAGGTAGCTTACAGAAATTATTTCCCAGGATCTTCGCTGCGTCAAGAATTCCGTGATGCGGCGGAAATCCTGAGAGCTAATATCCGTAACTCACCTGCGTATGGTTTGTGCTCCAATAGGTATTGCCGATCGGACCACAAATCTTACGCAGGTGACTTCCAGCAATTTGTTCCCAAGGATTTTCGCCACATCAAATACTAACTCCTGGGATGTCTGCGCACACCCGAGAAAGTACTTCTCCGGCAAACCTTGGGAACGCATTTCCGAAAGGCTAAAGTGTGGCAGCTGCTAGGCGACCCCTTATATTGAAGGCGCGTTGCTTTCAACGACCTGGCGCTGAACACGAATTACTTGCAATATACTAGCACAGCAAACAAAATGCTTTCTATGCCAAGGCGTTGCAAGTAATTCATTTCCAATAGAAGCAGGGCACTTCAAAGAGATTCGCTTTCAACGAGCAAGAGCGTGAGGCCGACTCCTGCCAGCCCGGCAGGAGAAGCGCGGCAGCCCCGCCGAAGACGGCTGCCCATTCTCCCCCAAGCTCGCACGCTGGCTGCTTCCCAGCCACAGGGTTCATGGCCTTCGGCCATTCCAAGCGACTGCGAGAGTGTGCAAGCTAAACCCCCCTCGCGGTTTGTTTCCATTTTTTTCAAACCTAAGCTTTCGGGAACAAGGGTAGGAACTAATTTCTGTAAGCCTTAACAAGAGCTGCTTGAATAGGTAATGGTAATGGTAAACCCGGTAGACTTGTTGGTACTCGTGGTCTCGTCTGTTTTGCTTTTTCTTCGTAGGCTAGAGGGACAATCAGGTCCAGCTCGTTGTGGTCGGTCACCCCTTCTCAAGCGATTTACTTCTCTTATGTAAGAAACAACAAACACACGACGACCCACACACCTTATCTTTGTTCTTCTGATGATTGCTAGTGGATTTTAATGTTTCCTGAGCACTTTATGTGCTTATCCTGAAAAATAAGCAACAGCAGGCGATTTTTTCAGTATCCTGCCGGTTATTTACACTTGCTGGGGATCGACATAATCATCCCAGATCGAAATTCGGTTTTTCGACGCCCCCCCGGTCGTAATGCATGTCGAGGAACGATACCTGTCGTTTTGTTATCGGGAGCGTGGCTTTGAACAAAATCGAAAGAGCATCTTTTTTTCATATCTGATCATCCCGTTACTTGAAAATGCGTTTCACGCAATCGAAAGAACAAAAAGCATTCAAAAGGGAGAAACACTAATTATAAAGGAAATCGTTGGTACAGCTTTCCTCCCCTTGCTTTTAGCTCTGCCATGATTTTCGCCTGCGCGCCGTCGCCGAGCGGCAGAGATAGCTCGTTGTCCTTTGCTGGCAGTTCCGGGCCCTTGCCACCAGTCCTGAAATGAAGTCATTCAGCGAAGGAGCATGTTGCCGCGGAAATGGTAGAGGTAGCCAAAAGAAAAAGCATATATCAAGCGCGACTCCTGTCATCAAGAAATAATGTAAATGTTTCCCATCTCTTTCTTCCTTGTGCTTGTCGAAGCAGGCATGGCTGCTTGTAGAACTGCTTTAGAATTTGAATATAGAAGGAGTTCTACATCTACATCGGAAAATAAAGTACTTTGAGTATTCGCGCAGACCGGGATCCTCCTGGTTCATCCACGACCGCTGCGTCGGGATGTCGGTTAGTTCCGGATTTTCCCCCACGAGATTAGTCGAGGTTGCTCTTCCTGGTTTGATGCTGGACACGCCGGCCTATGGAGGGAAAAGCGAGTGACAGACTTTCGGGAGTGCTGCTAGCACTAGAACGAAACATCGGAGCTCCCCATGCAGAATTGCTACGCTTGTCGTGCAAACCAAAAGCACACCAGAAAGCACTCAACTGCATGCGGTGCGGAACAATTTTTGGCAGTACGTTTTGCCGTTGCACCAGATCCTGAAATAGACTTCTATAGGCAAATCCGCATGACAACAAGCCCGGCTCTTTTTCCTTAGGACTACTAGCAGCAATCAGGGAGATCACACACTTTCCCTCCATACAGCCGGCGTGGTTTCCTTGAGCCTTGCTGTTCTCGCGACCATCATCTCCTTGGTCAGACCCGCGTGCAGCACGGCGCTTTCCCGCGCGTCCCTCTCTGCGGTGCCCCACGCCCGGTCGTAGATGCCCTTTGGATGCTTGTCGATGGTAGCTGTTGATATGGGAACAGGTGAAGTTTGGAATCTTTTCTTTGTAGTGAATTTTGCTTTTTTGTAAATGTAAAAGTAAAACCGTACCCCCGGTGGTAGTACTTAATAATACAATTTATTTTTTTAGGGAGCGATGGTTCACCTTCGCCGGCAGGAAAAGTCAGCACTTTACTGGCACAAGAAGTACTCGACGACATGTGGTAGCGGGTAATAACTGCCGAGTGTCGCTAGCTATGTGCTGGTTCTGTACCGAAGCATCCCTTTCCAGTCTGGTGCAGCGGCCTTCGATCTTCATAGCAAACCTCGGCTATTGTTTCGCTGGTAATAAATTGCGGGTGGTCCAATCCCGTGAATGTGAACTGTCCAGTTTTGATTTTAAGGCTCTCTTTGGCTCGTGGTGACATTGTTTTTCAGGGGGTCATCCTTGTGAAAGCATATATAAAAAGGTTGTATTTATTATCTTATCTCACTCTCCGCATCGTGTGATGCTCGCATGAAGTAGCAGAAGAAGAACCGTACCTCTGGCACAGTGCGGGGGTCGGGATAGTCCTCGTGTGTTCTTGAGCAAACCACCCTACCGAAGCCATCGTTTGGTGTGCCAAAGCTAGCTCTGCATTGCAAAAATGTTTCTGTGTCACAAGGAGTGCAAGCTTATGCAGATGCAGCTCACTAGTAGTACTGCCGGAAGGAAATGCCTTGAGTTCTTTGATTTGTAACTTACTATAATTGCGATCGAGGACGATCCTTCATAATACGTTGACATGCATTCACATTCTAGACCTGCTGCATGATGCGGATCATGCCGAGTCGTACGAAGGTTTTTCTCATTAAATTCAAGCATCTGAACGGTACTTCTTACGCAACTTCATGTCAAGGAACATAGCTGTTTGCAGGCGATACTAGCAGGCTTCTTGTATCGGATTTGTCTGCCTGCTTTCACGTCGTCGTCTGGTCGGATGAACTTCTGCACGTCTGCCTCTGGTGGAGCTAACCTATGAAACAAGAATTGGGAGGAGGACTTCTCCGTTTGATTGAACTTTCAATATCATATGTTCACCTTATAATTTTTTCGTGCCAAAAATCGAGGACCGTTTATTTTTCGTCGGTCAAAAAGGAAATCTCATGCGCCCGTTCCCGCACTTTTGAACTCTCTAAAGCAGTTCTTGCAAAGCAGTGAAAAAGCTGTGAGTCGTGCTTTCTATACCTGTCCTCGTACCAGTTGTCGGTCAGCGTCTTCACGCCGTACCCCGAGCCCAACATTTTTATGCTGTGGCTACAGAGCTGCAGCCAGAAAAGACCACGAGGCGCTCCCGAACCTCGAGTTTACTACTAAGTAAACACTGTGCTTATCAAAAAAAAACACTGCGTAACATTTTTACTACTGAATGGGTTCAGGCAAAGGTGGCGATCGGTATTTGGACGAGCCGCAGGTGAATACAAGTAGAAAAAATTCACAATCAACTGATTCGAAACAACTACTCACAAATTCGCGTTCGCCGAGTCATGATCCACTCTGCAACAATAAGGTCTCCATCGAGGGAACAACAATACTTTAGTACTGTATAGCAATACGTGAAGATACTAGATGTAACCGGAAATACTTCGGCTATGAGGATGTGGAACTGGCAAATAAAAAATGGCCAGACGAGTAGAAACATCTCGCATCTCTACAACATTTATTTTATACGGACTACGATCGTCTCGCTCTCGTCACGTCACCCAGGCCTTCGCGATTCAGATGGTAGACCGACGATGAATTTTCACAGAACTAGGAATTGCGTAGAAGTACCACGAGTTTGCGCCCTTCACCGACCACAATCAATGACATGCTGAGGCTTCGTCGTACGCTGAGCATCAGTATCAATCATCTATTGAGTCGCGACATCAACGACCAGTATCAATTATGTATCGAGTAGCGATCCTCCCCACGAGCAGAACGACTTTAGGGACTACTCGGAAAGTCCAGTGCATGACGACGAAAGATGCGAAGGATGTTCACGAGCGGGCGCTTCTTTCCAAAAAGTAGACACAAATCGAGTTATTTAGTATGTTGTGAAGCAGTTGTCGTGACGAAGATTATGAAAGGTCTAGAGTACTTCTTTCACCAAGAAAAATTCAGCACTGTTTGTGTTTTCCAGCTGTCGCAAAGATTGAATAGAGAACATGCACTACTGAGCACGTAGTGTCGGGCTGTTTTTCACAGTCGTTTGTGTTTATTCGTCTTTGCTAGTAATTTTATGCACGTACACTCGAACGGCACCGCCAGCACAAAAATATCGAAGTCCTGGCGTCCGTTGGGTCTCAGGTAGTACAGCTAGGATCGGTGCGCAAGCGTGATCTGTATTCTCTAGTTTACGGCAAGATCTTGGCGAACATAGAACAGCAAATAGCACTGAGTTTTGATGTCTGGGTGACTTAGCACGACCTCGCTCCCGTTGGTGCGAGACCAGCGGTAGAATGCGAAGTCGTCATACATGACCCAGGTTGTTTTTCCGCGCGTCGCGTTAGCTCCGGGAAGGCCCTGCTGCCCGTAGTTCACCATGGCTATATAATGACCGTCATCCGGGCTTTCCCCCCGATGCAGGACGAGAGATTGCAAGCGGTAGGTGACTTTTCGTTCCAGAGCTATCACGTTTACTACTGTGCCTGGGGGACGGTTGCGGATCCTGTTCGAATTCCTGCTTCGGTAGTTGGGCGGCGCAGGCTCCTGAAATCTCAGTACCAAGCTTTCCTCCAAATCGACTTCGTCTGAATTCTTCACAGTGCCGGCGGGCGTGAAACCAAAGCGCGCCAACCGCATCACCAATACCGGCGGTGGTGGGTGCTTTAACGCTAGTTTCTGCCAAAAGGGATAAGTCACGTCCCGCGCCTTTGCCGGTCGTGTGGACGAGTTCTCTCGTGCGCCGGGAGCGCTGCCAGTAGCGTTTTCCCTTTGATGTTTAGGGAGCCCAGCAGGCTGCGGGAATAAACTATGCGGCTGTTCTTCATCTTGTGCAGCAACTACTTGATTCGCCCTCACACTCACTCTTGAGGAAGATGTTGGATTGCTGAGATCGACAGGCGTTGCAAGAAACGCCTGATTTACTTGTCCGTTAGCAATTGTTTGCGCGCTTTGGTGCAGTTCGGAGTTCCCCTCGCTAATTTTGATTTCTGTTGAGATCGTGATCGCTGCATTCCCATTCTCAACTACGGGTGGAGAGCGAAGCGAAGTTGATGTTACCGGGTCCTCTTCTCTGGCCGATTCCTCAACTGCGCGGTTGCAGTAGTCGTCCTGGTCTTCACCGTTGAACCGATTCCAGCTGATCGGACGGTCTGCTTTAATTCTCTCCGGCACAGAGAAGTAAGCCTTCACCAACTGCGACAGAGAGTGCGGGTCAAAGTCATCCGGAAGGTGCCCGGGTCCAGGACCTCCCCCTGCCGCACCACCAGCACTGGCAGCTGCACCGCTCCTCATCGGAATCGTAAGCACAACGTGCGTGTCCACCTCGTTGGCTTTGCAGCGCTGCCGGTCGAACTCCTGAAATCTCGTCTGCTGGATGTGAAAGGTGCAGACGGGTTCCGTTATGGGGTGGAGGAAGTGCGAAAACAGAATGTCCAGCACCTCCGTGGCATCCTGTTGGGCGTGCTCGTTCCACATAGGGTTCTCCGAGATCGTGGCGGCTCGCTCCCGAAAAGCCTGCAGGGCACTCTCCAGACGGATGTAAATCTCCTCCGCAACCTGTCTGGTGTCCACACCTAGGGGGTCCATGTTTAGCGCGGCCCGCTCAGCGTCGACAAACGTGTGGTGCAGATTGCAGGCCCACTCACGCTATGCACGGCAAAATTTAGTCCAGGGCTGGATCCGCAGATTAAAATTTTTTCCACCACGAACGCTAATGCTCCGGGTGTGCGCGCGGGTGCTTGTGTGGCACGCGCACGTTCAGCTGAAGCGCTTTTCTTTGCATGATGTGCTTCGGAAGACGAAAATAGAGAAACGTTTATTATAATCAGTGTACATATCTACCACATTGGAACCAGTCATAATGATATACTTACTTTCTATCCATCAAAGAAGAAAAGTGTGCTGCGTTTCTCCTGACTGAAGCTTGTTCTTGCTGCCTGTGGATTATCCTTCGCAAAAGTATCGCATCCTCACAAGTTAGTAGCAGTGCTGCGGTACTACAAGTGTTTTTGTTAGACAATAATGCATGATGATGATTATGATGGGGGCAGGGTGCAGCTCCGACTGCTACTGCGTGGCGCTCCCGCCGCCAGTCCGAAGAAGACCAAAAGTGACTCACTCAGTTTACGCTGGCTCTAGTGTCAACGTCAAAGTTACCTCCACGACCGACAAAAATAGAAATGATATGGTCTGGATCTGGTCGAGTTCCAAAAATTTGCGATACTAAGGATGCATGGGACTGCGTCTAGCTACGTACTGGCAGAAGGCGATCTGAGTCACTTCATTATACGTCGCGTATACGATGCTTTTGCTGTGCATATGGATAGGAGCATGGGATATCCACGGGCAGGACTTTCCGCAGCGGTTGGCGTTTCGCGGAAGATCGCATCAGATCCGGTTGCTGTTCCGTGTTCATCTGCTCCCTCGATTGCGGAAGTCGCATCTTCGCTTTGGTTGCGGAACTCTGCGCTTCTATCAGCAGGCGCTGAAGCCGCGACACCTGCTGCACGGGGTTCGTTTCGCTCAGAGAGAAGAACGACCTGCTGACAGATTTGGTCCACGTGTCTGCGGACGGGTGGCAAACGCCAAAACGCTTGCAGGAATGCGTTCAGGTAGCAGCTATTTCCGACATTTGGCATGCCAAAGAGCCCGTAACCGACATAGTGCATTGAAACTTCTTGGTCAGGTTTACTCGGAGGGACAAGAAGTTCCTCCAGCGCTTGCCGTCTAGCTCCAGCACCAGTTGTACTCTCTACTGCACCTCCTCCGCGACTGGCACTGCCAGCACCAGCTGCAGCTTGTCCACCACTTGCGCTCGATGGAGGACCCGCGCCCGCTTTTCTTGCAGCTGCATCTGGAGGAGCAGGAGGAGGCTCCGCAGCTGCACCCCCACCTCCAGTGGCAGTGGGACTTCCAGCCACCCCGGTCCGGCCTCCAGCTTCGCGTCGTACTGGTCCTGCTCGATCCGCAATCCTGCCCGAAGCATCAAAACTTACACCAATATCGGGTGCCCAGGCAAAATCAGTAGGATCTGGATTGAATTGTTCTTCCCCGTCAACATCGTAGAAAATCACCTCCTGCTGTTGCGGATTTTTCTTGGCTGTTGCGGCGGGGCCTTCTTCTCCTTCACGACTCGAGCCGCCAACTGCAGCAGATGATCTTCCGCCTCCGCCGCGGCGCGCTACAGGTAAAGCTAAAGCATGCGCTTGCGCTTTAGCTGCAACAGGGTCCTTTGTGCTCAGTGTGTTGTTTTCGTTTTCTCCTCGAGGTCTTCCAAAAAAGGAATGTCCTCCCACCACCTGGCTGCGCTGATGGTCCTCTAAAAGTGCGTCACTCAACGGTGGGAACTGTGACTGCGATCCTGGCCCCCGGGCGTTGCCAATTTTTGGTTTTCGACTGATGCCCGGCCGTTGCCAATTTTTGGTCAAGGTCACAGCTCCTGCCTCTGGTTGATTTTTATACCAGTACCGGTAATATATTTTCCCACCGACGAACGTTACGGCAGCCAGGGCTAGAAAAACGAGCAGGCAGTGGCCACAGCATTCTTTAATACCACTTGACGCCACTGGTTTGTTAAGCTTCTTCTTTTTTGTGCTCGGCGGGGTCGGTGTTATAGTCGTTTTTCTTCGCGTACGTGTTCCTTCTCGTGCCTGCTGGTTTTTAACAGTCGTAGGAGTGTGTGTGCGAGATTCCCTTTTTGCAGCAAGCGGTTGCCCTTGCGCGCCGGTCGTTTTCGAAGAACTTCTTTTACCGTGGGTGTGGCTGCTGCGTCTACCAGTGTTGACACAGCTTCGCGGTCCAGGTCGCAGATGGCGAGGGGCGTCTGCCTCATGATCTCGCGACGTCGAATTATTAGTACAACTTGCGGTGGCCTGCTTTGTTCTGTTATGTTTCTCCTCGCTCTTCTCATTCCACTCGCGGTGGTGTTGTACACCGCTCGTGCTGTTCATGTTCTTGCTGCTTCGCAGCTTCCTCCCGCTACTAGCGCGCTTCGCGTCTTCTCGGTTGGAAGCAAAGGGACGTGCAGATTGTTGGTGCTGGTGCGGGTAGTCGTGGTTTTCTTTATTCTTAGGTAGAAAATTTATGTCCACGAGCTCTTGTTTCTTGCTGCGGGAAGATGTTGCCGGCGAAAGCTTTCTGTGATCACTCCTTCGCACGGACGCCCGTTCTCCGCGGAAAGCATGCGATGTTGCGCTTTCTCCTACACCTTCTGACAAATTGGAAATGGATCCTCCGTTATGCCCACGGGAAGAGAGGGGACGACGCGACGGGTTGTGGCCGCTCGTGCCCGGACGAGACGAGGCTTGTTCTCGCACAGTGACAGCGCCCGGGCTGGAGTATTTTTGGGTATCAGAAATCATACTTCACTTCCGGACGAAGACAACTTGAATACGAACGTACACTTATACTACAAGTAGCCAGGAGGTTGCAGCGTCGGAATGCGTATTTCTATTTGCTTTTAGCAACGATGCCGTGCTGCAACCGTTGAAGATAATTTGCATTTGTTTGGCTTCGGCCATTATTTTTTTCCGGTCAAGACACTTTGGTCTGCCATGTGATTGGCTTTATTCGAGTTCGACCGGTCTCTGTACTCCTAGTTGTGTGTTCTACCAGCTTGTTTCGAGTTGAAGAACGAACTGCCCGAAAGAAAAGGAAGCAGAGTCGACTGCTGGCATGACAGGCATTCTGCCATTTTTATTAGGTAGGAACGCAAGACGTATCACATTCATGATAATCACAGTTTTATTGGCTTCATTGGAATAGAAAAAAAAAACAAAAAGCAAAAACACGACACAAAAAAAATATTCGAGCGCATGGCCAAAAACTATATGAAAACTACGGGAGATCGTTGTGCTGCGATCTGAAATAATAATAAATGAAAAGTTGCATAATAGCGAAATGGCCCCTGCCGGATCGTCCTGGCGCTCGCGAAAATCAAAGATCGTCGGAATACGAAATCAACAACAACATCCGACGTGCGCTCGAGAAAAAATTGGCACTGCTGACTCGAAAACAGTAGGCCGTGATTGCTTTAGCACCGCCTTTGTGCGAATGTGCGAATGCGAGAGAGTCAAGCTCAGGCTGAAGCTCAGCAACAAATAATTCTGATTCACAAATCACAATTCCATGCGCACATAACAACGCGGCAGATTCAGTTTGGGTGTCGGAATAATTGCTATCGCATCATCTTCGTTGATGGTGCTTGTCAGACGCCGACATTCCAAAGTAGTGTATACAGTGCGACCGCAAACTCGGAAATAAATACTTTCGTATCTATCATGAAGTGCTGAAACTATTTCAACAAGAATTATACACAGTGCTGAAAGAACAGGAAGTGTAGAACGACTGTGAGAGCAGCAGGGTGAAGTGATTTATTTCCTCCACTCGTTGAACCGATCCTGGTCATCATACAATGATATATCATTATTCGCGTTCTTCTTGTCTTCGGTGGGTAGGAAATTTTTACTGCCTTCCAATGCCGTACAAATGCCCTCATATTCACCACTGGTGATCCGCTCGCAGTTCAGCAGCAGATCTGCCAGACCACGGACGGACGTCACTTGCGCCAGCGCATCTGCGTCGAAGAACAGATGTTGCATTCCTTCATCGTCGAGTGGGTCTTATGAGAGTGCACAAGTCCTCTGCGTCCTACCTATTTGCGTTGCTCAATATTAAAAAGAGTCCGTCGTTGGTGGTGCCTTTGTTGTTGTTCTTTTTTTTCCAGAACCGCAAAAAACCAAGCGCATGCATCGTCACTGGCAGTAACTCATATACTTACATTTTCTTTTCTTTCTTACGCTGCTCGTGATTGTACGATAAAGAGAGGCTAGAAAAGCGCCCTCGTTCTCTTCGCCTTTTCTTTATGCCATGTTGCTTGACAAAGATTGACCCCTTGCGTGTAGATTATTTTTCACGAAGATAAAGCTGTATTTTTGCAGCTGTTGCTCCAGAGGGCAACGAGGATTTCTTGTGACTTGTCATAGGTCGTCCGACTTCGAAGTTCCGTCTCCTGCAGTGCTGTCATCTCCTTTCAGTTCCTGAAGACTCCTGTCTACATCGTGTTGCGACCAATGCGCTGTGAGAACGGAGGAAAGCGTTGCGGTTCCTAACGCGAAGGAGACCACCGCGATGTTCATCCACACAATGCTGAAAGCTCGCAACCACCGGTGGTCAATGTACAGCCCGCCGAAGCCGGTGGTGCTGCTCGTAACCACCGCCCAATTTACGGCCTCGTAAAGGTTCCACTCAAGCACGTAGCCGTAAATAGCACCGCCCACCAGCAGGGGCGCCACGCAAAGCACAAATGCCTTCATTAATTTGCGAACCCTTTCCGCCTCCGCGTGGTCGTCGAGCTCTTTCTGGAGCTCCGCACGCCCTGCCGCGTTCATCTTCATCCGGGCGAGCTGCATCGATTTCCGTGCAACAGTGACGCGGTCGATCCTGAATTTACGTTTTTGATGGCATAGTTGTTCGTATAGATACTGTTCTATTTTACACACGCTTGTTCAGCACAGAATTTAATACGACATTCAAGCGGAGCCGGAGCAGGTGGTCTCCAGGTACTTCTCTACTACCTGTTCCTGCTGCGCGGTGGTCTAGCGAAAGAAGCACGAAAAGCTCTTTAGCCTGTCTCAATAAAGAGAACAAGCATGATGTAAATGCCAGTTCGTCTTTTACGTGATGTAGTTTGTTCTGCAAAAAAGAAAAACGAAAGCCCTCGCTCGTCCACGTTTACGTACATTACCGTCTCTCGACTTGCGTGAAAGACGGATGTGGATACCAAAATGAGACTCGCATATTAGCGAAGGGAGGGGAAGTCCGGATACCTATCAAAAACAGACCCAACCAGGTCCAGCGCTGTAGTCAGGGAGAAAGTTCGCAAGGGTAACGGGTTCGAACCGCCAGTGCCAAACGACCCCTCCTCCCATCGCAAAGCGAGACCGATCACTGTTCGTTGCCCCGAGGACAGAACGGTCAAACAGCATCTATCCCGCATAAGTAGCGGGCAACAAAAAAAAGGAAAATATTCCGACATACGGAATCCAAAAACTCCCGCACAGCGGACCAAGCCAGATCATCCGACGAGCGAAGGGCAGAACTTTCAACTGGAGGAAGCCACATTCTCCGACAAGCGGAGGCCAAATAAAATTTCCGACAAACGGAGGCCAAATCATCCGCAAAGCGGGCCAAACGATCATCCGCAAAGCGGGCCAAACGATCATCCGCAAAGCGGGACTAATCATCCGCAAAGCGGGCCAAATCATCCGCAAAGCGGGCCAAACGAGACTAATCATCCGCAAAGCGGGCCAAATCATCCGCAAAGCGGGCCAAATCATCCGCAAAGCGGGCCAAATCATCCGCAAAGCGGGCCAAATCATCCGCAAAGCGGGCCAAATCATCCGCAAAGCGGGCCAAATCATCCGCAAAGCGGGCCAAATCATCCGCAAAGCGGGCCAAATCATCCGCAAAGCGGGCCAAATCATCCGCAAAGCGGGCCAAATCATCCGCAAAGCGGGCCAAATCATCCGCAAAGCGGGCCAAATCATCCGCAAAGCGGGCCAAATCATCCGCAAAGCGGGCCAAATCATCCGCAAAGCGGGCCAAATCATCCGCAAAGCGGGCCAAACGAGACTAATCATCCGCAAAGCGGGCCAAATCATCCGCAAAGCGGGCCAAACGAGACTAATCATCCGCAAAGCGGGCCAAATCATCCGCAAAGCGGGCCAAACGAGACTAATCATCCGCAAAGCGGGCCAAATCATCCGCAAAGCGGGCCAAACGAGACTAATCATCCGCAAAGCGGGCCAAATCATCCGCAAAGCGGGCCAAACGAGACTAATCATCCGCAAAGCGGGCCAAACGAGACTTACTACCAACGGCAGGGGCGTTACTCCCTGGGAACAAGAGAAGGCGAAACAAATACCACCCCGAAAGTCGGTGGGTTGTCCTGACTAATCTTCTCAAGTCCTGGCTACCGTAAACGAAAGGGCTGAGGGCGGACACGGGCATAAAATACCGCCCGACCATCCTCAGCCTAGGCTCACAGGCTCGCTAGCCTGCTGCTGCCCGGGCATACATTTTATGACACTAAAGTAGCAACAGAGAGATCAACATTGGATGATCGTCGTTGGATTCGTTCCTCTCCCGACACGGAGGCGAGCAAGCACCTAACAAGACGCGGTGGGCTAACCCCCTTACGAAAGAAGACGAGAAGGCTTCTGTCCAGCAAAGCGGCGCGAAGCCTCATGATCTCTCCGCTGTAAAATTCGCCTTCCTCACAAAACAGGGCGGGAGGGCGGGAAAACGACACAAAAACATCCGTGTCATCGCTGCGCTGATCTGACTTCGGTTTTGGTTACCGTGACACTAGTACTACTCGATGCATAAAATACAGACCGACCATCCTAGGCCTGGACTCACAGGCTCGCCAGACCTCTGCTGCCCGGTCATACATTTAATACCGTCTCTCGACTTGGTCCTGGACGACACGCGTGAAGACGGATGTGGATACCAAAATGAGACCCACGATTATGTAGACCGCGTTCAGAAGCCGGAGGTAGTCCGCTATTGGGATGACGTCTCCGTAGCCTATGGTGGTCAGCACCTGAGTGGCGTAGTACGCTCCCTGGATGATGCAGTCCACTAATGGGGGCTTTTCTGTCATGCTGGGAAAATATTTGTCGTCCCAGGCCGACGCGTCGGTGAACACGTAAGCCGCAATCCCGACCAGGTAATAGCCGGGCAGCAGGTACCAAAACAAAAAGTTCCAGTCCCGCACGCGGCGCTTCGTCTCTAGAACGGTGGCTTTCCATTTTCGCACTGCCGGCAAGACCCGGCGTTGGACCGCGGCGGCCTCAGGGGTTTGCTCGTCCGAAAAGGAGACGGAAAGACGCCGATCAAGTACCGAAGTAGGACGATGGTCGTCGGGTTTTCTCGCTGCTGCTGTGGCGTTCTGGCTCTCTCGGTCTTGCAAGGTGTCCCGCCCTCGGTCAAGCATGGGACGGGACAAAGCGTTCTTCTCCAGCTCCAGCAATGTCTTACCCTGTGCCATTTGGAGGTCTTTTTACGCTGTCTCGGACCGGAAGAGGCAAAAAAAAGTAGTCTACTTGAAGGGGGGGAAGCGCTACGCGTACGCGTTTGGGTAGACTGAGTACGTATCTTTTAGGCTGCGGTGCTAGCTCGTCATCGTTTTTCGTCGCACTCATATTTCACAAAAGATTCGCCAATAGATTCAGGAAGGGGGAGGTGGGATGCAACGGTGTGAAAAAACCTACGCGGCGACCACATGGCCTGCCCCAGAGAAGGCAGAGCCTGACGAGACAGAAGGACCGATGCAGATCATGGTGCTGGGCGAAATGAGGATCATGGGGTGGTGGTTAGCGGTAGTGCTGGCAGCCTGCTCGTTGAAACACATTCTATGCCTTACAAGGTTTGACAAAGCTGAAGTACCAGAACAGGGAAAAAAATCGTCCCTCTCGCGAATTCATGATCGTCTGTACCGATATACCTGACAAAAAGATACAGATTTGGATGCTCTTTTTGCTCCCTGCAACTCTCTTTTATTACACACAATCCAGTGACGTAGTTCAAGTTCTAGATGTTAAGCAGATATGTGCATCCGCGGCTCGACCTTCGTGACAAGAACAGAGCAGCACACCAAACTGCGCCTCGGCTATTGAGAGACATTCTCTTTCTCGTTTCCGTTTCGCAAAAAAACATGCATTTTACACGAGTCTATAGAGGAGGACCTGGCGGGTCTCGACATCGAATAAGAAAGTTGGAGAACAACCAGCTAACGTGTCTTTGTTTTTTACAAAAAATGATAAGAGAGCTACTAGAGCAGACGACTTATGAACCCACATATCAATGTCCATGTGAGTGAATGTGTAGTTAGCGTCGATGCCCCATCATGCGCCTTTTACAATTTTTGCAATACGAGGTCGATGAACTTGATGCACTCAGACATCAGCCATCCGTCGACCTGGTTCTTTATAGCCATGACTTCCGGGTCGTCGTCGTCCTTGAAGCCGAGCACGCGAAGCAGCTCTAGTGCCTCAGGAAACGGCGCTATCCTCTCCGAAAACGCTTTACCCGCTTTCTTCAGCTTCTGGTACTTTGTCTCTTCCGGCTGGTGGACAAAAGTGGTTTTTTTTGTTCGTTTCGAAAAAAAGGGCCGCCGCGTTACATCAACTCATGATGAGCCTCGGGAAAATTTGGTATCTTGTCGATCATGTAACCAGGCTGCACAAAGGCTAGAGTAGAGTCAACAAAAATAGAGATAAAATACGCTTTCATGGCAGTTCTTCGCGAAGGTGCGAATGGTTGTCAAGCAGGTTTTCAGCTCCGCGGCCTTCGTAGCGGCGTATTCCTTTCGCAATGACTGGATCCAGAACGTCAGTTGCTGTTTGGACGGCTTGGCTTTTATGTCATCCTTAGCCTGTTCCTCCTCGGGGGGCGGCTCCTTCCCGAACCGCTCGATGTAGTCCAAGCGCAGCTGCTCCTTCAACTGCGCCGCGTGGGCCTCGTGTGCTTCCTTCTCCCTCTTGCGCTGTTCGATATCCCGCTTCCGTTGCTCCTCTTTCAGCAGCGCATCGGTTTCAAGCATCATCTTCTGGCTCTCGATTCGCGCCTTCTCTTTGTCCTTGGCCTCCTGCTTTTCTCGAGCCTCGCGCTCGCGCTTCAACCGGGCCTGCAGCTCCAAGGCGGCCTTCTCCGCCTCCTCCTTGGACATCTTGGGTTTTGCTGGCGCAGCAGCGGCCGGTTGCTGGTTTATTTTCATAGCAGGCAAGAATGCAACAACCCTTTTAAGCAGGCAGAATAAGTTGACAGCGTCTGTGCCACCTATAGTTAGTACATGATGATGAACTACTACTACAATGCAACTTTGCTAAATTCGCTTTGCGTCGTTTGTGAAAGTAGTATTGATCGTACCTGCGTTATTGGCACGTCAATGTCTGCGTCATTCTCGTGATCAGTCATCCATTGTATTGCGTGCTCGAGAGAGGCAGACTCCGTGAAGTAACACGCTTTTTCTGATCGTATCTGGCCGAAACCCATTTCTCCCAAGGATGTTACGAGGCTCGGATTACCTGAGTTTTTGGCCTTAGTTAGCATTGAAGATGAACGACCGAATCTTTCGCAGGTCCATAGTATAGTGGAAGTAACAAGAGTAGTAGTAGTAGTAGTGATTCCCAGCAAGGGGAGAGAAGGGGGAGCCGAGACGTACTTATTATATGCACGGAGCGTATTTTTGAATCGACATCATCAGCTGTAGGATCATCAGCACCAGGATACACAGTATACACTTTTCCTTCAACCAGGCCCCGTTTTCCGAAGCGTCCGGGTCGGTTGGAAGGGCGGAGGCTCCGGCTACCGCTGCGCCTTCCCCGGTTTGTTCCGGAGCCGGGCCCTCTGCATCCACGTCCATCGGTACGGCCTCCGACCCTCCGCCCTGCATATCCGCTGGCAATCGAAGTGGCTTGTCGATGTCAGGATCGGTTTTGTTTGCCTCTATCCAGGCTTCTGCCTCCGAAACGCCTGATCGGTGATGGGTTGGGTTTCGCAATTATACCTTGCGGAACCGTCGAGCAAAAATGCATACGCTTTTTTTCTTGCACGACGAAGGAACGTCCTCGGAAGGCTTCTCGGTCGTGAGTGATCACTGGCACAACTCTTTACTACAACTTCAAAGATTTCGATGCGTACCTTTGTTTGATGTGAACCAGCAGGCCTTCTCGGAGCGGACGACGCCATGGCCCTTCACTTCCACGAGAGCGTCTACTATTTTCTTCTTCGCATAATTTATTACCTGATTCAAAGTAGTAGTAGTTGTGCGAAAAGCCAAGTAAAAATAAAGTCGTATTCTTAGGGTGGCAGACTGCAGCGAGGAGCTGAATCTACAGCTCGTGCAAAATTACATTAGTTGCGTTTACTTAAATGATAAAAACGGAGACGGAGACATAATCAAAAGCTTGCTGGTGCACGTGCAGCAGCTTCTAGGTCGTGAAAATAAATCAAGCGAGCACCTTGGCATCATTTAGAAACTTCTTCTCGTGTTCCAGCAGCACTTGCTGATACTCCGCCACAGTCAGCTCCAGAACTGCAAAGTCCGGCTGCCGCGTTCTCTGGCGGAAGCGCTGGACTTCGTCTTCGCTCCAGAAGCATCGCCGTTTCGTCTCAGCGTCGACGAGCAACTTTGAATCTGCGGACACCTCCGTGAAATCTTGGCTACCAATCTGCTCCGCATGTTGCTGCGCTTCCTGTGTGGAAAAAAGCAGCCTCCCAGTCTTGTTACACTTCACGATCATTCTTCTACCTCTGTTCTTCCGTCTGTGACGTGGTTGTTTATAACTTTATCTAGGATAATATCTTGAGCTACGGCTACGCAATGATTAGCAAAAAACTACATATCCAATATTTATCTTGGTGCACTTTCAGTTGGATTTGGGAAGCTAGGAATAGGATACTACTGATGTTGAAGTGTTTGGAATAAAGATAACTTTAGTATTAGTTGTAGAATAAAGGTAGAGACAAGCACAAACTGTGCTGAAACCTATCCTGGCGACAATCAAATATCTTCAAAGGGTGGGATGGAAGAAGTGAGAAGAAGCAAAGAAAGTGAGATAATAAAGCGAGCAGGGGCAGTATCAGGAGAATGCAACGCAGAACGGGACGAATTTTTCTATTTTGCTCGAAGCGTACGAGGACAAGCGATGAAGTTAGTTTGCCCTTGAGTGCACCGGAGAACTCGCGGAAGACATTCGTCGTTTGAAAAGGCGCTCAAGAGAAGGCATAATTTATCTTGCCTTGATCTAGGCGGGCTATTCATTGAGTTTCGCATAATTCTACATTTTGTTCTATTTGCATTTTCTATTTGCATTTTTGCGCACGGTGGATTTGAATTGATGAAAACAGGTGAAATAAAAAGCAGAAATGTTATTTTTCGTTTGCATTTTTGCGATATTTTTTTATCGCCCGCCTCGCTCTCCCGCATCTTCAGCCGGAAGATGCACCACAGAATCCTGTGGCAGTCTTGTAGTTCTTCATTCATTTTCGGTTTGTGCGGCCAGTTGCAGGCCGAAACCGAGGGCCTGGTCAAAGGCGGCCGACTGCACGGGCAGGTCCAGACTGACCACAAAAGGGTCCTGCAGGATGAGCACCGCAAAGCGTTCGTAGACGTACTTGAGGAACAGGTCGGCCTTTTTGCTGTCGAAAAAGCCCTCGGTGATCAGGATAAACCGCAGGTTTGTGCGCGTCTGCAGCATGAACACCTGAAAGCCCGCCGCCTCAACGCGCGTTATGCCGCGCGGATGCAGGGCGGAATTTTGACACGCACGCAGCGTGCAGGCCTTGCGATGGTCGGTATATTGCTCGCGCCGGTACGCGACCAGATTCTCCGTCAGAACCTTCTCCGGCACCTGCCAGTAGAGAAATTCGTCCTCGGTGGACGCGAGCTCGAAATCGGACGCTTCTGCGGTGGTCGCGAAAGACGACAATTGTTGTGGAGAAGTGACCGCTCGTCCTGTGGTCGAGGGTGCCGCAGAAGATGATGCGCTGGACACAAAAGTAGTAGAGCCAGACGAAAACGCCACATCTCCACCGGTCGCGTTTCCGTTGATGGGGTTTTTATTCGATGACGCAACACCAGGAGATGAAACAGATGAAGATGATACTTCTTCATTATGCCCCGATGCATTTACTATTCTGTGGTAGACGGCCGCGACTTGCGGAGCCTGCTCATATTGTGTGATGGGCAGAGTGGTTCCGTTCGCCATCTGTCGCACCAAGCGACCGGCCAGGGCGGGCAGTGCGGGCACTTCGCCAACCAGGCTGGTAGAGGCATGGTTTAGCAGGGCAGCGCTCGACGGAATCTCAAACCATTGGTCCCCGCCTTCGAGCAGCGACTCCTGGTCCTGCGCAGAAATGTCCACATTGTTGTCCTGGCCGCCTCTTGCCTTATTCCGAGCGGCGGTGCCCCAGGGTGCGTGGAAGACGTGCTTCGAAGTTGACCTTGTTCTTCTACTTGCGGCTGCAGGAACGGTGCTGGAGGCCACGGAAGATACCGCTGCATGTTGTTCGGCAACTGCGTTCTTGTTTCCAGGAAACCTGCTGGCGCCGACCATAAACTCGGGTCGTTGAACGGCAACGGGACTGCTGGACCGTCGAATGGCACCGCTTGAAGATGAAGAGCCACCGGTCCTGCTTGTAGTTTTCGATTCGAAAGGCAGGCAGCCGGTGTAGCTTGGAGCTGGAGTTATGCTGGAAGCCGCGGCCGCAGGAGCGCCAGAAAAATCCCCGGTAGTTCGGTCGGTCGCGCCAGCGACACTCGAGCCTTTTTCGTGCCGGTTTGTTCTCTCTGCCGCGCCGTTACCTACACCAGAGGGCGCTGGTGTAATACGAGCGGCTACCGCCGATATTCCATGCAGTGTGGACGCCAATCGAATGCGATCATTTGCGGTGAAACACGTCGGCTTGAAATCCCGATGGAAGATCAATGTTCCATTGCGATTCAGGATCCAGAGGCAGTGCGGCGTCGACGAAACCACTAACGACGACATCTGTCTATCGCCAGAGGCCACTGGTCGAAGATGGGCTGTAGAATTGAACCTAGAGCCAGAGCTAGAGCTAGATGAGGAGAGCGCTATTCTTGCATTCCGCTGTGGTTTAGGAAGATTTAGACTTGATCCGCGGAAGGAACATCTAAATTTCCATACCAATACCAACCATAATCATTCATTTTCAAGTTGTTGATCACCCAGGCCATCTATCAGCCTTAAACTTGAACGCGTCGAGCAACGGACGGCACAAAGAGGATCTCGATCATGTGTTAGTGAGCCAGCCCAGTCCAGCCTACGACAACGATAGTGCGAACAAACCAACTTCTGCCGGATGCGACCACTTTTCGTCGACTCGGCACTACGCTGTTCCTGCTGCACCTTCACGAACAGGACTAAAAATTAAAACCGGAGTACAACATCAACACATGATGACTTCCGAATCCAATAAACGTCGGCACAAGCAGGATAACACGGTCGAGAGAAGTTTGATACAGGAGTAGCACAATTGCACTAGAGTGGGTTCAATTTTACGCGCGACTCAATTACGATAAATTGAAGCACAATCAGATTTACACCTCCAGGTACAGGATTTTATACAGGCAGCTGTCTCGTCGAAGCTCTAGTGCTAGTGAAAGCACTAGCACTTCTAATTTGATTTTTTACATTTTTGATTTTCGAAAGCAGAAGCAAGACATCGTGTACTCAGCGAAATACGTTTTTTTATTTCAGATTACAGCCATTCGACTTTTCGTTTCCAATTTCAAGCAAATTTCGTAAATTTTACAATCATGAGGACAATCACGAGGGGATTACTCATTTCTTCAAGGCGAAAGCTGATAGACGACCGCGAGGGAGCAGCAGCCACGAAAGACCTCGTGGTAGATGTCGACCTTATCCTCAACAAGATCGCCAACCGATGAAGTAGAACCATAGAAGATGAAAACCTAGAGGCAAGCTGTGATTCCAGGGTCCTTCTCGAACAGGTTCTTGACCAGCAATTCGTACTCGATCTCCCCGGTCTTGTCTTTGTCCGCGACACTGTGCTATCAAATGTAAAAATGTCTGGGTCTGGAAGAATGCAAGACTTGTCATGCATATTTCTCATGACCCATGATGCCTGTAATGCTTGAACTAGCATCGCAGACTTTTAGAGGGCTTCCTGATGCACCTTCCGCATGAGAAATGGCCTGTCTGTGTAGCAAAAACTGTACCCATTTTGCTGGTCATGCAATACAATTTTTTTTAGAGTCCAAAAACAGCATGACAAGTTCCAATCTTCCAGACCCAGACATTTTTACATTTGATATGTGCGCATAGTCCATGAAATCGTCCACGGCGTCGAGGTATCAAATGTAAAAATGTCTGGGTCTGGAAGAGTGCATGTTTGTCATGCTTGTCTGGCATGACTCTCAAATCTGTCATGCACGTTACCCAAGAGCGCCATTTTTCTGTCATGCAGAAACGCAGTTTGTCATGCAGAATAGGCAACACCTAGAAGCTCAGAAACTTGTCATGCTGAGCCAGCACTTGTGGCCTCCTCATGATACGCCACCCAGCATCACAAGTTTCCAGACCCAGACATTTTTGCATGTGATACGAGGTCGAGAACGTCGCCGATGCATCCGAGAGCGTACCGCATGACCGCTGCCTTCAGAAACCCCGAACCGTCCCGGTCGAATTGGCGAAAAGACTCGATCAGGATCTCTGGTTTCGCGGGGTCCTTTGGAGTTTTTAGCATGCAGGTGGTGCCTAAGGTGAAGATGAGAAGATGTTGTTCACTAAGTGTTCCAAAACGACCTCATTGCGCTGCGACAGATCATACTACTGCAACACGCGGAACCGATTCTAAAACTTCGGGTGCGGCGCCTCTGGCTTTTTTTGGACAGAAGGAACCTCCAAGAACCTAAGCTTATCAGAAATCTTTTGAATTTCATATACAACAGAAACAAATCAACAACTCCAAACCTTAACCTATAGGTCGTACCTTCGCAAAGTCGCTGTCCATAATACGCAGAAATGTGTCGAGGTCAAACGTCTCGGCTTTTTTGAATTCGTTGATGACGATTTCAAGTTCTTTGTTCGTTGGGTTTTGGTTCACAACGCGAAACATGGCCCCGAAGTCCTGCCAGGAACACTTCCCCTCCTCCATCGTGTTCCCCTCTTCGTCCTCATACGTCGCATACATCTCGAAAACGCCCGTGTAGCTCTCCAGCTGCATCTCCGTGAGAGCATACTTCGGCATCTCATCGAGAAGGTCCTCCATCTTGTCGGACTGCTCGGCACCAAAGAACCAACTGGTGTTACAAGTCGGTGCAGTTACGCTCGCGAGGTAGTCACGAGGATTCGACTGGGAACAAAAATTCCCTTGATGTTGTTGTTTATTAGTTGAGAAAAATTACTTAAAATAGTATTAGTATAATGGCACTGCTTCTCATACATCAACATCGACCTTGCAAAACGATCCCCTTCAATCGAAAGCAGACGCTACGCTCCATGTGGTCTCTCACAACACTCCACGAACATCTGTGTAGAATCGAAAGAATCAATCCAATCATCGACAACTCCCTCTTCATTTCGACGAGCGGCTCCTGCGAACGAAACAAAAGTAATGAGACAAGGGAACAGAAACGAAAGGCTGCCTTGGTGGAAGAAATCATCCGTGTATTAATGTTAGTCTTAGTTGCGACGAGCAGTGGCAGTCGCTGCTCCAGGGAGAAGTCGTGACGGACCGCGTATTAGCTGATTATCCATGCGTTCGCTAGATTTCATAGGATTCATCCAAACACTTAGTATAATTGGGCTCTTCGGTCTTTTGCTTTTCGTTGTCGCTCGTTCGAACGTCTTCATTAAATTTTTTCATGTACATGTCAATATACCGCTCGATCCTCCGCGACCAATAAATGGGTCCTTCAAGGGCTGCTTACAGGAATGCAATACTTAAATTGCATAGGTGGATCACAATTCCTGGTCTGGTAGCTCGCCAGCCATATGCCGAGCCTCGTAGCGATCTTGCGCCAGCTGTTCTCGGGCAGCCATAGCCTCCATGTCGCCTTCGCTCATCTTGGCAAAGTCATCCCGGCTATACATCTGCATCCCCATGCCTGTTTGGTTTTGGTGGACAAACAACAACTGGACGCTTTTCTTTTCTTTTTAGTTGTGGGATACAAGAAAAAAGCATGCAAATCTGTGCCGCAGGGGCTGTCTGAGGCCAGTCTGAGCCCCAAAGATAAAGAGGCTGTCTGAGGCCAGTAGGTACCAAGAAGAGAAAAAATTCCTTCAGCCACTGCAACTATCGATAAAAACCTGTTTTTGCTTTCATGTCCTTCATCATATCTTGCATTTCTGCCACCTTCGGATCGACCTCCACGAACTCTTCGTCATCTTCGCGAAAAGCCTTCCTTTTGTTTTTGTTGGCATCGCACTTCTTCTTGCACACTTTTTTCTTCGCTTTTTTGAGAAGCACCGCAGTACTGACGTCCTCAGCAACGTCCTCCTCCTTGCGCAGGGCGTGCAGCAACGTATCGGAGTCATCCAATGCGGAGAGTCGGCACGCACGGGCTGCCAAGGAGCACTCCTGCCGGCACTCCCCTGGTTTCTGCATATTCTGCACCTCGATTTCCCCCGAAGGAGCGTTGATGAGATCCAGTTGCGACAACCACCTGTGAAGCGTGCGTTCGGTTTTATTATTTTCGCAAAAAAATATAGTAGGACATGAACCGTTGCTCTTGCTGGGAGGAAAGTAGTTGCTCCCGCTCACGGCTGGGCTGTAAAGACTGAATCCTCGACGTAGCTGTCATATAAAAATTAGAAAATATTTTCGAGGCGCGGGCGCCCGTCCACCGCGGAGGACGTGGAATGTGGACAGGGGGGGCTCAGCACGAAAAATGAGTAATGGACTAAGAACGAAGGGATACTTTCAACGTATTTTCATGTTGAACCTACCTTCCGTGCTTTTCTTTTGGCTCGCACAATTCCTCGATTTGTTCTTCTTTTACTTCTTCGTTGAATGCTGTTTCAACAGCTAATTCGCACACTTGGCACAGCACCGCCTGGACGTCCTTTTTGCGAATCTTGGCCGTGACAAATACCGAGGGCGTCTGGGGCGTGTGAATCGAAGATATCAGTTCCTGTACAGTGCTCCACCAGACCCCAAGGAGCACTCCCGACGCTTTTGCTCTCCTGCTCCCCTCAAAAAATGTAGGCCTCATTTTTCACGTCCCCACAACTTCAACTTCGAGAAATGAGATAGTACACCGCTTTTGAAAAGGCAAGACCTGGGCACTATTGACGAAAAGATGCACAAACTTCAACTTTTATGTGAGAAACTCAAAAAAGCATTTATATGGTTATGAAAAAACAAAAAGATCATCATGACAGAAAACTTTCGTTTTTCCTTGCGAAACTGAGTACAAGGTGAAGAAAGAATCAAGACTCGAAAAAATAACGCTTGCATCCATCGATACAGTTACAGGCGACAGGCTCAAATTATCTTCCAATAACTCACCTGGATCGGCGGCAACAGTTGTAGAAGCAACTCGAAGATGACACATAAATAAAACCATGATCAGTAGGTGCATATTACGAACTCAACAAGTTAACGACTCACTTCATTTTTATTTAATCGAAGGAGCAGAAAAACAAAAATAAAGAAACAGAAATAGTCAATCTGGATCGTGTGTTTTTGATCAGACTGCCTTGTTGTTGTGAGGACTGTGTAGGAAAAGGAGCTACGGCACAACATGATCGTGCGTGCGAGCCTGATTGCTTGTTGACAGTTGGCATTTGTCGCCGTTCGCATCGGGGGTCGTAGTCTTTTGTGTCGCTCAATGAAAAGGATTAGACCTTCAGTTTGTTCGTTCTGTTTTTCTTTTTGTCGGAGGAAAAACTAAAGCAGCACTCTCGCCGTTGTTGCGCAGTCATCTGAGGCAATGAATAACATCGCACTAACGTCCGCTGACGAGAGTCTTCGAATATGATGAAGACCGCCTGAGGGGGGAAACTTTCGGTTACGCACACACCCATGCTTGACGTGGAGGCCGACGAGACCGGACGACAAATGCACGCTATCATTCCACTACCTTTCATAATTCTCATTGTACATATATTGCTTTCCAGCCAAACCCGCAGAGGAACGAATCCCTTCGTACCTCGAGTGGCTCTTTTGTTTTTATGGAGGGCCGACGAAAAAAGAATATCTTCCAAATCCTTATTTTTATTTTATTCTCGTGTGTGACCTAGCAAAATAAAACGCAATGAAGCTACGTGCGGTTGCGTTGGGAATTCGGCCCATTGTTTAGGTATTATATGAATATGTCACATGTAGTTCATGTCAATCAAATCTGAATACAGAAGTACAAAGTTGCGTTCTCGACTCAACGACGAGGGAGATGCAGCGTTGGCCGAGAACCCGTCGCCGGGCTGGTCAGCTGAAAAAATTATAGTGAAACCTGTTAGAGTCGGCTATCGCGATTGTCCTGCTGAGGAGCAGGGAAAAGAAAAAGTGTGTGCGTTTTCATCCTCAAACGTTTGTAGTATACATATACAGCATGTAGCACTGAGGTCCTTCCTTCTGTACAATTTTGCACGAATTTAGGAGAAAGATATCAGTTTGAATAATACGCATGCTATCTCAAAGTTTCGCTTCGGAATCCTTCGGACGTGGGGGGACTTTTCTTGGCTAGCAGTGCGGACCACAGAAGCACGAAATACAAGACGAAGCACAGGTGTATCTATGAGATACGCAATCGGGTAAGCGTGGTAAGCGTCAGTAAATGGTTCGCGTGACTACAGAATCAGGATACTGATATCATGACTCGTGTTATTTTTCATGTGGCCAAGATACAACTCTTTCTCTTCTACATGACCGCGACCACGCAACGAAAAAACCCTTGGTGCACAACTCGTGATGCGTTGTTTTGCTCTCGGGAATGATCTTGATCGTTGGGTCATGACAACCGGCGAGGATGGTGACCTGCTTGTGTGGGATTACTTGCGTTGGGCGGCGGTCTCCAAACCCGTGACCACTCTTCCAAAAAGTCATCAAGACGGCTGAAATGTCGCTCCCGGGTGCGATACAGAAGACCCGCCAACTGCGATCGTCCGGCCTCGCGTATGGCTCGTGCTTCTGCCGCCGAAACAGCATTCACTCCATCCGGAGGATCGTCTGCTCGACGGTCCGTCAGACTACCCAAAGTAGCACACAATATCATGCCAAAACCACAGTCAAGTCAAATCTCGCAAAAATAGTACCGTATGTAGAAGCATATATCATCTGCTCCGAGAGAGCAAATTGTATGAATCAATCATACATAAGATAACCTTTGTTCCTGCTGTTCATGTGGCAGGCGAACAGCCCCTGCAGCTAAGTACCACAGGTTTTGGCGGGAACGAAGCGCTTCTTGACGAATTTGACTTGCCTCACGATTGGCACGCGGGGATACAGGACCGAAGAGACGGCGACTGCGGCGATCTTCTCTCCGAAGGGTCGATGTTGACCGAAGACTCTGTTATATGGTTGGAAGTTGTTCCACCCGCCGGCGGTCGCGAGCCGCCGGGCTCATAAAACTCGGCGCAAGGGCTTTTGGATCTCAGTGCTAGTGGATTTCGAATTCCGAGCCTTCGACTCGTCCCCAATGGCCTCGTCACGGCCTGCCCCTCGGCGTACGGAGTTATTGCACTCTTCATGCTGTGGCCCGGACAGCCCAGCACAAAGAACACCAGTAAAACAAGGTCAACTTCTTGTTCGTCCTCTACTTCCTGACTTGTTGATGTCTGCTCTTCTACTCGGTCAACACTTGTAGAACTTTGGAGGATTCTTGTTCTTGCAGGTGGAGCCCCAGCCAACGGTTCCTGGTCCTCGTCTCCCTCTCCAGCGGTCCTGCTTCTCGCTACGGCGGCAGGCACTTGTTCTGCTTCTGCACCAGAGCGCTGCTTCCCAAGGGGAGCGTTGCAGTTTTGACTCGCGAAGGTCGCCGCATCTCCAGGCGTAGTTGCCCGCACGCCCGGCAGATTGGAAAGGGCTTCGACGCCCTATAGCACAAAAGAAACCTGTTCAACTGTCAAGATTCCGAGGTTGGCATATACATATCATTATACCAAACAAAAACGAATGCGTTTGAGTTTGGCGCAAATAAACCAAAGAAATCTGCGACGCGCGTCGGCTCTCGTCCGGAAAAGAAACGAGGAAAGTAGTATACCAGAGAAGTTTTGGCCAGCAAGACGAGAACTAGGTTTTATATGCTGAATGCCCACTCGTCTTACTTTATCATATTGAATTTCGTCTTGAAAGCAGAATAGGTCTTTATTCATGATTGGATACAACCTCAATCACGTGCAGTGCCGTTCTCTGAGCCGCCTTCGCAGACTCGCATGCCGGAAAGCCTTGCCACACGGAACCGTCTCTGTAGAATTTTTCGAGCAGTTCCTTAACCGTTCCGTCATTGTAGGTGCTCGAACCAGGAGACGAGGAGCGGCCGAAGAGATCCACTATGCTTGGCAGCAGGGCTGGTTCCACTAGCCGAAATGATCCGTTAGAAGTACCTTCTTCGTGCTGCTCTCGTCCGCGGCTCGTTCTTGACTCAGTGCCCGTAGTTCTACTTCTTCTCGACGTAGTCCTGGCTGTGTGTGGGTGGTCCTCATGGAGATTATCTTGCACCTCAGCCAAGCACTGCACTCTCGCACTCGATAGAGCCCGCCGCAGCACGGCGTGTTCGGTAATCTTCTTGTATATGTGTTTCACCAGTGTGTGCACCCGAGAAGGCTGTTTAAGTATCACCCCTCGGAAGAAACAAGAAAACTCGCGTTCGTTTTGCCCGGAACCACCAATCAGCAATGGCGAATCTATTTCTCGCCCTCTTTCCGCAGCCGCTGCCAGCGTGTGCCGCCGCAAGGCTGGTAGGGACAGGTCCGGGGACCGCAGGATCAGGGTCCACAGCATCGCACTCCAAACTGAATGCTGCGGATTCATTGCGGGAATCAACTCTGCGTCAACGAACCACGCCGGGGCATGGTTGCCCTCGAGGAGGGTGGAATTGTCTTCAGTCGTGTCCAGGAGATTGGCTGCCACTGGTATGGCAGTCCTACTTCCAGGCGGACCGGGAGAAATAAGTGGAGGCGCTCCATGGGTGAGGAGCCCTGGGCTTTGTACTAGAAACGCGCTCCTTGTTTGCAGCTCCCGGCTCTCAGCACTTCGACGTTCTGCTTGTTCTCCTGTAGTACCTGTAACTGCAAGTGAAACCGAGCCAGTGCCAGCACCTGCCAAAGCCAATCTACCACTTTCATCAACCGCCCCGGTAATCGTCGGTGCGTCAGGAAGCGCAAAAGATACTCGCCGAGCAGTCGGCTCAGGACTTGTTCTGGCATTACTAGTGGAGAGCACGACCACACCTCCGTCTCCCGGTCCCGGTCGCGAAGTATTTTCGGCTACTGGGGCAGCTGGCGTAGTTGTAGCGTTATGGGCTTCGTGTTCGTCTGGTTGCGTTAGCCTGTAGTTTTGCGTGGTTAGGCCAAATGCAGTTGCAGTTGCTAATGTACTAGTCCTCGCAGCTGGATCTTCATCGTCGGGATCATCAGGACCGGCGTACACCTGAGGCAGGGCCTCGCGGCTTGCAGTCGTTGTGGTCGTAGCGCCGGCAACCGATGGCAACCAACTCGCGATTGCGCCGTCCGTCGCAGCACTTGGTGGCCCCTCCTGCGTCGGCGGTTGCACAGGTCCGGATGCTGGGGGAGGAGCGTGAAGTAGTGGCGGCTGGACCGGCACCATGCCCGAGTGCGGGGACGGCGCTGTGGACAAGCCTGGCAAGTGTGGAGATTGTGCGGGTTCCGACGACAAGCTTGTCAAATTATGGCCGCTGCTGGAGCTCGAACCACCGAGCGGCCCACCCAGATGAACATGAGGCAGAGTGCTGCTGACAGCAGCAGCGGACGCGGACAATCCTGTGGCACCCTGAGACGTGGAATTAGCAGGATTTGGAGGTGGTGGAGTAGCTGCGGAACGTGGTTGTGGTCCGGCGGCTGGTGCAGCTGTGGGCTGTGAAGAGAGCCGCCTTGGCACGACAACACCGGTTGTCATCGATAAACAAGGTGTCGCGGTTACTAGTTTGTGGTACGATGCGAAGAAATCGATTAGAGACATCGACGGCCGCTGCTTGGTCGCTTGGTAAAACTGGCGTCGCAAAGCTCCTCTCTGCTGGTCAGCGGCTCTGTCAAGAACAGTAACATGCTTCTGCACCCTTGGCACGGAGGACTCATCGCGAGGACGAGAGGCATCATCAGGAGCAGAGGCGGCGGAAGCCACGATGGTTGGACGAACCAAGGTTCCTGGACAGCCCATGTAGTAGAAGAAAAGTTTGACGAGCCTCTGCGGGTCCAGGCTATGGATGAACCTTACCGTGTCACGCATGTGCAAATAATTCGCTGCAAGAACAAGCTCTAGGGATGACAGATCTGTGTCTTCTTGATCAGGCTGCGAGGATGCTGAGGCGGAAGTAGAACTAATGATGCGAGGCTGACTGGACGTGGACACAGTAGAGGTCAATGTAGTTCGCAGTAAATGTTTCACAAAGCGCGCTCGGGAAGCGCGAGTGTAGTCAAGGGAAGATGACATTAGAAGAACCCCTGGAGGTGGTCTACTACTGCGATCAACAGAGGACCAAAACTCTGCTTCCTTCGGCAGAAACGCGGGCTCGAGAAGAGTCACTTGATTCCTGATCTTGTCCGCCGTCGAGGAGTTGGATGTAGAAGTACGACCGCCGCCGGCGCTGGTGTTGCTCCTTGGTGCCTGCAACTCTTCTAGGCAACGGCTTCGGCTAACAAAAAACTGCTCCTCGTCGGTGTCGGGTGTAGTCGAGGAGGTACGAGATGATGGTCCCGGCTCTGCGATGTTGGAGGACGGCGCGGGCGCAGGATCATGTCCTTGCGGGGACGTGACGATAATCCCTTCGTAGATCTTGAGAGCGAGCCTGCGAACCTGCTCGGGAAAGGGAAAAACTTTTTTGCGCAGCCACGTCTCGGTGAGGACATAGGCCCGGTCGTTGCTTTGGGACGAGTCTGTGACAGGTCCTCCTGGGCTTACGACGTCAGGCACATGTTCTGAAGTATCTCCAGCAGAAGACTGTCGAGAGAGCGATAAAACATCTTGTTCCTGCTGTGTGCTGCTGTAGCTGTATGTTGTGGAGCTTCTGCCACTGCCGTCCGCAGCGCCGTGAATGCTCGCAGTATTTCTGTTGAGGTTGACCTCTTCTCGCTTTTTGTTGCTCGAAAATCCGATTTCGATTTGATGCTTCCCTTGACCGAAGTAAGCACCTAGTTGCTTTTCCGCGGCTTCCGGGGCTTCCTGGAACAGAACTTCGAACATCCATCGCCATTGCGACTCCTGAGGATTCACAGCCTCAATTACTCGTACGTTTCTGTTTAAGAAGACAGCCCCAGCTGCTGCTGCCGCCCCGCCGCCTTGTGATCCTCCGCTTCGCCGTATCGGCACGGTCGGGGGTGTTTCACCCGGAGGCACAATTTCGACGTCCGCGGCAAGCCAAGGCTTGAGGACTGCGACTGTAATGGAAACCCCAAGTGACAGGACCGCTAGGCAACCGCTGACGACGAGAAACCACGTCGAACGCCACCATGGAACTGGATCCGGTTTTTTAAGTGTATTTGCAATAGCATCCACATCTTTAGCCGCTGCGTCGTCGACGAAGTTACAGCACTTCTCTGCCACCGAAGCTGGCACCTCTTTTTTATTCTCTAGGAGCGCCTTCTTTTCCTCTTCCTCTGGCTGAAAATCCACGCTACGTGCTGTACATGGTGGATGACGATCCATGTGGTCTTCAAATCGGCTTTCGTTTTTATCCTGAAAACGGTACCAATAGGAGCGTGCGTCTGTGCTGGGAAGTTGGACCGGAAAGAGCGCTTCGGACCACCTGATCGGCGAGAGTTTTCTTTTCGGCTTGCGCTTGATGGTAGAAGTAGCATCCACTTGTTCTTCTTCTTGCCTACGTTGTAGATTCTGCTGATGTTTTTGCATCAATTCGAATTTCGGATCAGCAACGGAGCTACCGTTACGATCTTCAGCTTCAGCATCCTCGTCCTGTCCTCCGGTAGCACTACTGCGGTCTACTCCGTGGGACAGTGAACGAGGCCGCGCGAAGTCGGGTAGTGCCGCACAGGCGATGATCGTATCAAAAACACTGTGAACGAGTCGTTCGTAATCACCATGGTTCGCCTGGAGTGTGTGTGATTGTGACGGAGGAACCTCCACGTCCACCTGTTGCGCCGGCGGCTGCGCACGGTCGTCTCTTTTTCTCGGCTGCGCCTGCATGATGCGACAAGACATAGTTTTCCACACCGCCAATTGCGTTGTAGGTCCCTTGCATTTTCTTGCTCCAGAACGTCTATGTCTACTTTGGTTATTACCCGCCAAGACTGCAATCTGCGTTTCGGGCCGTCGTAGCGCTAGCGGTCTCCACCAAACAAAATAGCCCTTATCATTATAATATACACGCTCCATATTTCCAACCTCGTGATTGTCTCGCGCAAAGAGATGACTTTTGGGAAGTGTTGGTTGCAGGTGTGGATTTTCGTCGGTACCCCAGCGCGCCCTCGTCGGCGGTACCTCAGGAGGGCAAGAATTTTTGGGATGTGAATGTGAAGTTGTGCAGATCCTCCTTAAAAAGTTGCTAGCACCTCCCCAGAAGATGCATCTTTTGCTGGTCTTCTGCTGCTTGTTTTGTATGTTATACTTTTTGTAGGCCAGCAATGGCTCCTTGGGTGCTGGGATCTTGTTTCGCACACGGATCCGCCTCTGCGGGGGCCGCCAAAGCAAGAAACCGTCGCCGGGAGAAGTCCGTGGGCCTTTGCGCAAGACATCGATCGATTGCTGCTCAGAAGAGGAACTACAGCACAACAGCAGGCGGTGGCGCGCACACTCGACACAGTGTAGCTATGGCCTTCTCACACGCTACTACTTACATGGAAATCTCGTACACAGTTCAGTAAGTAAGTACATATGTGGTTGATGTGTGAGGCAGGCCTAGCAAAAGCACATTACACGTCTGTCACGAATCAGAATCTCCATACGACGCAGCGCATCGCACACTCGTCATCATGCGACCCAGCTTGATCAACATGCCAATTCCAATTGTGACAATAAATCAACAAAAAATAAAATCACGCAACAGATGTCCGTGTGAAGGTCGTTTGAGAATGCCGCGAGCATAGCGTCCAATCGAAAGTTATTGCGTGTTCCTCAGCAATGCTGAGCGACGAAACCGACTTCTTCTCTTTCATCCGCTTGATCGCCTCCGCCGACAAGCTCTCCTCTCTGAGAGGTACCAGGCAGCGCCGGTTTTTAGCAGCCGGATAGGGATCTGGCAGACACAGCGAGATCTTTCTGGCAGATGTGGTTTTTTTCCGCCCAGTTGACGTGGACGCGGAGTCGTGCTGTTGTAGCTTCTTATCCGAGGACTCCGTTTCCGTTGCTGCGGCGACGTCCGGAGAAGATGCAGGTGGCAAGTTCTTTCCATTGACACGTGTGGCGGCACCAGAAAGGCCAGGATCCTGGGGACGACTGACCTGCATGCTAGACATGCTATCATGCGATGGCACCGAAAGTGAGCTTGCGTGGTGGGCCGGCACAAGATGGTCCCACTTCTGCAGGATCTCTGCACAAGACCAACGGGCGCTCGGCTCAAAGCGCAGGCAGTTCTGCAGGAGTGCCACTACATGCAACATCCCTGCCTGGATGGGCTGGCAAATTTCGGGCATGAGCGGGAGAAAGAGGCCACGGCGCGCGGTCTCATCTTCCGCGCCTGGGCGGGGTTCTTCCTTAGGTTGAATGGCGTTAGTGTTTTCACACCCCGGTGCGGAGCAGCGACACTATCGAGGTGAAAAGCATCCCCACAACCCCAGAGCCAACGAATGTCTGTCATACACAGAAGTTTCGAGTACCTCGCAAACCCAATACTACGTCCCCCTACACTCCGACTCCATTGTATATGCACTCGGAGGGGGCAGCTGCCCATGATACTGTTGTCTTGGAGAATCACACAAGAACAAAGCTGAAATCTACAGGCCGTTGTACAGCGCCCCTTGATTCTATGGCGCCGTATACTTATACTATCTCAACGCTCAACTATCTCAAAATTTTTCAACCCAATATTAACTAGGTAGTTCAAGTAGCTAGTTTATTCAGCTAACACATGATGCTTATGTAGCTAGATTTTTGGCGTGACAGATTAAGTTAGATCAATGAAAATCGTCCGGTCCTGCTCCGCCGATTTTTTCTAGTCCTGTTGCTTCCCTCATGACCCCTTCCGGACACCCCTTCCGCGAACCCCTGAAAGGTGCTCAAAAAGCTGCATTTTTTCAGTGCGCCCTAGCATCGGCGGAAGCTTATTATTGCCCCCCTCAGCTACCCCCCTCGCCGACCCCCCTTCCGGGGGGGCCCCTCACAGACGGGGTCGAAAGGGGTTCCGAAAATTGACAGGGCGGCGGAGCGGGACCAGACGATTTCTTCTAATATAGCTCATTTGTCATGCAAAACAGTTATCTACTTGCATATAATTCACTATCTACATAAACTACCTACTTTAGATAGCTATATAGAGTTGAGGTAAAAAAATTTGAGATAGTTCGACGTTGAGATAGTATACGGCGCCATAGATTCATCTACAGAAAATAAAGCGTTTCTGTTTTTTTCCTCTCAGTTTCATGCAAGACGAGCAGATGCTGATGCTACTTGGAAACTTGATATACACAAATCCTTTTTGATTCCAGGGCTGCGGGGAACTTTTCAATTTCGTAGAAACCTGGGCTTGTTGAGATGAGGGTACTGCACGACGAGACGGTTGTCACTGATTGCAAAGAGTGCCCGGGAAGCCCCCCACTTTTGCAGCTCCTCATAGGGGCTCACAAAGTACAGCATGGTGTACAAAATGACGCCCAACGCGTACACATCCACGGTCGGGCGCATTCTGGAAGATGCATCACATGATCCTGCCGCGCCCAGGTAGAAGGCCTCCGGGGGCATGTAGCGCAGCGTGCCCGCCCAGTCAGTGCGCCGGCTGTTGTTGTGCTTCCCACCGCCCTCTGTGCAGTGCCCGGCCAGGCCGAAGTCGGCGAGCTTAATGCGTCCACCCACCACGAGAAAGTTCTGCGGCTTTAGATCGCAGTGCACGATCTTCAAAGCATGAACGAAACGCGTCGCGCGGAGCATCTCCTGGAAATAGATCGCGATTTCGTGCAGGGAAAAACCCCGAGAGGGGCGCGCACGCACACGGTCCATCACTTCTTGAAAATCGCAGTCGGCCAACTCCATCACAATGTGAGCGGTGCGAGGACCATTTATCGTGGGTGGTCCCTTCATCGGAAAACCGCCGGCAGATTTCACAAGCTTTTGATTCTCGCTGGAGGTGAACTGGCGAATGATGTAGCGGTTCGCTTCCTCGCCCCAAATCCAGCGCTGCTTCTCTCCGTCGGGCAAGACGATCTCGCCCACCTGGTCCTCGCTGCGTCCCGTCTGCTGGAACTTGCACTTCTGCAGGCTCTGGAGCAGCTCGGCCTCCTTCCGGAACCTGCACAGTTCGCCATCCGAGGTCGCATGAATGATCTTGATCGCGTACCTTTTGCCCCCCTTTCCCTGCAGCTCGTACACCTGGCCCGATCCCCCTTCGCCCAAACGAATACCAAGCCGGGCAAATTTTCTTGCGGCCGCCTGCTCCTGTTCGAAACAACTCCGGCCCAGGGGAAACAACTCCTGCGCATGCACTGCATGGGCAATAACATTTGCCAACTCTGCGGAATCCAAAACCGGGTCAGACGTCGTATCGTCGTCGGGATCTACCGCGAGGTCCTCTCCGGACTTCCCACGAGATTTCTGCATTTGCTTCTCGCTCCTACTCCTAATGGCTCACAGAGGAAAAGGTGAAGCGGCGAGTTGGATGCTGGCATCATACTGCCTGGTTTCTACGGCCTTCGACACTTGTTTCATAGAAAGCTGCGGCTTGTAGGTTTTCCGCTCTGACAAGCACCACCAATACTGGCCAGCATCCGTCGCTCGTACTACCCATCCTTGCAAGACCGGTGTGAAATCGAGGCGCAAATCGGGCGTCATAACATCCCCGTTTGGCAATGGCGAACGAGAAAACTCAAATAACTATAACAATAGTGTCATATTAAAAGAAAATTATCTTTCTTTGTTGGTATCTTACTCCCATGTCAATATCCAACAGGAGCAAGAACAAAAATTGTTGAAAAGAAGGCAATCGGTAAAGAAAAGTTTTCGCTCATCAGCTTTTCGTTTCGCTGTTGGAAGCACGAAATTACAGGCTAAAAAAGAGATGAAATGAATCTACTTACTTCCAGTCGACATGGAGATTCATTGTCACGCTATCACTCAACAAAACCAAGGATAGGGATCGATAAGGAAGCGAAATTCTTGGAGCAATAATTTGTCCACTACAGGAAAGAACTAGAACTTGTGATGGATATTGTGCAATGCTGAGCACGATGATGATGAGGATGATTCGTGTAGGTATATGCGATTGATGTATTTCCACCCGAAGCAACACTGCTGGATCGTTTCCACCTCTTACTTCAAGATATCAGTACCTTCATAGTGAATAGGCAGTTGCACCACGGTTTCGGTGGCAATACAAGGAAGAAGCACAACATGATAAATCGTCGAAAAATTTGGTACGATTAGGATACGAACTCGAACAATTTTCCGGTAGGACTGCTGCATCGACAGGGATCAATGCTGTCGGGAGGGATCGACAAAGTATATTTTTCGATCCATGTCTTTGTCTATCCACGTAGTGGTGGTCATGTTCATTTCCTGGTTGCTCTTTTGCTCCTCCACGGTCTGGGACGGAAATTCGATAATATGGAACGTCCAGGGCTCGTTCCTCCACTGTAAATAGGTCCTCTAGTACTGAAGCGTGTCGCTTTCTTGTTCATCTTCTATACCAGTTGTACCTGCTACTGTAGTACGTGTGACCAGGCGACTGCGTCGCGTAACTCGTTTACGATTCTCCTTCCCTTAAATGGCTTACGTGGTCCACCAAGCCGACACGACGCGTGGTCATCATTTCCTTATAGAACTACATCATGTAGTCGAGGTCGACGTCGAGCTGAAGTGGAGAGTACTAGAACCTCCCCAGGACCTACGGGGTCGCTACGACCAGCGCACGGCCGGGGGGCAGCAGGGTAACCGCGATTTTTTTGTGCACGAAGATTGGCTGCGTAAGGAGCTTCTCCGTGAGAGCCTCAGCTGAGATCTGCTGCTGCTCCTGCGTTTCTCCCTTGAACTTGACCGTGATGGTCATGTACTCCATGCCCGCTTCATAGTCGTCCGGCTTGCCCTTGGTGTCTTCCACCAGCGGGCAAGTGTTCACGTCCCAGGCCGGATCCTCAAACTGCCCCGCATACTCGGTGAACAGCTCCTCCAACTTGCACTGTTGCTTGAGCGCCTCGGGCGCGTCCAAGTTTGTGCTCGCGAGGTCTTGCCCAACCAGGTGAATCTTCAGACGCCACGTGCTGGTATTGAGGCCGCCCGCCTCCTCGCCCCCGCCGGTCTTCGTGTGGTCACCATCCGCACCCTCTTGGTGGGTGTGCTGCGCTATGTAGCTCTGGTTCATCTCCCCCGTCAAACTGTACTGCTGCTGCACGCTCGCAGCTTCGAACGCCTGTTTATTGTTGAAGATCATCAACGTCGGTCTCGGTTGTATTAGGTATTGTTCTATATATACACATAGACATAGGGCGGTGGGCTTCACCTTTTGCTTCTGTAGGTGAGAGTGACATATCAATCACGATTGAGATCTTCCTGAGAGGGTAGGTCCACTTCATCTTTCTCGACTGCTTTGCATTTCATGCCGACAGCAGAGGCAGGTGAAAGCGAAGGTACTTTCATCCTTTTCACATAATTGCTCATATTCCGCGAGCAAGCATTATACGCACGTGCAAGTGGATCCAACACCTATAAAACTTGAAATTCTCTCTTAAATGCTCTTTACCGTTTCCGAATAGGATTTTTTGGTTGTGGCTGATAGTGTCGTGAGCTTGGCCTTCAATCCCTGCAAGAGCGCGTTGAACTTCAGCTTGTGCTCTTCGCTGATATTGGGTTCATTAAGACGGCGCAGCACTTGCTGCATTCGCTCGGTAACGTGCTGAATCAGAAGCTTCTTCTTGTCCTCGAGGCTCTGTTTTTGTTGCCGCTTTGCTGCCAGCTCCTCACTCTCCAAGGTTTGGTTCTCGAATCGCACATCCTCTGCGGCAGATTGACTGGTGCGGGCGTCACCTGAGGTTCCATGATGTATTGTTTTCACTGTATAAAAATTTCTGCTTTTGCTTTTCTCGTATCGTCGCGCAGCAGGAGCCAAATAGAAAATTCCGTACTCAACCACATGCTGTTTTTCGTAGGAAATCTGTCTTTCTCTACTCTGCGTGTAATTCTACATACATTTGATCTTGATGTCGTAAAAGATATATTTATAAATCCTTTCACTGACGTCGACGTGAGAAAACCTACCATAGAACAGTCAACCATGAGATCAGAAACTTACACTTACCTCTCGGGTTGTTCGAAGCCGAACTGCCGCCGCCTTTCGTGCCCTCTTGCGTTTCGTTGTCACCCCTGTTATGAGGCCCTCCGCTACGTCCCCCCTTTCCTCGTCCTTTGTTTTTGTGATTTTGGTAGTAGAAACGCACGTGGATGTTGCGGTCGCCGGCGAAGTGCCCCTGTCGCTGGATGAGCGACAAACACTCCTGCGCTCGAGAGACGGAATGAAAACTGATGGCCATTGCGGTTTGGTTGCTCATCGCCCGCATGTGCTTCACGTCTGCGAACCCCATCTCCGCCAACACCGGAGAGATCGCGACCAGCGATCTCAGGTGCGCCGGCAAGTTTTGCAACATTATCGTATCTGTTCAGAAAGATTTTTGCACGAGTAACATCAATCAAGTTTTAGCACAACGGCAGCAGGATCATGGTCCTGCCGGCGGCACAAAGCCGATGAAGAGGATACTTTGATGTGCGCAAGCAATTTCTGTAGAAGAAGTTGAAGTCAATGTCCTTATCTTCTAAGTACTACATCGATGTCTTCTTGAATATACACGAGAAGAGCGATGAGCGACGACCTATACGACGCAAAAACGACAAACAGTAGCACGGCTGTATATAATCATCATATGTACAACTACCGGTATCGTTGTTGCCCCCTTGTCCTGCTGCTCCGTTCTGCGGAACGTTTCCACCTCCATGTTGCACACCGTAGTTTGTCGGGGCCCCGCGGGTGTTCGTGGCGTCCGCTAGGTACTGCGGGACGGTGCCCGGGGGGTGCCACACTCCATGCACCTGCACCCCCGGCTGGACCACGTGCTTCCTTTCGACGAGCACGACTTTCGGGTTCGATTTGCCCCCGCGCCCACTGTTGCTGCCGTCGCGGTCCCGCGAGGTCCTTTTGTAGGTCCGGTCTATGGTCCACGCGTCGCGCACGCCTTGGCGCCGCTGCTCGTGTTCCTCTTCCTCTTCGGACTTAGTGTCCTGGTCCTGGTCGGGATCGTGTCGCTTGGCCTTGGTCGCTTTCATCGTGCTGCAGTTTTTACATTTTTCAGTGTCTATCACGACCATCAGCGGAAGGTAGAACCGTGACGCATGATGTTTTCTGGCAGGATACGAACTCGACAAGACAAAGGAAAATTCGTGTTTACATTTCCGGATTGGAAGACTGGTCAAAAGCGAAATCTATAAATGTTTGTACTCTTGTTTTTCCTCTTCTTGTGAGCTTTCTGTATACTTCCTTCTGCGCTTCTTTTCTTTCTTCTTTGCTTGCTCGTCAGCAGCCGGGGCCGCGGGTGCAGCCTCATCCTCATCCTCCGCTTTGTTGTAATTTGGAAGGAACGTGGCTGCGTCAGCGGGTTTGACCTGAGCAGGAAAGATCGGTTAGCCAAGGTCGGTGCGCTTCGATTAGCAACTTGCAATTATTTTTGACATACTTGTATAAGACGATGAGAAGTAGTTCAAGTTCGTCTAGCAACCGCTACCTATTAATGACGATAGTGAGTTAGATGAATTTCTTGTTAGACATAGCACTCCTGGTTAGTGCCTAAAAATAGGATTCCTGGCGGCCAATCATGACATCAAAGAAAGACTTATCGAATACAAAGGAGAGCGTTAGTGGCAGCTTTTCCGTGAGCCTCTTCATAATTTCCTCCTTTCCCAGGAACGGATTGCCGACATCGACGCCGTTGACACGGTACAGAATGTCGTCCATCTGGATACTATCGAATGCAAATATGTCTGCGTGGTCTGGAAGAGTGCCGATGATTGCAGTTGTTATTTTTGCATGGCTCAAAGGCCTGGCATGCAGCGAATAGCATCACAGGTTCTGCGACAGCTTTACAAAAACGTTCACGTCTAAGAGTCAGGCAAAAAATCAACAGCATGATATTCCCTTTTGTGTCTGTGACAGGCAGATCGGCGATAGAATCGTAAGCTTTCACTTTTCCAGACCCAGGCATATTTCCAGTGCATAGATGCCATTGCGATCGAGATCTGAACTTTTCTCAATGTGCAGCACGTGTGGTGGACAGGATTTTGAGACGAAACCTTTTTTTGGAAATTTTGCTGATCTAGTACGTGAAGTTGTAGGCAGAGAATGCTTCTTATTGTGTTTGTGCAAGGGAAGAACGACAACAAGCCACCCCGATGGATGATGGCGAGCGATAATGGTAAAGGCCGCAGTTCTTGCAAGATTGACCACAAAGCTCCAGTTTGTGTGTTGGCGTCATAAAAACTGATTCTTTCTAGTAGAAGAGCCATGCATTAAATACTGCACATTTAACACTTACCGAGGGCGCATCCGGCGATCACGACGATTTCTGCATCAACTTCCTCGAAGACCGGCTTCTCGTGGATCGTGACATCGAGTGGGACCGGTGCCATTTTGCACGGAAGGCAACGGTATTTGTAGCGCGTAGAAGACCAAAAAGAAATAAAATCAACACCTTGCGGCTGCGATCGTGCGGTTCTTCTTTATGGTACGTGATAAAAAGTGACGTACAATAAGAATTGTTGCTTTCTTTTCACTTCTTTGCTTATTACTGCTACTACCTGTGGTCTGCGGGAGAGAAGCCGACTTGTTATATTGTTTTCCTTCTAACTCAAATTGTCGCTATTCTTATCGCGGAAAATATTCACTATCGCCAATATTGTTGTCCTGTGTCAGTCTGTCTTCTGCGTCGCCTTCGCGAGCCATCAACAGAATTGATGTTGTTTAAAAAGTTCGTAGTACATCAGATGAATGGAACTTATTTCTACAAATTTGATGTAGGTTTCTGTCAGGAGGCGCTTGATTGGATCCTGCTTGATACGGTAGGCATTGTATTCGTACATGATTTTTCATTTTCGATGGTAAATGGAGGCAGCACGACGTGATCGCGTAGATTTGACAACAAGAGGGCACCGTCCAAAAAACTTTTTTACCCCGTTTCGCATTTAGATCAAGATGTCATTTCGGATCTCCAAGTATATGCTCGTTCAGACTGGGATTGCGGCAGCAGGTACTACTTTACTTTCATGAGCTCTACCATCATAACTGCGCAGACATGTATCATTCTTTTCATTTCTCATCTATCATCGATCTGGAATCCCGAAAAAATGGGATTTAGCAAGAGGTGCACACATACGTTGATTGCAGTTTTTTTCGTCCTGGAGTTTTGGCGAACAGGGCAACAAGCAAGTCTTCTTCGTTTGTTCGTGCGTACCCATTTGTTGCGGATGCTTGAGTTTGAGTACTTAAGCAGGACGAGCTATGGCTACATGGGACAATACGAATGCATCTCGGTTCAAACTTACTGATGCGCGAATCGAGAAAACAAGAAGCTGCTCAGGAGGTTCATGTGTCAGGTGATATAGCTCTTGTGATCACGTCGACATCGTCCATCGTGAAGAAGTAGACTCAGGCTCCTATACAATATTTTTGCTTCTGTCTGTCTCCATTGATGCCGCGATCGGACTGCAATGTGGAGAGGGAGAACCCTAGCCAAGACGATGCTGATCTTTCTCGGCCCGTTTTCCTCGTTGCGTCCGGTAAACATCCTGCGCGAAGTAGCGGCCACGATTCCTATGCATGTCGATTCTCGCCGAAGCGACGGGGTCGACTTGTTGTTGTTGGGAGGATGAATGGCAGCAATAGCGAGGTCGCTAGCGCGGTCAGGCCGACATGAGGTGTCAACGTGTGGCGCGACTGGGCAGCGGAGAGCTCTTGGAACGGATAGATGTCGTAGAAGAGCTCGCAGATGTGAATATCATTGTTGCCGGATCGTGTCTCAAGCCTGTTGTAAAGCGATTCATGCTTTTGGTTTTGATATTCTTTTTCATTCTCATATAGTTAGAAGAATGATGCTCACGTCGTCTCGTCCCGGTGGCGTTTCCAAGCCTAGATCTGTATCGGCATATTAAAGTGGTCCCGACAACGTCGACATCGATTTAAGTACTATATTTTTTTCGACTGATCGGTAGACTTAAAATCAAAAAATCAACAGGAACAGAGTGGTACACGTGGTATTGCCCCGTGCAGTATTCCCATTGGGTCTCTGGGTCGACACCGGCCATGCCGAATTCTTTTATGCTGCAGCAGCGCTGTCTCGCGGGCGCGCCGTAGTACCACAGACAGGCACAGAAGTCGCAAGCGGCGTATTCCTTCGTAAACTCGCGGGGGAAGTTGCTCCCGGCATTGCAACCCGCATCAACTGCGGCGGTAGCATTGGTCGCCTTTGGCAGCGTGACCCGAAATCCGTTGAAAGGTCCCTTCCGCTGCCGGGGACTATCAGGATTGTAATTGCAGCAGAGGTGCCTCGAAACTTCATAATTGGGCGGGGGCTGCAGGTACCCAACCATGGTCGCCGTTTCCGTGTTGGTGGTTGCGTTACCGCTTGTTAGTTTCCTTTCCTCGAGCTCTACGTCGCTTTGAAGCCTACCAATCCCATCTTCAAAAGTTTTTGCTCCTCCTGCTCCAGCATTTTTGCTGGGTTTCGGTTCTGTACTATCATTAGATTCATCATTTCGTGCTTGACCCAGTCTTCGTCTGCCTGTTTCCACTGCAGTCGTGGTCTGAAGGGAAGACGCCTGTGATTGTCCTCTTGCAAGTTGTCCCCAAATCTGTGCCTGCTGCTCCTCCTGCTGCACATGATCTTTCTTGTTCATGTCCGGTGAGGCTGCAGCCATCGCCGCGAGCGTGGCGTCAGCGCACCCGAATAAATGTTGGCGCGTTTGCTCGATGAAAATGACCAACCAAACCCAGACTAGAACATTATATCGGTTTCTCCACGACGCTGGACCAATTTGATGTTTCGGACAAGCCAAGAAAGGGCTTTGCTTCATCTTCCGGCATTGTCGTCCGCAGAAGCTCATTGTCTCGACATCTTCCGAGCAGACCGGAAGCGAGAGGGTGCTCCGCAACGTCATGAAGATCAGCCTGAGGGTGCTGCTCATGATCTTTGCAACAACGAGGCAGGTCGATCTTAAAGAACCGACGGAGGAAACACAACCAGAAACGCCATTTCTGCATTTAATAGGCCTGATCGGGGCTGGCGCTGGGCCAGTGGCTGCGCGAAAGCACAATCGCAATGCACCGATGAAGTTTACATGATGAAGTTGAAAATTGAAAACGAAAAGGGTGCCAGTCCTGTTTTCTCTACGCATTCGTCTTGATAAGTGTAAGGCATTGCGAAGGAAAAATCCAAGTCATTTTATCTAAAGGTAGTACTTTTGTTGACGAAGGGAAGGTACTACTTCGTATTCCAATGAGCGTCTTTTATGGAAGAACGCTGATACTATGGCCAACAGGGACGAGGAGCTGCTGGAGCACACGGAATGTTGATTTTTTCACGGAATAGCGTGCAATGGAAATTGCAAATATCTTAACTCCAACACGTATGCTATGCCCATTTTAAGAACAAAACAGGTGCCATATTCAACAGACATTTCCTCGCTTTCGTCTGTAGAACAGACTACACTCTTGCGGTGCCTTTCGCTCTTTGCCTCTCCTTTACACGTGCATCGTACGCAGTGGAATGAACACGTCAAAGCCACGGCGTAGCCAGGGTTCTGCGGATCCTCCTCCTGAGTCAGTTTCACGCTGCTCGTGTTATTATCGTCATATGCATCTACGTTGAAGTTGATGCTTGCTAATATGATTATCGTTTTCCATCCTACACACCCTACGGATCGACGTTGCACCTATTGCGTTAGCGCTCGCACTGTCCGGTCAACGTGAAAAAATCAGCGCCGAAATCCGAAGACATTCTTCGGAGCAGCACTTCACTAATTTCTTTGTAAACCGTGTTCGACCGATCTATCGAACACGGAACTTGTGACATGATTCGAGACAGAATTTATTTCGTGTCGTTGTCGGGGATTATAAACTTTAACAAACATGAGTGTACTACATCTTGAGCGCTACCCGTACAACTGCAATTAGCGTTTTTCGATCTAATTACGCTAGTTGTAGTTTCTACTTCCAGTCTTCCGGTTGTAGTGGTTGTGAATGTGATGGAAGGGTGGACGCTTCAACATGCAAGTAAGTTGTAGAACTACAACAGCGTCGAGTTGTTAAGGTTATCTTATAGCTATTGATTGCTCGCCGCCTTTTTCAACGCCTGCTGGATTACAGGTTTTGCAGGCCAACGATATTTTTGGTACATGTCGCGCTGCGGTACCTCAACCAAGGAAACCGGGGTCCGATCGCTCAGGATTTGTTTGATACTCACTTTGTGTTGTCCCCAGCACTTCGTTTGCACCTCTGCGTCGGGGTAGACCTCGCGGACAAATCGTGCAGCGGCATCGCGTTCCTGCTCGCCCCCATCTCAGCTGCGTCCATATTCCACAAGGAAAGCCTTTCGTTCATCGCGCGACATCCTGAAAATCAATATCAAGATTCAAATCGTAATCGCGGCTCCTTCCCCGAAAAATAAACCTGTCGCTTTGCAGTAGTGTTATGGTTGTAATCTTTGACTTTGTGGGCACGAAGATGGACAAATAGAAGATTGCTGTGTGCATCTGCTACAGTTTATTACTTGTACACGACCGAGACATGTGTACGTATCTATCTCGTGGCTCTCTGACCTTGTCAGAGGGTAAAGAGGGGTGCTTATCTCTTGCACTGAACCGGAGTTGCTGGAGCTTTCGCTTTGATCTTCAACATGAAAAATAAAAGCAAAACCATCGGAGGCGACCACCGAAGAACAAAAAGGAAAAACAATAATATTCAATTTCTAGTCAAGACACGGCGGAGTTTCGTGATACATGGTGGATCATAGGAGAGGGAAACACAATACACAAAATACAAAATTGGTGGAAGTGCTGACGATTTTGCTGATTCGAATGCGATCACAGATGAACCTGCAGTGCCAGGCCATTGGAAGGTCTCTCTCGTCTACGATTTCCGGAAATACGCTTAATCAAAAATCGCGAAGAACACGACAACTTTGAAAGGTAGTGTAGATATTTTCCGTGTGTACGCTCATATGAAAGAATGTTCTCGTTAAAACGCGTCTGTGCCACCTGTACTGGATCGTCTCTCACTGTCGCTATTAATTATTCTATCGCTGGGGTTTTTCACCACCTGCCAATGACTGTGTTGGTTTTTCGTGGATAGCCCTTCGTAGCAAACAATTAATTTTATTGATGATTTTACTTCAGTGCCGGAATCTTCTTCATCTTCATCTTCGTATTTGTAAGCACCATAATATTTCCGATTTGATATTTTTGAGAGTGGTGCACAACTGATCACAGGCGCTATGTAAGAGGAAGCACATCTTTTGGTTTTGTTAGGAAAAGCCCACTGGAAAAGAAGAAATAACGGAATTCGTTGACAATGTCCAGTAATAGAGAGAGTAGCTCTTCACGTGGAAGACAATCTCTTTGACTGCTGCTTATTCTTCTACTCCCCTCGTTGATAATCTTTGGTGGACCTGCACCGATCGGAGAGCTCGCGCCATTCTCTACTTTCTCGCTTTCCACCCCTCTCCTGTGGTTCATCATCACTAGTTTTGGAAGCGCTAAAGGACAGTGGGCCTTCGAGCCTTCAGTCACAGGAAAACCGGCTGAATTCGCGCGCACCGCTTCCTGCAGATGAATTTTCTGTCCTGAGATTTTGAAAAACTGCGTGATCACCCTGGAAACACACTCCAGCATTAGTGCGGCGCGTTCTAGATGACGGGCTGTGATGTCAAACGCGCCTGCAGAGGGCAGAGGAAATCTTCCGATTTCTCTGGTCGCAGAGGTCGTTGTCCCGGTGCCAGTCTCTCCATTTGCCCCTGTCGACGTCTCGTCCTGTATGAAAGTGCTCAACGCACCCTTCTCCTCATTGGTAAAAATGCATGAATAGCATCAGCAGTGTCGGCAAAAAGAAGAATGCATGTAGGACAATAATTTCACACAGGATTCTTGTAGTATCGTTTGCGCTGCCGCTGGCGGAATCCGTCATGCAAATAGTGCCGAGAGGAAGAGGGAGAGGGAAAGGCTGGACTTGGCTTTTTACATGACAAATCAGGTCGGGGAGCTGCAGGGGGAGTTGTGCAGTCTCATAGGCTGTAGGACAGACGACAGATGAACTGAACCCGATTGCGAGAGGCGAGAATGCAGATCGCGGTAGAACAAGAAACCTAGACAGGCGACAGCTTCTGGAGAAAACAGCGCTTCTTGGTGACGGACGGTTGATGTGTGGAGGTGCGGCAGAAGATCACTAAGGTTCAGAAATAGGTCTGTGACGCATGTCAATAACCTTGAGTCATGGGCTGCCGAGCGAAGCGCACAGCACACCGTCTGTCGTAGCCAATCTTTATTGCCGTCCGCCGAATGCTGTGCTGTTCCTGTTGCTGTATGACTGGTGAGTCTGTGCAGGTTCTGCGATTGTTGTTGACCCCAATTATCCTCGCGAAAGAACAGCATTCGATATGCAAGATGCTCTTCCGAAGCAAATAGTGAAAGTGCTGCGACGACCTCCGCGAGAAGCATCGCTCTTGTTGATGTCTTTTTTTGTTTGCAGGTGGCTCCTCCAATCCGTCTTGCTTCCCCAGCATCTTCGCCGCGCCTCCTCGTTGGAACCATTCCTGCTGCATGCTTTGGCTTTGCATCGGTGGTGCTGCTTGTGTGGCGGACCGAGGCGGAGTTACTATTTACGACACGACCTTCGTAAAAATCACTAACGCAGTCCGAGTCTTCCAGCCTGTCGAAACAATTATCTTCGAGCACGAGAGGGATGGCGTCTCGCATGTGGTCGACCCACCCCTGCGCGTGAAGTGCCTCAAGAAGTTCTCTTCTGTGTTGCGACTCCAAAATCGCGCATCGCTTCGTTTCTGGTGCATGATCAACCGCGTAATCATCACATGAACAAGCTCCTATGATGGCGTCCCGAGACCCGGGTTCGTGATATGCGTTTTGCGGAGCTACAAGTCTCACACCGAGGGCGTCCACAAGTGCGTTGAAAAGGCGAAGACCTTGGTATTGCACTGCTTCGCACCGGCAGTATTCCTGCATCCATCGCAGTGTGTGCTGTAAAACCTGTAGCGCGTCTGTCGACTCACTCGCTCCGCCAAGGATAGAGGTCTGCTGCTGGTGGTGGCGTCCATCAGCGTGTTCTGCATCTTCTATGTAGCTTCCACGCATTCCGCTCTTCAAACGTTTTCCGCAAGACATGCGAATAAAACGGGTCGGCTATTACAGTGAAAAACGCTCCCACCCCGAAAGTTGCAATAATTTGTGATGGGAAGAAGTTTCAAAATGAAAACTTTTTGTCTTGCATGAAAGCACTATGAATCTTTGTGATGCAGAGTCTAGTCGTATACAGCATCGCTTGCATGACAAGCGCCGCTCTTGCTGGGATCTTTTGCAATGCAAATTTTTGCTATTCACGATTGAAAATCTGTGATGCTGATACACGCAAGAGGGCGAGTGTTTCAATTGGAAATAAGGTTTGCAACGCAAATGCTCCCAAGTTCTGGGGTGGGGGCATCTTTCATTGTACTTAATATCGGCCACGACCAGCCAGAGCAGCGGGGAGGGCCACGAAGATCATTCTTGAGTTGCGCGATCATAGTTTGTCCATCCCGACGGCTAGTGTTGAGCGCGTTTGCATTCCTTCTACTGGCGCGTTGCACAAGATCAACATCAGTTCCTTGACGTGCAGCTTGGTTTATCCTTGCATTACTTGATGCGTCGACGACCACGCCCTTGTCTTCCAGCTTGCGTTCGTGCGCCACAAGGTTTTGACTGCACTTCGAAGAACTGTCGCGACTGCGGAGGAGAAGCGGCGGCATGGACGAATTCTCGTCATGATCGTCATCTTCATTCTGCTGAGGGGAAAGCCCATCTTTTTGCACAGCAGGACCAGGCGCCAGTGGTGCGGCTGTGTCCGACTGATGCCTAGTTGACGAGGAGCCGTCTTCGACGTTGCCAAAACTCTTCAGATGGCCCGCAGCCTGATGAAGTGACTTTTTAGTGTGGTCGCCACCTGCATCAGCAGCAGGCTGGCGCTCCTCATCTACGGAATGACTCAGCAGCGAGCCACTGTTTCGGGCTGTGGAAGTTGTACATGGAAAGCATGTTCTTGCCGCAGCGACGACCTCCGTAGTAACACTGGAGAGGGCCAGAGCTACCAGCCACGCAGCAAGGTCGCCTTGACGTCGTATGGAGGGAAAGTGGGTGACCTTAGAGAGTGTTGCTAGTCCCAACGAAAATTGCAGTTTTCCACGCGCATCTGCATGCAAGAAGCACAGCGAAAGGCCAGCATCCAATTCCAGGCGGCTCCGAGTGACTTTTCTTGGTAGGCGCTTTGCATCACAAAAAAAGCTGCATAGCCAAATCCGCATTTTAATTTTTACAAACTAGGAGCTGCAGGAGTCCGGAGAATGACCTGCTTTCCCGCCATACGTCGGACCTCCTCGATGAGAAGGAACAGGAAAGGGATCCCGTACACCCGTGTGCATTGGAAATATGTCTGGCTCTGGAAAAGCTCAGGATATCTTGCATGCTTCGCTGCATTGCTGCAGAATTTTCAAATTGTATTGCACCGATCAGTCGATCAACAATGTAGTAGGCGCCATTTGTTTCGTTCTGCGTAACGCGCGGCACGTCGCATCCGCAGGCAACAGGTACAGGTTCGAGAAACTTGTCATGCCTGAGTGCACCTGGGAGTGTCTTTTATTTCCATTCGCGATTCGGCATCACAAGTTTTCAGACCGAGACATATTATTTGCAGCCAGCGGATAACCCGGGGAACGATGCACAGCAGGTTATCAAGAACATTAGGGTTGTCACCAAGAGCGGTCAGCGTGGTGGCGCAGGCGTAGCCGTCTTTGCCGCAGGCCAGTAGTAATTGCTCCCAAACGTCGCTAATAGTTCGAGTTCTAGTGATAGCTGTCACGGAATTGTTAGACAATCGGACTGTATCTGTAGCTTCGTCTGAATCTTCCTTCAGTGCGGCCTTTTCGTCTGGCGGATCGGCCGCAACGTTAACAGCTGCGGGGGGTGCACCGTCGTTCGCACTTGCTGCTTCCGGAACGATACGCGAAAATTTTTTCCCGACCGGCGGCGGCGCTCCTGGTCTGCAAGTGTCTCCAGGAAAAGCTTCCATATCCTTGTTCGGTGCCGCAATTCACCACTACAACTGTTGACACTATCACCAGCAATTTATTTCCACACAATACAATTTCCGAAAACATCAAAAACATTACATCTAGTACCAGAAGTCCTCTCTTGAATTTGCCTTTTCCATCTCTCCATTCCGGAAAGCTACTTCAAAAGCTACTCTTGTGTTTTCGAATTGCCGGGGGATCATCATCTGGCATCTTCAGACTGCATCAGGGATCAACATTGAAGTTAGGAAGCAAACTCTGCTCCCGCTACTGCTTTGCCTCGAACAAGCACTGAGCACCCTACAAAAAACCACATCGAACATCAAGGCGCCGCCAGTACAGATCTGGTGGAGCAAGCTGCACCTGGTGGAGAAGTTTCACTGTCTTCACCAACCTCTGACAATCTTTCCAATTCAAATTCAATTCATTGATATTGAGCAACATCAACATATTTGCTTACTGATATTTATGCTGACCTAGGACGTAGGACGTCAGCTGCGTGGGCCACCGTTCACATCAGGCTATAGTGGTGCTTTAACATGGTCAGCACATTCTGTATTTGATACTTGCAATACGTTAAATCAGCGGCAACCATAGAAGACAACGTTAATTAGCAAAAAATTAAGTTGGGAGTTTTTTGGTGTTCGTGTTCCTCTTCGGTTTTAGAACTATCGGATGTGAAACGCTTTCGTGATTGTTGTAAAACAGAAATGACGAAAAATGATAGACAAGAAGGATGCAGGGACATTACAGCTCATCGCGCGTCTTCTTTTCATCTTGACTGGCTGTCGCCGCATCGCCTCTAAACTCCTTCGGAACCTGCAAGCCGTTACTGCGCAGGGAGCTATAATTTTTCGCATCCTTTTTCTGCCATTTCTTCACGAGCCAGACGGGGTACTTCATGCCTTTCGCATAGTTCGCTTCTCGTTCGCGGTCGAGCTGTTCCTCGTTTTTCCGAATGAAGCGCTCGATGGTGAACTGTCGATGCGCGATTACGTGCATTTGCGCCAGGCTCTCGAACAGTTCGCGCTGGGTGATTCTGTCGTCGTCGTTGGTGTCGTGGTAACCGAAGAGCTCTTCCACCTGCACCTTGAGCCACTGCCTCTTGTAGTCCCCGTAAGTGCGCTCCTTGTTGCGCGCGCGTGCCTTGTGGGAGAAGCGGTCGCTGCTCTGCTGCGGCAACGTCGACTTCGAGCGCCCGCGGGGGTCAGCCGGAGCACGCTCCATATCAAATGTAAAAATTTCTGGGTCTGGAAAAGGCGAAGTTTGTCATGCACATTTTCCATGATCCATGATGTCTGTGATCTATGCCATAGCATCACAGATTTTTTGAGCGCCTATCGCTGCGGATCCTGCATGGCAAATGCCCTCTCCGCGTAGCCAAATTTGACTCCTTTTGCTGCTCATGCAATACAGATTTTTTTAGCATCCAAATGCATCATCACAAGTTTGGCCCTTCTAGACCCAGACATTTTTGTATTTGATACTCCAGCAAGTTGGCCAACAAGGCGGACTTCGAGATGTGGTCCACGCTTGGGTTATCAAATGCAAAAATGTCTGGGTCTGGAAGATTGCCAGATTTGTCATGCACATTTTGCATGACTCCTGATGTCTGTGATGCATGCCCTAGCATCACAGATTTTGCGAGGGCTTCCTGATGCCTATACCGCATGACAAATGCTCTTTCCGTGTAGCAAAACTTGGACTCTCTTTGCTGCTCATGCAATACAGATTTTTTTAGAATCCAAAATCAGCATGACAAGTTGCATTCTTCCAGACCCAGACATATTTGCATTTGATATGGGTCTTTCTTTGTCAGCTTCTTCCACAATTGCCGTGTTTGGTCCGTTATCCTGTGCAAAGATATCGCACTCGTACTAATTGCAATCTTGCATGACAAACCGACCTTTTTACCTGACTTAGCATTACAAATTCCATTTTTCTTTCTGATAAAATTTGCAATGCAATTTACACTAGTACGATACTTTTGCAATGCATATCCATCCACGTCGAGGTGCTCAACTTCGGAAACTGCCGTCGATCGTAGAACTCCCGGTATCCAAAGAAGACAAACGGAAAAAGTCGATACGGCATGCAGCTCCCTTGCTCTTCATAGCTGTTGTTTTTCTTATTTTCCACTCGATCAAGAACTCCACATGGTGCAAAATGGTGTATTCATTCTTTCTTGAGGACCATCGAGATGATCAACACTCTACGTACTTAGAAGAAACAAGAACTTCTACGAATTATAAATCTGAACGGATGGCATTTCATGGAACAAGAAAAAAATTTGATACTGCAGAGCAGAATTCGTATGGCGGGGCAGAAAGGCGCGGTAGTATTTGGTCGGGTACGGCAGAAGCCACTGAAAGGTGCTCGCAATCGCGCAGTCCGTGGCATGGTTTTCGTGCGTCGTGTCGGGTGCAACGAAGGTCTCATGCATGTAGTTCGGGTATGCATTGCAAATATGTGGTCTGGTCCAATAGAAGGATACCAGCTTGTGATGCGGATTCTCGAATAGGCACAAATCCGTGCTGCTGCTGCATAGTTTGCAAACTTCTATGTTTGATTTTTGTCTCTAGGACAAGGCATTTCTGCATTAGACATGGTGGAGAAGAAGCCTCTGCAGAATTTGTTTTACTCTACGAGCGCTCCACCCCCTTCGGTTCTCGGAAAAGCAAAAACTGCGAAAGAAATGGGTTCCAGACCCCGACACATTTGCATTCGATATCGGGGAAAACACAAACATCTCTCCGGGCTCCAGGGTGAAATCGAATTCCGGGCGCCACATGTGGTGTTGCGGAACCTCGATCCCTGTTGTGGGGTCAAAGATTTTCTCGCCGCGCTTTTCTGTGTTCTTCTTCTTCTTGCTCAGATCCGGTGGCAGGTTAGGCACCGCGTAGGGCCCCTCGTCAAAAGACTCAAACCGGTGCTCCAGGCCGTCTCCCTCGGGGTACATCATGGCGCGCCACTGTTTGCGGCCGCGCAGCTGCCAGGAGATGGTGGTCTCGCAATAAGAATCAGCGTGCGCGTACACGGCAGTGCCCCCAGGTGGGGAGAACCAGTACTCAAAGGCATCCCGAGAAAAAGTCCCGCAGCCCCATTCTGCAAAGGTATATCGACATTTGTGATCGACGTGATTTGTCGTGTACACCAATCACCTCTGTAGTGCAAAATAATGGCGCAACAGCAGTTGTTTGCCGCATCATATACAAGTAATTTAGCTTCAGGCGATTATATCTTCCGATACTGCTGGGCCTATAAAAGGGCAGGCGTCCGCCATGATAAAAAACGGATAACAGCACACTGAAACGCCCCTAGTTGTGGCCAGGCTTTTTGGTATCTGCACGCATAATTCCCGTAGTACTTCTGCAAGAGAGGACCACAGCTGACTTATTGTGTACTACAACCTAAGTAGCCCAGCTGCATCAGAAATTTCGTTTTTTCTACAATGGGGACGAGGAACGGGGAATCATAATCATTTTTTTTTTGATAAAAGGAATCCATGGTCTCGAAGAGGTTCTCTTCCGCGACCAGCTCCATGGCCTCGGCATCGAACAGAGAGCCGTTCACCACTTTTTCCGGCGGCAGCAGCTTGGTGGCGGATCCCGGCTTCAGAAAAGTGGCCGGGAATCTTCGGAAGTGTTGGCCGAGCTCGCGCTTCACCGCCACAGGAGCTTCGTCCTTGACGTGCCACACAAATGGAGCGTTGATCTTCGTCTTCTCGCCGTTCGCGAGCTGTTCCGCGGCCAGGTGCTGGCTGCTCGCAACCTCCTTGAAGCGCTTGCTCAGGCTGTCGTCGATCAGGTTCTTCACCTGCGCGCGGGTGCGGTGGTCGTACTCGTCGCGCATGTCCCCATCCGGAAAGGTTATCAAAAGGAAAAATCCCTCCTCCCCATATCAAAACGAAATTTCTGATGCTGGATTTGGATACACAAATCAAATCTGTGTTGCAGTAGAGGACGGCACGCAGAGCCGAAGCCTAATTAGGGGCCTTTTGGTGTAGGCGCCTAGCATGGTAGACCACTACCCTTTACCTTTAGGCCTTACAGCATTACAAATGGCCTGCATAACGTGCCGCGCAGCCTGCGTGTGCCTTCTTGCAAGACAGACCCGACTTGTGGTCACAAATCTGCATCACAAATTTTCATCCGGATGCGCTTTCAATATGTTGTGGAGGGGAGATTTTTCCTTGCAATAAAGGCCTTCGCGAAGTCAGTGCAAGTCCAGTTCTGGAAGGGCCAGGGACTCAGATTCTGCTTCACCACAAAGGGTTGCCCGCGGATCGCCAGGCGCGCGGCCACGTCCGGGGTGATTTCGTCCTCGGCGAAGGTTGGAACCGAAACCTGAAAGGCCCCGTAATAGTCCTCGTTTCGGCGGGAGGCCCCCTTGAACTTCTCCAGCGGCTTGAACCATTCCTGCACCGAAGGTTCCCAGAAGGGGTAAAACGTGTTCTCCTTCTTGCCCTCAACCACCGGCGCGACCGCAGCGCGCACAAGAACGTGAATCGGAGTGGTGCTGAGGTTAGCAAGACCTCCCAAGCGAAACGCAAGCAAGAACGCGCGACGACCAGGACTTGTCAACATCCTTGGACGCGACGTCGACCAGGACTTGTGAGTTTCTTCGAAAGGACACCCAGGTCCTTGTACTCAATACTAATTGATGACGAAGACCAGGTTGATGTACACGAGTATCATGAATTTCGACAGGATAGAAACTCACTTGGTTCCAGCTACTAGGTTTGTCGTGCATCAAGTGAGAGAAAGTAATTCGAATTTACGGGCTCCGAAAGGACGAGATTAAGTACATCTACATTTTTCCGTGACTGCTTCTAGTTCACAAAGGTGAACGCCGGGACCGACAAGAGATGCACCGTGTTTTTTGGCATCCAGCGCTTGAGACCGATGGCTGATGAAAATCCAAGATGAACTAACATCAAGCAAGCTACCAAAGGAACGTCATGTGCAACTTCGCTGCGCAGCCAATCTGTCACTGCTTGTAGGCATCCAGTGGCTCACCCTCACCCGGTCGCTGCGCAAATGAATCTTTCACACTCTGTGTCGTTCCTTGGTCGTCAACATCTACCCATAAGCAGTTGACCTCTGCGAGAACGCAGTTCTGGATGGAGCAAATTGGTGTATCTGCATACCCTAACGCAGTCATTCCTTCTTTCATTACAGAGAGGCTACTACTGGAGGAGTGCGCGTAGAGGGTCAGCAACTGCTCACGGGTGTCTTGTGCCTCCATCACAACCCGCTTCGGTTTTAGCCTTAGATCAGCGCGACCGCACTTGGAAAGATCGTTGTTCATGATCGGCTTGGTTCCTACTTCAGCGTCACCCTGTGAAGACGAGATGCCCTCCTTGCCTCCACTTTCGTTTGGACAGAGAGACAGCGATTGGAAAACTTGCCAGTCGTGCCCTTGCGCATCAATTTTTAGTAGCTCAAAAGATACTTCTTGTGGATCCACATCACCATTGCCTGCAGCTCGATCTCCTTGTACTTTCCCTTTTACCACCTGTTGCTCTTCATCTTGTTCCACGACCGCGGCTGCCTGCTGCAATAGCGCATGTAGCGGAACGATCGGAACCGCGCGCTCGAGCGTGCTTTGCTTATGCTTATGCGTGTCCTCGTCTGCGTGTTCAGCTCTATCGCCTTCCCCTGCAGCTCCTCCTCCCGCTGGGGTTTCATCTAGTCGACCCCGTAGACAGGTGCGAAACACCTCAAAAAAGCGGAAAGCGGCGTTCGTCAGGGTATGATTCAGGCCGTGCCTAACCGTGCTCCACTTGCGATGGTAGCCCTCTGGGGTATCGGGAAAGCCGCGGCGGGCATCCACTGTCTTATCGTACCACTCACGAGCGACCTGTTTCACGTCAACTACATCATGTTCTTGAGGCGGCGCTCCTTCGGCATCCGCTGAGAGAGCAGTTGAGGTCCTGTTCGGGTAGAGCGCCCGCTCGAAGTTGACGTCGGCCGTTTGCACGAAGTACTTGCCCACGCGCTGGTCGTCGTTCTTGTACGTCAGCGTGGAGAATGGCGTGTAGACGTAATCAAACGGGCCATACTTTTCAGTTGCGTGGATGCATGTATTCGATACGGCGGTGACGTACTCGTGCACACGTTGCATTAGTGCGAGCCCGGCGTCTGGAGCCTGCTCCTGCAGAGAGGCTTTAATGTGCGAGGTTTTTCTGTCCTGGTCAATGAATTCGAATATTCTCTTGGGCAAGAGATTGGCGTAGTCTCCATACATCAAAGCGCTTTCGTCTTCACCAGTGGGAAGATCCTCTGCTTCGTTTCGAGAAATGGACGCAGCGTTTTTATCGCTGAGTGTCTGGCCACCTGCTGGTGCACCGAAAAACATGCGCAAAACGTCCATGCGGGTCTGCGCTTCCACGTCGGTCAAGGAAAGTTTGTTGGACAGCAGCGGGGAAGTAGATGACAGCACCGCGTCCAAGGTGCTCAAAGGGTTTAGTTTCTTCAGGATTTGCCCGGCGAGATTCGTCCAGTAATGAAACTCCACGACCTGCATGTCTCGTAGTCCTCGAAACACGCGCAACAAAGCAGGCCCGAGGTCTGACAACGAGTCTAACATGTTGCAGGATGCGGGCACGCTCTGCGTCGGGTTTTTTTGCTGTCCGGCGATCTCTTGGAACCAAACAATTCCGAATTCTGCGCTGGGCGGCATCATGGACGACGTTGCGGCTTGATCTACAACTTCCGCAGAAGTCGTTGCGGCGCGTGCAGAAGGCGCAGCCTGTTCTTTCGAAAGAGCACCAGCTGGATCTGCAGCGACCTCGTCCGGCAACGCCCCAATTGCGAAGGGCAACAGCAGACCCCGCTGGGGGTCGACTTCGGACAGACGGCAGAAAAGAACTCGACGGACAGCGTTACGCCAAGTCTTCGGGTTCGCTTCAAAAGACCACACAAAATAGTTGCCAAGTTTCAGGTCGTGCTCCCCCAGGGAAAGTTCTCGCCAAGACGATTCTATTCTCAGTTCGTGCCCTATGCGGTCAGCTGATGCAGCCTCGCTCTTGCGGTGCAACACCTGGAGGTGGTTGTTGATCCGGTCAGCTGATTCGCAGACATCAGGCTCGAGGGCCTCCGTATCCTTATTTCCAGTTGTCGTCATCTTCTCTGACGACGAAAATGCGTTTTCTTCCAGAAACTTGACACGGGTTCGCACAAAATCGTTGCCGGAAAAGCTACGATGTTGAGGCTCTCGTTTGTCCTGCTCCTGCTCTTGCTTCTCTTCATCAGGTCGTCGGAATCCCGATGCTGCGGTTCTGATGTCTTCCGTCTCGTCCTGCTTAGCCAATTTCTCATGCCATTCTTCTGCCGCTGTAGACCGAAACAACGGCTCGAGTTCCGACTTTTGGTGGGTGCCCACCTCGACAAAAAGCTTCGTAGCTGTTGTAGCAGCGGGGGGCGGCGCAGTTGTCTGTCTGTGCGCAATTGCATGATGCGGCTTTTTCTGCAGCAATAGACTTCGCCAGAGGTCAGTCCCTGTACACAAGCGAAACAGTGCGGCAAGCGTCATGCGTATCGTACCTCTGGGTGTGTCAGCACGGTCACCAGGAACCTCGGTCTCGGAAGCGAACGAAGAAGCTGCCGCCGGTGTGGCTTCGCCAACGCTTTTTTTTGGCTCATTTCTTGTGTCTGAGGCCACAAGCCAGCGTTCCAAAAAAAGTACGTCAAAATAGAAAACGATGATCACATTTCTGCGTATTGTTCGTCCCGCCTGCGGTAGCTTCGCTGGGGCAACATCGCCTTCGCGATGCTCTTGAAAACTCCGCAAGTAGTTTGTTCCAGGAGAGGCATGATCATGCGGCTGCATCTCTAGAGGTCCTACGTGCTTCACAACATTCGGACAACAATCGGACTGCAACGCTCGGCAGAAAGGCTTCTGGGCTTGGAGGCATTGCAGGAGAACTGGGCCGCGGCCGCCGTGACGGGAAAAGCTGCTGCTGTCCACCAAACGTGTCTGATTTCCGAGCAAAGCCGCCTGATAGTGTGAGTCCGCTGTTTCCGTCAAAGAACGAAGCCAGGAAATGGGAACAGGCGTCGCACCATTCTTTGTGGCACGAGACAACGAAGGACTGGGTTGGGCAGTTGCCATGCCCGGGACGCAAATGAACAATAGGTGGAGGACAGGCAGGAATGATAACATTTTCGTTTCTTGCTGCACCGAATCGAATTGAAGAAAACTGTGTGTAGAACAAGTTTATATACTTTTACTTTCGGATACCACACAACAAAAACAATGAGCTGCAACGAGATACACAAACCAGGTGGTAGCTGCTTCCTTACTCGGGAATGAGGACGTGCGTAAAACTGAGCAACGCAATTCTGCATCAAGAGTATGGTACAGAGTGTCAAAAACCGAAAAATTCAAGCTGCTGAACATGAGCGCGTGCTGCTTCAAATAGCAACTCTATCTGATGCGCACCTTGAGTCATCCGTATGGCGGTGTCAATTGTTCCTACCTGCTTCGTTGTTTTTCTTCACCGGCAACATTTTCAAGTGCAATGGAGATGGTTTTGGTGACAGCAAGAAAGAAATCGCTTCATATGAATATGAATGTAGGTGTAGTTGTATCGAAAAGGAAGAATTACAATTACGGGCATGTATCGACATGTGGCCGACTGCAACTGCACAGCTTGCAGCAAGATGGCTTGCACTGCTAGAATACTAAAACAGCAACCTGTAAAACTCACAGAAACTTGAGTTTCAAGCAGATTGAAACTGTGTTTCCATCGGCATTGCCAGATCTTCGTGGCACCCCTGGGGCTGCTACTTCAATCTTCAGCCGTGCCTCTACCTCGCTGCAGTGATACACTGAAGAACTATATCGATTCCTTAAATGTGATTACAGCGCAGTAGGTACGACACACTCGTCACCTACAGTGGGAGAGGCGTTCGACTTGGTACTAGTCCATGTAACAGCGCCTTCTGTGCGGGAGAGGTCTATCTCTGAACAATCACGGAGCGGGCGCCAGACCGTGTCAGGACATAGCACTTCACCGCAGTTGCGCAGCCGCGAAAATTTGTACCGGTACCGCTTGTTTCTCGGGTCGATAGGTCCCATCCAGACGTGCCGATATTCGAGCAAGAACGCCATCTGAAATATGCGGTAGTACAGAAAGTCCACAACCGATCTAACACTTTTGCTGCCACTGCGGCCGCTCTGCAGATCTTTCTCCGACAGCTCGCTTGGAACCACCGAGGGCCGCAGGTCGCTCGGAACAATGACCCCAGAGGCGGCGTTGAGGAGCCCACCTTCCGGTTTGCTGGATATGCCTGCACCAGAGCAGGTGGGTCCCGTCCGCACGGGCACACGACTCCCGCCGACGGACTGCTCTGGGTTGAACCAGAAGTAGGCGACGTGAACATCGTCCTCTCCTAAAAAATCACACACAATAACCGCATACAGCTCCTCCAGCAGGGCGGTGTGGCGGAGCACGAGGAAGCCGCGGCCGATTATTCGGTCCTTTGATGCTGGTCGTGGACTCCACTGCGATGGGCCGTCTTGTTCCTTGTGATCGTTCTCCATAATTTCTACCGCAGGTCCTTCGCCACTGCGAATGTATGATCCGTCTGTGGACCACGACGCACTACTCGTAGGTATACGAGTCGTAGTCGTCGTGGTTGTGGATGTTCTTGTACTGCTGGTGGCACTACAACGGGAGTTTCCTCGTCCGAGCAGTTCTTGGTCGGGAGGACTTTTGGCATTTGAAAGTCTTTGGGTCAAATAGGCCGCCTGCTCGGGGGTGATCTCGCCGATCACGGCACTGCGCGCAAACTTGTTACGCCATTCGTCGAATGTGTGCGAGAAGTTTTCCCGAGCAAGCCAGTACTTAGCGTAGAGCCTGTAGTTCCTGTCTTCGAAAGTAGACTTGCATGTCTTATTCCCGTAGTTGTACGAGGAAGCCGTCGTCGTGCAGGATGATATTGGCGAGTCTAGTGCATCTTCCACTTGTTCCCTAGTTGTACTCGTCGCGTCGCCTACTTTGTCGTCCTGGAATCCACGACCCGGTCGCTCCTCTACCTCCAACGGAGAAACAACTTCTGCAACAAAGGACTTCCACCAAGTACTCCCAAATCTTCGCGCCAACTGCTTCCCGCGCAAGTGCTTCGCCGCCCAGGCTGCCACGTTGGAAACACGAATATGCCGCCTATCGCACCTCCCGCAGCCGCGCAGTGCGACGAAAGTGGAGGCGTCATTGTACTTGTAGTGGTTGCGAAGGAAATGCAGGAAGAGTCTGCGTGCATAATCCTTCGAGAAGCCGTGCGCATTTTGTTCGGACGCGGGGTCGCTGGAGTCCAGAGTGGGAAAGGTGAATGCAAGAGACGGACGACCACAGCTGACGCAGGGAACCGCCTGTGGCCCGAGATTTTCCAATCCATCAAACGACGTTAACAGGCTTCTGGCTTCGACAGCGCCGTGGATATCTGTAGTCAGAGAACGACTTTCACTTTCGATCTCGCCATTTTCCGCACCTCCTAAGGCGCAATCTGTGCTGGTACTCATATTCTGAACCGGTGGTGGTGACTCTGCTCGATCATAACTCATGTACTTACATTTCGTGGCGTCGTTCTGCAAGATTTTGCTTGAGCTGCCATGGCAAGAGTTTCATTTCAATGTTTATACGTAAAAGCGAGCAGGGCGCAAACAAATCAAAACCTACTGTCTGTTCCTATATATTCTCGACTAAATTTCATTTTCATTGTGAAGCTGTGAACGGGGTGGGGGTGGATGGGCAAGCTGGTGTCAATTTTTGTTTCTGTGATGTGTAGTTTATACTTTGGTAGGTAGAGTTCCAGCCACCTAAAACTATTGCGGCCTGGCACTACTAGTTTTAATACTCAAATTCAAACTACTAGCAAGGCTCACCTTGGCGCCGAGCTGCCTCGAAAATAGCAAGACGAATAGGTACATAGCCAGAGATGATTCCCAGATGTGAACTACAGGCGTGATGGTGACACCCTCTTCAGACAATTCACCATGCATTCCAGAAAACATCAAGTCCTACCGACACACTGCGCAGTAACCGAGAAATCCGGAGTACATACAACTGTTTGTCTGCAGGCGCGACCGATGCGTTTCGATGTCGACTTGGCGAAACGTGATAGAAACCGAGGTCACGCTTTGGTTTACCCATGTATCTTCAAAAATTATATCGATGCCGACGGTGGAGCACTCCTGTACTATAGATCCTCACACCGCTTTGCCAGCCTGGACAAAAGCTATACTTGAGTTGTTGCAGGATGGCAGAACATCGGAGAACCGAGATGCTTCCGAACAGGGCGCGCTGCAACTCACTGCTTTCAGGAACACTGTCCCCAAGATACTTCTTTACTGTCACGTCGCAATTCGACCGCGGCGTACGCGGCCTTCATGCTTAGCCATTTAAGTACTTAAGTATAGTAACATTGACAAGCCGCGAATACAAAAAAAAAATCAGTTCTCTTCATTCCACCTGTATTTGTCTATCCTGCTCCACTAAGCCAGCCTCCCATTGTTCCGGAAATAAAAGGATTTGCAATAAACTAAAACTTCGCCGACCATTGACATTGATTATGTAAGTATGATGATCGCAAGAAGTAGAGGAGCTCAAAGAAAAACAAACAGAAACAGAGTTTGAGATACATGTGTAGCCAGATCTTCGCTCCGCCCGTCGTCATGCAGCTGTCATTTCTTGAATCTTCACCATCCTAAGAAAGTGTCTTGCGCTGTTGTTGTGATTTCCCTTGTGTTCCTTGGCTGCACGACGAAGTACCAGAAACTGGGACCAGAATGAAGGAAATGTCGCACTTCCGATCACCTAGAGATAACATATTATGCATCATCTCGATCGCAGCACGAAGTCTGTCTATCTCAAACCGGAAAAGAAGTCAGAAAAGTTCGTTAAAAAAGTAACTCCCGCGCCGGTCGGTGCTTTACGGCTGGTAGGGCGCACAAACAGTTTCCGTTGTATCAAGCGAAAAACTTTTTCACTGTGATGATTCGGCAAGATCTGCGTCACAAGTTTGTTATGCACATGACACAGGACGAAATCTGCCATGCGCGCTCCCCAAGAGGAGACTCGCTCGAATAAAATCCAATGTCTTGTTGCAGGTGTTGTAGCAAGACAAATAGGGCAGGGCTGTGTTTCATTTTTTTTATGCATGAGAAGCTGACAGTGACAGTGAACCAGGTTTTTCTTGCGATACGTTGGGAAATAATTGTAGTGCTGTTGTTGCAACATTTCTGTGCGCTCCTCGGCGTCGGGAAGTTCTGTAAGGAGGCAGCCGTCGTCCCCGTCATTGGAGGCATCTTCCTCCTCCAGAAAAGCCGAACTACCAGTGGCAGTCGTGGTACTATTACCAGTTTTCCTCGGTGGCATGATTGCGCATACCAGATTTTTGCTCTTGCTACCAGTGGCGTTCTTGTTCTGCTGCACCTGCGTCTGCAACTGCGCCTGGTCCTGCTTGCCAAACAACTTGATGGCGATGGGGGGCTCGAGAAAGAACCGATCAAAGACCTCGAGCATCTCGGAACGAATCGCGTCGGCCACGGACTTGGCCTGCTCGCTAAGCTCCGCCGGCGGCTCCCCCTGCGCTTGTGGTTCATCTGTCGGGGAGGCATTGGAGTTTTCCTCTTCGGGTTCATCGTCATCCCTGGTCGTGGATGTTGTGCTCGTCTCTCTCTCGTGCTCCTCCGTCTCCGAAAACTGCGCAGCACTAGTTTCGTGATCGGTAGAAGTCGCTTCATCAGTGTCCTTGGTGCTTTGTCGTGCAGTCTTTCTCTTCCTGCCCTGGTTCGCGTGGTGCGAAGACTTCCCTGCAGATGCTGCTTGGCGTGTTTCCTTTTGGTTTTGCTGCAAAAACTTTCGGCGGAAAGTCTCGCTGAGCTGCGCGTCCTGGCGTTTCTCGACACTCGTGGAGCGCCTCCCCTCACTCGTAACGGATGAGGCAACTGGGTGCCTTGCGGCTCCCACCGTTTTCGTCACCACGTCTAATTCTCTGCCTTGATGAAGACCTTTTTTGGCTTCCACGTGCTCCTGTCCTTCGTCCTCGGATATCAGCTGGCCCAACAGATTCAGAAGTTTCGCGCGGTACCGTGCCCCGTGCCCTGCTACATTTTGATGCACAAGGGGCGACGCATGCCGGTGGCCATGGTGGTGCTTTCGGCTACGTACTGTGTGGGCTGTCGCAGCTGCCAGCTTGCTGGGTGAAGAACTCGGAGCATCCGCTACTTGTTGTTCACTGCCTCGCCCTGGTGCCTTTTCATCATGCGCGTGGTGCTGTTGCAAAAGCGCAGAAGCCCTGCTCTCGTGCTGGCTGTTTTTGTAACCCTCAGGGTTCAACATTGCATCTGCTGATTGAGGATCATTTTCCCGATCACCTTGTTGCTGCTGTGCGGCGCCTCGACCGTGATGCGCTTTTGGTTCGGCTTCTCCTTCGCGCTCCTTACGCAACAAAATCTTTTGCAGAAGCCCTAAATTCTGCCGTAGATTCTGCAGCCCCCTGCTATCTGGTTGATTCGGAACGACATCAGAATTTTGCGTCACCTTTTGCGGGCGGTTTTTTTTCATTTCGACCCCATCATCTTCTTGGGCTGCTACCTGAATGAAAGTTGTACTTCCATCGTTGGCCGCAACCCAGGGAGACGTCTGTACCCACGATTGCACAAGCGATTTTTCGCGAGCAGGTGCGCTGTCCACAGGTCTAGAGACTGTCTTCGGCCCAAAAAAAGCTCTGGACAAACACGAAACGACACCGCTGCAGCCTTCTGCTTCGCTCTTGTCGGCAGGAGTCGATGTGTCATCAACATGATCTTCACCAGGAGTTGCACCAGTACCAGTAGCGAGGGCTTCTTCTTCCCCTCCCAACTCGCTTGTGCGCGGCGCCGGTGATGCGTCACGACCAGGAACGTCCTCTTCTATGCTCGTGTTTATTTCTGCTTCAGCTTGCGTGCTGTCCTGCTCCCTCTCCGCAGCGGTATTCATGACCAAGTCATCGAGGTCATCTGTTGTCCTCGCGTCGAGGTCGTCTGTTGTCCTCGCGTCGAGGTCGTCTGTTGTCCTCGCGGCTTTGTTCGCCGACGAAGCAGGAGTAGAGGTGCCACTTTCAGCAGCACCCGCCTTTGCGTTCTCCTGAGCGAACGACCCGGCGATCGTCGGCTGCTCTTCGTCTTGTTCCTGCTCCTCGACTACGCTACTAGAGTCCTCGGTGGTGGCACTGAGCATCTCATCTTCTTCGTCCGCTTCTTCGTCCGCGAATTCCTCTGTAGCGGTTGTATCAATACCGGGTGGCTGTTGAACAAAGGATTCCAGCTTGCTTCCCGAGGTGGCGGTTTCATTCATGTACGTTCGCATCAGGTCCAGTAGGTACTGGGTGCGCTCGAAGCAGTACTTGTCACTGGAAATCTCACCCCACAGGGTGGCGTACTCCGACCCGATGTTGGTTGCGGGCTGCGCCAGCTGGCTCAGGAAGGCGTTTTTCCGGGAGAGCACGTCCGCGTCCTTCATGTCCGCTATGGCAGATCGGATCAGCTGGTTGTTTTCCACGATCAGCGGCTCGATGGCGTCGGGGCCGAGTTTGGTGCCCTGAACGCCCACCACGTATTGGACGGTGTTCAGCTGCGGCGCGATGTGCCCGAAGGCCACGTAGCCCAGCTGGTGTTTCGTGCGCAAAAAAGAGAAGGTTTCCTTCGAAATCAGGGGCAGCATCACGTTCAGCAACACCTTTTCCTTCAGATTCGGCGTGACCGGGTAGCGCCAGACCATCCGGATGGCGTCGTTCGCATCCGTTTCGATCGGATTCTTCACCCGCAGCTCGATCCGTTCCGTCTGGTTCAGCACGCGATCTTCCCAGATGCGCGTGTAGGCGGACCCGTCCTTCGGTGCGATCAGATTCGCTTGCCCAAGCACGCCGGGCTGCTCGACCAGCAGTTCGTGAAATTTGGCAGTGAACTTCTTCGCCTGCTCCTGATCCATATTGCCGACGGCCAGCGCCGTCACGCGAAGCTTTTTGGTGTTCTTGCCCTGCAGCACGTGGTCGTGCAGCTCTTGATACAACTCGCCCAGTCGACTCCCCGAGAACGGATCCTCCTGTATATAAGGAAATCCTACAGAGTAGGTACAATGCAATGCTAGCATGTACCAGTATGTATATATACCCTCTACATGTAACAACTTTACAAGCACCTCCGAAGCAACGAGTATGTGTATTTCTATTTCGAGTTTATTGTTCAGAGTACTTCTTCTTCTAGCGAACACCATACGCGAGTCGTGACAATAAAAGGACGCATAGAAAACACGATTATCATTTTGGTTTTTCAGCATGCGCGACGACAGCTGAATCTAGCAACAGGCATCACGTCCGATGGACAATCAGCGATAATTTTGTTTTTGCGTACCTTCGACTCTTTCTCCACATTGCTGGACGGAATGGCACTGGATGTCAGATTCAGTTTGTCGCCGAACACGTTTTGCAGAGAATCCAAAGCAGAATTTAGGGTAGCGAGGTCATCGGCGACTTGGGTTGCCTCCTCCGGCATGAGGAGCACGGTGCCCTCGGGTAGCTTGATCGCCCGCTGCGTGGCAGTCGTGCTCTCTTCCTGCACTTGCAGGAAATTCATTTCGCCAGTAGCTGCACTTGGACTTGGCTCCGAGGCACTTGCCGATTCTTGTTGTGTCGGAGCAGGCTCCTGCAGCAGCTGTCCGTCCTGGTCCTCCGCTTCAACGTACTTCTGAAGAAACTCGAGCTTTTCCTCGCGCGAGAAACTGGCCTGCTGCGTGAGCACACTGAAATACTCCGAGGAATGGGCGACCGCGAGACTCGAAGACACGTCTTGCAGCGAGTCCCGCAGTTGCAACACGAGGTTACGGAACAGCTTTTTCATGTTTTCCGTCGGATCGCCAGTCGTGTTTGAAGGTGAAGATGCCGCACCAGCGTCCTCGGACGACTGCGTCTCAACATACCAGGGATTTAGGGCCCTTGGCACGACGGTGGCCATAAGTTCTTCCGTGTGGTCCGGGTATCCGGAGAAACTGAAAGCCTCACTGTTGGAGCCTACCACGTAGCTGTAGCTCGACCCCGTGTTCTATCCACAGAAAAAAACCCATCCACATCCATTTGTGCGTGGCAAACACTAACACATGATTTGATAACCAAGTACGCGCTTTGCGTGACAAATTGGATGTGGATGGGTTTTTTTCTGTGGATATGTTCACGAAAGAGTCGACCAGCGGCTCCAGGACCCTCGACGCGAGCATTGCGTGCAGCTCCGAGAATATGCTGGTTTTGACACTGGGTCGGGCGGTGTTCTTCATCTTCTCGTCTTCATCTTCGGTGGAGGACACCACACCTTCTTCTTCTTTTGGTCGGACCGTCTCGAGGTGGAACCCGAGCATAATTTTGGGTGTGACTGTCTTCGGCTGCGGGCCCAGATGGTAAAGATCGAGACTCTCCTCCCGGGTCGGAATGCCGTGCCGCTCTTCCGCCGGCAGCAACACCTGGTTGACCTTGGGAACGTATTTGAAAGCAGTCGGTAATTTGATCAACGCGATGGCGCTGCCCACTTTCGAGGGGGCCCCAGCCGGTTCATCTGCGGCCTGCTGCAAATCCGCGGACAGCTTGGCGAGGGACACATCTTGCAGGTCGGACAAAAGCGCGGGCGTGAGCGGGACCTGCTTGTACGAGTACCCATAGTGCGGAGCTTTTTCGTTCAACCCATCGAGCAGATCGCTTCGTTTGGTGGCGTGCCCTGTATTTATTTTTGAATCACATATACTCATGCACGCAGTCGCAGAAGAAGAAAATCTGATAGGTGCAACGAGATGAAAAGTTCGACCACAATCCGATCTCTCGCAGACAGCGCAGACGCGAAGATGTTTTCGACGATCGACGCATATAGGCAGATATCCGACTTCATCAAAGAGACAAAGATCAAAAAAAGTATAGTCTTCATCGTAAAAAATCCGTAATTCCTCGCCGCATTAGAAATAAAAATCGACGTCATACCAATGTTCATGTTTGCGGGTGTAAAAAAGGAGAAGAGCTTGTCGACCAAACAGGGCGAGAGCGCGTCGATGCTGCTTCCGCCGGCCACAAGGTCGGGAAGAGCATACTCGGTCTGCGCCCGCGCCAGCGATGCCGCCGTGTCCATGGGGTCGCCGCCTCGCTCCGCCCACTTGAAGTTTACCTGGGAGAGCTGCTGGATCGCTCGATAGTAGTCTTCGTTGACCCCTTTCTCGCGGACATCATGTAGCCAGGCGAAGAAGGCCTTCTGCACCAGGTCCACCTTGCTGTCGCCCTCCTCGGTTAGTGAGAAAATGAAGAACACCGCTGGCCCGGCGGCGCCCGGCATGAACCACTGCCCCATGCCCGTGATCAGACCTTGCTGCTTCAACACGGTCTGCAAACTCGTCGGACCGGCGTCACCCGTCAGAAAAGACAAGTACTGCTCCACGCCGTACTGGTATTTTGCATCCAGGTTCTGGTACATTTTTGGTGAGTAATATTGTATGCACTTCCTCTTCATCATAGTCGATCATTCCGAAGAGGAATAGCTGCAGTACTGTCTACCAGACTACTTAATTCTAATGATGTTCAGGTAGAACAAGCTGCATCTTCACCTTGTCTACATCGATCACCCGAAAGCCAACGGAAAAAAGGTATTCAGTTTTAGTTAGAAAGTGCTCACCTTGATTCGCAGCGGAAAGAGGAACCAGAGCTCGGGAGAGGCCAGGGTATCCGAAACATAAAGAGATCCGAGGCGGGATGGGGGAAAAGCCTCGGGGTAGTCGCAGAGGTGCCGCCCTTGCACCTCGGGAGCGATGGCGTCCGCGCACTCGTCCTCCGGATCAGACTTTGTGCGCGTCATCGCGGGGAAGGCCGACAATTCCGTGGCAGGCAAGTGGTTCAAACAGAACATTTCTTCCTTGTGAAAAACGCTGTCGTCGGGTGGTGCCTTGCAGCTCTTCTCGAACGCAAAGTATTTTTCGGCGACACCGGCCAGCTGCTCCAAGGGGGCGGAGCCTACGATAGTTAGGGCCATGTTGCTCGGACAGTAGTAGAGATTGTAGAACTCGCGGAGTGCCTTTGTGGTGTCGATGTTGTTTTGCTTCGGGAGGTCGAACAGGGTTTCCTTGTCGCCGGTAAAGAAGTGGCTCATGGGTGATTTTGGGTCCGCGGACTGGTGCTTCATCAGCTCGTACATTCGCCGACTCATGTCGTTCTTGTTTTTTGCATGCTCCTGGTCCACGGCGTTCACTTCCTTTTCGACGAAAGAAGAGTTCAGCGTCGCGTCTTTGAAAAATCCCGCGAACACCTCAGCAACCTGTGGAACAGTAGCATCACCAAAGTTCATCGTTTTAGAACAGCATGGCGCTACTTTCCTGTTCGCAGCATCATCTTCTAACTTCTCGGGTGGAGCAAAAAAGGTTTGCTGCTCCTCCCACCCAATCACATCTCGAAACAAAGATTCCATTCACCGACGCCGCCCCGCATACGCATTCAAAAAGGCACTCATACTACATATTCATAGTTTTATCGGACTGAAAAAATAACCTTAACCACAAACAGGAGCTCTGAGCTCGAGTTGCTTACCGTGTCCAAGCAATCCAGCGCGAATTCGTTGAAGTAGACTGTGTGCTGCTGGTCGGTATAGGCATTGTCGGAGCCGTCGCACTGCGAAATGACCTTGCCGAAAGCTTCAGGATCCTCAAACTTTTCGCTCCCGAGGAACAGCATGTGCTCCAGGAAATGTGCGAGTCCGGGTAGTGCAACGGGATCGTTCGCGCTACCGGTCTGTACCGCCATACCGAGGGAAGCCTTACGCGCGTCCTGGTCACGCACCAACAGGACGCCCAATCCGTTTGCCAAAGTCATGTGCTTAAACTCGCGGGGGTCCAGTTCGGGCAGGCGAGTTGTGTTTGTGGGTGATGAGGGTTCTGACGTGCTGCTCTGCTTGTCCGAGTGATCTGCGAAAGAACGAAAGCGAAGATCCCTCTCGCTTTCCACAAGGCTGCTCTGCGCACCATCATCGCCCCGCTTATTCTGCTCGCGGAAATTCTCATGCACTTTGTACTTCGTTCTTGCCGAAGGATTGACCACTGTTGTAGGAGGATTCATCTCGTTCTCGTTCTGCTTTCTTGCAGGAGTGCGCTGCCGAATGCTATTTGTCGAGGCCTGCATTCTTTGGGCCTGATCGGGCTTTTTCAGCGAATGCTCTTTCGCTTTATCTTCCTCTAAAACATCTTGCAAGAGGTCCATCAGCTTTTTTTCTTTCTCTGTCAGAGATTCATCTTCATCGTCTTTGGTGGGAGGCGTCGCGCCACCTTGATCTCGCTCCCTGCCGGCGTCCAATCGCGGATGTCTCGCCGAATCTTCACGTGTAAGTGCGGTAGTCGCCGGAAATGCTGCGACAAATGACAGCACAGAAAAGATAAGAGTCGATACTGTCGTCATTTTGCGAAGAGATGATGCTCTTGCTTTCCGGCCACCGAGAGAAACTAGCAGCTCCCACTGCCGCAACGTCATCGCGACCCGTCTCTCGCGGCTACCGCCGCCAGGCCCAGGGGTTTTTCTTTCTCTACAAGATTCCAGCACCACGCTTCACTTTCGAAGTTCACAAGTCACAGTCTACGGCAATACAATACACCAAGCAAAAACTTTAACTTTGACTTGCTATTTCATCGGTACAACTTATGTGCGAAAAGTCAGTGCCAGGCGCAATCGGAGTGACGACACTTCTACACCCTCCACACCAAAGAATTCACCGCCACCTCAATCTTTGTCTCATATCTTGGACTGATCGACGAGGTAGTCGACCAGAGAAACTCAACGCATCTTCATTCCCTGTGCGATTACAATTTCAGCACTCAATCGCACAGTGGCCGCTTGATTTGAATATCGCTCGCTCAAAACATCGACATGTCGCCTTTGGTCCTCTCGAGATAGGCATAGGGGGGCAGCCTGTGCATTGATTTCTATTTTTCGACGACGCCAAAGAAAGAGGAGGTATGAAACACTCGATTTTGCTTTTCGCTCTTGTTCGCTCAAGAACAACGTCTGGAGGGTGCGTCTTGTCATTTACACCAGATGGTGCATTCACGCACTGGTGTTGAGGATGGTGGCTCTTTGTACAGTTAATGTTGAGACTGAGCAGGTACTACTTCTCAAATGTGCGTCTTCTTTTTCTGTCCTCTGTCTCCTGAGGTTTCAAAATCAAAACAAGTCGTGATCCAATTTTATGAAAGCCATCAAGGCAATGGCAAGCAAATACACGAAAGTATGTCCTCTCGCCGCATGCATCGAAAACAGGAAGGCCTCAGCAAATATGTGAGAATTCGCTACCAGTTCTTCAACATTAGACCGGAAGCTATCAAACAAACCAATCGCTCTCTCTAACATGGCGTTGGGGCGAAACTGTCGCTATGTATGATTCTGCTGTGCTACTTCTAACCGCCGCCACTGTCGCTCACGGTCACGCTCGCTAACAGCAGCGCAAGAAGAAATGGTTTGCCATTCGGCCACGAGAGTTTCTCACTCTATGTACATTTGTTCTCTTTATTTGTGCGACAATTTTTGGATACTGAAGCATGTCATTCTGTATTGGTCGTTCTTGATCTAATCTTGATGATTGATCCGCGGCATCAGAGAAGCGTCGGCAGGAAGCACGCTCACGGAGTCTGCAGCGAATTCGACCAGGAACGAAAAATCGAAGATATTAGGTGGGCGTTGTAGCGGAGACTGCGCCGACGCCAAAACAACAAAACATAATGCGACGAATGATGGTATCCCGAAGAAAAGTTGGGTTTTGTGCCTCTTCTTGCCTATGTTGAAATACGATGTATCTACTTCCCTCACTCGGGTCCGCGAGGCGACCGATGGCCGCTGATTGTATGCAATGGCTGGTATGCAAATTATTGAGATGCAACGAATGCCATGTTGTAATCGTGCTCTGCTCTTCCTACTTATCTATGACCTTCACAGGCAAGCACGGCGGCACATTTTTCTTTCGCATAGAATGGAGCGCGGCTCTCTTGTGAGGTTCTTCTGCTTGCTGGATGCCTGCCCTGTTGTTGGCCTTGACCTTGTCCCGTCCTAGCCCTGGCATCGTCCTCGACCGGTGGTTGCGCAACCGGCACTTGCTTTTCCAAAACTCCAGCGATTGGCTGTGATGCACGTAATGTGTGGCTGTCGCGGTCTCATAAAAGTAGCGGTTGCACTTTCACTTGCAGATCAAGTCTACAATAAGATCATACAGTGTATCATGTATGGTTGTACTGGTACAGCTAGCAGTTTGCGCGTCAGCAACATGATCGATGGAGACAGCGGGAGAGACGAGTCACAACTGCAACTACAAGTCTATACAGCGAATTTTATAAGGTTTCAGGGTCAATACGAGGCGACCAATACGAGCAATCGGACCAATACGAACCCGATACGAGCGCGGTCGGCGGCTCCTGCCTCCCCCGGTCGCCGAAACATCCTATCCATGCCTCCGTTTGAAAATGAAAATGTGAGTGCGGGCCCGCGCCTGGTGCTGCGATCTTCATAGGGCCTTCCCCTCTAAGATGACGGAATACATTCGGGATACGGTGCGAATCGCCATGCGGCGGGGCGTAGCTTTTAAATAGAGGCGCTTTGGTTCTACCCTGCGCCCGGAAATCGCCAAACGCAGGGCTGCGGGGGCCGGGTAGGGTTTTGATTTTTCTACTCGGCACCCGAAAAACACCCAGGAGCGGGGCGCGGCAAATCCGTTCGCGCCGTCTGCAGCTCCACCCAGAGGGAGCCCGAAGTAAACGGCCGAAACATGGAACCACCTCGGGCGCCGGTGACTAGCGGCGATTCTTGACTCTGCCCAGCCCCTGTAACTCATCGGTAAAACATAAGAGCCAGGGGCGCAAAAGGGGCAGCGCCGCTTTGCTGGCGTATTTGAAAACAGTGGCGTCGCCAGCAAGCGCCCGCCAGTTCTCACTTCTTAGCTTTTAATTCTATTTGCCAGAAGAAAAAGCCGCGCCGCAGGCGCGGCGCCGTTTTTTTTTTCTGAAGTGGCGCGGCTACTATACTTGCCAAAGTTCCACCAAAGCGGCGCGCCGTCGTTTTTAGCGACGCGATCGCGGTATACCAATCGGGGCAGGCGGCTGGGCGGACCATCCTGGGGTTCCTTGCGCCAAGTCAATACGAGGCGACCAATGCGAGCAATGGGATCAATACGATATTAGGCGATTTCTGTGTCGGTTCAATACGACTCGTATTGATTATAAAATTCGCTGTCTATATATTGTTTTTATGTTTTGTCTTCTCTTTGTGCAGAAAGCTAAATGTTACATCCAAACATACCTCGTCGCATAACTTGGGTGGCAGCTTTGCGAGAAAAGCGTGCAGGAACGAATCTGGCGGAACTCGTGCCGCGGCAAGTGTTTCGGTCCGCACTGGACGACCAGAAGCGAAAAGCCGCACGGTCCACCCTTCGGCAATTTCGGCTGCAAATACCTCATTTAGTTTTTGAGAAAGAGTAGTACAAAATCATGTCAAGTATGATATCGATCATCCGCCGAGACTTGACTTTTTCTGTAAATGAAAGCATCAAAGCGCAGAGACATGACTAGTTATTCAGTGAATCGAATACGATGGTCTTATCTTTTTTTCGTGAAGCGGAAGCTTCCGAATTTCTTATCCCGAAACCGCTGCCGTAATCAATGGATAATACAGGGAGCATTATTGTCGTGATTTGCAGTATGAAAACGAAATTGCGCGTCACAGTCACATCCGAGACGTTTTGTGGGGCGTTTTGCCTTACAAAACGCCTCCGATGTGACTGCGACGCAGAATTTCGCTTTTATATGCAGAATCATTTTGATTTTACCTGCTTGGCAACTTGCACTCCGGTTGTATTTGCGAAATCTACCTCGGCACTACGATGAATTTCGTGCAAATCGGGCATGCCAGCGATTACAAACTTGACCGTCTGCTTCGGCGCGCCTTCATCAACTTTCGTGTCTACTGTCATCCTGTTTTTCGATATTGTCGAGAAAGGCCTTGAGCAGTGCGTCTTTCGATCAGGTTCCGCCACGTGTCACAGATGTTGAGGGTCACAACATTTGGTCCTAAGCACAGCGGCAAAATAAACACGTTTGTAGGGTTCGAAGCGACCTCCAAAAAACATTTACGTCCGCAGAAGTGTAGCAGTAACTCGTGTCTTCGACGACACACTATATCTATTTCTTGTTGTTTTTCTATATACGGAAGATGGAAGATCTAAAAACTTAACTACATAAACATACATAGTCAATGAGACAAGACCACAATATCATGTATGATTCACATTCAGATCGTGAGCAGCACGATACAACACACTTTACACAGTCGCTCACGTGAGAAGTCAGCGAAAATATAGTCAACTCGCTAAAAAAGTCTTGCTGGTAGATTCATAAAGGACAAACGGAAGCAGGAATCCAGGGAGGATTCGGAGACCGGTTCCAGTTATGAGGGGACAAACAGCGCCGACGCATATAAACGGGCAGTTTTCTTGGGTCTAGATATACGGGCCGCCGTCCTAGATATATGGGGAAATGACGAGAATGGAATGGCCCCGAGCACGAGGTGGGGCCCGTTGCGGCGTTCCAAGCATTGCGGGCGCGGCGCGCGCGGCTTTTTTTCACTATATCTAACGGTGGCCGCACTATATCCTCGCCGCGCAGACCGAGATATTGTATATTCGGGGCGCGGATGCGGTAAATATAGAGCGGCCGGCTCTGGATATATCATGCGGCAAATATAGTGGCGGCCCGTATATCTAGACGCAAGAAAACTGCCCGTTTATATGCGTGGGCGCTACTTTGTCCCCTCATAGTTCCAGTGACTACCACATGTGGTTCATAAGCATTTCTAGGATCAAAATGAAGCTCAGACGACGAAGAAGTAGTTCTCATGGGCTGAAATGAACTAGGACACAAAAAACACGATTACAGCCACACCCACACACAACGAGTGTGGCTCATAAAATCAATCGAAACTACTACACAGAAAGTAGGCAGTGGTAGAAAACTTCATCCCTGGGGTTGGGACTACCAAGGGTTCAGCTGCTTCTCCTGTTACTTCATAATGACGACTATCATGTTCGTGAAGAAGCCTGTAGAGTTTGAATGTAGCCAAATTTAGGTAAGTATTTGATCATCACTCATGCGCTTGTTGTTGTTCAAGTTCAGCGTCTCTCTCTCTCTCGGGCGCATAGCTTTCACATCTCGTCTGGTGCTAGTCCTCGAGGTACCGAAAGCACAGAAGTTGATGGCACTTGCTTACAAACATCTACTCTACGGCGCATGGCCCGTGATTGAGGGGGATTGCCCTCTATGACCTTCAAACTCCGATGCATTAACATTATCGGAGAGGCACTTCTAAGTACACTTTTGTTTACCTGTGTTGTTGCTAAAAATATCGACTCACGACGCAACCACTCGTGCTTTTTTTCGCAACCTCATGAATTGATGAGCTTCATCTTCGTTCGTATCAATCTGCGTTTCTGATGCATTGAACTACACAAACAATCTTATTCCTTGTTCTTTAGCTGCTTTCTTAGCTTAGGGCGGAACCGGCACCAGGCTTCCTGTCAATCTTAGCAGCTGTGCACGGTGTATCCACAATGAGGGCAGCGCTTGATCTTGTGGAGGAGACAACAACACATTCCGTAAGGGTAGAAACAAAGTCCGCATAACAAGCCTGGCAAGGTCGGCCAAATAACCAACATATCTCGGTGGATTCCAAGCCGGCCTGAACAAGAAAATGTTAGCGGTTCTTGATGTGACTACTTCTACCATACTAGGATTGAAAATGATCATTGCTTCTAGCTCTCGCTATTCCTGGAGTAGAGCAATAGATACTCATCACAAAAGTCGGTATCTTGATCTTCACAGAACAAAGAAAGATGCCTGAGTAATTTTTTGATTTTCTTGTAGCGATTTCAATTTGCTGCCGACGTGAATGACCTGTCACAAAAAGAAAAAATGTAGTACACTCTTCCGGTATGTTGTCCGGGTTGAAGTCGTTTGCAGCGTGCAAGTGTTGCACGAGCGACTGCACCACGGTTGGCGGCCGTACCGGGCGAGGCAGGGGCGCTGCTGTTGTAGAAATCAATTCGCCCGTTCGGGTTCGCGACTCTCCCGTCTCTAAATCGTTGTCCGTTTGACCACCACCGAGCGGGCGGCCGATGACGTGCACCACCGTAGCGGCGTGCCTCGGTTGCGAAGGCTCATCGCCAGCTGCGACGATCGTTGTCGCATGTTGATCTTCACCTACGTCGATGTAGATCGGTATCGCTCTAAACTCTCGAGTGAAGTCAAATTTGTTTATCTGTCTTTGAATCGATTCGAATAGGTGGGTTCGGTGGCCTCTTTCTATGTGGCTCGATGGACAAGGGGAAGGGCCGAGCTCCGCCTAAGTGCCCAGGGCTCACGGAGACCAGATACCAGTGTGGATGCAACTGGAGGAAGGCCATCAAGTCATCAGCTTCTATTTCCACTAGGGATCCGTTAACCTTCTTAAACGTGTAGTTGGCTAGGGACCCATCTAGCCCGCGAATGCGTTACGGCCAACAAGGAAGGGAAGGTGATCCGTACTAACTTTGATGTAAATGATTTCCATGGGTCGCGACGTGGGCACGAATAGATCCACACAAGCGCTCTTGTTGGAGTTGTACGAAGAAGGCACATGCAGTAAGTAGCGAAAAATCCAAATGTTGAGTTTGACTTAACCCAATCCAGTTCTGCAATAGCCGACGAAGATTCGACCGAGTTCATGTTTTGTTGTTGTGGGGGCGATTCACTTCTCGCTGCTTCGTCTCCAACAGGACCATGACCGTTTGGCGTACCACTACCGGCACCATGGAAAAAGCTGCTACTTCCCGCTGCTGCTTGCGCATCTGGATCTCCGACTTGCCGCGACGAAGCGTGATACGTGCTCACTTCTCCGAGGAGCGCACGCCTCTGTAAAACCGGCAGAATTCCCTGGAGAAACCAGGACTGTGCCCGCGCTGCTGCGGAGGAGCTAGAGCTTTCGCCACTGTTCGTGGCAGTAGTTAAAGAACTACCGGCGCCGCGTCCCGCAGCTCCAGCGTGCTGCACTCCCGTCAAAAATACAGGGTTGGTGGACGACGCCGAAAGCTGCGTCGTCTGTTCTTGCAATTGATGCGGTCGCGCGCCAGCAGCGAGGTTGATGTCCCGCCCTGGCGCACCATTTTCTTCCTCGGCACTGCTGCTGGCAAGGTTGTACCTCTGTGCGTCAAGCGCTTCGGGGTCCTGGGACGAGGAGGACGGACCGCCGATGTGAAACACTTGGCTTCCGATTTGGATTGTTCGCAACCCGCCTCCGAACGCTCCTGTGAAATTCGCATACATACATTTTGTTCTGAGCGGGCCTGTGGTAAATAGTTCAACACACCACCGGCAAAGCATGATCGATGCAGCGGTTCTTCTGCCCACGTCGTAATAAGTACCATATGCAACGAAGTCGATTGGAACAGTTTGGTCTTGGTGAAATGAAAACTCCCTCGATAGTGCATCAAATGCGCATGATCGACACATGAGCATTCGAATTCCTTAAGATGAGCAAAACTACGATAAGTACCTTCTGCAGCCGCGCTAGTAGACGGGGCTGAAGCTGGGGCTCGTGCACTCATAGTGGCATCAACTGTCTGAGCAGTTGCTGAAGCCGAACCTCCTGCCAGGTCTTTGGTAACGAAGCAATGCAAACATGCGTGTGCCGGGATATCATACTGCTCCAGAGTGCAGGTTTCTTCGGCCAGGTACTTTCCAGCGTGGAAAAAACGAATGCGGTGGTGATTTTTTTCTTTGTCTGCAAGCAAAACACGATCGGATTCTGAATTGTACTGTAGCGTCGGCGCCACAGGCGTAGCAACGTAGTTCCTCTGCCGGCTCCAAACGGAGCGGTAGCGGACCACTTAGGCAGACGAAACAAAAAACAACACTCGAGAAATTATTCCGACCACTTTGCAAAAACTTGCTGTCGTGGGGTTCAACATTTTTGAATTCGTGCCCGTCTCGTCTGTTGCATCGCAGAATTGATCAACAAGATTGACATTTCACCGTGCTTATAATGCATTTGATGAAAAACAAAAATCTGATTTGGAATTCGATTTCGAATTCACGTCCGCCCCGGAACCATGCATCAAACGCTCACATTTCAACTCAATGTGATCATGCTAGCCCTGGATACGTCCTCGGAAAAGAATTGGCGGCGAAACTCCGAGATGCTGGTTTGCTTGTGGACTTCATTTACTGTGCGACTTTCTTCCTGTCCTAGGCGATTGATTTTGAGCCGCAGGGGCAAGTAGTCTTCTCGCGTCATTTTCCCACCGGTGAAGCAAACTGGCGCGATCTATTAAAAATAGAGCAGGCGGCGCCGAAAACTATTCGCCTTGCAGGGCCCTCGTCGGTATGTAATTCGAAACAAGAAACACATAAAAGAGCGATGATGGTTTTTTCAACGATAATCAGACGGCATACGAATAGCGATACGGATAGACTGAACATCACATGCTCCTTGTCATCATACAACAAACAGAAACAAAAAAAATATACGGAAACAAGTAAACAATTTTCCCGAATCTAGATTGAACTTTGATTGACTTAGATTTTGCCACTGCAGCTTTAGACAGGTGGTGACTGGCGGAGCCTCTTACCCCAAGCCTCGATAGACAGGCGCGGGTTTACATCTGTTCGCGACCTGACACACGTCACTCCACCGTGTACACTTACAATAGATCAGAACAAAGATCAAAATAGCGCGACAAAAATTTTAGATACACAGCAGCGGACTCCTGTCTGGAACAATCAGACAGGCCACGGAACATCGATCTGCCTGTACGAACTCGAATACAATGACATTGGTAGATCGAACAGACTATACAACTTGAACTTTACGGAAAACAAGAAAAACCGACGCACCCGGCAAGTTCTGGACGAAAAGTACACGGAATAGGACCTCCACATGACCTACCACGGAAGCTTCATAATTTTGATAGTCCTTTTTATGTGTATAGTGTTTTTCTTTTTTTGAAGCGCACGATTGAGAACAAATGTGCCACAACATTTGGAAATATCAGTTTGTGAAAGGCGGTAGGTGGCCGAGTGAATCAAAATAGCAGAGCCAGAAGCTAGAAAGTGTGGCACTTTTTTTCACGACAACAGGAATCAATCAGCTTGAAAGAAAGTTCAGAAAATAGAAAACTTATAAAATTTCAGCTATTGTCGAAATAATACTTCTTTTTACTTGAAAAGCTTAGCATTTGCGTGCCTGCTAGTCGGCATTGACAAAAGTTGTAATTGGGTCGGGTATTAGGTGGTGATTGGCGTTGCCTCTTACCTCAACCCTCGATAGACAGGCGCGGGTTTACATCTTTTCGCGACCTGGCACACGACTGTAATTCGATCGATCAGAGAATGCCATTGCGGCACGTACCGCTTGCTTGAATCAATAGGTAAATGAATGTTGGCTACTATCTGAAGCAGCGTCAAAACTTCCGACAGGAGACACCAGAGGAGAAAAGTGAGTTCAAAAAACAGCCATTCTATTCTTTCTTGTTTGTCAGAAAATTATTCCGACATTGAGAGCACGAGCAGTATTGACACTCGGCGGTGCTCCTTCAATCGTAGCGTTTATTTTTCATAGCCGACGAGCGCGGCGGCCCCAGCATCGAGATCGTCTTCATTCAACCGAGACGATGTTGGAGATTTCGTCGAATATCTTTTTCCGAACTTTTTGCACGCGTTCCTGAACCTGTGCTGGGGCAGTGTCGAAAATGCTCTTCTTCAAGTAGTCGAATAAGTACTGGTCTAGCATCTGCTGCAGCAGTGGTGTGTCAAAGATTGCGGCCATTCGCAACACGCGCGTTTCGGGGTTGACGCTGATGGCCAAGTTCAGGGGAAGGAACAAGGGGCTGAGCAGGGGCAGGTCCTTCAACCGATTCAGCATTTCCACATAACTCAAATTGGACTGCGCGAACTTTCCCAACTTCCGCCGAGCGTGCACCAAGTAATCCGTAACCAACTCAAAAATGTGGTGCGAAATATGCAAGAGAAACTAAGAACGACATGCCCACGGCGAGAGGTGCAAGATACACCTGGAGTGGTGCATGTTTAGCAATACCCTCATGAGAAAGAGTCGGAACTACACGCATCACATAGATACATAGAACACTTTCCTTCGCACTGCTACTGGCAGCGTGTCTTTGAATACACTATTATTTGTCGTGTTCCTCGTGCAATATCAATTCGATTCAGTTTCTTTCAGAGTTGTTTCCTCCACCTGCGCCACGTGTGTCCCTCCTAGGTGGTGTGGGCGTGTGTTCACTTCAGTTTCATACTTCTCCTCCGGAACTACTTTGGGAATCAACTTGCGGTTAGACGCCAGGAACTGCTTGATGTTGGTTTGATACCTGACGGAGTAATGCAGGAGAGCAACAATTCGGCGATTCATACATTTATTTGGCCGAGAGTTTAATGCAAGCACAAGCACATAATTCATAATATTCTTGATCCCCCGTCGGCTTTCGCCGGCCACGGAAAACAAATCAGGATACAGCCCCAGGATTGATGCATCAAATCGAAACAAGCAAGTAGACACGACAGTGAAAGTGTAGTCGAGCATCAAGCATGGGCATGCCCATGTCTGCAGATGCACAGCTTACCCTAGTATTTCAGCATTGAGGCGCTGCAGGAGTTTGTGGTTATTCACACGCTGCAAGACGCGACGCTCCTGTGGATCTTCGGCCTCTTGTGGAGAGACGGGCGCGGAATTAGCCTTGGGGGAACCTACAATGTTTTCGGCATCAGGTTCTTTACTTGCAACAAAACGCAAAATAAAGCACTCGTCGTGAAAGTGCGGTTGGTTAAGTATGCAATACCTCAAAAGACGAGCCGGCAGATATACAGATATGATATAAACACCTTAAAAAGATCTAGATCAAGATGGAAAGTTGACTTCTAGCCTGGCAACCATCTTCGCGACCCTACTAGGCCTCCTAAGTTTATTTCGTACCTGCTTTTCCGGGGTTTTCTTTGTCATCTTTCGTCCCCTCGTCTGGTGTTTTCCCGTTTTCAGTTTCCTCAGATTTTTCATTCGTAGAACCGTCCGCGTCGGCCGCTCCATTTTCCGCACCTGCCTCCCCCTCGCCTCCGGTCTTGTTGCTGCTCGCGCGCGCCGCGGCTTCTTCCTCTGCAATTTTCCCGGTTTGCTTTGCTGCTTCCGCAGCGGCAATAGCAGCGGCGATGGCAGAATTTGCTGCGACTGAAGCAGCTTCCGCGGCTTTGTCCGCTGCGAGAGCCAAATTCTCCGAGTCACACACGTCCGTGCCGACCGCAGCCTGAAGCTCGCCAGCGGCTTCTTCGGTTGCTTGTGCACAGCTCGACGCGGAATTGAGAGCCTCGAAACCCGCGCTCATTGCACCGGCTGCCGCGGCCGCCTGTAATTATCGTCGTCGAAAATAAAAGTATTTAGATAGTCACTTCTTTACAACTACCACTACTAGCATACCATCACTAAGAACAGCAAGGCAAATTTACCAACAGTTCTATCATGAATTTCATATTCAATAGCGCGCGTGCAAAAATAAAAAATAGCTGCAAGTGCAACGTTCCGATTACGACGACTATCTATGACCCTCGACGAGGCAACTTTCGGTCTCCCTTCTTGAGCTTAGTGGATACAACTTCAAGCATCAGAGGAATCGTATACACAGCCGGGCGTAGAGGCGGACTGGCACTTGCTCGCTTGTAATGCATGGCTGGCAGCATCGAGTGAAGCATAACCAACCACCCGCACCGCTTTCACGACGGTGAGCGTCAGGACGATGGCGGAGTGCGCAATGCTTTTTGTAAGTCCCTCTTGGGCTGGATCTGCACTCGCTTTGCGTGCTGTCTTGGAAGCCTCCGCAACTTGCTGCGCGAATTCGGCGGCCGTGTTTGCAAACCGACTGGCCTCATCAGCGGCTTTTGCTGTGTGCGCAGTGTGTTGTTATAAATATTTATGTGATTCAACATTTTCTTTTCATGCTTTCTCGCTTTCCTCCAAATGCTATCGAATTCAAGAAGGAACAAGACCAGGACCAACGGAAGACAAAACGGAAACGATTCAAAAAATTTTGGCTGCTTGCACATCGATGTTTTAATGTCAGACTTCACGCATAGACTGCTAAGAACATACCAACTTTTGTCAGCAAGTCTGCGGCTTGGCCAGCTTCTTCTGGGTTCTGGTCTGGGTCTTTCTCGGGTTGATCCTTGCCGTCCGCGTCTTCGTCCCCAGCTGCAGCATTTGGCGAAGACGCAGCTTTACTCTTGTCCTTTTCCCCCTTCCCGTCGTCATTCGCTGAAGAGGATGGCTGCGGCTTTGGTGCGCCGCCCGGCTCGTCCACCTCGTAGTCGTTTTTCTTTTTCTCCTCGCGTTGGTTCATGATTTTCTCGTATGCGTTGTTGAGTTCCTGGAAGTCCGCTTTGTCTCCGCCCTTGTCCGGATGGCAGTACATGGCGGTCTGGCGGTAGGCTTTCTTGATTTCCTCGTCGGTGGCATTGATGTCAACACCTAGGATAGCGTAAGCGGCGGACTCGTGCAGCCGCGCGATCTCGTCGATAACCTCGCTCTTGAACCGCATTTGCCGCAAAATGTATTCGTCAAACTGTTTGTTCAACTGCTCCAAGTAGCTGCCCTCGGCCTCCTTCGCCAGCTTCTCCACCTCGACCGACGTGCGCGTGATCTCTTCGCTTACAACGACGTCCGAGAGTCCGGTGCGGGCTTTACTTTCTACAGCCTCTTTCGCCGCGGCGTCTTCAGCTGCACCAGGCGCAGCAGTACTAGTTTTCCCGTTCTTGTTGTCCTGGAGGTTTGCTTTTTCGGTCATTGCATCGAGGTCCTGTTCATCTTCGGCGTCTACTCCCCCGCCCGTTTTGTGGCTTGTTCCACTATTGTTCTTCTTACTATCGGAGCCACGCGCCGCACCAGGCTTACTACCACAACTGCTCGCACTATTGGTCGCAGCTGCGTGGTCCTCCCCGTTTCGGTGGTAAGCGAAAGAGCGGATAAGCTCCAGCATGGCTTGAATGCGAACGAGCTCCACCCCGCCCTCGCGATGGGCTTTCAGGCACGCTTTTCGGTAAGCCAGCGAGATTTCGGAAACCGAATACGACGACCAATCGCCCCGGCGTGCTTTTTTCTCGGGGAACCCAAAAAACGCAAACGCGGCACGAACGGCTTCTTTCGGGCTTTTGGAAAAGATCTCGCGGTATAGGATTTGCGCTTGTTCGCTGTGGCCCCCACAGACGGCGCCGAGCGGGCCGCCAGTTACACCTTTGCCGCCCATGCCCTTATTGGAAGAAATTCTGTTCGTGAAGAGCAGGGCCGCACGGTCGCACAGAAAATAGGAAACGTGCCGCCCGGAGACCTCCTGAGTGAACCACTTGCCGATTTCCTGTGCCACCTGGGGCCCCAACTCTGACGCTTCGAGGGTCAGCCGGCTGTCTCGCCGCATGGCGCGCCACTGCCGCGGAATCAGAGTCGCGCTGCGGCTCTTCAGGCTATCTGCCGTCGCGAATTGTTCTACCTGTGTGAGCGTGTGCGATTCGAGTTCTTGTTGCCATAGGAGTGCAATAGTTTTTCCGACATCATACACTGAAAATTGTCAAATATTCGATCTCGCACTCGCAAGCGGTCAGCAGCCACTTTCACTTTGTTCAACAGCGTCGTTGGGGTTTACATCTACTATTAAACAAAGTTCGTAGAGTGAGGTCTACGCAGGCGCCTAGAACTCGGTTACTTTTGTGTTACAAATTGATACGAATGTAGTTTCTGACTCACGACCAGTTGCACCTGAACTTGGCCGTACGCACCATTTTTGAGACGCAATAAAGATTAACTGCTAGTTACCTTCGCCGAAACGTATTCCAAGAAGACGGGGTTTTCGCCGGCGTTAAGTCGAAGGCTGAGTGACTGCATCTTCTTGTTTCCTTGGCCGTGCCCGTCTCCCTCTTGCACAGAGGACCGTCTTGCGGGGACAATTTGGCAGAGCGCCGGATCGATGCCGGAGGTGTGCTGTTGATGATCCTGCTTGGTTTTCGTGCTGTGTAGTTGCGCGCCAGATCGACTACACCGCGGCGAGGACGTGGAAGAACTGCTACTGCTGCTGGTGCCTGAGGCTGCGGTAGAGGGAGCGGCGCTTTGAAATCCCGTGGTTTGATGTGCAGTTTTGGCACCAGAATCTGCTTGATGCTGCAGATCTTCACCTAGTGGGGTACCGCTGGCATTGGTTTTGTCCTGTTTTTTTGGTTCTGCGGTGGACAACGAGACGTCTTCGCTACCCGCTTGTTGCTGTTTCGCTGTTGCCGTGTCCTCCTTACCACTACCGCTTTGATGTTCCCTTTTTGACTCACCGTGCGGACCACCGCCGTCATCGCTTTCGCGTTCCGCAGCCTCTTTGCTCGAGGCGCGTTGTTCCTCCAGGAACTCCTGAAACCCGAAGTCGCGGCGTGGCACGGGGCTGGCCTCCTCCGACGGGGCGCGATCACCCTCTGTGGTTGCGCTCGGAGATTGCTCCTCTAGATTTGATGTACCCATCAGATTACCGAGGTTCAAACCTCCATAGCCTTCGTCGTCCTCAGACATCCCTGAGAGGCTGCTGTTGGATGAGGAGCTTCTACCGGATGTTGAAATACCAGCCCTTTTCGCTCTACTGCTGGAAGTTTTTATTTTTCGAGTCGCCCCCGCGCCGCTCCGGCTGCTGCCACTTCTCGCACCGATTCGCCAATCGGGCCGGGAAAAGTCCACTTTGTCTCGTCGGCTCTCACTCTCCACAGCCTCGTCGACAGTTCTTTTTGACGACGACTCGGACTGGCCGGCACGAATGCGGGAAGAGAGCGGCTCCGGCGCAACGTCGGCACGGTTACGAGCATGCAAAGAAGCTCTCCAGGCACTGCGACTACTAGGACGGAAGCCAGGGAGATCATCCTCGTCTTCGTCGTTGTCGGTGAAGATGAGAGGATCCTGTTCTTCCTCATCCGTTCTACCGCGGTTGTTTTCCGGGCTAGTTCTTTCGTCTTGCGCACTTGGAGCAAAGCCTTGCTCCTCCCGAAGCTCCTGTGCGCGCTTGTTGAGCCGGGCACGAAACGCGGACAAAAAGTCGCTTTTGTCCATAGACTCATCGTGGTCCTCTTGCTCGTCGTGCAGCTCCTCCCTAGATACGTCCTGCTCGTCTTCACCTACTTCACGAGAATCGGAACCTGAGCGGGCCCGTGTTCCTTTTCTAGTACCGCTGTCGTGGTGTTCGGTCTCATGATTTAGCTTCCGATCGCGTTTACATTTATTTTCAGTCTCGCTACCGGCCGCGGTCGCGCTGTCCTTCAATATTTCGTTCTTTGACTCTGCTTCTGTAGACATCCCAACATCATCCGCTGTGCCGCGCGCTGTCTCTCCGCACCGGGGAGATTCATCGTCAATCAAATCGAGCCCCTTGCTCGTCCGCGAAGCACGAGGCGGCACGACCTTGGAGGAAGAGGAGGCGAACAATGCCTCCTGAAATTGCTGCTGCGTCGACTCGGCCGCCTTTTTGTAGAAATCTTTCGCTTGCTCCTGCGACGTGGTCGCGTCGCGGTGTTCTTTGGATTTTACACGGCGAAGGTAATTGAGAAGCCACTCCTCGGTGTCCGATTCGCCCTCAACATCGTCTGCGTCTTCTGAACTCGATGGACGATGCGGCCTGGAGTCGTTGTCCACCTCTGCACGACCAACTTGCGACGTTTCTCCGTCTTTGCTCCGTCCGTACACATATGAGTTCGGGAGCTGCTCTTCGCGCCGTCCGGGGCCGACGGTTGCTTCCTCCTGGGACAGTCCAGAAGTTCCTCGACTTGCACTCCGACTTGTTAGAAGTCCGGTCGTGGCGGGCAACCTGTAGCTTTCGTTCCTCTTGGCATCGTGGTTGATCATGGCTGGACTTGCCCCAGAAGACGGGGACGGAGACGTGGGGATACGGTGGCGCGATAGTATTTCTTTCACCGCGAGGTCGTCCAGGTCGAGGTCGAGACCGTCGTCCCCTCTGTCATGATGTGCGTGGTCGTCGTGGTCCTCTCTTCGGTCCCCGGGCAACAAGCGAAACCCATCTGCTGCTGCTGCTGAGGAAGGTTTATCGCTACCACCACGACGACGTCCTGTTATGCCGACGCGCTGCTTGCGGGTTTTATTTGTGACGTCACCTCCGGATGAGGAGTCAGATCCGGACGAGGACGACCCACCGCCCTCGCTGTCGCTGCTTGACGAAAGATCGATACCTACTTGACGAAGCTGGGTTTTTATGATACTTTTCTGTTTGCCATTTTTTTTGGCGCGTTGGCAGGAAGACGAATTGGAACTAGTTTCGTGTGCAGCAGCACGAGTTGGTTCTCGCGAATTCAGATCGCCTGCTCTTAGGCGAGAAGAATGTTTTTCGCTCTGGTCGTCGGCGTCAGGAGCGTCAGCATGTTCGTGGTCCGGGGACGTCGAGGAGGGCGAGGTAGCAGCTGCGCCGTTCTTGTCCCGGTTAAGCCACCCATCCATTTCGCGTCGCGCTCGCGCAATGCGCTCGTTCGTCTGTTGGAGTCGCTGCAAGGACTCCCGCTGCCGCCGTGCACTCTCCCGGAGCAGAGAATCTACCGATTGGTCTGTATGATGCAATGCGGGTTCGTCGTCACTGCGAAAGCCCTCGCCCGAAGAATTGTTTTCTTCTCCACCCCCACCCCGGCGATCCTTCCCTTGACTTTCGTCGATGTACTTTTTATACCCGGCAGATACCGCCGGCTCCTGCACAGCATCAGCAGCTCCAACGGAACGAATGTTTGGCCTCGATAGAATCGACGGGTCACCGACGTCCTCCCCCAAGGGGGTCGCGCTGCTGTGGCGAAGATTGTAGTTCTGCACAGCCGGGTGATTCGCCGAGTAGTGCGTGGTGGTGCGAAACGAGGCCAACTTTCTCCTTGTCGCGTCAGTTTCCAGCTTTGCCTCTATACGTTCGCCATCCACCGGGCTACTTCCTAAACGTGCAGCAGAAAAGCGGTCGAATGGGGATGCACCGATTCCATTCAAACTCGAAAGACGCTGTTCATGTGCAAACTCTTCCAGCAACTCCTGCCTGCGAAAAAATTGTGACCGAAATTCTAGAAGACAGGAACAGCCACAAGATTGGAGGAGAGACATGCTAGCTAAGACTAACTTACGTATACTTTTACTCAACTTTAAATGTTGCTAGCGTAGTACAGGTAAGTACTTTCTTGAGTGACGCACTCCTGCGCTTCCCGATGTGGTGCTGGAGCTACCGCTGAAGAAGTGTAGGCGAGTGCCCTTGTTAGCGTCCTGTGTCCCGCCGGGAGGACTGCTGTGGGGGCTGTTGCTACCGTACTCCTGTCCCATGCTTCCTGCCCCAAAGCCTCCCGACAGAACGGCACGATCGTCGAGAAATTCCGACGCACGATTAAGGCTCGAAAGCACTTTCTTGATGGGCGAGTCTCTACCCCCGTGCTGCTCCGCCTTTTTCGCCCCTGCGTAGGATCCTGCCCCGGGCACGTGTCCTGTTCGTGGTCCCGGCGGCGAGTTAGTTCTCGGTGTTTCTGTGGTCGAAGACGTGGACGTGAAAAGTTTGTTGCTCTGGCTGCCAGGAGGTGGACCTGCAGGTGCGGTCGGAAACAGGTAGGGCTCCAAATTTGCTTGATTTCTCGCTTTCGACGACGAAGATGAGGATCCACCCCCACCCGTCGCGCGCCCGGCGGTGGCGGAGCCACTTGAAGAAGTCGCAGCATGAAGACTATTAAAGCCCGGAAAATCCGCCTCGGCTGGAAGATCCCGGGAGCCGCGCCCCCTCGCACTTGGAGACGTGGGCGAGCTTGATACACCAGTTGCATACGGCGTACCGTCCCGCCACTTTTCTTGGTCTCGAGCAATAGTTGAGGTGCTTGCAGCTGTTGCTCCACCATCGGGTCGTCCCGTCCGAACTTCGTAGTCGCGTCGTCTAGCGGTCGTATTACTTCTACTTCCATACTCGCTTGTCGTTGCGTGGCTCGTTCTAGTACTCGTGGTCGCTTCATCCAAAAGGCTGGTGCTTTTGGGCGCCTCCCCGGTCGTCGGCGTGTATAAGCGTTTCGCCTTATGATAGCCCGAATGCAGAAAGGAAAAGACCCCGTCGTCGTCGGAGGAGGCGTTTCCGCCCAGATGATCCCTGCCCTGCTTCCTGGACCCTCGTGTTGTGTGAAATACGCGCGGCCGCGAGGAGGAACCACTGGTCGCGGTATCCTCAAACTTGTTATCGAACTCGAAACGGCCACTCGATGAAGTTGTACCTGGAACTGCGCTTCTGCCCGGAGACCTATGATCGATGGTGTAAAACTCTTGTTGATTGTCATCTATTTTAGATTCAGACTCTAATAATAATACTGGAGGTGATTCATCTTTTACGTGTGTTCATTCTTTCTGACCCACAGGAAAATATGTAGCTCCTGTATAATCATGCTAAGAAAGTGTGTCTTTTTCTTCCTGGATCTACAAACGCATCAGACTCAAATCTGTACCAAAACTTCCGATAGGAAGACGAAGGAATGCATATTGCACAGCAGCTCACAGCAGAAGTCCTGGTAAAAAATATGCCTATGTGAATGTCATTTATGCAAATGTAGTTTAGTTACTTGTTCATTGAGAGGGCCTCATTCAGCATTGAGCGGAGCGCCGAGGCGTGTTGCATCAGGTCGCCGGTCTTGTCACCTGGGCGACCTCGAGCGAAAAGGTCGTCCTCGTCTTCCTCTGCCCCACCACCCGCACCCTGTGGGGGTGAGGAATTCGGGCTACTTCGAGGTGGTGGCGAGGCGCTCGACGACGAAGCAGGAAACTATGGACGAGCTCTCAAACGTTATATTCGTCGTCGCCTGTTCTTGCATCAATTTGTGCTGCAAGAATAGCAAAAGTGAAAGCGGTCGGGACGGGTGAGCTTGCACCTCGTCTCGCATAGTACAACAAAAGCGGCACAGATTTCCACGCTGCTCAGCGCTTCGAGAATTTGCCATGCGAAGTTGTAGCGTGATCGTGTTGCTATTCCTATTGCATTGTTTGGTGGTCTTCTTGAATGACAAATCATGTGACAGTTGCGAGAGTAACTGTAACGTCTGAGTAGAATCTGATAGAAAGCCCGCGAAGCCGCGCGAAGACAAAGACGTGGAGGACTGGTAAACCTGCGCCGACGTCGCAGCGGCAGCTCGTACCGAATAACTAGAAGCGGTTTTATTGTGGCTGCCGAGCAGTCCACCCGCTCCTGTGTTGATGTTCTGTTTTCTCCTCGAAGAGGACGAGGATGAAGAAGACGAGGAGCTACCGCTGGCCACGGACGCCGTCGCTGCCGTTCCGGGAATGGAAGAAAACAGTCCGGCGGTCGACGTGGTCGCAGAAGAAAACAAGCCTCTGGCGCCGGAGTTCAGCCCGGACGAGGAAGATGAAGACGGTGGTGGAGGAGGCGCGGCGACAGGCTCGACGTCCACCTGCTCTTCCTCGTCCAGTTCCAGCAGGTCGGCGAGCTTGACGCTCATCAAAATGTCGCTGCTCGCCACGTATCCTGTGCAAAAGTATCGTACTCGTAGTAATCGCTGTCATGCATGACAAATCTGGTTCCCAAGGCAAATCAGCATGACAAATTCCATTTTTCATGATCATGCTGAGCGAATTTGTATTGCAATTACTACTAGTATGATACTTTTGCAATTCATAGCACGGTGTTGGAAATGTTCACGACAGCCACCCGCGCGGTGGCGTCCGACTGGTTCGGCTTCTTCAGAAGCACCTCCCCGAGGTTCTTGATGCCGAACGCGCTGGCATCCTCGGGTGCGATCTTGACCAACAGTTTCGGGATGGTGGTGTCCATCCTGACACAATACCGCGACTTCATCGACATTTTTTTACCACTAGAAGAGGACGAGGTGGACGACCAAGAGGAAAATGGGTGTGACGCTGCTGGTGGGGTCGTCTGCTCTACTTGAAGGGTCGTGTTGTACTTACTGCGGTACTTGCTATAATTCTGACGCAGCGGGTCTGTAGTGTTTGCAAAAGTAGAACTCCTGCTCGTGGAGGTGCTTGATGTCGTGCTGGCCGCGTACGCCGACAACGCAATAGAGGAGGACGTCGAGGACGTCGTTGCACTGGGACCGAAGTTAAGTTGCTGCACGTCGTTCGACTTACTGTCCGCCCAAGTAGAAGAACTCGTGGTCGCCGGCGCCGGAGCGCAAGGTGCCATCTATCAAACTGGGATTCTTGTAAGAAACAACCAAATCAACGCCAATAAACAAAAGCCAACGAGGAGGAATCAACACAACAACATAACTGAATTTCCTTCGAGAAAAATAGGAATATGCAGAAATAGACAGCCAGAGAAGGACAACCTAATTCTATTTTACGCTTGACTTTTGCGAACTACAAGAAGTAGCTGCATCTTCTACACGTCGAGTTGGTTTTGTTTTTGTACTACTTCTTGATTTCCTCCGTCCGTGCGAACCTACCAGACTTAAGAAAAATAATCCTGCTACCACGTGCAGGAATCTAGCATTTGCAGAGCGAACGCGAGCCCATCGCGAGGCTTCTGGGGCACAAGGAGTAACAAAAGCGGAGCAGCCAGAAAAAAACGCCATATTGGCTGTCCATATAGTAGCATTCCATTGCATCTCAGTTTGAAGATACCCTACGCTCATTTCCATTTTTCCTTCGCGAGTATTCAGTTTACAGCCCTTGCGATTCTGGCGACATGTTTTCCTCTTTGTCCAACTTCGGTCTCAAAAAAAAGTAGCCTCGTGCAGCAACATGCAGGCAGACGAAGGAGCAAACAGAAGGAATGCGGGCGAACACCACGATCGTGAGCGATAATTGATCGAGCGTGGTGCCAACAAACGTAGTGGTAGTAGTCATTTAGATTTACGTATACCTATGCGGTCTACAGTTGCAGATACCATTAAGTCTATATCCAGCTATTTTGGATTCATCTTCTCCGCGCACTGGCGCTCATTGAGGTCGGTCGCGGTCGTTTTGATACTTCCTTGTGCTTTTTGGGAGAGTTGAAGTTATTTTCGAGCAGTTACAATCAGTGCACTCATGCTCACGTCCATCTCAATGCGTATTCATACATTGCGATTTACGATCTCTTTTTTGTCAAATGAAACGACCAGACCTCCAGGCTACAGGTCCTGCTAAGTCAGCGAAGAACAGAGACAGACATGAGGTGCACCACGTTAGTGTTAGTATCACTTGCCTTCTTCCTGCGCCCCCATGAGCTGCAAAACGAGAAAGAGGATGAGGAACGCCCACCAGTATTTCCGGAGAAAGCCCATCATGCCCTGTGGTTCTTGCTCTTGCCCCTCGCGTGGTACTGGCTTTGGGGGGATCACTGGGGACGGACTCTGCTGGCCCTTGTTTAGTCGCACCTGTGCCGTCGAAAGCGATTTTTGTTGATCAAGTTTCAGTCGCAGCGATGGTGCGTGCTGGTGCTTTCTCGAAACTAAAAGAATTAAAAGTCTGGTCATGTCGTAGTTATGACCAAGTGCAAACGTAAAGAGAGCCAAAGCCTGGCTATGTCTGATGTGCTCCTCGATTGCCGTCAATGAGAAAATGATGAAATTTTATATTAGCTTATACCGCTGTATGCTCGAACAAATTCAGGCCCCAGGCAGCTTGTGCTCGATAATTGATTCCCAACACTTGCCTTATGCCAGAGACGAGAAGTGACACTCTGACTTCGATCCTTCTGATGTACGATCGCTTCAGTAGTAATTGCACGGACGCCCGGAGACAACTCGCTCGCATTATACCATGTGGAAATTCAAATTGGAAAATCTGAGAACATACAACAAGAATATCAGTCCGTAATCGTAGACGGATTTGAGTGACATGCAAGTAGTAAGTACCAAAGTGATTCGCTCATCGTTAGCGATCGAAGTGGAGCATTCAGTTTCGCTGGGGTATCGCCGCCGGTGGTGAGAGCCACCTCCAGACTGTCATGGGCGTCCTCGATTTTCAGGATGGCGCACGGAATGGAGGTGAGCAGAAAAGAGTCCTCCTTCTTCCACAGCTTGACGGAGTAGAACCCGCTCGGCGACTTGCCACACTCCTCCAGCAAAGTTTTCAGCGTGTCGCTGTCTCGCATCTCCTCAAACTTCTGCGCGTCGTCGATGCGCGCTGCGTTTTTCTTCAGCAACAGCGTTCCCCGGGGGTAACACTCCGGTGCGGTCGAGAAGCAGTGCTGCAGGGGTAACTTCGCTGCAACGCTCCAGTCTTCTGGCGCATCCTTGTCAGTGGCTTTTGGCGTGAAAATTACGTCTTCGAATTCGGCGTCACCTGTTTGCGTGCTGTCCGCTTGTTCGAGTTCGGCCCCGGCACCAAAGTTGCTTGCCGCGCTCGCAACTGCCCTTGGTGTTGAAAGGAGAATGGATCCGAGCAGCAGGCCGCTGCACCACAACGCGGTCATTGGGCCTCTGGCGCGTTGGCGGAATCGGCGGGAAGCACCATCGCCATCGGATGTCAAGGATTGTCGCATTCTTTTTGTAAATTCAGCACAGTCCTTACAGTGTTTCTCTGCGGTCGCCGAAAATGTCTGCAAAATTAAGGTAAGTAGATCATAGGAGGTGTTGTTTTGATTTGTTCTTGTTTTTTCATGGTCGAGGAAATTTCGAAGAAATACGCAACTACTAACTGAGCCTTAATTTAAATTAAGTAAAACATGTCGCTAATCAGGCCCTTCGTGTTCATACTAGGAAAAATAACAGATACTCCATGATACTGATAGTACTGTCTCCGATTTTCAACATAGTTTTCATTTTCTTAATTTCACTAAAAGGATTAGATCGAGGCGCATTGATGGCAAAATAGGGTGCGCGGAACAATATTTTTCTACTAGATTTATGATTATCTATGTTTGCGCACCTTGTAGATTCATGAAAAAGGCGCTTTGCCGAAAAGCTGAAATTAGAGCGTGCCGATCAGGAACTATACAACTATCGCTTTAGAACTATGTCTGGTAAAGTTGGCACTGAAAAGATCCTTGCATAATGGACAGCATGATTGCTCTGCAGGTATGGTGATCGCATAGCAGTGACAGGGTGCGTGCTTCAAGAACACTCTGACTAATCGGCACAGGTGTAGTTTTCTATTTGAATTTAATCGCAGCTGCAACACGAGCAATTTGTGCGCTTCGCTTCCTCGTTTTTATTGTCGTATTTTCTTGATTCTTGCGTAAGTGGGCGAACATGAGCAAGCGCATCAATCATTATTGCGCTTTTACACCTATAGTCTGGTCTATTGTCAAAGGTATCCCTCATAAATGCGTGAAGAACAATAGGTGGACATTTTTTCTAGCTGTGCGGGGGCTGCGTCTCCGAAGTAAATTATTTGAAAGAAGTTTCTCTAACTCTATCCAACCATAAGCACTGTGCGCTCAAGTTTTGCGTCTGTTAACAGGTGGAGAATTTCTAGTCGTGCACAAGCTGTTTTCTCTTGCAGTTGAGCCGATACCTGTTGACACCAACTTTTTAGGTGGCGGCGGACGTCAAACTTCGAGACATCCGTAGCAAACATCCGTCCTAGCACAGGCGTCTGCGATGATGAAGCACCTCCTGCAGGCAGGTTCTTCTTCACTCGGATGAGCAGTTCTGCTTGCGCTTTCGTTGACTTTCGCCGGCCGGCATCCACGAGAACCAATTTCAGCTGGTCCACGCTGAGCGCTTCCTGCAGCTCCTTTTCGTTCTCCCCGTCACAGTGCAGAAACGAACTCCAACGGATCCGTTGCTGGTCGTCAGCATAATTTTTACTTCTCGCTTTGTTCTTTGTGGAGGTCGGGGAAATCGCAGCTTGTTCGCTAGAATTGATGTCCTCGGTCACGGTCGCACCTTCCTGGACGTGCTGCCGCAATTCTTCGAACTGGTCCAAGTCCCCCACAAACAAGATGGAATTGTTCTCGTCCATTGAAGATGTTGATCTTGATGTTAAAGTAGCGAGATGCTGTTCATCGTGCTCCTGGCATTCTAATTCGTTACTAGCGCCGAGATTGTTGACATAATGATCCGGTTCCGGGTAGTAGTTGCGAACATCTTCATGATTCTTGCGTCGAACAAGAGCGGACTGCAAGGGATGTCCGCGGTTGCTGCCCGCTCGCCGCTGGAGCTCCAGGAGTCGGTACCTCCAGCTGCGGTGTTCTTTCCGCGTCGTCCGCACATCGGGGGAAAACATGCCCGCGTCGAAAGCAGCGCGGGAAAAAATCGATAACCCAACCTGCGTTTCGCAATCCATCCCGCGCCAGGCCGCGACGCACAGGGTGTGGGTGTAGCTATCGCTGCCGGGGCTCAGCTATGAAATCCAAAAGTATCGCACTAGTATAAACCAGCCATGCTCCGGCTACCGCCGGAGCGCAAGGCTGTTTGGCCGGGTTTGAACTGCTTGCGGACCGGACCACAGCGACATACATACTCATGCCCCCACAGCACCGTCTGCGCGCTTCTCGCGCCTAAGGGCGCTCTGCGCAGGGAGGAGCTACCGCGAGCACTGGGGCAGAACAGGACGCACCTAGGTGCCACACCAATCCGCTACGCATGCCTTTCGTTAATCAAGACGAACCACGAACCCCGCCCCATTCCCCGGCTTCACTTTTTCAATGGCTTCAGTGTGGGAGGGCGGCGCGAGAGGGTAGCGCGAGAGGGTGGCGCGAGAGGGTGCGCGAGAGGGTAGCGCGAGAGGGTGGCGCGAGAGGGTGGCGCGAGAGGGTGACGCGAGAGGGTGGCGCGAGAGGGTGGCGCGAGAGGGTGGCGCGAGAGGGTGCGCGAGAGGGTGGCGGGGACAAACGCCGTCCGCGAAGAGCCTGCAATGCTAAATATGAGCACTACCATGCGGATTCGCGCCAGCCACTTTGTGTTTTTACCCTCTCGCAGACCTCTCGCAGACCCTCTTTTTTACCTCTTTTGGGGGTCCCCGCTAATAGTCCGGCTATACTCGCGGGTAGAGGTCGACAGAGGTGGCCCAGAGGTGGCCGAGAGGGTGCGCGAGAGGTTGGCCCTTATTCGCGCCACCTCTCTCGACCTCTGTCGACCTCTCGCGCCCCCTCTTTTTGACCTCTCTGCACCCTCTGAGGCACTTAGGCGCCGCCTTAAGGTGGGGCCTTCAGCGGGCTATACTCGCGCACCCTCTCGCCGACCCTCTCGAAAGGGGTCCCGCGCCACCTCTCCACCTCCGTCGACCTCTTTTTTACCTCTTTTGACCTCTTTTTGACCTCTCGGCCACCTCTTGTTTACCCTCTGTCTACCTCTTTTTTCGCATGAATATAATATATAAGTAATTGCATATACAAATTTCCCTAGCATGACAAATAGAATTTGTCATGCTGTTTTAGCAATCATGCTGTTTTAGCAAAGGAAGGCGATTTGTCATGCATACTTGCGATTACTACGAGTACGATACTTTTGCACAGGATATCAACTCGACCGCGTCCCGAAACGATGTGTCCGCTTGCTGCAGCTCCGCCACGAGGTCCAACACCTCCGGCAACAAGCGGCGGGGCTGGACACTGCATTTCAGCTTGATCTTCACCTGTTCATCTTGCGGGGGCCCCGACAAGGCATTTTTTGTTGCTGGAATCATGAGTTGAGTACACACCTCGGAGAGCAGCCAATTTCGGAAGGAAGTTGCGCTAGACATTCGCACTTCTTCGTCGGAGAGCAAGGGCAGCGTGTGATTGTGCGGGAAGACGCGATCGACGAGGGGGCCGATAATGGGGCAGTTTCGAATCTCGGCGCAGGTTTGCAAAACGTTTGTCGACGCAATCAAGATCTGGCGGTGGTCCGTGCCTTGCACTCCGCGGGAACTCTTCGTGTTCTGCGGGTCGGTGGAAACGGGGAGGTCGCAAACGTGGACGCCCAGCACCGACGGAAAATGCTTTCCTCGATTTTCGAGCACGAACTCACACAGCTTCTGCGGCTGCGAGGCGGCAGTCGCCTCCGCAACAAGGGTCAGCAATACTCCGTCGCGCTCGCGGCTCGTCCGAGGAGGAGCTTCGCGGTTGCGTGAAGAGGAGTTGTGTGGTGGACCCCGCCCGGATGCGGCGGTTGTCAACAGCTCTTCCTTCCTTGCCGCGCCGTGCTTCTCTTCCTCTTGCTTTTTTACCAGATAACCTTCTTCGGTTTCTGTGTAAGGTGGAAATGCGGCAAAATTTTGATGCGCCTCTGCTGTTTCCTGGTTGCAGTTAACTACCACTTCTTCATTTTTTGCAGCCTCTGACTTTTCCGAGAGGTCTTCGGCGGAGGCGGAAACCAACAGCAACAAATTGTCGGGCGAAACTGATTCCAAACAGTATTGGAGCACTTTGATGTCGATACTTCTACCTTTCTCTTCACAAAAACCACCTCCCGATGCTTCTGGCGAGGTAGAATTGCAACCAATTTGCCCGCGACTTTTGCTCGCTTTCGTCTGCCACCTCAGGAACGCGAGACGCCCTTCTTCCACCACCCTCCGCGCAAGAATACCAAGACGCTTCAACTCCACAACATTCGGGAAGAGATGCCGCAGCTTCCAGTTGCGGCAAGTTTGCTGGTGCAGCGTTGGCACCTTGCTGAGGTAGATCAGCTGCTTGCACAGAGCAAACTCCCGCTCCGACGCTTGCAAAACCTGTTCCCACCACTCGCGACCCACGTAATTCTCGTAGGTGAGTCCTTTGTGGTGGCAGCAGGGAGCACAGGCAAAGAGGCTGAGGCGATCGTGCTGCAGCAACTTCGCGCAGTGTCGTACCGCAACATCGGACGCGTTGGAGCATAAGTGTTTCGCCAGGAGCACTACCTTTGCGGGCTGTGGCTGCTGCTCTTCACCATAAACTAGAGGTCCTTGTGCCTGCTCCAGAAGTGCTCCTGCCTCTTTTGGTACTCCTGCTCCTGCCCGTGGGGTGGTAGTCGCAAACGACGCAAGGTTAGACGACCCAAAAGTTCCAGCGATCGGATCCCATTCGGAAATGTCTGCGGTGACGTGGTGAATAATGGTTCCTTCAACACTTCGCGCGCCGTCTGCGCGACGATTGCGTGCCGCCGGGCTGTCGGCGTGCGCCCGCACGTTTTGAGCGGTGGAAGACTCCTCGAGTGTGCCGGAGCTGTTTCCGCGCCGCGGTGCGAGGGACGTCGTCGTTGCAGATGGTTTATTGGCCAGCGATGAAGATGTCGACGCGGACGGCGACGGCTGCTCTCCAGAAGTCCTCAAACTTTGCTCTTGGTTCATCTGGTCGTATCGAATTTGGGACATCACTCTTGCGCTTATACCGGTTTTCGAGCCGCGCCGCTCGGGAGCAGGAGATGCTCCCCCGCAGCCGCCGGCATCTTCGGCCACCGGGTCGCAAAATACGACTTCTTGAGTATTTTGCGGGGGGGTGAGCACATCGGGCACGTGAAAGAATCCGTTGCGCACCTCTCTTTTATCAACTACTGTTAGTGGCAATTCCGCTAGCTCCGCCACGACCTGGCCAAGCAAACCCTTACCTGCTCCAAGTTCCACCACCTCCAGCGCATCCTCAGGTCGCAGCAAGGTCCTCGCGGTGGGCCGCAACTGGTCCAACACACAGGCGGCAATGGACTCGATCTGGCCGCCGTGTTTTCCGCGCTTGTCGTGCTGCCAGGTTTTCTTTTGCGAGCTGTCCTGGAGCCGCTGCTCCATTTTCAGCATGACCTCGATGGACTGCGACTGCAATGGTTGCACTTCGGTGAGCTTCACCGCTCTCATTTTTTCCACGAAGCCCTGCACAAAGGCTGCATACTTCTGTCGGCCCTCGTCGCTGTTCCAAGGCTGCTTCGATTTCATTTTTTTCGGCGGCTGGTTCTCGTTTTTCTTGTCAGCGTTATAATTTCTGTGAGCATGAGATTCCTGATCCTCTTCATCCGCATCCCCGTTCTCGGCAACGCGTCCAAAGCCTGTGCTGACATCTACATGCTCCTCCCGCATGATGGTCGCTATGACAACTTTCTTGTCGTCGACCCGCTCCGCTGGTTCCTCAACCAAATCCGACCCCGACGCGATCATATCCGACTTTGCCATTAGCTTTTTTAAATTTCCTTATCTTGTTTTCATTGACAGAGATTTTTAGACTTCTTGATGCGTGTGAATTTCTCGCTTATGTAGTGCACACGGTTTTGGTGACCTGCCTGTGGTATAACACAACATCAACATGCTTGAAACAACACATGTGTAGTAAAAATCATAACATGCAAAACGGATCATCCAGATCGGAGAAAGATGATTTCGGTTTCGGCTACAACGGAACCCAGGTAGAGGACCTCCCGACTTTTACTATGACGTACACGGAACTCGACCTTGGCTGCAACACGATCAAAATTCATACATCATCATCATCGTTATCAGAGATCATTTCGGCTGCGGTCAGGGTCACTATCTTGCGTAAGTCTTTCGGAGCAAGATATCATTTTGAACGGACGAAAAGGAGATCTTGATCCCGTGCGGGCTTTTCATGCTGGTCCAGAAATTATATTACAAATTCTGCGCCAGATCATACCAATTTTAATTTTATCATGTACTCCAGTCGTATTTTTCGGGAGCAAAATTTTTGAATTAGCATGTCGTGGTAGTGGTTTGCGATTTCAGAAACGTGTACATAGCAACATCCCGCTTTTGAGTCGGAGAAAAAAAACGGCCTTTGTAATTCTCGTTCTCCGTGGTATAAAGCAAACTTTTTGTATTCACTTCCATGATTAAGATTATAATTTTGAGTCTGTCACACGAACTGCTAGAACTTCTTTTCCAGAAGTGGCAGACGTGAAGCGTAGTTGCTTCCTAATTTCGCGAGCCACATGTGGCCTTCTGCCTGTATTGACGGCGAAGCAAACCATTCGACCTTCTCTGGTTTCTTTCGCTCTTTTCTCCAATGGGCGTACTCGCTGCGGAGCTGTGCGTGCCTCTGCGTGCGCGAGAAGGAAGACAGTGTGGCGTCGCGCACGGCCTCGGCTTTACGGAGCCTCGCGACATGCTCCTCAAGCTCCGCCTGTACGCCGTCGTGATGAAGCCGCAACTCCTCCGTGGTACTGCACAGCATGTCGAAACGAATCTGCAATGGAATCAGGTCCTCTGCACTGACCTTGGCTTCGCGCAGCAACAGCTTTTCCAGAAAAAAAAGTTTGTGTCGCACCATTGCACCCGGAGGCTCGGTTGGCTCTCCTGCCACGAAGCTCTGTGGCGGGTGAGCGCCGCCGACGGCCGAAGTAGTAGAACTTCGACCAGTTTTGTTACCAGAGGTCACATTTTTGCAGCTTACAACTTTGTAGTTGTCGCTGTAACTTTTATTTGTTGAGCACAATTCTAATTCATCTTCCACACACTATTCCAATTCCAGGGATCATTTCTCTCATCTCAATACACCACTAACACTATCAGCCATAGCGAAGGAATACGCCGAAACCCATGACTATACTCGTAAAAACGCAAGGTGGGAATCTCGATCTCAGGGAAGAAAAATGGATATCGGTTGTAGTTTATCATTCTTTCGCGTCGACCACAAGCACCACTAACACTTTTTGCGAGGCCGCGAACACCTTTCCCCATGCTCGTACTTAACTGGTGCGGTTCGGCGGCACACAAAGACATCAAAACGATGGTGAATATATTATAAGGTCTTTCAATCCAAAATCTAGCCTGCCGAAAAAGACAGACTCTGGGGCATGATAGAGGAAGAGGTGGAGGTCCATTTCTCGGAGGCACTAGCATTACTTTTTGGTGCTGCTCTGACGACGAGATTCAAAAAATCACCTAGGTGTGGACACTCACGCTTCGGCCCCAAGCGTTCGATTTAGCAAGGAAGTCAACCACCTAGTTGAGAGGGGTCAAACGACTTGAAAATATTCTGCGCGCCTCGTGGTGTCATGTTAGGAAATTCGCGCTGGTGGTGCGGGGTCTCGACGAATAATTCGCGTAAGGGCCTCAGCCGGCGTCGCGGCTGAGACCCCTGCTCCCCGTGCTCATCGCGCGGTGTTGCTGGTGTGTGGTCAGTACTAACCGCTGGAGGAACAACGACGCCGCTTGGAACTGCGGCTGCTGAACCTGACGACCCATGTCGTGATGTGGCTGCTCGTGGCAGCAGCTCAACATGATCACCCGTGCCATCATCTGGTGGTCGATAGGTGGCCCTTGTCTCGTTCGGCGACGCAGTAGGTGTGGTCCCTTGATCTACTTCCTTAAGAGACTCCGCAATCGCACGCCGGAGTGCTTCGTCCTCACTGATGCTACCGCTGCTGTTTCCGCCTTCATCTCCAGCCTGGGAATCACCGGCTTCAGAATCGGCGTCTGAGCCACCGCTTCCAAAACAAAATGAACCCCGACACGAGGCTGCTTCACTCACACCATCACCAGCGCTTGAGGTTGGTGAACAACAGAGCCGGACATTCCGGTGCTGGAGAGGCATTTGTCGTGTCAACAGGGATAGAGTTTCCGCCGTCAAGGGGGCAGGGTGGCCTGTAACTTCCGTGCCGGGGTGTGCAACCGTACTGCTCGTCGGGGGCATGAATGCCGCCGGTCGTCCCCGTGCTGGCGGTGGTCGAGTGGGCGCATGCCCCCGGACACCGCGCGCACCGCCTGCTTTTCCAAGGCGCTCCGGCTGCGTGGCGTCCGAGTCGGACAGTGCTCCCCCGGAGTCATCTTCATGGGGACAAAAATCCACCCAACGCCGCTCATCTTTATTGCACCCATTCGAGGTTTTTACTAGCCGCGGGTCGCTCGCAGCCGCAGGGTCCAGAACTACCGAGGAAGTAGAAGCTCTTTCAGCGAAGAAGCCAAAGAGGCCTTCGCGGCCAATGTCACCAACAGCCTTGTTGTTGACCCCTCCGCGAGATGGAATCGTCGTGCCAGAACCGGCAAGCATACCGCTGGCGCTCTCGGACGCAGGCGCATGCTCTAGAAAGAATGCCGCTCTTGCAGTCCCATGAGAGGTAGTCTCTTGCTTTACAATATCCGTAGTGGTCACCGTCACGGTAGACAGCTTTGTGCGGGCGGTATGGTCCGCCGCAGCTCCCGTCTCGCCTTTTTTGTGTGTTTGGTGTGAAACTGGAATCTCAGCTTGATGTTCGTTGGCAACGTCCTCTTCCCCATCTACTAATTCGTACAGCCAGAATATCCCTTCGCGTTGAATGGTTTCACGGAGCTCGTCGACAGCGTCACTTCCCCTTTGTATGGAAGCAGCAGCTGCTGGCGTGTGCGAGTCAACGTGACTGCTCATAGTCGTGCGCACGGTTCTCGCGACAGCATCGTCATAAAAATGAGTATACTCTTCTAAAGTGCGAGGCGCGGAGGCTAGGCTGCCCTCTGACCGCAGCGAGAGGTTTGCTGTATCGGTGAAAGTCGCGGCACGGTAGTGCGCCATTCCGCCGTCAGCACCAGATCGGTGCAGTACCGCAGATCGTAGGTGGTACGAGCGTGACCTGCAGCCGCCCTCGTGGCTGTTTACGCCACACCTGCTGGCACTTTCGCGCCGTGACATTACTACATCCTCGCGCGAGCCTCCACTTCTGGCGCAAATGTCGAACGACGCACTGGAAAATATCTGTCTGGCATCCAGAACCCGTGGCACTAGGACCTGCATGTCGCCTCGCTTTTTACTGCGGACGACCGAAGCGACCTGTTCTTGCTGATGGCGAGTCGAGAGCAGCAGGACGCGGGGGAGAGTCGCTCCTGTCTCCGTCAGCAGCTCACGTCTCTCTTGCAAGACCGCTCTACCAGCCTGGAACAGCGCCACGCAGGCGTCACTGTTTGTCTTGTTTATTGCATCTGGCTGGTTCGCCCACCGGCGCTCGTCCATCAAGCGCACGAGGCGGACATTCTCCTTGTACTGCTTTTCGTCTTGCTGGGAGTGCGTGGATAATGTGAACGCGGTGGTGGCAGCGTGTTTCGCTGACCGAAAATCGTTGTACGCGCTCGAAGATAAAGCGCCCGGCAACCCGAACCTGAACGGCGACACTGCACTATCACTGCCTGCTTCCTCCTGTCTCGAGGTCGGAATCGTTTCCGCATGCTCAACAGTGAGTTCTGGATCCGGGCCCCAAGTGAAAGGACGAGGCTTTCCCACGGCCGTACCTTCATCACTAGACCCGACAAACAAGCTCTTCGAAGGAGAAAAGCTGCGGCTTCCCGCTGCTGATCGATGAGATCCGGACTGTAAAGTCAAGCGGGGGACCGCACACGTGGCGTGGTGCGTGATACCATCTTGGTACCTTCGAAGTAAGCCGGCCAAGGCGACACGGTGGTTGTCCTTTCGCTGACTTTCGCCGACACTGTGCGTCGTCAGAGTCGACGTTCGGCGCGGCGCCGAATGAGCAACAGTTCCGCCGAAGAACGAGGACGGCTTGATCAGATCTAACTCCGCGCTTAATTCTCCGTCGAGCCGCAACGTGACGACAGGATCCGGCTTCATCCGATACACGCAACTGACAGGCTGACCGGTGTCGTCGCGCAGTGTCATGGTACTGGTACTAGCATCCTGCTGTTTCGAAAAACAAGAGGCGGATTGAGATTCAATGCTCATGTCATTGACCTTCTGGTCAATTGTTGCTGTCGTACCCTCGGAGGAGCTTTCATCGCCCTCCTCCAGTCGCGCACCGTGCTGGCACCAGCGGTCTTTGTCCTGCTTCTCGTCCGATAACATTTGAGGGCCCAGAAGCGATGCCTGGTTGCTCGATTTATGTTCCACATGATCGGGTTTAGTGTCAGCACTACCTTCGCCACCAGCGAGCGCAGCCGGATCGACCTCCTGCTCCTGGCCAGCGTGCACCGGGTCGAGCAAGCGAAAGATGGTTTGTGTCTGCAAACGAAACAAGTCGGCGAGCTTGGGAAGGGCTTCTCGCAAAAGGACAAAGAACGCTTCTTCGGCACACTGCTGTTGGCCCGTAACTGCGCAAGAACTGGCTGCAGGGCCCCCAAAAGGATGGTGCCCGTCCGCGGCACCGTCGTCTTCTTGAGAGGAAATCAACAAGAAGGAAACCCCCGTACTTAGTTCTTCCATCTGCGTCCGGGATACCTTCTTGTCGTAAAGCAGGCCCTTGTAGTACTAAGCGGAAGTTTCTAGGAATGAGGAAAATTCGAAAAATTTCAATCCCCAGATGAAAGTAGGCAGGTGGAGATATCAGGTCGCGGCCCCGTGCCGGCCCATTTGCGAATACCGCTGCGCAAGAAGAGCTCGAAGAGCCCCGCGGACAACTGCGGTAGCCGAGCCTGGAGAGTCATCCGCGGCTCGCATATAATGGCCTGTATCGCGGCTGCATCAAAAAGACAACGCATGGCTCTCCGAACGGTGGCGCCTCCACACACGCGCATCATTCTCAAAACTATTAAGCCAAAACCTCAGGCGCCATGGACCTTCCTACCCATGGACGCCATGCGCTACAAATAAACACTCTATAGCGGGGCAGGTGTACCCCCTTACCGAACCGCGCCAAACATCCCACGCCGTCGACAGCTTCCCACCGTGAATCAACCTGCCGCGTCTTTGCTCCTAACGCCTTCAACTTGCGGGCATTTCGCGCCGGACTCGAAATTTTCCTCGGAAATTGAATCGCGGTGCTATGGTGGTGGTTTTGGCCTCGCTTCGGGCGTGTTTTGCTGCCGCGCTCGCTACCCAAAAAAGGGAGCCCGGGAAAGCCAGCAAAACAGACCAGGCCCCAGACTCGCCTCGAAACAAGGCAAAAAGCGGCGCCATACCGTCGCGATTCAATTTCCGAGGAAAACTCAGAGCCCCCCCGGCCCCTCCCCCTTGCCCTCCCCCCCCTCTTCGCCATTTTCCTCGGAAATTGAATCACGATGGCACGGGGGCGATTTTGGCCCCCTTCAGAGGGGGCCCTCCGGAGGCCCAATCCGGCCCCCCCGCGACCCCCCCTTCGGCATTTTCCTCGGAAATTGAATCACGAGCGGAAAGCGCAGAGCGCTATTTGAAGCATGGAAGAAATAGCAAAAAAATCAACGCGGGGCTGAGCCCTCGGGCGCGACCTTTGTTGGGGCACCCCGCCAAAACCCGGCCGCCGCACTTGAGGGCGCCGGGGTAGTCCTCCGCCTTTCTTTTCAAATGTTTCCGCACCTCCTCAAGACGGCTAGGCCACGCGTCCGACCCCACTGGCCCCTTTCAGGGCTGCCGCGTTAGGTTGGGATCCCCACTAGGGGATTGCCGGGGGGCTGGTGTTCGGTAGAATAGGCCCAGAGACCTCAAAGACCTGCCACCTTAGCGCGCTGCTCTGACTGCGATGCACATGTAGAGATCGCTGCCGTTATTCAGATGAAGCGCGGCTTTGTGGGTGTGTGTTGAGCCTCCGGCGATGGCTGGTTGGCTATCGAGGTGAGTGGCACCCGAAAAGCCGCCAGCCTGCTTTGGTGATTTCACTGCGCGGCAATGCGTCTGAACTCTGACGCAGTCGCTTCCCCTTTCCATTTTCGAATACAACAAACAAATGCTGGCGCGCCACGCCAGCCAAACACAGCTACGAAAAGCTGCTACAGTCGGAAGAGAATTCGAAGGGGGGGCAATTTATTCAAAATTTCCTCATTCCTAGAAAGTTCCACTTAGTATGTAGACGTCGCAAAAACGCGACACCAGCCCTTGCCGCTGTACGTCGATCTCATTCACCAGCGGAGGCGCAGCTGTACTTCCCAGACCTTCGCCTATTGACGCGTCTGGCTTGGCAGCGTGCTGACCAGCCACGGGGGCAGGCTTCATCTCGGCTCCATGTTCTTCTCCTTCGTGCACAAGAAAAGCTTGTTCGTCATGCGGGGGAGTTTCCGTCCTGGCAGAAGTGGGTGTAGACGCATCTTCGGTAGAGCTACAAGATCCTGATCCGGAAGCGGTCGTTTTGCTTGTTCCACCAGAATAAACATGATCGCTTTTCAGGTGGGCTGCTTGATCGACGGCCGGCTGGCAACCTTTCACAGCAGTTGTGTGGACGTTAAGAGACTGCATCTGCAGAGGCGCATCCACATGGGCAACCATGTCGTTTTTATCAAGTAGTGCCGCGGTGGTCGTGGTGGTGGAGGCCGAGGTCACGATCAGTTCCTTTAGCTGCGGTTTCACGTTGAAGCAGTATTCAGTCTCGAGCAACTGCTCGACGCTCCGAAGCCGGAGAAAAGCCTGCAAGAAAGAATTCAGCCAGCAGGTATTGCCGACGTTTGGCAGGCCAACCTCGTCCTCGGCTAGGAACGTCGTCTGAACAGTCGCAAGGAGCTTGCTTTCCGGTGCAGGAGCATGATCTGCCTCTCCTGCGCCGGCGGCGGCACTCGACAACGGCTCGACAGTGTCCCGGAGCAGGTCGTGGATGTCCGGCGGAACCAACGCAAGAGCAGTTTCTTCATGTCCCGTATTAACAGGTACTCGTTCGCTCCCTGGGGGAGAGATGGAAGTAGACCCAATTTCGATACTCCCACCAAGTGCATCAGCATCGCCCCCCATCTTTCTGGGACTTGTACGCTGGCCCGCGGCCCAATGGGCGCCCCCCGCACTATCTCCGTCTCCCACGTTGTCGTCAAGAACATTAGAGTCGCCTGGACCTCGGTGGAAAGATTGCGTGTTGCGACTCTCAACATCAGTAGTTCCCTCTGGGTTTTCGCCCTGCTGTTCACGACTCGAACCAGCTTCCGCACCTCCAGCAGCACCATCGCTATACACCGTGGTGGTAAGAAAACCGTTTGCGTTCAAGTTGGGGGACGAGAGGTCTGCCGCTGCCTGAAAACCACTTCCTTCTCCTGAGTCGCCGGTACTAGTGGCTGCACCGGGAACGTTTTTGCTCAGTTTGTTCCCCAATGCGAGGAAGGTTGATGTGTCCGTCCAAGATAACAAAATGTATCCAACAACCACCGAAAAGAGGACAGAACTATGGACACCCTTTCCTGCTGCGGTATTTGAACCTGTGACATAAAACATCATGCTGGGCCAAATATGCTATAATAATTCGAAAGGGTAAAAAATAAGTGCCCACACAATGTTGAGAAGTTATTCACAGTTCGTCGATTACTGATTTATATAGGAAAACAAAAACTTCGAAAACAGAAAGAAATAGTTTTTAAAAAACAAAAATATGTCGTGAAGATTTTTGTGAAATAAAGCGGGCTACTTCGACAACGAAGTCAGAGAACCTAATCGAAAGTAAAAACTCCGTGTTGTTGAATAGACTCGTGGAAAACGCGAAATAAGAATCTTCAAAAGCTTTTATTCATCGTGTGATAAAATTCATTTTATGTCGTTCGCCAAGGTCGTCGTGGTGGCTGCACGAAGATACGACGTCGAAAGCTGCCCAGCAGGATCTCTGGTGCCGCTTTATTTTTCATACGGTCTTCAACTCCAAAGTAAAATTTTTCCTGTAGGTTCGTTTCAACCAAAAGAGGGACAATTTCCATCAATCAAACGAGCAGGTCTCAATCAATTCGAATTCGAACTCAACTGAACTCGATGCTGCAGGAACTACACTACACAAATAGAAATAGTTGCTACACACCACGTGGGCGGAGCTCCGTCGAGATCCTTCAAAACGCTGCAAAGATGATGTCCATGTGACGAATGAATCGGCTCTGTAATTTCTTTTAAAGAGCGCGCAATGCTTGTGAACGGTGGAAATTGATCAAAAGCAGATGCAAATTCGAAATCGGAGATCGCATCTGGTGACCAAGAAATCTGTAGAAGAAGCACGCTCGCGCGGGTAACTTCGCTTGCACATGTCTGAGCATCTGTGGGCTGGTTCAGGTAATATTTTGTGATCCGAAAAGGAAAAATGAAAATCTTCGCCGTCGGTGCCCGCTACAAGAAGAAAAAAGCATGGTGTGTACAATTACAATTTACAATTTATTCACTTCACTTCACTGGGTGGCGGTCGGCGGTGGCCTCTTCTCATGTGGCTCGCTAGAACGGGGCAGGGAACGACGCAACGCTATGCACCACAGGCACGCGACTACCAGATGCCAGCGTGGACGCCGATCCGGGCAGGAGCACATGCCCACTAAGCTACCTATTTGTATCAGTTTACTACACCTATAATTAACTGAAACTAAGGTCGTGCAGGGCCCTCTGGGGTGTTTATTCTGCCAAACCAAACCAGCCCGACGAATAAAGAACTAGATCAACTACCAAATTCGAACAAGTGCAAACACCGCGAGGTCGCTGTTTCGAGTTAGTGAATTGCTTTTTTCTGCTTTCTGACAAACCTCAAATGTTTTCTAGGAGAGTCTATGCGGGGTTCGGAAGAACTTGTGCGCTAGCCTCGAAGCTAGTCGCGCTGAGTTCGAACTGGTACAGCCATAAACTCTCGATCAAGTAAAAGCTTATACAACACGCAAAACGCACTCGAGACGTGACTAACTTTCTAATGACCTTAGTGCGATATTGCTTCGAAAATAGCATGTAAGTCGAGAATATTTAGGCTATAAAAGTCTGTAACCGGATCACATACGAGGATGCACGAGGCAACCTCAAGTAGCGTGTGTTACAAACAAAAGCAGGTCGATATTTTAGCCGCGCTGCTGTCTCCAACACACATCAAATAACGACTACGCGGGGAAAAAAATTTTCAGTGTTGCGTGCAAGCTTGATACCACGCTGAACGCGTAAGGTAGAATGCTTGAGCGTGCCTAGGTCCGATGTTCCTTACCCTAGAATTTAGCAGATGATCTTGTCGCATTATCTAACTCGGCTGGTGTGTGCAGGCGCGTTACCTGCCTAAGCAGTGCTATTTGCTTTTTGTAGCAGCGCTTTTTTGTAGATTCACGAGATCTCGCGAGACTACAGCCCTATTGCTTCAACAGAGGAGTCAAAATGAGAGGCGACTCAGTCTCTCAGTCCTCGCGCGCGCAGGGACTAACTGCGCGGAACTCTATGTTTCAGCGCCCTGACTCCGGGGTCGCGTCCGGAGTGTGCTGCTTCGTCTAATCCCGACCCTGTTGCTGTGCGTTGTGCGCTCGGCCAGGCGCGGGGTCGGGCAGGCCGTCTCGACCGCAGTTCACGTGCGCTCACTCTACTCTTGCTGCCTGACCGTTCCACTTGAGCAGTCGGAGACGATCAATCACCGCCCTGTAAGGGCTGCAGACCGTCGGCGGGATACCCAGCACGCCCACGTAGTCCATCCAGCAGGCGGAGTCGGCCCCGCTTTTCAAGACGCTCTGCCACGGAGGGAGCGGCTCCACATTCCACTTTCCCACAGCTCGACGGGCCATCTGTTCCTCGCTGAAAATCCCGCGGTACGAAGTCTGCTCCTGATCCCGTTCGCGCTGTTTCTGGTTTTGCGAATCGTCGTCGCCAGGCACGACGCTGCGGTTTCCGATGGCGTCGAGAGAAGATGGAGATGGCGGCCGCTCGAGTCGGTGGCCCGTGAGGCGGGCGAGCAGGTCATGCGGCTCGGTGAAATGCGAAATGCGCAACGCCGCGCGATTCCAGCTGATTTTCTCACCCTCGAACGGCGCTTCCAGGTCGTCGCTCATGATGACCGGCAAACAACCAGTGAAGAAAGACTCATACAACCTTGAAGTGTAGCTCGTGAGTCCCTTCGGGCAGAGGCAATATTTGCACTTTCCGATTCGCTTGACGTACTGCTCGAACGGCACCGGTCCGCCGATGCTGGTACCGCCATGATGCCCCAACTGCAGCTTCAGGGTGCGGCGCACAGTCTCGTTCACGCCGACGTACGCGTTGTTCACAAAGTCCCCGTCGATGTGACGTCCGATGTGTGCCATGTGCCCGTGGAAGCACGCCAGCATCGTCCGGTTCCGTTCCCAGGATCTCAGAAACGCTGCACTCGGCATCTCAGAAACACCATGCGAGATCGTTATCGTGGCTGGAGGTTGTCCTACTTGTACACTTCTCTGTACACTCTTCTTTCTCTTCGCGCTAAACGACGAGGACGGAGCAAGCGCGCTGGACAAAGAAGACGGCCCAACCGCAGACATGGCGGACGCGTACTCCTCCGTGCTGAACTCCAGCGGCCAGTTGGCGAGCAGCAGCGTCGCCTTCGCCTGGTCCACGACCGACGGCAGAATCATGTGGCGCGCGTTGTTCGGCTGGTGGCACTCTCCCAGCGGGCAGTGCGTTTGCTGCCGCTTCTTCCGCTTGCTATCGAGAGCAGGATTTTCGACAGGGGCAACATCCACTACCTCGACCACCTCCTCTCCTGCTGTCCTCGTCAATTCATTGCTGTTTTCCGCCGCGACCGTTGTACTACTTCTAGAAGCGGCAGCACCAGTGGTTTTCCTCAACAGTTCCCGATCGCTCTCCGACACCTCTACCAGGGGCAGTTTTAAAAGCTGGCGCTTGTAATTCAAAATGGCTCGCGCCGGCGCGCCGTCGAGACTCGGAAACACGCCGTCCATCTGCAACGACTTGATCGGCCGCCCCTCCACCCCGAGCACGATCGAATTTTTGTCCAAAATGGACGTGAGCCAGCCGGAGGAAGCCTGCACGAAGATGTGGTCCCGCCCCTGCGTGCGATTCCAGTACGGCCGCTCGTGCAACAGGTGGTGTTCCACGCGCGCGAGACTGGTCACGCCAGTGTACCAGCCCAGGAAATTCGCGGCACTCATCATTAGCTCCCAAAACAACATGTACTTGAACCTGTACGTCGTGGTCGCGCGCCGGCGCTTCCGAGTTATGAGTAGAGGAGGCTCTTGACGTTGCGGTCCTCCAGCCGTCTTGGTGCTGGGCGGGTCGGCGTGGTAGTCGGAAGGAACGAACTGCCCAGTGGGGCGCCGTCGCGGCTTATTTCGATTATTATTTTCATGATTTCGTCCGGACGCCGTGCTCGTGCCGTTAGGTGCAACGTAAAAGTAGTAGTCCTCTTCCACGTAGTGCACCTCTTTCTCGTCGTAGACGCCCTCCTGCATCCGAAAGCGCTCTTCGTATTTTCCCAAGTGCCAAATTTTCTCCGCCTCCTGTCTAAATATCATATTTTGCTCTATTCGCTCTATCTGCCGCTGTCTGGCTCGCTGTCGCTGCTGCCTTTTTTTGGTGGACGTCCCTCCTTGTGCGGGTGCTCCCGTTTCTTCTGTCTCGTCCATGTCGTTCTCGTTGTCGAGAGAAACGAGACCCGTCCGACTCTTGCAGCGAGTAAAAGAACATCTCCACTTGTCATACTGGATCCTGGATCATCTTAATCTGCTGATACAACCGCCCGTCCTGGGTGAAAAATTGCGGCACATGCCTCCCGCTAGCCATGATCCAAAACGGAAACCGGCCGATGATGCCCAACACTCGTGCAAGGAGGCTATGCACGGAATCGTTTTGGAAGAGTACATACCCCGTCCACAGTTCCGCGAGAATGCAACCGAGGGACCAAATGTCGATCTTCTGGTCGTACCTGAAGTGAATTTCGCTTTATTTTCATGCGACATGCACGAAGGCTAAAATTTTGTTCCGTAAATGCAGGATGAGAAACTACCATCACCAGTGCTAGATACTTACACGTACTTATTCAAATAGCAGGTCTCAGCACTAGTAGCAGAGCCTAAGGCGCTAAATGTAAACCATTCCTCAGTTGTTGCAACATCATGATGAAAAAAAATACTGGCATCCCAAAATCACTTCCGGTGCCCGGTAACTCCTTGACTGCACGTAGGACGATAGATGGTCATCGATGAAGCATGAGGAACCAAAGTCGATTACTTTCACCTCCTATGCATTGCAAAAATTTGATCGTCCTCGTAGTGGAAAGTGCATGGCAAATTATTTTTTGAAGCAATTTATATCGAAATCTGTCATGCAAATTGAAGTAGCATGAAAGCAGATCTGTCTCTGTCATGCCAAACTACAACTGCAATGACCACTACGAGCGCGATTTATTTTTGCACAGGATACCTCCGTCCGGCTATAGGACTTCATCAGAATATTCTCCGGCTTTAAATCACCTGTGGTTGCTTTTGAAGATGATTAGCGGCCACGTCAATTTTATTGTTCTGACGTCGATGAACGTATGTGCACATGAAAGGATGTCGCAACGAAGAACTACTAGAAGGATGAGGATCACAACAAGCACATCAAACCAAAACATCCAAACTTTCTACAGTGAATAAGATTTAGTCCGTGGATGAAATTCAACGCCTTCAGGATGTCGCGCGAAATGATCTGCAGTCTGGCTTTCGTGAAGTAAGGCTCCCCTGGCTGCTGCTCGCGATTAAACTTGGAAAACTCGTATAAGTTGTCCTTCAACAACTCTGTCACCAAGACGAGGTGTTCCTGTTTTGATGTTTGGTTGGACTTTCTTATATGAAAATGCTTTGGAGGTACTAGAAATAGTTGGCAAGATGAACTCTGGTGCTCTCGTCGCAACAAATGTTCTTGATGCGTACTATACTCGTCACATATCAGCGAAAGTGTCTGGGTATGCCAAGGTACTCGACGACCTGGTATGCATTGCAAAAGTGTCTGGGTCTGGGAGATTCTGAGACTTGTCATGCAAGTTTTGCATGTGCCATGATGTCTGTGATGCATGTCCTAGCATCAGAGATTTTTTGAGGGCTTCTTGATGCCTACACCGCATGACAAATGCCCTTTTCCCGTAGCAAAAATAACACTCACTTTGCTGCTCATGCAATACAGATTTTTTTGGAATCCAAACGCAGCATCACAAATTGCAATCTTCCAGACCCTCCAGACATTTTTGCATTTCATACGTGGTACCGGGCGGCAATGATCTGCCCCATCTCGACTTTCAGTCCTATCCTAGAGAAAATCACCATGATGTTGATGACTCATCTCAAGCTGTCTCTGTGGTCATGCGTGACAATATGCGCAATAAAAGTCGGACCTTTAAATTTAAAACTTCTTATAGTCGATTTTCTTTGGGATAAATTCCTTCGTCTCTTCAAACCCGGTCTTGTCTCGCTCGTACACATATCCTGTGCAAAAGCATCGCATAATTAGTAGTAATTGCATTACAAATTAGCTCAGCGTCAGCATGACAATTGGAATTTGTGATGCAGTTTTACCTTGGGATGAAGATTTGTAATGCATAACTGCAATTACTACGAGTACGATACTTTTGCAATTCATAACACAATGGGCAGTTGGAAGGAATCGAAGATTGTGTCGTTCATCTCTACGGGGTAAAAATTCGGGTTTTTCGTAACCATCGCTGTTACTCCTCCACTATGCGACGCTAGCCCTCCGACAGAAGCACCACTCGCCGTTCCGACAAGATTACGTTAACGTTAAAACTTTTTCCTGTGATACATCTTCGTCGTCCACTTCGTTTAAATACGCTGTAGATATCGACTGAAGGCAGCGGACAGCGTCGACCCAGGTCTGAATGATTTTTCCGAAAAATATGGATAATTTTCTCTAGGCAGTATTCGCATGCAAAATGAACCATTTCTCCATGCAGATTCCGATTCATCTACTTACTTCTCGGGAGAAGTATCTAAGTAGTAAGTGCTCTACCTGAAACTTATGCTCATCCTGTTGTTGCTGCAACGCCTTCGCTAATTGGGTGTATCATGTCGTTCTCGTTGTCGAGAGGAACGAGACCCGTCCGAAGAAGCTGTAATACACTAACCTTCGCCTCTTGAAGACCAGCCTAGGCTTATTTCCATCTCTTTTTGTACCAGAACGAAAATGGGGTTGAAAACGAAGAACGACGAAAACGATGTGGCACCGGAACGAAGGCGGACATCAAACGACAACAAATACGAATACGCACGGCAAAGGAAGTGAAGATCTGGTGGTGGTTGTGGGGAAGGTGGATTTCTTTATTTCCGCCTACGACGAGCTGCACGACAAGAAAGTCAAACAGAAAGACACGCACGACGAGCAGGATGACTGCATCACAGAACTTAGATCACGAGAGATACGTAAAAGGGACTGCAGTGTCCTTATTGCAAAGAACAGCAACAACTTTGGACGAAAGAACACACGTTTGCGCACAAAACTCGCGGTGGTGGTGTTCCCACATTTTCCTCTACGCTCTTCTTGTTTCTTTATAAGCATCCATAAGGCGACGAACATAGCAAAAGTGAAGCTCTCGTTTAGTATTACTTCGGAAACGGTAACGGATCAAATCTTGTTCATCGCGTGAAATATGGCGATGGGGATGAAGAAGAAGAGGCGCTTTAGCGTCGTCGGTCTCTTTTGAAATTAGAATTACACTTACATTTACAACGAAAATTAGTCGGCTCCTTAGTTCATCTGCTTCTGGCGCCAGAAGATTCCTAGTAGCAGGTATACATTTATTCTTGTTGGTAGCGTAGCCGTCTACTCAATACCAGCAAAACGCAGATTACCATCCGGCAAAAGAAAAGCTCAAAATTAATATCAATCAAAATGACATCACGACGGGCCAGCTCTCACTGGTGCTGCTTGAATTTTACATTTAGCTTCACTGAATCTGAAACCAAAAGCTCTGCGAAAAACCTATTTCTCGGTTGTCATTGTTATCAATTCGTCCGCTCTACTAGTATTCACATTTAGTTCGGCTACAAGTACCCGGTTGGGATTGCAACTCTACTTCCTCTATTTCAACAATGCTATCCCCAGTATCCTTTTCTAGTTATTGTGTTCTGTGTCACTGCCTGTCTTCGGCGAGCACGATAGAGATATGCATGGTCGTCGTGTGCAGTATTCAGGAGTTTTTTCGTTGCGTTTTCAACAGTTCTGAATACATACTAGCAAAATTTTCAGACTACGACTTATGAACTGCAAAAGCATCGCACTCGTATAAATGCATGACAAATTCCCTCAGCATGAGAAATGAAATTTGTAAAATGCGGATTTACCTTGAGAAAAAAATTTGTAATGCATGAATGGGATTACTACGAGGACGATACTTTTGCACAGGATACGACTTTTGCACAGGACACGGGCCACCTTGTCAAGGAGTGCCCGGACCAGCGGCGCTTCGTAAAAATGCTTTTCCTCTTCTCCATTTTTCTCGTGGTCAAGTTTTTGCAACGGAAACTCGAACTCGCGCTCCTCACCACAGAGGCCGTAGAGAACGCGGATGGAGCACGAGGCCGGATTGCGGGAGGTGGGTGCAGATGCCCTCATTCTGCTCTGCTCGAAACGCACGATGATATGATCATCTTGGCAACGTGCTGTATACGAAAATTTTTGCAGGCGTGCTCAACGACCAAACCGAAAGCTTCAGAAGACCCGCTGTCGCACGTCTTGCACTTTGCGGTGTCGTGGGTCGTGCACTCGGTCAGCGTTGCCCCGACGCCGTTCGTGCACGTGCAAATATTTGCGGCGCAGACGTCTCCGTTTCTGTGGTACCCGTCGTTGCACGTATCGCAGATGTTGGCCATGTGAGTTCTGCAATCAGCGGTGCCGGCGCCATGCCCTCTGCACGAGGGCATGGCGCAGGGTTGCTCACATTTTTACTAAGTATTTCAACACGCAGCGCCGTGAGAGCTTCTTCTGTCTCGTCCGTGCTCCCGTTTCTTCTGTCGTTCTCGTTGTCGAGAGGAACGAGACCCGTCCGACTCTTGTCCGCGAAGGGCAGCCGGTTCACCACAAACTCCTTGATCTCGTCACGAACCGATCTGGGACTCAAGATGTTGTGCCGGTCCCCGTTGCCGTAGCGGCTGACCACCTCCTCCACCCGCAGCCGCGCCTCCTTGCGCATGGGGTCGGACGTCGCGAACTCCGTCTGCACGCTGTGGTAGGGCACGAAGAAAAAATCGGCCTCCTCCGGGTCCTGCGTTCAAAAAATATCGGAATTCTGGAAAAACCGGTGCATGTACACGTCCGCTGTCCAAAAGCCGTTCTCCTGCGCAATCACGAAGTTCGAGCTCACGAGGTCGGACAGCGGGGAGGACACTGCTGCGCTACTAGTATTCGCTGTCGTTGGGGACGTGTTGGTTGTGTAATCATAGACGTACACCTTGATGCCCGCTGGTGCTTGTCCTGTTTTGGTTGGTACTGTTGTGGGTCCGTCATCTCGCTGAGGGGCGAGAACGGAATCCGCTACCGTCCTATCGGCAGCGCTGCCCTTCACATTATTCTTATTGCCTTCTGTGCTCGTAGTTGTGCCGTCGGTGTGAGAGGCGCCGCCTATTTTCGTCTCTGAAGTTTTGTGAGTGTCCGCCGAGTTTGGAACCAAGGGAACCGACGTGTACGCCTCTTTGCCGCCCGCCAACTGAATCAAGTGGCCCACGCTGTCGAAATTGAAAAATAGATTCCAAAAGCAATCGTTCGCCAGAAGTTCGCGCCCTTTTCCCGGAGTGCGCATCCACTGGATCAGAGCCTCCAACCACGGCCGCAGCCGCTTCCAAACCTTCAGTTTGTGCGCTGGCGCGTCGCGATCCTTGCGCGTCGCGATATGAGCAGCTCCGACCTCCCGGCCGATGCGGCCCAAGAGCCCCTTTAACCCGCACAGAAGCCAGCTGGAGGCGCACCGAATCGGACTTTGCTGCTGTCCCAACTCCGCTAGCTCGGAGGGCGCGCCACCTTTCTCAACAACAGTGTCATCAAGCTGCAGGCGCTTTCGAAATGCCGCCAGCATTGCAGGATCCTCAAACACGCTACTATCGTCTTGCGGAGCCCCCGTTCTGCCCGAAGTAGAACTCGTTGTACCAAATCGCTCCTGCTGCTGCCTTTCGTTTTCAAGAAGCGGCGCCACTTCACGCACCAGTTTCCTCCGAAACAGCGCCAGAAAGTCGATGCGCTCCTTGATGTGCTTCGCATGCGCGCCGTCCAGCTTGTCCTCGCCGAAGCTCGTCGAATTCGCGGCTGCTCCTTTGTCCAGCAGCGGCCGCGCGTGCTGTTCGCGAATTAGCTTCGCGACGACGCGCGGATCCTCCAGATCCAGCTCCGTCTCAATGCGCGTTTCCCGCACGTGTTTTTCTAGCACCTCGTTGCTGGCCCAAAGCTGGGCGTCCGAGAAGACCCGCTCGGGCGAGGACAGGGCCAAGTCCAGGTCCTCTTGGACGGACGCGCGCGCGCAATCGGTCGCACCAGTGTCCGTTCTTGTGTAAGTCATGTTCATCTTGGAGGCCGCATTTTGATTTATTTCGCTGGATGATGCGCCCGTCGCGGCGGCGGTCGTCCTCGCGTACCAAAAGAAGTCGCAGAAGCTGTGCAGCGCGTGCAGCGGCACGTTGCGCAGAGACGGGACCTCCTTCGTTCGGTTCGAGTTCCAGAGCGCTCCGCGCCGCTGCTGCAGCTCATGCAGCCCGAAATCCTGGTGCCGTTTTTGGCTGAAGCTCGGATGAAAGAGCTGGTACCCCAGCACGGGAAACATCTGAATGCGATCCAGAATCCGCTTGCGAGCCACGTACTGAAACCCCACGCTCCCGCCCTTTGAGTCATCTTTTTCATCTTCTCGTCTGTTAGTAGAAGAACCACTTTGAGGGCGGTTTGTTTTTGCAGTCTGGTGGGATTCCTTGTTGAAATGCGCGTCCAGTTCCGCCAGGCGCGAGGAGGAGGTGCTCAAAATAAACGGCTGCTCATCTTCATTATCTTTTGGAGCTGCCCACAGCCGAGACTCAACCGGCTGGAGGCCCACCACCGGATACTGATGGAAAATTCGCCAGAATTTCCTTACCAACTCCAGGTGCTCTGTCCGCCTCCGTCTCCGACGCCCCTTCCACAGTGCCGCAACGGTGGAGGCGTTTCTGCGCGCTGCCCACCAGGCCGCTGTTGTGCTCTCATCCTCCTCTGCCTCAGTATCAATATAGGGACTTCTCCGACCCGATAAATGCGCAGTCTTCCCCACCCCTTCCGGCAACTTCGTCTCCCGTCCAACGCCCTCCGCCTCCTGCTGTCCAAGAGTTCCAAGGTCATTCTCTTTCCCCGCCTCGGTGCCTTGCTCCTCTCGATGCCGGCCCCTGTCATGCGCTGAGACACGCGAATGTGTGAGCCTGCCATAGTCCTCTTCGGTGAATCTTTGGAAGAGATCCACGAACAGGTTCCACAGGTAGGCCGGGGAGGACTCCTCGTCGGCGACTCCTGCTCCATCTTGATCTCCTAGTTGTACGGCAGCCGCTTCCGTTCTGGAGACTTTTTGATTTTGTTGCACATAATCCGGTACTGGCTGAGCCTGGACAAGATGAACAGACAGGACATAATCCCCGTCGAGATCCTGCGATCGAAACAGTAGATGCACCGCTCCTGTCGCGAATAGTAATAGACACAGAAAATAAATAGACATATGTCTATTTTTCTGTTTTGAAGGCGCAACACGAGGAACCGCCCTCGTTTTTTTCGTGCCCGGTGAGATCGACAGAATGCCCCCGAGAAAATGCTCACAGAGGCTGCAACTGCCTCGAGGATACGTTGCCCCGATCTCCTGAGCTGCCGTCAGCGATGATCCGAGTCGCACCGGCTGCCGGAAAGAGGATCTCGAGCGCCCAGTGAAGAACAATGCGGGTGAACGGCATGACGGAGTGGGGAACGGAAGAGAGCGATGCATCAGGAAAAATTTTGGACGAGCCAGTATTTATGTCCATTCGAGACATCTTGGAAGGAATGAAGAAACCGCAAGCCAAGGTTCTTCTTCTTCTTTACTGCCACGGGACACCGCCCAAATACACTTCTACTTCCCCACTTCGCCCAGGTGTGTTAGTTATGTATCTCTGCCTCCAACGGAGACGATCGAAAATGTAAATGAACTGTTTGACAACGGAGAAAAAGGATCGGGTGGGGCTGCATCGTTTATGATGGGCATGGAGATGGAGATCGAAAGAGTCATGGAAAATCAGAGAAGAAAAGAGTGAAGTAAATGTAAATGTAATTAAAGGTAGATCATGAAATAGTGCTCGGACAAAAAATTAGTACAGCTCGAGGACGACACAAACACTATGAATGAAACAAAGAGGCTTCCTCGATTTTCCTAGCGACTAAGCCTGTGGAACGCCAAGTGGTAATATGCTGATGATATCTTTGTGTTCCATGTTGGATTTTGTGGTGCTGGATAAGGATATAAAATATTAATTCGCGCAAGAAATGCACCTCTCACAGAAAAAAGTGCTACCTGCTGCAGCAACATGCGCCATTCAGTAGCAGGGTCTTAGTTCTTGAGGTTTGCGGTTCCCTGTGTCTTTGTTTGACTTTGACGGAGCTTTAACACGCACAACCATTTAGTAGCTCTTGGTTGCACCCCGCACCTGCAGTGAGGCGTAAGCCCCCCGATGAAGCACACTTCCCGACGTTTTGCCGTAAGATTTCGGCTCCGACGCGCTGCAGAATGGTTTCGATCCCTGCCTCCGACGAGGGGGGCGTCTTCGCGGCAGCGGAGGTAGATGAAACCATCTCACGGTCCCAATGGCTGCTGGTTTCGAAAAAAAGGCATCCATTTTGCTTCGCAAATGCCCGCCCTCTTTCTACCATTGCCTTACCCGGTGTCACCGTTGTCGTTGTCAAAACAAGTAAAGAAGCCGCTGGGCAATTTTGACTGTGTCGTTTATCTGCATGCTTTTTCTCTCTCTACTCCAACCGTATACATTCATTCATAGTAGTACAAGAATATACTGAGACCGACGATCACGATCTTCCTTCCTTGGGCATTATTTGTATTCTATTTCCCATTGGTACAGAAAATAACACTTGTCGATGCGGTGGATGATTGAGAAGAGTCTACTGCAGCTCTTGTCGCTGCGGCCTCCCTACTAGGTGCATTTCTTAGCAGTCTGAAGATCGCACTTGTTGGCTACAACCGCTAGTACCACATTCTCAACGGCAAGCTGCACGACCTCTGGCTTCCATCGGGTCGCCAGGTTGTCGAAAGTTTCTTCGTCCGTGATGTCGTACACCAGTAAGGCGCCCGCCGTCCCCCGATAGTGGTGAGTTGCCATCGATCGAAACTTCTCCTGGCCCGCTGTGTCCCAGACCGTGAGCATCACCGCTTGCCCCTTTTCATCTTGTTCGGCCTGCTGCGCTCCAGTAGTGATAATTCCGCTACGGCTTGGGCTCGAGGAACTTGCGAACGATGTCGGCAAGTAGTCTTTGGGAATTGTCTATCAAGGTCAACAACAAAAGCTAGTGGTTCCCTGTGCGGCGAACCCGAATTCGGTTCCAGCAGCAGATACTAGAGGGAGACGAGGGCAAATCCAACTTTAAAAAAATCACCAATTTGATGCGAAATGTAAAAATGTAGCCATAGATTGCTCGAAAAATCGAGCTGGTGCTGATGGACATGGAACTCTTCACGTTCATCACGAGTTTTGTTGTAATGCTTCCAGGTCGTGTGAAAGTGAAGATGCCGCCACGACCGCCTTAGAAACTGAGCACTACTACGCTATGACACTGCGCCTGAGCTGCTTAGTTACTGTTACAAGGCCGCAGCTTATGTCGCGTAGTGGGAGGGTGAACGAGTGGACAGGGGGGAAAGAAAAACGCCAGAGGGTGGGCAAGGGAAAAAGTTTTTGATGCAGGGTGGGGCCAGGCATCTGCGCCGCTTCTTGCTGAAAGAACGAAGGCGGAGCGCCATGGCGCCCGTGGTTCCAGTCTCTGCGCGAGCGCGAGGACCCCACCCGCATGGGGCGCGCGTTTGCGTGGCGGCAAGCCTTAGGCCCAAGCAACAACGCAAAGCGCGGCTGCGGGCGGGCGCCAGTGGACGGGGGAAGGAGGCAAAGGAACAGTCCGCGCCCTGCGAGGCGTGGGCGCGTGACGCCCCGCCCGCGCGTTTGCGGCGTGGCCCGTTCGTGCCGCCTGCCTTTGTGCCCCGGCTGCCCCTGCGCGCCTTGGTGCTCCTCCCGGCCGCCCTTCTCCCGCGCGCAGCCTTGCAGAGCGGGGGCCCCTGCCCTGCGCGTGGATGGAGGCAGGACGGGGGCCGGGGCGGGGCATTCATTCATACATTGCCCCCCAGGCGCAGGGGCCCACCACCCTCCCCCAGCACCCCCGGACAACGACGGCGCTTCCCGCGTTAGCTCGCATGCAATAATCTGCTCCGCCCCCGCCTGCTTCCCTCCCTCGCGCGCACCGTCCAAGACAGAGGCGGCGGACGGTGGCGCCCTCTGCCGGTCTCCTCGTGAGCAGAGGGAGGGCGCCGGGGGAGGGTGGTGGGCAGCTGCTCGCCTGCAAACCTGGCGCTGGGGCGCGGTTTCCCCTTCGCGAACAGAGGGAGGGCGCCGGGGGAGGGTGGTGGGCAGCTGCTCGCCTGGGGCGTGGCCGCCGGCGGCGTTCCCCATGCCCCCCGCCTTCTTTGCGCCCCCCGCCCGTGCCTCCGTCGTGTTTTCCCCGTGTTTCCCGTTTTCCCCGTGCTTCCCGCTTTCCCCGTGTTTCCCGCTTTCCCCGTTCTCCCCGCCTTTCTCGTGCTTCTTCCCGTTTTCCCCGTGCTTCCCACTTTCCCTATGCTTCCCGCTTATTTTCCCCGTGCCTCCCGCTTTCCCCGTGCTTCCCGCTTCCCCCGTGCCCCCCGCTTTCCCCGTGCTCCCCGCTTCTGCCGTGCTTCCCGCCTCCGTCGCGCTTCCCGCTTTCCCCGTGCTTGCCGTTTTCCCCCTGCTTCCAGCCTTCCCCGCGCTTCCCGCTTTCCCCGTGTTTCCCGCTTTCCCCGTGCTTCCCGCATTCCCCGGGCTTGCCGCCTTCCCCGTGTTTCCCGCTTTCCCCGTGCTTCCCGCTTTCCCTGTGTTTCCCGCTTTCCCTGTATTTCCCGCGTTCCCCGTGTTTCCCGTTTTCCCCGGCGGTGTTTCCTGTTTTCCCCGTGCTTCCCGCTTTCCCCGTGCTTCCCGCTTTCCCCAAGCTGCAAAACCGGGGATACAGGGTTTTGGGAGATTGTTGCAAAATATTTTCGCCTGAAAATATTTTTCGGGGATTTCAAAACATTTGGGGTCGCAAAATATTTTCGGTCGCGAAATATTTTGGGCCGCAAAATATTTTGGGTCGCGAAATATTTTGGGTCGCAAAATATTTTGCGTTGCGAAATATTTGGACTTGCGAAATATTTTGAGTTGCAAAATATCTGGACTTGCGAAATATTTTGAGTTGCAAAATATTTGGACTTGCGAAATATTTTGAGCCGCAAAATATTTGAAGTTGCGAAATGTTTGGAGTTGCAAAATATTTCGAGTTGCAAAATATTTGGAGTTGCAAAATGTTTCGAGTTGCCGTTGCGGCGGGACTTGGGCGATTCGCCGTTTGCGATCGGACTTGGGCGATTCGCCGTTGGGCGATTCGCCGTTTGCGATGGGACTTGGGCGATTCGCCGTTGGGCGATTCGCCGTTTGCCATGGGACTTGGGCGATTCGTCGTTGGCCGTTCGCCGTTGGCCGTTGGCCGATTTCGCAAATCGCGACAGCTTTGGAAAGTTTGAAAACGGGCAAATAATTTTCGGCGTGGGCAATTTTCCTCCCCGTCGCAAAGTTTTAACTTCCGCAGCTCAGCAATAGGAGTTATACCTCGATAAAGTCACTGGGCGCCGCTCAAATTCGATGCCAATCGTTGCTTCGGTATCCAGCGGCGTTTCGCCGGTCTTCCACTTCTCAAACAAGGCGGTCTTTCCAACGTTGGCGGCCTATCCTGAGGAGCCATCCCCCTTGTTGTTCCTGATGCTGAGAAGGGAGATCTATCATGCTGATTTGCGTACACAAATCGAACGGTATTCTTGCCACAGGAAAAGAAGACTGCACATTCGCGACCTAATCTCCAGGCAATTTGTCGTGCTATTATGTACAACGCGAACGCAGCCAGTGGCAGTGGGTCGCGGTCATGCTCAGCATGCAACGCCTACGCTTTTCCATGCCTGCCAATACTCGATTTTGGTTTTTCCGTATCCCTTTAGCTTAATTGTGTATTTTACACAACTCCTACTTCACCAGCGACGCAAATGGGACAATGCGTATGCATAGGGAAATGGAGGGACGCTTTTCATTTTGATACGTCTCCGACAAAAACTACTTTCATCGCCATCATCACGGGGCGCAGTGGTTGCCGCAGTTGCGTACATCAAAATCTTCGTCCGTACTACTACTAGTGCTTCTTGTTAGGCCTGAAATTTCAGTTTAGCAACATGGTCTTCCAAGTACCTCTCTCACTGAAAGAGAAAAATGTACGACATGCTCTTCTCGTAGTCGTAGCTCCGACCGCCCTGTATTTTGCAAGCAATGCAAAAGTTGAAGAACGAACTGCGCTTACTGGTCAGTTGCGGCGGACTACTACACCACGCGACGCTGTGTTTTGTCTACATATCATTGAAGTCAGCAATTTATTTAGCGTTTTGAGTGGAAGCACAAGCATCAGCTTCAATACATTCTTACATTTACAATGCGTATTGCCGTTTGTTTTCTTCGTCATGTGGCATGATTCGAAGTTGTTGCGGGTCCTTAGGGGTAAGGGTAATGGCGTTGGTCATCATACTACTGGGTGTTGTGATGTCTAGACTCGATACATTCCAAGGAGGGCGTTGCCTCTCTTTGGTGTAAATAAAACGGCCCGCAAATGAAGGAGCGGTATCAGAACGACGACGTACGATAAGCGGAGGCTGAGATGGAGAGATGAATTATACTTTATTTTATAAATATAGAAATACTAATACTGCTCGCAAAGTGGTTCATACATTTGTTTTTAGTGCGCTTAGTGCTTAAGGGATAGTTTGTAAAACGTATCAACAGTGTCAGTGGTCTGAGGACTATATTGATGAAATTAACAATAATATTATTTGCGTATTTCCTTGTGCGCTTTGGAGTTGGACATCAAAAGTGATTCTCCTAAAACTGTTCCACTGTGCTTCCGTGGAAACACGTGGCTGGGAGTTGAGGGTGAGGGTTTATGTCGCGGTCGTGGCTTGTATCGTAAAGTCGATGTTGCTTCAGGCCCAGGTATTCTGCCGTTGTGCATCTCAAGAGCGGTGCCAGTGGTCCTGGTCGTTCCTCTTTACTCCTAGAGAAAACAACAAAGATAGGCCGAGCTTCGGCAATATTCCCACCGACGAACGACCGCGGCCTAGCACAGAGCCCTTCTTGGCTCATCAGGTAGAGCAGAGGCAATAATTATTCATCATAGCTAGTGTGCGGTAGGTGCCTGACCTTGGAGCAGAATGAAAAGGATTCAGAACATAAAAGAACGGCGGCTAATGAGACATATAAACGAAAACTCTCACTAGGTGCATATCCAAGGTGAAGTTTTTTTATCGTGAACCAAGGTGGTCTTTAGGTTTTTCTATTTCGCTTTTTTATAAGTATTTATTTTGTCGCTTAATTTCTTTCATCACTACACACATAATCAGTCCTCCTGCTCCTGACGTTTCCGCATCCACGCGTTGTCAGCTACCCGCCCTGAAAACATGCGCTCCGGTATCCTCAGTGAAAACGTCCTCACCCCAGGGTTGCCATGCTAAACAAAGGCATTGATTGCATTTGCACTTGCAGCACACTTCTGTGCCCGCCCGCCCGGCTGCCCCGCAGATGTTCGAGTTGTCATGCGGATTTGCATCTGCAGGAACATCACTGCGAATCCTCATGAGAGGCATCCTGAGTCGGATTTTTGTAGTCCTGGCGGTAAATAGGATTAGCAGATCCAGATGCGGCCTTTGTGATGCGGCTGTGGTCTTTGCGAACCTGCTTACGCTACACTACACCAGATAGAAAATTAATTGTCATGATGCGCGACTCCGGAAGCTTGTGGATTTGTGTAACAACGTTTCCGGCTTGACGATGACTATGCGATGGGGACGTCGTTCTAGCGGATATTCGGTCTCGTCGAATTCCCGGATTTGGTCGCAGACAACGGAAGCAGCGGCGGTGTCTGCAGTTTTATTTCAGGCGAAAAGTGCACTGGGAATGGAAACGAGATTTTCTTCCGATATGAACACACTAAACACACCATCAAGTTGTGCCAGTACTTGTCAACACGAGCCAATTTTTTTGATGACGATGACTGTGAAACAAGCGGTTGTGCTACTACTGTTGTACGTAAAGGTATGACTCATAGATATGATATTCAACTTCTGTTCCTATCAACAAATGTAAGAGTGCCACGTACCATGTCTTTTTCTTTTCTGCTAGAGAAATCAGATGACATTTTTGGAGGAGACCACGTTGCTCGGTTGGGTTGTTCTGGTTCCGATTTGTTTCCGGAGGCACTGTAGGACGCCTTGTACATGCGACCGTTCCGATAGAATTCCCGAGACTTGTCGGTTGGCTGGTGCTGCTCTGGCACATAGTTGTGCGGCAAACCGTGGCCCACCGAGGGCTCCTCCTCCACTTCGCGGCGGGAACCGACGGACTGCGAATGGTCGTTCCCGTATTTATTTTTGTAGGACCCCACGTCCTCCTCTTCGCGGCTGGAGAGGAACTGCTCATCGCTTCGGAAACCACGACGCTCGACGTCCTGATATCCCCGACCCGTTGTGTCGTGAAACTGCTCAATGTCATCCTCGTCTTGTGTCAACATATGGTGTTCCGGGGCCACCAGATGCGGCGGTAGCGCATCGGAGGACATGGTAGTTTCATGCGGCCCGCCGCTGAGCACACCGGCGTCGCGCGGATCCAGGAAGTCCGAATCGTCTGCGACCATGATTTCGCCGTTGACGTTATTCCTTACCGCGCGCTGTCGCATTTCCTCCAATCTCCGTTCGTGGTCATGTAATTCTGCTTCCTCAGCATCAAGAACATGATCCTCTTCGTACGCTAGTTCAGCATGGTCCTGCTCGTAGCACTCCTGAGGATCTACTCTGCGGTCTTCATACTGCTCGGCGTGCTGTGATGCGGCACCAGCGGACGTGCGGAACTCGGAGACGCGGCGCTTGTGGTCTTCGATGCGGGCGGATATGCGGGCTGCCTCTTGGTGATCGGCCAGGCTGGGATCCTCAAGCAACTTCACCAACATACCGTGGAGCTCGTCAATAGTTTCCATGAATTTCGGGCAGGTCACAGATCGCGAAGTTCTGAAAGTCCATTTTTGGACCGTCAAATTCAATTAGGACTCATGGGGATATTTCATTTTCATAATATACACGTATTTCGCACGAAAGCACGACAAGATGTGAAGAACAAAAATAGGCAGACGCAACTTCTCTACGCTCCCACAATAAATGGAATCACCACGCTCGAATGGAAAGGGAAAAAGAGCAATATGATAGTATATTCCATTTCACGAATTACAGTTGTCACTAGGTACAATAGAGCAATGAAAATGCTGAAATTGTGAATTGCATCTGAAGATTGAGTGCAGGATTATCGCGTCCGTGCGCTCAGAAACTCCGAATGGAAAGAAACAGGAGCATAACAAAAAAAGTGAGGAAATGTAGAATGTATCTTACTCGTTGGCGCTCGTCGAAGTAGGGTTCCCGCGCTTTGAGGACGGCTCCTCAGCGACATGGCTGTTGTTGAGGCTCATGGAAACCCTCTCAGAAAAGGCACGGTAGCGCTCACCGAGCTTGTGCATCTCCAGGATCTGTTGCGTTTCGGTATCAAGCAGGTGGTGCTCTCGGTCGTCTTCTGGATCTGCAAGAACGGGACCCTGAAGCAGTAAATAGAAGGATGATCACTCCACGAGGATCAAACACGATTTGGGTTTTCAGGAAGTACAACGCATGGGAATAATATTCTTATGGGAATAATATTCCCACACGTATTTATCACATATATTCTTGTGTTGACTGTGCTTGCAATTCCGAAAAAGTTTACTAGAGCAGTAGTCTAAGAAGCATCACAAAAATCGCATCAACGCTGAGCGCATCGATATTTTTTTGATTTATTTTTAAATAGTTCAATTATTCAAATTCAGTAAATCTAAATATCCATGCGGTCGTTCTTGCAAGAACATTGTAACGTCCGTACCTGGCCTCCCCCGTCGTTGGCAAAGTTGCCTAGCTGTGGGGGGTTAGCGCAACTGTCGCGCACACCTGCGGAGTACACAGAAGTTTTTTGGTTGAACCGCACTGCCTTGCTTTCAGCCTCGGCAAGACCTCGAGGGTCGGAGACCTTTTTGAGGCACGAACCGGGATTGCTGGAGGAAGCTGCTGCGCCTCCGGGGCCACCTGCTCCCAAATTTGATAAAGCCTGCACGTCTGGGATACCGCAGCCGACGCCAGACCGGCGGGGCGCATCGTGCTGTTGCTGTTGTTCTGAAGAGGGGGGCGCCGAGTATGGCCTTCTCAACTCGATTACTTTCTCAGGCGTTACTTACACCCTCGAGAGCGTTCTTCATGGCAAAACAGCAAAGGAAAACGAAAAGCAAGACACGCTGCGCCGTTCGGATGACAAATTTTGCAAAGATCTTGACCCTTTTCGAGGCATCTCACATGTGTGATGCTAAAACAACCGCACCGACATTCATCGCCATTGTCCATTATCGCTTTGAAGATGAACATCTCACATTTGTGATGCGTAGCTTGAAGATGAAAATGCGAAAAGAGCAGGCGACGCAGATTTATTTAGGTTGAAAAACAAAAACGTCTTTGCTGTGTAACAGCTGAGAGTGTAACACGTGAGGAGGCCATACCATGCGGGGTAGGTAGTAGGGATCGGCGGAGATGATCTGGTCAGGCGCAGGTGGCGCTGCCATGGACGCTCCGGCACCGAGCTGAGGTTGAGTCAGGACCGGGTTCGTGGGCGGGACCTCATATTTTTATAAGATGCGACTGTATTTTTCAACATCAACTACATATTGTTAGTTTGTTTACTTGTTGCCCCGTGCTGCATGCTGCTCACAGCAAACTTTATTCCGTAATTAGAATAAATAAGATCAGATGTTGCCAGGTTGCGTGCACGACGAGAGTAGTAGTAGACCAGCAACTTTTACTCCGTGAAAGAACCTGGTCGACGACGTCGTGTATTGCTGCCCCTGGATTTTCTGGTTGCGGCTGGAAGTTTGGAAGGAGACGGACGCGCTCTACCGGGGCACACATCTTCACGTCAAGGCGGAGTGTGCCATCGCTGTTCTCTCCCAGCAACACCGCCGGAATCCAACGGTTATGGGTGGTGGAATAATACTCCACGTTCGGCTCCACACGCGTAACTTGGTTCAGGATTCCTTCCTTTGACGACGAGTTGGATGTGCCTCTCTGGTGCGGTTGATGCTGCATCTGACCCATCGCCCCCTGTAGTTGTTGCCACGAAGGAACTTCCGTCCCGCGGCCAACTTGTACGATGTTGCCGTTGACGGGTCCTCCCACGGCGGCGTTACTGAAGTTGGTGCCCATACGCTGCACACCACCCTGCAGCTGTGTAGTTTTCTGATTTTATTTTTGCGCACTACAAGAACGTGAACGACTCACCGTAATCACGGGTTCTTTCTTTCAGCATGATTCCCGGAACTCAACTGGAGTTGCAAATCCGTTGAAGATTGTGCATTTACATCCAACAATTATACCTGAGGCGGTGCGCCCCCGTCCGCAAGATTGTTGCTGCTGAACGCCAATGGGTTTGCTGCAACCTTCCCCAGAGTGAGTGGTCCTTGTTTGTGCAAGGGGTCGACGTTTAAAAATTTAAGCGGTTGCGCATCCAAGGACACGAATTTCTGGGGCGGTAATTGACCCGCCACCGAGTGAAACCGTTTAATCGTTTCCATCATCTTCTGCTGGATCGTATCGCTCTCTTGCTTCAATCCCACGGCGTTCGCCCGAATCTTCTGGGCCTCTGGAGGTTGCAGGGGACGGACGTTCAGCTCGGGCCGCGCCTTGAATTCGAACGGCTGGCTCATGGTCGTCATCACCTTCGCCATCATCTCCTGTAAGGGGGCAACAGGCTTTGTGGGTTATAAGCTAACCAAAGCACTAGCACACGACATATGATATGGTATCAATCCCCTGTAGTTCCTGTATGTTGAAACAACGCGAAAAGTAGTTCTACTGACGCTGAGGAGGCAGAGCCACGTCAAGGTCAATCACAAGAAGATATTATAAGTAAAAAGAAGCCGGCACCGGGACCGGCTATAATATTTGAGGTTCACCTCCATCGACGGTGGCTGCTCTTGCTCTTTTGTGAAGAAGCTGAACGTGTTTGGATCCAACGGTGGCAGTATAGGCGCGCCTGAGCCGGGAGCGGCGGTCAGTCCTGCCTGCTGCGCATCTTCTGCAAGAATCGTAGTGTTTGGATTTTCCATGGTGGCAGACACCATCTGGTCGCGTGGTGCAGTGGCTGCCGCTGGCTCCGTACCGCTCGCCTCCTCCCGGGCGTCTTCCGGGTTTCTCGTTTTTGAAGGGTTTTTGTGCAGCTCGGGTACGCTTGCGTCCTCTTGAGCACCAGCAGCAGCTGACAATTTTTGGGCGACTACCCCGGGTGACGCTACCGCGACCAGTGATGTGGGCGTCACACCGAGTATCGCTGGCGGGGTAAGTGGCATGACCTTGCTAGTCGACGAGGAGGAGCCAACGGCGGGCAGGGTCGGTGCTGCAGCCGCAGCAGCCGCGTTCTGTTGTTGCAAGCGCTATAATTTCAACATCGAACAAGCAGTGGCAAGCACTAGAGCAAGGACGCGACATTGTCTTGTTCTACTTATGCACGTCTTACGGCCCCCTTTAGAGAGCTCTTCTGCTACTGTTCTTGAAGGCAGTCGTCGGTTTTCCCTTCGCCTTCTACTCTACTTGCATGTGTCATGTAAGTAGTAGACTAAGAGATGACAAGAAGTCAACAAATGGACGTAGTAGCAGGAGCAGCAGTTGTACTAGCAAGATTTTCTATCTAAGTACCTCTGCATTTTGCTTCTCCTTGTGCTGAGCAGCGAGGCCAGCGAACAGGTTTGGCGCTTGAAGCTGTCCGGGAACCGGCTTCGTGCCGGGGACAACAGTAAGGGAGCTGCCGTCCACCGGTTCGAACTGAACCATGCTGGCTGGGTCGACCGCTCCACCCCCGGCCTGGTCCACTCCGGCTGGTGCGTCTTTGCTCCCAAAGAACCAGTTCGCGGCATTGGAAATGAACTCGGGCACGATAGCCTTCTTGTTGTTCATATTCTCGGGACCACCGGGACTGCTGCTACTCCTGGCTCCACCCGCTCCGACGGCAACTCCGTTGGTCGTCGCTCCCGCACCCCCATCGTCGGAACCGGTGACCGTGGAAGCGAAATTATCGGACGAGGTGGGTGCTACCTGCTGGAACTGCTGACGCGGCGGCGATGCGGCGACCCCGGCTCCGGCGGCGGTGAAAACCGGCTGCTGCTGTGTGAGAGAGATAGCTGGCAAGGTAGCGGGCTTCAACAGCGGTGCCCCCCCGGGCGTTAGGGCATTGCCGACTAGTGCAGCGCCGGGAGGTGAAGCTGTTGTACTCGCAGCGGGGGCTGTCGCCGGGGCCAATGCCAACACTGGCCCTGCAGACGCCTGCTGTGGCTGGTACTCGCTGTTTACGTAATTCAGAAACTGCTGCTCCTCGTCGTTGGAGCTGGGGTAGCAGCTTGGCTCTGCGTCCTGTGCCGCGAGATCTAACTTCGTGCGAACGGATTCCAGAACCAACTTCTGCAAGTGCACCACATTGCGCTCCCATTCCTAATGTCATTCATTTTTTATTCATCATAAAAATTTTGGTTTGCATCGTGGTGGTGGTGCTGCTACTTCTGCGGTCACGGTCACAACAAAATTTTTTTTTAGCAACTCGGACTTTTGCGTAGGTCTAGGTAGTTTGTAAATCATCACATTTCATTCGATCGGTATAATATTTTTTGGTACTCGCTTAGTACCTCATCTCCGTTCATTTTCTGCACGTACCGGCAGAGCTCCAAACGATCCGGCTCGAGGAGGTGATGACTCACACTTGCGGTTACCAACTGGGCCTTCTGAATCATCTCCTTCAGCAACGCCTTGAGTAAGTCAAATGACGACAATTCTCCCAAATTCATTGCTATAGGCACAGGGGAGCGGCCCCGTTATGATAAAACAAGAAGCACATGATCGGTGCAATCGCTTACTAGATTAACTTACACGAAGGAGGCTCTTCCAGGAAAACGCTATCTTCTAGTCATATGATCTCTTTCCACCTTCTTGTCTGTGCCATTGATTATTTGCGAAAAAGTACCGAGTAAAAAATCGTACAAATTCTAGGTGGCGGTAACTAATGCAAAGGCAAGAGCAGACGAAGTGAAGGTGTACCAGCGCTGCGAGTGTATGGAACTTCTTGTTGCTGTTCGGAAGCTGCCGGCAGAAATCCAGGTAGTATTGCACATGGCTGGCGTAGCTGGTCAGGGAGGCTTCCACCTCTTGTTTCCTCTTCTCCGTTTCCGCGGTATCCGCAGATCCTATTTTCTCCCCCATGCCAGGCGTCATTGCGTTGTGGTACAACAATCACACGGCCACGCCTACAACTTTGGTAGAACCGGATTTCCCGTGCCTTTGTCTTCCGTCGGAGGTGTAGTAGGGAGAAAACCTATTCTTGCGATATCTTCAGGAAGAAGCCGGATCATTCATAATTCCGTGCATAAGGGGAGGTGCAGGGCGACTTTCACATTTTTTGAAACAAAAACCCCTTTTTTGACATCAATTTTTGTCAAAGATTTGCCTTTGCTTCCATATTCATGCGCCAGACGAAATTGAGATCGATTTTCCCATGAACAAAGTCAAAGTAGGAAAACAATACAAGGTTCTACTTGTTCGAAAAAAGACGATCGGTTCACCAGTTCTACACTACAATCTTCGTGCAGGAAAAAGTAGATGCAATAGATGATACAACGAGACATACGATGCTGCACATGAAAATTTGATTATATATCGAGCGTGTTTTTATTGGTGGCGAAAACGAATATAGTCCTAGGTTAGTCGCAGCCAGAATGATAGTAGTAAACACGCACACGTGAAGATGAAAGTCGAGCACAAACGGACACGTAAGGCTTCTCTCAATTGACGCCCTCTCTCAAACAGAGCTCCTGCTCGTGGTTTGCCCTTGCCTGTTTTTCTATCTTCTGCTCAGAAAATGCAAACGGAAGCGCATTGGACAACAAGTCAAGGTGTGTCGAGACAGAAAAACGAAACACATCAATTATCCATCTTGTTGGGGACGGGGAGTTGGTGCGAAAAACAAGCCAGGCAACTATAGTAGAAGGGAATATGTATCAGCACGATACAGCGAGAAGGTTCGATGCCTTTTAGCCCAGCTCGTTACAACAACTAGGTGGAACAACTTCGTCTGGGTCTGCACCTCGTCCAGACGGCCCGCGGCCGAACGAAGCTTGTGTCTTGATCTTGTCCTCCCCGCGCTGCCATTCCTGGGGGACTACAGTCTAAGCATGGGCGCTATCGACGGAGCAGATGACACCACGAATTGGTTTTCCACCCCGGTGGCAGAGGACGACGCTGCTCCAATCAAGGCATATTCGTAGGGAAGCAGATCCTTTGACACAAAAAGGTATCGTACATTTAAGCCTGCTGTTGACACATTCATATTTTCAGGATTTCTTGGCGGAGAGCCGTCGTTCATTGTTACCAATATCGAGGATTCTGGTGACGCTGCACCAGCGAAGGGGCAGCGCATTTCCTCCGAGAGTAATTTTGAAACAAGCATTCTTTTGTTTTGTCAGTTTTGACTTCGGCCGTCAAGCTCACGAAGCACATCAATCAACATGATTGCGGTACAACCTACAGACCCATTCAATAGGAGGTGTGTGATGGTGGAAACGAGGACCTGTAAGCACCTGGATTTTATTCAGTACACATGTTTGACATGATGATTCGGCAAATGTTCTTCACACCGCCACCGAAAGTACTTGTACTTTCTTTGTCGTCGTAGCACCAGATGTACCGCCAACCGCTGTGAGTCCATGACTCGCGAGTAATTGTTTCCGCCTCGCAGCGGCGCTCAGCTGCTGGCTCAGATTATGATCAGTTGGGGAGGCAGACTTGCTGCGGAGGTGTGTCTATGCATTGCAAAAGTGTCCTCGCACTGGTTGTGCAAAATACTACGCATATTTTTACAAAAGTTTTAGAGAACAAGAAAAAGAATGCAACTTGTCATGCTAGTAGATCAGGAAGAAAGATAGACATAGATCTGTCAAGCATGACTGCAGTCAGTACGAGTACGATACTTTTGTTGCAGAGGATAGTGTCGTGCTCGTGGCGCGCCCGGGTTCCCCATGCAAAGCCGCGGACTTTGCACGGGCGACGGCGAGTTCCGTCTGCCGGAGCAGGGTCTCCTGGCGTTTGTTCGCACGAATGCGGGCGATGCGGGAATCGGTACGTTCCTTGTCTCGCAAAGCCTTCAGTTCACGCTCCTTCCAGTACAGCTCCCGCTTTTCCGCCCGCAGGTATGCCATCTCCTCGTCGATGCCGTGCGAGTACGCCTTCTGCAGAATGTGTTCCTCCGCCTCCCTCTTCCGCACGCTCACATGACCGGCCTTGCTCTCGTTCAGTACGCGCTGCATATCCTGTTCATCCGTCATCAGAGTGTACTCCGTGGCTAAAGCCATATGAGGGGGAAAAATGGGGTTGTTCACGTGGTCAAATATGAATATATCAATGAATTTACCAGGCAAAAACAAAATAAAAATGCGAAAAACAAATACAAAAAGCATGCGAGGACATAGTGCTGCATTTGCATGTAGGCAGCTTCTGCGAAGTTCTTGTGTGCAACGAGCAACGGCGACCGCAGCTTACTTTTCAAACCGATTATAGCAGGGACACTTCGATCCTTTTGGAAGCTCGGTCGCGGAACAGGATGAAATTATGCTAATTTATATCAGCCCTGTAGCTCCTACCCAGCGGGGTCGTGCGGACCAGCATAACCAAGAATCTCACGTGACTCAAACACACTTTAGGTTGGATTGGGTACTCTGTCAGGTAGGGGCTTTTGGAAAGCTTTCTGACCCACCGCTCTTCCCCGAACCGTCGATTGAATCCCAGGGCTTCGCGGTAAACCTGGCGCAATTTCATCAATGTGTCGCAAGTCTTCAAAATTGAAAGAAAGTAGCGACCAATGGGAAAACATGGTGTAGTCCACTGCTGATGACGTTGAAGAGGGCTCTCGTTTGATTCTACTCCATGCCTTAGATGAAATATTTATTAGGACAAGAAGCTACTTCATCCGTCTTGCGGAGCGACAGCCGGGCCTGCTCCCTTTCCGCCAGACGACTAGCAATGATAGCAGTGGACTCGCAGCGCGCATTGGCACAGTGCTCCAGCTTTTTCATTAACCGGAGCTCTGGGTTTTGCCCCTTGGAAAACCGGGCTGCGTAGTCTTCCGGCATTCTTTTGTATCCAAATTATCAAGCTGCTGCGCATGCGCGGCGCATCAACACGCGAAGAAAAAAAGCAAATCTCTTTCACGCACCGGAACTATTGGCTATAAGGTTATTTTCAAGGCTGATGTTGGCGAGGTACAGGGGACATTAAGATTAACCAAGAGCATTTGACGCAACATATCACTAACGTTCGACATTTTCGAAATCACTTCTCATTCTCTGCGCTCGACCACTGGAGGCACTACGTATAAAGTCAAGCCTTTTCCCTCACCTCGAGCACTCAGATAGGAGCTTTCTCATCTTCATTGGCGACGAATGTGCGACGATGGTGTTGAACGAGCGCGAACTACTTCATTTTTTTGATCAGAATGCGGCGCCGCATTCTCTATTTTGTCCTCCGTTTTTAGTTCTGCTGCAAGGAGGAGATAGGGGCCACATTATGAGCAAAACACATATGATCACGCTGATGCGTTCAAGTTTTTGTCTTCTCGGAATCCAATGTAAAGAACTACATGGGAGTTGCTTCATCTAAACATTCATCGGGCAACTAGCTGTGCGTCAGAGTCGGTGAAGATCTTCATCGTATGGAAGCACGAACTTTTTTAATTATTCCCCTCTCAGAGCGGTAGAGGCTCTTCGTCATCGACGACAATACGACGACACCAGCTTATTTTTCATGGTGGTCGCTTGGGTTTCAATGTAAATAGGATCACATGCTGATGTTGTTGCTGTGAATCCATCTAAGGCGTCAATCGCTTGGGGTCGCGAGGGAAGAGACTGGTGCGACGGATGTTGTCTAGACCTAGAAACAACATGACCACGCGCTCCAAACCCACTCCACCACCCGCGTGCGGGAAGGCACCCATACTGAAACTGTCTGTGTAGTACTGGTCGGGAACCATTTCTTTCTCCTTTGCGAGTTTTACAAGCAGCTCCGGGTCGTGAATGCGCTGGGCACCTGCGAAATTTTTTCAGTACTGCAATCGTTTGGCTACAAAGGAAAGTCACGAATAATGGAGAAGATCAAGAAATGGGCGGGAGAAATTGCATTTACTGTAGTTGTCAGGTCCCTAGTTGTAATGTCGACGACCTCGACAGTTGCAGAATATTTAGCAAAAAGTTCGTGTGATCTCAGTCTTTACATTTTTTTGTTTACGTAGTCGTAGACGTAGTAGAAGTCATAAACGTAGGTATCAAGTACCGCTCATGATTTCTTCGCCGCGCATGAAAATGTCGTAACTGTTGGACCATTCGGGGTTATTCGGATCGGGCATGGTGTAAAAGGGACGGACAGCCGCGGGGAACTTGTCGATGATGTAGAACTCGGTTTGGTACTTTCGCTTGACGATTTCGCCGAGGATCTTCTCGTCCTTGGTGGACACGTCTTCCAGGTATGGCTTCTCGGCAAGCGTGGCCCGGTGCTCCATCGCTTTCTCCGCGACGTCCCAGAGCCGAGTGCGCTCCTCGGCGTCGGTAGTCTCGTTCGCGAGCTTCTCGTAGTTCGCAATCTGCTCGGTGGCGACAGCCGGCCCCTCGGTCCGCAAGAGGTCGATCGCCTCCTTGAAGGTGAAGATCTTGCAGGGACTGTCCTTGTTGTACAGCATGTTAGCGAAGGGAAACTGCTGCCGCACCGCTTCGATCTCTGCACTGCACCGGTCGTTTAATGCGTTGAAGATGTAGCGGAAACATCGATCCAGAACCTGATTCCAAAACAAATAAGGGCCTTGCCGATTTTTCGATAGTACTACTTCAGTTTCGACTCCATGACTGTTCGCGCTCAAAGCGCCTAGAAGAATGTAGATGTACACAACTACTAGTACTACGTCATATCTGCCTTAGATACGAATACTATTCGTATTCATGCGCCACCATATGAACCAAAAGCGTAAAAAAGTCAAATTTTTGATACGTCCAGCACTTCGTGATAATGTTCGACGAAGTGCATTTCCATATCGAGACCCATGAACTCGGTCATGTGCCGGTGGGTAAAGCTGTCTTCGGACCGGAAAACGGGTCCGATCTCGAACACCTTCGGGAAATCGCACATCAGGGCCATTTGTTTGTAGAGCTGGGGGCTTTGTGCGAGAAACGCGTTGTTGAGACCGTACCTGGAAAAGAAGTAAAATACGATTTCCTTTTCAATATCGGAAACATTCAAAATCGTCACTCAAGTAAATTTAGATTTCATCTTCAAGGAGGAACACATCTAAAAATAAACAGCTTGTAGTTCTTGAACAGTGCTGAAGCTCTACTGCCGCAGTCCTAGGTTTAAACTACGCAACACCAAAAGCAAAGGAAGATGAGAGCAGCGAACAAGTAGCAAACATCCTTACTTGGGAAAGTAATCAACTCGGAAGACTTCGGCACCACCCTCGGAGCCCCCGGCGAGCATTTTCGGGGAGTGGATCTCTATGAAGCCTTCTTGCAACAAGAATTCGCGGAAAAAAGTACAGACACCAGACTGGATGCGGAAGATGCCCTGGTTCGCTCGGGTCCGCAGATCGATCACGCGGTGATTCAAGCGGGTTTCCAGGTGCACCTGAACGCCGTCCCCCCCCTCGTTCATAGGCCGGCTGGCGTCCGCGAGCTGAAACGGCAGCTCTTTTGCCTTACTCACACAATACAACTTTTTTACCAGGAGCTCGTACTGCTTGATTGTCAGGATATCGGACTGTATCGGTGCCGGCGGCTTGGTCACCGTCGCCAGGACGTCGATCACGCTTTCGTTCGTCAGCTCTTTGGCAAATGCAACGACCTGGAGGGCAGTGGTGAAAGTCCATGTTAGAAATGAAAAACATGATGTCTACTTCGAACACACAGACATAAACCAAGTGCCAGCCTTACAGCGCGGCTTGTCCAGCAGTACCAGTTTGGCAACGTGCACGTAGTGCACCCACGTCTGCATGAAAAAAATAAGAACCTTTTTCCCTATTTCGCTTTCCGGTGCAGCTTGCAGCGCGGTGTCGATGACTTCCGGGTCCACCATAACCTGCATGAGGTGGAGGTTTTGGCGGATCAGCACGAACGAGCGCTTCCCCTGAATACGCGCGTTGTGCACTCGGCATCGCACCCAGATGTCCTGGCCCACGTCCGCTTCACCAAGCGACCCCAACTGCCGCCACGTGCGGTTCGTTTTGCACTCCGACTGGATGAACAGATTGCCGTACGGGCCCGTGGTGTCCGGGTTCGGAAAGTCTTCGGTGAGCCGGTACTCAGGAACATCGCCGAGCTTGTTCTTTCCGCCTTTTTTTCGTTCCTCTTCGGCCTTTATGCAACGCAAATGTGTCTTACTCTTGGTCCGCTGGAAACATCCAAACTTGTGGCGCTCTCCATCCGTCACGCAAAAGTCTGCTCGTGGGTTGTGAGTAGCAGGAGTTGCTCTCTTCTCAGCACGTACACGGTGAAAAATCTCTCTAAACTTGCATGGAGACTCGGTCTCGGTGAGAGTGAGAGGCCTTCGTAATAAAAACACCTCTACTTCTGATGCTACATGCTGTGAAGACTCCCAGAGGACCTCTGTCGGTGAGGCAAAAGCTATAGCTGCATGCCAAACTAACAACTGCTGTGATGTTCCAAACTCCCAGACAAATTTGCATCTGATAGCCTTCTTGCGCTCCGCCTTGGCCGTCTTCTCAGCCTCCTTTGCGGCCTTCTTTGCCGCTTTCCGCGCCTCCTTCTCCTCGTCGACCTCCTTCGCTTCTTGATTTGGGTCCTCCTCCACAGGCGCGAGACCGCCGCCAACCACAGGCTGCTGCTGCGCCTTCGCCTTCGGGGCGGACGGTGCGCTGGGTTTGTTGCCTTCGCCCAAGATGGCTTTCATCTTCTGCATCCGGACCAGTTCTGGCTGGAATGGCTGCTTCTCCTTCTTGAGAGCCGTTACGCGCGCTCGGGAACTTTCCAACATTGCAGTCAACGTCGTCCCCAGTGCGGGAACGCTCGTCATTGATTTGGAAATCCACCTGCCCAGTACCTTTTTTGCAGCGCAGGGGAAAGGAATAGCTTGACTACCCGGCGGCGGTCGCGCAAAATTTTGATTAATTTTCTCGATAGTTGTTCATTTGCCGAAAATCATTTTTATTCTTCACGCCACGATGCAATTATTCACTTATTTTCATACGAACGCCATAATGAAAAGTTTATGTTGGCTTACCGAGTCCGCCCGGACTGGCATCTGTTCGAGGGAAGTGTCAGTATCTTCCACTAATCGGTGAACTAGCTCGCACACAAGATGTACGTCGGCTAGCGTGCAGCTGGCGCCGACCATGCAGGTCCTGGTGGTCAAGTGGCCCTCCAGGGTGGCGCAAGCCTTTGCGACGTCTTTCTTGTTACTCACGAGTTCGTTCGCGCCCCATGCCAACCAGCCGTCGACCTTGTACGTTATTTTTTTTCATCATGCGGTAGAGAAGATGGTGCTTTCTTTATTATTACCAGAAGATTAGTCGACTTTTTCTTTTCTAGTTTCAGTTATGATGCTGCTCAATTTGATTTCTTCTTCGATGATTTCATTTTTGTACTCGGCTACTTTTCATTTTCTGATGCGCGCACCCCCGCGCGACTTCGATTTGTATCTTTATTTTTTGATGCTGAGAACGCGAATACAATAATACAGGAGACGACATCACATACCTGCGCTTTTTCCTGCACACTGAGATCGCCGTAAAGTTCGTTATTTGGCGCACACTCGCCCAGGTGTCGCAGGATGACATTCGCAAAAGTCAAAAATTCACCGTCTTTCGTGGTAAGCTGGACGTCCTCGCCCCCTGCATCTTCGCGCTTTACTTCGACGACGGAGTGTAGTCCCAGGGCCTCCAATGCAACGAGAACGGAACTCACTTCCACCGCCGGGGTGACTTTCAGCTCCATGTCAAGGGTGAAGTAGTCTGGTACTTTTAATACGTCAGGTGGGGATAATATTAAGACGAAAATATCAAGAGGGCACACCTCTATGATAGATAAAAGCTGTCGCTCACGTTCGGTGAGGGTGACACAATACGGCTTTCATACGTTCTTCAACGTCACTGCCAAAAAATTGAAAATGGATTAAGATTAGTGTGCTTTACCAGGATGCTGCGTTTACGAAAGTTTGTGAACTTTGAATAGAAAGACAGAGACAGACCTTTACCTCATTGGATCTGAGGAAACAAAATCAGATCGGCGAAAAAAAAATCGAGATTTGTGCAAGAACTAAAATTACTAACGGTCGCCGTGGTGATCGAGGAGCTATGATGATTAACGATTTACTCGATGCAGAGATCGCTCTCATCAGACAATCGCATGCTGTATGAGTATGATGTTTTGCGTGTCAGGGCTGCGCTCTGCCGGCATCTATCAAAGCACATGCGCAAATGATCATGATCAAACATTGGACTGAATGGAACTTTCCGTGGATCTCAAAGTGCTTTTCTTCTATGACTGCAGCAGTACTATTATGCCAGCAGTAGGCCTGGATCCGGCATGCGTGTATGTCCTCTCTGGCTCTGGAAAACAACTACATCATAGGTGCCTCCGAACGTTGTCAGAGCCGGTGAGACTCGGCATATGATTCGCGCTTGAAAGGAGCCGACCAGCAATGTTGAGTTCGACAGGCGAACCCGTGCAACTGCACGACCAGCTAGGACGGTATAAATCTGAGAGCAACTACATCAAGCGCTGAAAAGATAGTTCGAAAAAGTAGAGTGAAGTGCACTGACTTCGATAAAACATGAAGAGCATGATCGAAGGTCTCAGTCTCGATCGCTGTTATTTGTTCGTTGAACGGAGGACTGCCTCACGCGCTATTTTCCCTCGATGCCCCGGTTTGAGACGAGGTAGAGTTTATTCCAGCGGTCGTAACTCAGCTCGACGATTTCCCGGTATTGGTCTGACTCGCGTAGCTTTTGAAAGTGCTGCGAGAGCAGGAAGCGACAGCCGCTTGCGCGCGAGGCGTACCAATGCCAAAATCCGGGAAAATCGAGAAACTCTTGCTCCACCTGCTGCCAGAAGCTGTGTAGGACCGGCTTCACAAAGTCTGCTGGGTAACCGTCGTCCAACAAAGACCCGAGGCAGGTCCACAGCCGCGGACTTTCGGGGTGCAAACGGAAGTAGGCTAGCAAGATATCCCGCGCGTCCTCGACCCCTCCCGAAGTTGAGTGCAGCTGGGGTGCTGTGTCGACGGGGTCTAGAAGTACCTCTTTGTCTTTCTGCAATCCTTTCATTCCTACTTGTTCCTCGTGTAGTTTGAGCCGAGGTTGCTGAGAAGAGAACGCAGCCGCGCTTTCGGCGGAGGCTTCGAGCGTACGGCGAAATTCTGCGTCCAGACGGTTATACACGTGGTCAAGGAGGGTCAGAGTTGTTGTACCAGAGGACTCGGCTCCTCGTGTAGTGGCTGGTATTGATACAGCAGCCCCAGAGAAGATCGCGGATCCAGATGAAGGTAGCAGGCCAGCAGGCTTGGGTTCTTCCACCAACGCAGAAAAGAGCATCGTCAGACCATCCGACACGTTGCGCCAGTGGTCTACCCCACGCCAGGCATTGCGGCCTTCGACCATCTTTTGTGCGGCAGCTGCTGTCAGGCTCAGGGATTCTTCTGGGATGATTTTTTGAAGACCGTTGGCCTGGTTGTAGTTCTTCACGTGGGAATCAAAATCATCTTTTGCCAACATGGCCCCAGGTCCAGAAGAATCAGCTTCTCTGGATAGTACGTGCCCATCGGTGCTGTGGATGAGGTTCGACGCTTGCCCCTCGTTACGATTTTTACTAAGCGAACTCTTAATATTCTCTTTGCTATCACCAGCGTTCGCGTGTCGTTTCTCTCCTGATGCTGCCCGTCCTCCCCGTCCACCTGAAGTTGTTCCAGCATAGCAGGCCGCTCCCGCTGCACCTGCTTGGGGTCGTCCGACCGCGCCGCCATCGGCGCCAGTATTATTGTTAGTGAAACTCAAAAGCTCCTCCTTCTGACGCTGTATATGCTCCTTTAGGCGCGGGAAGGTTTGTTGTTCCAGGAAGGAAATGTGATCGTCGCGTTCCTGAAGCAGGGTGGAGAACTTGTTTTGAGTGCGACGCTGCTCCTTCTTCCAGTATTCAACATCCAACAGCGCGTCTTGCTTCTCGCGCTCCTTTTTCTCGACCGAACCCCGCAGCTGTTGGTACACGTCTCGCTCAAGAAATTCGATGTGCTTCAGCTGCTCCTTCATCTCGTGTTCCAATTGTTTCTTCTTCGCCTCCTTTTGCCGTACACTCTGCTCCAGTAACTGCAATTTTCGCTCCACCAACTCCATCTGCCGCCGCGTCTTCTCTTGCACCTCCTGATGGACCTTGCGAGAACTGGTGAACGGTTGCTCCACCTGCAGATGTTGTTCCAACTGATGCTGTGTTCGCTGCTCAAACATCTGTAGCAGCTGCAGTAGGTAAGGACTGCCCCCACTGCCGTCAGACGCTAGCAACTCCGAAAATTCACTGATTTGCCTCGCCCGGAGCTCTGGCCGACAGTCGCTCTGCGCAATTTTGTTTTCAATGATTTATCGATATCAGGGAAGATGTAGATGGCTGCGCAACTACTGCAGAAGATTATTTTTATCACATTCTTGTTCTTCATACTGTGCAAGTAGCAAGAGACTGAGAAGTGAAGCAAGTGGAATCTGCACGATCACGTCCGCCTGTGCGAACATCTTCATAAAACTAAAAGGTACGAACAAGAAATACAAATTCAGATGCAGAAGCGAACCTACAAAGAAACATATTTCTTGCATATCCATTTGTCTTTTTATAAATTCATTTTCGTGGAGCTCGAAGCTTCAACAACTTCACAAGCTAGAGCCGTTCGAATTGAGTGATATGATGATCGACTTACCAGGTAGAAATCGATGCACTTCTTCAGCTCAGCGTTCGGATACAGTGTGCGATCAGTTACTGGAACCATTGTTTCTGGGTGGGCGTTTCTTTGTATGAGAGTGCACAAGGCCTCTGAGTATTTTGTTCATATGCAAAGCTGTGCCTGCGCGGCTACCATCAAAGAAAACCAATCACCTGTCGGGGGTGGTGAAGGTTCCATGATTTGCACGAAACATCTAGCCATAATCCAAAGGACACACCTAGAAAAGGGCCAGGTCGAGGTCATCGTCATGAAATTCGAAAATACAAAACAGGACAGGGGTGTTGCATACTCTCATACGTTGGGAGAGCCACTGCGTGATTGCAACACGCTCAAATGTGTCACCGCTGTTGAGGTACACCGGATCGATTATCGTACTAAAAATCAGCATCACCTCCATCGTCAATTTTTCAAAGTCTTCATGCAGGAAATGCAAAGAGTAAAGAGACTGACAAGCAACACATATTTGATGTTGCTGGACTTGAGGCTCTTTCGCACGACATGGAACTAATTTGGGTGGCGATGATTTTATCTGCGATATCGGTCATGACCACCTGACACAGGGGACACAAAAAGCTTTTTGGCACTTGCAACACGACAGGCGGCGGCGGTGTCGTCGCTTTGCCTGTTGTGGCAGAGAGAGAATCTCTCCGGTCGTTGGCGGCGATCCCAGAGCCGGTGACGCCAGAGCTTTTCACCTCCTCTGCCGGAATAGGATTAGCAGAGCTGCGTATGAGCTTTAGCTGCGTTCTTAGAGTGTCGCCGGGCTCCGTTTCATCTTCCGCACGTGCTGTTTTTCCTGCAAAAATGGGAGCCTCTACGCCCTCGACCTCGAGCCAGGCTTGCTTCGTAGAATCTACAACTTGTTCAACATCCCCACCAACAGGTATCGGTGTTACAATCGCAGTCGCCGTGCGGTCGGCAGTGGTGCCTGCACTTGGACTTGCTATTGCTGCAGACAGTCGTGATGATTCCTCCGAGCGCTGCATCTTCACAGCTGGCGCCGTGGTGGACGTCGAATAATTCGACGGTCCTCCGGTGGTCGTGTAAGAACGATCTCCAGAATCAGTGACCGAACCGGCTTGAAAATGACCTGGTGTTGACCGTTCGACGTTCTTTCGGGTTCCTGGAGTCTGTCCGCTTTCATGTACTCCGTCGGGCAGAGAAGTAGAAATTGCGATCGGGGGCACAGTTGTCGACCTTGAGGACTGCTCAACAACTTGCTGCGGCTGCCTCGTCACCGCTGGAGCCGCGAGCGCGACAACACGGCTGGAAGATTTCATAACCGTGCCAGTAGTTGTGCCGGTTCTAGCAGACGACGGCGAGGCAGCTGCATCGTCAGAAGTGGAAGAAGAGCAGTTCTTCGTTTCGCTCTCCTGCGGGGATGTTGCAGCTGCCGTCTCTGTCGTAGAAAAAACTTTTGCGATTGTGGTGTCGCCCTGGTCCTCCGGATTTTCTTCTACCAGTACCATTTCACCCGCCATTGAGACCGACGGCGATTTGGGAACAGCCGCCCGTGCAGCCGGCAGGAGACCACGCAATTGAGAGTCTAAGTGGGACGAGGAAGGGGCGCTTGCTGCACCAGACGGCCCGGCGTAGCTGAGACTTCTAGTGCCGCCGGAGCCGGTTGCTCTGCTGCTCGAGGGGCCAACATTCTTGTGAAAGGCGGAACTGCTAAGTATTTGCGGTGAAAGTGAAGAGCTTTTGGTTGACCGCTTGTTCGGCCTGCGAACCTCAGTGGTTTTATAGAAGCTGGATACCCCGAAAGCCTCATCATAACCCACATCAAAACCCACCTGCCGGTCGGGCGTTGCGGTGCCCGTCACGGGACCATTTGCCATCTGCGCCGGATCCGACAACGCTTGCATGTCGATGTTGGACATCCAGAAATACTTACACCTACACGATCATTTTTTCATACAAGCGAGAGCGAGACGGAGACGGACACGAAGTGATTGATCTATTCATTTTTCTTAATCTGGATAAACATCCCTTCGCAGGCACTTTCTGTTTAACATAAACTTCACGATGGATTGCGATGAACGTGTCGGTGCTCTAAAACTTCTATATGCAACTACTACCGAAATAGTAGATCTTCACCAAATGCACGCAATCCAGAAACAAACCTTGACCTTCGTTCTTGAACTTGATCCTCCTTTTCATGAGTGCCGATGCGTGTCGTTAACTTATGTCAATATTTTACTTTGCTCACGAGCCGAGGGACACGGACCATGACATAGATGAGGGAAGGGGAACCACATCTAGGGGCGTAACGTTCATCTTTATTAGGGTACACATACTTCAATCTATCTGCTGAAGGAGACGCGAGAACAAAAACACGCACTGGGGGCCCGAGTTGTAAATGCAAATCACTCGTCTCCTGAAGCCCAATTCTTGACTACACCAAAATCTTCGCCAGGAACAAAACACCCCTCAGTCATCCACCATCATCTCGGAGTCGGATCTGATAAAGCAAAAAAAAAGTTCAACAACACAGACCTTAAAGGGCAAGTTGAGATCAGAAAAAAATATCCAGATCGTCCATCTTGCTCATGTTCCTCAATCACGGAGATCGATGCAGCGAAAACCAGAAGAACTCGGAGCCTATCATTGGAAATCCGAGAGAATTTCTCTTGTACCAGGCCAAGAACAGCGCGTCATTACTACACCTCGAGAATCACGGGATTGGGATAACATTGAGCACCCTCAGATGATGATGAAGAATCCTGCTGCAAAAAGTAGCACGGAGCAAACCGCAAAGCAGGCGCCTCCATTACACAAAGGAACCTTTATCATGAGATGCTTGCTTTCTCTAGCTTCTTGTCGTTGTGTAGACCTCCCGTGCTGGTGAATGTTGTTTGATGCGGTTGGTTTTATGTATGGTATACTGAATAAATAAACGTTGATGATGCGTATTCTCTAGGCTGCGGATTTATTGACTTTCGTTTTACTTAGATACCTGCTGTGAAGAAAATTGGAACGAGGGCTTATTAGCGGGCTTGTTTTGATTGCTCAATTGGAATTCTACTATGGCATTGTTAGGCAAGACGTGCTCCTTCGTGACCTTCGTCCTTCCCTCCATCGTTTTGCCCCCGGCTCGCAGCACGTCAGAGAAGTTCCACACCAATGCCGCATTGAATTGTCGTGGGAAGTCTCGGTGGATTACGCTGGAAGCTGCACATGCTTTCCAGGTATTCGGGTAGGACCAAGAGCGCGCCTCCATCTCACCCGCAACGTATGAATCTGAAACAGCCCCTGGAGGCAGCAGGTTTTCCACTAGGAATTTCCAAGTTGTGCCTCTGCTTCTTGCTGGTGGTTTTCAAAAAGATAAAGAGCTGCTTTTGAGGGCAGTCTTCTTCTTGACTACAATGCTGACTACGGCAAGAATACACGAGACAAGTGAATACTACGTGGAAATAGGTGACACAGGAAAAATTTTTAAATTTTGTAAACATTGAGCAGCAATTATTTTGTGCTGCCACTGCGCCGTCGGTTTGTCGATGGAACTGAGTGCGCAAATACTGCGCGAACCAATTATTTCGAGGTCGGGCGACAGGTACAGGTAAGTGAGAACGCAGATCGCCTGGTGATCTGCGGTGGTGACCTGGATTTTTCTGAATTTCTATTTGAAATAGCTATACGAAAAACGTTTTACCTGAAGGCACTTTTCATGCGTATTGACTTCAATTATTGCAATGCACTACCTTAAACTAGATAGGCACATACTACAGTACTTTAGGGCCCGAAATGTAATTAATTTAGCCTGTAGCTAAGGGAGCCAGTTCAGATACATGGACAGGAAGGGAGGAGCTCGGCGGTGGTGCCAGATCCGGAGGCAAATAGGAGCGGTAATGGGCACCGGAGTGCTCATGTTGCACCATCTGGTGCAACAAGGGCAGATTTCGGCCGTATACCCTCCATATTGCGCGATGGTAGCCGTTCGCTGATGGTGCCCGGACACGTGTGAAGGACTGTAGAAAACTCCCTTAGTTCCGTGCTAAAATTAATTACATTTCGGGCCAATTAGTAGCTACTAGTATACAACTTAACTAGCTAATGTGCCTGCAGGTTTAGCTACTTCAGCATACTAAAAACAAAAAGAAGAAGCAATAAGTGGCAGCGCGACATCCAGTCCATAACGCCGTCAGCCAGAGGTTGAAGGCCCCGTTGATCGGACAGGTTCGGCTCGAAATAGTGCTGGTCTTGCCCGTCTACATCCTCCTGCTCCCATCCGCTGCAAAAACTCCGGTGGTTACCCGTTTCCGAAATCCTAAAACCTAAATCTGCGACACAGAACTGGTCAAATAATGCAACCAAAATTTAAAAATTTTTCCTGTGTCACCTATTTCCACGTAGTAGTGAACGACAACGAATCACGAGTTTTGCAGAGTACTCCTCGGGCCAGTGACCAGCAGCTGCTTCAGTTCGTGCCTGCTTCATCAACCTTCATACTGTGTAGAACGTGCTCAGTTGCAGGCACTCTCGTCGGACGGTATCGAGTAAGACTGAGCCCAGAGATATCCTGTTTGAGTATTTCGCTCGACACCTGCACCATCAACCTGTCCTCTGACAGCGACCAAGGGGCCTGAAATGCACCCTCGGGTCGTTCATGAAACATGTAGATGTACACAATATAAACATATGAGGGTGGTGATGGTGCTGGTGCAGCTGGCTTTTTACGCCGCATAAAATACGGCGGTCGTGGTGTTGTCAGGAAGGTCGTCGATGACGAACGCATTTCAATATCGTACTCCGCGCTGTCAGGTAGGTTCTGAGATGAATGAGCAGACCCTATGGCGTCAGTGAGGTACTCGTCGAAGAAGCTTCCTGCGCCAGTGCCGTCCACAGCTAGCTGCGCCAAGTCCAACTCTAATGCGCAAGAGACAAAACAATCTCGAAACCGAAGGTAAGATGGCGAAAATTCTTTCCCGTCGTCAGAAGCCCTTACTACACTTGCGTGACTTTGCCCCGTGAGTATAGTGCTCGTTTGTTGGTGTGCTTCTTTTTGTTTTTGCATTCGCGCTCGATCAGAATCCTGGTGGCGCAGCTGTAGCATCGTTTCTGTCCCAAAGTTGCCAATGAGGTGTCGTGTAGAAAAGATTTTGAATATACTATGTGACGGAAACCAGAAGGCTGGCTTATGTGTATTAGCAAGGCCTCCCCGGCTGTTGCAAAAATCCACTTGACGTGCTGGTGCAACTTAAACAAGCATGACGCCGTCATGTGAAAATCAACGCGCGCGCTCGACCCTTTCATACCTTGTTCGTGAGCATGATGTGAAAGTCAAAGTGCAAACGTACCAGCCAGCGTGCTAAGTTGTTGCTGATGTATCTGATAAAGCCTTATCCACCTTAAATACACACAAAAATCTTTTTACGACTTGGATACGGCAACCAAAGGCTTTACACTCAGCAGCTGGTTCCACAGTTCTGGCGGACATTGGGTTCGAAGCTCGTCTTGATCCTTACCTGCCCTCGTGGACATACAGGAAACATCTTCACCAAAAACACCCCAAAAGCAGTCCGCTTTATGCAGTGTCGCCTGTTCTTGCAGCTGGTGCGTACCTCCGCCCCTGGTGCTCGTTGCTTGACTTCTCTTATCCACTTGCACCTCCTGTGCCTCAGACGCCGCGACTTTGCCGAGCACGGCTCCCGAATTGCTGACCAGGTCGCGCACCTTTGCAATGACCGGTCCCAGCGTTCGGTCATAATCTAGAGTACGCTTTTTGAGCATCGGGATACGTCGCTCCAGGTATTCCAGGTCCGCCTCACGAAAAATCTGCTGCAGACTTTGCAGTTCAGCGACAGCCTTCGCCGGCGCGATTTCATGCGCTAGAAGATTTTTCTCACCTGCGTTAGCTCTCTTCTGTGTTAGCAGCTCGTCCACATCTACCACGGGGGCTTCGGCATAACCGTGCCCGACGAGGTAGCAGAGCCCCTGGCAACCCCGGACGTCACTGAGCCACGCGCGATCCTCCTTGTCGAGCGATACATCAATCTCCTGCAGCTCCACCGAGCCCGGCACCGCCTTCGTCTGCAGCAGGCGGGCCAATGCGTGCAACTGCTCGTCCTGTGTAAGGCGGACCTCAACTGGCTTCTTGTTCTGCGCCACCCGAGTTTCCGTCGCCTCGTCCTCTTCCTTCGACAATGCTGCCTCCGAGGGCCGGGTGTAGCGAGGACCATGGAACTATCCACGAAAAAACACCCACTCCCATCCAATTTATCATGGAAAACATGCATAAACTCCCGTGATTGTCATGCAGAAAATGAAAATGGATGGGAATGGGCGTTTTTTCCTGAATAAGAACTGGGACGCTAAGGTTGCCGCCTGAACCAGTGTGCTTTTTCCCGCCCCGCACAAACCAATCACCCCGCACGTCTTGTTGAAGAATCGCTGCTGGTGTTTCATACAAAGCACCACCTGCTGCGAGGACTGTGGAGCCCAGCCCCCGGTGGCACGGTTCTTAGAGTTGTAACTCTCGCAGGTGCGGTTGATGTTGCGGGTCATCACAAAGAACCCAGAAGTCGAAACATTACCATTAGGAGCTGGCACCGTCCAAGCCTTCTTGCACCACCCAGCTGATGTGTGGTACCTGCAGCCATTTTTATTTCTTCCTTCCAACCACGTCCACGTGCTGCCGAAACGTCTCCACCCGAGAGTTTGATTGCCGCCGCTGCATGTAGGTGCGTTAGTCAACATTATTACAGCTTTTCTCCCGGTCTTCGTGCTGATGAACGGGTTTGGGGATAGTGTTTTCCACACCGCCAATACTCACATGGAATTCAATTTTCCTCTTTGCAACATTGCGATGACGCGTTAGCTGATACAGCTGCTCATAAATGGCACATCGGCGCATAGAGATAGACATCACACATCGCTGACTTACACACACAACAACATGATCACAGCCACAATTGCACGTGGAAGTACATCGTCCTCGATCGGGTATTTACGCGTCTGTGCTGAGCGCTTCATGCACCCGGAAGCACTGGTCGATTTTCGACCGTAGCATGCGAATCAATAATGTTCTTTCTTCAACTATCCGCAAACCTGCAACTGCACGATGACCTTGTCACCGAGTTGTCCTTTTCAATCTTCTTTCTACGACAGAAGACCGAAATCGAAAAGCAGGAAGAACATCAAAATACATCACGCATACAACCGCTCTCGGACGTTTTAATATCGATCATAATACGAGCGTGGAACACAGTTTCGCTGCGTCACCAGTGTAGCACGAAGCACATTCTAATATTAACTGACTACAAGAAGTATAGAATCGGGGCGAGGGCATTCAGGAGGAGCGTCATTTCGTTTCACATCTTTTCTTTTTTATGACATAGACCTAACCTTAAACTTAGAAAGATCACCAAAGCAACTTCAGATCGGTCGAGTGTGGTTGTTGATCGGGGCTCGTTGCCTTCGTGTTCCTCGCATCTCTTTAAAGTCGCGCTCTCGTCGTCCCTCGGCGTCAGATTGATCAATGCCCGACGGGTTTGTGGCCATCGACGTAGAAATTCAGTGTGTGTTTTGGCAGCTGGATCACCTCATTCTCGTACAGGTTCTTGGTGACCAAACACTGGCACCCGAGACGACTGGTTTCCGTGAGCTCCGGGGCGAGGTCCAGCATGTCCTGTTCTTCGTCCGTGGGGTATTCGAGCTTGTTGAACAGCTTTTCCGAGAGAATGACGTGACAGGTGCTGCAGGCCAAACTCCCCTCGCAGGCGCCCTCCACCGGAATCTCATTGGCGTGCGCGACCTCCAGGAGGGATTTTCCCACCTCGGCATCTACGGTTTTCAAACCCTCATTCGGAATCTCGAACTGGAGCTTTATGCGCTCTGCATTCGGATCGGCCTTGTGGCTGCCGTGATACCTTGCCTGATTCACGATGTGGTGCACCGGTCGACGTGCTATAATCGGGCTGGAGTTTGAAATATTAAGATTCGCCGCTCTTAGAGCTGCAAGACCCACGGTGTTCAAGTTCACTGCGTGTAGTTCCCGGCCTCCATGCAGATCGAGAGTAGTTGATGTTCTACTGTCCACCCGTGGAAGAGAAGACGCGAAAGTAGAAATAGAGGGCGACGTTGGTTTTGGCCGTGGAGTGCGAGAAGTGTCAGGTGTCTTGCTGGACAGGAACACGGCAAAGTGACGCCGGTGACTGATCGTTGCTACTCGACGTGCCGCCGTCGAGCATAATCCCCTTGAGTCAATCCCAGTAATGCCTCCGCATTGGGAAGGCTGACTACAGGCGCCGAAAATTTGCAGCGAAGGACGAGGTGCGGAAGTAATACCCCGCGAAGTCAGTTTCAAAAGAGGGCGCGAAGAACTTGAAGCGGCCATAATTCACTCTATGCGTTTCCAATATTGTCGTTCTAGTCGAAGCTGAAGTAAACAAGGAGTGGCGCGCTTTCGGTAGGCAATGTGACTGCTGAAGTTTATGAACACGGAAGTACCTTTCTGCACTATACTGAGGGGTCGCTGGGGATCAATGGGTACGTCGAAAATAAATTATTCGTAAAAAAAAAATATACGAAAGCAATTTCATAAACATCAAAACTTTATTTCGTCTTCGCCATCTGTTAAACTTTGGCTGTCGCCAGACTGTACACACACAAACAATACCTCTATCAAGTCGAAAGTGGAATGAAGATGATCTTGACACGCGCGTAGCTAAGCAAAAGTGAGCGAAAATTTAGAATGTCGTAAAAGTCTTGAGGCACAAAAGGGTGAAGCAACTGCACAAAAGAACATGCGTATGCGAGGTGGATCAAAAGCGAAAAAGTAAAGCGAGATCCTTTTTTACCATTTGACTTGAAAGATAGAAATGCTGCAAATATCACCGAAGAGTGTTGAGTGCTGCGCTTGCGAAGGACTCAACCTCAACAACGTCCTCACATACTTTTGACTATTTCCGAACATCGTCTTCATACAGATGGATATTGCGCTTGAAACATAGATCTGATTTGCGAAGATGGATGACAACCAACATCGCCGTGATTTATTTTTTTCGACATCAATTTTTCGTGACTTAGAAGTCTTAAAAAAAGCATTGCAAATGACATCACAGCCCCACTGATTGTGATTCCTGTCTTGCTAATACTACTCCAGTCCTGAACGTATTTCGATTAAATGTAATTATATTGATATTCATTGACAGCACGAGGGTCAAACTCACTCCTTTTTCGGGATTCTAAGCTCTTTCGTCTCGCGGAAACTTGAACGCTTTCTGGTCGATCCTGAGAAAACGAAAAACAGAAAAGATAGAGAAGGCATGGAGGTGGGTATGAAAAAATAAAGAGTTCTCTTCCGTAATACTGTAACAAGCGTAATTAAATCGGTTAGGCCAAACAATCAACTTCGTCAACCATCAAAGGAGGTTTTCAAAACAAACCCAGGAAATCAATATAAAACAAACGCGATCGGTTTCGGTTCCACGGGCAATGGCATGCAACTTCAAACATGAAGCTCAACTATAGCCATGAAAAGCAACCACGAGGAAATGCCTGACGAGGTCAAGATACGAGTCTCCCAAAGTAAGACACAGAGACAGCAAGAGCTGGCAAAAAATCCTGATTCTGACAAAGTGTCTAATTCTCACAACGCATACAATTTCAAACGATGCAGCACCAGCAGTTAGTACCTTTATAAAAAAAGTTTCTTCTTCTACCATAATTCTGAACTGCCAAGTAGGTCTTCGTTTTCGTCTTGTGGGGATGGTAAAGCCATCCCCTTATTTTTAAGCAGACGACAACCTAAACACAGACGTAAGTTCTTTCTTGATCCACACGAAAAGAAACCACACTTTCGGAAATGCTGCGGAATAATGTAATCATATCGATTTAATTTCAGAGGTGTTAAGAACACCATATTTTTCCACTTCAGTCTTGTTGAAAAAGCAAAATTGAGTTCTCAGGCTGCTTTCTTTTAGCAGTCGATTTTGACCAGGACCCGTGGTCGCTGGAACATCTTGATAGTATCTTCGACTTCATTCAGCTTGGTTTGAAAGTCTCTTTCGCGCTGTTTGTGCATTTCCGAGTTGATCTTCAGGGGCAACTTCTGCAGGGCCGTTTCCAGTTCCTCCTTTTTCAAACGCAGTGCGGCAAGCGTCTCTGTCCGCTCCTCCTCTGAAAGGACCTGAGCCAGCAGGGAAAGATGTCGCATGTTGACTTGATGTTCTATCGTCTTCAACAATTACAGGCACTACGCCGAGCAGACACACAACACAATCTTCCAAAAAATCAAAATGTTCAAGAACGAAAATTCTGTATTTGCGTTACCTTGAATCCTTCGGGCGGCGCGTCAGCCAAGGCTGCGACCGCGGCAAGCTGGTCCCGCTTCTTCTGGGCCAAGCCATTCTTGATTCTCGTCAAGTACTCCGGGATATTTGTCACAGCGTCCTTCTTGATCTGCTTTCGCCCGTACAATTGCTTCAGCTTCTCTGCTTCGCGCACGAACGCGTTGGCATCCATAGTTTCTGGCCCTTCCACGGCATTTTGCAAATTCTCGCGGATGAAATTACCTGATTGAGAGATGGTGTACAGGATTTTGGTTCACTGTGTAGCTCAATTGGGGTTTCTTCCTGGAGGCAACTTCTTCCTACCGCGTAAGTGTATGTAGTTCCAGTCGAACTTCTCGATCGGAAGCAACTTCTTCCTGGCAAAATTTAACGCAATGCAGAAAACTGCTCCAGCACGACATGATCTTCATCGTAGTAGAAGAGTTTGCGGTACGGATACCCGAGGAAAAATTAAGCCAGACAAAATTTGAACACTCATAGAAGACTACCGCTTCATTATCATTCTTTTTGATACCGGCGGCGACCCAGCACGATACATATGGCATATGTATCGTGCTGGGTGGCACTCCATTCGCATATTATGCGAATGGAGTGCCACGCGGCTGCAATAGAGAAAAAGAAAAGAGAAAGCATAAGCAAGTAGAAGGAGTACGCTGTGGAGCCACGCTTGCCATTTCGTCGGCCACTCTTCCTCTGATTTCACTTCTGCTCGGTACCCGCGGTCTTGCTTCTGGCACGTCAGAGTACAGCCTGTTTTTTTCGTTACTCTCTGTTCTGTTTGCATTTCAACACGGCGAAGATATCATATATCATCCAGAGGACCTCCCACATGTGGACAAGTTAATACGTAGGTCCAAATTCGCAATTTCGATGTAACTAAGTAAATGTAAAGTAAGAGTTGCCCTCACCCTCTTCGTATAGTAATTTCTTTCTCCGTGATACTGATACAAGAGCCGCATCATGTTATCAATCAACTTTCTTTTTGAATTTCCGCGGAGGCGGAAGTAGAAGTAGCTCAAATACTTGTCATTTTCAGTGACCACCGGCTGAGCCAGTTCACCGCGTTCTGCCAAGTGCGCGACTGTCTTTCCCGTCTGCTTTTTCAGAAAACCGTCCTGTCTCACGGCCTGGTGTAAGTACGTTGCGCAGTTCCCATTTCTTTTATTTCGTTACTTTGGCACCCTTAGAGTTACATCAACTCGGCTCTTCAACAAATAAAGAAAGATATGCAGGTTTGACATCAAGATTAAGTAGTATAGAAACAGTGCACCTCTTGGCGATTCGGGACAAATTTTCCCTGTGAAGCATTTTCTTTGTTTTCGTACAGCTTAGCTCGGATGCCAGTGAACTGTGCCATCTTCCAGTCCTTGTCTTCCTCCATTTCTTTTCGCATGCGGTTGGCTTGAATTTGTCGTTGCTTCTGACGCATCGCCAAAACATTGGCTTTGGCATGATCTCGCAACGGTTTTGGCGGCTCATGCGAAAGCAGAGCGGCAACCGAACTTCCTTGCCGGTGCGATCTCGCGATCCGCGAGCCATCGGAGACCATGTTGTTCTTCAAAAACTATATATTTGTTGGACGACTAGGATATTCTTCGCAAATGGTTGAAACTCTTCGGTGCTACTCAACAAAATGCGGGATCTTCTTCGCGCATTTCTGTAAATCGAAGTGGACCATGATGCGAACAAGAAAACCCGCTGCCTTTTCCATTTGAGGTTTACGTTTAGACAAGCTGCGTCTACAATTGCGGGTCGAAACAACTCATTCTCATCAAGCAGGGACGAAGATAGACATAGAAGTTATTTCAGTGCACTTTCTACTAATTTGTAGCTCAGGGTTTAGTTCTTTTTCACCTCCAGACACGAAGCGGAACGAGAAACAAGCCGCATCAACTGAGTGCTTGCGCTCAGAGTTGGGGCAAGCGTTTGCTATCTTTGGTTTCTTATTCTTGCTCTGTTTTCGACCTGCCTTTGGTGGTGTTTCGGACTCGGTCTCTCAAAAGAAGACACATAGCAAAAAGCTCTCGACCTCCTATCGAAGAGAGCGCACGATGGAACAGCAACGTCATTTCATCAGTCCGAGTGTGATGATGTGCTACGTGGTTGAAAATCAATATCGTGTAACCGGCACGGGCACGGCGACGAGAAGAACACTGAATAAAGACAAAGCTTCCTGTTTGTTTCAGAGCATGGGGCAGGCAAAAAAAAAATCGAAAACTTCGCAAGAATAATACATCTTTGTCATATTGTGCAGATGCGGAGCACCAGCTAGCCCTAGCCTGTGCGCATTTTCTGCATTGCAAACAGGATGGCGAGGGCAGTGAGTGTTTCGAACAGCAGCTCTGCTACTTTGAGCTTGTTTATTTTCAGATGTAACATTAGAATTACAATTAGATGAATTGTTTCTACTTACTTTCTTCTTTACCTATTATCACTGTCCATCTTTCATTGGTAAACAACATCAGGAAACAATAGAAAAATCGATCGATAGAAGTTGCGGTGTGCAGGCTACCATCTTCCTACCCTAGTAGCTGCCAGGATCATGTAAAAGTAAAACTCTATGCATTTTTGCTCCTACAGTACAACAAGACAACGCCGGGGGGGGATCATTTTTCAACTACACTGAAACGGACGACGGCTTCATTCTCATCGCCCAGTGGCCCCGAGAACAAGTACCTGCATATGCTTATGCACGGAAGGAAGTTACGTCCCCAAGTTGATGTCAAAACTCATTTATAGCTTTGACTTATTTGCGGACGGCTGTCGCGACTCCAGAACCTGCCAGGGTGGCGTGTAGTTGAAGTCAAGTTGGTTGTTTAGCGTTTGCCCGTGAAATGTCAGCGCATTCGTGAGTGCCATCTCTGGGCGAATGTCCGCAATAGAGGCGCAACCTATAAGACGCATCACCATCGTATCAAATGTAAAAGTGTCTGGGTCTGGAAGATTGCGCGATTTGTCATGCATGTCTCGTATGATCCATAACGCCTCTAATGCAGGACCTAGCATGACAGATTCTGCGAGATCCGTATCATGCCTTTCCTGCATGAGAGACTTCCTCTCAACTTGGTCCAAAGTGGACAGGTTTTGGCATTCATGCAACACAGATTTTTGCACGATACAGAATTAGCATTACAAGTTGCAATCTTCCAGACCCAGACATTTTTGCAATGCATACATCGTCAACTCGTCGATCAGAAGCTGAATGACGCGTTTCACTATTACAATGAAAAATGCCCCCTCCCCATATCAAAACGGAATTTCTGATGCTGGATTTGTGAGGCGTGAGGCGTAACATGATCGCACTCGGAAGAGGTGGAACAGTCAGCAGCCCGAACTCATCGGTTTTGCCAGGTCCACAACCCCCTGGGGGTGAAATACGGGGGTGGCTCCGCATGGCGGCGATCTAGGATCGCTACCTGGAAGAAGGAGTGGGAGCCTCTTTTCAGATGTACTCCGCAAACCTAAGCCAACCACTGCCCCCGCAGTCACAAACTCACACCCGACATCGAGAACCGATGCGAGGGAGACCCCGGCAACCCTTCCCTGCGACCGAATACCGAGAGGGATAAGTGGGATGCTGGATTTGTGTACACAAATCAGCTCTGTATTGCAGGAAGGCATTGCGGCCAGATGCCCAGCCTAGGTAGAGGCGTCTGGGTCTAGTTGTTCAGCATTGCAAACGGCTGCCCTTTAGGCCTACCAGCATGACAAATCGCTTCCATATTGTGGCGGAAGCTTCTGCATTTGGCTTCTTGCAAGACAAATGTGATTTGTGACCACAAATCAGCAGCACAAATTTTCGGAAACATAGTTTTTCGATATGGGGAGGGGGGATTTTTCCTCACAATATTCACGCCCTCTTCGCCGTAGGCAGCAAGCCCGTAGATGAAGGGTCGCCCAAGTCCAACCATTTTCGCCCTTGCAATCACACAAAAATTGAAGTACCTTCACGCGGTGCTGACATTCAAGCTGAACACTGTCCGCGAGATACTTCTACCACTTTGTTTATCTACCAGACGACAATGAAGAAGATTAAGATGAATCAACGAGTTGAAATAAATACCGCTACCAGGAGCACACGACGAGTGAACGACGTAGCATTTAATATTTGTAGTGGTACTACTCGAGATCCATCCGAATTTTTCAGCATGCACACAAAGAACTGACCTAGCAGGCATCTTCGTTGCGCTCATTATAGAAACATTTTGCCCTCGTCACGCCAGTCCTACGTAGCAGGATTAGAAACTCTAATGCGAGTGCACTGTGCATCAGCATCTTCATCTACATGATCAACAGGCTGACGAGAGACATCACTACAGAAGTACTTACTTCCTCTCTCGCATGATAGCTAGGGCCAAGGCTTTGAAGACGTCACCGCCCCGGCGAACTCCACCGTCCACGAGCACGTCAAACTGTCGGGCGGACGCAGAAGTTTTCTCCTGGTCGTGTCGTCCTCGTCCGGCTTCTGCACAAGCCTCGCGAGGCGAAACCCAGCCACACTCAGCCCGCAGGCTGGTCACGACTTCTTCCAGGCATTCCAAGCCACTACGGCAGTAGTCGAGTTGTCGCCCGCCATGGTTGCTCACGATGATTCCAGCGACGCCCGACCGGTACGCAAGCACAGCGTCCTCCCCGGTTTGAATTCCCTTCAGAACAATCGGGAGCCGCGTTTTTCCTTGTAACCAACGAAGGCCCTCCCAGTCGAAGCTTGGATCTAACCACGCAGATAAAGCCCGCCCAGTACCTGAAATTGTCATTTAACTCAAACAGTGTTGCTTAGGATCAGAACTCGTGAGCGGCTCTGTGCTGAACATTTAAACGATAAAATCTTTTTCGGCATTGCTGCGCCCCCGGCACCACTGCCGGCGCCATTGGCCATCATCCTGACGGCGTCATTCATCTTACGGACCGCGTCCTGCTCCTTTTTCTCCTTCTGCTCCGCTACTAGTAGCTGCAGAATCGCGAGAATTCGGCCCGTGGCCTTGACATCCTTAAGCTCGGCCCGGGTACTATTCACCCGAGCGACCTCCGACAAGGAAGCCATCGACGTCTCAGTGAGGACATCCTTGATGACCGACCCGTCGGCCTCCTGGGTTGTGATTTCCGTGCCGTGGATTTCGAAAACCGCCGACGCGAAGGCCTTGCGCAGGAAAATGTCGACGATGACGTCGGGATTCTGCGAGCCGTCAGCCAGCTTCTCCGCGACGAACTTATTCCACAGAACTTTGCAGTTGGCACGGGCGGGATTATTAGGGAAGTACAGAACCGGGAAGCGTTCCCCCTGTTCTGCTTCGAAACGGACTTGGTCCAGAGTGGTCATTTTCAGTGGTGGTTTTCGACGTAGAAGCCGTAGTTGTAGGTGAGTTTATGCAGTTTGCTGCACGCAAACGCTGATTTTGTCACGAGTGACGAGATTGAAGTTACCCCTGCCCGAGTTTAGGTATTATTACAGTATGGTCGTGAAAGTTGAGGAATCACGTTCGTATGGCTAGATGCTGACAATCGCGTCTCCATCTAGCGCGAAGCCATTACTCGGCTTCCTTATCGAATAACATCGAAGTTCTGCGCAATTTCCGGTGGGCCTCATCCACCCAAAATCTCTGCGCGTTTTTGGCTCCTTTCTTTGTTAACGTTGCTGCGCCGTGCACAGCACAGGCCGCATATCTCGCGCGACCTCTTTCTCGACAGGGGCTTTTAGGGGCGATAATGCCCCTAATTTTTAAATTTTAATTTGCCTGCCGCACGCTACAATTCAAAAAACATGCCGCTTTTTGAAATTTTGCGAGAGTTCCCCCCCTCGTAGCAAGAGCATTTGGTGCAAAATTAGGCCGCCGCGGGCCTCAACATTGCTCCGACGGCCGCGATTGGCAGCCTCGTAGCGCCAGCTGCTCGCTGCATATCCAACGCGCAGACATCGCTCGATATCAATGGGGCGCGCGAGTTGGCTGTGTTCGCCTAAAAATGGCTTTAGCGCACGCACGCATTATTTGCATCGCTTCTGCACTTTTTAGACAGCGCAACACGCCTCGGCGTGGGCGCTACTCATCGAAAGCCGAAACGGCTAGGACAGGACACCTGCTGGCGCACTTTGGGTGCCCTGTCGTATGAAACCGCCCGACCTTGTGTTGGGCCAGTTCTACTGCACTGGCCCGTAGGCGCGCAGTCGTCTGTGCAGACATGGAATTGGCTGGGGCTCGCCCCCTTCTTTCGTAGGTCTCCACTGAGGAGGAGATGCTGCGGGCGCTTCGGCCGCGTTTTCGCAAGGCAGCTTCGACGCTATTCGTTTCCACGATTGCGACGCAGTTGCACTTATCGGCATCAAACAAGCGTCGCTATTTCCAGCGACCACTTGAGATGTCGGATCTGCTAATTTATTCCGCGAGGACCTGCAGATCTTGATCCTCTTTTTGGCATTTGTCGTTTGCGTGCGCTCTATTTGTGCGATTTTTGACCTCTTGATTTAGCCTTTTTTGATCAACTGCCTGATCTTTTTTCTGTAGGCATTTCAGTGGTCAAATCAATCGCGAAATTTTGCTTGAGCGCAAATTTTTTGGACTGGCATGGCTCTATCTAGCCGGGAGAGTCCATCTAGCACGTGTGAGCATGATTCCTCATGTCCACGTGCCATAGGCGATCGATCGAACGACTAAAATTAACCTAAATTTAACGAGTGAAATACAAATGCTTTTATTAAGTATCTATGTTTATCATTATCTCTTACTCAATGAAAAAAGGCGGCTCTCAGCTGCAAAGGATGCAGATTTTCACGACTGGGCAACGAATCAGTTCAGCAGTTTCGTCAAGCTCAAGGTCGCTTAGCACAATCAAAATGCTGTCCAAAAACGGCTCTTGTCCTAATAAAAACAGCAAGCAAGAAGGCGCCGATGCCGAGGAACAAGTAAGTACCTGCCTATGAATCCATGTGCCGCGTTCTCTATTGTTATAAAAGCAAAGTGCGTGATACTTCTTCATCTTGTACCAGTAAGCGATGTTAATAATAATATACCTTGTTCTGTATTTCCCTTGGTCGTTTGGCCTTCCTCCTCCTGCAGATTAGCAAAAAGTGGAGCCTTATGACGCATGTCGCGTTCCCGTCGCCCCAGCTGCGGTGCGTCTACAGTTATAATGAGAGCTTGGAACCCGAGTTTCTCGGCCTTGAGGACTACCTTTTCCGTCACTCGCCGGTCTGGATTTACATACAACTGCCACCACTGGGTCATGCTAGCGGCCCTCGCGTCTGCCATCTCTTGCATCGAGCAAGAAGCCAATGTGGGGCACATCTGCGTCATCTGGTGAGAGATCGTCATCGTTCAATGTATTATATCGTTCCTTCTTCTGGAAAAATCAATGAATACAGTGATGCATGTGAAGGTAAATGTTGCAAATGCAACCAAGCGACGCTGACGCATGCTGATGCAAAGACTTACGAGTACGGTAGTGGCAATGGTGAGATCGCTGCTTCGACTTCTTTTCGAAGGCGCCAAACCCGAAAGCGGGGCGTTTGTCCTAGCGTAAAGGTATTGACGCAGCAGGTGAGTGCTGCGTAAGCGGAAAAACTAACTGACTCTAACACAGAACTAGCAAAGGAAGCGACGTCTCTGTCCTACGGACGACTTTTAAGTAAATCTATACCCCCATCTTTCCTGCGGCCCGGGTTATCGCCACTTCCCCGTCGGGGTGGTAAAGCTTTCCAAGAGCAGTGGCAGACACGTAAAATGGAAGGTGGTGTGTGCTTTTCGCGTCAAAACAGGTTCCAGGGACACGAAGGGAGATGTCTCGTACGTTGCGCAGGATCCGCGGCCGAAGAAACACTCGCTGAAACGCCTTGGAATTCTCCCGATACGAGACTTCGTCGTCGCCTGCAGAGACGAGGTAGGCCCACGCCTCGGCACTTACGTTGCTCGCCGCTACCATTTCCATGTCATAGATGTTCAAAATTTGGGAAAGCCGCGGCTTACTCTTCTGTTTTCGCGAGCGGGACGAGACCACTGCAGGCTGCGAGACTTCAGTCGTTCGTGGCGCCGGCTGTCGTGGTAGTGGTTTTCCTGGGGCCGTGGCTGCTGGGATATCTGCTTCGTCATGGTCAACATCTCGCGAAGTCATGATGTCTTGCTGGCCTGCCGAGGAGGAGTTTGACCGCAAAGCTTCGCTGGCAGCGACTCCCGGACGCCCTGTGTCGGATGCTGGTCCTCGTGCTACAACTTCATCTCCGGGCTTCGAGCAAAACTTACCGACAAGCCGCACGTCTGCAGGGAGCTGATCCTCATCGAGCATGTCGCGATTATGCACGGCCGCAAATCCGACGGTGCCGTCCGCGCCGGCAAAACGCAGCAGGACCGCCTTGCCACCTGGGTGCGTGTTCACAAAATGCGTAAAATCGTACACCCAACCGTACAGAACCAACCAGCAATCGGTCTCAGTCTGGTGCGCCAGCAACTCTGCTCCGCTTACTTCTTTATGAACGACGACGAGCCCCCCACTGCTAGTTGTACAAGCAGCCATGATGTTGGTGTCACTGATCGATTTCGCCGATTGTCTTCTCTTCCAGGAATGTCGCGGTGGGGGTTGCTGTGGATCACGTGGTCAATCGTTCTGCATACAACTGAATCGTCTCAACGGGGGAAGGCTAGTCTTCCGAAATCAAACCTTCCATAAATATTCTTCAAAAAAAAGCAATACAGGTCGCACAGACACAGCAGGTGCAGGTAAAGCATTATCATACTTATATTATATCATACAATGAAACTTCTACCGAAACAACTTCTATGGGGTGCAGTTCACTATGTGGCTCTGAAGCAAATATCGATCGTCTCAAAAGGATTCATGCGCAGTGCACCGCATTGTGGCTCCAAATGTGAGAGTCATCAAATGGCTGCTCGCTCGTTTTGATTTTCAGTTGCAATTCACGAATACAACTCAACTCACAGCCAACATGGCAAAAGGATAACGAAGGATGTGTGTCTTTTTGTGTGCAAATAATGATCGAACACACTACATGGTTGCATTGGGTGCTCGAGCAATCGCCATCCGATTAATGGCACCACAACAGTTTCACAGAAGCGGACAGAGTTAACTCCAAGAGACTACTAGCGCGCATGCAGAAACAGAGACGAGGGAGCAGGCATAAGCAACCCTTATTGATTCATTTCTGTCAGAATGACAATCAGACTCCGGCAGCCCCCACAGCTCAAAATAACAGCAGAACTCGAAATTATGAGAAAGCACACTTCGCTTTCGTACGGGATGAAATGCTTTTCGTAATTTTTTTCCGTGATGGTTCAAAGAAGGAAAAGAAAATCATAGCGATTTAGAGTGGTATAATAGGCAACCACAGGCGGGCGCTCTTCCATTCTTCTTGCTCTACGTCCTTTGATCTTATACTATGAATCATGAAAACAGAGCACCAGAAGCATCTCAGAGCAAAGGAATGGATGCGCACCTTTGACGTACCGTAGCGACGAACATGACGCCCGTTTCTTCAGCCTTCTCCTTGAAGCTCGATCAGGAAAAAAACGAAGACACGACTGAGCTTACAAGTTGCTCAACTTGTGTGGGAGCGGCTGGCTTCTCGTCGTCACCTGAAAACTGCAAGTACGCGATGCCGTGCACCGACGGGACGTGCTGTATGTACTCCATGTTTTTATACATCTGAAGCTGGCGGTGACTTTGCGGCGCAATCAAAGTAATATGCTCCCTGTGAGAGTGAAGTGAGACCGTGACCGTGTCAAGTCTTAAATCTCAATCTCGCACTCGTTTTATCTGGTAGCGCTAGCGTGGATACTACATCAATGAACTACATCTACTAGAAGGTACACGACCCCTGAACCAGCACAACACTGCACCCTAAACGCGCACTGTGAGTGTAGTAGTTTCATTGTAGTTTCATATGCTCGTTGTATACTTACTTTAACTATATCTGCTTTTTTAGTCTACTTCTATTCTATGTCTGATGACCAACATGCTGAAAATTACAGGTCGGTGCCTCGCTGGGTACGGAAGCCTTGCAAGAGACAAAGTCTTCACCACATATCGGACGACTACAACAGGGTGGAGTCACCGCCAGACTGCGTACAACTATTCCGTTTCGTACTTGTGCGCCCGAGTATCTCCTGCGGGAATCTTAAAGACCCCTCCCATGCCGTCCTTGGTGGGTTTGTGGGAGTCGACTACGTACACGCTGCCGTCGCCGTCCCAAAGCAGACTTTCCGGCTTCACGGCATCTTTGGTGACGGGCAAGCAGGAGTTCGGGTTAAACCAGTCGCAGCGGGGGTATTTCTGTCCCTTGGGGGAGACAAACACGGTCTCTCCAGACGCGAAGAAAACGTTCTTGGCGGAGAGACACAGTGCGTGTACGCCATTCGTCGTGTTGGCCACTTCGAATAATGCGGCACTCTCCCCGGCCAGGGGCTCGGGGAGAATGTGTGCCGTGTCCGCACTGGTGCTGAGCAGCGCGACTTTCACACCTTCTTCAGGTGCTGATTTCATCTCGTCGGCCGCCGCTGGGCGGGCCAAAAAATCTGTTTCGCGCACGGCCTGCGCATCACCCCACCCGTAGGTCGCCTCCGAAGTCCGGTGCGAGTCCAGTTTCGGGGCCGGCTTCGGCGCGGCGTGCGCAGGAACAAGGGGTCCCCGCACAACGGTCGGATTGGCGCCATCGCCGCCGGCGGCCGCGTTGCCCCAGTAAACGTGGTTGGTGTGCTATGAGAGTGCGAACAGAACAACAACAGCTCCCGGTCCGACTTGCATTCGTCCTCATAATTTCACAGTGCGAAGAACGTTTACCACGAATATTACGGAAGCATTGGCAGATGCAGTCTCAGTCATCCTTTCTGCAACGTGAAGCAGCTATGTAGCAGTAGTGCCGCTAATATCCTAATTCTGGCGGGCCGGCTTGAAGAAACAGATTTAGCCTCTGGCTCTGCCAACACAACCACAACCCGGGCCGAAACAAAAAGGCGTTCGAGAGTCGATTTAGCCGTCTGATGATCGGAAATCATGTTCGAATTCAATTTATTTACCAAAACAATCATTGTTATACAAGTACAACATTAGAGACGCATTTAGATTTATCCGACCTGCATAAATAAAAAGAACCGACTCGTCATTGAAGTCTAAAGTCAGTGTTCAGTGTAAAGCAAATCCGTGAAGAGGGCGGAGACAGGGTAGTAAGTTGACTAATTGTGCACTCGGATACGTCCACTGCCAGGGGTCCGGGGGCGGCCAGCCGGCTCGCGCCGGCAAACCCGGCGTCGTACAGCAGGGTTGGGTTGAAGAAGCGCGCACTCTCAAAGGCGGCGCGCGGCTGCAAGAACACCGCTTTCGCCGCCATCGCGTCGGGCGGGGGCAGCAGCAGCTTCCCGTCGAAGTAGAGGTCTCCCTCTTTGGATACTGCAATGCCGTCGGCCTCGACGGAGTCCACCGCCAGGTTCTGATGCCCATCAGTGATCGTATGGCATTCTCAAAGGTTTTTACGTGAATTTTGGAAGCAAGAATGGCACAGGGACAGGCACAGAGTGGAAAATCCCGGTCCCGGACAACGACAAGATCGTGCTTCCTGCATGACAAATCTGGCGGTGGCAGCGCACATTTGCATGTTATTAACCGCGTCGCAAGCTGGTACTAAGTCACGAGAGCCAGCTTGAAGATTATGTTGATTTTGACACTAGAGGCTCTACAAGAAAAAATCCAGCCGATGAAATTATACAACGGCGATCAATGTAGCACTTGAGAACGCCATAAATCAACTTCCCTGCCTGGAGCTCCGCTAGGTTGTAGTACACGATCTTCCCAAGCCCGCTGTCCGCCACAAACAGCCGCATGCGGTCCGGGTCGACGACGACTAAATACCACGGAGAAAAAAGCTAGCATAATATCAACTGAATTATCATACTTGATGTCATGATGGGGGCACCCGGAGCACTCACCTGCGAAACGGAGACAAATTTTCATTTTTAGGGTATGATAGATAAGTTTTCGCATCACGAATATGATATGCAACACTGGCGCTAGTTCTTTTCTGTGTGATACCGCGGTCGGAGTGACGAGGCCGGCTCTCACCAAAGGTTTTAACTCCACCGCATTGTCATCTGACTTCGAAGAGAGGTGCAGGTAAGACAGCGCACGCTCGCGCGGTTGCGACAAAATCAGGTACTCGCTGATGTCAGGCGTTGCGGCCGCAAATGAGAAACCTGCCGCGGACCAAAAGGTCCAAAGCACGCCGGAACTGGTCGCAAATACGGCTGCTGTAAGGCGGGTGATCATTGCTGAAGCTGATAGCGCAATCTTCGTGCTTCCTACACGAGCTCCGCGCCCTTTGCCTTTGCCTGTGACTGGCCGGCAGCTTCGTCTTGCAATCATTGCACTGGATGTGGTGCAGGAACGATACTTCTGCATCGTTCTTCTCTCCTCGTCGTCCTACTGTTGTAAGCAATAGCAATGCTGTGCTCGAAAAGACGATGAAAATTATCCTGGTCGCTTTTGGCCGCTCAGCCGTCGTGCCCCTTTCAGTAGCCTTTCGTCACGGGGTGTTCGCTGTTCCTGCGCCGGTGGACGAGTGAAACCTCATCGAGGCAGTCGCGCAGCGACAAGGAAGGGAGCGGCTGCATTTTCTGTTGCAGTTCCTCTAATCGCCCTCAGCCAACATCGCACCAACGGCTACGCAGTCTACTACATCTTCAACGGCGAACAATGTACGCAAAAATAGTGGTACCAGAGTGTGTTATAGTATATGTATAAAGAGGAGTCCACCGACCTGCTCGTAACGACGACCCTAGTAAGTACCTCTTCCTCGGCACCATGAAAACGTCGCCCATGATACCTCAAAAAGATGTTCTTTTAAGTTCTTGCACGCAGTGAAGCTCCACGAGCACAACGAGCCACAATGACAATCTCACACATAGCAAGCACTTTTTTGCTTTATTGTTGCCGGAGTCGTCACTGTCTTCACTCGTCTTTCCTTCCTCAGCGCTCGTTTCTCTACTTTTTTACATCGGCTTTTTTATAAAACGGAAGCGTTCGGTGGAAAACGATAAAAGGCCGATAGGCAGACGCTGTCGCTACGACGAGCAGCAGGCACAGCCACAGGCTGGCCTGATTTTACAAGTATTATGCGGCTAGCCTTTGTAGTTCAGGTACAGATTCTTCACACTGGATCTTTACGTTTCATGTGCCCGCGACTTCTAACAATATCAGTGACAGCCATAACGGCCAGGAAGTGTTCTTCGGTCTCCCAACCTCAAAGCCGCAGCGATACGCCGACAGGACAGTGGTCACCGAATTGGGCGGTGTACTTGGGTAGCATGAAGCTTTCAACGACCTTGTCCGCAAGTTTTGCCTTCGACGCGAGGCAATAGTCCAGCCGCAAGCCTCTATTGTATTGCTTGTTCTTCATGCGCTGCGCCCAGTACGAAAAATGTCCTAGCTTGCTTGAATCTCCTCCGGAGTCCGAAAAAGCACCCACAGTTTGCTTGAAGCAATCCACGAGCGAACATTCCTGGCGGACAAAATGTTTCTTTTTGATGTTTAGGTGAAACTGAAAGAGGATGCCGACTGAAACGAGAAACACTCCTGAAGTGGCATGTATTCCTTCTGGATCATGTACACAGGTTGCGAATACGAATAGGGCGATGTTTTTATCATTCATACCGATATCAGCTTTTACCTTTTGGTACTGGCCGGGAACTTTCAGTATTCAGCTGCTGGTATAAATTTCACTGCTGGTATAAATGCTACTTCTTCATCGTTCGAATAGTCATAACTATATGAAAATACATTTTTAGCTTTGACTTTGTACCTGCAACATTTTCCCGAAGGACGCCCGTTCCTGAGGGGTCAGGCCTGCCTGTTTTTCGACATCCTTTGATATGTTCAGGTTCCAAATGTCCTCATCCAAGTGGGCAACGTTAAAGTCGCCAATAGCCAGCACGGGTTCTTCATACCGTGTAAAAGCAGTATCGCACCCCCACCCGTATCTATGAGTTCCAAACTGCATGGCTGACTTTCTTACTATACTTCAAGCAGCATGTCATGGGGAGAACTAAGGGTAGGTCGTCCTTTGCTCTTTTTATTTCTTAGGGCCGGCCAGAGAGTACGCGATTATAGGGCAAAGAGGCAAAGCTACTTACTAAAAACCACCTTGCGCTTGCTTCAGGCTCAGGCACCGAATGATAAATTCGTTCATGCATCAAAAATCTGTCAAATGGTAAATTCAAAAATTAGAAGTCGCAGTGGTGTCTGAATGCGATTCTTTTGCAATTCATATTTCTTCTGTTGCTTCACCAGCTCTCGAAAGCAAGGGTCCCAGACGTGTTCGCGGTACGACAATCGTTTCAACTCACTGCCACTGTTTGGCGTGTAAACGATCAGTAGGATAAAGCTTGTGTACTCGACCTTCAGCAAACGACCCTCGGCTTCCAATATGCAAATGAAGGACTGGTGTTGGTGATTTTTTGCTCACGGGGTCTGCCTCTTTGTCTTTGTTATTTCCAGCATGCACTACGAAGTTCGACTCCATACATTTTCGCTCCTCTTGAAGCAAGTTGTTGTAGTTCTACTGTGTACTTCTACTTCTACGTAGCTAGTGCCTCTACAAGAAACCAAACTTTTCTTCATATTCATCCATTTTACGGCGCAAACCCGTGGCTCGGTTTTTTTGTCACGTGACTTCCTGTAGCTTGTCTGTGGACGATGTAGTACACGCTCACGCACATGCAATCCGGTGAATATCAAACCGACCATATTTATCGAGAGACACATCACCTGAGGAACCTCGTGCTTCGAATCACATTTTTGTCCTCGTTTCGAATAGATAAGTAAGTTTACTAGATGACGAGGACGCTCTTCAGTGAAACCACAGAGCGCGTACCGCTACCAGTACTTGTTTCATTTTCATATCCTGAGCCGGAACTTCCACGTTAGTCTTCGGTGCCGACTGAAAGAAGGTGTCGCGCTCCTTCGATATCTGCACAACGCTCAGTGGAGAGCTTTTCCTTGCCAGGAAGGCCACACCGGAATAGCCCTTCTTGTTGGGGTCGGTACAACTGTTCCAAGTAACGGCATATCCGGGTGCTAGCTCTGCGAGCTCGGACGTCATGTCTTCCTCGTGCACCTCCTGCAGTTTCGTCTCAAGCAGCGCGACTCCATCGGGGGCCTCTTGTTTTAGTACCTCCACCAACTGCCCACCCCGGCTTTTCACAAAGGAACCTGAAGAATAAAATGAAACTCAAAACAGTGTCACAGTGAGCCGGTAAAAACTTCTCTCTGGAGGTTTGTATTTGTTACCCCCCTTAGTCATTATCAACGATGACATTGCAGTGTACTGACACGGTTGCGTATCCAGATAATTCACACCAATGTTGTGTGATATTCCCATTTTTGCGATCAGTAGAAGTGTCCAAAAGTGCACCACATACAGATACAGTTCTAGCCGGAAGCTAATATATAAATATAACGAATTCATCCTTCGTCATGGTGGAGCACGAAAAGGACCGAGCGTCGAGGAGGCTCCTCGGCAGAGGCGTCTATGTGGTGTTCCGCAACCGTCTCGAGGTGCGTGCATGGCCTGTACTGTCACGCAAAGCAAAACACTTGCGCTTGCTGTGCTTCGTAAGTCGAAGTCAATGTGTCACCAAGACACTGAAACAAGAAGAACAAAACAAAAGTAAGGACCTATCCATAAGTGTAGACCTTCACTTTTATTAAGTAGCATAAACATTGAAAATCATCATGACGGGGGTGATGTGCCATTTTATCGGACACAAACGAAACAAGCCCGCCCGCCGGCCTAGGTTTCCTTTTTTCTTTGGGTAGCGTTATATCACTCGTGAGAAGACGGCTAGCCTCCAAACTGGTTAACGTTAACTTAAACTTACTAAGCCATGCATTAACTCACACAAACAAAAAAAGAAAATGATGAGAATACGTAGTCCCGCAACGTTCCAAGACAGCAATTTGAAGTTTCCCCCTACTTTGCGCGTGAGCACCGGCCATGGGATAGCAGTTCGTGGTTCCCCATACTTTCCGTACAAGGCATCTGCAAACTTCTCCTTTTTTACCTTCTTCCCACCGGAGGCAGTATTTTTATCTAGGTCCCCGTCGGCTTTCTTAGGTTTTTTCTTATCCTTTTGCGCTTTTTTTTTCGCGCTTTTTTCTTGTCCCTTGGCTTGGAATGAGGAAGGAGGTGCCTTTTGTTTCTTCTCCGCCTTTTTCATCACTTTCTTCGTCGCATTTTTCTTTTTCGCCGTTGATGACGCAGCAACTTGTTTTTTCATGGAGAGCGGCGTTTTCTTTCCGCTCTCCAGCTTCTGGCTCTGCTTCCGCGCGGCTGTGGTCCCCGGCACTGATTTGTTCGCATCGGCATCCTTTGCTGGACTCAATGAATTTCGACTCTTACTCGTGGAGCGGGGAGGCATCGTGGTGGAGAAAGCTGGACTTGTTCTTAGGGTAGTTCCTCTCGCGCATGCAAGTTCCTCGCAACTCCCAGCAGACACGAGTTGTGGTCGAATCCACCAACTTGCGTCGATGTTGTGCTTTGACAATCGTTCTTGCCTACTTGGTCTCAGTGGTAGCGAGAATCTGTGAAGGTTCCTACATCGACTGACATTTGACACGAGTGCGAAGCTGATTGTCTTCGGGACGATAGGCTTGCTCGTCCAAATGGGATCGAAAAAACGTGACGAAAATTTGCTGCACTGGGCTACAATATGATCCTGTGATACTAGCGATCCGGAAAACGATAACAACATCCACACAGTCGATAGTATCGAATACTGCAAGCTAAAAATGATAAATCTTCGAGGAAGCTGTACTAGTTCTGGTTAGCGATGATCTCGTGACATGTAGGCGCTGTACTTTTCAAAAGCATTGACGCGTCGAGTTTGAATCTCGATCTATGTGGACCTGCCGGGGCAAATCGAGCTTGGATTGGCTTTTGTTTTTTGATCTGCAGCGTTGAGATTCACACAAGCCGAATGCAGAGAACACATAGCCGGATGTGATTGTGAAGGAGGCAGGCATATTGAATTTTATCCCATTACCATTTTTCGTTCAACTGTACCTTAGCCATGCCGGTTAATGGGGAATGTCAATGTGATGGTACAACCACGGCGGGTGGAAAAACCTCCTGCATTCATACTCCTCTTGTCTTCACGAATGAGCGGGGTGCACTCATATGAGAAATAAAGTGTGGGAAAAACATCTATCTTTTCATCATTTCAGGTTCCATGAAAGAAACGCGCAATGTTGAGGTTCCTTTGGGTCTCATTTCGGATTATTCTTAGCCTTTGCGTGGAAAATCTAAGTCATGATCATCGAACTTGAATTTTCAATTTCATATACACATGAAAACTAAAGAGATTGATCCGGCGTCAGGAGGAGTCATCTGACTCCAAATTTTTCAAGACATCAAAGGCCGCAAAAACGCACGAATCCGGTGGGATAAATCAACTTGCACCTCCTCCTGCTCGTCTCCTTCAGCCCTACTGATGGAGGAGGATGATGTTATCACGGTGCGCCACTTCGGGCTCCGCGACATAGCCGAGCTTCTCTTGAAAGCAGGTAGAGCGGAGTCCGCGAATCTTGAGCATCTCTTCCGTAGTAAACTCGACGATTCCCTGGGCCACGAGCGTAGCGCCAGTGATTAATTCCAGGTGTTGCGCTTGTTTTTTTTCCACGGCCAGTAGGTCATCTGCCGACCGACCACGCGCCGCTCGATTTTTCGTAAGCGCTGCAGCAGGGGGAGGAAGGGCTCCACCGGCTGTCCACGCGGACGGGATCGGCCGGGCACTAGCGCCAGACATCCGCTGCGATCCTTCCGCAGATGCCGACACACCTCTCACGGACGTGCTGGCAGAGACGACGGTCGCGGCCGCAGAGCTAGAATTAGTGGCCACAAGAAGTTCTTGTACGGTTTCCGCTCCATCGTTCGCGTTCTTCGACGTGCTGATGTTCGGGTTTATTTGAGCGGGTAGTTGCACTTCGACTTCAACGTCGCGCTCTGATACATCGTCTGCCACATCCTGCAAATTCAGTAAGTGATTCGTCACCGCGCGGTCACTGCCAGTGCCGGCTTTATTGATGTCGTGTTGTGCATCAACTTCTACTAGTGGTGCGCGTTGCAGCTCGCGCACCACGGGCCTCACGCCTGCTTGTGAGCGTTCTTGTTCGCCGTACCTATGTGCGTGGATCATTTCCGTTGCACCACCAGCGGTCGTGCCAGGGAGAGTATCGCGGACGAGATAGATCTGCACGCAATCGCCGCACAGAAAATCACCCTCTACCGCGACAATGCCCACAGCAAGAAGCGACTTCTTGTTTTGCAGCGCCTGAAAGGCGCCGGGGTTCACAAACAGCTTGCCCTTTGCAGGGAGTGCTAGAATCCAACGTCGCTGATACTTCAGCGTGGAGGCGCTCGGCATAGCGTGGAAAAACGTGCCAATCAAGGCCCTCTTTTTCGCATTTCTGGCTCCTTCGACTTGTTCTTGGTTTTTACAACCGTTGTTCAATATTCTGTTTGTAGTTGTGTCAGTCTCCGCTGCGTGATGCTGCTCGTTTGATGCCTGCTCACCGGTTTCTCGACCTGGCTCCTTCTGGTGTTGAACTGCAACTGTCGGGAACCCTGGCACTTGAAGATGTTGTTCCGCTGGTTGCTGCTCTGGTTGTACTGTATTTTCTTTTCTTGAAGAAACACCCTGGCCCCTGCTTGCACTAGTTGTTGTTGTCGGCTGCTTGTTAGAATGGTCGTTGTATTCCGACAGGAAGTCGAGAATGCGTTCCGGTTCCGCCCCGTTTACGAGGACGCACTGAATCCCGGCCACTGCTGCCATCTTCGCAGCCACTAGCTTGGTTTCCATCCCTCCGGTTCCCCACTTTCCGCTACTGGGCGCGGTTCCGGGTGGTCCTGCACCCACCGCCCCGGTGGACGAGGGCTGCGACGGGGGAGCAGGAGCAACAGGTGCAAGGGTCGGCGAGGAGGGTCTCGCAGTCGCGGCCGTTGTCGCGGCACTGCAAGAAGTTCCTTCCACCTTCGTCACCGTCTCCACCGGGGCCAGGTCCTGCATCGTCCGCACTTCGCGGATGGGCTTTGCTAGGTCGGGGTACAATCCCGGGTTGCACGTGTATACGTAGTCCACGTCCGTCAACAAAAAGAGCCAGTCGGCCTCCAGATTCACGGCCGTCAATGCGGCCAACTGGTCGTTGTCGCCGAACTTTTCGTGCAGCCCGGTGGTTGGGTGGACGCTGTCGTTTTCGTTGAGAATGGGAATCACGTTGTACCGTAGCAGCTCGAACACCGTGTTGCGGATGTTCTCGAAGGTCGAAAAAGCGCTGAAGTCCCGGCGGGTGATCAGCAGCTGGGCGACCTTCTGCTTGCCCGCGCTAGCCACGTCGAACAGGTCCTCGTAGATCCGCATCAGGTAGCTCTGCCCCGCCGCCGCAACCGCCTGCTTGCCCGACACCGTCGTGGGCTTTTCCGCGAGCTGCAGCTTGATCCGCCCGCAGCCCTGGGCCCCCGAGCTGACCAGCACAACGCGGTGGCCGTCGCGGCGGAGCCGCATGATGGTCTCAATCAGTCGCCCGATCGCGGGAAGCTTCAGTCGCGCATCATCGGTCAGCAGCGAACTGGTGCCGATCTTGATCACGCAAAGTTTCGACTTATAATTTGGATTTGCAGCTAGTACCGCGGAGGAAGTTGTCGCGGACGAGGTCGTCGCGGCCCCACTGGTTCTTGCTGCAGCTCCTCGTCCGCCGGAAGTAGAACTTCTACCTGCTGCCGTGGACGAGCGCGGGGAACAAGCTGTGCGGCCGGAGGACGACCGGTGCTTACAGGGTCCTTGATGTCGTTGCGCAAGAGCATCATCTTCATCCTCATCCACATCTGGGCGAGCGGCCGTGCCCTGCTTCGGTGATGCAAGCGGGAGCGGACGCGGGGAGTTCATGCTGCTCGTTCGGAGAGCGAGAGGTCGATGTAGTGCAAGAATATGTAAGAGATAAGGCTCAAATACTCATAGATTGAAAGGAGCTTCCTGGCGTACCAAAGTCTCTGTCACTGCTGTGAATCAAACAATAAAAAGCAGAAGATCTCGAAATTTCGAGAATAAACCATCTAGACTCTAGAGTGGTAGAAGCCAAAAAATTAAAATCCACACCAAATTTGAAAAACTGGCATTGATAATTAATGCTTAGCGCAACGTCGAGCACAACGTACACAAGATGCAAGTAGGAAGTTCTTGGCACAATGGAACCTCATGTACTCGTCCTTTATTTTAAGGCGGGTGCCAATGAGTAAGAAATCTCGCACGACACGTGAACGGATACAAAAAGACGGTTTGTGATGGAAAAGATCAAAGCTCCCCCCGCATGTGACTGCGCTGATGATCATGATCTTATGCGGCTGCCACAAGCAAATTTTGCATTCCTTCATTTTTTTCGTTCTAGCTGTCTACTCCATGTCCACAGGCGATTTTTTCTCAATTATGGCGATCTTGGGAACGGGTGGCATCAAGGGATCTGAATGTACGTTGTGCTATTAATATTCTCAGTTTGGGATCCCGATCCGCTAGTTATCTTCATAATCGTCTTCTAAAAATGCCTTAGAACAAAGCATTGCGTGTAAATTTCTTTTTCAGTTGCCGTTGTGATTTTGAATGTGATCGGCATGATCCGCTCGAATTCGTGCTCTTGATAATTATGAGCCAGCGCTGCAACACCGCTCACATCACCCTGGAGTGCCTTTCACTTCACAGCTTTTCACCAACAGTATCATGACTTTCCACTTTTCGTGTTTCCCCATGCTAATTTAGTCCTCTGGCTACCAACATTTTCTTGAGTTATGCCATCTACAGTGCGAGGAGGACGGGACAGCTATGACGACTAGCTTCCAGAAGCGAGGCTTTTATTTTTCAATCAGCTGCACCGAAGGGACAAACGTAATTCTTGTGGGAGAGGAGCCAGAGCAAGTACATGCTCTCTTACAACTACAAATTTAATAGAAACTCAGTTGTCCTCGACTCGTCGGAGTTCCTCCATGAGGATGGGGGGCAGGGTTGGGCGCCCACGAGCCGGAGGGTCCTCAAGTGGCCGCTTAGGGATCAAGAAGTCCGGTTTTATTGCCTTTGCCGCGCCCGCGTCGTTTGCCATATACAACAAGAATGTGTGGTTTGGGTCGCGGTCTGGAAACGAACTTTCGATGTTGTTCACTTTCAATTTCATCTTCATCATGGGCCACAGCAGCAACGTAGACACTCTAGGTCTAGTCTGGAGCAGCAGACATTGTGCATGACATCAGATGACATCCAGCATATTGATTTAAGTTCCACTTTGACACCCAAATGACATAAACCGCAGCAGTTGATTTTGATATCCGAGTGCGGTGGAAGGCAGCGGTGGTGTAGTGGGACGGTCTTTCGACGATCCTGTGGTCTTCGACGATCTTTTCTCGGGGCGGCCCGCGATCGTCCCAGGGGGCATTCCTTCTTCCGTTTTCGACCGTGACTGCTGCAAGATGGATTCTGGCGCTTCAGATTGGGCACGCCCGGGACAGTTCCGCGCGAGCAATCCGGCGAAGGGATGCGGTGGCACGCGTTGCTCCCCCAAGGTGGGACAAAGCTTGATTTTGTGATGTACACCATTTGCTGGTGCTTGTGGTGGAGCTGCGCGAGCGCCTCCCCCCCGGGGCAGCGCTACGCTGTCCGTACTCGACGACGTTGTATCAAGTGCAATTTATGCTTGGGTCCGGAGACGTGGAACTTTTCTTGCATGTCTAGCATTCCTGAATCAATATCTGTGTTGCGGTTACCCAGCAAAGGCGTCTTTCTACTTTTTCGTCATGCAAAGACGCAGTTTGTGTTTGTTATGCGTGCGTCAAACTCAAATTATAACCTGAACGTGTCATGCTTGTTGGCTGAAACTTTGGATTTGGTATCAGTATCACAAGATTTCAGACCCAGACATATTTGGGTTTGCAGTGGATACGGTGTCGGTCGCGTGTTTCCCGCTGTGAAGAGCAGACCAGCATGTTGATCCTCCTCGGTAGGATTGGCGGTCGCTGAAGGTTTCTTCACAACGAACTTGGCGGCCAAAGAAGAGGCTGCATGTACATGCAGAAGCTCTTCGCAAAACGCATACCGTGCTGTGCAATCCGTGGCGAAGAGGAAATTATGCAAGGCTCAAGCGCATCAACGAGGGAAATCAGATCCATCCACATTTATATTTCTTGCAGAAACTACAGCGAGAGGAAACAATACTACTGCCTACTAGTGCATGACGAAATAAACTTTTGATGGCTACATTCGCATTTCCTTTTCGACGCTGGTTGGCATTTTGGCCCTCACGCTCATGCACAGGGGCATCAAATTTAGGTACCGAAACAGAGCAGACGCATGCCTGCGTGTATAAGCTCCCTTGCTGCACCAGTTCCACTTTTTACAGGTCGTGAGACCCTCCTACAACAACTCGATAAATTTCGTTGAAGCCACCGAGTACAATTTCAACTTTTATTGGGCCGTAGGTTTCTTTGAGACCCTCAATAAACTTGAGCTGCGGACCATACACGAATCCCTTCAATTCTGCGAATCGCACGAATCCGGGGAAAAATCCGAACCAGCCCACATGTGTCAAAAACTGCTTCATGCAAAGTGGCAAGCGGGATCTTCACTCACAGCACTGTACAATTGCATACAACCATATGGCGCGTATAATGCCACGCGCAAGAACGAGCAATGCTTCAACATCTTCCGCCAAATTTCACTAGCAAGCTCCCTGTCGAAATAAACATCAAAACCGCTGCACCGATGTTTCAGCAGCTGGGATACAGGTAGAAGGAGTCCTCGTGAATACGAGTTGACTATATTATGTATCAACCTCGAGCGGTGGCGGGTCAGATCCAGATGACTGCAAAACCAAAAGTGAGTTCTCGTTTTGACCACACGTGGTTTTCTTTCAGTCTCGAACATTTTTTCGCTTGCGTAAGGCTACATCCTCAGCTTGCATATCAAGTTGTCTCGTCATGGTGCCGACGTTTTCCAACATTTCCATTGCAGTCGCGGTTACTCTAGCTTCCCGCTTCTGAGCATTCGCTCTCGCGTCGTCACTGCATGAAGTAGAATCGGTTCTTCGTCCCGGCTTGTCGCTTGCAGCTTCGGCGACGAGGTAGAGCGGAGTCTCTTGCAGCCACGCATGGCACCAGTGCTCTGCTAGTGCGGCACTCCGTGGGGCGTCCAACAAGTTCAGAAGATCCTCCGATCGATTAGAAAGCCACCCAAGCGTATCGAGGTGGCAACTTTTTTCACTTGCAGCGGAACAAGAGACTCTACTTCAATGAATCAATATGAAGATACATTTGTTCTTGTTGTGTTCGTGACGAAAACGAACACAAATCCAGCCTTGCTTTTATGCAAATGCAAGTTCAACAACACAACGTCGACACGAAAACGCTATTCTTATTCGCTTGGGCAACGCACACGACATCCTTTCTTGCGTTACCGACCCCGTAGTTGCTCCGAAGGCAATTACGGCGCACCAGAATTGCCTGCTGGGGCTGCACTATCCGTGCCTCGTTGATGTAGTGGGTAAATTGATTGTCTAGTGGTTTCTTGATCAAGTTTCGGTTTGGGGGCGGCTCTATCTTCACAATAGAGCAGCCACCTGCAGGGAAGTACACATCAAAGCGAAGTAGTGTAGCTGTCCACCTGCGATACATCACAACATCCCACTTTTCCCGACACAGGTGACGCGCCACTGCTGGTGTTGTTATAATCAACGACAATAGCTGCAGCTAGTACTTGCGCATCATGCAAAACCAGAAACGCTAGCGAACCGCAAGACAAATACAGTCATAGCTTTAGTTAGTAGATGCATTGTCTGGGTGTGCAAATCCACATGCATTGATTTTGTGGCTAATCCTGTATCAACTCATGATAAGTTAGTAGCTCGCGGAAATGTTCATCTTCATTTGAAGCAGATATATGATTGTAATTGCGCTTCTAGTACTAGCTCAAATTATTTCTCGGGGGATAGTTGTTGAACCAGTCGCGAGGAAATCCAGAAACAAGGCTTGGATGCGGTCAACAGTGCTAATCAGTCCAAGGATGACGTCCTCAGCTGACTTGTTGCTCAAAGCAGTTTATGCATGGGAAAGCATTGCGCAAGTCATTTGATACATTTAAAAAGTATCTACAAGTTCGCCACTGGAGCTGGTACTAAGCACTGAAAAACGACGAAGACGAATACAAAGAGCTTTCGCTTTCCACAGGTACATAGTACATACAAGACAAAGACCACATACACACAAATGGAAACGACGAGAGCATTACTTCTTCTGCAGAGAATAGAACGGCGGGAGGCCTGGACGCAGTGGTTTTCTTATTTCCTTCGGGATGAATAGGTGTGGTCGACAAGGGTCGTGTGTTACCTGCGGCTTCCTTTTTGCGAAGTGAAGCAGACTCCGCAGCCAGCTCCGCGTAGGCCTGGAGATGAGAACCATCTTCCTTCGGCAATATGTAGGGCGCAGAGGGGTCCGGATTTGCCCACATTGGTTGCGTCGGAGGTCCCCGTGAAGATGACGTCGCCGAAGTTGTATTTTTAACAGCCTTCCCCCGACCGCTCGTCCCCGTTTTATTTTTTTGCTTTCCTTCTAGGGCTCGCCGTACCGTGTGGAGGAAGTGCTCCGCGGCTTCCGCATTGCTTGCACAAGCCTCGAAGGCGGTGGTGTCGGTCTGGCGCTCCTCTTCTTCCAACAACACACGGCCCGCGGATTCCAAGGCTGGAATGCTGGCCGTTTCGCAGCGGCGAAGCGCCTTGCGCAGGTCAGTGAGTACCGCTGCAACGACCGGGAGCGTGGTAGTAAGTGACCAGGGACGCTGTTGAAACCCCTTGGTTACGGTTTGCACTTCGTTCTGCCCGAAATCCATGTGCTGCAGTATGCCCCACCCTGGCGTGATAATCTCAGTTCCCCGCGACGAAACTGCAGGGCGTCGCAGAAACGAAACATCTAAAAAAAGTCCCCATGTATTAACGCAGCGTCGCCGTCGCACTCTTTCTTTCTGTCAATTTTGCGAACAATACGAAAGCCACACGAGGAGACGAACTAGACATCGTTTTTATATACGATTACGTTTACGATATACGGTGAACGTGAAGGAAATCAAACAAACCTCTACCTCAGGGTGGAAGAATGCTTGCGTCTTGAAAACTGAATAGACTTAGACAACCATTCTCATCATGCTTTAAATACAGAAAAATGCTTCGAAAGCTATCAGACAAGGGGCGCTTCGGTGCGTTTATTTGCGCGATGCCCCACACCCACACCTACTTTGTCACGGTGGTGATCATCATCACACCCGACCAGGCCATATTCACAAACCCGTGACGTCGCATGTCTAGCTGAGCCAGCGTAACCTTGAAGTTTTTGATGACAATGCGTGCCGTCGAGCGGGCGTTTCTCGTCTATCCAAGAAGAAAAGCATTACAGATACACTGCTGCTCTAACTTAACTTCAGCAAATGCAAAAGATGCAGTCTCGCTCGTTAGTTTGCTTGACATCGAATGCAACTGTTTTGGCGGAAATCATCAAGAGGGAAAACGCACACTAAGCGAAACGGAAACTCGCAAGAGTTCCTTCGGGAATGACAGGGGTAGTCTGTCTGGCTTGTCTTACCGAGCAGTCGTCCAGCTGACAGTGTGCAAGAACTCTCACTGTTGTATCACGAGTTACACTTTTCTCTTTGCATATCGACGGGCTAGTGCTTATATGTGCTTCCGGTTCCGGCAAAGTGTGTGCCTGTGCGTGGTCAGTTTCCACAGCCGCAGGATCGCCGGTAGGCAGGTCCGCTTCATCCAGCCGGAGCGACTTGAGAATGGCCTTGTTCTCCTGGAGGAACTGCTGGAAAGCAGCCCACCAGAGTTTGATTTTTTCCAGGTCCAATTGACACTCGTAGAAGAAATAGTCGCACATGCGTATGGAAGCCCAGGCCCTGTGCTCAGATGATCTCCATGTTTAACATACATACGCACAGCTAGTACCTCGCAGCTGACCTACTGTTTCCGCGTAGGGTGTCGTTGCTAGCCAAGCAGAAAAACTCGGGTCAAAAATAAAAATCCCTGCGACTATCCTCCTTTAGCGAAAATACTCAAGGGGGCATGGGCAACATTTTTGCAAATATAATATGCTCGTCCCAGAAGCAGGACCTTTCCCTTTGGAAAAGTCGAGGACGACATTAGTGCATATGCAACATCACCTGAGCCTGATCAGAAGGCGGAAAACATATCGGCGCGCGCGACCACCGCGGGAACCGCCTCAGCGCGCTGACGCGCAAAGTCAAATTATCATTCGAAAAAATCGAAGTCCACCCCTTCCATATTACTTCGAACCCAAAAGCAAGGAATAAGGAGATCGTCTGCCACTGCCTCGGACGGTGCATGCTTTATCATTTATTCATAGTAGATCGTAGTACATCGTGACTGAGTCTTCTCTTTCTAGTAACTTCTCACAAGTAGCGTGGCCACCAGACGGAAAATGGAACTGAGAGCCTACTTCTGGTGCCGCAACATAAGTACTAACGGCTACTGTTGCCGCTGTATTCAAATTTATCGGGTCACCGAAAACAAAAATAGAGGTCTCACATGCTGATGTTCAACTGGAGCTAGTGCAAATAGAGTGCTAGCATCATAGCACCTGAGAACAGACCTGCCGGTTCTTGTGGCCGTGGACACACTGTTCATTCACGTTCTCATGCCGGCTATAAAAAAGGGGAGGTTCCTGCGTTTACTTTTTCAATACGGATTCGCGCAGCATCTGCTCCTGGAAGGCGCGCAGTCGCTGGAGGTACTGGTGGAGGGTGTTAGCCTCCGTCACACACGCCGCCCAGATTTGTGGGCGCTCGGCTTTCAAACGCTGCACAGGGCCACTGTCGGCAGCCGTCAGCGTCACGCGGCCCTGAGTCCGCTCCTCCTTCTCTTGCCTGGCGATGCGGCGACCGAGTTTGATCTCCGCTTCCCGCGCGGCCTCGTAGACCGCGTCAACCTGCCGTAGCTGCAGGGCGAGAATTATCCTAGATAAAACAAGCGTCCTAATCTTCTCCATGATCTCCCGCGCGCAAGGAAGAAAACGTGCTCTCCTGCATGACAAACGCAGTCTTGAGTCTTCGATTTTCTCGCTATATTAATATTACATTCTTTTGGACCTTGCTTTGGCGTCGCGAGCAGGTGCTTTAGAAGAGCCCAAAAAGTTTGCGAAACACCAAGAGTTTCGTGCGAACTATACCTATAATGCGCGACAAACTCTACTTCACCGTCTGAAACTACATGTTACTTTCAAGTTGCTGTGCGTGAGACACCAGTTCAGGAGGGAGACGGTTCTATACAGGATCATAGGCAACTCGAGTAATGTCTTCCGCTCCAGGTCGCGGGGGTCCGCCTGGTTAGTATGGTATTGATGCCCGTTGGAAAATGGTCCAAGCGAAAATGGAAAAAAATAAAAAATAAGCGCGATTTACTGATGCATAAAATCGACACCAGTTCTTGGAGTACTTGGACTCACTTACCCATTCGAGAAGGTTCATGAGAATTGCGATATTTATTTTGGAGCATACATAACTTCAATCTGAAATAAAGGTCGGCGCAAAGACAACCGCGCCGCTTCGAAAACACAAGTCTTGTGTTTTCGAAGCGGCCCCTTCCTTGACCGTTGCCCGGCCGCGCAGAGGCTTCGGCCTATCTTGCTTCCACCTGTGCAATGCAATTGCGGCCATGTTGTAGTAGCTTTAGCTTTAGGCTTAGCTCTGCTATTGCTTCGGCCACGACGTTGCATAATTTCATCGTGCAATAAAACATAAGTATGTACTCAACTAGGTAATCGTAATTCCGTTCTTTTCGACTCATTTTCTTCATTTGTCGATTTCCCACCGGAAGACGTGGGCATACTTAATCCAAGCTCCGTAGGGCTGGTAGTTGACGCGGTGCCGCATGTCGCGCCAAACGGGCTCCAATACAAGCTTCTCCACTGCCGCGCGGCCTTATGAGATTGCAGCGCTCTCTTCCCTCGCCCTGCTTTGACCACATTGATCATGGCGGGCATCCAGTACAGCAACATAGGCGTGGGCGAAGAGGAAACTTCTGCATTCTTGCCGCATGCTCACACGACAGGGCCTTCGCCTTTCAAATCCATCACGTGACAGTTACCAAATATAGCCGCCGGGGCGTAGTGAGGTCGTGGGCGTTTTCTTGCCGGCCGTCGCCTTGGCCGCGGCTTTGCTTTTTCTGGGGTCGCCACACCGCCGTGAGTAACGTTAGGCCGCCCGGTATGGCGGCCGCTTGAACAACGTCGCAAATTTTGGCAAATTCCCGACATTCCTTTCCAGAAGCCACCCCCCATGCTATGGGGCCGATCCGGGTGCCGCGGGGGGCGCCCAAAAAGCGAAGAAAAATCGGGCCCGTAGCATGCGGATTGGCTTTGCGCGTCTGGCGCAGTTTTGCTTTTTTGCGTTTTTATTTTTCTAGCCGGCGCTTTTTGCAAAGCTTCCCAGGATCTGAAACCGGCGAAAATGCGGCCGCTTTTGCGGCCGCCCAAAATGCTCCCAAATCGCGGCCGTGCCATGCTGTTTCGCTGTTCTGATTTTGGGCGCGTTTTTTTCGCGCCCCTTTTTGGGCGCCCCAAACCGCCAGAAATCAAGGCGGTGGGCGCCTCAGAAGGGCGCCCCTTTTGCCGGCTCCCCTGCGTCGTTTTACTCAGCGGCGACCGATAGAATCCGCTGGCGATTCGGTGCCAGCAAAGCCAAACAGGCTGGCGCGCTGCGATCTTTTTCATGCAAAAAAACTCTCTATAGGCTTCAAAACTGCTGGTCGTTTTGGACGGTATATGTCAAAAAAACTCCCTGGTTAGAACCGTTCGGTGACCTCACTACATACTACCCAGGTGCAAAAACACAGTCATCATCATCCAAGTACATGAATCAAGATCAAGTTGTGGCGAGGAGGAGAAGTAAGAAGAGTAAGGAACGCGCTCTCGTCATAAGCTTGCGTTCCTGACGGACCCGGGGCTCCAATTTGTGCCTTGCAAGACGCGCCCAGGGAAACACTTTTCAAACAAGGATAGGTGTTCTTGCCACACTCGATCCTCCACGGCCGACCTATAGAGACGAAATAGTTTGCCACAGTCACTAAGTTGCACCAGTTTCTGACGCTTGAGAAATTTTTCTGACATGCAGAAGCACAAGGAGTATCACATATAGGGCTTAACTGTGATGATGCATTTTTGCGTAGGAAAAATATTTCTCCGTCGTGACACTGCCCATGACCATGAGTGATCGCGACGAACTTTTTTACTGGATAAAAAACATCCTGCTCACACTGTCGGACACTTTCCGCTGACTGCTTCAGGCTCTCGCGCAACTCGCGAGATTTATCACCTTCTCAGATGTGGAAATCTCAATCAGAGCAATTTGTGACGCACTAACAAATTTATGCGATGCGCATGAGTTGTCTAGCTCCTACGAAGATGGAGGCCAGCATATTCTTGACAGACACGCGACAACACTCCCAACGGCGCTGTAATATGCACAAAGTTAGAGTTTGAGTTTGTCATTCAAAAGAGGAAGAGCATGCAGACCCGGCTCACGCTTAGGGCCGGTTTTTCCCAGCTATATTGCTTACGCGAGGCAACTTTTGCATCTACATGGTTCCAGTTGAGATTGTTCCAGCTGAGTAGGGCATAGCATTTCTCCGCACATTCTGAAGGTAATAAACTCATTGTAACATCATAGATACGACGGGGTAAAATCAATACGGGGCTGGATAATTTCTTTGGGTCTGACACTGACTACACAGCCTTGGTACTGCCATTTGCTGAATCATCTCCGATGCAACCTGTGTTGGACAAACAGGCATTGCGTCCGGCGGTCGGTGCGTGCTGAGGCTGACACGACAGAGACGACGATTACAAAAATTGATATTCACAATATCTACATGCAGCGTATACTTTAATTTTAGGATTCGGACTACATCAGTCATTCTTTATTGGGTATGCTCTTGTCAAGCACTATGATTAAGATTGATGCACCCACTCTCACGCTCTTGCATTCTCCGTTTTTTTTTTACCCATGAACTTCCGGCAGCACCAGCAGCGCCACCGCCAGCGTTCCAAAAAAGACCTATGTCACCCACCCTCACATCGCACAACCTCAAAACTCATACAGATTTATTATCATCTTCAATATTTCACGTGTTTGTCGTCCTTGGCATGCTTGAGTTTTGCCATTTTCGTCCTCACACACTGGAACGCATTTTCTGCGAAAGCTACTAACTTCGTGTTCGTTGCGGTAAGATAAAACAAACACCGGCGGGGCAGAAGCGGATAGATTAAACGACAAGCAAGCATGACATTCTTGACACTTAAACGCAAATAAAAAGCCTGCAAATTATACATGATAACCTGGATAGGGGGGTCGCGGTGCAACGACCTGAGGCCACAGGACGCTATTTGTCATTACGTCGAACGCTTTATCGAATCACGTGGATCCTCCACATCGAATTGTGAGTCTGATCAACTCGGAGCCACCACAAAAGCCTGAAGCTTGTGCTTCTGGTTCTGTTCTTGCTTCAACTCTGCCTTGTTTTTCGGGGTCAAAAAATATTATATTTCCAGTTTCGTTTTCTGTTCATTGTGAAGTCGGCCTGATCATCAAATTCAAACTTGTTCTTGTGTAGGTTTATTTAGTGACACGAAAATATCAACATCAATGACTGATCTGTTTTTTTTTAATCTTACAACAGATCGGAACAGTAATTGCCTCTCTATCTTCTTCACACACTCGCAAAAGGTCGTACCTTGCGGCAACGAACTACTAGGAGCGCGAAGACAACGGGCCGTCTTATCGAGTCTTCTGCAACAAACTCGCTCCGACGAGGCTGTTCTAGGCGACTTCCCTTCCCGTCTACAGAAAAAAGTCAGGAGAAAGAGACTCGAAGTACTAGTGACACAGTTTTTTCTTTTTTTCAAAAAGTTGTATATCTCGTGATTACGCTTCATTCTTTTTCGGTAACTAACATTGTACTTCAATCTGTGTGTGAGAAAGTAGATGAACTGAAAATACGTGTTGAAGGAGGGGAAGGTCAATCAGACATCGTGCCTGCACTTGATACTATTTTTACAAGTTGAAATAGAAGGGCTAGCCGACAACTAATTGTTAAACTTACTGAAACTGTTCGGTGTTTCGGTGCTAGAGCTTTAGAAATATCATTTGCGCTGCTGCATTTACTGAATACATTAGCTTTTGTTGGTCCTTAAAAAATAGTAGGGGTATTGTCATGTCACGAAACATTGGCTAAACAATCTCATGACGGTAACATCGGAGTTGTTTACTTTCTTGGAACTTGTTTAATTTTTTCTGCTGCTCTTTCGTTTCATAGCATCGTCGAGTTCTTGTCCGACAGAAAAAAACGACTAGAAATCATGCTACAAAAGAACTCGAGTGATGATGATCCTTACTCACGAAAGTTAAAGCCTTAACCTTTTTACTTTGCATTCATTATCAAGTTTGCATTTGCCTAATTGCGCATTTACCTCGCGAGCAATTGATACTTGCATTTTCTTTCACGTAGAATTAGAGGCTGTTTCAAGTTGAACTAGAAGTTACGTCAAGAACGACGACGTCGAGAAGCAGGTTGGGTTGTAAATAGCGGTGATTTCACCCCTTTCTGTTTGCCTTGTACTTGAAGTTGTTGAAATGGACAACTAAGTTTTCGATAAGTGCGTAAGCTGCACTTAGTCAAGGGTACCATATCCTTCGTCTCATTCTATGTTTTCTTGTTCGCTCCTGATGGGGGCTTTGCGGGCCCGGTCGCGCCACGGCCCGACTTTGGGTTCACACGGACTGGCATCAAATGCAAATATGTCTGGATCAGGATCTGGAAGATTGGGGGAGGTTACCATGCAAATTTTACATGACCCGCGACGTCGGTGATGCATGCTCTACTGAGCAGCACTACAGGTTTTGTAAAGGCTTTTTCAGGCCTATCCTGTTTGAGAAATGTCTTCTCCGGGCAGGAAAAATCTGAGAGCCTTTTGGTTTTGCTGCTTATGCAATACAGATTTTTGTATCTTCATCGAAAGGTAGCATCATAAGTTCCATTCCTTCCAGACCCGCCAGACATATTTTTTGCAATGCGTAACTGGTGGGCGTTTGGGTGCCGCGGAGGGCGTGCTGGATTCATCCCCGCGGCTGCTTGCGCTGTCGGTAGTTTGGATCCGCAGCTCCGTTTGCTGAGCCGCTCTCATGGTCCTCGAGGACGCCGAGGGCGGGGCAGACCCAATAACCTCCTGTGGTGGTTGCTGCGCCCCCGACAAGTGATCGTCGTCGCCTGGAGGTGCGTCGAGCCCGTAGCGAATGCGTGCTTTGCTGACGGCGATACGGGGCACGTCTGGTTCTTTGGACTGCAGCGTCGATGCGCGTAGGGCCCGCGAGGAAGTTGGCTTCAGGCGCATCTCGATGCGGCCACCAGTGACCACCTCCGAAGTCGATCCCTCGCCGCTTCCGGCAGGTCCCCCCTCGGGCAGAATTCCGGAGCCGGTCTTCGTCTCCGCCTCGTTCGTGAGCGCGAGCTGGTCGCCCTCGGGCCGGGGTCCCCGATGGGGCGCCCAGAAGAAGACTCCACGGTCGTTCGCGGAGTGCACACTTTCGAGGTCAATCTGGCTGCTGAGCTCCTCCGAGTCCGTGGTGGCCGTCTCGCTCTGCAGGTCCAGATGGTCAGGACCCAGCAGGTGAGTTGATGTTTTCCGCCCGCGCGGCCTCGACCTGGGGGGGTCATCTCCGTCCTCGTCGTGTGGCGGCTCTCTTCCATCCTTCCCGCGCGCGCCTGGGATAGATATCTTCACTTTATCGCTGTTTGCGAAGGGGTCGTCATCGTCGGTTGGGTCAACGCCAGCCGGGAGGTACCCGGCCAACAGCATTTGCTTCTGGTACCAACGATCCACCACGTTTGCATACTCAGTGTCGACGTAATAGAAGTCCACAACCCCGAAGGGTTTGAAAGCCCGCTGCCACAGGGTCAGGAGCAGGACCAGGATGCCCCCATACCCCGCGTAGGCCCCGATCAACTCCAGAAAGTCGGTGGCGGAGAGCAGGGGGGTCTCCTGGATTCGTTGGGAGGTGGCATCGATGACAAAGATGAGGCGGATGGAGAAGGAGCTGGCCATGGTCGCGTCGGCCTTGCGGAAACGAACCTCCAATGCGGTGATGCTGTTCACCCACCGGTTCAACAGGATCTTGCCCGTCCACTTATTCACGTTGTACACCGGGTTCACGTATGCATTGCAAACATGTCCTCATCTGGGTGTGGACTCATTGATTTGTATGTAACGCAAGAGAATCAGAATTCATCCTCAACATCGAATGTTGGGATAAGTATCTCTATTATATAATACAGATATTGCATTTGCATGCTCCCCTTCGAGATGTGTAATGCGTAAACGGCTAATGGGATTAGGAACCGGCAGTTCTTGTGTCGTGCTGCATGGCACCTTGTCTTTGTCATGTTAAATGCGAAGGAATTCGCGAGATGAAGCCGAGAGGACGAGAAATGTCTTCTCGTGCTTTATAATTTTCACTTCGGCCGTAGTACTCTATTCGGGTTTTGTTCCAAGCTGCCAGTGTCACTCTGCATTTTTCTGGATCTGTGCAGCAGGTCATACGGGACGCCTCTACACGACCTAAAAACGCCGATTCCGACGCAACAAAGAAGCGAGAAAATATGGGAAGAGGCGCATTTTTCTGCTTCTTTTACTTGGCGGCCCGCCGCGACCACTTGCGGGCCACAGCTAACAAAACAAGGTGAAAGCGATGGAGTAGCACGCCGAAGCGCACCCGGCAGCGGCAAACCGGAGCACATTATCACGGTCTCCGTCCCCGCGGCGACAACCGATGGCACTGCGCAAACATCTTCCCCGGGGCTGAATACGGAAACTTCTTCCGCGGAGCAACCACGGACGGGGCGGACTGCTACCGCCACCCGACCGACACCAGAACGCCAGCCTCCACCAGATCGGTCTGGCAGTAGCATAACCTCCAACCATCCACCGACGACGCCCCAGCCCTAGCTCGAGGTGGCGCCAGAGAGACACGAATGCCGGCGGTGAAAAGCCCCGCTCTTTGCAGCCCGGAGGTATGTACACGCGCGCCGACGCCGAGTAGCGGCATCCAAGCATGCGGAGGGGACGACGACAACGACAGACCGATCATACTCCCCAGGAGCGCGCGTACCTCCCACACTCCTGGTAGTATGATCGGTACCGGCCTGATCGTGAAATAGGCATGACTGCACGTCTGCTGTGCGCAGCACAGACTGCTACTTGTACTACCCCTGCGCCCTAGATCCCGAGATAGGTCATGACTACATGGACAAACGACAGGCCGTGCATAGTGCGGCAAGGGGCGGCAGCGGCCGGATAAGCTGAACAAGCGTGCGGGGACTGCGCCGGGGGATGGATGATCAGGGACTAATTTTTTCTAGATGCTTGTGGTATTTTTTGAGGCAGCGATCAAGGTCAACTATTGTGGGTTCCGGTGGGAGAGTGACCGTCTGCCAATGGGCTACTAGCGGAAAAAAAAGTGTCTGTATGTTTCGGAAGATTTTCCAGGCGCAGTCTATCTGCTCGGCACTGGAGTCCTAGGCTCATACACCAGGCGGGACTATTTGTCGTGCGGTGGGCTGTAGCTTTTTGCATCGCGACCAACGTCGAAGCTTGGGTTCCGGGGGGAAGATGGTCTTAGAGTAGCTCTCATGTCCATTCCGTTTTTTCATCCGATCATGCGATGCTTCATACAACAATCAAAATAATAACAGACCGAGGAAGGGTGGTGCGGGGCTTCGGTCACGTGCTGCCCTTCCTCACGCCAACCCGGGAAGAAGACAACCGCAGGGGCTGCTGATGCCCAGCCACGAAAACCTGCACTGAGTGGAGTTGCGCCTGCTGCTGCCGCAGCAGGCTGGAAGCACGTAGATAGACGCCTCAGTACGTCTGAACCACCTAGAAAAAATAGTTTATCGCCTGTTCACAGGCAACCTCGATCGCACTAATTAACACGTACTGAGGCTAGGCTCAACCGGGTGAGTAGGTATGCCTTTGCAGGCTTAGAAACCGCCCCAGATCTCCCATATCGCCCCCTGTAGATCTAAAATTTTGTATGCGGCGAGACGAAGACCATGGATTACGGTGGAGACCCATGGCACTAGAATAACTATGTATGACCCGACGCGTGCAAGAGTTGATCAGATGCAGGGGTAGTAGTGTAGTTTTTGTTGTTCAGTAGCCGAAGGGACCATACAAACCTTAGTACAAGTCTAACAGAACCACTGACGCCGTGGTGCGAAAGCAAAGAAGTAGATCGGTCCTGTAAATCCAAAAAATGTCTTTCCACATGTTCCAACTCTGCAGCGCGGGATCCAGGCATGCCACAAAGTTAACAGTTGTAGTCAGCACGGGTTCAGGGCTTTACTTACATAGTGGCGTCGGTAGAAGCGAAAATGATTTTACAGATCATCTTGTAGAAAACTTGTATATAGCTCGGGGTTTAGGGTAAAGGCGTGTTCTCACGTCAGAGAGGCGACCACACTGCCCCCTCCTAGTCGTGTGCCAGGTTGCGAAAAGATGTAAAACCGCTCCTATCTATCGAGGGTTGGGGTAAGAGGCAACGCCAATCACCACCTATCTAAAGCTAAAACGCAAGTCTCCAAGTCCAAGCCCAGACATAATATTTGCCATGCATATCACCTGCCACACCACACGGATCAGCACCTTGGTCATGGGTTTCACCGCAATGTAGCCGTCCTCGGCACTGGAAAGCTGCCGGAGACCGTCGATCAAGTTCAACTATGCATTGCAAATATCCCTGCCCCTAGACGTCTGCAAAAGTATTAGTGTTACCTGTGCTGTGTCCATCCTGTAAAATGTGTACTATCGGATAAGGTAACCGACAAAAACGAATCCTGTTTTGTCATGCAAAAACACAGTTTCTATTTCTAATCCTAATGCGCGGCGGCGGCCGCGCTACGTATCAAGAGGCGTCCTCAAAATTTGTCATGCTTGGTGGCACGACTCAGGAGTGTGCTCAATGAATTATCGTGTTCGTGGCCATTCCGCATCACAAGTTTCTTTCCAGACATCCAGGGATCCGTTTGCAATCCATATCAAGACTGTGTCGTCAATCTGGTCCACCAGCGCGTTCAGCTGCACCGGGTCCGTATCAAATGCAAACGCGTCTGGGTCTGGAAGATTGCTAGCTTTGTCATGCATATCTGACATGACTCGAGACTCTGTGATGCGTGGGCACGAAAAGGTCCTCTTACGTGTGATGCAAAAACAAAAACGCAGTTTGTCACGCGGAATGCGCAACAGATATTTCTAATCAGGACAAAAATTATTTGTCATGCTTGGGCGCGTATTCGTATTGCAGTTCGGGTTCGCGTATGATCAGTCATTATCATTTTATTTAGCATTACAACTTTCTAGACCCAGCAGACCACGTAATTGCAATGCATAGTCTGTGGGCCAGTGCAACGGCTTCACGGCTTGCACCAAAGCTTCCGTGCGCTCCCGGTTCACGCGGATGGTAATCCCGGGCAGCAGCATGGGCGGGTTCGCGGGGATACCCTGCGCGCAGCCGCGGACCGTGGTAGAACACAGCGCGCGCCCTATCATGTGTAAAAACGTCCTCACCTCCCCATAGTCAAGTCTGCTGTTGCGCATGACAAGTTTGGTCTCGTAGTGTAACGCTCTTCAGCCAGTTCAGCAGCATCACGGATCTAGTATAATATCTCATGCTGATTTTTGGAGGAGCATGACATATTCCGAAGATAAACGACTAGAAATTGCTTCCCATGGGGCTGCTTCGCATGGGAAATCTGCAGGCAGCATGCAGATTTGCATATACAACTACGGGGAGGAGACGTTTTTAGTTAGGATACGCCCGCGCGCGAACGGCTCGGCCGCCCACAGCCTTGGCTCCCCGTTCACGTAGTTATCCTGTGCAAAAGCATCGCACTCATAGCAATCGCAAACATGCATTACAAATCTTGCTCTTAAGGTAAACCCGCATTACAAAATCATATTTCTCATGCTGAGGAAATTTGTAATGCATTTATACCAGTACGATACTTTTGCAGTTCGTAGTAGTCCGTCTCCGCCGACTGGGTCATGAATTTCCGCTCCACCTCCAGAAACTTGTCGTCAAACGTCAGCTCGTAAGTTGCCTCCAGGTCGATCGTGTACTCTGGCATTACCACGCGGTACTGCAGTCCGGGCCGCACCTCAGGGTACAGCCAGTGACCCGTCAGCGGACCTTCGATGCGGTAGTCCATAATGTTTTTCGGCGGAAATTCGGCCAAGCAAAAGAGCCGGAACTTCCCGCTCGCTTTGTCGCGCATCTGGTCCCGGTTCAGACACGTCCGCGAGGGTTCCCCGGTTTGCGGGTGGAAGAACGGCGTAATAGTGCAGTTGTGCACGCGAAACCGGTCGTGTATGGCGTTCTCAACTGTTACATTCTCAGCTGTTACATGAATTTGTGACGCTAAACCGACCGAAACCAACCACATGAATTTGTGATGCAAGAATGGCAAAAGTGACAGGGGTGACCTTGCGCCTCTTGCATGACAGATCTGGCACAGATTCCGAGCCTGTTTGACTCTTCGAGAATTTGTCATGCGAAGCAGCTTCCTCGTGTCGGTTTTGGTTGTGTTTTTGCATTACAAATCATGTAACAGTTGAGAATGTAACATTTGAGAACGCCATATCGTGGATGGGGTGATAGGCCCACTGGTTGTGGAACGGGGCGTATCCTGTGCAAAAGTATCGTACTCGTAGTAATTGCAGTCATGCATTACAAATCTCGTTCCTAAGGCAAATCAGCATGACAAATTGCATTTTTCATGCTGAGGGAATTTGTCATGCAATTTATACTAGTACGATACTTTTGCAGTTCATAGGGCGTACTCCTCCGCGCGGTTGGTGCCGTACACGTTTGTGATACGCTCCCCGGGGATGTTCTTTTTGGGGCAGAGGAATCGCAGCTTGACCCGCCTTGGCATCACGAACATGGCCAAGTCCACCGCCATGGTTTCGGGGGACTTGTAGTTCTCTTTCGAAGTGGGGAGGTAACGGTTCTGTGGCAGGTACATACTGCCCTTGTCCCGGAACAGGTTCACCTTGCTGATCGTCTGCACGTCGTAAGACACGACTTTTTTCGAAGCGGGGATGAGGGCCGCAACGCTCTTGGCGAAGTCTGCGATGGCAGCGGACGCGGCGGCGTATGGAAGCCTCAGCCTCAGGTTGGAAATTCTCAAGAAATAAGTGGCAATAATCTCGTCCTGCGATGCATGAAGATGTCGAAATGCGGTGCCACAAATGTTGACTCTGTTGCAGCACAGGACGTCGCAACGGGGGCTGACGTCTACTGTGGCCCTGCTACAGTGGGTGTTTAAGAATTGTTGGGATGGGTGGCTGATGACGATTAGCATGACAGAAGGGTAGAAGTAACCCTTTGCCCTAAAAAATAGCAAGAGAGGTGGTAGGCTTCAAGTAGAGCCCGGCAAATTTGTCATGCGCCGACCAAAAATAAGTAAAACTATAACGGCACTGTAACTACAACTGAAGTCGTTTCTTTTGATTCGGGATTATATATCACTTTGAAAATTTGAATTTCCAAACTGAGGCTTTCATACGGCGGTGTCAGTGGCGCTCTGGCCGCTCGTGTCGTGTTTCATGTCGAAGAATCCAAGCTGCTCGAGCTGTGCCTGCGACAGGAACGGCCAGGCGCACGATATGCACGAAAAAAACTGTGTAAGTGTAAGTCTAGAGTTCTGTGTAAAAACCCAGAAGGAACAAGTTATGGGAAATTCTAAGTCTCCTGTAATGCAAAGCGTAATGCGACATTACAGTGTACACTTGTCATGCTAGGCAGCCGCGAATCCCTATGTCATATGCGTCTTCACGTACTAGCTGTGCGTGACTGGATTTCTCTGTTATGCGGAGCAGATCTGTCATGGTGTCACTCATCAAAGAAACCTACGCTAATCGACCGTTTTTTTCCTGGATAAACGAAGGAACCATGTTAATCGTGGGGTTCGCAGGCCACAAACTCTCGTCCGTCCAATCTAGCACAGGCTGACTGGCTTCGCCTGCACAGGCCACACTCATGTTCGCTATCCCATGAAAAAAGTGCTCTTACACTTACACATGGTGCTGCAGGTGGACGACCACCGGCAACACAGACAATCTTTGTATTGTCATGCACGAAATGCTCCTTTCGAGCATCGTTTCATATGTGTTTATTTCCCTTATCATGATCTCTGCATTGCAAGTTTTTTTCTTCATCATGCAGAGAAAATTCGTGTTGCTGAATTCACAACATCAAATGTGCAACTGTTGTATGGAGCACTTTTTTCCCATGATATTCGCCGCCGACGCGCCAGTTAGCATCCGCACAATCCGCTCGCTATGCAATGCAAAAGTATCGTACAACTCGTAGTAATTGCAGTCCTGAATTACAAATTCTTTTAGCATTAGCAAGGCGCATCCGCATTCGAAATTTCATTTCTCAAGCTGAGGAAATTTGTAATGCAAGTATACGAGGACGAGGAGTACGATACTTTCGCAATTCATACTCGCCGTGCCCGCCGCGAATGTTAGGCCCGGCAAGCATCTCCTGTAGCTGCCGCCTCATGGCAAGCGCTTCGGTTCGGGTTGCTAGCATTCCACCCGCTCCTGCCTGACCAGTACCAGGAGCATTTTCCTTTTGACCTTCATCAAGGTCAGCTTCATCTGTAGCAACGGCACCGGCAAGGCCGCTTGTTCTACTGCCTTGCCGAGCATCGGCAGAGGAAGGCACCGACCGCTGAAGACCTCGCGTAGCGGCGCCCGCCTGGCTTGCAGAGTAGTCGAAACCTTTTAGAAGTCGGCTCGATAATTTGGCGTTGATTTGGAACATCGGCTCGTAAGCTGTGCTTGTTTGTTCTTCATCCAGCGGCCTGGCCAGTGAAGAGGTCCTGTTCCACACCGTGCTCAACATATCTTCGTGGTCGTCCTTTCGAGCGCCCCCTAGGTTTCGTGCGGGGAACAGCAACCCAGGTTGCGCTCCTGAGGAGACAAGCCGCTCATCTAGTACTTCCACCTGCAAGTGTCTGGCCGCGTTGCTGTTGTTCCCTGTAGCACGACCTCGTGCTGCCGCGTGCTCTGCACGGGAAAGAGCCTGAGGAGAGATAGAACCCTCGTCGCTTCTGTCACCGTCAGGGGCCGGGACCAGCACCCGGCGTTCCCAGGCGGGACGGGCGGGGTCCGGTGCTAGGCGCTGAAAGTGCTCAGAGAAGACGGGTGGAAAGCCGTTCCGGTGCAGGACCGCATTCACCTGGTCTTGCAGCTATCAAATGCAAATATGTCTGGGTCGTCTGGATGAGTCCAGGAGCTTGATCTCATGATGCCGATTTTTTTTGGAAGATGCACGACCACCACAAGGAGGAACGACTGGAGTTGTGCAGGGTATGGTACCACAGGTTTTCTATGTGCTTTGCTATGCATATGATCCCGCATGAGAAATGTCGTTTTAGTACCAGGCCAAAGCTGGGCCTGGGCTTCTTGTCGTGCTACCCGCGAAACAATCAAGAGGACAAGTTTTCATATGAAGATCTGCGGGATCACCACGCGTCCCGACTTGCAACCTTCCAAACCCAGAGGACATATTTGCAATGCATAGAAGCTCCGCCAGCGTGCGCACCCCCCGCGAAGCGGCTTCCAGTTCTGCGAACAAAGCTCGGCCACTATCGTAAGCAAAAACCCTCCCTCCGCATATCGAAAAGCCACGCCTCAGAGACTTTGCGATGCTGATTTGTGACCAAAAATCGCGTCTGTCTTGCAAGAAAGCAACGGCATAGGCTCCCCCCCCCATTATGCGGGCGGTTTGAGTTTGTAATGCTGTTGGGCCTACAGCATAGGCGTTCCTCATGCTAAGTGCCTACGGCCAAAACCTTTCCACAATGGCATGACTTGGGCCTGCAGCAGGCCCCTACTGCAAGACAAATCTGATTTGTGTACGCAAATCCAGCACCAGAAGATTCGTTTTGATGTGGGGAGGGGGAGTTTTTCCTTTTGATAGCCACGCTCCGTGTGGTCCCAGAACAGGGCAAAGGCTCCTTCTTCGTCCGGCCCGGAAGCTGTGGAGGGTCGATTCGCGGTCGTTAAGACCTGGAGCGAAGGTGGCGGCCTCTCCGTTCTAGAGTTGAAGACGCTTGTCATTTCATGCGACTGCAACAGACGCGGATCGTCCTCGTCGCCGTGCTGATTTTCGTAGCCGTGTCCAAGAAAAACAGGATGATCGTCGGATGGAATTGTTGATGTTGTTGTACTTCTCTCTTCATGGACTGTGCTGGTGTCGTGGTCTTCTACTTCTGTGCTTGCGGGAATATTTTCAAAGCCGGATGATCCGGACGATCGTTCTTGCGGTAGTTCCTTGCCGCGAGCATCGTGCGCTCTTGTGCTGGCTGCCCCGATTTTTGCAGTAGCTGACGTCGACCTCGTCCCGGGCAGATCAGGACCACTGGCCTTCGTGCCCTTAATAACCGGGAACCTGATCGCCTGCTTCAGATCCCGGCGAAACTGATTACCGATGTCGGCTTGCAGCTGCCTGCGCAGCAGTTGCTCGGGGGACAGGGGAGTGAAGTAATTGGGCACCTCCCGCTGGTTCAGCGTGGTGTGGAGCTCGTCGTCCGCGTCGACAGGGTCCGCCGCGCTGCGCTTAAGCTTATCGCGTCCGCTCTTTATTCCTGTCCCTGCTCCCGCAGTACGCCGTAGGGATGAGGCGGAGGGTGCAGAAGACGATGCTGATACCAGAAGGCGTCGCCAGCGACGGTCGACAGGTATGCAAGGGAAGTGGGTGGTTTTATTCTACAAAATCTGCCAAGTAGCCGCGAATGAAGAAAGAATCCAAGAATCTATGGCGCTGCTTCGTATCATTGTTCCGATGAAGCACACTAGATATCACGACTTCTACGCTGGTGCGCATAGGGTTGTAGTTGACTGCATAAGTATAAGAACCTCTTCTAAGCTTAGCTTGTTGCTTTTTTTTTCTTTGAGGTGTGCTTTTAGCTTTTCTACTTGCATATGACAGAATTAGTTATATTATAACGTGGGACTCCTCGTCGCACTCGGAGACAAACTACGAGGAGAAGTCACCAAGTAGAAATCCTCAATGCGAGACTGGGAATCGACGCGCTAGTCGTACCAGCAGCCGGCGATTATATGAAAATCACTCACTTCCCTGCGATAGCGAAAAGTTTCTGCGTCAGCAGCTCTGCGGTCGTACCGGCATCAGGGAGCGCTGTCGCTCCGCCAGCCTCCAGGTTTGCAGTCTGCGTCACCCAAGGGTAGTCTTCCGCAAGAGCGCCCAAGGCATGCTGCGTCGACGTTGCAGCTTCTATTTCCTCGTCTTCGTCTTCGTCAATCACGATCATGTTGCCACTTGTTGTTTTTTCTTGTTGCAATCGTCGTAATCCCCATGGCGATGCTTCTTCACAACAACTATTGTGACAAGATTCAGTATTCGGTGATTGTATATTGCAGGGGACGTGGCCGGGTTTTTTTCGGTAGTTCGAGCCCCATTTCTGACTGCAACTGGCGTTAGTAATAGCCGTCCAGCTACTACAACGTTTCCACAGATCTCCATTTGGTACTGCACAACAGCCGCCGTCAATCACGGCGCTTAAGCAATGCTGTCGCTTTAGCTGCAGAGTTCTGTCGTCCCAGTTTTGCACGTTAGCGCCACTGCAATGTCGTGGTGTTTGTTGCTGATCGTCAATGTAGATTGAAGCCACAATCTGACTATTCTTATGGTACGCTCGACAAGCGTTGTGGTCTATAGGGACCGTTGGAAAAGCGTTGCATGGGATCAATCTCTTGTTGCAGCACCCGCCTTCATCCGTGAGTCTTGCGCATTCCTTTTTAGTTTCGAACTGGCACTTCTCAGTTTTGTCCTTCCCTGCTTTCAAGGTCGGATGCGTTTGCATGCACAAGGAGTCGGTCACACCAGACCACCACTCACATTTGTTCCACCAGGTGTCGCGTTGCCAGACTACACTATCAGGAGCAGTCTTCTTCTTACAGCATCTGAATTTGTCCTCCAGTCCCCTCGTACAGAGCTCAGTTTTCCTATCCGTATCTTTCGACCACAGCCGACACTCTCGCCAGGATGCTGATCCTTCCACCTTCTCATGCCCCATGTTCGTCTTGCACAAGTCAGTCAGCGATTGGCCAGCCGGAACGACTCCGCTATTTGCGTTGCACCCAAAGCTTTCTGGTGCGTAGTCACAGCAACCCCAACCACCTGCTTCATTTGCTTCTTTGACGCAGTCCGCGAAGGTGGAGCCCTGGCACACGGCGCCGGGCTTCTTCGGAGGTGGGTAATCTCCGGGGTTGTAGGTTCGACAATCCTGGTCTGTAATGTCGGCACAGGAATAATATGAGGAGACGCAGCAGGCGTCGGGCCCTGTGGTAGAGCCGCAACCGTCCTTGTTCGCCAGGCTACAGGTACGGTCCTCGACCAAGCGGTGCCCTTCCGGACAGCGGTCGTCCACTCCGCGGCACAGCCAATCCTCCTGTTCGTGGGCGGCGCGGCAGCAGCCTCTTGGCAGCAGAGCAGCTGCTGTAGAACCGGAGGACGCGCCGGCTACCGCAGGCTCGGAGAGCATCAAGCACGCCGTCTCGAAATCATGGGTGCACACGCTTTGAGCATCCGCCTTCTTGTGCCCGGGCCCGTGCACATCTACACACCGCGCGTCGTCAATGCGCTCCCAGTTCGAGCAGACGGTCCAGAGCTCCTGTTGGGTGTCTGCTGACGGAACGCTGCAACAGCCAGGCGATCGACCGTCGTCCTCGCCCGGCCGCTCGTGCAATCTCGCAGCGCAGTCCCAAGCCTGTTCCTCATTAGTCAACTCCGACGTGGTGTGGGTTGCTGTAGTCCCGTCGGCGATATAAATTGCAAAAGTAACGTACTAGTATAAATTGCAATAGAAATTGGCTCAGCATTACAAATTGAATTTGTAATGCGGATTTGCCTTAGGAACTAGATTTGTAATGCATAAACGCAATTACTACGAGTACGATACTTTTGCACAGGATAGGCGAGGACCTGTGTGACTACGTGGTATTTTCTGGGCTTGCACCAAGTCGCTTCTCCGTCGACATTTTCTGGATTAAATACCGCCGCTTCGTTACCCATCTCCTCTCGGCACATCTCGGTGGTTACCCCCAAAGCACTACACGATTTCGGGGACTCCTCAACTTCCTGGCAACAGAGAGACTGCGCACACGTGTAGCGACTTTGTCCTCCACTACAAGTCTCCTCGGGAAAGTAGTAGTAATTATCTCCTCTCGTGTTTTTGCAACTACTTGGTTCAAAATTCCACGACGCACAGGATTCAAAAACATGCAGGGGTAGATCTTGGTAGCTGCAGCATTTATCATCTTCCACGAGGCCTTCGGTGCAATAGATGGCGACTTCCACGCTCGTCAAAGTGCTGGGCCAGTACTTGCACTCTGCGTTAGGGTCACTGGTCCCATGCACAAGTCGGTGCCCCATTTGATATCGACAAAAAGCGGCGTCGGGAAAGCGTTTGGGTGCTTCTGCGAGCGGCTGTTCGAAGGACGTCGGATGTGGAAGCTCCCCGCACTTGATGCTTCCCGGAGTGCCCGAGTTGGACGATGGTGGCGGATCGCCGCAACAACCTCCGCTGTCTATGTGTGCGGCACATTGCTCCTTTGTTGTAAATTGGCAGATTTCATTGGATTCATCTCGATGAGCCACACTGGTAGCGGGATGAGACTGCTGACACATATCAAATGTGACGCCAGTCCAGAACTTACATCGCGATCGCTCTGCCTGGTAGAGAAACTCGTTTAATCCACCCGGCAACGTACTACTTGGGTCGCCCAGCGAACAGCACCCGTCTTCGAGTTTGGCACACCGCTCGCGGATCTCGTCGTCTGTTGGCGATGCGTTGTCATTGATCTCAAATTTGCATTCCCGCACGGGCGTCGGTTCTCTGTATGCTATCACCTTGGAATTCCCAACATTATCTATGCAGTCTGCGTTTGTGAGTGGCGTCCCGCCAACATCTGTTCCTGCTCCACTCGTCTCGACGAAGGGCGGGAGCGAGTGGCAGGAATAAGTGTGCTGGACGATAGTGATCGGAGGCTCTGCCTGGCAACAGGTAAAAAGGCCTTCGCTGTGGCCTCCGCAACCGGACCCAAGGTCGACGGGGGCAAAACCGTCCGCGCACTTTTTCTCCAGAGATAAGGCAGTCGGAGCGCAGCAGGGGTAGTCTCCCTCACCGCGGCACTGTTCGTGGTAACTTACTTTGGTGTTGCTGCCGCAGACCGCGGGGCCGGTGTACTCGTACCCACTCCCTTGCGCAACACGGTTGACCGAGGTATGGCGTTCTCAAATGTAGTTACATGCTCAGCTGTTACATGGTTTGTCATGTTGGAAGGCTAAGGGCTGGGCGTCCCCTCGTAAATTAATCCGACAAACAGTAGCCTGAGGTCCTGAGGTGGGTGACGCGCCCGAGAGCACAGACACCGGCGGAATGGTGACGACCAGAAGGGTCAGGAGACTCACCTTTTGCGAAGGAAGTAGCCGCATACCCGGTAAACTCTAGAAAAAATTACTTGGAGGACAAGGCGATTTTTATCGAAAGACAACCACAACAGCATCTGGGACGGCCGCGACGAAAGCTGTGTGGATATCTGGATAGGAATAGCCCTGTACAAAAAATTTTTCTAGCACCGAGGCATTAAAAAGAAAGGTAAAAAAGCGATAAAAGTGCTACTAAGACACAGTCCCACCTACAACGAAAAAATCACCCTAAACGTCATAGCCCCTGTAATAGCAGTCAAAAGTGTCCTCAACACGGGAGCGTGCGTGTGACAACAACACACAAGGACTTGCATGCAAACGGCCAGCAAAAACGAACCTGGTGACGACAGAGAGACCCAGGTGGGAAATACAAGCACCTGGGCGGACCAGGGAGGAAAATGCAAGACAAAAACCAAAAAACAGACACAGATCATGACAAAAACGGCCGGGATGTTACATGGTTTATCATGCAAAATTCCCTTCAGAGTCGACACCTTCAAGCTGCTTCGCATGACAAATTCTCAGAGGGCCACGCAGGCTGATAATCTGTTCCAAATCTGTCACGCAAGACGCGCAAGGTCACCTCGTTCACTACTTTTTCCATTCTTGCGTCACAAACTCATGTAACACTTGAGAATATAACAGTTGAGAATGCCATACGAGGGTAGGTCATTCCAATGGGGACACTCGATGTTTCGGTTTCTCTTCCAGCATATGCATTGCAAAAGTATCGCACTCGTATAAATGCATTACACATTTCCCCAGCATGATCATGCGGATTTACCTTAAGAAAAGAATTTGTGACGCATGACTGCAATTGCTACGAGTACGATACTTTTGCACAGGATACAGCACCAAGACGGTGTCCCAGACCAGGGATCTCCTCCACCTCCCGGGGGACCTATGGAAGCGTCAGGTTTCAAATCGACAAAGTTGAAATGATCTGCCATGCATAAAAAGGATGCCAGTTGGAGCCCAGTTTGCAAGTGGCGCATGACAAATTTTGGCGGTTCCTAAATCCAGTTTGTCATGCTGTTTAGGCAAAGAAGACTGATTTTCTCATACTACGTACTTTAGCAGCTCGAGCTCTAACCCCAAACAGGCTTACAATCGGCCGCACTTGCCTGCTCTGTAACACACGTGCCTCGCGCCATGCATTTTATGCATTGCGAATTATTTCAACTTTGACGATTTCGATCCTGACACATCCATAGGACCTGGGAAAAGTTTATTGACGTTTTCCGAGTCCCAATTTCCATCTGCTGGCGCTGGCTGCGCCTCACAGTGTCCACTGTCTTTGAGAAACTCTCCGGGTTTCACGGGTGAAGCAAGGGGGGCACCATCGGACTCGACATCCACGTACCCAGCGTAGCATTTTCCGTCGGAACACCATGCTGGACTGTTGGGGTTGGAAGGGCTTGTCCCCGCAGATGGGTTGCATCCCAGATACTTGCAGTCGCTGGACTGTACGCACCAGAGCGGGGCTATGCCACGAAAAAACTGCCTCACGCTCACTGTGATGACTTGGCAGGATCACCTTGTCCTTTTGCGTCAACATTACAAATTTGCTGCACATAACAAGACAGATGAAAGAACTCGGTGCTTTACTCCAAGAGGGCTGGGGCGGGAGTAAACGGCTAAATAAAATTCCATATCATCTTGCATTTCGAGCACGACACACAGACACGTGTGTTTGGCATTCTCTGGTGCGATGCTGGCGTCGCTACCACAAGTTCAACACAGTGAGTCAGTTTTTTCTTGCGATAGGGGTGGTCGTCAGTGTAGTAGTCGTAGTAGTGGTTGTGGTTGGGGGTATGCCCTCTATCAAATGCAAAAGTGTCTGGGTCTGGAAGATTCTGACACTTGTCATGCACGTTTTGGATGAGCCCTTATGTCTGTGATGCATGCCCTAGCGGCACAGATTTTTTGAAAGCTTCTTGATGGCTATTCCGCATGACAAATGCCATCTCCGCGTAGCAAGAATTACATTCCCTTTGGTACTCATGCAATACAAATTTTTCTGGAATCCAAATGCAGCATCACAAGTTGGATTCTTCCAGACCCAGACATTTTTACATTTGATACCCTCCATGAGGGGACAACACACGTCCACGGTGCAGGGTGGTTGACCTGGAGGGACTAAGCGGCAGCGAGTCGTCGCGTCCTGCGTAACATCCCGAGACCAATGCGTCAGAATCGCTGCAGACATTTCCTGGCAGGCCGGGTGCAGTGTCGAGCAAGTCGGAACGTCCCGCGCGGCACAGCAGACCTCCGGCGTGCAGCTGGACGCCGCCTCGCCCGTGCATTTACTTTCGGGCGACACTACTGCACTGCCATAGGCGGTCTCGCACTGGTTTCCGAGAGAAGAGCTCGCGTCCACGCAGCGCGCGCGGGGTTTCAGTTCGCAGCATTCGCGGTTCGCGCAGAAACCGGGCCTCCGGCAAGGCGTACCAGCAGGAGCCGGCCGAAACTCCCCCGGAGAAGACCGCTCCTCGTCGACGTGGCGGCTGCAGGCGGTGTGCCAGTTGAAGGAAGCGTTGTGCCGCGCCTGCATCAACTGCGCAAAACTCCCACAAGTGTCCGGCGGCGTCACGCACGTGCCATTGGCTATGCATTGCAAAAGTATCGCACTCGTATAAATGCATTACAAATTTCCTCAGCGTGAGAAATAAAGTTTGTAAATGCAGATTTGCATTGGAAAGAAGATTTGTAATGCAGGACTTGCATTTATACGAGTACGATACTTTTGCACAGGATATTGGCCGTGGCTCCCCAATTCTCCACCAGGACCGAGCCCACCGCCGCGTCCAGGAATGCACAACTGCATTCGGCCACCGCCCGTACGGTTTCCCCACCAGGGGACAGTTTGTACGGGTCCACTCGACACTGCTTGCCGTGGACGCCGCAGAGTAGCCCGGGGACCGGGCGCGCGTCCGGGAGGACCCCCGCGGCGGCATCGGTGTCGCTGTTGAAGTGCACGTCTTGCTCTTCTTGTTCGCACGGCGACCGACACGTCTCGCGGCCCGTGGTCGGAATCCGCACGTGCAGAAAGCCGGGTCCACAGGCGCAGCGGTAACCCCCGGGGCGGTCTTGCCGCGGAACGCAGGCGTTTATGTGGGAGTAGTCCTGCCCAGATCGCGCGTCGAATTCGCCGCACGGGTAGTCGGAGCACGGGGCCGGATGGAACCGGATCACACCCCGTCCGGCCGGAATGTCCGTCGAGCGGTCGGCGGCGACCTCCGTTGTGAGATTCCCGTCCGCCCGCGAGCCCGTCACCAGGTACATCATTCCATCAGGCCCTGCGGCCAGATCCAGAGGCACAATGTCGGCACCAGCTCCTGAGAACATTGCTCCTTCAACCCCGCCGACACTGGTGACAGTGCCAGCGTCCACCGCGAAATCGTGAAACACCTCCCAGCCTTCCTCTAGCAGAGTCAGGAACCGGTGCCTCCCGACCACGTGTTCGATCCTCGGTGCTGTTAGTTCTCGCCTGCGTTTTAGGGCCAGCCTCTGCGGCCCGGGACCTGTCCGACGGTCGCCAGCGACCGCCCGGGCGAAATGAGCTCCTTGTCCATGTGAGGACTCCGTTCTGCTAGTGGTCGGCGCGGTTCTCCTGCCCCTTTGTGCACGCACGCGAGCCTTCGTCTTCTCATTCTTCCTTTCACGTCGACGCGTGGTCTCTGCAACGGCGCGCGGATCGTGGCCTGCCCGACTGCCGGCGTGGCGCGAAGTTTTCAGCGAGAGCGTCCTGCGAGCGGGAGGTTGTCGACGAGGACCGTGATTTGCCGCGACAGCACTCCTGGTAGTTGTGCGACCTCCTATTTCGCTGTGTGGGACTCTGGTCGTGGCATCGGGGCCAAGAACCCGCTCCCGTTGTTCGTAGCCGGCACGACCCCCAACACTGCCGCCAACAGAGCAACAACCGCCGACCGGTTCGCTAGAGTACAGACATGCAGCGGCCCTGCTGCTCGTGCGGCCGCTTGCTGCTGCTGCTCTGCCGAAATAACCGCCTCCCGCTGCCCGCTCCTCTTCGTCTGGGGCTCCCACGGAGTGGAGGTCGCTACGCAGGATGGCGGCCGGGAGCAGGCGACAGGTCGCCCTCGCTGCGAAGGACGCTTCCGGTCCGTGATTTTCCCGGCATCGACGATCCGCGAGAAGCCGGCGCTGTCGTGCGTGGCCCGCTGGTATCATGTTCACTTTCGTTCTTCTACTTCTATTCGCAACCCAAATCGTCCCGCCCTCATCGTCGTCCCCGGTAGTTTGTCGAACACGACGGGAGGTCGAGCTAGTAGCTGATGACTCGCGTAGAAGTTCTTGATTCGCGTTCTGCAGCTCGTGATCCTTGTGCGAGGCAGAAGGGATTTGATGTGGACCAAATAGGAGTAGCTCTTCGCACTCGAAAGTTTCCCTTTCGCGACGAGCAGTGTTGAGGTGGGTACGGAAAGCACTGGAACTGCTCCGCACAACTGGTGTCGTGGACTTGTCGGCAGCGGCGCTACGAAGCCGAACCGCTCCAGAATCCGAGAACCCGCGGGCGGTTGTCCTACTCCTACTTGCCCCCGCCGGGCGGGTTGCCGTCGTGCTGTGAATTATATGCTCTTCGACTTGATGATCGTGCGCGGTGCCGCTGCCGATCGGGAACTCGGTCGCGGAAGTGCCAAGCAGTTGCCGGCTATCAAATGTAAATATGTCTGGGTCTGGGATGAAACTTGTGATGGGGAAACGCGAATGACATACAATGACTGGAACAGTTGTGCTGGTCGCAGCCAAGCACGACGCGCTTCATCTACAGCGTCCTGGCACGGTGCGCATGCCTCGCGCGCATTTTTACAAATTGCGTTGTTGAAAAATGTAGATGGCATACAGAAGCTGCGGTTTATTCATGTCCGTCATGCAATTTTATTTGATCTACAACCCAGGAGTGCCCTGACAGGTCGAGGTCCCACCTTTCCAGACCCAGACATATTTGCAGTGGATAGCGGCTCCTTGTGGACGATTGCACCTCACGCACCAGGACGCAGCATCCATTTTTGCCCTGGTACCAGACCAGGGACCGATGCGGCACGGCGCAGTCTGCAGCGGTAACAGGGACGATTTCTCCAGTATCTGTGACGCGGTTCGTATCGCAGTAAGCATCGGACTTCCACACGTACCGCAGTCCGCCGTTCTCCGCCGCCGGACCGCCAATCAGCGTTGTCTGGCATAGCTCCGAAGATCCATTCGCCACATCGGAGCAGCGTTTCAGCGGGAAGCCATTGTCAGCGTCTGCCTCGAGTTCGACGGGCGTCCACATCAGGGGTCTGATGAAGGAGCGCTTCTTTGGACCGCCGTCTTCGCCCCCGGTGGCGCAGCTACCCGTGCAGCAGCCACCCGAATATATGCTTCCGTCTATTCGATAATCGTACGCCTCTTTCAAATTGTAATTTGATTTGAACCACTTGCTATCGCACAGAAAAACCTCCCTCGGACCACCTTTACAAAAAGGCTTGGAGTTGTATATTTGTCACTACGACTCCTGCACTTATACTGATTATGTATTATTTCCCGTCACCGAAGTGCATTTGCCTACTTTTCAGCACTATCTAAACCTAAAGGTAGACTTAATAAACTTGTAAGTACATGATGATGATCATACGTAAAGTGGGATTGAGAGACAGAGCTCCGTCTACTTTTATTTTAGTTACGTAATTTTGTTCGGTGCGTTCCTTCCATCTGGTATCCACAACCCGAGCGGCCCGATGTACCGCGCCGATGGGGCTGGGTAAGGCGTACTGGGCCTCACTACCCTCCTAGAGGCCCAGCACGCCTCCCCACCACCTTGCCATAAGGGCAAGACTCCTCAGAACCCCACCACCGGTGGTTGATGTAATATTAGATCCTATCCTCTAAGATAGTCATACTATACACTGCAGTTTCTGTTTCACAGAGAGGAGCAGAGACAACTTGTTTCTGAGCGATAGCAGCAGTCGCTTGTCCAATCCATGTCAGCATCTTGGTTGTTCAAGCTATTCGTTTCGATCATGACGCAGCCCGGTTGGTTGTCGCAAATTCTTTCGCATTGACGCTGCGTTTTTGCTCCCATGGGGTTCATCGAAGTTCGTGCGTGTGACATGCCGAGCTCGAGCCGCGGACATCCACCAGGCCCGACAAGGCGTTTATGGGAGTGTCAGGAGCGAAATCGACAAAGTTGAATTAAGTTGCAATGCTAAACCGACCGAAACCACAAACGCAACCGATACGGGACCTTTTCGCATGGTGACAAATACAGTATAAAACCGCGGACCAGTAGTTTTGCTTTTGCCCGCAAATTCAAGCCGGCGCATGCAAAATTTTGGCAGCACCGAAATCCAGCCTGATATGCTGTTTGGGAAAAGCAGACTCCTTCTGTTATGCTAGTTTACAAGCTCTTGGTCTTGCTTTGCTATCTCTGCCCTCTAAGCAGGCTTACCATCGACCACGACCGCAATTGCCAACCCTGCAAGACAGGCACTTCGCGTCTCAAGTTGTAGTACACACCAGTATTTCATATTTATATAACCTCTGACGATTTCAATCCTGACACTTTCATAATATTGAATTTTGTCTTTCGTGATGTCATTGAAATCTGAAACCGAGGTGTCTCCAGCCGCGTCTAGCACTGGGGCGGGAAGCTCGACACAGCGGTGGACCGCAAACAGGTCTGCTTGACAAACGGCATTCGGCGATGCGCAGCAGGTTTCCCGAGTATTTACCAGCGCCTCACCATTGCCGTCCGTATGTTCCGTCGACCCGCACCTTTCCCCCGTTTGGGCGCAAACCTGGTCTCGCGGCCGCTTCAAGAAACAATTATTTCTTGCGACAGGAATAGTGCCTCTCAGTTTCATTCCTGCGGGGCGAGTGTTTGTCGCTTTGTAGTACACTAGTCTCCCGATATGCTCATCCAAGGTCTCGTATCCCATGCAGTACTTGCCAGCGGTCTCTGTGGTCGCAGCGTGGAGGCATTGCTTCTCAAGTTCCGCCGAGGACGACGAGCCGTCTTCGGTACTGCCAGCTGCAAGCGTGTACTCTACCCATTGCGAAAAGTCGTATTCTTGCCACCTGACAAGTTTCTCGCTGTTCACCCGCGCCTGGCACTTTTTTTGCACAGTCTTCCCGAAAGTGTCGTCTTCGTTGCGCTGCCAACATGCCCAACGCTCCGTATCGGGGGAGACGGCTGCGTTGTCAAAACTCAGTTCCGTGAGCATCCCGGGGGAACCGGTCTTCCCGTAGATCACTTCTCCAACGCGGTGCAAGCGAAAGCGGGTAGCGCGCGGGTCCGTAGCCCTGGGGTCGCTATCATCTTTAAACCTCCACCACTCGTCGGTCTCCACCTATGGGGGTGTCAGGATCGAAATCGTCAAAGTTGAAATAATCTGTAATGCAAAAAAGCGATACCAGCTGGAGCCCAGTTTGCAAGTGGCGCATGACAAATTTTGGCAGCATGGAAATCCAATTTGTCATGCTGTTTGTGCAGAGAAGACTGCTTTTGTCATGCTATTTGAGCACCTCTACCTCACACCCCAAGCAGGATTATAATCGGCCTCAGTTGCCTGCTCTGCAAGACAGGCACTTTGCGTCTAACATTTTACGCAACATCACAAACTATTTCAACTTTGACGATTTCAGTTCTGACGCTTCCATACCACCACAAACCCGAGACACTTTGCATCGGACGCGCACATATCCACTGCAAAAGTATCGCACTCGTGGCAATTGCATTTATGCATTACAAATTTCTTTCTCAAGGCAAATCAGCATTACAAATTTAATTTGTAATGTTGGGCTACTTTGTAATGCAATTAATATTATATAAGACAAAGACGAAGCGGGGGCGGTCGCGGTCAAACGCGGGTCGGGTAAACGCGGGGGGGGCGGTCAAACGCGGGGCGCCCAAACGGACGCGGTCGCGCCCCGGCAAAATCGCGGTCGTACCCCGGCAGAAACGCGGTCGCGCCCCCAAAAAAACGCCGGACGCCCCCCCAAAACGCGGTCGCGGTAAAACGCGGGGGCGGTCCCCAGAGGGGCGCTTCGCGGTCGCGCTAATCCCGCCGCGGTCGCGGTTTTGCAATCTTGGCCAAGGCCGGTCGAGGCGGGGGCGCGGCGCGTTTGGCCGCGATTTGGGGGGGGCGCGACCGCGATTTCGGCGGCGCGTTTGACCGCGATCGACCGCCAAGAAAAGGGCTGAATCGCGGGGCGGTCAAAGGCGCCGCGGCCAATCCCGGGGCGGTTCAAGGCGCCGCGGCCCATCCCGGCGCGGTCAAAGGCGCTGCGGCCCATCCCGGGGCGGCTCAAGGCGCCGCGGTCCATCCCGGCGCGGTCAAAGGCGCCGCGGCCAATCCCGGGGCGGCTCAAGGCGCCGCGGTCCATCCCGGCGCGGTCAAAGGCGCCGCGGCCAATCCCGGGGCGGCTCAAGGCGCCGCGGTCCATCCCGGCGCGGTCAAAGGCGCCGCGGCCAATCCCGGGGCGGCTCAAGGCGCCGCGGTCCATCCCGGCGCGGTCAAAGGCGCCGCGGCCAATCCCGGGGCGGCTCAAGGCGCCGCGGTCCATCCCGGCGCGGCGCGTCCCGGGGCGGTCAAAGGCTCCGCGGTTCAGCCCGGTGCGGTCAGAGACGCCGCGGCGAAACCCGGGCGGCAGCGGAAAAAGGCACGCTGCGCTGTAATGCAAAACGGCCAAAGGTGGCACCACCGCGGCAATCCATTGGAAAAGGAGCAGGAAATAGACGCAACCATGGTGAGTGTCGGCGCCGCAACGCCATCGCACAGGCGCTCGCCCTCGATGCATCCCCGTACCTTCCACGAGAACCTGTTCTGCCCATTTCTGCGTCGCGCTTCCAGTTTTTCTTCTTCCCACCGGCTGACTAGCCGCGCCGGAGGCGCGCACTTTTTGCAGTCCCTTTGCACAAACCGACTTTGAGCCGTTCTTTCCTACACCGACGAAAGGGAAAGGCGGCTCTCTTTTTTGCACGACCTGCGTTTCTTTTCCGACGTCTTTCTTTCTGTTCCACGACTTGCTCACCGAACGAGCGCCCTCTACGATTCTGCTGTTTTTGCAGTTAGCGCTGCGACTTTGCTCTGCACGCTCACCGGCTTCTTGCCTTTTCACATGCTCAGCTTTCAGGCGTACACGTACCGAGGCGGCAGCTTTTGCTGTTTCTCTATCGCGCCTTTCATCTATGCTTTCAACTTTTCCGCGCGTTCCGCCTCGCGCGTACACACTTCAAACTTTCCTCGGTTACCACAAGTACCCGCTCTTTCTTTTCGCCCCCCCTCATCGAACTTTCCCTCCCCGCACCCCCTCCCCGCTTCGTCTCTTCTTGGATCACAGTGCCACGCCTAGTTTATACTAGTGCGATGCTTTTGCAGTTCATAGCACAGCCGGTGGGCGACCGCGAAACCGCCAACGCCATGCAAAGAAGCGGCATGCTCGACGGTTTCGTTCGCCGGGACAACTCTGGTAACGTGCACCCCTAAAACCGGAAGGGGGTGCCCCGAGGCCGCTTGACAAAAACGGTCGCCCCATTTGGCCGGACTGATGATCCAGCTTCCGAGGTCCGCGAGAGAGCCCGGCACCGGAGTCGTGGTCGTGGTCACTAACTGCACGCAGTGGTGCCCGACTTCACGGTTGACCTGGTTAAATAAATGCAGACTCGAGTCGAGGAAAGTCCGTAAGACTCGCCCGCCAGCTTCCGAGTCTACCACGTACAACAGCCCATTTACAGCCGTGAGACGCCGGAAGTTACTGCCGGAGGACTCCTGGATAATATTCACGTACGGCACCTTGTGCTCTGCGGGTCCGGTACACGACCGATCGCTTGCCCCACCGCTACTGGCCGACCCTAGGGACCGCCGCAGTAGCCGGCGTCGTCCACCCTGAGGCGTCACAACGGGCACCCCGGCGCTCCGCGGAGGCCGCCACTCCGCTGCGAGGAGAAGATCCTCAAGGGCGTAAGCTTGTAGGGCAGTGGAAAACAGCACAAATAAAGTTTGGCCGTCGTCGGTCACAAAAAAGTCCTGGGGCCGCTCGGGCTGCGGGTAGAGGGCGCCTGTGGCTGTGCTGGCGGCGGAAGAAAATGCAAACGCGGGGTGCGTTCCATCTTCGTACAGCTCCTCGAAAAGCCTGACAGACCAGTGCCCCACCTCGTTGCTCGGCAGCTGGTGGGCGCCTCCCGTAGGTGCCCGCAACCGTTCCGACACGAGGGCCTTTAGATCATACACACTGAAACCCCCACTGCCATGAAGTACGAACAAACTGGTGCGGGACTGCCGAATCCGGAGCAGGGTATCCGCATGTGTAGCACTCCAGCTGATTTCGTTCGCACCACCAGGAAAATCGTACAATTGAAGCCGGTCGGGTTGGAAGTTCACTGGCGACCGGGCTCCCGAGAGCAGGACACTCGCCGCGGCTGTGTGAAAATTGTACTCGTATACTTTTTCAATGCAGCGCGACGTGGGCGGGTTTCCGTTTGGATTGTATTCCACATGTGAGAGGCTCCAGTGCTTGACGCACCTGCTCCCCTCATCCTCTCTGTCTGGAGCCCAGAGGAATGCGACACACGCAACGTCGCTCGCACACTTGTCTCTGCAGGTTTCCAAGGTTTCCGCATCGACTCCAACATCTTCTTTGAGGTTGTCGTCATCGCTAGGTCTACAATAGTGAAGTTCAGGATGATCTATCCACCGGATGCCTGTGTGGTGAACTTTTGCGCCGCACCGGCTGCTGGAGCGTGGTTCCGTGTGTGAAAACTGCGAGTGGATCTCACACTTTGTACTACCTGACAGTTGGATCTCGTACGCAACACATGTCGGATTCTGCAGGCATTTGTTTTTGCATGCCTCGACATCAAGCGCTTCGAAGTCAGTCTTGTTATGTCGTCCATTCGCGGCGTCTCTAAAACGGCAAGCTGCGTTTACGCGTTCCTCAAACTCAAAGTTGGCCTTCCCGGCGGCAAAGTTGGAAGGTGCCACGTAGACGCAGCACCCGTTCTTGCCCGAGTCAAACTGCAACGAGCGATGAGGGGCCGTGCAATCGGTTAAGGAAAAGGGAGCAATGTCACAGTACGCGTCGGCTTTCCACGCGTACCGCGTTTCATCGTTGTCGCCGGGCGTCGTCCCAAGCAGAGTTTGCTGGCACTGCCTGCCGGTAGCTCCATCCTGAGCCAGTATCCAGTACAAATGTGTCTGGGTCTGCAGTGACACAACTTGTGATGCCATCTTTGGACTCTATCTCTGCACAAAATCTGTATTGAATGAACAGCAAAAGCGGTCTTTTTTTCGCTACGCGAAAGGCAGTTCTCACGCGGTTTGAGCATCAGAAAGCCGATGCCGAAGTCCTCACAGAATCTGTGATGCTACTGGGGCATGCATCACAGACATCACGGGTCTTCGAAAATAAGAATATGCATCACAAACCTCGCACTCTTCCAGACACAGACATATTTGCAATGAATAGCCAGGAAGGAGCTACATCGCTGCATTCGTACTCCTCGAGACGTCCGGGCACTCGTTCCGGGCATCCACATGATGGGTTTCGCGAAAGCACGACGCTGTGTATTCGCAGCCACGGCCACCGGGTTACGGATATAAACATCCGTGCGCCAGTCGTGAGCGACTTTGCGGTCAGCTTGGTCCTCGTGTCGTCGAAAAAGGCAGCACACCGAATCGAAGAGCCCGAACCGTGCTTTTTCGATGAAATAGCAGCTCTCGTCGCTGTCGCAGCGCTCTTCACAGGCTCGGTAGCCTCTGTGCTCACAATCCCGCCCCATTAGGTCCGATCCGTCTCCATCTAGATCCTCGATGCCTCGCACGAAGCCCCCCACCCCGATCGCCAAATACTCCACGACACCTTTCGAAGCGTCTAAATTCTCCTGATACTCTTGGCGAACCCCGAACTGAGGCACTTTTCCGTTTTTGCTGGAAGAGTCGTCGATGCCAGTGCTTGCTGTACCCAGGGGTGTTGCCATTGGCAACAGGGAACATCTGTGCTCCCCCAAGTCGTTCTTCTGGCAGACGGCGCCCTCCGGTATGCAACAGGGTTCGTCGGTTTTTCGCTCGAGCATCCACGTACCGCAAGGGTCGTTAAACGCACGCGCGCACACGTCTCTTCGATTCACTTTGCGGTGACACTCGAAATCCCGCTCGCCTTCTGCGACAGCGTCGTCCGAGGGTTCGGGGTCCTGTAAACTTCGAAGCGGGTTTGCTGTGGTGCGGAGCGGGTCGGTCGCGGCCCCTGCAATCACACTGTACAGGTACTCCATGTGGAGCCAGTACTCGCCGGTGGCTGGATTCATGCGGAAGCCTAGACAGTACACCTCGCGCATACATTCCCGATGCGCCGCTGCGAACCCGCCGGTGCCCGCTAGGGGGCGGTCACGAGCAAAAGTGTTGCTTCGTGTGAAGATCGACGTGGTCGTAGTAGTAGTGTTCCTTCTACCACTTCCAGTTGCAGGGTTTGTTGAAGACGCTCCGCGCCACGGCAACGAAGCCAGGTGGACGCGCGCCGCAGCTTCGTCGGCCAGGGCGGCATCAGCTCCTGCTGCTGGTATTCCAGCACGTGAGCGCGTCCGGGGCGGGATCGCGCCGTAGAGGGGCAGCCCGTCCTGGTCCCGGCAGTAACCGCGCGGGCTCCGAAGACTGATAATTCTGTCTCTCTGCACCCGGTGGGGGACAGTCGGACGAAACGCCAATACGCGGGTGTGGTCGGCCACGGCCGTCCACGCTGCAGGGCAGCGAAGAATCTCGCCAAACGTCCAGTTATGCTTGTCGTCGCCGGTTTTTTGTTTCCACCCGGTGTCCTCCCGATGCGCTCTTTTCGGGTTGCACTTTTTCTCCGCCGCATTGTATCGAAAGGCAACGCATCCTAGGTTGCGGTAGCTATGACACAAAATTGCGCACGCGTCGAAGCTCGGGACATTTTCAATCACCGCAATTCCATCGACGCTCAAGTCCGCGCCCTTCGCTTTGATGCCACTCATTTCGCCGCAATGCAAGGAGACTCGGTCTTCGAACTGCAAAACGTCTGATGGCCGCGACGCCAGCGCAGTGGACGATAGTTTTCCCGAATGTGTTTCCCTCGCCTCATCTACGGAGACTACTCGGTCCCGCGCTTCGTGGATCAACCGCAGTCCCGTCATCCACTCCAGCTTAGCCCGAGTGTCGTACTTCGGAGCGGCTTGGTCGAGGCTTCCCCTGTCGAAGCTGCCCCTGGAAAGAAGCAGCATCTCGGGTTGCCGCGCGCTGGAGAAAGTTGATGCAAGGGAGAGTCCCGCGGGGGCTCCACTAGACGCAGTTTCATTGCCGATTACCTGCTCCACTCGGATGAGAGGCTCGCAGGAAAGACCGCCGAAGACAGGGTCCCGATAGGCGACGTGGGTGTCGGCGTTACACAGACATCGATACAACAATGCTGAGCTGCGTCTTCTCGTGCGGTTGCTGGCCTCCCCGGTGGACGACGACGACGTCCACTCAGATGAATTGAGCAGTGGTCCACCTCGTTCTTCATCTGGTGGTAGGGACGCAACAAGTGGCGGGAGGCATACACCTCCGGGTCCGCATGGATTCTCCACGCACGCTTCGTGGATGCAGGTCTCTCGAAAGTTTCTGTTGAGCCCTCTCGTCCAGCCGGGTCCGCACGAACATTGGTAGGCGGCACCGTCGTGCTCGCGATCGAGCTGAGCTCCGGCAGCGTCTGCGGGATCTGCATGCTCCCACGACAGGTGAGAAGTCTTCTCCGCTTTCACCCGTTCAAAAAAGTATCTGCCCGCCCGTGGCTCCTGGTTCTTGATGTGCTGGAACAAGCTCGCATTCGTGATGTTCGAGTAGTTCACGTGGTTCGCCCAGCCCCATCCGCCTGCCGCGGCGCCAGCCGATGTGTTTGCGTGTTGCAGCAACGGGACGCAGTGATTGTCGGGAAAGGGCAGTCCAAACACATCCGGGTGGTACTCAGCACAAGGAAGGTCGGCACACGCATCGGACAAAAAGCCCTCTGCGACACGGGAAATGGGGCCGGCGTTTGCGCCGACCTGGGCAAGGCCACCGTTCACCAGGAGCAGCAGAGCGCCTCGCGCATCAAACAACGCCCCGGTGACCCCCCGAAGCGCGGCCGCATTGTGCCCACTTTCGAGTAAAATCGTGCGGTGGGATCCGCGAGGATCCTGTGGCGTGTCGGTCGTTTGGTTGACGTGAGGACGAGAAGTAGTGATGTTGCCACGAAGATGGAGATCATAGTAATCGCCGGGTGTGTAGCGTGCGAGGAAAGTGGAGAGCACGTTCGGGGCCTCGGTTGCGCCGTTCTCGACGCGCTCCAACGTGAACGCTACGCCATTCCTGCAGGAGACCGATTCAATGCTGGTAGCACCACCTGTTACGTTGGAACTGGTACTACCATTGACACTGTTGCTGTCCCGCCCCAGTGGAACAGCGGTCATAACGATTTCGCTGGAGGACGACATGAACTGGTTGCCGTCCCGATCGTAGTCAACCAAAGCGTACAAACGGTGGTCGACCGCCGGATGAAGTTGTTCTTGAGAGAAGGACGAGCTATTGCTGCCTGTCGTATTTGCAGAGCTAGTATTCGTGTTGTTCCAACCCACCATGGACTGATTCGCGGTTGCGTTGTAGTATTGATGCACGGATTATGGATTGCAAAAGTGTCTGGGTCTGGAAGATTGCAACTCGTCATGCTGTTTTTGGACTCTAAAAAAATTTGCATTGCAGTTGCATGACCAGCAAGAGGGATCCGGTTTGTGCTACACGGGCAGGGCATTTCTCATGCGGAAGGTGCATCAGGAAGCCCTCTAAAACTAAAAGAAAAAGTCTAGTCTGCGATGCTAGGTCATGCATTACAGGCATTATGGGTCGTGAGAAATATGCATGGCAAATCTTACACTCTTCCAGACCCAGACATATTTGCAGTTGATACGGATGAAGATGAAGACTCGTTCACAGCGACGCCCATCGCTAACCCCACGACGATGAGAGCTCCCCTGTCGCCTCGCTCAGCAGCAGTGGAGGATGCGCAGTACCTTGGCGACGGCACGACGAGGTCGCCGTGCTCGGTTACTGCTGTGACCCATTGCGCCACTCCACCGCCGGGAAAAGGAACGCGGAACAGCCGCGACGCATCACTGCACCATGCGTACAGCCACCGCCCAACGACGACAACTGACTCAGGTCCGGAACTGCAGAAAGAGGGCGTGCTCGAGCTCTGCAAGATGCGGGGGCGTGGCTCGCCGTCTTTCTGGCGCTCTGCATCTGCTAGCACCAAGAGCGCGCGTTGAGATTTCCTGAACGAGTAGTCGTCCGGAAACGATATGGGGACTGTGCCTCGGTCCTCCGCGAGGGGAAACGCCTCCGACACAACGTCCTCCTCTGTGAACTCGGTATCGTCCACGTAGAACCAAGAAACTTGCCAGTCCACTGTGGTCTGAGTGATTTTCGTCTCGGCCACTCCATCCGCAATTTCAAGGAATTCTATGTGGTGAGTGGTGACAACAAGGACCTCACGCTCATTGTACGTGCTGAATGCCACACTGCTGACTCTCTCGAGGAGCGACGGCAGCACCATCGCTGCCGGACCGGCGCGCCTCCGGAGGCGCGTCGCGGGGGCAGCATACATCGCACGGGAACCAACCAGATTGTCGTAACCGAGTCGGTGACGCAGTAGCCGTGAAGGGTGCAGGTGCTGCAAAGCGGGGGCGTACCGCTCATCTCGAAGCGCGTCAAGATTGCTTTCCCGGCCCTCCACGAGGTACAAAAAGGCGCCAGACGGCGATACCGCAATGGACTGCCTCCCGAGCAAGGTGGGCCACTCGAGCCGATTGGACGATGCAACCTCGTAGGGCATAGATGCGGCGGGAAGCACGGGGTGGGAAAGGAAGGAAAAGGCGTCGCCGTCAGCAAGAACGGGGACAAGGTCCGTGCAAGAGGACGAGGAAAACTGCAGCGATCCTCGACCGGGTCCCAGAGACACGCAATAGGTGCCCAATGGTTCGTCCGCAAGATGAGAGAACAACAACGAATCTTCGCTGTCCGCGCACGTCGCGCTGGGTACAAAGAAGCGCACGGGCAGCTCCTCGTCGGCACCGGAGCTGCACCGCTCCGAGACGGACTGTGCTGCGAATTGCTCGCCACCAATGCTGACCCGGGAACACTTGTGGTTCAGATACATCCGCCGACCGTATTCGGCCAGCACTGGTGGCATCGCGGCTGCAGTCGTGTCGTCAGACTCAAGTCGCTGCACCTGGTTGCATATCACACGGAAAAAAATGAATCACCAACAATATACATATAGTCTTTCTCACTCTCACAGGCGGCCCATGGAGGACGATGAAAATCTGCCTGTGCTGGCCATTTTTCATTATTCATGCATTTCCCTTTGCTGGCGCTGGGTACATATCTTCAAGTGACCCCCACGACACTATGCAAATTCCCATCTAGTTGTACTTGTTGTATGTCTTGGACTAAGTACAACTTGAGGTAGATCTACTTTTTCTTCGCTGTGATATTGCAGTTCCAGGAATCCGGGAAGTAATCGTAGCTGTACTCTACGGTAGGACTAACGCTGTCAACTTGGCCCAGCACTGGTTGAGTGAGGCCTGCTAGATCATCAGCCGTCGTGAGGACCCGCGCACAGCTTTCCGCCCCGGTCTCTGGATCTCGAACAGTGCGCAGCCGCGCTGGGCGGGCACCACTGGGAGGAGATAAAGTACTACTACTAGCTGGGTTCATCTCGTCGCGAGTTGTACTAGAAGAAGCAGAGCCACCAGCACTATACGCACGCTCACAACGACATCGGTGAGCAAGCGCCCCGAAGCCAGGCGCCGCGGGGGTCAGCACTGTCTTGGAGCTGGAGCCGCGGTAGGCGCCGGCTTTGTCCGCTGCACGGTCCACTAGCAGCTCCGCCTCGCGGTTCCAGACCTCGCACACGGCATCGTGCTCTTCCCGCGTCAGCTGGCCGCCACAGGCTCGATAAGCGTAGTCGCAGGGCGACCTTCGTCGGCACGTGGACCGGGAGAACTCTGGTTGATACTTTGCGATATCTGCGTCGGGGCGGTACCCTCGCAAAGACAAGGGCCGGAGCACGTGCTCGTAGTCGGGATGGTCACACGTACAGAAGTATCCCGCCCCCCCTTGCTCCCGAGCCTGGGTGGGCGTGCACGCATTTCCCAGGTTGCGGCGCCCCGTGGCAGGATCGAACTCCGCGCAAGGTGCCGCCGCGCAGACGGGAAGGCTCAGCTCCAAAACGCGCTGGTTGCCGGCGTCGGCCACGTACAGAATGTCCGTGCCCGGCTGAAACGCCAGTCGCCGGGGTTGTCGAAGCGTGTGGAACCCATTGGCGCCCTCGCCAAAGTCGCTCCCGAAGACGACGACGCCGAGCAGCGGCAACGCAGCTTGAGAATGCGGCACGTCGGCCGCTGTTGACCCCGAGGTGGATACCGAAGCGCCGCTCCGTTCGAGCAGCCGGTCCAGTGGAACGCGGACGATGCGATGGTTGCCCGAGTCCGTGATCCACAGGTACCCGTTGTGGATCACGATATCAGTTGGGTATTGAAGGAAGCGCGTGCCGCGTGCCTCCGTTTTGTTTTTCTTCAACACATACGCAAACGGGGCAGAGTTCAGGGAAGAATCCGAGCCGAATTGTTCTTGATTTTGCATCAACTCCTGGTCCTGGCCCCCACCATTACTCCAAAGGTATTGATACTGTGTCATTTTCTCCTCGCGCGTACTAGGTTGCCACGCGCTCCCCACAAAGCTCTGCCCGAACACGACGCGACCACGGTGAGAGCCCCACGTTTCCTTTCGGCCTGTGAAAAAGCTGCTCTGGAGAGGCCAGGCGGAAATGCGGTGGGCTCCATACTCCGACACGAAGACTACCCCGTCCGTGATGGCTAGGCCACGGGGCATGGACGGATGAGTTAGGCCCCAGTGGTCGTAGGAGAACTTCTATCCCGAGAAAAAAGCGTTACACTCACATCACATTTGTTTCCCGATTTGTGCTTCAGCAACACATGCAGCGACAGGCTGTCTCAGTCTCTGCATGCCAGAGAAGACTTTGACTTACAATGCACAGATCATGAGAAATAAAAACTACATCAGCTGCATATTTTATAGAACACTAGTAGAAGTAGGCAGGAGCTCGAGCTTCTCGTCCTGAGCATCTCCGGCATGACAGAGCTTCTATGTCCTCTGTCTTGCTCGGCCTGCAACATTACGCCACGGTGCGTAAAAACTGCAACACTTTTTTCCTTGCATAAACCAACATCAGCCTCAGGTCTGGAAGTGTCTGTCAACCTGCAGCGGATCAAGTCCGTCACAGCGACCAGGCCCTCGCTCGTGTTTCGGGCGAGGTCATTGCCGAGTTTTCGCGGAATTACTTCGTCCAACTGTTCCGGCGAGTAGCCGGCTGAAGCCAGAAGGTCCTCGCACAGCTCCGCGCTCGAGCAGTCGACCACGCCAGCATATCCATATCCGCTGCTGCCCAGCCATCCGTGCCAACCTTGCCCGGAAGCGAACTGGAAAGGTACCAGACGTTTGGCAGTCTGATTCGCGTCCTGTGGCTATCCTTTGCAAACATGTCTGGGTCCTGTCCTGGCAGTCTGGAATACTACTGCGCGAGCCTGCGATGCAGCTGTTGCATTCGCATTCCCTGCGCCGGAGGAGCTTTGCGATTGTAATTATGCCTACGATCCTTCATACTTACAGAAAGTGTTGAAAAGCACGGACTCCAAGTGGGACAAACCCAAAACAAAGCGGGCGGCGCAAAGGGAGTATACCAATAGTAGCCGCCTCAGCGGGGGTAGTGAGGTCATCGTGGTTTTTTTGTCTTCGTGCCAAAAAAAGACGCGACTTCTCTGTCCACCATGCCCCCGTGAGTGATGTTATGTACGACGGCGCGGCGGTCGATAAAGAACTCGGCAACAGCTGGCCTCCCTTTGGTTTCGAATCGGGAAGCCTTCCCCGCATGATATGGCCCCGCCCTGGCCCCCGCCAGGGTTGGCCCCTTGCCCTTGGGAGCCCCAAATCGGGCCCAGAGCATGCGCGCTGGCTTTTTGCTTCTGGCGGCCTTTGCATTTTTTGATTTTTTAATGAAAGAGTCGCGCTTTTTCTTTTTGGCTTGCTTTCTGCCTTGCAAATGCCGGACTCGACTTTTGTGGCCGGCGTGGCGGCTTCAAAATGGAGGCCAAAATAAGGCCCATAGCATGCGGGCTCGCTTTCTTTTTCCCGCCGCCCCTTTTTGGGCGCCCCAAACAGCCAGAAGCCAAGGCGGTGGGCGCCTCAGAAGGGTGCCCCTTTTGCCGGCTCCCCAGCGTCGTTTTGTCAAGCGTGAGCCCATAGAATTGGCTCTGGCTTGTTTGACAATAAAGCCCCGGCCGCTTGATAAGTAAAGTTTTTCTATGTCAAAAAACACTTCCGGCCGCTTGAAAACTGCCAGCCGTCTGGCGCACTGCATGGCAAAAAAACAGCTAGGATAGAACGTTCGTGACCTCACTACATACTATTTCAATTTCTACACTTCTCCAGATGACTCAGACATAGTTGCTGTACGCGTAGTGGCGCAAACACAAACACGGTGGAGCTGGATGGCACAGCAGCATCGTACTGATCCCCGGCAGAGGTTGGAAAAATAGGGTCGTCTCGCCGATCTGATGGGAATTCGACAATGATGGCGTGTAGAGCCTCGTCGTCGTCCTGGTCAGACGCTCGCTCTAATTCGACTGGCAGTAGCACGTCTTCATCCGCAGCGGCGTGTGAGGTGGCCATCTCTTGAGCAAGGCGGCTTGCCGCAGGCCGTCGGCGAAAACAGCGGCTGGGACCTCCCACGTTGCCCACACCTGCCAAGGCCCATTGATTTCTACTCGACGTCACCAAATCGGAATCACAACCGGTATCCAAAGCGGAGCTTCGCCTGCTCCGCACCCACACTCGGACTTGTGAAGCTCGGCTGGCGACATCTTCTGCCCCCTGCGTGCGCAAGTCAGTACCTGCGTCATGGTTGCCCACCACGGGGCCCGGAACGCCCGCGAGCCGGCAGATGTCTTCGGGTTCGAGCGCTGCTGCCGCCTCAATAGCAGCTCCGTAATATGTCGCAAGAGCACCACCGCCGCCGGCGCGCACTTCGTAATACTCTCGCCTGTGGCAGCCGGCCAATTCGCACATCGCCGTGCGTGATTGACTGAAGAGCGACACGTGTCGCACGGTGTTAGGATCCGTCGCAACCAGAAACTCCGACCACGTGCCCGGGACGCGGACGATTGCCCGGGGGAAGGAAGTTCCGTGGGGAAGAAACCGCGCCACGCCCCACCTCTCATGCAAGAAGGCTGCACTCAAACTCGTACCATTGATCGGGTCGGGCAACAGCAAGGCGGGCCCCTCATCCGGGGCGACAAGAAACCCAGCTGCCGTGACTCCTTCGTCTTCGCCGTTCACGTTCTGCCGCAAATCCTCGTATCCACTGGAAATAATATCCCTGGGTCTGGAAACATGCAAGCTTTCTCATGCGCACTCGACATGACGACCCACGATGGCCGTCATTTTTATTTCTTATGCAGCCCTAGCTGCATCAGCCTCAGCGTCACAAATTTCGTGAGGGTCTCACGATGTAGCAGCTTCTTTCGTAGGAGAAAGGCCGTCTCGACGTCCGCGTAGGAGAAAGTACACGAACTCAACATCTCCTCTTGCTGCTAGTATGGAAAGCAGACTTTTTTAGAATCCAGAGACCGCATGATGATCAACATTGCATACAAGTTGCATTCTACTTCCAGACCCAGATGTGCTTGTTCTTGCATTTGATACCTCGGGCACCGGAACCACAGTGGCGACGGGACCGCGTTGCAAGGCCGTGTTGACTATGCATTGCAAATATGTAGTCCGGGTCTGGAAAGGTGCAGACTTGCCATGCATAAAAAAGCTAGATGAGATCGCGTTCGCGCCAAAATCTATCCCTTGCTAAGAGTAAAGTCGTGATGGCCAAACTATTATTCCGCAATTCGAAAGTGAAAGCCAAAAAGCCAAAAAGCTAAAAGCTAAAAGTAAAAGCTAAAAAAGTAAAAGCTAAAAGTAAAAGGCAAAGCTGAAAAATGAAAACTGCAAGCAAGAGAAAGGCAAAGCGTGCAGCAGAAGGCCAACGGCAGAATTTAAAAAACTTTTGAATTGCACAAGCAACAGCAATAGCAGGCAAGGCGGTGAAAGCTGGATAAAGAAAGCCAAAGCGTTTTCGGCGCTGACAGAAAATACGACACCTCAGGGTCAGGCTTTCAAAATCTGAAACAGCGGGCGCCCCAGCCCGAGGCTCGAGCTCGACCAGCTGCCCGCCATCAGTTCGCTATATAGCGAACTGATGGCAGGCGCCCCCCCCCCGAGGTCCGACCAGGTCCCCGGGCACCTCAGCCCGAGGCTCGACCAGCTGCCCGCCATCAGCTCGCGGTATAGCGAACTGATGGCGGGCACTCCACCCCGAGGTCCGACCAGGTCCCCGCCATCAGTTCGCTATACCGCGAGCTGATGGCGGGCGCTCCAACCCCAAATCCGACCTGGCAGAAAGAACGAGATCGACTGAAACAGCGCGGGAGTTTTTGAATTCCTGTTCTGGTTCTATTTTTTGTTTTTCGCTCTAGCGGAGTAACTTAATTTTTGGTCACACTTCTACAGGCGAAGCATACGTTGCTAGTTTGTGCTGCATGAGCAGAACCAAAAGTTGCCAACTTCTTGCTACGCTGACAGCGAACTTCAATTTTCTCTGCGTGATAGCAACGATGCATGACAATAAACCTGGGCGCGGCAGCACTCTTCCAGACTCAGACATCATATTTGCACTGGATATTGACCCTGTCAGCGTACCGCGAATCTGGACGCACGGTTGCATTCGCAAGTTGTGTCACAACGGAGACAAGACTACGACTTGAATCGGGGTCTGCGAAGCGCGGTAAGGTCTGCGCCTCATCTTCATCCACTTCCGCGAACCAGTACATTGCCAACGTATTCAGGCTGCCCACAGTCAGTCCATGACTCGCGGTGAAGGAAAGGGCGGAAACGCCCTCAAGCCCTGACACGACGACCCTACTAAAGTTGCCCGCAGGGACGCACTCGGCATCTCGCGGGGGCCGGTCCGCCCACGGGGGGGACATGTAGGAAGCCCACGCGGCGTCGCTCCGAAGAACCGGAGCTACTCCGGGCGTCAAGGTCAGGCGGAAGTCATCCAAGAAGAACATCGTATCGGCGCGCATCCTGATCCGCGATTCGTAGTCGTCGTTGAGTCGCACAACGAAGCGGTACCGGCGCAGCAGGCCGCGCGCCGCGTAAGTAGCGGATACGGTACCGAACCTCTCTCCGTCGTCCGTGGTCACGTCTTCATCTTGCGAGTAAAGGGTGCCAGCAGGATCATCTTCAAGGATTTTGACAAATAGTTCCATCCTTTTGTCAGTGTATTCCGTCGCGGACCACGGGAGCCTGCGCCCGCCCACATCTCGGACGCGAGGCACAACCACCGCCGTGAAGGAAATTTCCGCAAAAACAGGGCGATTTTGATCAATCGCATGGCCAGCAAGCCTTGTTTTCTTTGCAGGGAGTACGAAGTCCAGTGCGGCAGACGGGAACGCAACGCCGAGGGCCCATTTGTTTCGCCCGTCCGCGTAAGCCGTGGTATACTCTTCAAACCAAGCGGTCTCCGAGTTTGCCGCACTGTGCGGCGAACCTGCCCCGATGGAGGACGCTTCAGGGCGGGGGACTCCTGCGGCTTCCTCGTCGGACAACGGAAAAAATGACCATCCTGGTAAGCTGTACGAGTTCCGAACTTTCCCACCCGTCTGATACATGAACCGTTTGTCTTTACTTTGCGGCTGAAACAATCGAAAGAGACCTTCGGGTGTCATCGTGTCTGTGCGCAACGGTAGCAGCTCAAATGACGGGTTCGGTAACAGGTCGCCCGGCGCCACGCCGGGCAGCGAGGACCCGAAGTGGAAGTCATTCGCGACAGGCCGGCGGCCTTCCGCGCAGGCGCAGGCACCACCGAGCCGGGAAGTAGCTGCTGCGGCCGCGAGCTCCTTGACGCCCACACGCACTTGCATCGTTTGAGCTTGCAGCTCGGCCCAACTCGTCAAGGGCAAGTCATCTGCGTCGGAAAGCGGTGCCACTGGGCCCGACCAGAGTCCATGGGGGTACTGCTGCAGATCCGCCAGGCTGCAAATCTCGTCGCCCTCACGGGCACGGCAGGAGTGGCATGCCCCGGGACTGGTTGCGGGGTCGGGTAGTTCGGCGCAACACTCGACCCCGCAGGTCGTGTTTAGACAGTAGACCTCCGGGCGGATCACCTGGGTGGGCCGCATTGGGTCCACACCAAAAACGTTGCAGGTTCCCGTCTCCATCAAGAACTCCGCCTGGACCTTGCACTTGTCCATAGCAACGCTGCAACACAAGTCCTCGGTGCAAGCCCCGACGTCGGCGCCTGGGCACTGCTTATCCCGTGAAATCATCCGCCCCTCGCACCAATGCGGATGCAACCGTTGAAGCGCCCACTTTGCTTGCCCACAGGTCATGGGCTCCCGTTCTGGGCAGCAGGTCTGCATGGAACAGGAGTTTAAGCTGGTGGAGTAGCATCGCAGGTGCGGCTGCCACTGGCGCCGTGCCAGCTTGCAATGTTGTTGGAGGTTGCGCGCGGCCGCTTGACACATAATCATGTCCGCGCAACAATTTCCATGGCCGCAAGAGGACGCGTCTCCCGTGTCTCTCTCACAGTAGTGGTGGGTTTCGAAGGTGGTGATATTTCGGTACATTTCGGAAGACCCCGAGGTGCAGCACTGACCTGTGCACGCCTCCAGCGTTTCGCCCGTGTTGCACATGTCACTCGGCCACACCTTCCAGGACGCGGCCGAGTCTCCGTGCAGAGTCTGGCAAAGTCGCGTTGCCCTCTTTTCGTCATCCCGGGAGGCGATCATGGCGGAACAAGGGACGTTAGTACTGAGCCGCCGGCGCAGTTGTACTTCTGTGGGTCGTGCGGAGCCCGAGTCGGAGTTGTAGTATTCGTACTGCGACTTCTGCTGGTTGTTCTCGTGGTCGTCCACGACGGTGGGTCCAACCACCTCTTTTCGCCGACGCTCCAGGTCCAGCCCCGGCCCCGGGCGCTCGAATCCGCCTGTTTGTTCTTGAAAAGCGTCCTCTGTCTCCACGTCGTCGCCGTCGAGCTCGTCGACGATGTTGTTGAGGTCAACATCTTGGTCGCCGTCGAGCTCGTCGACGTTGTTGAGGTCAACATCTTCAACATCGGGGCGCGCATCAGCGTTTTCTTCGATCCTTTTCACCGGTGAATGAAAGGAGCTGCGATCTTCATCTTCACGAGCTGAGCCTAATCTTCCTCTCTTCGGAATACTCGAGGAACTGAAAGGTGTAGTCAACTTTCGGGACCACACCCCTGGGAACCCGTCTGGGACTTGCCAAGGGGGGTTTTTTCCACTTTCCACGGCTTCTCGATTTCTCTGGTGCTTCTCATCGGTCGACCGATTCTGGTAGAAGTGGGTTCCATAGAAGACTTTGTTGTGCGACCCCAAGGAAAAATTGGCACCGGGCTGAAGCAGAGGAAACCGGACACAGTAAGCGTTCTCGCTGTACTGTCGGTATTCCGAAGTGATTTCAATCGGGCCACACATGCACTGCGGGGTCGGGTGCGTCTTATTGATTGCAAGGACACCCGTTGGCCCGAGGTCGCAATCTTCCCACTCCATATTGTGGTCGTCCCGAAGGTTGCCGATGCAACGCTCCCAGGGCAGGACTGTGCGATTCGGGTCTGGGTCAATGTCCTCACCGCCCTCAACGTAGCACCAGATATCAAATAAAAAAGCTCTCGTCCACGATCACGCATGCGCATTTTTGCAATAAAAAACTGTCTGCGTTTGCCATGCGTAAAAATGCACCACAGTCAAATTTCGCACGCAATTACGATTTTCTGCCTTGTACTTGTGCAAAAAAACAAGAAGACTCTGTAACGCGAGTAAAATTTCTACATGCAAAGTCAAAGACGGAAGTTAGTGACTATGACGTCGAACTTTTTTTATTCCATACCAGAGCGTTGGGCTGTAATGCCGCGCCCGTGCTTCGTCCCGATTTTGAAGCCCCTCATTGTTGTTGTTCTTCTGTCTATCCCACGAAAAAGCTGCTTCACTGTGATCATTTTGCAAGATCAGCATCACAAGTTTCTATCTATACACATGACAGAAAAAATTTGCCATGCGCGCTTCCAAAGGGAAAACACACTTCAAGAGTCAAGATGGTCTTGCTGCGGGTATAGGAGCAAGACAAAGAAATAGTTATAGTTCTGCGTTCCATTTTATGCTGCGTCACAAGTTCAGAGTGAAACAGTTTTTTCTTGCGATAGTCTTGATACCACTGGTCCAGGTGTCTTCTCGCATCCGGGTTGCGGCAGTAGTTTCCGACCATCTTTTTCAGCTGGCCATCCATACTGCCAAGACCGGTTTCCGTCGCATTGAAATACACGTCCCCAAGACTCTGCGCTTCGGCCCAGCTCCGACACTGCTTTCCGGATTCGGTGACGGCCTGGCACCCTCGATAATTTGTCGATGTCGTTCGCCGCCATTCGTCACAACCGAACGCGTTGGCGTTGCAACAAGTGGCGCCGATCTTTTGGAAGGCCACCTCGCCGGTGGCGGCATCCACGAGCTGTGGCGATCCGTTGGGAAGGCAGCGAAAGTTGAGCAGCATGCCACCCAGCACCAAGCTCTTTGGGAGTGGCGGCGGGGGCCGCTCCACAGGACTAAACAGCACCAAGCCGTTCGGCTCGTCCATCCTCCCATCCCACTCAGGCTCGCAGTTCTCGAACAAAACGCAGCAGCGATGGTTGACGTGCGTGAGTACTACGTGTCCCCAGGGAAACAACGCGAACGCGTTGCAACGGGCGCCCGTGAGGACGCCATCAGGCGAATGATCCTGCGCATTCATTCCGAGACAGGCTTGGTTGCAGGTTGACCAGGAAACAAAGAAATCGTCCGGGTTCGGTCCGCGAAGAAGGTCGGTTTCCCCAGAAATCGGAAGGTTCCTCGTTTCGGTTTTGACTGTGCTGCCACCCGTTATTATTTGGTGCGCACACTTCCCACGCCGGCCCCACCGAGGTGTGGAATCGTTTATTCTGCGACACCGGGTACCACCAGGTAGGATCGTAGCTGGTAAATCTGGGGCGGGGATGTGCAGCAACTTTTTGGGCAATGTGTAGAAGGCCATCTGCGCGTAAAGATGCTCCGCCGCAGCATGCGACAGCCTGTGTTCCAGCTCACAGGTTCGGGTAGAATATACAATGCAGCAGGTAGCGCTCAAGCCTTGGCCTTTGGGCGACCACGTTCCTGGAACGTCGTCCCCTCGTTCGGCAGCGTCTGAAGTGCGCTCGTACCTCGGATAGGGGGGCGTCCATACAGCAAAAACGCCGCAGCCCTGCGTTGCTGCACAGCGAGCTGCGCAGCTTTCCTGCGATACCCGAAAGTTCGGGTCCCGCTGTGCGGGAGAGCCCTCGAAAAAAAGCGTGGCCTCCGTTCCTCGATCGTGCACTGCATTTAGATGGTAGTGGTCCGCAGTCACGTCTGATGTATCCAGGATGTCCGCCTGGCCGTCGCACGGACCTAGCAGTACGGATTCTGCGTTTTTTTTGCAACGAAATCCGCGCATGGACGGCACGTAATCGATCACCGGGTGTGCCTGAGTCGCAAATCGTGGCGCCGCGTCCTTGCGACGTCGGCAGTGAATCTCCAAGGAGGGACCCGAGGGGCGCGAGGTCAGCGATCCGGGCGCGCAAGCGGAGTAGAGAGCACAACCGTTTTGATTCTGCCACAGGAAGTAGTTGCAACTCCGAGAACGCGTACACGCAGCTGCGCACGCGCGTTTACTTTCGACGTGGGTCGCGTCTGCAGTCGGCCAGTTCGCAGAACCCAATACGTCCAAGTGTAGCATCTGCGGGACGGGACACCTTTGCTCTGCAATGACCAATTCGTACTGCAGGTCGCTGCAGACGTCGGGCTCCACGGGCGGGGCGGAAGAGAGGAGAATGCGAGCACTCTTCGTGGTAGATGTTGTAGAAACCACGCCGGGGTTGGCGTCCTGCTCTGCCTCAGTAGTTTCATCAGCGTCTTCGTCTTCACCAGTCGCAGTCGCGTCAGTGGCCACGTCCAGCACCTCCTGCGGTACGGCGGTCACACCAAATGCGCCGATGCGCGAAGTGCCGTCTTTCAGGAGGTCGCTGAAGAGCGTCGACCAGAGGCGGTTCGGGTGAAATGAGTTGTCTGGCTGGTAATCCTCCGCTCTATATGCATTGCAAATATGTCTGGCTCTGGAGGGTTGCAACTTGAACTTGTGATGCTATCTCTGGATTCTATTCTATAAAAAAATCTGTATTGCATGACGAGCAACAAGAGCGGTCCAGTTTGTGCTACGCGTATCGTATCGCATCGCTTTGACATTTGACTCCTGTCAGGGTGGCGCTAGAACAGATTTAGCCTCTGCCAATGCCGTGGCGTTAGAACAGATTTAGCCTCTGCCAATGCCCCTAGGTGGGCACCCGTTCCACGTCCTACAGATACCACCCGACCGCATCCGCCGAACCGTTTCCGATTTCTTACGCGTGCGTACGGCCAGTGGGCGCTAGATGTGGCTGACCTGCTTTACCATCCAAGCCCGCGAGCAAGGTGGAGCTCCAGCGTTGCCTTGTTGGGTTATTCTTACAAACTTGGAACGCTACTGCTTTTGTGGTCGGTTGCGCGCTAGATATAGGCATTTTTCATGCGGAGTAGGCATCACGGAGCCGTCTAAAAATCTGTGACGCTACGTCATGCATTACAGGCGTTATGGGTCGTCATGGAAAATCTGCATGACAAGTCTTGCAACCACCTTCCAGACCCAGACATGTTTGCATTTGATACTCTAGTGAAATGCCACACGTCTTCATCGTTGAACGAAATTCGCACCACCGATTCCCCGAGAACACCGTCAGACTGCACTGCGATCACCACTTCTTGTTGCGAAGGCAACCTGAACTTCTGGCCAGCGGACGTTGACGTCGGGTGGTCCCTGTAGTATGTGACTTCCTGTGCGGTTTCCGTATGTGTCGACCCCGCACGACTGCAGGTGAAGAATGCACGCCCACTGTGGCCGAAGTAGTACATGAAGTCTTCGAGGGCGTGCGGGTCGTACCCTGCTGTGTTCGCCAGGTCAACACTGGCGTCTGCAAAGGCGCTCTGCTCATCACGGTATCTTTGCACATACACGGAAAACGGACCTGGATGGAGCCGGATACGAATCTCGCGCCAGGCGTACCGCGCCAGGGGCGGGGAACCAGCGCTACCTTGTTGTTGGGGGAGCAGCGAACTGAACTGAAGACCGACTTGCGCTCCTGCCCGCGCTTGCTGCGATGAAGATTCGTCCTCGACGCAGTGGATGTACCCCGTGGCCGTCGCGGCAGACATCCTCTCCTTCCGCACAGCGGCGTCTTCCTCCGGCGTAGAAGCACTCGCTGCTCGCCGGTTATGAAAGTGCGCAAAAGTTGTTCCCTGCCCCTGCACCTGCTAATGCTCTCCTGATACGAACATAACTCGAGATGGAGAAATTATGCGACACGCATTGTATATTGCACAACTTTGCCACCTCGTGCCTCATGTATGCAACGAGCAGCGGAGCATACGCCTTCGTGTCGAGGAGGGAAGACAACAGGCGAGCTGCACCGAAGCGCCAATGCCATCATCCACAGGACACAAGTCCCAGGAACTTTGCCGCTCAGTCAAAGTCATGTCTTATTCTTCATGCAAAATAAAAAAAAGATAAACAGCAAGAACGCAATTGCCGTGGCCATCTCTCGCACGACTTGCGCTGCTCAGGTAGCTGCACATGATACATGTCTTATCGCATACCAAGTTTCAACCTCCAGCGAAGCCCAAGCACAACTATCAAAAAGGGCTCGAATCTGAAAACAAGCATGGAATTTTCACGCAAAAGGAGCAGGAGAAGCACAATACGATCGTCAGGCATGATGATTGCAGCTTCCGCTACGCCACCGGCTCATGGCCTTTAAAACGTGAGGACAGGAGCAGGGAATCGGAGTTGATGCGCACTCTCATACAAGCAGTCACCATCGATTTGCTTCGTAAGGACGGACACACCATCAATAGTCCACTGCAGCGGCCGCTCGACGGGTGCATCCTCGTGGAACTCCACAAATTGGGTGCCTTCGAAGGATGGGCCGCGCATGACGGAGACGTCAGAGCTGGTGGGCCAAAGGGAGGAAGACTTTCGCTTCAGGGTCCACGAAACGGCCTCCGTGAAAAAGCGCTTCTTCCAAATCTTCAGGTCTGAAGTTGTCGTAACGGGCGCGGCGGATGCACCAGCGGGTTCTTGGTGCCGCAGCTGCCACTCGGTTCCTCCAGTCTCCTGCACCTCCTCGAACCCGTCAAAGCCGTAGTACTCCTCGGACGAATGCAAAAACGGGTCGCAGTAGTCCGCGTGCACGCATCTATGGAAGTGTCAGGATCGAAATCGAAAAGGTTGAGCTACTAACTTGCCATGCATAAAATGGATGCCAGTTGGAGCCCAGTTTCCAAGAGGCGCATGACAAATTTTTCGAGCGCCGGAATTCAATCTGTCATGCTGTTTGGGCGCAGAAGACTGCTTTTGTCATGCTACTTTAGCAAGTCTATTTCAAATCCTAAACAGGCTCACAATCGGCCTCACTTGCCATCCCCGCAAGACAGACACAGGCACCCCATGCCTTACATTTTATGCATATACAAGTTCTATTTCGATTTTGTCGATTTCGGTCCTGACGCTTCCATAGCATCGCAAAACCACGTAAACGGTGCACTGCACACGGGTCAGAAACTCGACACGGGACGCATCCCGGACTAGGCCGGACACGAGCTGGACCCGGCGGTGCCACGCTCCGAGGTTGGCCTCGGCGGGCGGCAGTACCTGGTAAAACGGTGCGTCGCTAGACGCGGAGAAGCTCTTCACTTCAGTCTCTTCCGGAAAGGCTTGCGTGAGGTTTCGCCAATGCCACCCCTCGGAGGTCAGCCTCGCCTGCCGCAGATTTATCTCGTCAAGATCCACATCCTCGAAGTCAAAGCTCGTTGCGGTGTACATGGCTTGTCGAAACTTGGAAATATGGACCACCGGCTGGAGAAAATTCTTTCGGCTGCCCTCCACGGCGCGAATGGGAAGGTCGGCCACAAGTCCAGCTGATGAAGCGTGCGACCCTCCGCCTAGTTGCGCGCCACCGACGAGAAAGCTACCTAGGCGCTCGCTCGAACCGCGCACCCAGCCTTCTAGAGGCTCCGCCTTGCAGCAAAATGCGCTGCTCATACCGATACCGACGTCCGCATACTGCGAGATACACCGCTGAAAAGCTGAAGTTTTTAGCTCAGAGGGAATGAGTGTCATCACGGTTTTGGGAAAGGGCGCCCAACCGTTAAAGTTGTTGTCGCACATTGCGTTCGGGGTGGTAGACGCGGCCATTGAGTGCACGACAAACGAGTACAGGCTCGCTGATTCCCAGCTGGACGACAACGACGAGGAAGGCACGTTTATTCCATCTTCGCTGCTGGTGAAGTGGTCGAATCCCGCTGCATCCAGGCGATGCACATCCGCGCGGAGGAAGGTTTCGTAGCTCGTCAAGGTTGACGCTGCGGCGCTGCCGAGATCTTGTTCCGGGTTTTGCTGATCAACACCAAGAAGCGCCCCGCGACCTGAACCAGCAAGCTGTTGCACGGTGAAGGTGAAGCAATCCGAACTGAATCCCTGTACGCGCATCAAGAAGCCCGCGCAAGAACCCGCCGCATCCTCTCGACACCTGATCGCGCACTCGGTGGCGGTTTCCACGGCGGAAATGCTGGAGGAAAACGAAGAGCCGAACACTGCGGCATCAGGGGTGTTTTGCTCGTGATCCCAAAACAGCTTGCGGCCCGTGTTATCCAGGGGCCACCCGCTCCCCACGCGATAGAATCCGAACACGGGAGCGGCGACAAGGGCCGACGAGACGTGATGCCCAACCACGCGATAGCAATGTCGCTCCTGATCCTGTCCGCTTCCACTGGCATCAGTCCACGAAAGCAACCCACGAAAGAACCGACACGTGCCCCGCACCGGACCTTGACCCGTAAACCGGTCAGACGCAAAGTACGTGAATCCGGAGCATGCACCGGTCCCAAACGCAGTGACAAAATCAGCACAGAGTTGCATGCACGTCGCTGGGTTGCCGGACGTGGAGTAGGGTCCCTGGAGGTCATCGTCCTCGACCAAGTCGTCCGGATAGTCAACCAGAGTTGTCGTGCGCCTGATGAGCGGTGGGATCGTTCGCCAATCATTGACTTCGCCGCCAGTGTCAGCAGGAACCAAGACTTCCAGGTCGACAAGCGCGCTCATGTTCAGGATTCGTGTTCCACTGCAAGCGGAGTTCGTTTCTACGTGCCAGTGCAGCGCAGTCCCGAGCCCCACGAAGGCGCCTGCGTTAGTATCTTCCACCGCGGTAGAGACCATCGTAGAGGAGGAAGACGAGGAGCCCCCCGCGCGTTGTTCTTGTTCCTCCGTCGTTCTGCCGAGTGCTGCAGTTGTGCCGGTTTTCACGTAACAAGACTTCTTGCCGGAGGCGCTACTGGCGGTGTACTGCACGTCTTCACTTGTGGCCACCGACGTGGTGGTTGTTCTACTGATGTCGACTTGACGCATAAGCCTCACTTTTGTTCCACCACGGCAGGAGGCCGAGGACGGGGAGGACCCGCTACCCACGGTAGTGTCTTGGCTTTCGGTTTCGCCACCAGCTTGCTGTGCGTCGACGTCATCTTCTGTATACTCGGCTTCGTCGGACCAGCTCGTGAAACCGGCGCAGTCAGAGTAACGGTTGCACAGAAGCTGCCCCTCGAGTGCGGTCATACGTTGCCGAGTTACTCCAGCGCAGGAATTTCCCTCGGCGTCGTCCACGTCTCCGTCGAGCACCACGTTGCGGCACGCAGGGTAGCGGGCATCGAATGGGGTCGCGCACAAATAGCCCAGCTTCGTCGCAGCTGAAGTTGTGCCACCCGGCATCGCATCAGGAGACGCCGAGCACTCCACGCCGAGGACGACCTCGTAGCGCGGACCGTCTGCTGTGGGGAATGTAGGAGGAGGGGACGAGCTCCCCATGGTGGAAGCTGAGAAACCCGGCCACCAGGGAGCGTCCGCCGCACCGCAAGAGCGGGAGCCTCCCACTTGGCCATGCCGGAGCAATTCGAGTGCCAAAGCGGACAGCTCTCGGTCTGGGGTGCAAAACTCGTCCGCAGCGTCACCGCGCGGACACTGCGTCCATTCTCGCCCGCTACTTGTCACGCAGTGCCCCTTGCCTTGCGGTGGCAGTTGGTCGGTCATCGGATCAGACAGGTCTAGGCTGCGATAGCATCGCCACTCGTAGTGCTTGTGATTGCCGTCTGCGTCGGCAATAGCGACGTGGCGGGCGTACGAGAGCACGGAGAGCACTGTGGAGCACTCAGACTGCTCGAGGTACTCGTCATTCTCAAGACTTTGGCAGTATGCGTCAAGACTCTCCTGGAGATTGCAAGACTGCGACGCCAGATCGTTGAAAAATAATGAAACCTCGTCCTGTAGTTGCGGACTAAAAAAATCCTCGCGCCCGTCTTCAGTGTCCTGTTGAAACAAAGAGCGATGGCGCGAGGCCCCGGAGGACTCGTGGAGCTTCCTGTTGCCGGTGGTGTCCTCTTTGCGCATGCTCTTGAGCTTGTCCTTCTTGTGACTTTGCAGCATTCTTGGTTGCGCTTTCGTACTACCAGGAGACTTTTTTCTTCGTCCTGCTCGTAAATCTCGAAGAGAAAGAGATGATCTTCTTTGCTTTGCTTTTCTAGGCGGCCACGAAGTGGTAGAGGACTCCGCAACTGCGCGACGTCGAAAGCCTTCATCCTGCGGTGCTTCCAGGAAAAATGTGCTATCGCCATTGAGCAAGCTTTCTGCAGAGCTGAGTGACGTAGACGAAACCAGAATACCGGTGCGGTTATTCAGCGCGTCCGTGCCGGAGTCGACGCGATACAGGGCATCGATTGGTCCCATCCGGGATTGCGAGCCGCCCACAGGCCAGGCGAATACGGCGTCAAACTCGTGGTCGAGCGGGTCGCGCCAGGTGGTGTCGTAGAGCGTTGCTTTTGGTTTTCCCGTGCTGTCTCCGACGACGAGGCTCAGGTAGGACCCATACCGAAGGTCGTCCCACACCCCCGCGAGCTGCGCCGCACCCCAGTCGCTCTCCTGCGGGAGGCAATCTGCGCAACAGAACCCGTGTCTTTTCATGTACACGGACCCGTCGGCAAATCGCAGCTCGGGGTGGCCATACTCCGCCGCACACAGGAATGCGGCGTACGTGTTTCCTACAAAATTCTGGCCACTGCTGGGGTTGGCAGCGGCATAAGCCTCCAAAATGCTCTCGGCGGTACTGTGGTCAAACTCGAGCCGATCCTTCATAGCTCGCATTATCGGGAGTTCCACGGCTGCCTCGGTGTTCTGAGCGGTGCAAGAAAACTTTCCGATGGCCGCTATCGCCTGACTTTGTTCACTTTCAGTAGACCACTCGTCGAAGATAGTAATCGTGCAATACCGATTGCGCAGGTTTCCGTGTCGCCCTTGATCTACGTCATTCGGCTTTTGGCGTCGACCACTTGGGTGGTCGAAATTAGTGTCTCCAGTGTGGTGTCCCTGGTCCTTCCGGTCATACACCCGTTCATACTCGCCAGCGTACCGGTCCGCGATTCCGGCAGCTTCAAACTGCATTTGGCATTCTCGGTACCTCGGGGCTTTGTTGGTCGACAAAGAGCAACTCGTATCCAAGGAAAAAAAAATGCTCCAGTGACACACTGGCTGCAATTTCAGCAAGAAGCCAAGATAAGAACACCAACACAAAGTTGTCCTGCATATACAAAGAAGACTTGCAGCTGCAATGCGAAGATCATTATCATAGAAAAAACAAAGGAACACGCATGAAAAAACGAGGCTCGCACGCATTTTTTGCTTCGCAAACGTTAACTCTCTTGCTTGTCATACAACACATCAGGGTGTAACAACTGTAACATTTTTTTCGCGCGATAACTTTCCGGATACTTCGGGCAAACTGCTAATTCCGTCGGGCAGCACGTCTCCACGCTGCACGAGGAGGGCTCGTCCGTTGCGCAGAAGTTATCCAAGAAAAAAGTGTGCAAGTGTATGTGTAAACTTGTGCTTTGGATGATGCAAGACTGTCGCACCTGTTATGCTGGATATGCATCCTAGGTCAGTTCAACTGACTCAGATGCATGCGTGCTGTTTCCACGTACTAGCTGCGCGTGAGACAGGTTTCCTCTGTAATGCAACACGAATTTCTTGTTCTTGTAGAAGTGATGCAGCTGCTTATGAACATGATGATCCGATGGAACAACAGGTTACACTAACACAGTTTTTTTCTTGGATAGAAGTTATTCCAGTTGTAATAGCGCTTGAAGACGTTGCCCCCGTTTTCGTGCGGTTGGCACTGCGTTGGGTCGTCGCGCACGAATCGGAGCGTGTTCCTGTCATTGTACTTCACTCTGTCATTGCAAGAGAAGCGCGGCACGCAACAGTCTTCCTTCGTGCAGTTACGGGCGAACGGACCCCAGCACAGGTTTGTCGGCTTCAAGTACTCCGTCACAGGATCGCAGGTGACCAAATCGGCAGCTGCCGCCTCCGCGCAAGAAGCGAGTGGCATCGGGCAGCACTGTTCCTCGGTGCAGGAGGTCGTACTGTCGTTCGCACAGCGCTGCAGGTGGTCCGCATGCGTGTTGTTCTGAAAGTAGTCAAGGAAGGCTTTGCGAAAGTAGAACTTGTCCGAGTGCGTATACGGAAGATGGCTCACGTACCTGTTCCCGGGACCGTGTTTCTTCCAGTACCTCCGGTCGATATTTTTGATATAAACCGTCTGGTCATTCGTCAAAAAGAAGTGCGGGTTTGCGGCCATCTCGAGGTAGATTCTGGTCCAATTGTGCGCATTCAGTGGCAGCGTACTGGCGAAGTTTTTAAAGCGACGCCCCGCGTCGCAGGAGTGTTTTAGAAGAACCCTTTCAGTCCCGTTTAAGAAGAAGTCCGTCGATCTGTTCGCGGCGATTTGTTCCAGGCTCGGATTCCTCGTACTGTGGGCCGACCGTAGGTCGATCGTGCGGCTGATGTTCCGGTGCACTGCGGCCAGTGGCCGGATCACGTCGCCGGAACACACGCGCTGCGGCGTGCAGCACTCCTCCGGCGCACAGCTCTCGATGCTCCAGTGGCGGCAGAACTTGCGGGTATCTAGAAAGTGGTGCCGCGGGCAGATGACATTTGTTTCTGCAGTGCAGGGATGGAGGGGCATCGGACAGCAAGTATCGACTGTACAACTCTCCATCGTGCTCCCGAAGCAGAATCTGGTAGCATTGAAGTACTGGCGCAACTCAGTATTGCAGTGCTGCTTCAGTCGCACGACCGGTTGCAACACGTCCGACAAATCAGCTGCTCCCACCCACAACACCTCCGCCCGTTCCGCCACGGCAATATCCGGCTGGGTTGCCAGAAGGCTGGGCACTACGACGGCCGCCGTCGCCAGCTCGTTCTGCCCCGATGCGATTATGGGCCCCTTGTAGCGCGAGGGGGTGGTCGTGGTCGTTGTAGAGCTCGTAGTTGTGGTTGTCGTTGTGGCGGCTGCAGCTCCACCACCCATTCCCTCCATCCCACCACCCATTCCCTCCATCCCACCACCAGGTGGATCACCCATCTGCACACGTCGTCGCAGCAACGGGGGTGACAAGTCAACGTCCTCGGTGGATAGCAGCTCTGCGGGGTAATCGGCTGGCAGTGGAAATTTTTCCAGCACACTCGTTAGGGGGACCACCACGCGCGGCCCCTGGCCACAAGTTGCCGCCAAGGGGCAGCAAACGTCGACGGAGCAGGACTCCTCATTCCAGGAGGTGCAATTGGCCTCCCTCACGAAGGGACGCTGCTCCCAGGGGTGTGCCTGGTGACGCAGTTTGCAGTCTTCGATTACCCGTTGGGAGTCGGCGCAGGGAAAGCGAACAAACTGGCAGCAGGAGTTGAGATCCCTCTCAACGGTGCAGCGGTCCGTGGTGCAAACTTGATTGGAGCGGAACTCGGTAGCTGCATGTCTTGCTTTCGCGAGCGCTGTGCACTGCGCAAGCATCGCCGTCTTCACGTCCGCTTCCGCCTCCCCACAGCGCTGCCGCCGGGGGCAGCACTCGTCTGCCTGGCAAGTTTCTCCGCGGCAGGTGTGCGCGGCGCGGAAATATCGCTTGCTGTCGGCTTGCTGCCGGTCCGGGAACAACCGAGGGTCGTCCAGCGCCCACAAAACGCCGCGCGTTCCCGGTGCGGACTGTATAGAGGGGAAGTGAAATAAGTGAATGCCCTTCGTCGCCGCACGAAAAGTCCGTCCTTTATGCACATTTTCCTCGATCAAGCGGGAAATGCGCACAAAGGAGCACGGGGCGTTATTTTGCAACTTGTCATGCACAAAAAAGCTGTGCACACAGGATCAGGAAGGACGAATCTGTCACTGTCCCTGTCTGGAACTGGTGGATCCTTTCTGCATGACAAAATCAAAAAGCTAGTTTTTTGCAGAGATCAGTCAGCTCCAGTATGCGCTTTGGAGTAGCTACCAGTTTCGGCACACATTTCGCAGCATAAAAGTGACGCCCATACTTAGACTTACACCTCGCCCTGGAAGTAAAAATATTCTTTTTGTTCCTCGCTTTGGGGGTACGGATTACCGAAACCAATACAATGTGAATATGATGATCATGATCACGATCGCACTGAAAGACAAAGAGTAAGCGCAAGGACACTCACTTAATGCCCTCCTCCATAAACTGCCGCGTATCCGTGCAGTTCCACGCTTCCAGCTGAGGTGGAGGCACCTCGCGGCACTGCTGCCGCACCCGGCAGCACTCTTCTTCGAAGCAGCCCGCGCCGTGACACAGGTGATCCGACGCGAAGGTGTAGAGGGTCGGAAGGTGCAAATCCACCGCAGAATCCAGCGCGTCATCGAGGAACTCCAGGTCGTCGTCGTCCGCTTCATCGCTCGGCGTTGTCGTCGTCGTCGACGGAGGGGCGGGAATACCCGGCGCAGGCTGCAGAACCACTCCATCGGACATGGCAGCCCCACTTTCGTAGAGCGCGCCGATTTCCAACGGCGAGAGGCTGCGGGCAAAGACGGCCCAAGACGCAACTTCGCCGCGCAGGAACTTGCAAAAGGTGCACGTCCCGTCCGCAGTGACGGCCCGATACCCGCCCATCTGCAGGAACGCATCGGCTCCCTCGACGTGTGTGGCGGGGACTGTCGCTGGCGTCTGGCTCGAGATCAGTTGCCCGTTGATGTACAGCGTGTTTGCGTTGGATGCGGGGTCGTACGTGGCAGCAAGAAAATACCAGTCGCTACCCTCTGACGAAACGGGGGATGTCAGGTCGGGGAGATTCTCCACGACCGCGGATACGCGCCACACGTCGAGGTGGAGTTCGACGCTTTGACCACTTGTGGCCACACTGAGATAGTACTGCGTGTTTCCAGTCGCTGGAGAACTCGGTCCATACCCGAAAACCTGTCCGTGCACGCTCTCCGCCGGAGCACCTGCGTATGCATTGCAAATATGTCTGGATCATCTGGACGAAATGGTGGAATCAATGCAGCAATAAAAAAAGGCAAAGAATTGCGTGGTCGTGCCAATAAAAGCTGTCGCCCATAATTTCGGGGTCGTGCTACGGGAAAACGAGTAGCGAGCCAGCGAGCCTCTGGCACTGCTCATTTGGGTGGAGAGGCATCGAGAGCCTGGAAAAAAACTCGTATTGCCTTTGCGTCAAAGTAGATTCCAGACGATGATGAATCAGTGTGAACATAAAAATAGTGATCTTCGAACAAAGAAGGTGCATGACAACAAACACGCACGCCGCAATGAGGTTTCAGACTCTGACTCAGACATATTTGCGTTTGGTACGGCGGGGGCACCGTTAAGTTTGAACCAGCCCGCCAGGGTTCTCGCGGCAGCTCCCCCGGGTATCTGATAGGGATTCATGCCCTCAGCGTCCACAATCGGGGCGCGGCAAACCCCGTCTTTTTCAAAGCGCAACACCCCAAACTCCGTTCTTGTCCCAGAGTGGTCGACTCTTTCCGAGGTGCCCCAGCGTGACCCCAAGTGCTGCTCCATCCCGTCAACGCAACTCATGTCTGGGCCGATGCGTCCGCGAATGCGGTTCTCGCCGTCGTCACTCTGAACATACGCTGTCTCCTTGTCGAGCACGTAGAAGGCGACTGCTCCCGGGAGAATCTGGCGCTGCTTTCGGCAGAAGACGAAGTTGGTCGTGTAGGGCAGGGAGTACGTTTTGGTATTGTACAGGATGCACTTGCCTTGTGCGCCGACGCCGAAACCGAACTCGTATGCTTCACAGTCCGCCTTGTTGTTGCACCTTACTGCGCACGCGCGCGCGTCGTTCACATCGCGACCCTGCACATCGCCTCCGTCGATCACATCCGATCGCTGGGATAGGTCCGCATCGTAGTCTTGGTAGCTGTGTTATGCACTGCAAAAGTATCGTACTCGTGCTCGTCGTATCAACGCATATACAAATTTTCTCAGCATGAGAACTGGATTTTGTCATGCTGTTTTACTTTGAGGACAAGGTTTGTCATGCATAGTTGCAAGTACTACGAGTACGATAGCGATACGTTTGCAATGCATATGTGTTCCCCCCCGCCAAACGGATCCGCGTCGCCGTTACCGAATCCTTGGTCCTCGCGCGGAACGAACGCATACGCGAACAAGGCTTGATGTTGCTCGGCAGCATGAGATGCCAGTGCTCCCTGGTCGTCGCAGGTCTCGGGCCCGGGTCCTTTCCGGAGGTAGACAGAAATGGCCCATGCTCCGCCACACATGCCATCCTCGGCTGGATCGTCCCCACCAGCGCAGGGTCGGCAGGTATATTCCGGGCCGCCCCGCGGCAGTCCCGTGCCCGAGTCCGAACCAGCGCCGTAGTATCGCGTACCGTGCAACGGCTCTCGTGTAGTGGAATCTCCCGGGCTTCCCCAAAAGTAGGACCACGAAAGGCTGTTTCCATTCTGGATGCCGAAGAAGGCAGGGCCGGCTGCCGGTTGATCTGCTCCTGCTGTGTTGATGGGCGTGGCCGCAGTCCGCGCCGCTGCCCGATTCACGGACACGAGGTCACCCACCCCGTTATTCACCGCCGCTTGAGTGTACCCGTGTTCCTCCGCCGCGTGATAGTCGAACACCAGTGCGTTATCCAGCCAACCCATGGCCTGTTCCTGGCTACTTGCGTCTTTTGTTCTGTAGCACCCTACATAAGTGTACTCGCTTGATGACGTTTGGCTTGCGTCAGGCGTGGTCAAGGCTCGACCCGTCGTCCGCGCCGAGAAGGGTCTGACATACGCTGCCGCTGTCTGATGTTGAGTGCTGTATTTTTTCTCGGAGATCTGTTCTTGATCATGAGCACGTGTTTTTCGGTTGATGTCCACGACGTCGGGCCTTCGGCTTCTGGAGTACAAATTCCCGTTTACTACATAGTCACCATTTCTTCCATCAAGTACAACAAGTTTGGACGGCGACGAGGCGGCATTTTTCATCTTCGAGAGCTTAAAACCCCGTTGCGGTAGTTCTTCCGTAAGTTCTTCCGACTCGGCCTCGGCACGGCTTTTTCTGTTGTTGTTTTGATGCAAAAGTCCTCCAGTTACAACCGTGCTCCGTCTACTTTCCTTATTTTCGTTGGTCCCGCTCTTTTCCTTTTCGTGAGATCGTTGAGCCAGCATAGGACGTTTGGTTTCTTCACGAGAGTCTCCTGTGCTTTCCTGCAAAAGAAGTCTCTGGCTTGGTTGTCCCAGATCAGACACTCCTGTTCCAAGACGGATGGCGCAAATCAGCGAGAAAGCTGATTCTGCTACTGCTGATACATTGGCAGCTATCGCCAGTACGCCCCTGTCGGCGTCGATTGAATAATATCTTCTACATACTGTTTGCCCGTTAGCGCTTTCCTGCCACTCGTACATGGTGCATGCGGGGTGGTTGTTGCACTTCTGTGCGCAGACACCGTGCCGCAGGTTCATGTACTGTCTGCGAGTTTTTCTACTGTTTGGATCGAAAGTGTCTTCGTCTACCCGGTTCTCATTTCCGGTTTTTAGCGCGCCGCCCTGATCCACGTGGCGGCACGCTGACGAGTAGTAGCGTCTGTAACCAGCGAAGGTAACGCTGATCATAGAAGGCCGCTCCCCGTCCGTCGCGGTATAGGTTTGGGAAGTCGGCTCCGCTACTGGCGCGTAAACGGGAGGAAGCGCCATGTAAAAGTCATGCGGTCCGCGAGGTTGGTGCTCGAGCGCTCGTTCGTCTTCTACAAAGAGCTGAAGGCCGCACCAGCATATATATCTCTCTTTTTCCGGATCGCCCACGAAACGCATTTTAGACCCTAAGGGTGGCAGGTTGATCCACGTTCCCGTGGTGCTCAGTGTCGGCACGGAAGCCACCGTCGTTACGTCATCCACACTAATCGAATGATTTGCCCCCAACTGATGGTTACCAGGCTCTCTGCGTGTCAGCGTCATCCCGAGAAAACGCCGCGTTGGTGGAAATTCGATCTGCCAGTACAGTTTGTTCTCGCTAGCGTCGTCGTCCCGCATTGCTACGGGGCAGTTCTGTTTTTCCCAGTCTAATTCTGGACTAGGCGCAGTGGATACGTCAAGTGTCTTCTTGCTTTGTTCGACGGTCTGCAAGCTTGTCCGCCACGCTTTCGACCAAGACACGGTCACAGCGTCGATTTCTGTCCTCACCCGACGAAAGGGAGTTGGTCGGCGCCAGACTTCGACCTCGTAAAACGTGAGACTGCGATTGCTTCCTGGGGCTCCCACCGTGATAATCTGTCCCACGGCCCCGCCGCAGTCCACGCGCAGCGTGGACTCCAGTGTGTCCTGCACGTCCTCGTAGGTGATCTTGCCGCAGCGCCAACCCGAGTACAGCTGGGTTACTGGGCACCTACTCTTCTTGTCCCCTACCCAAACCTATCAAATGCAAATATGTCTGGGTCTGGAAGAGTGCAAACTTCTTTATGCATATCTTCCATGCCCCATAAGGTTTGGAATGCAGGACCTAGCATGCCAGGTTCTCCTGCGACGTCTCTAGCTCTACCATGCCTATCCTGCATCACAAACTGCCTCTAAACTTGTTCAAAAGTGGACAGCTTTTGGTAGTCATGCAACACAAATTTTTGTACGATCCAGACTTAGCATAACAAGTTCGCGTCCCCCCAGACCCAGGCAGACATATTTGCAATGCATAAAACCTCGATTCCTTGGTCGCACCGGGCGGGGTAGCGCGAGCAGTCATGTGGGGTCGGGTTCTGGCCGTCCGGCCCAACCGTCATGTTGGAGAAAAGAGCGTGGAAGGCCCGCCTGGTTTCCACGTGGTTCGGATCGTGAGGGGAGAACCGGTGGGGACGGGGATGTAGGTGTAACACGACGTGGCTGATGGATACTGGCGTCGCGTACTCCTGAGTTAGCCGCGCCCCCGTTCCAAAAATGTGGCACGGCGTCGTCAAATCCTGGTCGACGCAGGGCACAGCGCCGCCAATCCCGGCAGTGGGCCTGGTGTCGAATTTCCCTCCCTCGACTGGCCGCGGTAGTAACTCGAGTTCCATCGCGGACTTGACGTAGCAGGTGCGGGACGAAAGCTCCGCGGTTGCTGCGTCTTTGATGGTCGCGATACCGGCAAGGCCCTCGTTGTTCCGTTCGAAGATTTGCAGGCAGCGCGGGAGGAGCCCCTCGGCGTCGTTGCCGCTAGCGAAGGTGACCCCAAGGCAGTCGGGGTCTGCCAGACATTCCTCGTTGCAAGAAGTGTCCGTCTCTGCGTCGCTGGAGGACTGCTCAGCGAACACTACGTCGTCGATGACGGAGGTCGCGGTCGAGGATGAAGTAGAGGCCGCACAGTCCGCTTTGTAGACCCCGACCATGCGGTGTTCCACGGGTTGCTTCTGGTAACAGCGCGGGGTGGTCAAGACCGGCCGACCTCCGTTGGTTTCGTTCAGCACTGGTTCACTTCCCCGCAACACGGACCGTATTTGCAGGCCGGGTTTCCCGAGCGCGGCACGATTCACGGACTCCAGGACCAGTGCGCAGCGCCCTCGGGGGTTCGCTAGCGGCGACAGATCCTCGGTCTGGTTGGTCGTGAACTCGATGGCGAGGCAATCGGGCCGCGAAAAGCACGCCGCTCCGCACACCCGTAGACGGCACAGGCCGTCGGAGTCGGCGTTGTTCGCGGCCTGCGAGGTAGAAGTAGTTCCACCCGCATTCATCTTCTTCACTGCTCTGCCGGTGCTCTCCAGCGCGGAGAGGTGGTCGTAAATTGAGTCCGTCGCGGTTGGCGAGAGTCGCGGCAGGTCTTTGAGATCGGACGCGATCAATGGCTGCAAGTGAAAGTTCTTGACCGAGCCAGTTTTGAGGTACTCCACGCGGTGGCAGCGATTCGCCCCCATCCAGTGCAGGTTCCAGTCCTTCCACAGCATTTTGCGGTGAATCCATCCCGCCTGGCCGTAGGTCGCGTGGTGGTCGACAAGTGCGGTGCAGGTATGGTACTGGCGGCACACCACGGGCGGGTGGTGCGTGTAGTCAACCGCCCGTACGTCCGCGGTTTCCAGGTTGCGGTACTGGTAAAAGTTGCAGTCTTCGTGGCGGTCGCACCAGAGTTGGCACGCGCGCCTTGACGCGAGAGGAGAGCCCGGCAGCTCCGGCGGTTCGTTATAGCCGCGCTTCTCGCGGATCGCACCCTCCGCGCACACCCCGTCCCCGGGGGGAAAAGCGGGTTCGTAACGGTACTGCACGGCGGGGCCGCGGGTAGTGGTGGTGGTGGTAGTGGTGGTCGCGGCTGCGGCCCAGGGGGCCTGGTCCCGGAGCGGCTCTCGCTGCGCATACAACAGAAAACCACAGATGTGTAGCCTCATCTCGGTGTTTTCCACCGCCGCAGGCAGCGTCATGTTCAACGTAATGTTGCTGAAAACTTTCCGGTGAAGAAAAACGCGGGTTCCGTCAGGGCCCTCGTCGACCACGCTGCTGGCCTGAAACTGCGTCACATACTGATTGTCCACAAACACGCTTACCACGCCGTTTGTTGTGGCCAATGCGCTATTCGCCTGCTGATCTTTTCGCCCCCAAATGCGAAACCACCGCACGTAGTCAGGGTCTCCGCCTAAGCGAACCGACCAAGTGAAGTTGCGCCCTGAGCGAATCTGGCCCGTCGCACTGCACGTGTGATTCCCAATAGTAGTCCCGTCAGCAAGCTTCCCCAGCGTGGTGGCGCGGAGCCCGATACTTTCGTTTGCTCTTTGGTCGAGCAGCAGAGCGGTACGGTTGAACAGCAGTGGCTTCATTGCTTTGCTGTTACTCAAGGTCACATTGTGACCCGGGGAGAAAGGATGTTGATACGCCGTGAGGTTGTCCATCATCCGATGTAGCTGCTTGACGCAGGAGCGGACGCTGCGCTGACTGTGCCGCGTGTCATTGTGCGCGTTAGCTGCGACGGGCCGCGTCCAAGTTCCCTTCGGCACGCAGTTATTTTCGGTAGAGTTTGCGGAGCGGAGAAAGACGACGCCGACACAAGGCTCCGGCCCAGACCAGTCCGCGCACAGGCTGACGCACTCTTCGAGATTGGCCCAGTGTCCGGGAAATCGGCCAAACAGACCGCCGCCGTCGATACTGCCACCCGGGTGATCCGTTTCCATCTCGGGCGGAGGACAGACCAGGTGCACGTCCACCTCGGCCTGCCATGCCTCCGTCAGTGCCTTTTGGACTCTGTCGGCGTCCACCGTGCGGAACATCGGCGCCCCCCCTGTTGTTGCGCCCCCACCATTGCCCGACGTGTACGCCGCGCTCCCGCCCACGGAAAACGTATGACCTTGAAGCGGAAACCACGCAACCAGCCCCCTCGCGGCGGTCCCAGTCATATCCTCTGGGCGCAACGCCAGAGCGTAGTCCCGGATCTGCGTCTCCGTTCGGAGAGTACTCCAGAGACGCACGTTAAAAAATTGGTCCTCGGGATCCACGCCGTGACCGAGGGTCGCATAAAATTTGACCTGGCGAAAACCTGGTCCATCGGTTCTCGTGCCATCCAATTTTCCGTTGATGTAGAAGTTGCCCATATTTTCGCCTAGCTGGTACGCGACGTGCTGCCAGCGTCCTGTCATGAGACAACTCGATTGAAAGGCACTACCTACGACCAAGACTTTCCAACAACTCCAACCGTCCGGTCTCCAAATTTGCAATCCGGCGCTGTCATCGAAATCACTCTGGCCGATTACATTGCGGACTGTGCGGTTTGCGGAATCCCGGATGTAAACCCAAGCCTCCACGGTAAATGTTCTGTTCTCGAATAGCAGCTGGTGGCTCGCGGAAGCTACGTGGACTCGGTCGGTGCTGCTCATTGCGTAGAGTGGGGCGGTTCGCGGTGGCGGCAGTAGCAGGTCACGCGTAGCCGCGGTAGCCTTCAGCTGCACGCAGCCTTCGCCGTCGTTTTTCGTATCGTCTTCGTCAAAGTCAAGCGCGCACATTCGCCATCTCTTTTCCGTGGCGTCCTCCGCACTACAGGGGCGGTCCTTATGGAGCACGGCACAGCTGTCGCCATGTGCCACGCACTGGTCCTCTGCGCGCTGGATATCGGAAAAAGCAAGGACAGGTGCGCAGCGGAGGTGATGAGGGTCCGAGTGCGCCGGAATCGGCGGACTGTATCGAGCAGGAGCGCGCATGGCGCAGCGCCCGCGGAACACATTTGGCATGGTCTCGCAAACGTCCCGGGGCCGGCAGCACTCTTCTCGCCGGCACTCATGTGTCTCGCAGGTGTGTTCCCCCATGTATGCTTCGGTAGCGTTATTGCAGCGCCATTCCTCGACCGCGACGTCAACAACAGCACCGTCGTGCCCATTCCAGTACCGCTGCGACCCGGGCACTTCCTTGCACTTCTGACGGGCGCGACAGCACTCTTCCGGTTCGCAATTCGTTGCGGCGCAGATGGTTCGTGGCGAAAACCAGTGAGTAAAGTTGCTTGGAGGACAGTCAGCTGCTAGATGCAGGTTCTGCTCCTCGTCGCACATGCTGCGTGCCATGCAGCAGTCTTCACGCCTGCAGATCGCATCCGTGCCCTCCGGTATGTCCACTTTGCAGATGTATCCGTAAAGAAAGTAGTCACTCCCTGAACAGATCAGCTCCTCCGTCATCAGATCACACCGCTGCCCCTCGTAGCAACACTCAGACTCCTCGCAGATGTCATTGGCGCACAGAATATCGGGTTTAAAGTACCGAAAGCGATTGTTTGCGTCGCACTGGGCCTCGTGCGCGGACTCGCGGCACAGCTGTCTTGTGCTGCAACACTCCTCAAAAGTGCACTCGTCCCCGATGCAGGTTCGGGACTCGTTGAAGAAGTACATGCCTTCCGGGTAGGCTGCGGTAGCGAAAAATTCATTTTTGCAGCCGCGAAGGCGCGTGTCATTCTGGGGAACATCCGCACAGGTTGTGGCGGGCTTACAACACTCGTCGAGGGTGCATTGCTCCGAGTCGCACAGGGCTTCCGGCCGAAAAATCCAGTTGATACGGTCCGAGTCGACCGGCTGGACCAGTGACGAGTAGTCCGAGCCCTCATCGAGTCCTCTTCTCGTCGCAAATTTTCGTTGGGGGCTCGTCCGCAACACCTTGTGGTCATCCCCGTGATGATGCATGAGTGAACGACGGCGGAGAGATGAACGAGAAGGCACCACACCGAGGAAGTGGCTATGGTCCTCCTGTCCCGTTGTGTGGGCGTACTGCTTCATGTCGCACTGAACGCGGAGCTCCGTGCTTGCGCCACACATTTGCTTCTGCCGGCAACATTCGGGATACTCGCAGTAGTGCTTGTGACAGGTGAAGTCTGGTGGCGACTGGTAGTACGAACGGTAGGGTTGCCACCTGCGTTCGACCGCGCTTTGAAGTCCCCGCGCTGGACTTGGCAGTTGCAGCGGTGGCCCGGCCAACCAGTCGTTACGCTGGGACCAGCAGATGACCGTGAACTCAACTAATTCCGGCTCTTTGGCCGGGCATGTATTGTTCTCATCAACCTCGTCGCAAAGCGTTGCGTTTGTGTTGTTCTTCAAGATCATTGCGCTGGGAGGTTCTCCAGTAGTTTCATCACCTGCACCTGCGTCCGGCGCAGGTCCTGGTGTACTGCCGTCACCTGCAGCTGCGTCCGGAGCCGGTCCTGGGGTACCTCCATCACCTGCAGCTGCGTCCGGAGCCGGTCCTGGGGTACCTCCATCACCTGCAGCTGCGTCCGGAGCCGGTCCTGGTGTACCTCCATCACCTGCAGCTGCGTCCGGCGCAGGTCCTGGTGTACCTCCATCACCTGCAGCTGCGTCCGGCACAGGTCCTGGTGTACTGCCATCACCTGCAGCTGCGTCCGGAGCCGGTCCTGGTGTACCTCCATCACCTGCAGCTGCGTCCGGTTGAGGTTCTGTAGTTTCATCACCTGGTCCAACCGGAGTGGGCGCCGCGGCGCCGCTCTCTTGTTGCGGCAGCACCTCAGGTTCTGGCCGCGCGATGCGGCAAGGAAAGGCCCTGGGGCTCAGATCGGCCGAAAAGTATTGAACTTTAGCCGACTGGCCGGCGGTAGGACGGGGAGCAAACTGACCAAAAAGGATGGCCTCTGGGCGATAGGGATCCTCGCACTGGCACTGCGCTGGAGTGAAAGTGCCCATGGCGCGCGCACCCTGTTCGCAAAGGCTAGGGGTGTAAACCGGTACTGGCCCGGTGTTCCGTTTCTTTAGTTTCCCGGTGCGTGTCCGCCCAAACGCATCGTGGCCGTGATGAGGACTGTGAAGATTGTAGTCAGTCTCGTGCTTCTGCCGGTGGTGCTCTTCTTCATCTAAATTGTCAGTTTCCGCATCGCCACTCGCACCGGTTTCCGTCTCGTTACTTCGGACTCCTCCATCGTCACTGCAAATGTGATCAAGGTCGAAGCGCGTCACGTCGCGCGGAAGCATCAGGGTCTTCGACTCGAAGTTGGTTTCCACTCTGCGAGGCACCGGAGGCACTTCCACTACACACCAAACGTGACTGGACTTAATTTCGCCCGCATGGTCGTTTACTGCATGTGTCCAAGTGTACTTGTCTGCGTACACATCACTATCATCCTCAACCACAACCTGATCGTCCATTTCGACGAGGAGCCCTTCACCACCAGGCCCAACATGGACGTGACCACCATAGACGTAATGCAGAGCACCCGCAGAGGACGTTGTTTCCGGAAGCTCATTCAGCTCCAGCTTCGCATGTAGTGTGCGATATCCCAAGGAAAAACGTTCCCACCTACTTCCAACATTTGTCATGAAAATGCACGAGAAGCCGAAATAAAACGAAAACCTGTAGCATGTGCAACCACATCTTTTTTACGAGCAGTTCCTTAATGCTACTTGAGACGTTGTTTTTGTCATGCTAAAGTCAGGACGAGGACACACATGGTAGCTCGATTACGATTTCTAGCGCGACTGCACTAGCTAGTAAGAACGATTGGGCTCCTGTGTAGCAAGCTCTCTGTCTACATCTTGTTGACTTTGCGGTCGAGACGTTATGACTTAGGATATGCGAGAAGTCTTGTTCAGGGGATGGACGTTCGAAGCGACTCTGCAGCTTCCTTCCCCTCGCCGCGGGAGACTCAGCCACCCTTCGGCCAACCGGTCGCATCCCGAACGTGTATGCGGCCGACGGTCGCGTTCGCACGTGTGGTCTGTTTTCACAGGGACCCACCGACGCTCTGTCGTACTCGGAGAGATAGGTGTAGATCCGTCGTCGCTTGATGTCGAGCTTGGTTCTGCACCGAAAATTTCCGTATCGAACAAGACCAGTTCCTGCCGCATGTGGCGGATTGGCGTAAAAACTCCAGGATCACCAGCATGGGTGTCCTCCTCACACAACTCGTTTATCACACAGGAAAGAGCTGCTAGCATATCATATCATTTCTTTAGAGATGCGAAAAAAACAGCAGCACACAAGCTGCTAGTTGTAGAGAGAAACAAGAGGCGGAGCTCTGCATCTATTAACCAAGGCGAGGACGCAGCCAACCTGGCTGCAAATAAATCATATTTATATTTGGATTTGCACTATGAAAGGAACATGAGGGCGGAGACTTTCATCCGTTTTTCTTCATCCACGATTTGGCTTTTTTGCAGCGTGCGTCAGGAGATCTAAAAGCATGCAAATATGCTAGTCATTTTTTGTCGTGTGATATCTTCCGCATAGGGAAGACGGCCACCTTGCGCCTCGCAGTATTCCACGGCGTCGACTCGACCGTATATTTTCTGGCCGAGCAGCGTTGGGTTCACGTCCTCTAGGGGAACGACGAGGTCGATGAGTTCGGATTTGTTCGCTAAAACGAGGCCCCCATCCGGAATCAGTGCCGATCCTCCTGGTGCAGGAGTCTCTTCAACCGCAAATCGAAGCGGCCTCGCGCTCAAGTGCGGCGACATAAAGAAAGACTTCGACTCGAGAGACGTCGTTGAAAAGATAGGCCTCGGCGGTCGCACCGTGCTGGGATCTGTGGCATTTACTCCACCGAAGACCCTATTCTCGAACACGTGGCGTATGTCGTACCGATTGTAAACCCAAAGGGGTTCTGGGAGCATTTCTATCAGCGGCCCCTTGGGCAGCTCAGCTCCCGCAGGTTCTGTAGTTTCATCGACTGCACCGCCCGCAGGTTCTGTAGTTTCATCCCCTGCTCCGGACGCTCCTGCCCCGGACGCTCCTGCCCCGGACGCCCCTGCCCCGGACGCCCCTGCCCCTGACGCCCCTGCGCCTGACGCCCCTGCCCCTGACGCCCCTGCTCCTGACGCTCCTGCTCCTGCAGCTCCTGCTCCTGAAGCTCCTGCTCCTGAAGCTTCTGCTCCTGAAGCTCCTGCGGCTGAAGCTCCTGCGGCTGAAGCTCCTGCTCCTGCAGCTCCTGCTCCTGCAGCTCCTGCTCCTGCAGCTCCTGCAGCTCCTGCAGCTCCTGCTCCTGCTCCTGAAGCTCCTGCGGCTGAAGCTCCTGCTCCTGAAGCTCCTGCTCCTGAAGCTCCTGCTCCTGAAGCTCCTGCTCCTGAAGTTCCTGCTCCTGCTTCTGGAGCTCCTCCCGTAGAGTCTGTGGTTCCACCACCTGCTGTGCCCGATTCATCAACTGCTGCGTCCGCTTCACTTTTTCTACTCTTCCGCGCTGCTCCTGCCCCTGCGGGAGAGTTGAGCTGTTCATCTGCTTGTTCCTGTTGCAACGTAGGGTCGTCCACGATCTCGGTCGCGTTTGTCGCGTTTCTTTCCGAATCAGGATCATGATCGTCGAACGCCGTAGTTGGCGCATTTGCCCGCCAACACAAGTTCCAATGCGCAATGTGGTACGTCGTTGTATCGCTGGGAAAGTGGTTGAGTCTCACAGTGCTCGCGCGAAGAATGCTACTGGGACGCCTCAGGTCGTAGTTGCCGTCGGCAGCGATCTCCTGTTCCTCACGTGGCAGGTCTGTGAATATCGCTGTCGACGAGGGATCAGCCGTCCCGTATTTGTTGAAGACCATACCAGCGAAGACCTCCGTAGGCTCAGCCGCTAGACCCGAGGCCGCGGTTGCGTCGGCCCCCGCGGGGTGGCCCTCGTAGTACCGATAGCTACACCCAGACGGGGTCACCTCCAGTTCCTGCTTGTCTTCTAGATTTACCAGACTGAACTTGTCGGGGAGCAGTCCAAGCGCCTGCGCGACCCGCCGGCAATCGAGTTCGGTGAGGGCCTCCAGGGGCGGACAGGTGAAGCCCTCTTTCGCAAGTGGCACGACCGCGGGCACCGCGACATCGTCCCAGCAAACGGACTCCACGCCAGGGACGGAGAGACCTGCATCCATGGGGGAAGCACCATTATATCCGACTTCGGGGTCGGCGGTGTCGTCTTCCTCGTTGCTCTTGAAGTAGCATCCCCACGGATATGCGTCCGACGCGTACGACGCTTGCAACGAAGGATCCACCCACGCGACACCCGCGACCTCGGCAAACCGTTTGCAATCTGCCGGGAGAACAAGGGCTCGCTCGCGGCAGCCAATGCTTTGGCGCTTCAAAAGCAAAGACGACGGCCGCACCCTGGTCGGGAGCCAAAGGCGGGTCTGGTGCGTGCACTGTGCATTCACTTCAGTCGCTCGAGCACACGTTTGTCGGCGCTTGCAGCACTCGGCGGCAGTGCACTCGCCCACCGCACAAAGCTGCAGGGGATCCAGGTAGTGGGGGGGAACCTCGGCAGCGCACTGCTCATAGAAGGATGGTGGCACGAACGTTCCGCACGGCGGTCGGGGGTGACAGCACTCGTCTTCCTCGCACAAACCGCTTCCACACACGAAGTTTCGTGTGAAGAAAAAGGTCGCGGGCTTCGCCGCGCACAAAGCGTCTAGCTCGAGATTAGTGCGGCAGATCTGAGGCGTGGTGGTCGTTGTGGTGGTGGTCGTGCTCGTGGTGGTCACGGTGGTGGTCACGGTCGTGGTGGAGGTGGTGGTCGTGGAGGTCGTCGTGGTCGTGGAAGTTTTGGAATCGTCGAACAGGTCCGCGAAGAGCGAACTCAAGGCGTCTTCCTCCTCCACCAGGGCCACGGGCTCCTCCAGCCCGTTCGGGCAGCACACGACCGGATCACTGATCTGGTAGGTCCCGAAAGCGCACTCCGCCATTACCTCCTCGGTGTCCGAGGAGAAGCAACAGTCGTCGTAGCACATCGCGATCATCTATCAAATGCAAATATGTTGTCTGGGACTGGAAGATTAAAACTTGTCATGCTTCTAAATCTGAATGATGCAAAAATCTGTGTTGCGTGAGTGCCAAAAGCTGTCCGCTTTTGACCAAGTTGAGAGGGAGTTTCTCATGCAGGAGAGGCATGAGAGAGACCTCAGAGAATCTGCCATGCTGGGTCTCGCATTCCAGACCTCATGGGTCATGGAAAACCTGCATGACAAACATTGCATCCTTCCAGACCCAGACATATTTGCACTGGATATCATCTCCGGCGAGACCACCACCTCCTGTTCCTCCTCCTCCTCCTCCACCGGTGCAAGGAAGGCGTTCAGGTCTGCTGCCATGCCCCCACCGTCGTCCGCCGAGGAGTCCTCCTCCTCTACTTCCCCTCCCAGAACTTCCTCGTCGCTGACGAGCTCGTCGGAGGCGCCGACTAGCGAGGCCACAGAATCCATAGACAGACCGAGGTCTGTGATGGTCTCCATGTCCAGCGTGCCGGCGTCCTGCGCAGCCACCACAGCTGCGGCCACTTTGGCCATGTTCACAGGTTGCAAGGACTTAGAGACTCCTGAGACGCCGGTGGACTCCACTTCCATCGTGGTCACTTCAGCCAGGTAGTTTCCTATGTTCGCGTCGAGGGCGGTGGTGTCGACAGCCGCCATGCGGTCGTTCACTGCCGCTGCTTTCTCAAGATTGTCTTGCGCAATCGAAAACTCGACAAGCACTGTCGCTCGTTGCGCCAGGCTCCTAAGCCGCGGCGCAGCTGCACCGTGCATTGGCTGTGCTCGAGAAGTGGAGGACCGTTCTTGTTGCCCTCCAGCACTAGCTTGGAGCGCGTCGACCACTTGGTTTACCACCTGGGCGGGTTGCTGGTGCTGCCTTGCCCTCCTCTTGTTTCGGCGCTCACTGTTGGCGCCACGTCTGCTTGGTACGACGCTACCAAGTCCTCGTCCCGAAAAGCCGGCGCTGTTGTTCTTCCCCGAGCGTTTCGCGGATTCTCTTTGCTGGACGTCCAGAAGCTCCCGGGCTCTTTTCCGGCTTTGAAGACACGACCGAACATACTTCCGCCAAAAGTGCTTGACTCTCGCCGCAATGTTCGTGCTGCGACGCTTCGACTCCGCCCCGGCCGCAATCGCGGAAGGCGAAAACAGGCGCGGCTGATCGCTCGCGCGCTTCTGCTTTTCTGATACAAGAAATCGAAGAAATCGGTTTTTCATGTTTTTCCACAGCTTTGTCTTGCGAATCTGCTTCTGCACGCGTTTCCTCAGGCGCCTCTGCCGCCGAATTGCGAAGCTGCCAGCCTCCGACACAATTTCGTCCGACTCTCTTTTGGCATCTTGCGCCGGTTGCTCAGCGTTATTGCCATGATGGGGCTGCTCGTCCTCGTCCAGCCGACGGACCGCAATTTTAAACCCGCCAAGGACGACTTCTGCGAGACTGACTTGATATGTAAGTGCGAAAGAAGCCTGAAAAGCGTACGTAACCTCCTCATCCGCCCACAAGTCATCCGCTGTCGTTCCCGGTGGCAAGCTCATGCCCATGGCGGTCTGACACTCCACGACGGGCAACGTCTGCACCATCTGACCCCCAATGGAAATGAGTCCGCCGGTACAGAAAGGTGGCGGTTCATCTGTCAGGCACGCCGGATCGATTGCGGTCTTGGCACTCGCGGCCTTGGCTTCGTTCGCGGCGTCGTGGCTCTGACGCATCAACGTATGGCGTTCTCAAATGTTACATCCTCAACTGTTACATGGATTTGTAAAATCCTAAACCGACCGAAACCACAAACGCAACCCAGAATGGCAAAAGTGCAAGGGGGAAGATTTCGCCTTTTGCACTACAGGTTTGGCACAGATTTAAACGCTGTTCAGCCCTTCGGAGATTTGTCATGCGAGGCAGCTTGATGATGTAGATAGAGATACTGTTACTGATGAGGTGAGTTTTGCATGACAAATCCATGTAACAATTGAGAATGTAACGTTTGAGAACGCCATACAACGACGTGTCCACGTAAGCTTCCGCAACGGCTAGCGAAGACGCCTGGAAGGCTTCGCTGGTTTGTTTGGACACCCCCAGCGACTCCACGAGCGTGCCCGTATCGCGATCGTTAATCAGAGGGCAGTCCATTTCGATCACCTCCCACAAGTATCGCATGTACGACGGCGCTCGTAAGTTCGTCCCATTGAAGTCCGGCCCGGTGAATCCATTGACGGCGACGGACGTGGGAGCGCCCGTTTGAAAGTCGCAATAGGGAAACCGATCCGCCATTCGAAGCACGTCCCCACAGGTGGGGGGAAGCACACCTGCTCGCACGTACTCAGGAACTTGCACGAAGGCGTCTTCGCCATCGGGGCAGTTCAGCCGCACTTGCCGGGGCGAGGTCGAACTTGGGTCGAGGTGCTCGCGCACGAACTGCTCTGGGACCCCGCGCTCGCCCATGCAATCCCAGTCCGGACGCCCGCAGTTGCAGTCACACCTGCCGTCCGTCCACTGGGAAAAGGGACAGGTCCACTCGCCCACCTTGTCAGGGCCCAACAGCCCCGTAGATGCGTCCACCGTGGGAAACCGCCACTGGTAGGCGCGTACGATTTTACGCACTTCCATCGGCCGCGTACTGCTTTTGTCCGACTTGGAACCACGGACCAGGATCTGCATGCCACTATCTTTGGGGACCTTTTTGGGATCCGAGAACCCCACCCCGTCCACCACCAGAAGCCCGTCGTGCAGTCCGTCACAAAAGATGGAGGACTGCCCCTGCAGGTACTCAATGCCGTTTTCGTCCATCCCGGGCCGTCCCGTAGCAGTTGTGAAGTCGCAGAACGGCTGCTCCCGAGCGATGCTGGTCCACCCTGCATCTTGCGTCCAGTCCCGGCGCTCGGGCACCTGATCCAAGTTGGGGACTGCCCGTGGCGCTCCCTGGCCATCGGTAGCCCAGGCGAGCAAACTGGTGTCCGACAGCACGGCTCCCGACGCCTGCTGCAGTTTGGTCGTAAATTGAGAAAAGAGGGTCTCGGACGACGACAACCGCAGCAAGCTCTCTCCGAAGGTCGTGTTTCGAAGCTCGACAAAGATGCGCAGAGGACGGAACTGGTTGAGGCTGGCGCCGGAGGTTCCACTGGACGCAGCGAACTGGTACAACAAAAGCGGATCTACCAGGCTCGTAACTGTCAACTTTTGCTTGGCTAGTGTAGTGAAGTAAATCCCGTTGTCGTTAGCCACATCGATCCACGCCTGCTTCACCTGCGCATTCCACTCGGAGCCGAGGGCGAGCGCCTGCGAGGTGGTGTTCTCGTGCGACGCGGTCGTGCGAAACACAATCTGCATCTGCCCGGAAAAATCCAGGAGCGCATCCTCCGTGGCGAGTTCTCTTTTGTTCGTGGAGGAGGATAGTTGTACTCTCATAGAAGTGCTGCCTCTTCCTCCAGTGCTGGGTCGATCAGCCGGCGCAGTGTCAGCAGGGCTTGAAGTAGATGCAGTTGATTCGCCAGCAGTGAGTTCCCGGAGGCGTCGTGTGGTGGTGGCGGAGTGGTCCCTTAGCGCCCCCATAGATTGGACCGACCAACCTGTCGAGGGATCAGACAGCGGATTGGTTGCGGAGTAGGAAGCACCACTGGAGGTGGTGTTGTCGTACTGCTGCGACTGGAAAATGGCGGTGAGCTCCGTGAAATTTTGTGGGTTCAGGTTCAGATTGATGGCCGCCTTGAGGTCGTCGTAGGGAAAGGAGGTGACGCCGTCAATGTACTTGTCGAACTTCTGGTTCAAAACATACCAGCGACGGGTGGTAAACAGCAGCTCCGCGAGCACCATCCGCGTGCTCGGGTCGTTCTGCTGGGTCCAGAAGCTCTCCGCGGTGTAGCTGGGGACTTGAAGGGTGATGCCGTTTCGCTTCAGGTCGGGCGACACCAGGTGCTCCGAGATGTCCAGCTGTAGGACGCTGGCAAGCGCCGCACGCACCCGGTCCTTGAGGGCCGGGAAGTTGTCGTAGCCGACCTCCACGCCCTGTGCGGTGCGCCCCCCGGTGCTCGCGGTCCAGGGTGCGCCGGTGTTCAACGCACCGCCGGCATCGGAGAATGGTGGCGTCTGAATGACCATCAGGACAGAGTAGGTGCGCTCCCGCACGAAGCACGCACTCTTGAACGGGTTCTCGTACAGGTCGGGGAAGCACTTCTGTCCCGCCGAGGTGATCACCACGCTCTGCGAGTCGCGGAAGTACAGGTTCCGCGAATCCTGCAGCTCCGGGACCCGAACCTTCTCTAGGTCGTTCAGTGCGTAGTAGTCGTACAGGGAACTGGAGCTGGGCTGGGTGGCCACGTACGCGCGGGTGGTAATGCTGCGAACCCCGGAGAAGTCCATGCCCTCGGCGAAGGTGCCAATATCGAGTCGCTGCCGGTACGGAACGGCTTCGCCGCACGTGTTCACGGTCGTTGTCGCGGTCGATGTTCCGCTGGTCAGCTTCCGGGCGCTGGACGAGGAGGTACTAGTATTAGGCCTATCGTGGTCCCTAGAACTAGCTGCTCGCAGCTGCCGTTGGCGTCGACTGCTGCTGGCGCTCGAGGACGAAGAAGACGAAGAGGATGACATAATAGTAGAACTGCCACCCCGCATCAACATTTCCGCCGCGTCGACCTGTATTCGGTAGGGGCCGATCAGGGAGAAGGGAGCTTCCTGCTTGTCCAGCTGCAGGACGAAGTCGGTGTAGTCGCCCGACATGCTGGAGACCAGTGTGCCCGCGGAGAAGTGCCGGTGTCGAAACTTGCCCCCGAAGCTCTTCAGGTGCAGCAGCTGGGATTTCGTGGCCGCATCTGGTTTCTCCGCCCTCACGAGCTGCACTAGCTCGTGGATTCCCATGCCGAAGTCGACCTCGACCGTGTAGTTCTGGCCCAGGAAGTCGGTTTCGGGGAACCCGGCCTTGGGGCCGGTGTTGACGCGAATGATGCGGTACCAGTCCAGCACTTCGGCCCCGAAGGTTATGGAAGCGTCAGGATCGAAATTGACAAAGTTGAAATACAAACAATCTGTCATGCATAAAATGCGACGTCTATTGCTGAGGATGCAAGGGAGGCAGATTTTTGTAGTGCTGCTAAGGGCCGCCAAGAATTGTGCTGGTGACTAGCCTGAGAGATGTTGCGAGCTCTTTTGCCATAAACAGCATAACAAACTGGCTTTCGATACCGGCAAAATTTGTCATGCGACGACTAGAAACTGTGGGTCCAACTGGTATCCGTTTTCTGCACTACAAATTTTTTCAACTTTGTTGATTTCGATTCTGACGCTGCCATAAAGGTCCGGTTGCTGTTGAAGTCTGCGGGAGAGAGCGCGGGGTCCATTTCGACGCCCGCCGCCGCGGCGGCTTGCTGCGCCTGCTCGAACGCCACATACGTGCCGTAGGTCGCAATCGTTTCGTCGTCCAACTGCAGCACCTGCCGCCCGTTCACGTCGCCCTCGGGCCGGTACTGGCACACGTACTGGTTGAACTCGTTCTTGTTGGTTCGCCCCCCGAAGAGGTCGTCGTACGGACACACCTTGCACTGGCCGCCCCCCATCTCCTCGTATTCCTCCTGATGCCCGAAATAGCCGTACAACATAGTCTCGCCCGGCAGCTGCATCGAGTAGCAGGGCTCGCTGATAGCCACCTCCTCCTTCGATGGGTCGTAGATGGGGGCGGTGCACCGGCCGAGCGGCGAGCAGATTTCGTGGGGGGCGCAGTACCGGAGCTTGAGCAACCCCGTGAGGCAGTCGGGGTCGGTCATGCCGCAGTTGCAGTCGCAAAACAGCCCGTCCATGTAGTTGTTCGGGGGGCAGACCCAAAGCGCGGGGTTGGACACCGGAGGGAAGGGGGTCGTGGGGCGGGGTACCTGGAAGTTGAGCCGCTGGGAGCCGATCGAGGTGCCGCGCGTCACTTTGATGGCGGTGTTGTTCACGCGCGTGGTCACCAACATGCGCTCCACACCCATGTCCCCCGTCACCTGTACGAAGAAGGGAAAGGGCACGGTCCACAACGCGATCGGCGTGCGCAGCCGCAGCACCTTGTCCGCCTTCGCCGGCTTGTCCGCCATCACGTACGCCGGGTTGAAGAACTTCGTCTTGCCATCGCAGATGATGCCGGCCGCGGAGTACTGGAAGTTGTTCACGTAGGCCGCGAACAGCATCCAGTCGGTAAGCATGACCGGCACCCGCGCGTAGAACATCTGGACGACGTTGTCCTTCACGGAGGCCGAGATGTTGAAACCGGTGTCCACCCCGTACAGGACGCGGAGGTTTCGCTCAACGTTCACCTGGTACTTGCCGTAGGCCACGTTCTGCATGAACTCCTTCGCGGCCACGGTGCCCCACCCGGAGGACAGGATCAGCATGTTGTCGAAGGAGGCCTTGCGCTTCCAGGTTCCCGTTTCCACGTTCGTGTACAGTTCGGGCGACCAAGTCCAGTTGGACGTAGTCAGCGTGGTCAGCATGGTCTTCCGTTGGTACTCGCGGTTGAACTTGAGTAGGTAGGGGCGCAGCGACTCGTACTGGTAGCGGTTCACGAACCCGACCTGCAGCTGGCAGTTCTTCAGCGCGGACAGCTCGGTGCGGTCGAACCGCATGAAGCCCTGCGCATCGTGGTCGAAGAAAAACTCGTAGCTGCGAAACACTCCCAGATCGTTGTGCGCATATCGCAACGACTCGTCGAAGGCATGCGTGGTGGACGCCACTGCCATGTCGCGCAGATTGCGCGTCAGGTTGGCGAAGGGCGACTCCTGATCCGACCCTCCGTAGATGTACGAGTTGAAACTGATACTGGTGCTCTCCATCGCCCCGAACGCTACCGGAATGGGGAGGGTGTAGCTGGTCATCCCGAAGTGCATGCCCAACTTGTCCACCCAGGAAATTTTCGCGAGCGCGGACATGTCGTCCGCCTCGTAAAACTATCATACTGAAAAGCGCCCGCAACCTTGAATGTTGTATGAAGGTGGAACATTTAATTTTTGCCAAAGATTGTTGACACGTACGACGCATGGCTTTAGCCAGCTGCGCAGTCAATGTTGTTTATTCATACTGTAGTACAAAAATAATCCGCGACCTACAAAACCAAAGTTAGTAGGCGACGTCTGTCAGCTCCAAGTTGCAGGAACAACGTTGGACTCCGAGTCAAAACTATGCGTCGTACTATTATACTTCCCTTCATGCAAAAATACAAAAAGCTTGAGTGTGCTGTAGGGTTTGAGATGCAAAGTGTTCTGTCTTCTGGTTGTGGGGCGCCCGCCCTTTTCAGTGCAATAAGAACTCGATCCGCTGTGTCCAGTCGAACGTGAGTGCGGGCACGTCCATGTAGGGCTTCTCCGGCATGATGCGCTCCGGGAAGCTGGAGTAGTACAGCTCGTTAAAGTGGCACCCCGGAAGGGGCTGCACCGTGTTGGGGTCAGCGTCCAGAAACGCTCCGCTGGAGAAGTTCAGCTGCGCATTCCGTTCTTCCATGCTCACACTGGTGCCCCGGTAGTTCGCGAGCCCGGGGCACACGTAGTCGAGGTTCAGCTGCACGTCCCCCCAGGGCTCCAAATTGGTACTGTCGGACGTGAGCAGGGAGGCGGAGTTCCAGCCGAACACGCAGACGAAAGCAAACAGCATGGCAGAGCACGCGGCGCCACAGAAGGTGGGGGGTAGGTCGGTTGCCTCGGTGTCGCCGGCGCGGTCCATGCGCCGCGCGTTCAGGTCTGTGTATTTGATTGCCCAGTTATGGAAGCGTCAGGTTTGAAATCGTCAAAGTTGAAATAATTTGTAATGCATAAAATGCGTGACCCGCGGTACGTGTGTTGCAGAGCAGGCAAGTGAGGCCTATTGTAAGCCTGTTTGGGGTTAAAGCTCGAGCTGCTAAAGTAGCATGAGAGAATCGCTCGTCTTTGCCTAAACAGCATGACAAACTGGATTTAGGGACCGCCGAAATTTGTCATGCGCCACTTGGAAACTGGGCTCCAACTGGCATCCATTTTATGCATGACAGATTATTTCAACTTTGTCGATTTCAACTCTGACACATCCATACCAGTGCGGTTCGTAGTATTCAATGTCGGTCCGCTGGATCTCGTCCTCCCAGGGCTCGTAACGCCCCAAATAGAGGTATCCTGAGTAAAAATGTACCCACGCCAGAGTTGTAATGCAGATTTGCAAAGACAGGAAGACTTGTGATGCGCATCCCCATGAGAGCCATTTCCAATCGTGTTTTGGAATTTGTGATGCTGTGAACAGGATGAGCAGATGAATCTGTGATGCGGCGGCACTTGCTAACCTGCACTACACTGCATAGCGCAACTTGTCATGCGTGACTCACAAAGCTCCTAGGTTTGTGTTGCAAAATCCCCATCCTGACTCTGGTGTGGGTACGTTTTTACTCAGGATAAGAGGTAATTCCACCGCCACCGCTCATCAGGAAACCGACCCGGGAGGGCGGGAATTTTTTCGATTTCTGGTTCCGCCTATCCGAGTGCACAACCCGCCCTCTCAACATCTCCCTTCGTTGGAAAAGTAAAAAGCTGGTCGTGGGCCAGCAACTACACATAGAAAAACCGGGAAAGTCCTAGCTTCTGTAAAGACGAGATTCTGCGTGCTTCGAAGAGTACTTACACGCAGGACCAGGAGCTTGGATGATCCTAGTGCTGGTGTTTGTAGTGCGAGTGCTGCAGCAACAACACAACAACTTACACAACTTGTCAAGATGCAATACTCGCAAGGCCGCTCACTGCTAATAAACAAAGGCAGTTCTAATCCAATCATTTTACATCATGACAGCAAGAAATTAGTTCAGGTGTGGTCAGAAGGCAGCTTGTGTGCACTCTGATATCTCCGGCGGAACGTATTTCTCCCTGATCACGTTCCCGTCCTCGTCAAACTCCCGGCCTTTATCAAATGTAAAAGTGTCTGGGTCTGGAAGAACGCAACCTGTCATGCTAAATCTGAAGCATGCAAAAATCAGTGTTGCATGATTACCAAAAGTCGTCCAATTTTGACCAAGTCGCGAGGAAGTTTCTCATGCAGGATAGGCATGAGAGAGATCGCGCAGAATCTTCTGTCATGCTAGGTCCTGCATTCCAGACCTCATGGGTCATCGTCATGGAAAAGCTGCATGACAAATCGCGCACTCTTCCAGACCCAGACATTTTTACATTTCATAGCCTTCAAGAACTTTCAATTCCGGTAGATAGGGTTTGCACTTATCCTGTGCAAAAGTATCGTACTTCTCGTAGTAATCGCAATCATGCATTACAAACTTCCATCCCAAGGGAAAACAGCATGACAGATTCCATTTGTCATGCTGAACGAATTTGTGATGCGATTTCAACTAGTACGATGCTTTTGCAATGCATAGCACTTGTCGCGCAGCAACTTTGTGACGCGCCCGTCGTTAAACGTCCGCTCGAGAATATGGAAGCGTCAGGTTTGAAATCGTCAAAGTTGAAATAATTTGTAATGCATAAAATGCATGACCCGAGGCGCGTGTGTTGCAGAGCAGGCAAGTAAGGCCGACTGTAAGCCTGTTTGGGGTGACAGCTCGAGCTGCTAAAGGAGCACGAGAAAATCGCTCTTCTTTGCCTAAACAGCATGACAGACTGGATTTAGGGACCGCCGAAATTTGTCATGCGCCACTTGAAAACTGGGCTCCAACTAGCATCCATTTTATGCATGACAAATTATTTCAACTTTGTCGATTTCAACTCTGACACATCCATAGAGAACGACCAAGATCACGAGCATCAGAAGGACGAGCACGAAGATGAAGTATCCTATTTAAAAACGTCCCCACCCCATAGTTGTAATGCAAATCTGCATGCGGAAAATGTTTCTCATGTGGAGCCCCATGAGAAGCATTTTCCAATCGTGTTTTTCAATTTGTCATGCTCCAATCAGCATGGTATGCTAGATCTGTGATGCTGCTGAGCTAGCTCAAACAGCACTACACTACGAATCCAAATTTGTCATGCAAAACAGCCAAAACTTGTGGATTTGTCTAGCCGATTCCCCATCTTGACTCTGGTGTGGGTACGTTTTTACTCAGGATATGAAGAACCCCGTGCTTACCATGCACAGGAATAACGTGAGTCCCGCAACTAGCAGGAACACCAACCGCGCATTTCGAAGACACCACTGAACGAGCCGGTCCTTCCATCCGGGGCGGATGAACGTCCCCTTCGGAGGCGCGAGAAGATCCACCATTTTCTTATCCCGTCTGCTTCCTCGACGTCGCTCTTTCCCGACTTTTGCCGAAGCTCAGCTGGCTTTTAGGTCTCGACGCTTGTAGTAGAGGTGGACCTGGTACAACAACTTCTACAACCCGCGCGGCGGGCTGATGCCGCGAGGTGGCGCAGGTTCAGAGCAGAGGGTGCCATGGTACAAAGGTAGGGGTGGGGCATATTTCAACATCAGATAGAAAAACTTGAAAATAGTGTTACTGTAGTGTCACATAGTACAGATGATAAAAAGTGCGACCACGATAAACGTCACGATAGGTCGATAAAAAATGCCAATGTTTTCAAGTTCGGTGAAACAATGTCAGCAAGTGCCAGAGGGGCACGTGACCCGAGGTATCTTTAGTACCAACAAGAAATTTCTGCAACTCCATGAGCTTCATCATATTTTTCTTGGAAGAACTTATTCTGAAATTTGTATACTACAAGAGATCAAAAATTACGCATTTCTGCCTCTGACTTTAATGGATATAGAACTTTATTTAGAGTTTACTACCAATAAGAGACGAACGGGGGGAACTACAGGGAAGAGGGGAAGATATCATCAAGACCGCGAAACAACGAAACAGACGACAAATGACGACACTACACGAAATGAACGAGCTTTGCTTTGAATTTGAAGATGTATACAAAATATTGAAAATGTCTCTGCCGACGCTTATTTTTCTCGTCAACCTAGCCCACAACTACTACGTAAGATAGGTACAATCCACGAGCAGGTGCGAGCCTCATAGACATACGGAGTTGTTGAATAAATATAAGATCAATGATGTACATGTAGATCGCCGCTTGGCTCACACTCTACGTCTACTACATAAGATGTTGAAAATATAAAGAGGTGGATGAAATAAATGAAAAATTGAAAAGAATCGGATGTTGATGAAATTTCTCTAAAAATGTGGGGCTTTCCCATGAGGAGAGCACGAGTCTCATGAGGACACTGTTTTGATTGATATTAGCAGTCCAACAATCGTTCAGATGCAACTACGTATCCGGCGAAGTTTACTAGATTACTGTGACGCGTTGCTTTTGCGATCGCGCGTGCAGGTAGAGATAGCACCGTCTTTGTTTTTTTAAAACCGAATCATAGTTTTTTCTCAGGCCGGTATGATTGATTCTGGTCCTAATGGTAGTGTTCTTGCTGTAATAGAGTCATCTTCTATAAATTTGCTGTCGAGACCTTATTCCCCTTGACCAATAAAACCATCCCCCTGAAAAAAAGAGCTTGCTATCAGGAGTAATTCCAACCAAGATCACGAATATGTGGAAAGCCATAAAGGGGCTCTTATAGACACCGAGGAAGAGCTGGGGAATTAATATGTAAATCTAAAGGACTCTCATGCAACGGACTCTATCACTAACTCAAGGGCATATAGTACAAGAATCGATTCGTTAAGGGGTTGTGGCGTAACCATTCAATATTTCTCTTGGTGATGCACTACTTCATCGGCATCGCGCCGTAAATTGTGGAGTCTTCCAACGCCTAGGCCGCTACCAGTCGTATTCATCGTAGAAGTCGTAATGCTCGAAAATAAAAATGCTCAATGGCGTTTTGCAAGCACGACGTTAATACTGGTCGTTTAGAAGTATGACATGCGCGCACAGATTCTGCGGTCAACCGATTCAGGCTCTCTTCTAAATGATGTCACGCGGATGGTGTACTTCGACAGGTAAGTAGTAGATCAAACAGCCTGACAGCGGCGTGCTCTTCTATGCATCATTGCCACTCGACGTCTAATCGTAGCATGAGTGCTGGCGCGCCAATATTTTCATCTAACCGAAGAAAACACAATTCTGTGACCGAGATTCGACTTTTGTCGCAGCCGAAGGTGCGAAATCAAGAACACATTCGATGCTGTTCTCTTCTTTTTATTTGTTACAACTGAGATCATGAAGCAATAGCAGACGCAGCAGAGCCGCGCCACCAGATGGTGTGTTGTCCTATTGGTTTTTCTTAAAATGCCGCACTGGAGGAAATAATTGCACATGTACCTATAGCCAACTCATAGCGGCACAATCGCTTCACTTGTAGGATTGATCTTCACGTCGAGCGCAAAGAAATTAGGCATGTTCTCGTTACCTTTTCTTCCTTCGTCTGTGTTATTGATTCCGAGATAAAACTGTTGCACTTCGCTAGACCGCATTCTCATTGTTGTCAAATTCACTTTATGTTGTGGTGCGTCGTAGAAGTTTCTTTGTCTCGTCCTCCTCATCCTCAGGCTCAGCTTCATCGTCGCGACTAGTTAATAGCTGTAAGCTGCAGGTGCTGCCCTCTCATCTTCAAGGATCGCATTCTTTCATCATGATTATTTTCCCAACATGATATTACCATCAAGTAGTTTGGAACTACAGGAGCAGAGGGTTGACAGAGGCGATGAGCATCCCCAGTGACAAGTCTCCGGTGTAGTGGAGGCCGCCTAGGGTGAGCGCAGGGAGGAAACCGTAGTGAAAAACCGTGTGGGCGCCGCCTTCCCACAGGGTGTAGATGCGGTTCGTCGCGCGAGCAAGCCCAGTCAGCACGGACTGCGTCGCGTCGGCCCTGTAAACATTCATCAGCAGCTGCGCAGACATTTTGAAAACGATGGATGCGACACCTTTGCGATTTGGATTTCACGGAATTTCAAGAGGTTTGCTGTTTTGCTAGTTCTGTTGAAATTTCTTTCTCTGCGTCTGCCTGCTAGTGTTGTATTCGATATGTCGCGACATACAAGATGGAACTCGCGCACTGCTCACCCAATCAAAAAAGGAAATGCTGGAGATGGACGAGCGAGAAGTCGTGCCGTATGGCAGAAATAGAGCTGAAGCCTATAGCAAATAGAGCAGAGATTTAAGATTTTATTTTTATACCGCAAAGCTACTGCTTCTTTGTCTTTGCCAGCACGCGGCAACGTTCAAATCGATAAGCTAAGTAACCTTCTGAGAAAAAATGAGGCACGGAGGTACGTAGGATATGATCTTCCACCTTTCTGTTACGCCAGCGAAATCTGTCAACAAGACCCGATTTTCAACAAAACGAAAAAATTTTTTTTGTATCAGGCGAACGGGGCAGCCCGGCCCGAAAAAGTTTCTAGCATTCGCCACCGCTACGAGGCGCGCTAGCTTTTTCCGGCCTCGCTGACTTATGAAAAAGTGCGCGCGCGCTAGCTGGTGGCGCGGGGCAGCTAGATTGCTTGTGGCCGTGCGTGTGGCTTCACCATTGCCGCCCCGGGTCAGAAACATACCCAACCGGCGATCGCAGGCCATCAGCTGCGATTGCCGGAAGCCCTCATGAACGACCACCAGAACCCAGGGGCGCAGGCGTTTTAGCTGTCTGGCCTCCCGTTTTGCAGCGCTGTTTCGCCTCGCCGAAGGCTCACGCCCTGTGCTTCGCTGGGGGCTTCCATATGAACCTGCCAGGCGCGGAAGGCTCGGAAGCGGCCACCCTGCCACCTGCGGTGGGGCCCTCCCAAAAATCGAAACGGCACGCGCCAGCGCCGCCCATCTCGGGCGAGGCTTTGGCGGCGCATGCGGCGGGCCCGGCCATGTAGCGGCCCGCGGGCCAACCCGCGGCAAAGATTCGCTGCGCGGGAGCCCGACAGATAGTTTCCATCCGGCAGGCGGGCGAAGGGCCGGGCGGCCGGCCGGCCGGGCCGTCCCTTGACCCCGGCCCTTGACCCCGGAGTTCGACGTGATTTTCCCGGGATTTTGAAGCCCGAAAATGACCCAAAAATGGCCGCCAAATCGACCGAGATAGCCCCTTAAAGTTTTTGATCAACAAGACAGGGAAAATGGCCGCGCGTCGACCCCGGTTGTTGACGTGAGTGCTCGGAAAGGCCCGGCCGTGTCGCCGAGGCCTCTCGGAGAAGGCATCCCGAGCCGGATCGCGGTTGCCTGGCTTCGTGGGTTGCGTGGGTGTGGGGTGGCATCGGGCACGCAGCTGGCTGCCCGGCGCGGCTGTGCCGCCCCTCGATGCGAAAGCGGAAGCGTAGTGGGCGCAGTTGGGCGGCCCGCATTCGCCGGCCGCGCCAGGTTTCGGAAGGGGAGTGAGGGGCGGGGGGAAGGGTTTTTGCCTTGGGAGGGTTCCCAACCCGGCCCGCGTCGCAACCGCAACGAGCTGCAGAAAAAGCGCAAGCGGGGCAAAGGAAGCCAAAGCACAGCTGTGCGCCCAAAGGTAGCTGCGCTGCGCATGCCCCAGCCCAAGGCCCCGAAGGTGGGAGATGGGTCCTGCGCCGCTATGAGGCTTCATGACTTGCACGGCCGGCGTGGTACACGAAGCACACGAAGTGCTTGAGGTGGAAGCGGTTCGACGCTTGTCGTGCGCAACTAGAGTCTGAGAAAAAATGAGGCACGGAGGTACGTAGGATATGATCTTCCACCTTTCTGTTCCTGCAATACAAGCGGGATGATGTTGAAGTTGATGAAAGTTTACAACACTTGACCTCGTTGCAGAATGGCAAATAACAGTGTCGCTGCTCAAAGAAGGAAAAGAAAAAGAAATTTTCGATCGCTGTGGTCGTGAATGTGTGGCAGATATTGGTATTGCTACGTGAGGGAAGGGCAACAAAAAAGAACAAAGAGCGCCCTATCTTTTCTATTTCTTCTGTCAAGAAAATGCCGACTTGACGCGATTATGTTTCAATCTATATGATCTTCGACTGCAAATGTTTTTTTACACGCCAAGCTGGCATCAGCTAACAAGTAATGGTCATACAACTCTCGCGACGTCGCTGCGCAGAATTCATGACTCTAATTTTGCTGCTAGTTGTTGAGAGGTACATCGTATAGGCTAGTCCGCGCAGTGGTACTACAATAACAAATGTTTGCATCGATGCCGACCGACGTATCCTAACCGTGGGCTCGTTCAGAAGCTTCTTCTTTCACCACCGGTCCTTCGGACAGTAGGCCCAGCCTCCTGCTTGTCCACGTGCACGTGCACGTAGGCCTCTCCTCCTACTGCTTCCTGAAAAAAAATAATAGCTGCAAAGGATAACCGTCGCCAATTTGCTGGCGACTAGCCTACTTTACGACGCACAGTGGCCAAGGTTTCTACGTGCTTTCTTTTGATAGGGGCTCTTTACTGCATTTGAACTGTCGGAGTCACGCGCACAAGAGAATATGGAACCGTAATATGGAAGATGAGTGCTGCTGCTGCATGTGCATTCTCGACACAGCTTCGGGAAAGTAGAGAAAGCTACACATTCTTGGTCAATCAACGGCCTGTCGAGCGTGTATAAACGTCTCTGCGTTTTTATCTTCAACGGAGTTTTCAAGCTATCTCCAAAATCGGAACCAGAAATCTGATTGCATGCATCAGGTTTAGGTTTATTTACTTTCACATCTACCTTTCAGTTTCACTCTTCACTAACACCATTGAAAATGAAACTCGCAGAAGAAGAGAACTTGATGGGGTGGATTCATCGCGCAGACAGGAGATAGCAGGACAAGTCCTGCAGCCTCAGTCTTATGCACGTACTCGATCGACATTTCTTTCCCAGCCAGGTCTTGTTTTAAAAAAATCAGCTATCGAAAAAATTGCGACGGGTAGTTTTTTGCTATGCCAGACCCCCAATCCATTTTTTTACCTCGAGCGAAAGCTGTGGAAGTAGGAAAGGATCCCTCGTCCGAAGGAGCTACGCCAGCGCTTCTACGACTGTTCACGCCCACGGTTCCTCCTGCTTTGGTTGCTTGAGTAAATTTTTGTTTTTGAGCGCCGAAACCCCGCTGCTTTTTAAGCGATTCTAGACCTGATTTCTCGTCCTCGAGCTCCCTCCGCTTTCGCTGCGCGGCCTGTTCCAGGTCGTGTTTGCGCCGCTGCAAATTCTCGAGCTTCGTTTCGCTTTGTTGGACCTCGTCAGTAATGCGGTTCAAGTCTACTTGCATCTTTCCCCATTGCCTCTCTTCGTACCGACGCAATCCACGGACTTCGCACAGGCCCTGCGCCAAGCTGTCGTTAAAATAGTTCCAGTTGAAAAATGTTCGCATGGGGTTGTCGTCGCCATCACCAGCTGACGATGAGCCCGGCAGAGGCATTTTCGCTTGTTCCTCGTCGCAGGATTTCTTGTAGAAAGTGAAAATGTTCAACAGCTGTCGGCCCTGGTGCTCGATTTCTTCACTTTCTTGCTTCTTTTTCTGCAGACGTAGCACGTGACTCTGCTTCGTGGCCAAGGTTTGCTCCGCGAGCGCTAGCCTTTTCTGTTTCAGGTTCGTCGCTCTTTCACTCAAGCTTTTGGCCTCCTTTCGATCCATTTTGATCTGCTCTTCTGCGTTTTGTTTGCGCGCATGGATAGATTGGATTTCCTCAAGTTTTTTGGTGCGAAACTCGTTTGCTGTCGTCCGCGCTCGCTTGAAGCAGGTCCGCACTTCGATCAAATCACCGAGCTCCACCAGCGGTACCTTGCACTCGCAACACACGGCAGGGTTCCGCTCATCGCTTTCCTCTAGGAGGGCTGCATAGCACTGCACGTGATAGAGGTGACCACACACTTCCAGCATCTTGGATAGCTGGCGATCATTGTTGAAATGCAGACCCTGCTTGCACTTCACGCAGGCCGCCCCGAGAAGCCAGCTCGGCATTTTGTTTCTTTTTTTTTTGTGTTTTTTTTTCTCCTCGATGTCTTACCGTTAAAAATACGCTTCCCCGCACTAAAAAAATAGGGACAGCCGATATTTCTACAGTTCACGAGGACTCACTGGATCCCGAACAACGCAACTTCTACTTCATCGTCGTCATCCATGATCATCATGATCAATATCTTCATCATCATGTTGATGAAAGAATTGGCCGAATTTACCTACAAATTCGCATCGATTATAAAAACTGATCGTGTTTCTAGAAGAGCTCGAACTGGCGATCCTACACTATTTTCACGCTCTAGTGTTAATGTTATTCCCGTCAACATCTCAGGCCCCCTTACTTATTCATCAGCACTTAAGCATGATCATGATTCACTTCCGACATCACGCGGCTTAGTCGATCGCTGCAGTACTACCCTCTCAACCAACCGCAGGCCATGTTGCCGCTGCGACATTGAGCAGTCTTCTCGTCTCTTTGATGCGTCGGCGAAATTGGAGATCATGAGTAATAAAATCAAAACATCTACTTACGCCAGGACAACTCCAATAGTGAACACGAGCACGACGGGGCGGGCAAGGGCATGATGGGCGATCGTGACGCAGGGCCAACCCGGACGACCACGTCTACATGAGACCGAGTCTCAAGAACGCGCCGCACGTTCAAAGATATGTGTGAAGACAGCGATCGTTCTCTTCATCGTAAAACCAGTGCTGATGCTTCTGAGCACGGTCAATCTTTTTCTTCACCCCTCTAATCCAGTTGTTCAAGATGACATAAGGCTTTGTCCCGCCTCTTGTTCCTGTTCCTCCTGTAATATTACCCGTACTGCTTGTAAATGCCTTGGAGGACGATGTGATTTTTACTCGCGGCACTGTTAGGCTCTTGTCTGGAACGGCCGGATTGTCGTACCACATTTTTCCGGGGAGAAACAGATCCCCCGGTAGCAGCCGAAGCTTGGTGCTGGTACTAAACGCCGGCGATGCGAGAAGCGACTTCAACATCAATTGTTCGTTGCCACCATCCTCGATAGCCTTGCTAGACTGCCGGCGCGATCGAACGACCGTGTCAAGATGAAAATGTACCCCTTCGCGACTCCCTGAAGCACCCAGTGAAAGAATTGCAATTCAAGGCGAGGATAAAACCAGATGGAGTTCTTGTAGCATAACAACAGAACAAGAACCACTACGCATTTGAAGACCTCGGGGCGCTGCGCAATAAAGCCAGGCTATTTATATCTGCAAGGTGTTTGCGGATACGGATAGGAAGTGTTTATTTTCATTCGGCTGCAATACAGAATCACCAGACTGATACAACGATCAGCCAACTACAAACTTCATTGATTATTGGTTTTGCTGTGATTCTTAGCAGCTTGACATAAATTGACTTCGGCTTCGCCAATAAAAATGGCTGGAGCGTTCGAGCGCGAGGGGCGACGAAGACGCTCGTCTTTTCCACTTGATAGCGGGCGCGGTCAAGTTTGCGTTCTTGTAGAGCAGTGAGCGCTTCCCACAGACGGATCGTGTTGTCGGTTCCCCGCAGTAAGAGGAATCCCCCGTTTGCCATGGGACGTTCCCCAGGACCGCTGTCGTTTATTGCAATAATGTCGCTTCCATTCAACTGAAATGCCGACTTCTTCTTGTCTGTTTTCTGGAAGATGTACGGAAGCGGGTCGCGCAGCCACACCGCATCGGACTCAATTAGAAAAATACTGTGGCGAATGTTTTTTCTTTCCCCTCTATCCTGATGTTGATTCTCTCCGCTTTGCTGTTTTCTTTCCGTTGCAGTTGCCCCCAGCTCCTGCATCCTTCTCTTATTGCGCCGACTGCCTATCGGGCTCATAAGTGCAGGCGCGTTCAGCTTTGTTAGCAGGGAGCGTAGCGTTTTCGTGCGCCATTCCATAAGACGAAAGTAGCCAAATTTTCCGTACTCGAGAGAAGCCTTGGAGATTTCGCTTGCAGTATGTGAACGAAAAACGTTGAGAGCGCCGCTTCCGCCAGGTTTGAATTGGTGCAATCCCTCGAATGCCTTTTCGTCTGTGGCAACGAATAGGGTGCGATCCAGAATCTTATGTCTGTGGACATTGGCAGAGTCCGAAGAAGAGGTGGCTAGTCTTTCAACATTACAGATCCAACTTTTCGTCATCGAAAGAAACCCAGCATTTAGAAACTGGATCAAGAGAACGCGCTCCTCGATGACCTCTTCTGAATTTGCAGGTCGTCCCGACGAGTTTTCCGTGTTCGAAAGATCAATGCTTTTCGTGTCGCTTGTCGGCTTCGCCGCGTTTCTCGCTGCGGCCAATAGGTTCGCATCCTCCTCGAAATCCTCTACCACCTCTGTGAAAATCAAGCCAGGGGCGAGACTGATGTAGAACGAAGAACTGTCAGCTTCTGCAACTTGTTCTACTGCTGGAGGGCGAGCGGGAGCGGGAGCCGGAGCGCGCACGCCAGCAACAATATCGGCTTGCCTGGTGCTTGCGCTTCGTGCTTTTACCGCACGGCGTTCGAATACCGCACACGGACCGGAAGCGGCAAACCAGAAACACAAGAAACGGCAGGTGATGAGCACGCCAAAGAATAAGGATAATCGGAGGACCGTCCTGCAGCTCTTCGTCATCTTTCTTTGCACAATGTGTGCCGCAGCATAGTAGTATTGATTTTGTTTTTCGACGCCAGCTCGTCAGCAACTTCAGCTAATCGTAATCACTCCCAACTCGTCCCGCTCACACTATAACTGAGACACGCCGACGCGTCGGCCTCACCGTCGCCATCAAGGAAAGACAATCTTCCACTTACAACTCGTGATCTCTTTCTTCAACTTTTCTTGTCCTCCGCAAAACTAACGGGATCTGGCTCGTTTCAATATTGAGCGCAAGTGGCCACACGTTTCCACGTTTAAAAATATCCGAGCGGTCCTCGCTCGCCAGATTGAAGGATACTCTTTTCTTCTCGGATATTCATACCGCAAGTGGTTTAAGCGTTTCAGCACACAGAAAGCAGACTGAGCAGCAATGCTGGTCAAAGTTAGTTTTTTACGTAGTATTTTAGAAGACGCGCTCGTCCACGACGCCTGTTTGTCATCCTCTCATCAAGAACTACGTCGAACAACTAGTACAACACCATTTGCACCACAACGGAAATTCTTTTTTTGCCGAATGGCGCGTGAAAGAGAGCTCGTCAACTGCGACTACGCACAGAGTGATGAAAGTGCTCACTACTTTATTCCTTACAAGTCGAGTGCGAGTCGTGCTGGTGCTGCAAATCATTAAATCATCTCTAACCACAGACACAAAACCATAGCACTCCGTGCCCGTCACTATTATTTCTTTCCTGCTGTAGAGGTTTTGGGTACGACAGAGATATGGCCCGGAAGGCGCTCAATACCAAACTGACCGCGTTTGCAGTGCAAAATAGGCACGCCAGGAATCTTCCGTATTCTCCTTTTCAAGTCTGCATCGTTTGTTCCAACCAAGTAGCACTTGTGATTGTGCACGCGCTCACAGAGGCAGTCGTCGGCGTAGGTACCCTTGTGCGTGCAGGTCAATCGCTCAAACCTGTTGTAGTGGATCATGCCAGTGAAATTATATATCTTTTCTCACGATGATCATGGCTATCGTGGGAAAAATTATCCAATAAGTAGCACTTGATTTTATGAAGTAGGAAAAGCCATTGAGAAACGTAAGTACCTGGGGTCGCGGGCGAGCTGCAAAGCCATTCGATATTTGGAGCCCATTTTTTCCAGTTCTGCCAACACGCAGTCGGTAACGCAAGGGATGCACTTCGCTAGCAGCAAATCCATCATGCCCTTGAACAGGTCCACCTTGTTCTGAAGTGCTGAGTTCACGAAGTTCGTGTCGACCAGAACCCGGTAGGGAGGTACGAGATTTTCGTTAAACGAGAAAAAAAGGGAGGAGTGCAGCTGTTCGACTTCCTTGGTCTTCTTGCTCTCCTTTTCCTGTTTGTCGAGCACTTGTTTCCGTACTTCTGGAGCCTTCGTTCTGTCGTCATGCTTGGAGATCATGCGCTTCACCAACGCAAACTTTTTCGTGCGCTTCGTCTTACCCATTTTGCTGGTCGTGGTCGACGTCGAATCGTCCAAGATCGATACCAATTACAATTAGGAAAAGAGAATAAAGAACAAACGGATCCAGGTTGTGCCGCAGCAGGGAAAACTGACAAGAGATGATACAATAGATTCTGCAAACTACGTGATAGATTCGGCTTCCACAAATTAGATGAGGTTGAACGAGTAATCCCTTGAAAAGTAGTTGTACAACGGTGACAAGTTATAGTCTATATGCTATTTCTAGATCTGTGCCTCCTTCTACTTTTTTTCAATCGATTCTGTAGAGATTGACATGATTGAAAGTCCTGTTCGTGAAAATCTGCTTCAGCTGCGCGGACACACAAACATCTGTCTAGTGGCAGGAACATCTCGTCGTGATCAAAATGGCAACATTGACATTCATCGAGCTCGTCACGTCTTGTTTTTTCCATCGTTAAGCTCCAGCTTTTTCGTGAATTATTTCGGATCCAAATTACAACCGAGATCGAACGTGGGCGATGATCTTCTGGGAGCTGGGTTTCGCTCACTGATGCTTTGCGCCTTAATGGTACTTTCGTCAATATTTGTGATCTATCATCATGATCATGTGCGATTGATCTAGTACCGCGACTGCTTGCAGAGTCTGAGCAGCGCAACTGCGTCTGGGTCTCATCATTTTCTTTTCCCACATGAGCATAGAAAACCTAGCGGCATGATGATTCGCCTCGCAAGAACAGAATGAGACCCGGATAAGGATAAATCAGCAACAGCAGTTGCATTGCAATCAAAATGGGTGCTGAAGGGTGAAGAAATAATGACGAAATATACAGAAACATCCTTAACAACCTGTTGTAGTGCGTCTGTTCGTGGCACGACAAACGCATGTGCTAGAACGGTGCTTCAAGAAGGTGCAAGTCTCTCTCGGACTTTCCTGTCCTATCTGCCCGGGGAAACCTTCGCCTTCTTCAGCTTTTGGGCAGTGGTCGTGCTGCTGTTGCCATGCTCCTGTTCCAGGATGTCGGCTATGCGCTTGTTTTCACAGTGGGGCTGCCGGGCGTGGTCGAATCGAGTGGTGGCGACACAGTGCCCCTGGTCGGAGTAAAGGCGGTACTTGTACAAAACTAGACCCTCGAGCCCGACGGGACCCCGGGAGTGAATGCGGTTCGTAGAGATGCCGATCTCGGCACCGAAACCGAAGCGGAAACCATCGGCGAATCGCGTGGAACAGTTATGGAACAAATATCACGGCGGGAAAAGAAACCATCCCCATCTGATTGGTCATGCAAAACATGAAGCGCATCATGCGCAAGCGCGGCAGCTTGCGTAAAAGACTGCGCTATCTTGGAGGAGCCAGGGGGCATGCGGGTTGTTTCAAGGGCGGGTGCGCAAGGCAGTGCAGAGAAAAACACCCGAACATGCACCAAGCTGGCAGTGGCACTGGCACAGGAGCAGGACCACAAGCAGCCAGCACACAACTAGTAACAATCGATCTCCCGTAGCTGCGAAGCCGCCAGTGTGCCTGGCGCCGCGGCCCCAAGCCCGTGCTAGTTCTCATGCTACAAAAAAATGCGGCCGCGGCGCACTTTGCCTCCCCCTTTGCAAACCGACACAGATCATGCTGGCTGCCGTGCAGGAAAGGTAGGTCAGGCGGACACGACCGTCGAAGTGCCTGTACTATCTCGAAGTATTTCTCATTCCAATATCATGGATGAGGATGGTTTTGTTTCAGCCGATAACACGTCGGCGCTGTCGACGCCCTGCATAAACGTTTCGCAGTTTTCCTGGGAGGCAGTCAGAATCAGGTCGGTGTGCTTCGACCCGTGTTCGTTGATGTGGGCGATGGCCTCTTCCACGCCCCCGACTGTCTTGACGGCCAGTACGTAGTCCAAGAACTCAGTGTCGTAGTCTGCGGGGGTTGCGTCCTTTACTACCAGAAGTTGTTCCCCATCTTTCGTCGTGTTCATCTTGCCGACGTGCTTGTTGCTCTTTCGTATCTGCAAGGCCTTCTCAAATGCTTGCTTCGACAAAGGATCACAACGAAACTCCATGCTTTGCTTCGTTCTCTCTGCCCATCCGGCAAACGCATCGATGATCTCCTCCACCACGGTGCTTGAAGATGAAGTAGAGGCGGTCGCTGAGGGTCTCTTCAACACCAGGACGCCCCCGGAGTCATGACTTCTTTCGCCGCGGCAGTGCGAGGCGTGCAGCAGAAGAGTCTCCGCTGCGTTGCATGCGGACACGTAGCCCGTTTTCGACTCGAGCAATACCTCCCCGACAAAAGTTTTGTTCTCCTGTGCGGAAGCCGCGTGAAGACCACTTGTTGGGTCGTTCTTAGAGACTACGGTTGTTGACGCGGAGTTCTTCTCGCAGCTACCGTTCTTTGCGAGACCCTTGGGCTGCTGGCCGCTTTTCGGCACCTCGGCGTCCACGTACGCAGCACAGATGCCGTCCGCGTGCCCCAGAACTGGGATCAGAGTGTTGTTCTTGATGTAGCGGACCAGAGCGTTCCCGCCTCGGGGAACCACTAGATCAATGAAGCTGTCCATCTTTAGTATGGCAGCAACCTCCTCCCGAGCTTCGAGTAACTGCAAAACACCTTCCGCTGCGTCCTTGTCGAGAAGTTCCTGGCTTTTGCTCTTCGTTTCTTGCTCGACGACAAAGTCTCGCACCGCAATCTGCAGAGTCTCCACCAAAATGCGGTTGCTCCTTGACGCTTCCTTACCGCCCTTTAGCAGTAGAGCATTTCCACTCTTCAATGCGAGCGAGGCGATCTGCACACAAGCTTCCGGGCGAGCCTGAAATCCAATGAAAATAAACAGAGCTAGTGCAAATAACTGCCAGACCGACCAAGATAAATGGCATCGGGGACGATCTCATGTTTATGTTTTGAAAAGAACGAAAATAAAATAAAAGATATCACGACAGGTGCCCGCTTTGTGTCAGCTTTTTGCTTTTGGTTAAGTTTATTACATAAATTTAAAAATACTTTTACTTATATGCCAAGCATTGATTTTCATATTGTCTCATGCTAGTAGTACCTCGAATATAACGCACATCACGCCGATCGGGCATGTGACGCGATACAATTGTAGGCCCTTTGTCAGCTCGTTGGCGTAGGTGCATTTCCCGACGGGGTCTTCGAGCGCGATTACCTGCTCAATCCCCTCCAGTAGCGTGTCGAATTTGCTGCCCCCGAGGCCGAGCCGGCGCACCAGCGTCTGCGACAGCTGCCCCTGGTCGGCCAAGCGCTGCGCATCTCGCACGTCCAATTCGTTCTCCGCCAGGATTTTTGCCTTGTGCTCCCGCAGCTTCGATTGAAATTTGCGCAACAAAGCGTTTTTGTTCTCCGTGGAAAGCTGTGCGAGCCGCAAAGCTGTCCGCCGAGCCCTTTTGGCGGCGACCACCATCGCCGATGGAGGCTCACCCTGGGAGGTACTGCTCATGTCGATGACCAATGTGGATCACGTTTTCTCCTCGCTGATATAATGCAGCTTGTGTTTTTTGATCTAAAACAATTGAGAAGAAGAAGTCGTACGAAAAGGATATACTAGACTTGAAGTTTTATTTCATGACATAGGCGTTCACTGTCACGGTCACCTTTCGTTTCGAAACGGAACGAAGAGAGTTTCGCTTGTAAAATGTGTTGTGGCAAATAAGTATGATGAATTCAAGGGCCAAAAGTGACAAGTAGTGAGAATGAGTTAGTGGAGGGGGATAAGTATAAAGCTGCTCATCTCTTCGCTAAGAGTAAGAGCAACGCTTCTGATGCTAAGCCTATGCTTTACTGCAACTCATGTTCCAACTCGATTCGGATATTTCTATATAGTTGTTCGAGGAACAACTGATCGGTCCATCTTGTTGTTGGAGCCAGCTTGCGTTTTCGATCAATCTTCGCAAACATCATCTCAATGGATTGATCCTGATATCGAGGATTTCCTTTTTTACTCTTTCTATGATTTTTTCGTAACAATTTAATGGAGTGCAGATCTCGTTCTGGTGATCATCGGTTGACAGGGAGAGTACTATATTCTATGAAAAAAAAATTGCAAGACCGAGGCGGATCACAATGACCAATGCGAAATCCGGCAGGACGAGGACTTTACTATAGCCCTTCGATCTTCCCTATCGCTATGCAATCTATTTTTTTTTCCTTCTTGATCAGGTACGGCTCCGCTCCAACACATTTTTCAAAACAGATTCCGCGCTGACCAACAATAAATTCCAACATCACGACGACAGATCTCTGGCCCTGGCGCAACTTAGTTTTTAGACAACGTCAACGAACGGTCTCCATCATTACAGAGAAAAATGTCGGCGACATCTTCTTCTTCATCAGTAGCCCCATTCGCATTTAAAACAAATCACGAGTCTCAAGATGATCAAGCGCCGGCGGCTTCTCCTCATAGAGTAGCTAAAGCTATAGCTACTTTAGAAGATTCCAGCCTGTTACTCACTAGCTGTTTCTTGTTCAGGTCATGAGTGCAGCCGGCGGAGCGACTTTACGTCGCCACGGTGGCAGAAGAGCTTGCCGGTCCAGAGCTTTGCTCGGAATCGCGCTGCCGCTGCCGCTGCTCCGCGTCCAGCTCCGCACGAATACGCTTCTGGTCCGCTTTATGGATGTGTCAGGTTTGAAATCGTCAGAGTTGAAATAGTTTGTCATGCTAAACCGACCGAAACCACTACACAACCTGTAAGGGCACCTCACCGCATAAAATGGATGCCAGTTGGAGCCCAGTTTTCAAGTGGCGCATGACAAGTTTTGGCGGTGCCTAAATTCAGTCTGTAATGCTGTTTGGGTAAGGAAGACGCCTTTTGTCATGCTACTTCAGCAGCTGTATCTCTACCCCTCAACAGGCTTGCAATATGCCTCCCTTGCCTACTCTGCAAGACAGGCGCTTTGTGGGTTGCATTTTATGCATCGCAAATTTTTTCAACTTTGACGATTTCAATCCTGACGCTTCCATACGCTTCATTGACGGGAATCTCGGTCACGTTTTGCTGCTCGCCGTATCCACAAAAAAACCACCATCCCCATCCAATTTGTCATGCAAAACATGTATAAAATCCTGTGTCTGTCATGCATAAGATGGATGGGGATGGTTGTTTTTTCCTGGATACGCCACTGAGAACCCTCTCCGCGTACTCAATCATGTCTTTGCACTCTCGCATCAGCTTTTTGCAGTCACAGCTTTTCTCGGTGCGAAAAAGTTCCAGGGCTTCCCCAAGTAGTTTTTTCCCTTGCGTGTACGAGTCAGCCTCGCCGCACCAACACAAAAATTCTCTATGGAAACGTCAGGCTTGAAGTCGTCGAGGTTGATATAAATATGGTGATATCAATTTCAATTTCCGTGCCAACTACAAACCGACCGACACAACAAACACAACTCGTGGGGCACATTTCCGCAGATGGCCAAGCCAATGGGACGCAGAGTCAAGCGGACCGAAGCCACCACCATTAGTATCCTTGGATTACCTACCGTAAAGGAAGCCACCACGACCTCCAACAATTTTCTACGCGTAAAACTGGCAGCAGTTGGAGCTGGGTCCCTAACTTCTTCTTCACTTGGAGGTCACGCATTGCAAATGCTGGGAGCGCCCGGATTCCCACAGTCATACTGTTTGGGGCACCTCCGGTGCGCTTGTTCGCGATGCTATGGCTAGTAACCCTGAACAGGTCCACAATGAAGCGACCGCGTTTGCCTTCTCTACAAGACAGGCACTTCGGGCCTCGCTGCATTTTGATTTTATTGAATATGTATACGTATGCATCGAAAATTATTTTCATTTTGAGTTCGTCGACTTCCAACCTGCCGCTTTCGTATTCGCCCGCGAGTTTGTAGAAGACCCCGGCGTTCCCATCCTGCTTCACGGCGGGGTCCTTTTTCAGGCGCTCGGAGTATGCTGTTTGAAATCATCTTCACCCAGTCGCGGAACGATCAAGCACGATCAGGATCCGCATGCATAGCGAAAATGGTGCAAAGCCCTAACTGTTGATGCCAATCCTCGACACCCACACGACCACACTACGAATAAAACGCACCCTCCTCGTTACGAGGTTTTAATAGTACCTTGAGAGTACCGTTGGGGAAGATTTCATCAGTACAACTCACAGAGGATACTACTCCCTCTGTCACAACAGGCGTGAACTCGCGAAACTCCACCCGATTTATTGTGTCAACGTGGTGCGTTATCGTTTCCATCAGAAAATTATGGCACTCCATCAGCTGCAGTATGTCTACACAGTCCTTCCGCACTGCGATTTGGTAGGCTTTTTTGAGATGTTTCCGCGCTTCCAACCTCTTCGTCGAGGTAGTGGAGGACGTTCTGGCGGCCTTGGTAGAAGAAGTCGGCGTCGCGGTCGTGGACGACGAGGAGGTCGTACTTGCACCAGTAGGTGCAGCAGTGGTCACATCCTCAACTGAAATCCCATCCTCGCCCTCCGTGTCCGGAAAAGAAGAGGTCGAAGCAGACATGCGCCACTATGAATCGCTCAGGTGTTGCAATCAATCTCAACCAGATCTGGTGCTAATGCATTCATATATCAAGAACAATCTGTTGCTGGGCAGGATTTCGACTTATTTTTTCTATGTAACACATAAAACAGCCAAATGCCTGCAGCTCTCTGCGGTCCTCAGACAGAGCAGGCAGCACATGAAGACAAGGTGTGAAGAATTCGCGGAACTACACCCACCAGCTGCACTGCATCCTAGTACTCCGCGTGTCCTGCTGTCTCTGGTCGTTGGTCCAACGCCACCTGGTCGTTGTTTCACCAACGTGAAAAAGTTCCGTTTGCCTGGTAACTACAGTGAGTTGAAATGGTAACACCCAAGCGAGTCATAGCCATTGGAGACGTCCAAGCTCCTGGTACCCCGAGCACGTCAAAGGACTAAATGCGCCGCAAGTCACTTCGTAGCAATGAGACGCCTCCTTCAACAGTTGCTCGGCTTCTGCTTCTCGGTCTCGGCCGAGCTGCGCTAGTATCTTTGCGAGTGCGACGCCCGCTTTTGCCTGAAGTGAAACAGAAATGGCACGAAAATGAGACTCCAAAAGTTCATACATTTCGCGACAATGCAGCAGGATCCTCCAGCATCCGTGGTTAGACGAAGACTACTTAGCATCGCTGGGCTCACTTCAACTTTACTTCAACAAAAACAGAAAATAATCATCCAACAGAGGACAAGGAGTGTTCCACTTTCGCAGAGTACATGTAGTGCTACTAGTGGCTGCGGCATGTCCCCGAAATATTAAAATGGAAACCTGCAGGCTGTTTAGCTGTCCGCCGGAACGGCGACGGTAAAACTCATAGGCTTGTCGAACAATTGTTTCGGCCTGTTCGGTCTTCTGCTGACGATCTCGTACAAGGCCAAGCCCCAGCAAAACGCCACCCTTTTGACTGGTTGCAGACTCGTCATTTTGACAAAATTTCAGGGCCGCGGAAAAGTATTCTTCGGCTTTTTCGTAGTTCCCGAGGCTGAAAAGCGAGAAGTTTAGCTTTGTTCTTGATCAGGAGCATGCATGCGCTGCAGTATGCATGTTCGTGAGCGAATTCAAATCATATCGGTGGACCTTAGAACGTGTCAATTGCTTAACTTTATCTTTCGTAAAAGTTGAAATTAATCATGGTAGACGAGAGGACCGAGGAAGTTTACAAAGTCGCGACAACATCGAAAGACGATGGCGACGCCATGGTGACGATGTCGACCTTGCAAGGGGAATGTTGTAGTTTTTGACACATCGCGTGTCAATCCACTACTTGCAAGAGCAAGTATGAGCAAAATTATAGCGACAGCAATATCTACCCTGCAAAATGAAAATCTACTTCTCCTGTGTCTGTCCGTCGCTTGTATATCTTATCATTTTAAATTGTAGTACCTGTTATAGGTGTGCGCAATGTTTTCGCAGAGGGCGCCGTTCGGACCCAGCATGTCTTCCATCTCCAAGAAGAGCGGTAGTGCTTCTCGAAATTGGTTTTTCTTCCACAGCACGAAAGCGTAGGCCTGGATCCCCTTCAATTTGTACTTGGACTGCGGGTGGGCGCGACAGACCGGCACGATCTCCTCCAGGTACTTTGCAAGCATATTGAGGCGGTACAGCTGAATTGAGTTGTCAAACAGCTCAAAGAACTTGTCCAGTGTTTCCGGGGCGTTGAGTCCTTTCGCCTTTCGAAGGTCCAAAAATTCCCGCTCGAGAATCACCTCATCGTTCTCGTTCTTCGCGGCATTTTCCGCGTCATCGTCGGGGTTGAACTCGCCGCTGATCACAGACTTCAGCTGAAAAGTTCCAGCATTCTTGCCGGTGGAGGGCGGCCCTCCTGAAGAGGCTTCGACGCCGTGCGGGGCACTAGATAGCTCTTGCTGCATATGGCTGTTTCAGGATCGAAATCGTCAAAGGTGAGACGATTTGCAATGCATAAAATGCATGACCCGAGGTGCGTGTGTTGCAGAGCAGGCAAGTGAGGCCGATTGTAAGCCTGTTTGGGGTTAGGGCTCGAGCTGCTAAAGTAGCAGGAGAAAATCGGTCTTCTTTGGCTAAACAGCATGACAAACTGGATTTAGGGACCACTAAAATTTGTCATGCGCCATTTGGGAACTGGGTTCCAACTGGCATCCATTTTATGCATGACAAACCATTTCAACTTTGAGGATGTCAATCCTGACACATCCATACTGCAGGGAGCTCCGGAGGGCCGCGGCTTCCCGCTTTCCCACACATTTCCACTTCTTCCCGGCGGTTGTCTTCACCAGCGTCACGCTCAGCTGTTTTTTGTCGACCTTCTTCAGCTTTTCAAGCTGCCAGGCGCTTTCGTCCACGTCAATCTTTCCGATCAGCTCGTCCTCAAACAGGAGCTCTTTGCTATGGATGTGTCAGAGTTGAAATCGACAAAGTTGAAATAATTTGTCATGCATAAAATGGATGCGAGTTGGAACCCAGTTTCCAAGTGGAGCATGACAAATCTAGGTGGTCCCTAAATCCAGTTTGTCATGCTGCTTAGGCAAAGAAGAGCGATTTTCTCATGCTACTTTGGCAGCTCTAGCTGTAGCCCCCAACAGGCTTAGAATCGGCCTCACTTGCCTGCTCTGCAACACACGTGCCTCGGGTCATGCATTTTATGCATTACAAATTATTTCAACTTTGACGATTTCGATCCTGACACTCCCATATTTGCCGATCACAACTTTCAGCGAGTCCTTGCGAATGTTGCAGTGGACGTCTCTCGTTCTTTGGCCATGTCTATTCGTCTCCCTGTGCTCGCATAAGAGCACTGCAGCAGCCGGGGCAGAGACGCCAAAAAGAAAGCGCTGCGAAGCAAATGCAATTAGGCAAGAAGGCGCGAAGGCAAGGGCGAAAGGACCAGGCCGAGAGCTTTGGCGCGTCTATCCGGCAGGCGCGTGAACTCTCCGGCCTTTTCGGCAGAATATAGACGGGCTGAGGGCAGCAGAGGGCGCTCGTCTTTTCCCCTCGGCCCCGCTTCCCAGGGTCTATTTGCGGAGTTCCTTGAGCACTTTTCTGCGCTAAACTTTGCTTATCACGGTCGAAAAGTGGCGCTCGGTGAGTTTTGGGGTGAATTTTGAAAAGGACGCCGGTGAATTTTGTCCTCCGGCTCCTTTTCAAAATTCGCTAGCGCGTGAGAAACTCCGGGTTTTGGGGCTTCAACAAAGTGTCGCCAAAACAAAAAGTCCCAAAATTCACCAAGGGAATTCTTGACCTGGGGATCACGTCGAATAAGACTTGCTCCGGGGGCAAAAAGACACGTGGGGAGTTGTGAGCAGAGCACAGCAGGCGAAGCAAGCTAGCGCCCGCGGCCGAATCGTGCCTCCCCTTCCACCCGAGGCTGCTCCCAGATATCCAAGTCCAAGCCGAGCCAACCACAACTCGTGAGAGCATACATGTTGAACTAGTGCCCCTGTGTTCAGGCGTCGCCCTCCCTTTCGACCATTTCGGAGAGGAACTTCTGAGGCAGACGCGCAGAAGACTAAGAGCCCCCCGACCCACCTTCTCTGGTCGCTAGATACGCACTACACAGCCCGGCGAGCCCCCGCAAGACCACCTCTTTTGGTGCTGCAAGCGCCACCACGCGACGAGCAGCCCTTCAGGCTATGTGGTATGCTTGGGCTCGTGTCCATACGTAGCGCTCTTTTCTTTTAAGTAAATGCAAGTCATGCAATACAAACTCACTGCAAATTCACACTTCTGTACGCTAACGACCGTTGAAGACATAGGTTCTTTGCCGATCACAACTTTCAGCGAGTCCTTGCGAATGTTGCAGTGGACGTCTCTCGTTGACACATCCGGGGCGCACATGAAATCGAGCTGCAGCTCTTCATCGTTTTGGGAGAGCACAAAATTGCTCCCGCTCGAAGCAGCAGTAGAAGCGGACGCTGCGGGCGCAGAGAGATTGGAGCAGGAGCTTCCATCAACCATCTTCACAACTTGCGGCACTGCTCCTGGACTATATCACAAGAAAAATTGTACCCCTGCAACCTTCTTGCACTTGCTTCATCAATTTCTATGAAGTTCCATCATTTTTTCTGTTTTTCTGTTTGAAACGGCCCTACATAACTACAAAAAAACATCTTCTGAGAGGAAACAACAACATGCGGTGGAGGTCGCCGGGGGTACAATTTTGATTGCGATACCACAACGCTAGTATCCGACACCATAATATCAGAATATAGAAGTAGATGACACTCCTGTCCTGGAGAAGGGATAGGTTTTCATCTGGTCTACAATTTCATGAAAACACGTCGACAAAGTTCATAACCATTTAGACGAGAAAAGGAAAACAAAAAGAATAAGAAACTTGGACTACTAACTTGCATAATGATAATGTGAAAGCAATGACAACGCTTGACTTTCAAAGTCACTTTGATCTTCTCCATCATATATTCTCCGAGGAAAATCAGAAACCCCTGCACGTGTTCACAAGTTGATGCGATCCTGATTCGGAGGACTTCGTTTCAAATGCTTGATCCATCATCCTGCAGAACCAGGAGCCGCTCAATCATAGATACAAAGCACACCTGGCATCGTGCGGATGGTTCTGCGACGAGCTTCGTTTTTGCCGATGAAGAAGCAGAAGAAAAAACGTTGACATCATGCTCCTGAGAAAAGTGGTAGTGGTTGCAGCTAAGCTGCAGGAGGTGTTTCCTTGTTCTGCCGGGCAGTCACGATGCTGCACAACACGAACACTACGACGAGCACAAGTGATCTATTGGGTTTGCGTCAAGTCGTTGGTCATGCGCACAACTCCGATTTGGAACCTTTCACTTTCTAGTGCAGCTCGTCGTGTACGTAGTTTGTCTTTATTGGCATTTATCAATTATACATACAAAGGCCCAGCGCTGCTTCCCGGCGCTTCGGACGGGTGTATTCCCAGCCGCGCACAACTCGGTGCACCTCGTGACCCGTGTCCTCCTGCTCATGATCGCATCGTTCGCGCATAGCAGCACAGTCACGAAAAATGTCAAGGTTCGCGGCTGTACGATGATCACTACAGTGTGAGTGATGCTCATCATCATGTGATGTTCCATGAGCCAGGTGCTGTCCTCCCCGACCTGCTCCTGCTCCTTCCTTCCTCATGTTTTCAAAATTTACCTGAACGTCGCCGGTTGATCGCTCATGCTCGAGTAGTTTTGCGAGCATTGGGACGGGAATGTATTTTTCTTTCTCAGAAATCCAGTTCCAGTCGAGGTCCCCGAAAAACGCATCTGCACGGATATCGGAGGTCCGTCGCGCACCCAGCCTGTCTTTGGGTCTCTTTTGCAAAAGGTGTCGTAAAAACGTTTTTGCGTTGGGCGATATCTTCACGCCCGGGGGTCCTCGCACGGACGCCCGCTGCGTTGGCTTTGCTTCATACAGAATTGGATGAGAAGTCGACGAGCGTTTTTTTGACGTCCGCCCTGGCCCTCCGTCATGAGTCGTTTTTTCACACGCAGGAGGTCGTGCTGAAGAGGTACTAGTACCATCCGCCTGGTTAGCAGCTGCAGTGTTAGCAACGCCGTCCTCTTCGACAATAAAGGAGGCGGACAGCAAATGGATGCGTCAGGTTCGAAATCGACAAACTTGAAGTGTTGGCTTGGCATGCGTAATAAAACCGTCCGACATGACCAGCTTGGCCCCGCCCAATTCTTAAGCGCCGCAAGCTAAATCCAGTCTGTCGCGCTGTTTGGAGAAAGAAGTCTGGCTCATCTGTCATGCTCCTACTTTAGCGGACTTATCTCATCTACCCCAAACAGGCTTACAATCGGTCTCACTTGCCATCCCCGCGAGGCAGGCACATACATTGATTGTGCCACCTACACCTTGCATTTTATGCATTGCGAGATCTCATTTTCAACTTTTGAATCTCTATCTCGAGACTGACGCTCCCATATAGCAAAACGTCGATCGGCTTTTCCAGGATGTTTCGAAACAGCCGACGTCGGTCCCGAGTGTTATGGCGTTCTCAAATGTTACATTCTCGACTGTTACATGAATTTGCAATGCAAGAATAGCATGGGTCAGAGGGAGAACCTTGCGCGTCGTGCATTACAGTTTTGGTGCAGATTCTAGTGCTATTTAGCCCTCCGAGAATTTGTCATGCGAAGCAGCTTCATTGTTTGGTGGCTCATGGTCATTTTGCATGACAGTAACAGTTGAGAATGTAACGTTTGAGAACCCCATAAGTGTAAAAGGGGGGCGTGCCAGACAGCATCTCGAACAGTAGGACCCCGAGTCCATAAGTATCGAGTGTGTGTCCGTGCCCCCGGCGCTGCAGCATTTCCGGTGCGAGGTATGCCACGGAGCCGCAGAAGCTTTCGCCAAGTTGCTTCTTCGAGGTCGTAGTTCCTTTTTGCGCTGATTGCTTTTCGCGTTTTTCCTGCGGCTGTGAGATCTTCTGCTCCTGTGGCAGCGCCAGCGGCTGACCACACTGCACTGCTTGTACGGTCGCTGGTGGTCGTGCAGACGGCGCGTTTGCAACTCCATTTGTGGTCGTGGTGCGCGTGGGCAACAATTGCTCGTCTTCCACACTTGTTGCGACTGGAGTCGATGTCGCGGCTAGTATGGAAGCGCCATCTGTGATCTCGACAAACTTGAAAGTATCTATCTGTCATGCGCGAAGTGCTAGGCTGGACAGAATACGCGAATAGGAGAGCAAGCAGATGACGATGAAGACGATTGTAAGCTAGGCGCAAGAATCTGGCTGGTTACTACAGGGCATGCCATGAGCAACCACATTTGCACCAATCAGCATGCCCACGCTCAGTCGGATTGGGATGTTCGCAAAATTTGTCACGCGCCGCTTACATATTGGTTTGGGGGCCAAAGAAGTCGAAGCGGCGGCGATGCTATGCGTCGCAAATTGTTTCAACCCCGTCGATTTCAAGCCTGACGCTTTCATAGTTGGGGAGGGGAGCGTCGAAGTAGAGTCGGCCGGCGAGGGGGCTTGGGAATGCCATTCAGATGTCGGAGAGCTGTGAAAATCATGACCGCGGCCCCCGGACGAGAAGGCTGCGCCATCAGCCTTAACTGCCGGAACGTGGATCGCTTCAGCGTCCGCTGCCGCGGCAGCCAAATAAGACGACCCGGTTGTGTAATTCAATTGCAGACTGAGTCCGAAATCCGTCAGGTAACTGTGTCCACGCGCATCCAGAACAATATTTTCCGGCTTCATGTCGCGATAAAGGATGTTGCGCTCGTGCAGGAATTCGAGCGCCAATAGCTGCTGCGCCGTGTAGATACGGGCGAGACACTCCGGGAACCGCTTTAGCTTCTGCAGTAAGTGCTGCATGTTGCCCCCGTTACAGTACTCCAAGCAGAGCACCAACTTTGTCGGAGTTTGAAAAGCGTAATGGAGCTGAATGATGAAATATCCACGAAAAAACACCCATCCCCATCCAATTTGTCATGCAAAACATGCGTAAAATCCACTATTTGTCATGCAAAAAATGGATGGGGATGGGTGTTCTTTCCTGGATATGAAAGGGTGGTTTGTCACAAAGGACAGCACATTGCGCTCTGTTATCGCGTAGCGAAGCAACCCTCGTCGGCAGATTCGCTCTTTCGTCAGTACTTTCATGGCGAAATATCGAGGCCGAAGTGCTGAAGACGAACTGCTAGGCAACGCGCAGTTGGAGCTCGAGTTGCTGGCTCTGGAGGCTGCTGGAATCCTGGTAATATCCCCCGCTCGCTCGCGCTTCTCTTGAACAAGATACACTTCGCCGAAGCTTCCCTTGCCGACCTGGCGGAGGACGATAAAATCCTCCGGCCGCGCGTGTGGCGTCACAGTGCTCGGAACCGAACACCGCCGCAGCAGAGATTTTTACCAAGGAGCGGCCTCGAGTAAAAAGAGAACTACAATTTCTTACCACTCCGGCCTCTTTTACTGAAGCAGTGCCAGTGGAGGTGTATGATTTTTCAATGCTGCAACTGTGTTTGTCTTTGCGTTTAAGTTTAATTATCATACGTGTGCCTAGTTGTAGTTCGTATTTTTTTGTGGTGCGTTGAGTCGAGTCACTCTAGGTCTAAGAAATTCCAAAAAAAAATTTCCATTGGCGTGGCATGCTACTAACGCTGAAGGTCACCGCTTTAACGCTTTTCCTTTTGCGTCGGTCGCTTTCCTTTTTCTACTTGAGCGAGGGTGGGGCGTTGTGCTTGTGATGTGATGCCTGCGGCAGCTATGCTGCATGGGCGACGCCGGCGAACCCCAATCCACACAACGTCGCGTCATCTCCGCGAATCGTTAAAAGCGAGCCCGAGTCATTTAAAAATAACGATGATCACGCAGACGACCTCTCGCCAAAAAATGTCCGAATGTTGGACGAGCCCGACGCTTTGTCTTTGCATAGCTTTTTTTTCAACGTTTGCAGCCCAATATACTGACTACAGGCACATGGGGAGCAACCCTGTCCAATCCTGAAGCTCGATAGTACATAGCTGAGGGGGCGCCGCCCGGCGGGAGGCCTCAAGCAAATCTAGAAATCCCCGGCGGGGGGCCTATGAATGACGTTTCAGTCTCCAGCCGGAAATCCATCACCACAGGAGTACTTAGGGCACCAGCTGTGCCGGCTCGAGATTTCTTGCTAGTGAAAAAGAAAAACGCGCTCACGGAACGGGAGACAAACGACCTTTAGTGGCTTAGCCACTAAAGGTCGTTTGTCTCCCGTTTTAGTGGAGGATATATCATAGTTTTAGTAAAACTACTACTACGATATCCATTCTGCATAAGCATATCGTATTCAAGGGAAAGGGAAAAAAACGAAACCGGCGTTGAGGGAGATGGAAGGCGTAGGTTTTAGTGTATTGAAGAGAGATCGATCCAGCTTACTGCTCGGTTTTAGTTGCAGCATGGTCGCCATTTTACTCGAGGCCAGAAAACGACGGAAGAAATAGAACGCATCCAGCGGGGCGCCTCCTGGTTTCTGTGTGTTAAGGTTCTCGACGGGTTTTTCGTGCCGCAACAGCCCGAGACGAAGCGACAGAATTATGGCCCCGGACTTTGCAAGTCGCGGCACTCCTCGATAACGGCACTGCTTGAGAAGATGTAAATTGATTCTCGGAAATTACGGGAGCACCTGGTGCTCCACCGGAAGTTCTACTATGTTTAGATTCGCTCCAGGACGACAGAACGCCGCTGTGGGAGGAGATGTCACCAATCGATTTTTTTCGGCAAGCACTGCTCGTCGTCTTTTCCTGGACCAGTTTTCGGTCTGAGCTAGGGAGTGCTACTGTAACTGCAGGCGCTAAACCCCTAGGCTTGAGCGCAGGCGTCTGGCTTGAGCTGCATTCCCTGTTCGTATGGATTAGAAACGAATCGTCGTCGACACAGCCCTGCGAACTGCCTTCGGAAAAGGACCACTGACTGGTCGCGGCAGTCGTACTTTGGCCCAAGATCGAGGATGAGGAGCTGCAGCTCTTGTTTTCGCCAACTTCGTCGTCTTCTTCCCCACCATTTGTCCCCGTGCATCGGCTTGTGGAGGAGGCAGGAGAAGTGACAGGGGCTAAAAGCGCCATCTGGTCATTAGCATTACTCATCACCACACCGCTTTCTTCCTTCTCTTCTTCTGGCCCTCTATCGCGGGCAAGCTGCAGGCGCAAGACGAAATCTCGGCGGAAATTGCGCATAGAAACAGGCGCAGTTGCTGCAGAAGAGGAAACACTAGCGGCCCCAGGCGAGCGCTGATCAGATATATTAGATGCACTTTGATGATTTTCAGCAATACTAGCATCCCGATAGTGCTGCCCCTCTCGCTCGGAAGACGATACAACACAAGAACGCGTTGTCACCGTATTAGTCACGTTTCGGACATCGGAGACCCTTTCCGCGCCACGATGAGGATGACTTTGCGTCGACAACTGGATGTTGCCATTCGTGTGGATCCCAGTATCTGCTCGACCGCCACTGGGTCGCGCACCGAAGCGCGGTCGCAGTTCACGCCAGAAAGTCCTGAAATGATACAAACACGAGCACCTACTTCCTCCACGCTGACTAGGATGATTCTGCGCAATTTCGTCCTGTGCGGCCTCGAGCTGCTGTTGATGCGCCAACATAGCTCACACCGTTATCGCTTGCTCCGGACAATGGAGGTGCTCACGCGCACCTATATTCATGTATGTGGCATGGAGATGAAATTCAAGACTCACTCCACCAGCGCTATGTTACGTTACCACCATTCGATTTCAAGAAACGAAAATCGCACAGATACACTATATTCATTTTAATACTTTCTACTCTGCACTACCAAGTGGATGCACGTGTGCCACCACTGTTTACTATTCAAGGTAAATTGGGTGTTGCGCTTGCGGTGTGCTGGCGTCTGTCTTACCACAATCCTTCAGGCCTTCCCCCAGGCCCAGCTTTGTCCCAGGCACTACCACTGTTTCTTATTCTTGCCGTGCAGGCAGATGAAAATGCAAAAACTTTATGATTATGATGAACGTATACTTTTACATTCGTCTCTCGCCAGCGCCGGACATTCATATTTCTGGAAAAAACTTCTACGTTCCAGCGAAGGACACTTTCTCATTCTCTCGTGTTGCAAACATGTTTCGTCGGTGCGTTGGTCACTCTGGCACCGCATAGGGACACTATCAAATTTAAATCCCGAAGGACAACAGGGATCGATGATTCCGAGGACCTCCGTAAAAAAGCAGTGCCACGAGCTTTACAATTTGATAACAAAGAACAGAAACATATTCGCTTCTTTCGTACTATGTGGCGTCGCACGTCTGAGACTGCAGGCCCAAGGAGGCGGTTGAGATTGAGATTACTTTTGGCGGTTCCAACCGAACTGAGAAAGGCCAACATTTTGAAAGATACCTATGAGATGCAAAACTACCACCACACGCCATGCAAATCGTTGCGCCCTCTTCAACTTCCAGCCGCCTGTTGATATCTGGGCACGACAACGGTTTCGAATAGAAACCCAAAAAGGAGCTGCTGAAGACTACATCACCCGTTTTTCGCTTGCGTGTACAAAAATTGATCCTTGATTTCATCGTGTTGTTCACGAGTCGAGACTCTAATCCATGCATGAAGTCGAGACGTTGCAGATTCGGGCGCCTCACATAATTTGCATTTCTTGCGGAAGGTAGTTTTCCATTTCGTAAGACTAGCGCTCCCAGCTTGTTTGATAGAGTGCTCTGTGCCGTCTCGAGCACCAGCGTGTATTGACGACAGTGGCGCAAGCCTCTGAGACTCTGGAATTGGGAGGAGTGGAAGCCTATGCATTGGAAATGTGTAGTCTGGGTCTGGTGGAAGAGTCTGAATCATGTGTGATTTAAGGCGTGGTCGACGCAAAGTTCTGTATATATTGCATGGGTAGCAAAAACCACCCACTTTTTTGGGTCACCTGGAGACGACAGCTCCCCGCGGAATCGCGATGGAGGACGTGGACGAGAAGCCTTCTTATATGAAACTTGCGATGTTGCTACAGGTCGTACTGCAAACATTCTGTTCTTGGGAATGAAATAGCAAAAGGTGCATATACGAATCTCCGAAATGTTCCAGACCCAGACTAGTGCATATTAATATTTGCCATTGATAAAACCGCATGGCATGAGTGCACAACGGTGGGTCGTGCTCTGGACGGGTGAACAAGCTTATTGCAGCACCGCTGTTCTTCCCTAGTTTCTGGGACACCTGAAGTGAAATTGTTTCCTCCTTTACAGAGCAGCAGAGGTCCGCGCCGTTGCGGTTGCGGACCTGGATCGCACTGAGTTGTGATTGACTACTGCTACAATCCGTGGCGTTTCCTCGTGTTAGTTACGCATTAAGTTCTATCATGGATGAAAATCTAGGCAAGCCGCGGAACCTCAAAATGGAAAACTAGGCAATTCTTTTTCGCAAAGTACCAGCGTTCCGCCTCCAGAGCCAGAACTGGTCGCCGTGTCGTTAGCAGAGAGAACGAGCGAACCCAGGTAAGGAAACAGTGGACTCAGCAGCAGGCTGGTGGACTCCAGAAATTCCTGCACAGCTTGGTCGAGTGCTTGGGAGTAAAGCAAGCGATCGACCGGATCCGCAAAGACCGTGCCTTCGATTAGAGTCGTCACATGATTTCCTGCTGTGGACGACGACGTTGCCAACGTATTATCATGCGACGAGAACGGGTCGTCGAACAGACAGAGTCGCGACACATACTTTGCGTCAAACAACAGTTGCAACTGTCGCGGCCCTATCGACGCTGCTGCGGCCGAACTCTTCTTCGCCCATTCCAGCTCCTGTCGAAAAACCTGCGTTGAAGTAGCTGGTGGTTCATTTCCGATCATCATGCATCGGTATTGATTTAAAATTGAATTGGTTCATGCTCCAGGCTTGGGAAGCAATTCCTCAAGGCACTTAGTGAGACAGTATCGGATGTGTAAGTACTTACTACTAGTATCAAAGAATAGCACACGTGGACGACGTGTTCTTAGTCTTACTGAGTGAAGAATAAAATGCAAGAACCTTCTCGAATTCGGTCTGGAGATAGTGGCGTATTCTGCGCGAGGCATCTTCTGGAATGGTGGAAAACTTTCTGGAAAGCAAAAAAAGTTGACTGATTTCTGTGCCACATACATTGACGAGGAAGTCCATGAGTGATGCTGATGCAGTTAGCGGTATGTAATATTTATTGTTGCTCTGCTGCTGCGCCGTGGACCCGGCTCCAACTGCGGTACCTACTACGGCTGAAGCGGCGTCAGTGTTAAGCAGCGCGCCCCAGGTTGCACGGGAAAACTCCTGCTCTATATGATCTTGGTCCACTGTGCTGCTGCTCGTTAGCCGAAAAATTGCTGCGCTCGTCGTTGTCTGCTCGCTACCATGTATAATCGACATTGTAGCTGCATTTTTGGCGCGGCCGCCTGCAGCTTCTTCATCTACTGCAGGTGTTGACAAAGGAGTCGCACCGTCGTGGTTGTACAGCTGAGACGGTATTCGCACCTTGGCCCGCAGCCACGAGTCCAAATTTCTGCCGTATGGGAGTGTCAGGATCGAAATCGACAAAATCGAAAAATTTGTAATGCGTACAATGTAGGACACATATGGCCTCTATTGGGGAGCAGGCAAATGAGACCGATTGCAAGCCTGTTTAGGGGAAGGCGACGCGCTGCCCGAGTAGCATGACAGGAGCAGTCTTCTTTGCCGAACCAGCATGACGGACTGGATCTCGGCGCTCCCAAAATTTGCCATGCGCCACTTGGAAACTAAGGCTCCAACTGACATCGATTTTGTGCATAACAAATTTTTCGATTTTGTCAATTTCGATTCTGACACTCCCATATGCCGGCGGTGTCGGCTAGCATGCGCAGGAAGCGACCCCCCGGATCCTGCAGACGAAACTCCTCTTCGAGACGACGCCGGTTGCGGGCCCATTCAACCAACCGGTACAGTTCCACGTCTACTTGTTCGTTACTAGCGTTCGCGAAGGACGACCACGACGCACTTCTTGCTCCCAGAGACGCGCCATCTGGAGGGCTGGAGGGCGCACCTGGTGGTTCCGAGGATGCGGCCAAGGCTTGCGCAAACACAGAATACACCGCGTCAGAATACGCTCGCAATAGCTTTTGTTGTCGCAAAATTTTCAGTCAAGGTGTAACCAAAAAATACATGATAGATGTCGCGCGAACAAGGAGATTCATCATTCTCTTGCCTGCGTAGTCGTAGATGTCCCCCTAAATCATCGTGTTTTGCATATGCCCGAAAAACTTTTTAAAACAAGCGATAATGAAGCTGTTAGAAGAGGTCAAGCTCCATGGTGGTCGTGATGTGTCGACGTCGACCTCGCCATGCATGATGATACACAATTGTTCTATCGCTCCGTCATCTTATCTGCCTTTATTTCCTTGACTTAGTAATGATGTGCAGCATAGCTGTTCGTTTTGCGAGTACTGCGGGGGCACGCTGCAGATATCTCGCGCAATTTCCAAAAGCTCCGGCTCTGAAGAGGTCAGCCGCAACGGATTCCCCATGCGTTGAGCGGACGCTTCCTGGTGAGACGTGATGAGCGATAGAATAATACAGATGCTCGCCACCACGAGCGGACGACTCACTGCACGTCGGTGGAAATAAAGATGTATATCTTTTTGTGTACTTTACAAACATCTATTGCATCAACTTCTATGATCTACCAGAAACAGTATGGGAAAGTAAGATAATGCGAATCATGTACCACGAGAAGGATCATTTCTCTTGCTGCACGGTGGCGCAAAGACGCGAGCACATCCTCGGGGAAAGCGGCGGCGAGCGGCGTCTCTCTCGCGGCTGCCTCAATGTGTGTCCATGATTCCTTGTAGTTCGTCTGAAACCTGTACCCCCATACAGCCTCTCCAGTCCGCTCACAGAGATCGTGAATTTGCTTGAGACTACCGCACACCGGGAAGGAGAAGTTCGGAAGAAGGCCCGACTTGTCCGAGACCGCAGCAGAGCCGCTTGTTTGCTCTGCGGCTACAACGGAGACCACGGGATGGTTAGTTGCGCCAGTCTTTTGGGTCGTGGAGCCCAATCGCTGACTCTTGTGCTCCGATGATGTGTAGTCGTTCTCATGGTCGTTGTTCGCCAAGACGGAGCGCACCGTTGGAAGCTCGACCTGCGGAAGCACGTCGCCCGTCGCTGCATCGCACGCACATAGAGCTGCGTAATGATCTCTTGTGCCTGCACCTCCTGCAGGAGTGGCTGATCGTGAGCGTGTGTCGGAGGTGGTTCCCTCGTTTGGCGAGGCCATCATCTCCTGCAGGGACAAACTGCAACTATTGCGTTCGCCTGCCTTTACGCGCTGGGCGAATTTTTCCAGTGCGGCAAACACCCGCTGCGGCTGCGCATGGTGCAGGCACAGGAAAGTAGCTTCGAAGGATATCAGGTCGTCTTGCAGCGACAGTCCCCTGCTGCCGTCTGCAGGTCCTGCTCCAGCACCCGGAACGATTGCTCTCGCGCCGGCAGCCATCTCCGGTATACTACTGCCTGCACAGCTCCCGCCGGAAGCGGGGCGCAGTCTTCTCCGGCGCGCAACGAACACCTCAAGAAAATACTTGAGGTCTTTGTTTGTAAAGTAAATCAGGCAGACTAGTGCCTCGAGAAAGGCTTCGGGTGTAAGTGCACTCAGAGAAAGCGCTTCCATACACGCACACACGATCGCGTTATGGCTCCCGCGGCTCTGCCTTCGGCTCTTCTCCAAAAAATTGGACACCCTAAAACCATACGGCGAACCACTAGAGCTGCTGGTCGAGGATGCTGCAGCAGACTCGGGGTCCTCACCACCGCCACGCTTGTTGGCAGTCAGACCAAGGCGGGCTCCACCAGACAACGAGGTTGCCGTGTCCATGTTTGCAGCCTCACTTTTGCTCGCGCCAGCTGCAGCATCTTCTATTTCCCGCGTCACGGTTGGCAGGAGCACGAGAAGTGTTTCCGCAGCTTGCAGAAATTCCCGTGCCAGCAGGTGTGCGCGAATGATCTCAGGAAACTCCAGCAGCACTCGGACCCGCTTGCACAACTGGTAGGTCTCAGCTGCATCATGCTCCTCTTTAACAGCGCTCTCAACTACTAGCATATCACGGGATGCAGCTATACCAGCAGATGCACCTCCGGTCTGTCCGTGCCCGGCTCTTGTTTTCGTTTCCTTCAAAAGGTGCCTCGACAATTGGCGATCTGCCACCTCTTCAGCCGCAGGTGGTGGCTTTGTGCTAGAAGCGTGGTGGTGCTCATCACGCCCCACCGAAGCAACTCCAATATTCCCGCGCTGCCGCTTGCAGGGTCCCTCAATTAGCGCGGCAAGCCGTTTCCTGTCTATGGAAACAAGGCTGGAAGTCACGGGCTGCTGCTGAATCTGCTCAATTACCTGCAAGCACCCGCGAAATTCAGTTGCGCACAACTGAATTTGCTTTACCAAGTCCGAGGATTCCAACACCTGAACAATGTTCATGTCTTTGTGCTGCCAAAAATACTAGCTGGCTGCAGCGGGGGCAGTGAGGTTTTGTCATGGCGCGCACCCGACGTATTGCGGTTGCCGGGCCCCATGGGCCCTCTTTTTGCTGCCTGTGCGCCATACCTTCGTGCCTAATGCTATTCCGCACGGTCTGGTGGCGCACAGATAAAAACTAGTCTTTTATCGAGATTAACAGCGTAACTACTGCGCGACCTCTTCCTTGCAGCCTCTACTAAAACCAGGTCGAGATATTTTTCTTCATCATATTTCGCCAGGGCCAAATATAGCACAAAATGGTCCTACTTCATACCTGTCGATAATGATTGCCAACCATCAACCGAAGGTCTTTTCGTTTTTGGGTGAGGTTCTTTTCCGTTTCTCGGCTGAGGGCCCGGATTTGTGCCAGCGGCTTCGTTCGAAAGAGGTGCTCAATCGATGTGAACTCCACGTGTGTCGAACTTACTTGGAGCTGTGGTGTTGGCATGTTGCCCGAGGGCGTCGTGGTCGTCATCGCAGGAGCGCTAATGTGCGCGGACCCGAAGGAGTCTGCGCCGGGTAGCGGAGCAACCAAAGCAATTGTTGACCCGCGTGCATTCGTCATAGTGTCAACTCGGTTCACATAGATCGCGGCGGCAAGAGATGAATGCTCAGTTGTCGCGGATCTTCAAGGCATTGCTCTTGCTGACCTGACCCTCATTTCGCAATCGAATGCAGTTCGCTGACAAAAGCGGCTGCAGCTATAATTATAAAATACATGAAGTAGGTGTAGGAGTAGCAGGTATGGTAATGCTATGACTAGTAGGTCTACTAGGGGGATACAGTTGTATTTTTTGTATTTTCGACTCGACCTCGCCCTGTGGTCCTGCGAGTCAAATCTATCGATCATATCATCTATACATGTGTTGTTGACTCCCCAGATGATCACAATGAAGAGCGGTGCAAAATAAATCTTGAAGGTGTGGACGAAATCGTCCAACTTCAGTGTCCTTGCTTGATGCCAACTGGACTGAATCTGTAGCATGTGTGTCTGTTCTTCGATATTATTAAGGAGAAGACCGGTGCGATCAGACAAATTGCAAGTGCTGGATCTTGTACTTGCGTCTCGTCAGTTGTTGTAGGTAGTTCGTTGGGCTAGGTGACGGCCTGACGCAGCCAATAGTCCAGCTCTAAACTTCGCCACCGCACTCTGTGCTTGGGTGTCCTCGTGAAAATGGACTGTTCTTTCGCGGCGCCGGACACGTCTTCTACACCGAATATTGTACCGACACAAAAACCAAGACCAACAATGGGTATTTACATCAAGAAAACGCTAACGCATCAACATCATAACACGGACTATATGTACATTGCTATTGCCACAAGAACTACCAAACATAGCCGCCGGGGCGGAGGTAGTGAGGTCATGGGCGTTTTCTTGCGTGCCGGCCGTCGCCTTGGCCGCGGCTTTGCTTTTCCTGGGCTCGCCATACCGCCGCGAGTAACGTTAGGCCGCACGGTATGGCGGCCGCTTGATAAGCGTCGCAAAGTTTTGCAAATTTCCGATTTTCCTTTCCGAAAGCCAACCCCCATGCTATGGGGCCGATCCGCGTGCCACGGGGGGCGCCCAAAACGCGAAGAAAAATCGGGCCCATAGCATGCGGATTGGCTTTGCGCGTCTGGCGCGCTTTTGCTTTTTTGCGTTTTTATTTTTCTAGCCGGCGCTTTTTGCAAAGCTTCCCAGGCTCTGAAACCGGCGAAAATGCGGCCGCTTTCGCGGCCGCCCAAAATGCTCCGAAATCGCGGCCGTCCCATGGTGTTTCACCGTTCTGATTTTGGACGCGTTTTTTTCGCGTCCCTTTTCGGGCGCACCAAACCGCCAGAAACCAAGGCGGTGGGCGCCTCAGAAGGGCGCCCCTTTTGCCGGCTCCCCTGCGTCGTTTTACCCAGCGGGGATCGATAGAATCCGCTGGCGATTCGGTGCCGACACAGCCAAAGCCGCTTGATAATTGAAAATATTTTTTGTCAAAAAACACTTCCGCCCGCTTGCAAACTGCCGGTCGTTTTGCTGTCTGGGTGTCAAAAAAACTCCCCGGTTAGAACCGTTCGGTGACCTCACTACATACTAGCTCCATCATATTTTGTCATGTCCTGTAACAGCTTCACGCTCACCGATAGCAATGAAGAACACGGAAGATGTTCACAACAACCTGAAAACCTTGACATCTTAAGGTAGTAGAAGGTGTGCGAATAAAAATACAAGGCAAGACGAAGACGTACGAGCTTCGCATAAAGTCGCAGATGGTGCGCCGTGTAGAAGAAGAATAAGTGCTGCATTTGTGTGCAGCTTCGTCATTTTTGTCTTTCTAATCTTCGGCTCACCTCTACACATCATCAACAAGTCTTGTTGATGCATTGATGGCTGAAAAATACTTCTGGGTTTCTCGTGGGTGGTGGAGCGCGCGGAAAATTTTAGTTGTGCGGCCATCTGGTGTAGTACAAGCACTTCTACTGCTATCTTTATCTACTTACTCGCCTCGAGGACAAGAAAGATATAGATATTGAAAAATTTGCGCATACTCGTTTTTGCAGTGGTCCAGAACCAACACAGGTTCTGGTGCATACGGAGATTGAGCGTGAAATCCATCGCAGGGTAGACCCAAAAGGTCTTCGCTCATCTTTTCAGAATTATCTCCACTATCTCGGCTTCGGGGCTAATTTCAGCACTTACTACTAGCAAGGGCGCAGTGGGGTCCTGCAGCGAGGGGAAAAAAACATCAGGAAAATCACACTCCCACGCACTTCCGATTGCGGGAGATACTATATCTTGTTTAATCGTCGGAGAAAAAAAACAGAGCCTTCATTATGCTACCCGACTTAATTTGCGGCATTTAAATGTTTCCTTGGTGTTCAGAGTGAAACAAGCGAGTGTGACATACACATTCACTCTTTTCATTGCATAAATCAGAAATTCGATGTTGACGACGAGAATCTGTTGCCGCGATCACGCTTTTGATCATCATGTCATTCAAAAAATAATCGTACCTGCTACAACAAGCCTTTCTACTTTTGTCTTGACCTCAATAGGTGATCAAGTAAGGAGGTGCTGAACTTGTATGTTGCATGTGCATCTGCATGATCATCGCATCAAAATACACAACATAATAAAAGTGCCAACTGTAACAACAACGCGCCTACGTCGTCGTGGGATGCGTTTATACTATCTCCATCAAGTGGAGGTCCAGCATGCTGACAACGTTTTTAGTTCTTCTTGTCAAAGTTGCGGAACTTCTCACCGGCGAAGAGCGCTTTGCCCCCGAGCTCCTCCTCGATGCGCAACAGTTGGTTGTACTTGGCCAGGCGCTCGCTTCGGCAGGGGGCTCCCGTCTTGATCTGCCCGGTGCGCAGGCCAACGACCAGGTCGGCAATGAAAACGTCCTCGGTTTCGCCCGAGCGGTGCGACACCATCACGCCCCAGCCGCGCTCGCGGGCCATGTTCGCCGCTTCGATCGCTTCGGTGATGCTCCCGATCTGGTTCACCTTCAGCAGTAACGCGTTGCACGCACTGCAGTCAATCGCCTTCTGCACTCGCTTCGGGTTGGTTACCAACAAGTCATCGCCAACAATCTGCTGCTCTTTACCTGAAACAAGACCCAAGCGTATTGATTTTCGACGAGAAAAGTACAGAGTAGAGCTGAAACTTCTACTACTCCATATTCATATATGTTGACACAGTAGAGGAGAAACTATACATCATACATAATTGTAGACTTTTTCTCGTCGTTCTCCGAAGCAAGCCGCACAAAGAAGTAAGGCGTGGCGGAAAAATTGTTTCCGCTCTAAAACGAGTGGTCAACACCACTTTTAGCCGAAGACGCTAAAAAGTTTACCACGCGCCCGCGAAACAAGCGCATGATGACCTTGAAAAACTATACCCACGGCAGCGGTGAAAGCGGTGTAGGCTTCCCAGTCGTCCTGGTCAAACGGGTCTTCGATAGAGACGAAGGGGTACTTGTCAATCCACTCAGATTTGTAGTACTGGATCATTTCCGCTGAGGTCTTTTTCTGCGACTCGTCTTTGGCCTCCGGGTTCTTCCAGCCCAGGTTGTACTTTCCGTCCTGGTAAAACTCCGACGCCGCCACATCGGTACCGATTTTCACCTACAGTTGTTTCGTAAAAAGTACTTATTCGTGCCCAAGACTGGCCTACTTGTTGAAACAAGCTATAAAGTAAAAAGACGGAGGAGCTAGAGAAACCAGTGGTCGCCGCGCTCATGTTGACAGCACTTTTGCATTATGAAACATAAAGTCCTCTTGATTCGTCTTCAGCGAGGAGGCAGGCACTCGAACAGAACAAAACCGTGTTGACAAAACCAAAAGGAGAGTTGCAGTCTAGAAATTAAGTTCTTTATGAACGTCAAACAACATGCCCCCGCGCACATACCTTATCCTGGTGCCCCGAAGCTTCGATTGCCTCCATGAGAACAGCCAGAGCTTCGTTGTTGTCCTGCACGTTCGGAGCAAATCCTCCCTCATCTCCCACGTTAACCGCGTCCTGCCCGTATTTCTTGGTAATTACCTTCTTCAGCGTCGCGCACTATCCTTTGCAAAAGTATCGCACGACTCGTACTAATTGCAACACAACCGCCGGATCATACTTCTGCATGACAAATCGCGCGCCTCTATTGTACCGCGGTCTAATCGTGAATCAGAATGAGCATCGTGCTTCTGGAGCTCAAAATTTGCATATTCTTCTGCTCGGTACTACTAGTAAGATACTTTTGCACTGGATACGTAGACTTCTGCGCCAATTTGCATAGCCTCGCGGAACGAACTGGCGCCAGTAGGCAGAATCATGAACTCCTGGCACGCCAATCTGTTGTTGTGGTTAGGTGGTGGAGTTTCCGTTTCGTGATAGAAGGAGCACAAGACCAATATCAATCATGGGGCTTCTTGATCAATCTTTTACCTCAGGAGCTCTTGTTCTCCATCCACCTACGATTACTAAGACTATTTTAGACGAGCACCCATAATCATCAAAATCTTCATATAAGCTGAATAATAACATCATTGAGCGCACTTGTTTCCAGCGTGACTCCCACCGTTGATCACATTGAAACTGGGAACCGGCATCAAAAAGGAGTCGGTTTCAATCCGGGCAAGCCCCGCAATGTGCTTGTAGAGCGGCATTTGCTGCGCTGCAGCACCGGCGCGGCAGACTGCCATCGACACGGCCAGGATAGCATTGGCGCCTGTAAAATCGGAATTATACGAGATGCCCGAGGGGGAGCGTGGAGAAGTTGTGGCCCTTCGGCTTTATTGTACAGTACAGTACGTAGTTGAATATGGAAAGTAAGGCACTAATCGGAAAGTCGTGACGTATGTCCTCCTCACACGTGAACGTCAAGAAAATCACTGTGCGAGCCCGACCAGATGAAGACCGCACGGACACAATATCAACTATGAATCTCGTTTACCAAGCTTGCTCTTGCACCAACCCCATTCGTTCTGCGTGCCGTCCAGGTTATCCTGAGCAAACGCGTCCCTTCTCAATAGCCAAGGTAGAAAGTCTTCAAGACAAGTCGCGGAGCTCTAGTTCCAGGACATACACACCACAAGTTTCAGTTTCTTCGGGGCCGCGCCACAGTTGATGTGTATGATGTGTTAGTTTAGCCTGCGCGCAAGCATCTTCACTTTTTGTGTGCAATTTGTTTGTTGTTCTGAAATGAAATAATCTGATAGTTTGAGCATAGGAAGTTCCTAGGCAGCGCTGAATATTAAGAATGCTTTGACGGGGCTGCGCAATGTATGATAGAGAGACATCGATCCTTAGTGTGCAGATTTGCATTTATGAAAAATATCGCGGGCTTGGGACGCTTTTACTCAGGATACAGGTCCTCAACCATCTTCTTGTCGATTTCTGCCTGCGCCGTGGGGTCCATTCCCACAAGTTTCGGGCCCAGGATATCGTTAACGTTTTCGACGGCCTTGAGCACACCCTTGCCATTCAGGCGGGACGGATCCTTGTCGCGCAATTCCAGCGCTTCATAAATGCCCGTGGAGGCGCCCGAAGGCACCGCAGCACGGAACAAACCGTTGGTGGTGGCTATTACAGTGAAAAATGCCCCCACCCCCAGTGTTGCAATAATTTGTGATGCGAAGTTTCCAAATGAAAGGTTTTTGTCATGCACGAAAGGAATATGAATCTTTGTGATGCAGAGTCTAGGCGTATATAGCATTGCTTGCATGACAAGCGCCGCTCTTGCTGGGTCTGGGATCTTTTGCAATACAAACTTTTGCTATTCATCACGATCGGAAATCTGTGATGCTGATAGATGCAAGAGGGCGAATGTTTCATTTGGAAAGGTTTGCAATACAAATGCTCCCAAGTTCGGGGGTGGGGGCGTTTTTCACTTTGATAGTGGCCAGATCGACCTCCACAGTGGGGTTACCACGGGAGTCGAAAATCTCGCGAGCTTTGACACTGATAATCTTTGCCATCTTTCTTGCTGTTGGAGAATTTATGGAACAATCGTTCAACCGATGTACTTTAAGTTTAAACTACTTAGACTACTTACTCCTTTGTTTAATCGAGAACAAAGTGAAGGAGCACAACAATTGCGGAAAAGAAATTGTAGAACTCACTTAGAGGATACGACGCTAAAGTGTTGTTGTAATTGGATGATGGAGATGAGATAGGTGTTGCTGGTGATCAAGAGTCTTGTTTAAGATTTATGCTGCTAGCTGAATCTGAATGCCACTGAGATGCTTCTTAAAAATACAACAAGAGCTGTCTGGCTGCACGGCTTGGCTTGCGCTCGGCCTCGGGCTCGCCTTTATCATCCATTTCTTTTCAATGAGATTAACAGCGACTGGCGCCAAATAGATCACGTTAGATTGAATGTGGATCCTTCTTGATGTTCACGTCTAATTCTTTCGCTTCTAGGTTTGCTGCGATTTCTGCAGTGCTCATTCGCATGATAGTTTATGATTTCAGAATAAATTATTCACAATTACAGCATTAGCATTACCGACCTCCTGTGCGGAGACATCAAATTCAAATGCTGACAACTGTTCCTCAATGCCATGATCTCGAGAGAAAGAGGATGCAAAAAAAGTACATTCTCGTTGTTGAAAAAATGCGCGTTGGTTTCTTCACGAACTCATGACGTGACGGCACGCTTCACGACAATCTCGCATATAAAGCTTTCGCTTTGTCGTGCAAAAAACAAATTGAGAATTGTCGGTCTCGAAAAATCAACTCCCTGCGCAGAGGTATCACATTCTACGTAAAAAAATAACATATAAAACTGAATATAGAATGTTGGCGCGGAGTGCAAGTAGAGGAAGGTGTCTTCTAGGAGAAGCAATCTCCTCAAAGTACAGTTGTCTGTCACCACAAATGCAGACAAAACGCAAAGAAAAGTAAGTCTTTGCGTGAAGCCCGCACGATTTCGAATGCATGAAGGCAACAAAAGTCTACGATTATCACAATGGGCTCCATCTTCGCCTACTCGACGTCTACGTCCACCCTCCTTCTATATTTCATTGTTGATTTCGTTTTACTTTTTTAACGGATCATCATCATTGTTTTCGTCAGAGTATGACTCAAAAATCCGGTGGGCGGGAAGAGTATTCAACACTTCGGGTGTAAGACATGACGCTCAGAATCATGGCTGCAGTTGTTTCACTGAGCGAGTTGCAGCAGTCACTGTAGTAGCCCGCCACCGCGGTGCTCCACTTATCGGGGTCAACACCCATCAGGGCCGCAAAATCTTCCAGACGGTCGAGTGTGCTGGCACCCTGGCACGTCCGCCGAATGGCGCGTAGGTTCTTCTCAAGTGCCTCGCCGAAGTTCAACAAAGTTACCCCCTCCGGTCGGTGACTCATATCCAGCCAGATCGTGTGGAGCTTCATCACGGCTTTTGAAAAAAGCTCCCCAAACGCGTAAAATATCCAACGTAACAAAAAGTCCTGTTGAGTCAACGAGATCAGCGGCCATTTGTCAGTCTTGCATCCATCGGGAAGGACGCCATACCATGCAGATTAACGTTATGCCCGACGGTGCTGTAGTCAATGAAAGGATAACAGCGTCAAAGAGTAACCAACAAGATACATCCGCTGCTGTCGTCGATGCACGGAGTGTGACATTACGCAACGAAATATGCAAAATAGTAATAGTTTTCGTTTCTCTACAGTTTCTCTACAAAACAGTATAGCACACCATGCTGTATCACGTTATACAGGCTGGTGTGAGCAACGCGCTTTAAGAAATTCACAACATCCCTGCAACTAACCTTACCACGTAAGAACATTTGCTCTGCAAACATAAGCAACAGCAACTGCAACACAAGAAAGTTCTTCCCGGTGGTGTAGGTGCAATAGTAAGGTTAGGCTTAAGATTATAAAATTAAAAATAAAGCGTATGATTATCAACTCAGCCAGATTGATAAAGCATCGGCTTTCTAGTCAATCGCTGTAGATACATGCACATTTTTGGGTCCTGCTGGCAGCACGTTGACGCAAAACATTTCTTTTTCCCAGACCGTACCGCGCGCTTGATAGTGTGATTCGGAGAGCGCGTGCATGACTTTTTTTTTCGTCGCGACGGGTGCAACGGGGATGTCGCAGCCTTGGTAGACCATCTCCGGGGTTTCCAGCTTCAGGTAGAAGATCAGCTGTACGGTCACGTTGATACAGGCGCAGGCAAACAGGTAAAAACTGTTTTGCAAAGCAAATCTTGCTCGCTCTGGAACTGATGCAAAGTAGTATACAAAAAGAAAATGAAAAACACACAAACAGTCAGCAAAAGAAGGTCAGCTCTTATCTTTGTCGTCTCAAGTGAGCTGCGTTTGCAACGCAGGCTTCTAGGCAGGGACATGGACACGCCTCCGAAGCAGCAGAGCTTGCTATTCTTATTCTTTCTATCTGCGTATACAGCGTTTTCACTGTATGATTTGCGTATTTTTCTGTTCTATCTGCGTATCATACAGAAATTAATTTTCTTGTTGGCGGCAGTGTCAAACAGGAAAAGCGCTTGGAAACTTCATGCACTGTTCCAGATCAAGACACATTTATACATAATTTGTGGCTGATAACTTTCTTCCTGCTGCGATTCTGCAATCATGCGTCGCGTCTCCTCGCCGTACTTTTCAGCTAGGTACATCATGCAGTAGAGCGACAAAATCCCGCCCCCTCGAAAGTCGGTTGCCGGATTTGTCGACTGAAACCCGACCTTTTTCCATCTTTCGTCCCTTAGTTGAATCTTCTTGCGAGAGCCGCTGCTGCTGCTTGTTGTGTTCATCTGGTTCTGTGCGCCTCTTGCATTTAGATCATTTACGGTAGAAGTTCCGGCTCCCTTATCTCGTCCTGCTTCATCATCTTCCGCTGCTGCTGGGTACAAAAACTCATAGAACTGCAACAGGTCCGCGCCGTGCCTTGGGTTCCCCTCGTCATAAGGAAGGCCAACCAGGCACTTGATTTCACGCGCCATCTCGAGCTCCTCGACGGTGGGCTGACCCTGGACTCTTGCCAACAAATACCCGAGAAAACCAGTGTAGCGACCTCCATCGGGATCTCCCCCGCCACCACCCCGGTGACCATGCAAGAGACCTTGCTCCAGATCTACCGCATCCTGCTGCTGATCGCGCTCCATATTTCTAATGTAGTTGTTTAAATCTTGTTGATGAGAACGTAGTTGATAGGGACAGTTTCGTACTAATCTTGCTCTTGGCGCAGTTTCATTGTACTTGACGCGGTCATGTGCGTGGCCTCTTCCCATCTGGCTCGATCGACAGAGGCAGAAACTCGCCTAACCAATAAACGAAACCAGCGAGGAGATACTCAGTGGCAGCCACTACTCGCTCTGATCGTCTTCGACGTCGTCTTACGTCTTCTTGGTCGTGATCATCATTAAAAAAGACAAAGACTAAACGGACGAACCCGCCTCCGGAACGGGAACAAGCATAGAAAGATCTACAACCGTGAAGAGTCAATATATGTTTTCTCTACAAGAAACACAAACCGAGGGTGAGCCCCCGCCTAAAAGAATGAGGCATAAACATTAATTGTTCGAAAAGCGAACAATGAAAGCGCAAAAATCTCGAGCGCTGTGCATCACTGAAGCGGGTGGAGTTTGAAGCTCCATCAAATGTTGTGAAGCTCACGAAGAGTTCACCAGTCTTCAACTTTACTCATATCATTTTGCGCCACTTATTTTCGTATTTATGTTGCTGTCGATTTGTCAAAAGCAAAACCTGCCACTTCCATCCGAGGGAAAGCCATATTGAAATGAGTATTGAAGCTGAAATTTTTGCTTTGACTTTCGGCAGAGGCAGCTGGTATTGCTTTACGATTGCGAAGCCGTTTCGCCATTGCTTTAGTCGATCTGTGTCTGCTTCCGAAGCCGACTCGACATGAAAGAGCGTCTTGTTTTTCGTTGCGTTCCTTCCATCTGTTATCCTATGCGCCAAACCAACCCGAGTAACCCGTTGGACGGCGCCATTGGGTCTGGGTCGAGCGGGTCGAACCCTCGCTCCCGCAGCAGGGAACGACCCACTCCACCACCACCTGGCCAACAGGCAAGACCCCCCAGAACCCCACCGCAGGTGGTTGAATGGGGGGAGAGAAGCGCCAGCCCAGCCCCACTTGCCCCGGCCCCTACTTCGGAGCTATAGCCCGCACGGAAGGCGAGCTCCAAGTAACCGCGAAAAAGCGAACCACATCCGGATCCGGCAATACAGTGATGACACCAATTCCGCCAGAATAAACGCAGCAAAGCCTCAAAGCCGGCAAAACTTGAAACGTAGGTGCCCTGGACACAAACCGCCCCGGCGCGCGCAGCGGTCTCCGTGACACAAAACCAAAAGCGCCCGAGCGCCAGCCAAACGCGAGCAACATCTTCGAGTACGTCCCTGCCCGCCGGGAGAGACTGCTCCGTGTAACGGGTCAAAAGTAGAAGCCGTTGCAACTGGACGCAGAGGCGCACAACTGAAAGAGCAGGGGGCCATCCCCGGTAGTGCGTCCCGCGGGACAAGCCAAACAATAACCCACAGAAGCCCGCAACAAGGGCATTACGTACTCCCGGATACTGACCAACAACCGAAGACCGAGCACGAACAGCCGCCCCTTTGCGGCCCCCTTCCGCCTCCACGGGCACCAAAGTCTCACTAGAGGCACTAGACCTAGCAATGCCTGCCGTGGCTAGCGACAAGCAAAGCCCTCCCCAGGAGCGCGTGGCGAACGATAGCATAGCGCTAACGTAGCCCCCAAGGCATACAGACTCGCGCGCGAGCCCCTTACCGCCGGAAGGAATCCGTGCGCCTATGATTGTATCGGCGCGCCAACGAGGCCACACCGTGCCCATAGAGACAGCCTGTCAAGAAGGTGGACGAGTCCGCCACTAGAGAACCACAACCATCCCGAAGCGCCATCGTCCCGCACGAAGCAGTATGTAGCGCAATAGATTGTAATTGACTTGGAGGATCCTCGGCCCCGCCCTGCTAAGGGAACAGAGGGCGAACAAATTGGACACCAAGAACCCCAGCCAAAGCATGGGAACAAGTTCGCAAGGGTAACGGATTGGGTACCGCCAGTGCCAACTCGAGTCTGCTTCCGAAGCCGACTCGACATGAAAGAGCGTCTTGTTATTATATTACTTCATCTCGAATTGCAAGTAATCTTTTTTTTATTTTCATGAAAGTGGAGATAGTCAAAGGAAAGTGATGACTTTCGAGGTTGGTTGCAAAGGTTTTTTTTTCTAAAACTAAAGCTGCAAGGGCTTCTTTTGCTCTTGTATTGACTCCTGTATTTGGTTTTTTGTTTTTCTATATTGTAGTTCAAATTTATTTACTCTTGCTTGGCCCGTCAAGCTACTTCTAGTAGTATTACACATAGCACTGCTAGAGAGCAGCAGAAAACTGTGACTATTAGTATTACGGTACCTCCCGTTCTTCCTCGCGATCCTTCTCAGGAGCCAGGTGTTCAATATTCCGTCCACGACGGCGTCGCTTGTCGGTATGTTCTTGCTCAGCACAAACCGAGCGGGTCCAGTTCTTCAGGAGCGGGTTTGACCACCTCCTTGCGAACGGGTCTGACGTTTGTTTTCGCTTTGGCTGCCTCCTTGCTCTGCTTCCGATTCCGATCTTGGACGCTCTCCCACTCCTGCACGAACACCGTGGTTAGCTCCGAGAACGGATCATCTCCTGCGGGCACATGTTGTTGCCCGGGTGGTGCCAAAAGCGATTTGTGCTTCTGCTGCGTCGTTGTCGGTGTCGATGACGCAGAAGTCGATGCGGACGCGGACGACATGCCAACACTGACCGCCGGGGGCGCAACCTTTTTGGTCGCGGACGGCCTTGAAGAAGTTGTAGCACTTGTACCAGCTGCTCCACCAGCTGCTGCAACAAATGGTCCACCGGAGCCCGTCTTGCCATCGCTTTGATGTGCACCATCTGCTTTAGCACCATTCGCAAAGGCGTTTTGCGCTTCTGCAGTTTGGCCGGTACTAGAACCTTTGGAGGAGGCGACGACTGGTGTGATCGCTGTCTGCACAAACTCTTTCCGCAGCAAACTGTCACGAACCTCAACAACCGCATCCGCTCCGATGGGTTCGCGGCCGAGTGACTTTTCGGCTTGTTTCGTAACCTGCTCAAACAAGACTGGGCAATGCTTCTGGAAAGCGCACAGCACGTCACCACTGATGTTGCTGCTTTCCGTTGTGGTCGGCCCTGCAATGTGAGTCGCCGGAGGTCCGGATCCGTTTGCTGCCGTGCTGACTGTCAACGAGACGCGCCGCCCGAGTTTCTTGAAAAGCGGCAACACATCCGCAAGAAGAAGCTGCTGCACGCGACTCAGGAGCGACCCAGTGCGGTCGCTGGCCGCGGTCTTGTCGCAGACCACAATGAGCAGGTATAGCATATGGCGTTCTCAAATGTTACATTCTCAACTGTTACATGATTTGTCATGCAAGATGAGCATTACCGCCCACACGGCGAAGCTACTTCGCATGACAAATTTTGGAAGGGCTAAACAGCACCTAAATCTGTGCGAAATTTGTAATGCTACAGGTCCAACCTCCCGCCTTTGACTTTTGCCATTCTTGCATTACAAATCCATGTAACAGTTGAGAATGTAACGTTTGAGAATGCCATATAGCAGCTCCTCGATCCGGGACAAAGTTTGGCCATCCAGCTGGGGTATGAATTGCAAAAATGTCTGGGTCTGGATGATTCCAACTTGTCATGGTAAATCTGAAGCATGCGAAAATCTGTGTTGCATGATTGCCAAAAGCTGCACACTTTTGACCAAGTTGGAGGGGAGTTTCTCATGCAGGATAGGCATGGCAGAGACCTCGCAGAGTCTGTCATGCTAAGTCCCGCATTCCAGACCTCATGGGTCATGGAAATCTGCGTGACAAGTCTACACTTTTCCAGACCCAGACATTTTTACATTTGATATGGGGGACTTCTAACTGATGGTCGCTGGTCGCTCCGCCGTTCTTCCCGTTTTTGCCGCCCGCCGACAGAAAAGTCTGTTTGCTGCTGGTCCTGGTGCTCTTGTTCCGAAACAAACTCTTCACTTGCCCGAAGGCGTAGGGAGAATTGTTCAGGAGCTTCACATTGCTAGTTGTACCGTCTCGATGGTGACCTCCACCGGATAAAGCCGTCACAGTGTGGTCCGTGGTAGCTGCACCACCTCCCGGACCGCCAGCTAACATGGTGGTATCGACGACCGTCTGCAGGGGAAGTCGCTTGCTCTTACTGCGGTGCTCCAGGTTCGATACGGTCTTCAAGCACTGCTCCCACTGCTTCGTTGCCAGGGCACTGCTCATCATCAACTTGTAGTTGCTGCTGCTCGACGAGGGCCGCGAAGCCGGAGCCGAGGCGTTTTTCTTCGCGCCGAGAAAGATATCGTCGGACATGAGAAAATGTTCTTCCAAAGGGTCAACGGCCCCCGCCGGATCTCGTGTCACCAGAGCGGGTTTGCGATTATGCTCCACCAGGCGGTGCACCGCGTCTCGCAGCTCTTCTGGAAACAACTTGTTATCTCCCAAGGCCTGCTTGCGAATCAGCGATGGCCGTCGGGAGGCGGGTTTGGAAAGACTGCGGGAGCGCTGCGCGGGCGCCGGTGCACCAGGCGCAGCCTGTGATGCCCCACCAAGTGTGTTTTTGGCGTAGTCAATGTCCGAAACAACCTGATCGCCTCGCCTTCCCTGGGTCTGCTGCGCGGCTGCGAGCAGCTCGTGTTGTTCCTTGTCTTTGTCTGCCATGAACACGGGAAACTCAAACTTTTCGGTGCGGCTACGTGGCTTGGACAAGCGGTACACCCACGACGACTCGACATCCTCGGCTTTCTGCGCGGCTTCCTGATCCTGCGTGTAGAAGAGGAAATTGTTCTTGTTCGTGCTGCCCTCTGGTCCACCTCCATCTTCGGCAACTGGTGGCAACCCAAGCTTGCCCGGAGGTTGAAACTCGCGCTCACGACCTTAGAGCTTTAACACCCGTTAGCATGAGAAGTGGTGAATTTGTAGTGAATTTTGCATGACAAATTGCAGACGAGTCCGCCGGGACATTGTCCCTCTTGGCCTTCTGGGAAGTGGGTTCTGCACACCGCAGAAGTCAAGGCTTATGCGGCGGGCAGCTTCTAGACATGGCCTGGGTGCCGTTCTTTGGCCATGTCTATTCGTCTCCCTGTGCTCGCATAAGAGCACTGCAGCAGCCGCGGCAAAGACGCGAAAAAGAAAGTGCTGCGAAGCAAAAGCAATTAGGCAAGAAGGCGCGAAAGCAAGGGCGAAAGGACCAGGCCGAGAGCTTTGACGCGTCTATCCGGCAGGCGCGTGAACTCTCCAGGCCTTTTTGGCAGAATATAGACGCGCTGAAGGCAACAGAGGGCGCTTGTCTTTTCCCATCGGCCCCACTTCCCAGGGCCTATCTGCGGACTTTTTTGAGCACTTTCCTGCGCTGCAGTTTGCTTATCACGGTCGAAAAGGGGCGCCAGGTGAGTTTTGGGGTGAATTTTGAAAAGGGCGTGAGTGAGTTTTGGCCTGCGGTCCCTGTTCAAAATTCGCTAGCGCATGAGAAACTGCGGGTTTTGGAGCTCCAGAAAAGTTTAACAAAAAGAAAAAGCCTCAAAATTCACCAGGAGAATTTCTGACCTGGGGATCACGTCGAAGAAAACTAGAGGACCCGAACAAGATGAGGCAGGAACACAGCTGGGAAGATACGAGCTACAGAGCAAAGCAGGCGATGCAAGCATCCATTGCAACATGTCTCCAGAGGACATCCAAGCCGAGCCAGCCGCAACCCGTGAGAGCTACCCATTTAGATGTTGACCCAGTGCCCCTCTCCTGTTGAGGCTTCGGCCCCCTCCCTCTCGACCCCCTATGGACTCCGCAGAGGCAGTGTTGTATTGTGAGATCGCCACAGGCCGCCTTTGCTTCTTGGCAACGCACCAGGCAGCAAAGACGTGCGTCTCTACTTTAGGCTCTGACAGTGAGCGTCACCATCCCAATGGCACCAGGCAAGTGCTAACCTTTCAACTACACGGAACGCTGACTGCCTGGCGTCCTCCTCGTGTTCTTCATATGCCCCTTAATTCATGCATCACGCCACGCAATACAAATTCACTGCAAATTCACCCTTCTGTACGCCAACGCCCGTTGAAGACATAAAGCTTGCCCGGAGGTTGAAACTCGCGCTCACGACCCTATCACAGTGAAAAATGCCCCCCACCCCTGAAATTGCAAGAATCTGTGATGCGAAGTTTCCAAATGAAAGCTTTTTGTCATGCATGAAAGGAGTACGAATCTTTCTGATGCAGATTCTAGTCGTGTTTCGCATCGCTTGCATGACAAGCACCGCTCTTGCTGGGATCTTTTGCAATACAAATTTTTGCTATTCACGATCGGAAATCTGTGATGCTGATACACGCAAGAGGGCGAATGTTTCATTTGGAAAGATTTGCAATACAAATGCTTTCAAGTTCGGGGGTGGGGGCATTTTTCATTGTAATAGACCCTGCTTGCTGTTCTCAGCCACCTCCCTGGTGCCGAGACTACGGCCATTTTCGGTGTAGTAGGTCGGTTTCGCAGTGGCTTTGCTTCCCGCACGTGTGGTGTTGAACTTTGCGTCGTTCCACGGTTCTTTCATCGGTTGGAGCACGGGAACGGAACGCCCAAACGCGACTTGGTTGGTAAACTTCACTGGGGGCTCCGCTTGCTTTTCGGCGCCATCTTTCGGGCGGGGTCGGGGTTGCGACAAACTGTTACAGCGGGACTGCTGTTCCTCGTAACTCGGGGGCTTCTGCTCTTGCTCGAGGAGGTGCTGCTCCAAGAACAGGGTTTTGTAGCTCTGCGAACTCAGGACGCTCTGCGCTATCCGACCAGCGGTGGAGACATTCTTGGGACAGGACAACCGGTCAAATATGCATCGCAAAACTTGAAAAAGTATCCATCGCACCTCCAGTGGCAGTCAGTGTCATGGAACAACTTGTTTTCTCAGCCTAATACTAATGGCTTCTACAACTTAGACTTACTTCTACGTTAGGTTCTAACATAAGAGTAGATTAGTTGTCATAAATTCAGTGTTGCAAGTCTTCGCCTTGGTGTTTTTCATAGCACGATGAATACATTACTTTTGTAGAGGATATCAAAGGTCTCCACGCGGTTCAGCTTCAAGTTTGCCTCGGCTTGTGCCCGGTTGCAGATATCAAGTGTGAATGTGTCTGACCTTGGAAGTAAGTTCTTGTGGGGCTGAGTTCATTGACATGATCAAGACACTTCCCGCTCGTCCAAATCCGAGGCGAGGCAGGCCAAATCCAAAAGTAAACCTTTTGCACGCTCCTGTGAGCAGCGATGCGCAATACAGTAGGCCGCACTCTTCAACTTCATACCATCAATCTACATGCATGACAAACAAACTCCGTCACGCTTATTCGTCCGTCATGTAAATACAGATTTTGGTAGTTTATTTTTTCGGTTTCGCGGTGTGCGAAAATACATGGCAACGCAATGCCGATAGTGCAAGTCGTCCTAGCAAATCATATTCCAGATCCAGACAAATTTCAAGCAGATAGCAGAAGGTCCGCAGCAAATCTGCTTCATCAGGGTTGTTCGCCACGTGGTCGACGTGTCCCGATTCTCTATGGAATTCTCAAACTGTTTGCATGGGCATCTGCTACATGATTGTGCTGATTTACTTTGAAACCAATTCTCCAAGTTTGTTTATTCCGCATCACAAGGCTGGCAAATGATTCGCGACAAATAATTCGCGACAAATATTAATTCGCAACAGCCGCAACGCCAGCGCTCTGAATAGCTCTGATTTCTTCATTCATAGTGTGTGTGTACAATCATGAAGAAACGCGAGCTCATGAAGAAACGCGAGCGCCAACTCCCCCCTTTTGATTTTGCTATTCTTTTTCCTGCATCAGAAGCCAACAGCCAAGTCTATCACCCGAAGGATGTCCATATCCCGTTTGAGAAGCCCCTACCCTGCTACCGGCTCCTGTACAGAACCACCGCCGCCACCCGAGTGTATGCAAAGAAAAAATAAGTACTGCAGAGTTACACATTGAGTTGCAGCAGGACCAGCAAGACAGACAGCATGAACTGTGTACGTCCGAAATCATGCGTGCTGAGCTGGAGCGTCGTGATTTCATGCGCGTTATACCTATTCCAATTCCTTATGTATGTATGATCTAGATCTCCGCGCAATTGCATTTGCAACAATTTTTCATTCTTTCATGCAAAGTGAGTGCGTGTTGCTCTATAATTTCTTAAGGTTCTTGCAACACATCATTCTTCCTTGCGATAAAACGAGAAACGGACGTAGTACTTGATGAAACCGGAAACTCATACGAGAAGTTTGGGCCAGTCACGCCCGAGTCTTCAAAGGAGCTCAACGCTTCGGCACGGACGGAGAATTTTTTCTTGTTTCTACCGCTTTTGGCTGGCTGCTTCACAACCCAGGAACCGAAAATCTCGTCCTCCGATGCCGCGGAAGTGGCAGCCATCGTGTAGGAGTAAGATCTGGCAGCTCTTGGAGGTCGTGTTCGAATATCTGAAGTTCTTGTTTAGCAGGCCTTTCAATTACAACACTGAGCTGCTATTGTTCGACCTATATATTTCAAGAAAGGCAACCAAAAGGGTCGTAAGTAGTGGTCCGAGTCCCCCTAGCTACTTTAGTCTACAACTTTACTATGAATTTATAATCATATTCAACATTTATTGTCCTTTGCCTTTCATGACTATCCGCATTCAAACTCGAGATGCGTGTCGTCTGATAAGAAGTGGTTTGGTGTTCCCCTCGTCGACGTTCCGAACTACATCTATTCGAGAATCGATTTTCTGTTTTCTATTCGCTCAGGCACTCAGACTCAGTTTCATCTCCTGGAAGCAATTGATATGCCGCGCTTGCAGCTGGAGTGCGTTCTATTCTAATTTTCTTTTCTTCAATCTTGGCGGCGTCCTCTCGTTGCATTCGTTCTGCGTGACAACGACAAGTAGCGAAGAAAGTGGGGATCGAGTCAATAACACACAAAGCATCAATGCTGCATTGCATTTCATTCTAATGTGCTTACTTAGCCGAAGGAGGGGGATGCGATGCCTCTGCTTTTTCTTTCGCGAACAGTAACATGTCATTGTGATCGAGGGGTGTTGTGGTGGTCGTCCACATGATTTGTGCGGTAGTTCCATTTAGATTTGCTGAGGAAGGGGTGTGAATCTCACTCAAATCGCTATCGCGACGGGACGACATCCAGTCATGAGGTGCTTACGACGCCCATGGGTAGTTTAGCAGGTGCGGAAACAGTAGCTGCGTCTAGACCTTGGCCGAAAGTGCGCAGCGTCGTTTCCCAATTCTTTACGCATGGCTGCATAGTCTGTTGTGCCCAAGCCTGAAAACGCGTCATCTCCGCCTCCAGGAGATCATCCAGGGTCGTGAGCATTTGGCTTTCCTCCTCGATCGCCGACACCCAGAGGCGCAGCTCGTCTTCCTCTTCTTTAAACTCAGCTCCGCATTCATCCATAATTGTGGGAGGCGTCAGAAGCGTATCTCCTGCTGCGGATGACGACGACGACGAGGCCGATACCGAAGAGGTGGAGGCAGCACCGCCAGTCGTGTTCTTCCTAGTAGAAGACGCAGCGGCGAGTGCCTTCTTTTTTTTCAGCTTGGCAGATTTCGCCGACAACACCTCGGTGGCTTCGAGAATCTGGCTCACGATTGCGTTTCGCCGACGAAGTGTGTCTTGCGCGTTCAGTAACGAACGAAGGAGGCGCTCCAACGGGTACAGCACTAATCTTTCCACCTCTTGCAGGTACCGGTTCCCCGCGTGAACGGTCCCGAGACTCATCGGCAAGCTATCGAGTAAAAGTCCAACCTCCGTTTGAGCGTCACGCCATTCCAGCAAGCGAGCTACGCCAGCGCGCAGGTGGTGGAGCGCTCGTTCAAGTCTCTGCTTGGTGTCCGTCAACCACCGTGCTTCGAGCGCGAACCGGGCGCGAACACGCTGGAGCCAGACTTCGGCCTTTCGAGAATTGGTCAGCTGGTCCCCATAATGATCGTCCTCGAGTTGGTCTACAACCGGGTCGCTGTTGCACACAACGTGGTCACTATCACAAAGCGCCCCATCTCCCGAGGCGGGCGTTCCTGCTGGCGTGGTCGTTTTACTATGATCATTTCTATCGCAGGACGAGTTGTTCTCTTCCTGATCGTTCGAATTAGGGACGGGAGACACGGTTGCTCGTGCACCCACTGCTTGCTGCGATTCTGTTGCTTTTGCCGGCGAGGACGTCGTGGATGAGCCGCGACCACGGTCGTCCCGGTCTACACCCGCTAAAAATGGTCCACCGCTACTTGACGACACTGCAGCTGTCATCGTCGACGACGATGTTGTGGAGGTGCTGGACCTCCGCGCGGCGGCCCGGTTCGTAGGTAGAAAATTGGTGCCGACATAGGCTGACACACTACGGGCGACCTGAGAAAGCTTCAACCCGAGGCCGAACGCACGACTTTCGGAGTGTGCCTTTCGCAAAAGCGTTTGCAAAGTGCTTCCGGTTGTACTATTAACGGAGAAGGCAGGAGGACGAGCTGCTGTTGGCAGCTCCGCGGGTGATGGCGCGCTCGCTCGACCTGCTTTTATTTCAGCGTCCTCTGGAGCTAAATTTGGGTTGCTAGAATGGGCATGTAGAGTCCCCCCGGCAGTCGTGATACTGGTCGGAACGGCGGCAAGACGTGGAAAGTTGCGTTGTACAGTAGCGAACTTTGGAAGGCAAAGCCATTCAAAAACAAAGCGCTCCGTTCGCAAGTCGCTGAAGAAATGCTCCGATGCGAGCTGGTTCAAGGCGTCGGCATACCACTGCGCGCGTATCGAAAAAACAAACCAGCTGTGTTCTCGTCTCCTCATCCAAGTAAAGCGACAACAATAGACGGCCGCTACGGAAGAAAATACTTACCGATGAAGGTGATTGACCATATCTACTTCACAACTCAAAAACAAACCCGAATTGAAATTCTGCTGGTGGAAGCAGGAGCTCTTCGGTTCCTTTAGCTTTAGATTTCGCAATAGCTGCAGCACATGTTTCACAACTACAACCCCAACGCAAACACTAAATTATTACTAATCATAATGCACAACATGATGCCACTTCTTGTTCTTTTCCGTTCTTCGAATATCCCGTTTGTACAATACATAGCTGGGTTCATCATCGAAAAAAAGTTCCCAAACAGATTGATACTGAGGATTAATGATGAGGAGACGGAGAATTATAGCTCGAGCTCTTTTCCCGGATCATATCTCTCGCCAGTAGCTTTTCTTCGTCTGTGAAAGTGGAAACTATCGACTTTCCCGGTAAGGCTGGCATTATCCAGAAGGGAAACCTTTTCTGCAGTTGTTCCCACAACCAGACAAGGTCGTGGTAAAAACGACGCACCTCGGCGATTTTCTGGGCATTGTCACTAGCACCTCCGTGGTCTCCTGCTGTAGCTGTGGCGGAGGTAGTGTAGTACGCTGATCCGCTCAACAACTTCATCGACCAAGCATCCTCTACTTGATGTGCCCTTGGGTTTATTGCGACTTGTCCATGGAATTGATTTTCGTCTATCCCCAGCACTCGTTTTGCCGTCGCACTGGTTTCAAGGGAGTTACGCGAAGCGTTGCTTCGAAGTAAAAAGACGGTGACTGCGTAGCTAGTCATCTGCGAGAGCCCTTCCCCTTCGGACTCGGGCTTTCCGACTTCGACGCGAAGAGCATCCGCGAGGCGAAACAAGTCCCACTCCCACTCGGCAGCCATTTCTTCACGAAGCGGGGGAAGGTCTTTCAGCGCGACGAGTTATCTGCAAGAAAGTCGGAACAAGAACGACAACAACAGGAGCAAGACCCTGCTGTGTCCGCTCGGAGTCAATGCTAGTGGCATGAAAAAAACGTTATCTACCTCTTTGTCTTTCTCGGCACATAGTTGACATTTACATTTTTTAGAAGGTATATTTGTGATTTCTTCTTGAAAATCGCAATTGGATGATAGAGGGGGAAAATCGAAATTAGATGAAGTATGACCGCACAAGTGGAACGAAAGGTGGAAAAGCTTTGACCACAATCCTCATGACGATGACGATCATGTGATTTGTTCTTGCTGCTAACAAGAGCGAGATATATTTTTGATCTAGAGCAGGGTAATAAATTCAAATTGGTAGCGGAGCAAGACGAGAAACTGAGCTTCAAATTAAGGGAGAGGGGGCGGGAGCGTGTCGTCTCAAAAACGGGTACTGATCGGTTGAGTTGCTATACAAACATGAACATCTCTGCAACGTCAAATGTCACGAACAAGATCTGGAAATAACAGGTGGTGCGGGTCGCTTTTGAAAACTCACCACTCAACATTCAAGCTTTTGATTCGATATTCTGTTTCAGTTTCGCATCTGTGTGCGAAACCTTCGTCTTGTTTCTTCCTCGTGCAGTCGTGTTTCTCTTGTTGTTCTTCTTCTTGGAAAAGCAAAGCATTCACCTGTTTCGGTGCCATTTTCGGGCAAGACACAAGGCGCGCGTTCTTGCGCATTCGTTCTCAACATATTGCTCATTCACTGACTCGATAGATAGAAATAGGGACCACCGCTGGAGAACCTGGCACGTGAGACTGAGTGGGTGATGTCAGTCGTGCGAAACGTAAAACAAAAATCAGTACTACCGAAACGAACAAAGCTTCTTAAAAATTTGTGCTTGTCAAGATGAGATGAATCTTACATGTAATAGTACCTTGACGTGCAGTACCTTGACCTGAAAATTGATTCATTTAGTGCGCCACTCTGGTTGCCTCAGACTGTTTTTCCCGGGAGTTCGAGCGTGTGAGTTTGCTACTGAGGCACCACCCGGTGACGTCGCGCTCGCGGTTGTAAAGTTTATCCTACTTGCTCTCCTCGATGGCGAGACCCTGTGTGCAAGCCTTGTCAGCGTTGATGTTTCTTTCTGCCTAGCAGGATCTGTATTTTTTTTCTCAATTGAGCTCTTCGTCGTTGAAGCACTATGTTTGGTAGGAGGCACCACAGTAGAGACGTTTTGGCTGATTTTGGTGGGGCGAGTCCGATAGACTGCAGCGGTTCCCGCCTCGTCGTCCCCGGGGGAAGTGTTCTGCATGCTCGGCGTGGACAGCAGAGGAGAGGTCCGTTTTCCCCTTGAGTGTGGTGTTGTCGCAGCACTTGCATAGTGACCTACGACAGATGAAGCATTGACATTATCGTCCTCGCGTTCTTGTTGAAGTAGATAATCGAAATTCTTGCTCTCTTGGAGCTGGGCGTCACTGTCTGCACTTCGTTGACTTTCGCTTTTCTTATCGATGTCTTTTTCTCTTCGGAATTCCCCACGATCATTCTTGTCCTCATTTTCGCCGAAGTGCACGACTCGTTTCGCGTTGGAGGTTGGACTCAAGTTGTACGCGGTGGAGAAAGAAGACTGAAACTCGATTTTTCTCGACTTTGCGCCTTGCGTGTCTATTTCGTCGAGTTGCTGGTCCTGTTCAGGTGACGACGCAACAGACGAAGATGATCCTGAGCCCGAACTGCCGCCCCTTGTAGGTGCTGGCGCTACAACAGCTGGGGCACCACGGTGCTTGCTGTCTTTTTGTAGTACAGTATTCAAGAACGGGATAGGTTCCACGGCACTTCTAGTGCGGTCGTCTTCAATTTCATCCGCCACGAGATTTGGCGCGATTGCTCTCGCCGCAACCCCCGTAGTTGTAGAAGTTGGTCTTCTTGCTACAAATTCAGCAGAGGCGCTGACCGGAAATTTCCGCCCAAAGGGAACTTCATTTTCGTCGAGCAGACTCCCCTGGGAGTCGCGGAGTGTCGCGGCCGGTGGCGCAGCAACGTCTCGACGGAGTTGGGAAGAAGTGTCCTGCTCATCGATTGCCCCATCCGAAGGTGGATCCGTGAAGTAGAGTGGTCGACGACGGGCGCGATCAGAATTGCGATCCTGTAAAGTATAATTGATGTGTATGTGATTAAATTTTTCCATTTCGATTTGTGTTTCCAAAGAATTGAGAGACGAATGAGACTAATAGCAGCTCAACAGAAGGCGCTATCAAAAACATACGCAGTCGCTTTTTTACAGCCAATTGCTCCAATTGTCTTGAGTCATCCGGTATACAGAGTGACAGTGAGTGATGTCGTGAGCTGCGGCCGAACAAAAGATCGTGCTTCTCGACGTGAACGTCTACTGTAGAAATAGAAGTTCTTGCAGAACCTGCTCCTACACGAACACGAGCGTCGATGTACACGCATGAAGTAATACAGCATCTCTGCGCCACTCGCTTTCTGCAGCACACAAATCAGTGTGAAGGGAAAGCATTAGCATGCGTCTCGAGCTCAACGCGGTCGCGCGGCCACATTATTCAAACAACAGTAAGAGCAGCGAGAACGGAATTATTCTCAGTAAGTACCTGCGTCCCCCTCCCCCTGTTTTCCCTCATCTGCTCGCCGTACCTCTCCTCGCCGGACGACGATGATGACGAACTAGATGACGATGAACTGCTGTAAGTTTCTTGCTCCTGACGGCCGGCCCCCCGAGCCGAAGATCTATTTTTTGTCGCCGGCGGGGCTTTATCATTTGTGCCTCTTTTTCTTTCCGGCTTGCCTTCCGTTGTTTGCTTTGTTCCCTTGGAAGTGGCTTGCTGGTGCTGGTGGTCTCGGTCTTGCTCCGATGCTGCTAGCCCTTCTGCGACCAGGCCGACGGAATCGAAAAGAGGCACGTTGTCTCCCGTATTTTTTTCGTACTTGGACCGCCCTGTGTTGCTGGAGCCGAGATGAAAACGTCCTCGATCGTCGTGACTGTCCTCGTCGGGGAGGCGGTCAACATCGCTCGTGTTTCCAGTGTTGCTCCCGTGGCGCCCGAGTTCATCTGTCGGTTGTGCGGTTCTCAGCAGAAGAAGGCAGCTCGAGAGAAAGGCCAAGAGGCTTGTGAGGCAGAATCCGACAAGAATCCCGCGGCCTACGAGCAAAAACTTTTCGCAACGCCGAGTAGCGGCTCCTGGTTCCCAGGGTACGTAGTTATCAACGACGCAAGCAAACGCAGATGTTGTCAAGGGCCCCAAACCGGCGTCCGGACACGAATTCTCGGGATTTACGTGACACCATAGTGGCTCCACCTCTTGTGCTGGCGTGATGATGTTGACGCTCGAGGAGCTACTTCTACCTTCGCTGATTCCGTCCTTCTCTGCCGACCCGGCAGGCAAAGTTTCCATCTCTTCGAGAAAAGAGAACGCGGCTGAGCTTTTGAGCGCCTGACTTCCAACTCCGAAATGCCGCTCGAGCGCACGCACCAGGTCCTCGCCGCTCTGTCCGGCGACGAGGGAGTCGGTGATTGAATGCGGCGCGTTCTTCAGAATGGTGATCTTCAGCACACCCTCTGGGGAGCCGCCCGTTGTTCTCGTGACGGAACCGCTCTGCTGTGCCTGCGGCTGCTCAGGATACTGCTTTTGGTGCTGTTCGTGGGCGGCAACTTCTACTTCTGGAGCGGGGGGTTGGGAGGTACTTCGCAACATCGAAGGATCCTTTTGTTCTTTTCGGTGAATGACTACGACAGCTGCTGGAACAGGAACAGCAGGTCCTGGTGTTCCTGCTACAAGGTGTCCTCCACCAGAAGTTCGTCCCACTGCCTGGATCAACTGCCCAGGCGGTGCTGAAAAGGCTCTCAGCTGCCGCGAGGTAGTTGCACCCTGATCATAGTGCTCGGACGGTAAAGCAGGAGACTCCGTGAACTTGTCGTCCGTCTCGAAGCGAGGACCTTTATGTCCAGAGGAGGTGAGGATTTTGTACGTCGGGGTTGCCGACGCAGAACTGACCCCTTTCGATTTTCGTCCGGCCTCTGCCAGATCTTGTTTGCGGTCCTTTTCGACACTGTGCACGAATTCGGCGGTGGTGGGCCGCTGCGCGCTAGCCAGACCGAACGGCGGCACACACTGCGCGGAAGCGGGTTGGTTTGTGAGAAAAAGCCCACTGCAGCGGCAATTGAATTCGTCTGCTCGAGAGCAGACATCTCTGGAATAGAACTTGTTGTCCTCTGCACCCTGAACAACAGTGAAGCCCAGCGCCGCACAGCCAGCAACGGTATCCTCTTCAACCTCACACCACCGGAGGTGGTCTTTAACAGGAACTTCCGATATAGCAGCTTGACGGTTAGTACCTTTTTGAATTTCCTGCGCCCCCCCGTCGCGCTCGGTCGCCGTCCCGCGACTCGCGGACCACGTACTACCGGCGGCTGCGTTCGTATTTTCGGATATAATTGTTGTCCTTGAGGACGACGACGAGGAGACCTCGTCTCCTAAGGACCCACCACCATAACTTTCTTCCATGGTAGAAGACGAAGGTGCATCGGGACGAGGAACAGGCTCCTTTTCAACATCCCCGACTTCGAGAAGCCCGGCCGCTGAGAAGACAACAGCAGGACCACCAGGTGGTCCACGACCAGTTCCAGTTCCTCCTTCGACGCTGTTGGCGCTTTGATCTGCTGGAAGTAGCGGTGAGCCTCCTGGAGGAGGAGCTGGAACTATCAACGTTGAGGTAGACGACGTCTCCATCGACGGGTTTGCTGCACTCGAGCCAGGCGCTAAGTCAGGACGAGAAAGGGACGGGCGGAGCTCGTCCTGCTCCACCGGAGCAAGGAGCGTCGACGTGATCGACGACGTGGCTAACGAGTTGACAGCTGTTCCCGAGAGCAGCGCGTTCAGAAAGTCGGAGTTTGCGGAACCCCGTTTCCGATCGCGCGCCTCCCCCTCCACCTCCACCTCCGCGGCGTCCGTCTGAAGATCATCGAAAAACTTGTTCACGTGCGCCCCCGACCGTGCCTTCGCAAGCCCGGACACCTGCATCACATCTTCCCACGTGGCTTTCTCTCGTGTAGTAGTTGCACTGCTGTTCGACGCGGGAGCAAAAACGTATTTCTGCACGAGATCCGAGATAACGTGTTGCAGACGCCCCACAAAAGTCCCACGACGGCTTGTACCGCGCAAGGAACCACGAACAGACGACCGCGGGAAGGCGAAGCAGGGTGACTTGCAGCGGCAATCCGCCGGGCGTGTCTTCAATGCTTCCGCGATGTCAGGAGTATTCATCTGGTTCACGGGCATCACCGGAAGCGAGATCCGAGTCGCGCCGTCGCCGAGTGCTGCAGATGGCGGCGGCGCAACACGCTCAGTCTTTGATGTCGTTGTGACTTTCATCATCTGCAACGCTCCGTCTGGAGCGAACAGGCCCGGGAAACCTTCACTCTTTTCCAATGCTGCCTGTTCTTGAAGTGCACCGGCTCCGGCCGCCGAGGACAACAGCAGCTGCGAACCAGCAACCTCGCCAAGCGACGATGAAGATGCCGTCGCCATCGGTGCCCTCAGCTCGTTTTGAAACTTCTGGTGGTGCGCGGGTTGAAACAAGGCGTCCTCCTCGTAGTGTAGAGCAGCGTCGTGCGCCAAGATTGACGAAACGACTTTCCGAACCACTGTGGGATCGAGCAAATAGGCGCTCGGCTGAAAGTGTTCGTCCTGCTCGAGACGCTGCGCCACCTGTTCTGCCGCGTTCCCCGAAAGCAAAGTTTCGCTCTTCAAAATCCTGCGTAGATCTCGAAAAAAACTCGCGTGACGGTGTTCAGCAGAGATGGGGTGGGTGGTTTCCAGGCTTTTGTTCTCGTCGAGCTCTTTTTCCAAATCGTGCTCCGTCACGGTCTTTTCGTGTTGCGGTTTATTTTCGTTGTCATCATCAAGTCTTGTACTTCTACTTTGCTGTTCATCATCTTGCCCGTCAACTTCTACATCTACATCTTGGCCGACCTGCAGAAAAGAAGTGGGCGCCGCTTTGTCGAACGATACCGCTCCATACGGATTGTAGGGAGCGGCCGCGGGCGCGCGGCTGCCCGTGGTAGAAGATAGAGAGGCCTCGCTCGGACCACCACCTCCGCCGCCCGAGACGGACACGGGTGCGGTTCTGGTGGGAGTTCTCGCGCCCTCAGCTCGTGCTTGAGTGGAATCATCCTGAGCTGCTTCTACTTCACCGCTCCCAGCCGAAACGGGGGCTACACTGAGCGCGTAAAAGGGGGGCTCCTGGCGGTCCTTCTTCTGCAGTTCCGTGAAGAGCCAGCCAATCGTGCGATCCGGGTCGCGGTCCAAAGTGCATCTCACCCGCTGCCAGCCGTAATGTGGAAACCACGAGTCATGCACTTCTACTTCACCCATCTGGAGTCCTTTTACTGGCATTGTGCTGGTGGCGCCATCTACTTTCGCACTAGCTTCGGTGTTCGCGGAAGACGAGTCCGAGTCAGGCGTGGTGCTAGAAGAAACGAGCGTGACCCAGAATTCTCTGGCTTCACCCGGGGCTCGTGGCTTGCTGGAAGCGGCGTCGCGGAAGTGGTAGAACTGACGCTCTTGAAGTTCTGTCATCCCGGTATTGATGTCGGACGGCTCTGGCCGCTCCGGCGCGAGCCACAAGTGCCCACCGACGCGCTCCTGAAACGTCAGTTGCTGCACCTGATTCAGATTTTTAATAGGATTCGCCGTCTTCACTAGTTGGATTCCGCACGTGCTCGTAATCCGAAAAACGCGGTCGGTTGCGTGCTGAGACGCGCCCTCTACTTCTTCTTTGAAACCACGAACCCGATCATGATCGCGAGGCACACCTTCGTTGATTTCCTGACGGGATGCAGCAGTGCTTGTCATCTGGGCGACCCCACCTCCTCCTACAACTTGTGCTGCTTGCGCCTGTCTCTCCTGCTCTGCTTTTCTCGCCAGCTGCAACAGGGGATCTTCATTCGGATCCACAACAGGGGGCAGGGGTGATGCGTCCGCTTGTGTTTGATCAGGTGACGGCAGCTGCGCCGCAGGTGACGATGTTGGTTGCATCTGGTGTAGGGTTCTCATAATTTTCCAAAAACGAGGATCAAGGAAAAACGCTTACTCTACGAACGAATAAAGAACCATCACTCAGCATCAGAGAAAAATGCAAGAAATTAAATCATTTATTTTTTATGTATTTGTCATGTTTGTAGACCTTCAGCTTCACTCCTAGAGAAAGACAAGACTCCGCTTACCTTCTGCTCCTGGTTGAAAATTGCGGTCTCGGTTTTTTCCGCTGGTTGGACTTGGGGCTGTTGCGGAACAGGAACAATTATTGGCTTCACGGCTTCTCCCTCCATTTTGACCAATGACGCCTTTTGTTCCGTGCTTAATTGTTGAGTTTTCTGCAGCGAAGCCTCCACCTTTGCAGTTTGGTGCTCCACCGCTCGCACCAGGTCACCGATTTCATTTTTCAAAGCGTTCAGACCTGGCGCGTTTTGATTGTCTCCTGTCCGCATGTCCGGGGGCGAGGCGGTAATAGACGGTACGGCTATGCCGGCCACAATCTTCGCTGGCGCAACCGTAAGACCCGCTCTATTACCCGTAGTTCCGACAGTGTTTGAGGCTGCGTCTTCTCCCGTCGTCGCCACAGGCGAGAAAATCACTGGGGGTACCGTGGTCGAACTAATTGCGACTGTTCTTACAGGTGTGGAATGTCCGAGCATCGCCGCGGCACCAGGATCAAACAGCTGAACTGGCTGCAAATACGCACTGCCCATTCCAGGTGCGAACGGCGCGGACGAGGACCCTGGCATGAGTACAGCTGCCGCAGCAGAGCTCGGTTGCTGGACTTGCTGCTGAGCCGGCACCAAAACCGTGGCCGGGCTGATGCTAGCTGGTGCTGGCGTAGCAGCTGGGGCCGGGGTGACGACGCGAATGTTGATCGTGGGGCTGATTTCCGCCGCCTGTTTGATAGGCTGTCTGACGGTCTGCTGATCCATCGGTAAAGCCTCGTGATCAGTAGTGTCTACTCGCTTCTTCGTCGATGGGTTTATTTTCCTGCTACCTGCCACCCCCACTTCTTCGATGCTCCTTTCATCGTGGCCAGCGCGAGGTCGTTCTGAAGCACGACGCTCAGCTGTCTCTAGGTCTTCCCCTTGCGCGAGTATCTGCTCCTCGACTGCGTTTGTCGTTGTTGCACCTGGCTGCGCCGACGAGGACCACGACGGAGAGGCCCCCCCCTGGTTTGAGAATGTCTTCGTGCTTGTGTGAGATATTGTTATTTTCGGGTCACGACCGTTTCCATTATCATTTGTCACTCTGCTCTTGCGGACAAGGTGGACAGCACTTCTCCGCTCTGGTGGCGCTGGTAGAAATTCCGCAGCTGGTGATGGAGATAGATCGATGACGCGCACATTTGGGTCTCCAGACGACGGCATGGTCGCCGTGAAGGTCCCTGCTGCTGCACCGGGTCCGGGAGACCACGATGACGAAGAGACAACGTCTAGGATTTTCTGCACCATGCCTGCATCCAGAAGTCCCAGCCTCGCGAGAGCTTCTCTGAGGCCCGCGCTCGTATCGGCGGTCTCCAGAAACGCGGACGCTGCCGGATTGACCACTGCCGGCGGCACGGGAAACTGAATGTCTGTGTGCGGCACACGCACGCCCACCACCTCGACAGGCTGCTGCTCCTGCTCCTCGAATGCAGGAGCAGCACCGGGGGCCTCTGCAGCTGGCGCAACATCTGGAGCACCGTCCGGGGATCCACCAGTTGGCTCTGGTGCTGTTCCCGATGCCGCGTCAGCTTGGTTTATTGGCAAAGGAGATTGCTCTTGCTGGTCCTGCACCTGTTCGACCTCACCAGCAGCAGGAGCCACGACAGGTGGAGAACCTCCGGCCGTCTGCTTGTTCCCGGCTTCCGGTCCGTTTTGCAGCTGTTCATCTCCCAGCACTCCTGCGGGCGAGATGAGAGCACCTGCTGCAGTGCCAGCGTTCAGTTCAGCGTCGTGTTGATCTTCTTGTTGCTGCTGCTGCTCATTTGCGCCGGTTGTGTCCGCAGACGCGGCAGGCGGAACCTCGGACGGGAGGGATTCGGCGGGCGCCGAGCCTGTGCCTAGTGGCGCCGGCGGCGCGGCAGAAATAACTGTTCCGGAATTTAGTGGAGCGTTTGGATCCGACCCTCCCGCAGGCGACGTTATGGGTGGAGGTGGGGCGACGGTGCTGCTGTCAGTTGGAAGTGAGGAAGTTGAGTCGAATGAATCTACTTGTTCTCCCCGCCCTGGACTGAGAACCGGCACTCCCTCTCGAACAGCAGAATCTTCCAATCGGGCAGTCTCATCCTCGTTTGGCTCTGCCTCCGCATGCGTAGACGGTTGCTCTATCGTTGGTTGCGCCTGTACTGCCGCGTTTTGGTCCTCGCGAAAATTCGTGTTGCGCTCTGGGGTAATCCCGACATACTTTCCACCACTGCGATCTCTCCCTGTGCCTGGTGCTGGAGTATTCATATTGTTGTCGACATCGCCTCCGTTTCCGTTATCAGCTGGGGATTGCTGCTCTGCTTCCCGACTGCCTGCTCGTCTGGAGGTATCCTGGCTATTGGTTCGCTTTCTCATGATCTGTCGAGGAGCGTCCAAGTGCACGACTTCGTCAGGCGACGAGAGGCTCGATAATAAGGCGCCCGGCGCTAGAAGACTGCTCAGCAGCCGACCCAGGAGTCCCAACCGACTGTCGTCAACGGCCGGTGGAGGGCTTGCGCCTATTATGCGCGACTGGGAATGTGCATGTGGTAAGGGTGACGCGCCACTCTGCTCTTGTTCGTCTGCGGGAATGGGCGAAAAAGGATCCTCGTCAACGTGATCCATTTGGAAACCCCCACCTGGCTGCAATGAAAGCAAAAACGTCCGCGGGAAATCTGGCAGTGGACTCGTCCCTGCTGCCCGTGGTGCCGTCTTGAAATTTTTCTCATTATCGGTGGAATGGGTAGCGGATGCGAGGATTATCTCCGGCGCTCCTGCTGCTTCCACCGTCCTCGAGTGCTGGTCCTCTGGTGTCCCAGCAGGAGCGTTGCCACGACGGGTGCTCGTTGTTTCTTGTTGAATAACCCGCTGGGTTCTTACGGAGGTTCTTGTTTGTTCACTTTCTGGCGGTTTTCTGCTGGTGGACGACGCGGGCTCTTTTGCAACAAGACCAAGATCCCGGAGGAGGTCCCTCATACTTCCATAGCGGCGTGGACGCAAAGGCGGCTGGCGGTAGCGGGAACCCTGCGTACGGCGCCCATCCGCTGCTCGTCCCGCGTCGAAGAATTCGACCCCCGCTGGAGGCGCCAGGAATTCTCCAGGCTGCCGGTCTTCGCTCGGGTACGGGTTTTGCAGCGATCCGTCGAAAACTCGGAGAAGTTCACACTTGTCAAACCCGTCCAGGTCGTCCGCAGGGTACCGGCACTCGCAGCTAAGGTTCAAGAACCACTGCGGCACTTGGTGGAGAAGCAGCAAAAACGCGTTCACCAGCAGGAAGAGGTAGAAGTAGAGTCGTAGGGTTGTCTTCGTTTTCGCAGCCCCCGCGTGCAGCAAACAGACCGCGGCCAAAAGTCGCAACACACCACAAAAGAGATCGAGTTCCCAACACGAGTCGCTGGCACCAGAAGTAGTCGGTACACAAAAAATTATGAGCAGGAAAAACAAACCCAGAATGGTCTCGGCGACGCCGGTGCCCGCAACTACTTGCCACTTGCGCAACACTTCCGCGCTGGTCTGTAGTAATTGCGCGAGATTTCGGTCCAGCCACGCTCCCGCTTCCTCTCCAGCCACTCCGGCCCGGGGCGGGTCGCCTTCCGAGTCAACATGACCTCTGTCGCGGCCGCCCGACAAGGACATGGTTGGCGCCCTTGTGACCGCGTCTAGTACTCAGACATGTACTAGCTAGAACTCGCCTCTCGTAGCTGATCCATGATCTCGACACAAATGCCTTGACTTTGTTTGGGTGCGGCTGTGTTTCTGTTTCCCTTGCTTTAGTATTGGTTGTGGTTCCACCTTGTTCTAAGTACATAATAAAACCGAAAAACTCAAACCCACACGAAAACGTCGCATCAAGTGCAAAGGTCGAAAGAGTCGTCGCCGTTGCGTATGCGTAAGCGCATAAAATTTTAAACAAAGTGTAAGTAATGCAAATAGTGCAAATTGCTCTTGCTGCTTACTTTCGCTCATATATCACCAAGCGAACACTTGATAACGATGTTGGCAGTGTGTCCCCTGGCAGGTTGCTACGTGCTACTGCTCCTCCAGCCCGCCGAGGGCTGCGCGCCCATATGAAAGTGGACAGTCAAGATATACGCACAAAGTCTCGGCTGCTTCCTTATCCTTCGAGAGCGGACACTTTCAGCACAAGGCTGGTTTTTTCGGACTCAGAGTCGCATTAGAGAACTCCGAAACCCTGCCAGAATCGACGTCGTTCGGGGAGAACAGAAAAACGCGCACCGTAGCACTCTGGTGCCTGAGTGCCGGGCGTTCTGATCAGCAACAGCGCCGGCGCATTAAGCCCTGCTTTTTAGGTCTTGGTTGCGGAGGAGATCACTCGACCCCACGACGGCTCTGGGACTATGTCTATGGCTCGACCGCCAGACCCACTGCGTATTCAATCACACAGCGCAAAACGTAAACGAGCGACGCCCCACAGTTGGCGAATACAACTGCTGGCAGAGCAACGCTAGGTAGAAGGAGTGCGCACCAAACTCCCGCGCTGGCACGTGGATCCTTCCTCTGCTAATTTTTTTGCTGTAAAGCTAAAGTGACACCAGATGAGAAACAAAAAGCCCGCCGGGGAGGGCGCGACTCACTTGCTTAAATTTGCGCACTGGCGCTTAGTTTCATCGAGCGGTCCGAGTGAGAACTGGACAAGTGCTCCATACGAAGCACTATTTATAAACGAAAGCTGCATAAGCAATCTTCAAGTTCAAAAGAAGTCCGCTTCTTCGCCGTGACTTGTTCCCGACACAAACACGTTGAACAAGGGCTACATGCGGTTGATCGCTCGACGACCCTGATTCGCCGCGTCTTCCTCCTTAGCATCCTCCGTAGCCGCAGAGCCGATCACTACAGAACTGGGACGACATTCATCGAGGTGTAGAGGAGTGGCGCAGCTGCACTTGCTCAGATCTACGCAACCGCAGGAGCAACAGCGCTGCAATACCTGATTTCACATTTTGCTGACGAGCTCGGCCTTCTTGGCTTCAAACTCCTCGATGGAAATGAGGCCCATGTCCTTCATTTCGGCGAGCTCCTGCAGTTTGCCCTTCGTGCTCCCTACTGCGGACTTCATCTGCATCTATCCGGGCGGTTGATAGGCGAGGTCAACCGCGTTACTGATCAACGTGCAAGCTTCCTCCGAATTAGAGACGTACATCGCAAAAAATGGGTCAACCCCAAAATCATCACCTCGGCGTTTGTTGCTGTAGTTCAACCGTGATTTTTGCGGAACCCTGATTTTGACGGCCTCGATCGAATCCGGGCACTTGTTGCCCACATCCTCTACCCAAGCAGGACTCTGCCGACTAGAGATGGGGGAGACGTTGCGCAAGCTCTCGTAGGCCGTCCGTTTGTCCTCGATGACACCCTGCCGATAGCTACACCGGTTGCAGCCAGCTTTCTTTGCCGCGTCGTCGTAGGGGAGGACGACGTTATAGATGTTTTTCTTTCCGAGAATGTACAGCGTGTGCCGCAGCTGTGCCTTTTCATGTATGTTCTCGAGGTACGCACCCAGACGACACAGAGTGCAGCACGGAAAAAGCACCCAATGAGGTGCCTCTGCCTTCCACAGCCGGTCATACTTCTCCGGGTCCACACGCCACACGACGACCGGCTCGTCTTCGTGTGCATTGCAATGGGCGATGGCCTTCAGCCCATCTGCCTTCGTCGCGCCGGACAAAAGCTGGATATCGCTCAGTCCTGTTGTCATTTTCTACTGCGCTACTTGCTTTCGCGGTTTATTTGTCAAAACCGACCCCGACGGAGAACCATGCGAGGCTGCAAATATCGAAGAAAAAAACATTGTTGGTGTAGGATTCTCTGAAATGCGTAAATTTTTTTTTGGCGCAAAGTTGTAAAATTTTTTTAAAGCACGGCACTCCTGTCTATTTTCCGTTTGGTGTTTTGGATTGTCTGTCATGGCTGAATCTAATGGCTACCCCGCTCCGGGCACTACATTAGCTAGCTGGGGAGGCAGGGCAATGCAAAAACCTCTGCAGCGGAGCGGGCCGGTGTGTAACCTATTGCAATTGCGGCTTCTGTCCCGGCCTCGCGATAAAGACTCAGCAAAGGGCAGGAAAATCCGGCGCATTATTGAAAACAGCGCATCTTGCTGCCGGTGAGTGTGTTGTCGCTTGTCTACTGTCAGCCCATGCGGGGTGCCAGCTTGACACTTCGCAGCAAAATTATTCTGGGGAATCATGGGCGTGCGGGCCGCCTTTGGTGCAGTATTGGGCTGCGCGGTCATTCAAAGCACGGGCGGCGAACTCGCTGCTTCGCATGATTCGGATGAGGCTCGTTTGAGGCTTCCAAAAATGAACCAAAGGAAGAAAAATCTCGGAGTGTGGGTTTTTACAGGGGAAAAAAGAGGGGTCAACAGTAGGGGCAAAAACTTCGCTTATTTTTTTAACAATCTCCGCCGCGGCTAACAATTTACACTACTTAAAAAATTTAACGTACCATGGGGATTAGAGAAAAGAAAAACAGAACGGTACGCGCTGAGGCCCAGAATTATTTGCACTACCATCGTGATTGGGGTCAAACCTTGCGTATATACCCGGGCGCGGTGCCCTCGTGGTACGGCTTTTGTTACACTGCGAAATTATAAGGATCTCAGTAGCCTACGCGCGCCATACCATGCGGGTTGGCCCTTCAAAGTCTTCTGGTTTTTGCTTTTGTCTTTTACTCACGCCTTTCCGGAATCCCGGGATTTCCCGAATCCCGGGATTTGTCGTGAAACTGGTGAAAATCGTGCAAGAGTTGCTTTGTTTTCTATGCTAATCGCGATGGTAGGACCTCTTTTGCACGAGTTTTTGCACCGTGCAAAAAATCGCGCAAAAGCCTAACACTTGTGTCGCGAATCGCGCTACTACGGGCCCTGTTTGCGGAGTTGCTTTTTCCTGGTTTTCCGCGATATTTCGCACAAGTCGCGCAGCCGAATCACGACGGCACGGCCTTTTTTTCACGATGTGTCTCGCCGTGACACAAATCGGAACAAGCGCTGCGGTTTTATCTCGAATCGCGATGGTACGCGCCGGCTTTCGACCGGAGTCGGTTTCCGTGGTTTGTCGGTCGCGACCGCAACGTTTGGGAATCGCGACCCGCACCGCGGCACATGTGGGCAGTGTTTCCGCTTATCGCCCGCGCGCGTGTCTACTTTTACCTTGGCTGCCCTCGCCGACGCGGGTCGGAGTCCGCACGTCCTAACAGCACGGCGCCGACTGCTCAGCGCACTGCGTGCCCTGGCACATGGTGGCGCCAGCGTCTGCAGTCAATATCTTCCCGCGCGCGTAGTGCGCGCGGCGGCGCATGCGGGCAGTATTCCCCACCGCACTGCTGGTCTTTGCCTGTCGCGCGGAATGTCTCTCGGGTTCTTGTGGTTGTCACTGTGCGCCATATACATACTGTCGTGGTTGGTTGTCAATACGCCAGAACGACAACTCCTTCGCGTGGCGCCAACAACGGGCGCGGGGCAAATCCAAACCCCACCCGAAACAAGACAAGCCCTGTGCGTAAAATCGTATGGCGCTGGGAATTGCGATACGCTACAAGAGCGGTGGCTACAGTTTGTGGTAGCTAGGGAGCTAAAATCCTGCATGCGTGTCCTCCACGCGGGCGGCTCCTTGTTTCGGGTGGGGTTTGGATTTGCCCCGCGCCCGTTGTTGACGCCACGCGAAGGAGTTGTCGTTCTGGCGTATTGACAACCAACCAAACCATCTTGACAACTGCCGTATTGGCAACCAATCACCCAGCCCGCCTTCGCAATACAATATTGCCAACGCCCCACTCTTTCCCTTCAGCCTGCGCAACAACCCTACTGCTGGGCACGCTTTCACGCCCGTCGGCGCCGCGCGCGGGCGCCCCGCCCAGTGCGGTTGCGGCCCCCCGGGAGGACGAGCGGACCACTTCCAGAACAGTCACCAACGAGGGGACCGGCCAGCCGCCCAACAGAAGCAGGCAGCGCAGTGGTTAGGTCCGTGGTGAGGCCCGCGGGCGCAATAGCTGTGCCCAACACACACAAGCCCCGCACTGGTTAGGTCCGTGTTGAGGCCCGCGGGCACAATAGCTCCAGTTCCGCCACCCCCTCGCGATACATAGCGGACCAGCGGGCAACCCACAACACTCCCCCCCCCCCAACCACCCATGCGGGCGGGGCCCGAGAGCCGGGCGCGCCGCAAGTGGGCGGCCCCTTGCGTGCCCGCGGCGAAAAACGGGCGGAGTCGGCCAGCAAGGCAGCAACCATCCAAACGAACAGGACATCCAAACGAGCAGGACAATGGGCCCCCACCAAACTTTCCCCTTTCAGGCAGGTAACTAAGAAGGCGGAGGCCCGTTCCGGACCTGATACGGCGGAAGTGGGGGCCCCCTTCGGGCGGGGGCGGCAGGGAGGCGGAGCCCCCGTGTGGGCAAGAAGGGCCGCGGGGGCCCCCCGCGGGAGGGCAGGAGACCGCTTTTGGCCGGCAGCCCGCAGGAGGCGGGGGGGCCTCCTGCGCGCAAGCAAGGAGGCGGGGGCCCCCCTGCACGAGCGGTACCCAGCGGCCGGAAGGGCGGGAGCCGGGGGGCCCCCCTGCAGGCGGGCCCCCAACGGGCGAAAGGGTGTGAGGGGGGACGGGCAAGGGGGCGTCGGCCCCCTGCGCGTGAGCGGTGAAAGAAGGAAGCGGGGGCCCCCTGTAGGCAGGATACCCCCTGCGGGCGGGAGCCGGGGACGGGGGCCCCCCTGCAGGGGCGCGGGAAGTGAAAGAAGGAGGCATGGGCCCCCCTGCAGGCGCGGTACCAGCGGTCGGCGCCCCGCGATGCCCAGCTGGCGATAGGTTGTGTGGGGGGGCGATCAAGGAGGCGGGGGCCCCCTGTAAGTGGGCAGTGAAAGACGGAGGCGGGGCCCCCCTGCGGGCGGGAGGGCGGGAGTCGGGGACGGGGGCCCCCTTGTGGGGAGGCTACCGAGCGGGCGAGAGGCGGGAGGGCGGGGGCCCCCTGTTTTCCCCGAGGGTATGCTCGACGCTAAAAATATAACCTTCACCGTGCCGTCGTGTTTCAAAGTCTGGGCCTCAGCACGTACCGGTCTCAAGAAAAAATCTAGTGTAGTTTTTAAGATTCGTGTAGCGGACCCCTCCGAGGTAGGGTCAAAAAGCACCCGTATTTTTCCAACAGTCGCCCATCCGCCTAAAAATTTACACTCCGAGTTTTTTCTTCTGTTTGGGCCAAGGGATCAACAAGAACTGGCAAGATCCGAAAGGGAGCTGCGCAAGTCCCCAAGCGTGCTCATCGCTGACCGGCATGGACGCAAGACGCTGGCTTTGCGAGATGCGGCCGGAGCTGCGGAGCTCAGAAAGCAGCTGCATGGTGACGGTCATTTTGCAGAAGGCCTTTGCGTGGTCGCGCGCCGTGTAGCTGGCGGCCGACCCGGTCGGAGGCAAGCCCGGCCTCGGGCATTAGACAGGACCAGCAATCCGCGACTGCGGGTCAGCAGACTTCGTGACACAGCCTCGCTGATCGTCTCCTCCCCCTCGCGGAATTGGCGAGCAGTCTAGCCTCCTTAACTATTTCATTTCCACAAAAGCAGCGAAAGCAAGTTTGGCCCGCTCAGATTTATAACGCAAGCTCCCCGAGGCTGCGCGATGGCCGGTCGGGTTTGCTTTAAAAATAATTTTGATTGAACCAAGAAAAAAATCCATGCATTTTCGAAAATCCTACACTAACAATGATTTTTTCTTCGATAGCAAAGGGAATGCAACTACTAGGCATGTATGAGCTTCTGATAAGCAGTATTACATGAGCCAAAAAGGCCGCTATGGACCAGATATATAAAAATAAATAAATTATCAATAAATTGAAGTAGATGCTCTTCGTCTTTCGTAGTTTTACTCCTCTGGTGCTTTTCCTTTTTGTCGCTCAAAAACCGACGCTCAACCATGGCCAACATTCGTTGCACTTCACAAAGGTGAGGGTGACAGCACTTCATCTTTGACTATTCAAGAGACTGAGAGAAACGGACTTCCTGTACGAGTTGTGCTCACCTTCACCCTGAAGACTCGTCGCTCCTCTCTCGGTCGTGGGCATTTGTTTTCCTTTAGTGGTAGTGCTAGAATCCAGCTAGAGCTGTTCTTATTTCTCTCCTGACCAACTTCATTTGTTATTGTTTCTGTTTATTGCAAGACGAGCAAGAACAAAGGCGGCCGAAGGGCAAAAACTGTGATGTAACAGTCGCGCATCGGGGGACTTTTCGAAGATCGCCGTGGGTCTTCTTGACTTCAAGTGCGACGGACTACTAGCGACAGGGACAGTAGGTACTACTTTGATTATAAGTGGGCTGAGTTTGATTATAAGTGGGAGCGCGGTCGTCGTCAACATTTGAAGTTAAACGAGCTAAGTAATAAGTACTATCCTGTAGCAGCGGCGCTTGCGAATATTCGCATTCGGTCTGTCTCGAGCTCGACGCCGGTGCAATTAAAGAAAACACAAATGAACAAAGGCTCCAGCGCTAGTGCTTTCGATTCTATGACATCTTATTCTTAGTTCGTGTGGTGGTAAAAACCGTTTGTTCGAATTGTGCTTCGGAAGAGTAGTTTTTGTTTTACTTTTATCATGATCTGGGTCTCGAAACATACAAGCAACAGATTCCGCAACGGTGACTCCGAGCTGGACTAGCAACACACCGCAAAAAGACACTCCTGCTTGTGCCACCGCGGGGGCGCCACGTCCGAGACCTGTGGACAGCAATTTTTTCTCCATGCGGTCGGCCTGCGCCGCGACCCAACGACCTTCTTCGATCTGTCGCTCAGTTTTTGTAATCCTGCGCTTCACGCGGCGCTGCAGAATCATGGCGTTCGTTTTCGCCTCCATTGCCGGCTCCAGCTCTTCGGCAAAGAATTTTTCGTAGCGGTAGTACGCCTTGACAAGGTCCTCGTTTTGCGACTCCCAGAGACCGTGGTCGTGAAAAAGGCGACGGGCCAGCGGGACAGTGGACCCGCCCATCCAGTTCTATAGTAGTGAACAACTCCCCCTCCCCCTCAAATATTAATATTTGAATATTTATTTGGTTGCCAAATAATGCATTTTTATGTCACCAAATAATGCATTTTTGTGTCATCTTTGTGTCATCAAATCGTGCACATTTCGACATCAAATCGTGCACATTTCGAGATCAAATCGCGCACATTTCGACGCCAAATGCGTCGCAAAAGGTCGCGGATCCGGAACGTCTTCGTGGCTTTGACCGGTCGAGTCGAAGCCTGTGATCTCCGCACATCTGGCGCGAAAATCGGGATCAGATGCGCCACGAATTCGACGGATTGTCGAACGGTTTGGAGATCATTGGAGCCAATGACTGTTGGAATAGTTGTCTCAATCGATGCTGATGATCTTATGCATATCTAGCTAGTTAATGTTCATCCTAGATATTGCAGCGCGTAGTTTAGTATTATATTAATATAATGTAGCAGCACCAGAAGCACCAAGAGCCTGCTGGGTGTGGTTGGTATGATGCTATTGCTTGCGAGGGTGGTCAGCTGTTTTTTTTTATAGAGGATGATCAGCCGAGCCAACAACAGCTACCGACCTGCGCGGGAGGTGGACCTCCATCGAGCTGCACGCTGCTGCTCCTGTCGTCCACCCGGAGAGCGTGGAGGGCGACGGCCCCCAACCTCTAACAACCGCGTCCACCCGACCACAGCGTGGAGGCCCCAACAGCCACCACGTAGCAGCTCGGCAGCTCCGACCGCAGCTAGCCACGACGTTAAGCTGCGTGGTTTTCGCAGTGCCCTTCTACTTAGACTAACTAGTACATGCTGTGCTACTACATTATATTAATATACTAGTAGAACTACGCGCTGCAATATTTAGGAACATTCACTAGCTAGATATCAGTCCATAAGATCATCAGCACCAATTGAGACTATTCCAGCAGTCGGTGGATCCAATGATCTCCGAACCGTTCCACAATCCGTCCAATTCGTGGCACACCTGATCCCGATTTTCGCGCCAGATGTGCGGAGATCACAGGCCTCGACTCGACCGGTCAAAGACACGAAGACGCTCCGGATCCGCGACCTTTTGCAACGCATTTGCTGCCACAAGACGCAACATAATCGCTGCGCATTTGGCGTCGAAATGTGCACGATTTGATGTCGAAATGTGCACGATTTGATGTCGAAATGTGCACGATTTGATGACACAAAAATGCATTATTTGGTGACATAAAAATGCATTATTTGGTAACCAAATAAATATTCAAATATTAATATTTTGAGGGGGAGGGGGAGTTGTTCACTACTATAAGTTCGGCAGCAGGTTTAGACGCGCCCATTGCCGCACGAACCGGTATTCTCGTACCACCGGAAGCCACATCGCCTCCCTGGTATCGTTCAGAAAAATACACCCATGCCGTTGTTTGGCATATTCACAAAAAAACGTTTGATGCTGTGCGTCTGTCCACCAAAGTGAAAAATGTTGTTCCTTAACCGGTTTAATCCCCACCTTGACCACGCACTTCGAATAGCGATAGACATTCGAAATAATAGGTGGCTTGCTTTGCGCATAACAGCTGCTTTCTTTTTACATCATGATCATTCGTGACAAAGAGTACAAAGTAGAAGTGTCTCGTCCATAGTTGTCTCTGGTGTATTCATTAGACGAGTTTTTTTGTGCCAGGATCTTCCTTTTATTTTCCCGCAGTCGCAGCGCAAATACATAAGTTGGTAGGATGTTCATCTGGTATGGGTGTACATTGTTGTATGTTGGATACGTGGGCTGCAGCGCATACTCGGACAGAAGGTGTCGGAGGCGCTCCACCAAGCGCCATCGCACCTCCTGGCTCACCAGCTCGGCGCGGTGGTCTGCCCCCGCAGGACACGTATCCGGGTCCACGATTGCGCACAGTGGTTTGAACCTCCGTTTGCGGGCCGCGGCCCGGAGTTCGGGGTGCTTGTTTTCCTCGACAAGCATCGCGTTGTCCCACTTCTCCTCGATGTCGTGTAGGAGCACGCGCAGGTTCTTCACCACCCCGCCCTTTGCACGCTTCAACTGCCGGAGCGCCTCCTTGTAACTCTCCTCGATCTGCTGCATCGCCTTTTTCTCCTGCGGCGTCATCATCACCTGGAAATACTTTTCCTTGTCAGTGTCCCGCGGGTTGCGAAACTCGGGGTGCGCCTGCAGTGCTGTGGTTTCCGCCCGTTCAATACCAGCCTGCATCCGCCGAAACTCCGTGAGGCTGTCTGCGAGGGTCGAAGAGAGGCGGTTGACATGTTCCGTCTTTTCCTTGTTGAGGCGCGCCAGCGTCGTGTCCGCCGCCGCCTGCTTGGCGGCGAACTTCCCAAGCCACTTGTTCTGGACAGCCAACACGTCCTCCATGAATCGGCGGTAGGCCTTACCCCAAAGCTCGGCCTCGCGGTGCAGCGTGTGCGCCAGGTCACGTGCGGTTCCTTTGTGTTCCGTGTCGAACCTCTCTTGTTGCAGCATCCGTTCCCGTGTCAATTTCACTGCGGATTTGCGAGAGGTGCGGGCCTTTTCGATCACGCGAAACTCCTGCAGCGAGAGACCCGGAGCGGGTGGCTTCTCAATCGTGCACGAGTAGTCCCCGAGCTGGTTCCAGCGACAGTCTTTTCGAGGCCCCGACGTTTCCTGCACCTCGTGTTTTGTTTGTAGTTAGATGGTGCGTGTGCGATTCCAAAAATGCGAGGACAGTCATTGTCTTCGTCACATCATCCCAACTACAACAGCACGTCATGTAAAGTGTATGCGTACGACGCCACGTCGAAGATTTTTAGGATCATTCATTGCTTCCGATTACATAATGTCACAATGCAGCGCAAAAACAAAATCATATTATACAAAAGTTTCTTCGACGTACCACGTAAACAAAAACAAACTTCACTGTACTGGTACCATGTGAGCTGTACCTTTTTGCAGGCTTTATTGTCCCGGATACGTTCCAAAGTATCCGGGTCGACACATTGCGCATCTCCCGTTGCGGCTTTCGCATTAGCGACCAACTTTTGTGCGTAGTCGTACGCACGCACCGCAGTGTCGTACTGCTTCTTGACTTTTTGATACTGCGCGTTCACTTTGTTGACCTCCAGTTGGGCCTGGTGTACCTTGTCCAACTTTTTTGATTCGGTCTTCACCGCGTTGCTTTCTTTCCCAAGCAGCTCACCCTCTTTCTCGCGATCTCCCGGCTCGTTGCTCTCGGCTAGGGTGTCCGTCTTCTTCGCAAGGTCCTCTTGCGTTCCCTGTGCATTCTTCACGGCGTCGATCTGGGCCTGCAGCTCCTCTTCCTTCAGCCTCAGCCTGGCTTCTATCCGTTCCTTATCTTTCGTCAACAGGTCAAGGTATCTCTTCTTGGCCTTCTGGTTGTAAATCTCCCAAACCGGGTCGTCGTTGAATGCGGTTCGCGTAACTGGCCAGGAGCCGTGATGTTTCGGATAATCTTCTTTATGGTGTTGAAGCAAATACTGCACAGGGACACGCTGCGGGTGCTGCTGATACTGAAGATGAAACCAAAGTGCTGCTTTTGCATCTCCCATTTTTCAGGAAAAGCTTCAATGAGGATGAATATGAATGATCCACGAAGGAGCACAGTAACAACCAGGTTTTAATAAATTGCCAGGACGGCACTGTTGATTCAAGTACTTAGTCCCGGTCCTGCTGGTGCTGTACTAGTTCGAAAGCAAAGCTTTCATCTTTAGGTAAATCTACACCCCTTCTACATCGAGAAAGCTTCGGGATTTTCAGTGTAATTTTTCAACTACGTACAATAACATCATTTGGTACGCAACGACGATCACGAAGACGATGCGAAAGCGAAATCACGACTCACGAAACACAGACGATAGTCACAGACATCAAGGTAGAACGACCAAGGATTTGATTGTCTGTTGTGTTTGAAGACTCCACGAAATTTACTTCCAACTACACGACAATTATTTGGCGACATCCTGATCCTACTCGACACGAACGCGGCAACTAGGGTTAGGGAACATCAGGTGAATGCCCCGAAAATTCTTGTTCACAGTTTTCTTGTAGTCGAAGTTAGTCGTGCAGAAAAATTATCAAAATCTTACTCCTATATTTCTAGTTCCAAATGAAACTTGCATAGTTGACCCTTGCAAATATCTTGTCTAAAAACAAAACCGTCAAGGACACGTCGTTCAAGCATGCATGGCCTACTGTAGCATGATCATAACAATCTGGAAACATCATACAGAAACAGTTCGTCCCCAAGCTGCAACAAGCCAATCTGCTCTACAAAAAACAATGCAATGAATTATCGGCAAGCGGAAGCGCGACCTGGCAAAACTTTCATCTCTACAAAGAATAAAAAATTATAAATTGAGTCAAAAAATCAAAATCGCCAACTGCAACTTGCAGCTCTTCATACAGTGTTTTTTTCGAGAGGTAGAAGATGACTCACAGCAGGCGCAGGCCTCGTTGTCCTCGTGCTCCTTCTCCGTCACACGCATAAACTGCAGATACAGGCGGTAAGCAATACTTACGTGGACGGCCCAGTTGCAAAAGAGTCGGTACCGGCGTCGCGATATCGTTTTGTTGTGGTCGCAAATCACTATCCTAACCAACGACCAGGGAACGAATTAGCTTGAGAAGACGAAGGAGATTCTTGGAATATTTTGTTTCATCATGATTCAAGCCTTCCGATTCTAATTATTTATGGCGATGCATTCACCTCGAGCTCGACACTTACACTTCTGGTTCTGCGGCCGCACTATGACACTTCAATCAGGCAAGAGTGGTCAATGAAATCCATCTTCCGTTGCCGAAGGCTCCGTATCCTTGAACGCGTCACTGTGGATGATCGCGTGTAGAGTCAGCACTTCTACTTCTTGGACGCGCGCAGCATTTTTGCAGGAGTTGGTCGTCCCTGATGTAGGGGTGCTGGTGCCTCGAGCATCTTCAAGAACTCCAACTCCCTGCCGCGCTGCCGAGGGTGATGTACTTGTAAGCACACAAGTCGAAGCTGTCCTCTTCTGGATCTGGTCTACGTCCACATCACTCTCCATTTCATCTGTGAACGCGGTGAACTCGGACCCGCAAGAGGGAGACCGCGACATCCAGGATTCTGAAGCATTCCTCGAGGGGGAAGGCGATTGTGTGGCATGACCATGACCACCGCGACGCACGTTCTTTACAGAGCAGTCCTGTGGCTCAACAGCACCGGGCTGCTCCTGCTGCACCAATCGAAGTAATTCGTCGAGCTTCATACTGGGTTGTACGACTCCGATTTGTTCATTCTCCGCGCTGGTGAAGAACAGGTAACTTGAATCGCAAAACATCGCAAGCTGCTCCCATTTCTCAAAGGCTTTCAGCTGGGAGGGGCAGGTAGCCAGCTGCGCAATCTTCTTCGCAATCCGGTCCGAGTGTGTGCGCCGGAGCAAGGTCCGCAGAATATTGGTCGCCCCACTGCCTTCAATGTCCCGCAGGTGATGAATCATCTGTAGTTGCAAAAATGAAAAAATGAAAAACAATTTGCGGCGAAAGGAAAAATCGCACTTGTGTTTGATGTAGCTGCGTTCTTGTAGAAATGCCTCAAGCTCAACCTGTTCTGACCAATGATGGCATCTTCTACTACGAACTACTTCTACAACTTCATCATCCCACTCCCACAGGGAAAACAACGATCACACTAGATATAAACATATCGACATTCTCCAATATCACAAGACAGCACCACGACCAGCTCTAGCAGCTACAAAACTTAATGCAGTTCATGACTCTGCAGCACCTGGTGCATATGCTTGTCTCTCAAACTCGTTTAGCTTAGTGTGGAGCGTAGCAGTGGCCTCAGTTTGAGGCGTGGGCGTCTTCAACTTCGTTCATCATAATCATCCTGCTGAGGCCGTCGCATACCAAAACCAAATGGAAAAAGTGGGTTTAAGTGAGGTAGTACCCTCATGGCAAGAGCCTCGTCCTCTTCTGACGAAAATGCGACACGAAAGATGCCGCGCCCAATGGCATCAGTGGGCCGGACCCAGCGCTGCGTTTCTCCGTTTTTGTCTTTGGTGAAAACTGCCTCAAATGAAGTACCATCCAGCCTATACATTGCAAAAGTATCGCGCTTGTAAAAATCGCATTGCAAATTTCCCTGGAAGGAACAAAAGAAATTTGCAACATTTTTTGGAGATGATCATAGGTAAACGAACGTAATAAATCAGCATCAGCACAACTACTTAGTGATGACTTACCTCAGAAGCGAGACTCGTCGTGCATGATTCATTGCAATTAATCGAGCGGCGCGATGCTCTTGCAAAGGATACACCCCCTGTTGGTGCAGCTGTGTAACCACAAATATAGCGTTGGCAAACGTTGCATTGCTCGCTGTTGCAGCATTACTACATTACTTAGCACTTGCATTTCTGCTTCGTGTGTCTTTGTTATGCTAAACAGACTGCACTACCTAGCCCGGGGGGTGGTGCGGGGTCTATGGTGTGCACAAGGCACTGCGTGGAACAACACCCGAACATGCCGCCCCAAAGCTGGCACAGAACCAGCAACCGCTATCAGCATCGTGATCCTCATCGGCATGAACATGATCAAGCGGACTCGCATGACAAAAATGATAAAAAAGATCGCGACGCACTACATAGGATAGAAATCCGCGCGCGCGCCTGATGCAAAAAGTGCAAAAGTCTCGCGCTTTCTTTAACTTTTCCGCTTGTGATTCAAGACTAAAGTAGTAGCACGCATACGCAGCAAGCGCAACAGCGATCAATAGAACGCACGAGAACGTCATAACGAAGCGTCCGTCCCGGCGCTTATACCGCGTCCAGAAAGCATCCCGGGTTTTTGGTACTGGGACCTCTAGCTCGCTGCTTACGAACGCCAGAAAGGGAAAACCCTTGGCGGACGTGTGCCATTGTGGAATAGTGTACCGCCCCACCACTGCCATGTGGTCCTGGAAAGCCGTTTCGGGATCTAGGCGAAGCGCCGCGTCGTCGTTGGCGAGACGCCCGAAATGCACTTCAACAGGCGCCACGAACGACGTGAAGAAAAACTGCGAGGCCAGCTCCAGTGTGTCTAATCCTTTTTGGTCAGAGTAATTGGGTTCCGCGAATAATTTCTGGCAAGCTTTTGTCTGAAGATCATTCACGACATCGTTGTAAACTTTGAAATTGGCATTGGAATTCCGTCCCTGCTGGTGCTGCTTTGTGCCAGCTACTTGCTCTACTGCAGTGATGCCGTCCGTTGCGACCTTGGTCTCGGCCTCGTCTTGTTCTGCAGTTCGTCTTATTGTGTTTGTGTCGGTGTCGTCTTGGTCTTGAAGAACAATCCGTGTGGCAAGGCGCTCATCAAAAGCGCTTCGGCGTTGCAAATGTTCACGATGAATATCGCCAAGGATGTGATTCAACAAGACTCCGTAAGAAGTGCCCACCTGCTGGTGAATGAAAGGCGAAAAGTGTTGCGCTACGAATTCGGCAACGGAGAGCGTGGCGTCGACGTCATGCGCGAAAAAATCCTGGCCATTTAGTCCCTTTACCTCCACCCGGATGTGGGGTCTGGTGCCGCATTCTTTAGCTCCTTGGGCGCATGCTCCTTGCTTCGAACCCAACATGAACATCTTAACTTGCTTATGTATCACTGTATAGCAAAGTGGCAATGGGCTCTGTCTCTGTATCTGTCACCAAGTAGTTGAGTTGTAACGAGAAGCTCAACATGAACATAAATTTCGCCGCACTTGTGAAAAGATTTACAAACAGGCATCAGTAGTGTTGACGGAAAACGGAAGAAAACATATAAGGAGCATGATGATGCAATTGCAATTTATTTCTACTTCAACTTTTTTCACAAAATACTAATACCGTGCAAAAAACGAATAGCAAAATTACATGCACTTGCACACATCGAAAATAAAATGACAACAGCAACAGTTTTGTCGACAATTGCCACCTCCATCCAGACACCATAAATTCAAAATGCACGACGATCACGACATAGGTCGTATATTTTTATGTGCTAGTTGGTGTTGGTTCTCCGCTTGTTGACGTTCTTGACGTGATCATACTCACCTCTCACACTCCATCATCCGCGACGGGCAGCAGCTAGGCTACAGCCAGGCAAGTTTTTTATCCTTCTCCTTTGTATTTCTTTCAACTCACGTTCGCCCGATATTTATCTTATTTTAGACTCTTCTCTCTTCTGCAAAAATGAATCGAACTCTCTGTGCCGCATCGACATGCACACACTTTACGGGTCCACAAATAAATGTAAGAAAGAGCGAGAAAAATGTGAAAACGAGAGCACGAACATCTCAGAGCCAAGCCATCAAGTGCAAGTGAAAGGAATAAAATCATAATGGACGCACTTGGCAATGGCGACTTCACGCAGCTACCTCGTGATAGAACACTTCGGCTGCATCGGCTCTTTTTGCTTTTCGTATACTTTCACTTTCACTGTCGTACTCAGAGTATAATCATAATGCGGCTTTACAACGTGACAAGAATGCGAACATGCATCGTGTTGGCGTCCTCGCTTTTTCTACCGCTGCCCGCAGAGCAGCTTCGAATCCGTGTAGCAAAAACAGTTCCCCACACCATACTGGGCCACACCAACAGCGCCAAACAGCCCTCCCTTGTGCTGCACGACCACTCCGTTGTCATTCACAGCGTGATTTACGAAACTGTACCTGAAAATGAAAATACGTACTAAAATCATGTAGTTTTGTTTGTGGGTGGCTGTATCCAAGAAAATGCAAATGCATGTGGTCGATTATCGAGCCCATCAAAGACTTGCACGAACTCGATCTCGAGGTTGTTTAATAAACAAGGAGAAGGAAGACCAAGCGTCTCAAATATGTTGAACAACAGTCCAAACTCCCTTTACTGAATGAGTCTGAGACTGAGTTTTCGGAATGCATGTAATCTATGTATTGAAAAGTTGAAGATATCAGCTGATATAAATATATTTTTTCTGCAGGCAGATATGTCGAGTACATGACTCCCACGTCGCAGTCGGACATCTCAATGGTGCCGGACATACCCGTATGAAAAAGAAAAAGCTCCTATGCCATGAATCTCCAGGTGCCTTCTTTTCCCGCCGGGGAGACAAAGATCGTCAGAGCTGAAGTTTTTAGCTCAATGATCCGCGCCAGATGCTAGAGTGATTTTAACAATGAAAATGATGCAAAATAAGCAGGAGCGATGTCATGTACGTGCTCCTGATAGAGATACACAACATGATCTCAATATTCAATATGCAAATGCAGGCTTCCCGCTTTTTCTGCCATCGTAGTCGCCTTCGAAGATGACGACTGGGGGACACCGTTTTCCCATGAAGCAGCCCGTTTCCAAGTTGAAGCCGCACGGTGCATTTGGGCTGCTGCAAGAGATACTGCTTCGCGAAATGTTGAATGCGCCGCTCATAAATTGATCTCCAATGATGTACTTTTGCGCGTGCACGCCCGGCAGCAATGCACTGCTATCTCCGGTAGTCGGGTCGCTTCCCCCGAAAAGCATGTGGAGCACACCAACAAACGAAGGAACCAAACACAAAACATCGAAGAAACCAAATATGCAAGAAAAGGATTCTGTCGGTAACGGTGGAGCTGATTTTATGATCAGTTCGATTTTTCGACGCTTGAATTTTTCATATGACCTCGCAGCCCTACCTCTTGGCATGTCAAATTTGAAACTACCCCTGTAATCAGTACACACGCGCTTGCGCCAGTTGCAGCTTTTGTTCCCATTGTAAATCTTCTTGAAGATGATCAAACAACTTGCCACAAGACCTCTGGTGGATACAACTTGTCACCTCATGCACAGCAGGCGGAATCCGAACCATCACAGAATTTTGCCTAGTACCAGCTGCGATCATTTGCCGACAAAATCAGTTTTTGCTTGATAAGGCGACACAGCATCTTGTTTAATCTTCTGACCCAATGACAAATAATAAGAACCCGCTATACGACCACGTTGCCGCCAAGTTCCAGGAACAAGTATGTTCTTTACAGTAGAGAACGATGCCTTACAAAAATCTCCGGCCCCTCGATCCGCATGGGATATCAATAATCCATCATCTGCATCTGCAAAGTAAGAAAGACCTTCGCTCGAATGTAACACTTTCACTTCGTCCTAGGCAACGGCAATGGACACGGTTCCACCGAGCCGGAGCCTGTGAGCTTCGAAATTGAAACGTCGCTGCGACCGACGAACCTTCACTAATAATTGTGTTGCATGTAAGAAGTAGGAGCCTCACGGACATTACATGATCTTCAGCGCGACGTGCTAGAAGTGAAGATGATGCAGCAATTGGTCATTGGCCATTGGAAACATTTCTGTCAAAAGAGGCCATCAAATGGATCCGCTTTGCTAGACGCGGGCGACTTCATCGCGCTAGTAGCCAGGTTTCCTTGCAGCTGCATCGCATTGGTTCCAGAATCAATTGGCGACGCGCGCGATGAGCCCCCCGGTGAGCTCGTCTTCTTCGCTGCAGCGGATCCCGCTTCGAGATTGTTATTTGCATTACTAAGCGAGACACCGGACAGCAGATCGGAAAGATCGCCAAATTCAGTCAGCAAGGGATCACTTTTCAACTTGGCCTGCGCCGTTACGGGTGGAGGAGAGGATGCTGGCAGCAATGGCATCGCCACCGTCCCTGCAGCAGTTACCGGCAGTTTTTCTTGAACTACAGGCGCTCCATTAGAAGCGGCGGAAAATAAAGCCAGCGGTTGGTCTTGGATTTGGTGACTCGTGTGCGACGTTGTCGTCATTCCTCCAGATCCAACAGCTGGCGTAGCGGAAGATGACAAATTCAGGCCGCCTGCGAACGCAACACTCAAGAGGTCAAGGTCGTCGCTGCCTGTTGCTGCCTTGACACCCGTGCTGCTGTTCGTAGGGAACTGCAATTCGAGAAGGTCGCTGCTGGGAGCCGATGCTGCAGAAGTAGAGGACGGCAATGCGGCTGCTGGTGCGCTTGGCTCGGGAACGAGACTCAACAAATCGTGCTCTGCTGGGCTGCTCTGGTTGAGAAACCGCCCATCTGTCGGCGCCAATAGTTGTGGTGGCTGCGCATGATCGGAGGTGACTCCACCCAGAAGGTCATCCAAAGTATTGCCGCTAGAAGCAGACGCAGGATCAGTCCGCAACCGGGTGGATGACGACGACCCTCCTGTGATGGTAATAGAAATCGTGCGAGGACCACTCTCTTCATCGGATGCATTTATCGCCCTCGCGGACGATGTGGAAGCGAGGCAGTAGTTGGATCAAGTATCATCACGAGTGATGTGCCACGTGCATGTGGACAATTGCAAAGAGAATGCTGCGCTCGTGTGCAGGTTCTATTTCAATTTCTATAATATAGCGTGCGAGTCGGAGTCAGAGTCACTTCTTCTGATGTCAACATGATACTCTCGGCATGCACGACAACACCGATCCTTCTACATCGGCATCGCAACAGCTCCACGACCACCCTTCACAAGAACGGAACAACTTCGAACAATGACGCCTCTACCTCTCGCAACGGAAGCCGAACTGCCTGCGGCCGTTTCCAGAAGATCTCCAGACAGTAGATCCACCGCTGCCGTTCCGTCGGACGAAGTTGGGGCGCCGGGTGACGCAGTGGATCCACTTGCTTTCGCAGGGTCCATTCTTTCTCGAATGACCTGTCGCCACATGGGTAAGAATTCTTGCTTCAGCCTAGGCATGTTCCGTGTGCACATGTCGGGGGAAAAACACGACTCATGGCCAAACCTCGATCTGCAAATATTATTTCCGTCTTCGCCAGTGTTGCCAAAATCCAGAAGCCAGTGTTGCAGACTACAGAATATCAATACCACTTTCACATACAATGTCCCAGAAGATGAAGTCGAATCATGCTGGTTTTATCGTAATACGAAGAACTTCTACGATGGGCATAAAAAAAAGTAGCTGGGCACTAGAAAAAGACGGCATGACCATGCATCTCTATATTCTTTTTTGTTCTTTGCAGCAAAAAGAAATTTCGAATATCTTGTTTTTGCGTCAGTCACTTCGTCCATGTACAAGAGCAGAAGCAACGAGAACGAGGGGCCACGGCCGTATTTCGTCATCTTCTTCTGGGTGATAGAACCAATCTTCGTTATATTCGCCGTGAAATTCTCGCACCCATTCCCAAAAGAGGGGAACATCTTCTTCGCGCGATAATGGTGCTGTACCTGATGTTGTAGTGATAAAATATCGACTGCTTGTTCAATCATTCACCATTCAGTTCGCGAGGAACCCATGACTGGTATAACCCTATCAATGAAACGAACCTAAGAAACAGCATGTACTGACTGTGAAAACATGTTACCATGATATTTGAGATGAAAAGGCAAACTAGGAAACTAATGGGAGCAGCAGCACTCACTTGCATCAGATTCGGAGTTGGAGACATGGCAATCACAAAATAAATGGAAGGCGCGTGACCTGGCTGGCACAGCTGTCGTTTGTCAAGGAACTCGTGTCCCGAAACCTGCATGATCCTGGCGCATTCCTCTTTTGATTCTTGCGCCGCCGTTTTATGGCTCGGCCGAGAAACTCCACTTTGAATTTGGTCCCTTGTGTTTCTGTTTTGCAGATCCAACAGAACTGGCAGTGCGGTTTGCACGTACGCCGGAGGACTCGTGCGAGGCGGCATGCTGGTAGCAGCTAACCTATCAATTCGAAGAGTATATGCCGCTCCCTCGTCAGCAGCACTTCAATAGATGAAGCACAAGTATTTTATTGCATCGCCAGCATTTTTGATTTTTGCCTCGTCGCAGGACCACAAGGACAACACTTCCCATGAAAATTCAAGTTGTGATCTGATAACTACGTGCGGTAAATACAACTTTCATTCTTGACCAACAACAAACCAACCACAGTTTTGCGAAATTAGGATCAAACACATCAAGTAGTACAGCCCCAGAATGCATTGCAACGACGTCATTAAAGATAAAGGCAGCAGGAGGAGCCTCAAAAATATTAAACGCCATGATGATCTTCTCCGCACCGTTTCTGCGTGATCTTGACTTTCAAACAAGCAGCTTTGCAACCAGTTTTTGTAAGTTGTACTCATCTGCGATGATGAAGTAGGCCATATCAGAAGACGCGCCCACTACCAAGGGGAAAAACACAGGAAAGGGGAAAAATTCAAAATTTTGCCATGCCTCATTTTTGAAAGAGGTGAGAACCAAACGCATGCGCATGGCTTTGGTGATTTGCGGCGAAATCGCAAACGCCACAAAACCGCTTGCGGCGTATCAAAAGACACAATACGCAGAAGGCCTGCCCCCGGGCCTGTCTACAATTTGAAAACGCCCGCGCTTCGTTTTAACATCACTGCCGGGCCCCAGGCGGCGCCGGGCTCCGGGTCAGGGGGCCGGCGCCATTTCCCGAAGCCCCAGGCAATGCCCAACACGAGCAAAATCTGGCCCGGGCGCTACCGCTTGGGGTGGCCAAAAATGGCAGTCGGGGCCAAGGCAGTTTTTGCCTTCTAGTCTACGGCGTGTGGCTTCGGGCCACTTTTGGGGCCATTCCTGTGGATTTGAAATCCGACCTATCTGCCCCGGTTTTCGGCCCAAATCGGCCGCGCCATTGTCGCGTCCGGGGCTGCCCCCATTTCTGGGCATTCCTGTGGATTTGTAACCCGACCTATGTGTCCCGGTTTGTGGCCAAAAAAAGGCGTCGCTTTTGGGCTCTTTTTGATGGCCCCTGCCGAGGGGGGGGTGGCCCCAAGGGTACCCCCCCGCCCATTCCTGTGGATTTGTAACCGCACCTGTGTGCCTTGATTTTTGGCCCATTTCGAGCCACCGCTACTTCCAGGTTTTGGCCCCTCTCCCAGACCCCACCCCCTGTCCATTCCTGTGGATTTGCGCTATAACAAACGTAGCCCATTGAAAGAAGCCAGGCGCGACGCTGTTGCGCCGGAATTGCGCGCCAAAAGTGTGCCCCTTCTCGGACATACAAACAGAGACCGGCCACAGAGCTGCAAAAACGTGGGGTCGTCCACCGCGATCAACAACAGCCGAAGTCGGGCGGCCCCGGTCCGGCTCAAATAGGGCCCGCCAACCCCCGGGCCCTTCGCGCCAATTCGGAAAAGAAAAATAAACGTGACGGCCAGGTCTTTGGGGCCTTTCAGCCATTTTGCCGGCGTTGCCTCGGGCGGGTTCGTGTTCGGCAGAAAAGTGGGCGCCCCACTTCCGGCACGAACGCGGCGAGCAAAAATTGGGGCGCAAAAATATTGGCGACGATGTGCCGATCTCGCGGAGAGTGGATGGCTGCGCTTTGCTGGAACTCAACAGGCAGAAGCGCCGCCGATAGGAGATCGCGCCGGGCCATCGGACCGGTGGGCCCGGCCATCCCTGTGCCACTAGATTTCTGAAGGGGGCTGCCTTTGCAACATACAAAAATTTTGAATTTTTCCCCTTTCCTGTGTTTTTCCACTTGGTACCCACAAAGACATCACTATCACAAACGAACACACGCCATCCGATTCTTTGTGACGACCTGTGACACCTAGCAATGTTGACTGTACAACTTGTACACCACGAGAACAAGAACAAACAAAAAGCGGGCTGCTTTTGCTTTCGGATTTTGGTCGCGTGTTCGTGTTCGAGTTATTTCACACCGCACACATTTCTCTTTCTGTACCTCATGATTGCGTCAGGTTGCTGGCTACTTGAGAAACCAATGCAGTTGGCGGGCCGGCCAGTGCTTCACCGATTCCTTGACAGGCTTGATGACTCAAACGCCTTTAGTCAAGGTCATCAAGATCGGCAGGGTTTGGCTTGCGTTTGGCTTTTCTCGACTTTGGTGGTTGCACGTCTTGCGAAGATGATCGGACTTCCAGCCAAGTTGGATCATCGCTACAAACGTCGGTGCTCCACTGTCCGCCAGTAGTAGATGAGTTCTCCACCTCATTTAAGGTGGTGCTCTTCATCGTTGCGACGGCGAACTTTTCGGTAGTTATCGAAGAGCCTGACTTCGCCTTCGGTGATGCAGATGGCGCCGGTTCTGCGACCATTTCCAGGTACGTGTTTTGGTACAGGACCACTTCGAGCTTCCTCCTTTCCGAAGTCCCCATGCTTTGCAAAAGGAGTGGCCAACGGTTAATCGCCTCCAACTTGGCCACGACGCTCGCCTTGCGCGCACGGTAATCCTCGGCGGAGGAGAAAATGACACCATCTGCCAGCATGTTGTTGCCGTCCGCTGCGGACTTGTTGAACTTCTGGAGGTAGGCGGGAAAATGTGCTTCCAGGCTTTGCACCACGTCCACCACCTCCAACACTAGCTCGGCGGTGAAGCTGTCTGAAAACACCTGCGTCCGCTCCAGTAAGGAAAACCGCTTTCCTACCGCTTGCGTTGCGCTGCCTAGCCGTCCGCAGGTCCTCCAATCCCGCTCGAAAGCGTAAAAATTGGACCGAAACATGTCAGCGTGCTTGCTGTTGGATCCTGTTGCTGCACCTGTCTCGGTGGCTGCGCCAGCAGCAGTGCGGCCCACACCACTTGTTCTACTAGCGGTGGTCGTGGGGGGCTGCAGGCTACTAGACCTGGTAGCTGCAGCCTCCTCGGCCTCGGCCGCCGTGTGCTGCCTCCCTATTCCTGCTGAGGATGAGGACGACACGGCGCCCCCGCCTTGCTGGCCGAGCTGTCGCCCCATGCGAACGGATTTCGGAATGTATTTTCCATTAGCGTCAGTGTTTCCGTCTTCCGCGCTGTGGGAAGAGATAAACAAGGACTGCTGTTGCTGCGCTTGCGGTTTTCCTCCTCCAGCACCGGTCTCGTCCGTCTCTGTAGCGCTCGCGCTTGCATAAATCTCGCCAGTGTTCTTGCTCGATGAGGATGCTGAGCTGGACGGCTTTTTCTTTTTTTCCGCCCTCTCAGTGATCTGAAGTGGGGTTTGCTGCAAGACGGGCTTCCTACTGGCGTCTTGCATCAGAGCTTTTGCGTGTGCGCGCGCCTTTTCCACTGTCTCACGCAACATCCGCTCCACATACGTAAGCTCGGTGCGACCTGGCAAAAGATTTATTATAAAAAACCTTCCTGTTCCTCGTATCAGTATCTTTCGCAAAACAAAAATAAAGTGGAGAAATGAAGACGATTGCTCTTGTTGGTTTGCATTCTCACGGCGGATCAAGAAAGCTTTCGCTTTCGCTTTGCACCCCCACCGCCACGTGTCATAGAAGACCACCACTGGACTCAGACTCACTTAGCACGTCAAGGGAAAGGCGAAATAAATAGAAAGGTGCTCGAGACTACGTATCCATCTCGAGCGAGGTAGCGCTATCAGTACGAACCTCATTCCACTGAACATGAAATACATTTCGCGTCTTTTGGATCAAGTTCCAAAGCCCGGCGGAGATCAGCTGCTGCGCGCTTCCACTGCTGCTGGTGCATGTAAGCACTCCCGCGCCGAAAGATTGCTTTTACGTTGTCTGGGCGAACCGACAAGGCCGCGTCACTGGCTTCGATGGTTCCCGAATAGTCTTGCATTTTCAGCCGACAGATCGCTATGTTGGAGTGGAGTACTGCCTGGACGTCCCCGATATGAAAGAGAATCAGCAAACTGGCTCTTTGCGCGATTATTGGGCGTAATAAATCGTTGCGCAACCATCCATTTCTAATGCGTATTTCGATCAGAAGTTAAAGTTTGTTCCCAAAGCGCAATCGATGCTCGCGCATCTTGAATGATCTTCTCACAATTAATATCGTCAGTTGATGAATCATAGCAAATCAAGCAATGGAAATGGTTGATCATGTTGACTGACGCACCAGCGGTGCTGCTGATTGGCAAAGCAGCTGTTTCAGACAACAGTAAGACCTAGCAAACTGGACAGGACAATTTGCTCGACGCGCGCATAGTTTTCCTCTTCGTTTTCTCCGCGCATCACGTAGGTCAGGGCAACCTTGTAAGCCGCCTCTGCTTCTTTAAATCTGTTGTTTTTTATCCAAGGCGGGGGGCTCGGACACGCTCGCGCTTTCTTCTGGTTGTGAGTTAACACGAAGTACTAGTAGTAGTAGAAGACATCGAGAGAAAAATAACATCAACAACTACATAATGAATAAACCCCGCACCTTGCCTTGCCAAAGAGGCGATTAGCTTCTTCTTTTTTCGCCGTACTGAACTCGACGGCGGTCGTTGCGCGCGCGGCGGTACGTACAGCGACTTTGACATTTGGCCGGGCGGCGGTTGTCTGTTAGTAGAAGATCACGGAAATATATTCGTATTCCCACAGTATATGATCGAAGCTACCGGATGCTTTGCGTACAAGTTCCGCTTAACAAAATGCCAAAATATCAGTCAACCAAATCACACACATCGATTTTCTGGTCAGCACCACATCCAGAGGCAGAGCTTCTACATTCTCATGTTCTTTAGATGAAGACGAAACGGAAACTTCAGTACCCGCTTCTGTTGTACATACTCTTCCACGTTAAACTCCTTCGCCTGTTTTGGCTCTTCCAACTTTTCGATTTCCTTTTCGACGTCATACTTGTTCCAGTTTTTGTAATATTGCGGGAGAGATGTAGTGTCGCGCGCGAGCTCCAAATTATCCTCGGATCTTTCGACTACGCCTTTTGTAATCGACTCCGTAGTGGTTGAAGAGCTGGACAATTTGCAAATAATGTTGCTGAATAAAAGTGTGTCTCTGTCTGTGTCAGTGAAAAAATCTACGACCACAACGCCCTTCGATTCCAATTGTTGACCAGGGATCATCAAAAAGTGTAAAAAATGCAATGCTATTGAAGTGAAAGGTCAAAACAAAGGACAGAAGTAAAGCAGGGCCCATCTATTGTTCTGATTTTTAGTTCTAGCACCTCCCTGGACAACAAGAACAAGGAGTGAGAGCAAGAAGATTTCTGTGAGAAGATTGTCGTGAAGAAGATTTCTTTCCTCTTCTTCAAAGAGATCTTCTTTTTGAAGGAGAAGATCTGCGTCTTCGTGAAGAAGATCTTCTTCCTCGTGAAAAAGATCTTCTTTTTGAACGACGGCGATCGTCTTCAAAAAGATCCTCTCGCTGAAGAAGAAGATCTTCCTCATTCTTCGTCGGGAAGGTCTTCTTCTTCGTGAAGAGGGTCTTCTTTTTGGAGAAGATCTTCTTCCGCTCGTGAAAGTGCATGGCGCGCTTGCTCTCCTGCGCAGGAGAGCAAGCGCGCCATGCGCTTTGTGGTCTGCACGCAAAGCCGCAGCTTTGCGGCTTTTTGCTTCTTGTTGCTGATTTTCGTAGTGCCCACGGCTAGCGTCATGATTTCCAATCTTCCAGATCGCGACGCTTTTGCATTTCATACAGCCGGGAAGTGTTCGACTTCCACAAACCGGACTGGCGCGAAAAGCCGTCGAACTTGCGGCGCGATGAGTACTCAGCCGTGCCGAGGCACTGGCCACGGCCGGAGAACTCCCCGCACTGGCGGCCAGAATGCGAACACTGGCACGCTGAGGAGTTGGCCAGGGAGCAGAAGCGGGCAAAAAAGTTCCTGGAGGAGGAGCACTGCTAAGGAGTTTTTTGAGGAAGGTTTTTTTTGTAACAGGATTGGCCTTGCTACAGGACTAGCAACAAGATTGCGCCAAAGTTGCGCTTTTTTGAAACAGGGCCGGCTTTTCTGAAAGACTTGCGACAAGACTTGCGACGAGATTGGATTTTTTTGGAAAAGACTGCCGCTGGCTGTGTTTGTATGGAGTTGGTTGCGCGCCAAAGAAAGCAAGAGAACCTGCCTGGCCGGTGGCTTAGACGGTGCCGCCGCGATCTGTTTCGCCGGCGGGCGACGGGCCTCGGTCCTGGTGTTCTTTTGTTTCGGCTGTGTTTCGTCAGAGAGTGTAAATCTCGGTCGGTCGGGTACACGTAGAATTTCGGTCGGGAGCTCTTCCATTAATTTATGTCGTACGTAGATAGGCTCTATCGTTTTCAGAGAATAGCTTTTCTCCTAAGGATTTCCACACCGCTGCAAGCCTATTCGGAGAGGGAAAAGGAGGGCAGCGCGACAGTATTAACGGCAATCCCGCGTGGAGTGGCGGCGTGGATTTGGTCTGTAACTCGAGGGAAGGGAAGCGAGGGAGGGCAGTTGGAGGGTGATCGTTCACGCGCATGCATAGATAGAGTGTCCGTGGTAGTAGTCTTGCGGGTTTTGTCGGACCAGTTGCGATCTACATTAAGATGTATCCGCTTATCGCCCTCGCTCATTTGGCTCTTTGTGGGTTGTGTGGTACTTTCGTCGTTCTCGGCCTTTTGCGGTGCGGCCTGCGATTGTGCACGCGGCGGAGCGCCGTAAGCGCGCGGGCACTGCCAATGGGCCGGCCCGCCCCAGCGTCCCCTTTGCGGCAAAACCGAGCGCCGTTGCGCCTGCGGAGAGGGCCGCCACCGCCTCCAGCGCCGCCCCTTTTCGGTCGCGGAATTCTCGACGCCCCCGACGACCTTGGCTTCGAGTTTGACGCCTTTCACGCTTTGGCGCGGCCGCGCACGCCACCACGCTCGGCGACGCCGTCCCCCTCGTCGCGCGCGTCCTCCCCCCTTTCGCGTGGCTCCAGCACAGTCGACCCCAGCCCGGCTGTTTGACTTGGACGGGCGGGCCCGTCCTCATGTGTACTCGGACTGTTGTAGACAGACACTGGTCGACGCGTGGCGAGTGAAGTAGCCTCTGGAGTATTCATTGTTCAGGCATGTGAGAGGAGTTGCATTGGCCGGGCACCTAGCAGCCCCACGCGCGTAAGCAAGAGAGGAGGGCGAAGAGAGCGGCGCAGCTTTGGTCAGGCACCACTACGGGCGAACGTGCCAGCCTGGCCCTCGTATTTTCTTTGCAGTTTCCCGCCTTCTTTATCGTAGTGTCGCGCTTCTCCTAGAAGTTTCCCGCCTTGTTTATCGTAGTAGAGCAACCAGCGAGATTTGTACAAGAAAAGACACCGGAAGGACAGATGTCAAGGGCCCGGCGGGACATGCTTATCGCCCGCGAGGCGGCCCGGCGCCGCCGGAGGGAGGCGATGTTGCGGCGCATCGCCTGCAATTTTAGTGCGGGGGCTTGCGCAGAGGTCCTACTGGGATGCGTGTTGGCCTGTCTCTCGTACCCGGCCGCGCTATTCTCGCCCAGTGCCTCAGCAGTGCTGCACGCGGCGGCCCTGATTCTTTTCGTCCTGGAAGGCCTGGCGCCGTTGGTGGTAAATCTTTCGCGGGCCCCAGCGCCCTCGCAGCTCCAGGGTTGCCCGAGCGGCTTCGTGATTCCGAACTGGGCGACGCAAAGCGGTTGTCTTTGGGAGGCGCTTCGCGACGCGCTTGACGCGACACCACGTTCACGAGCTGAGTCAGGGCAAGCACGGCGGGACCTACAGCGGAAGTGCTCGCCGTCCTCGTTGCGACACCGGGCCGGCGGAGTTCGCGGGGCTATGTCGACGACGCCGATGCTCTACCGGGCAGCTGAGGTATGTTTGCGGGGGTTTTTTGCTTCGTGTGTTTTGGTGCTTAGGGTAGGAGTAGGCTTCTCGGTGGTTTCCTCCCCGGCCCTGCCCGGCGGCTTGTGTATTGCCTGACGCGTATTTATTTCCTCTGACGACACAAACAGGACCTCGGCCGTGTCATCTTGGTGCACGATGTGGCCCGCGGGGTGGTTTGGTCAGTCGAGCCAACGCCGGCGGCAGCAGGCCGGGCGGGTGTTGGTCGTGTTGTGCCGCCTCTCTTTCTTCGGTTGGACCGCCTGCACTACACGGCCTACGCTTCCGCGGGGGCTTTTGCAGTATCCGCGGGCAAGGCTCCTCGCTCGTCCGCGCTCGCCGTCGCATTGTGTGGAGGCGCCGCTGAGGAGCTGATTGACGAAGTGGCTCAATTTTTCGCCAACTTTGAGAACCAGGTGGCGCCAAAGGACGACTTCGAGGATTTCCTTGCGGGGTTTGGATTCGCGACGCAGGTAAGCTGTTGGGTGTGTGTATTGATTTGGCGTGTGTTTTGGCGCTTGGTTGCGTGCTTTTTTGGGGTGTCGCTTTTGTGGTTCCGATTCATGTACCCGACGCGGCATGTGTCTACTTTGATCACAGGACCGGGTCCGGGATATCGTCGAGCGGCTTCTTGATGACGCCCAGCTGAACGACTATGACACGCTCTTGGAGTATGTCGGGCGGCCTCCGCGACCCCGCGATCCCCAAGGCCCCGCGGGACCGGCCGGCGGGGCGCCAGCACAAGCAGCGGAAGCGGGTCCGCAGCCGGGAGGCGCAGCACCTGCGAACCCGGTCGGGCAAGCAGTCGCAGGTCAGGCGGCGGCAGCGCCAGTGAACCCGCAAGCAGGCGAGGCGCAGGCGGCGGCAGCGCCTGCGAACCCGCAAGCAGGCATGGCGCAGGCGGCGGCAGCGCCGGCGAACCCGGTCGGCGCGGCGCAAGACATCCGGGAGATCTCGCTGCCAACTTTGCGAACGGACCTTGAGGATTGGGCTGCGAACTTCGGGAGGGGCCCCCAAGAATCGGAATACGCCTTCATCGCTCGCCTCATGGTGCAGTATGTCGTGGATTGGGAACAGGGGCTACAGGAGAAGTTTTCAGAGTATCACTCCGCCGGGCTGATTTTCCTCCTCCTGCGCAAGTGGGCACTCATCGTCGACGGACAGTGGTCTATTTGGGACGAGCAGTGGCAGGACTCCAGCGACATACAGATCAACTCCGTCATGCAGGCAGCCTGGGCGAGGGTCCGGGACGAGCTGGAAAATAATCCACCGCCGGAGGGCTGCGCTTTCCTGTCAAAGCTAGACAACGCGATCCGGAACAAGCCGGCGCTAACCCTTAAAAAGGCAGCGCCGGTCTTCCACACCGACCGGGCCTTCGACAGTTTCCCGCGCTTCTTCGCCCTGCGGAACTGTTGCTACGATGTCGCGCAGAGAACCTTCATCGCGAACGACCCCAGGCACCTGCATCGTGTGGGAAAGCCCTTCCCTGCTCCATATTCCAAAGGGGCTGCAGCTTCTGCAGAATTGTGGCGGCCCGGGGTCTTTTGTACGCAGGCCGCCCGCCACGTATTTTCTTTGCGATATGGGGAGGGGGAGGGCGCTTCCATTTTGATAACCTTTGCAAGCGGTTTGCCGACGTATTGGTCCCACAAAATCTCCACAACGACCCGAATTGGGCGGACAGGATTGCGACCGACCCCCAGACGGCGGAGGAACTGCGTGCGGTTCGGCAGTTCGTCGCCGGTCTCTTCGCGTTTGACGGCGGCGCGCGACACCGCTACGACGGGCCGGTAAGTAGCGACGAAAGCCACCGGGACTTGCTTCTCGACCACCTCGCGTCCGCCATCACGGGGGTGCCGCTTCACCGGTATCTGTATTGCTTTAGCCCCCGCGGGCGACAAGGGAAGGGGGTCATGCGCCGCCTCACCAAGGCAGCTTTCGGGACGTATTTCGTCCAGTGCAAGCCCAGCGTCTTCGCAGCCGATAAGCGAAGCGTGGAGGAGTGCAGTCCGTTCTTTTATGGTATTCTATTTGCTTAATGTTTTGGCTTTTGCCTACAGGAATGGGACTTGGGTAGCGCGCGCGGCGCGGTTTTTTTCGGACCTGTTGAGGAATCCATGGCGCACACGGAAAACCTGAAAAACAGCCTCCGCCGGAGCGCGCGTCATGTGGATGGACGAAGTGAGCAACGCCATCGAGTCGATGTGGGACGTGGCGCGATTTACCGGACTGGTATCCAGCGACCCCATCGTTGCGCGCCAGATCATGAGCATGAAGCAGCGCGAGGTGGTGCCCACGTGGCAGTTTATCGGGACAGGGAACAGCCAGCCTCTGTTCAACAAGTTCTGCCAGCAGCCTGTAAAGACGCGGTGGGGGACGGTAATTTTTGGGGCCTCCGCTTCTTTCTGCGGTCCCGTATCTGTTTTCGTGTCGTGTTTGTGTTTCTTTCGTTGCCGCTTGCCTGCGCGGCTTGCTTTTCAGTATTTCTAGTCATTCGAACGCCGTGAACTCGTCTAAAAACAGTGCTACTTCCCGAACCGGTATTGCGAGCCCGCAGAGCTGGCGAGGGCCGGCGGGTCGCCGCGTCGAAAGTTGGCGGACCCTTTGGTGGAAGAGAAGGCGGATGAGCTAGGGGGCGCGTTTATGTTGCTCCTTCTACATCGCCACGCAACGACGCCGGTTTTCCAAAACGCCAGGAATCAGTCAGAGACGGGCGGCCATTGGCACCGGAAGTTCTTTCCTGAAGTCGTACGGGATTGGCTGCATGCATGGGTCCACTCGGTTCCGCCATTGTTCGGCAACCCAGGAAATGTCGGCAAACAGGACCGCATTGGTGCGCAGATTCTCTACGGCAAGCTAGCTGAATTCGTGGACACCGAGGGCCGGTATAGGTTTCCTCCTAGCTCCAGCCTGTTGCTTTCTCACCCTTTGCGCCCGATATTTCTTTGCTGGTGGGCCTTCGTTGTGTTTAGTTCCTGTCCTTCGAGAGTGCGGGAATGCTATGCATTCGGCTGCCTTTTTTTCGCAGGTACAACTGGGCCGCCTTCAACTTCGACCCGTTCGTTCGCCGTCCGGTATTATTCAAGGAGGAGGCGGAGAAGGCGCTCGGGACTCTGAAAATTATCCATGGCAATCGGAAGCACAACCTCCCCGGGCCCCTTCGTGATGAAGAGCTACCGGCACCGGGCGAGGAGGTCGTGGAGGACGATGTTCCCGCAGGTGGTCTAGGTGGTGACATTGACATGGATTTCTACGTCCCGGCACCCGGCGACCGGTTGAACCCGGACAGGGAGGACACCGACGACGAAATGGCGTGGGCGCGGGGAGAGGAGGACCCGTTGCTCGGGGGGATGCCGCCTCGCCGCGAGCCGCCGGATGCGTTCGCGCAGACGGCGGCGAAGCGTGCGAGGCGGTACGAGTACACGCCGCTGCGGACGGCTATGGGGCCCTCAGTTGTTACGCTCCCCGCTGCTCCGTGATATTTGAGTGCAAGAGTGGCAAAATTGAAAGGGGGGGATTGCGCCTGCTGCGTGACGGACTAACTTCGGACGCTCGTGCTGCTTGTCCATTTGGGAGCCTGTCACGCGAGGCAGCTCTGTCTTGTCGTTTTTGCTTGGGATTTTGCATGACAAATCGCGCAACAGTTCGGGGCGTAACACTTGCGAGCGCCATAGCGGAACACGTTAAGACCCGGGCCTGGTTCCGCTTGGCAAATTGTCCGAGAGTGCACGATATGAAGTGCGAAAATTTCTGGGCCTGGAAGATTCTCATGCAGGGCAGGCATCCATGATAGACATCCCGCAAGGTTTGCCATGCTCGGCGTTGCACTTCAGACCCCGCGGGTCATAGAAAACCTCCGCGATATTTCTGACATCGATCCTTCCAGACCCCGTCACTTTTGCATTTGATACACAAATACCACCGGTTATGAAAACGAGAATCCTTGTCGCTGTCACTTCCGGCCGCCAGCTTCCTGCGACGGACTCACTTCGAGTCTTTCGCGAATTTTGGCACCGGGAGTGACAGCGACAGGAGGCGTCGCTTTCATATACGTGCTCTATGTGCGGCGTCAGCGAGGTGGCGCACAACAGCACCACGCACAAGCACCTCTTCCGCTCCTGGCGGCTTCATGGCGACTGCCCGGCAGATCTGCGGGCCGACTTGGCGAAGTTCAACAAAAAGGACGGCCAGCGCGATCCAAATTACAACTTCAGCGTGAAGGAGCTCTCCAAGGCCTTGCAGATTCAGCCATACCGATACACGACGTCCGGCGGCAACGACATCTCCGCGAAGGTTTTGGCGGATAAAAAACCGAGCCTGCGCGCGGATGAGTCTTGGGGGCTTGGCGAAATCCTGCGGAAATCGGACCAAGAGCTCCGGGAGCACTACTTCGCGGGCCCCGTCCTCTGTGCGGAAGCAGGGTGCAAGAGCGAGATGGCGCTCGGCGAGTCGCGGAAGCGTTGCCCGGCGTGGTCCTGCCCCAAGTGCGACAACTCGGCCCCGGTGAGCTTTTTCCGGACCGACCTGCAGCGAGCAACGACGAGCGTCATGACCTCCGTGCGACTGGTCCGGAGCTTCGTGCTGGGCGAGTCCGCCACCAAAGCCGCCTTCGACTTGGACATACAGTACAAGGTGGCGCAGGTATGAGGATGAGACGTCTTGCCATTGCCTGGCCCAAGCTGGGAGCAGCTGGCGTCGCTTCTCCGCCGCGCTTTGTGGGAGTTCGAGCACAGGCCGGGGAGCTCGCACAAAGTGCGAGGGCGATCGTGGGCAGCCGCTCTGTGCTTTGGGCCGACAGTGGCAAGGAGCCTCGTCTGCATAGCAGGACTTCTACGACGAAATCGCGCGCGCTTGCGCCTCCTTGTACCATCTCGCGGCCGTATCAGATTGAAACTCTTTGCCGCAGCCACAGGCGCGAAGCTTTGCCAGGCAGTCGCCTCGCCAAACTTCTCGGATGTGCCTGCGGCGCACAGTTTCGCATCCATATCCCGGCTACGTCGTCTACCCGGCCCGGCTCACCATGGAAGCGGATGAAGCCTGCTTCGGGCGCGCCACGGTTTCCGTACGTGGCGCGAAGGTTTTCAAGACCCGCATCTTCCAGGTGGTTCTCCAGCGAGGAAATCCGGCCTCGGCGAAAGTGTTCGACCTCGGGGTGGTGGAGTCCAGGGAGGTGAGCCGGTTCCCGGTGCTGAGGCAAGCCGTGTGGCGCTACGTCTACACGGCGCACGTCCGCCCCTCCTGGCTTGGCATCCTCCCCGAGAACAGGAGCGAGGCCAGGATGTTCCTCAGCACCGACTCGGCGAACTGCTACAAGCTTGCGGAGGCGGAATACATTGTATAACTTAATCTCCACAGGCGCGGCCGGTACGCCCGGCGCGTCGTCGTTTTTGTGTTGATGATGTGCCGCATGACGCAGCACGATCTGAAAAAGCCCGGCCGGCGCGCCGTTTCATGCCATGAATTTCGGAAACAAAAAACCACATCACAGCCACTAACGGTTGTCCACAGCCAAAAAGAATTCTGGGCGCGGATAAAGACTCCGGAGCTTCAGCTGGACCTCCCTACCGGCAAGCCGGCCGAGCTGGGAAACAATTCGGCCGAAAATGTTTGGTCCAATGTGCGGAAGCTCCTGAAGGTATCTTATTGCGAAGCTCGGCGGCCCGCGTGGCGGTGCCGCTTGTGTTTTTTCTTTGTCACTATCTCCATCCCTTTGCGTTTCCTCTCTCCGCGCCGTCTTCTTCTGATTCAGTCTGTGCGTACTTGAAAACAGGCCCGCTTCTCCACCATACGCAAGGACCTGCTGCTTGAGAAGCCGCATCTGGTTTTCGCGATGATGTTCCTCTTCACGTCGTCCCTGCCGGTGGATGGCCGCATCGCCGAGATTCTGCAGCAGCTGAACAGCGACCGCGCTGGCTGGCAATTCGGGCCGCACATCCCGCCCGAAGGCCTGGAGAGCGCCGACGCGGACGGCCTGTCAGATGATGAGGACTACGAAGCCGGCGCGATTTTGACAAAGAATCTCGGTGGCATGTTCGACCTGGGTGATTTTTTCGCAGAATAGGAAAGCTGCCGAAGGCTTTCGCGCGATTTCTACTATTCTTTCGACTACAGGGCAACGTAGTCAACTCTCTCGGCACGTTTCAGCTCTTACGCATTGACTTGATTTCGAACGCAGCAAGCTCACTAGAACGAAACTTCTCCGACCCACCTTGTCAGATTTCGCTCGACAATCAAAGAAGCACGTGGGCGCTTCCGCTGTCGCGATTCATTTTAGCGACAGGGATCCATGAAAGCCGTCAGCTCGCAAATTCTCCCCGTGCTCGCCGCACGCATAGCGTGACAAATTCGCTGCACACCCATCGCCAGCGCTGTGCTCTTCGTGACATCACCAGCACGCCGCTGGCCATTCACAAGCAAAGGCGTAGACCTTTCCGAGCGCCATTTTTTTTTTCCGGTTCGCTTCTTCCAAAACACGGGGGGAAGGCTGTGGGGGGCGACGGGCTGCGGTGGTTCCAAGGGTTGTACAGGTGGGCGGGCGGAAGGAGGGTTGCGGATGGGCCGCGTTTAGCGCGACGCGCTATCGGGGCCGCCCTGTGGAAAAATCCGTCGCGCCATTGGGGGGCGCCCTCTGGTAAGCCTCGCGGCGCCATTGGGGGCTCCCTAGGTGTGGCAAAACCCGCCGGGCCATCAGGGGCGCCCTGTGGTAAAGTCCGCGGGCTTGGTTTGGTTGCGTGCGCCTCTGCTGTCGTATGTGTGTCTCTATATATATGTATAGCACGCGCACCACTATGCGTGCTGCGTTTGCTTATAGACAGCATCCACGGCGTATATAGATGGACTAGATAGACAACCGCGCACACGCACAAGCAGACCAGCGGGGGGAGAAGGGTGGCCCAAGCGGGGGGAGAAGGGTGACCCAAGCGGGGGGAGAAGGGTGACGGTGGGTGGCGCTGGGTGGCGCTGGGTGGCGCTGGGTGGCGTTGGGTGGCGCTGGGTGGCTTTGTATGTCGGCATAATAGACCACAAACACACACAAGCAGATCAGCGGGGGGNGGGTGGCGGTGGGTGGCGGTGCTCTGTGTCTTTCTGGTATTTCGCATCGATATAATGCCAGGAGTATACGTCTCAGAGTAGATCTTCTCTCCAGTTCGCATATCTTTATATGCGGGGGGGGGGGAGGATGGCGCGCACGCTTTTTCTTTTTTTTCAAAATCAAGAAACACACCGAGGATCCATTTCGCTGCAGTTCTTGCACAAGTAGCAAAAAAATGCAAATCACGATGGTGCTGCACCTATTTGCTCTCATACCAAGAACAAGAAGGCACATAAATCGATAAAATTAAAATCATCATGACACTACAGTGATTTTTTGTGTAATGCTGTACCTGCTGGTAGCCGACGCGTTTTTTGCATTGCCGCCCTTTAGTTCACTCGTTGTGCTTCGTTTCGACGTTCCAGCTGGCGGTAGCACTGTGCGACCCCGAACAGGCGGCGGTGCGCCTTGGCTCGGCTGAGTGCTCGGGGTCGACGATGCGCCAGATGCGCTGCTTGACCCCTTTTGCTTGTTGCGCGATTCGGGATTTTTCCGCAGGTAGTCAGTAGTATGCCATGTGAAGAACCTTTCCACTGATTGTTTCACTAGTCCCGCGATCAATAAACGTAGATATGCACCGGCATACAAATATACTCGCATCGTGTGCTATACAAACTGCCACTAGCGAGAGCCGGTGGTGGCCACTTTCATCACAACAGAGATATTCCGTCGGCCGCAATGTCGTTCGGCGATGCGGCAGCGGCTGAAAAAATCATGCACATTCGTTCTTGATGCAGCGCGTGCGTGAGCCCCGTCTCTGAAGAGAGCGACGAGAATTAGAGTTTTACGAGTTTGTGCACTATCTTATGATATTTGATGCGTTTCAGTTTCACTTCGGGCGGGAACATCATTAAGTCGCAGGGGAAGTGCTCTTTCTCGAGTTGATATCGAGCTTTCTCCTCCTTGGCCATCGACTCAGACCAATGATAGATGTCATCCATGAAGTTTTGCATGCTCTTGGCATTGTCGCGGATCTGCTTCTGCACCATGAAGGTGGGATTGCTGGCCGGACCGGATGCCGCCATCTTTCTTGATGTTTGCCGCGATCGGAATCAGTAAGGCGAAGTCGAGCGGTTTCGAACAAGGACGTGGTGGGGCGGCAGACGCCTGAATGTGGTGCTTCGGCACACTGGAGGCCAGAAACGGCTCCTTCAAGTATACAGTAACTTGTTTTGTGAGAAATATTACACAGTGCTGAGTCCAAAGTTACTATGGTTTCTTGCTGATTCGCCACCGATATATGACGTGATGACTGTGCTTCGCCGTGATACGTAATCGAGACCATTGCTGGACCTTAGCCTCAAACTATTTTGCACCGACCTGGCATAGTATGTTTTGACTGCGCAGCTACTCTGTCCCTTGTGACTGCACTACTCTGTCCCGCTGCTCTCACGTGCTGGTCGCTATTAGATAGAATTCATTGTGAGAAGATGTTTGCGTTCGCGAGGAGGGCAGGGTGCAGAGATGCAAGGGCGGTCCTGTCCACCCTGGCCCCTGTTGTAGCCTCATTTCCGCAGCCTAGTGCGGGAGACGGCAGTGGTGATTTCTCCCACCACCGGTTGAACTACGAGCACCAGCTCGCAGCCCCTCTGGGCCAGCTGCCAAAGAGCAAGCTCTCAGCAGGAAGATTCTTCCAGCGCATCCAGGACTACCAAGCCCGTTCAGATGAGCAGCATATCGCGTCCCGCGCCGATGCGCTGGAGAAGATGAAAAGACTGGCAGCGGACTCCGCCCATCTTTCGTCGAAGATCTTGGATGACGCAGATGCGCCGCCGCATGTCCGCAGCATGCTGGCCGGTTTCAACCTGGGATTCATCAAGAAGCTCGGGGAGATGTTCGGGTACCCCGACGGCAGGATTCATCAAGAAGCTCGCAGATGAGAGCAGCACTGCTAGCCATTTTCCACTTCGTTTACTGTCATTCCTTTGGTATCTCTGGCTCACCTCCTTGTCCCATCTCTCATGACGTTACTGTACCACCCACGGACGAAGCATTTCTGTCGCTCCCGTGGCCTGTGGGATTGATATGACGTGCGCGACACTGTGTTTTCCTGCTGTTATGCATACTAGGTTGCGCCACTGCTGATCTTGATGCCTGACATGCATATTAGGATGTGACGCTGATCATGCTCACAGGCTGCATATTAGGATGGACGACACCCCTTGCGGTGTCATGGGTTGCTGTGGCTTTGTTGGGACTTGGTGATGTGGCACTCCCCTCTGAGTGCCACCCACGGACGAAACATGGGGGCAAGTGTGCGGCCTCCAAGCGACGCCCCTGGGGTCCGGCCACCTGTGTGACTATGGGTGGTTCATGCTGACGCATCGGGAAACGGTAGGTAGGATAAGGAGGAGAGAGAAATTATTTAACAGTAACTTGTTTTGTGAGAAATATTACACAGTGCTGAGCTCCAACACTGGTGTGCCCAGAAACCGGTAGCGAACAGCCCAACGTACGGCGACCGATGGTGCGACTTTCAAAGCGATCGCGAGGACGACGCTGGCGTGCTAGCAGAGCTGCAACTGCAGCAACCGGACGACTTTTATGAACGGACAAAATACAATTTGACCCCAAAAAGAGCATATACGGTCACGAGAATGAAACTAGCGACCTACGAGAATGAGGAAGCAAATGGGGCTCCACCCGCTTACAACTTTTCCCGCTCCGGACGGGGTAGAGGCTGCACTTTTCATAGGGCTTGTGCCCGTTTTTTCGCGCAAAGCTACCTGTTTTGCGCGCGGTTTTTCTCCGCTCGAGCGGTCGGGTGGAGAAAAACTGCATTACAAAATTGGAAAACCGGCCGGATGCAGATGCAGCTTTTCTCACCGCAGGAGAAAAGCCGCATCACAAATTCGCAAACTCCGCTTCCTGCGGTTGGAGAAAGACCGCGCCTCCGGTTCTCCGCATTACAAATGCGGAAAGGTGCCCATTGCCATTGCGTTTGTAATGCGGAGAGCCCGACCTTTCAAAGGTCGGGCTCTCCGCATTACAAATGCAATGGGCGGAAAGGTCGGGCTCTCCGCATTACAAATGCGGAGTGCGGGGCTCGGGCTCCCCAGAGCTCGGGGTTCGGGTTGTGGGTAAATGGGGAAAGGGGAAAGCCCGGAGCCTCGGGTTCTCCGCAACCCGGGCTCTTCTCCGCATTACAAATCTTCCCTTTTGCCACAAACGGCTGCCGCAGCCGCTGCACACCGTCGCGCGTAACCTTTTGCGCGATGCTATCCCCAAGCAGCAATATTCGCACTTCCGATAGCATCGGGCATGAGGTTATGCTGCATGGTATCGCTGCGTGCGAATTTCCCTCGCAGCCATACCATGCTGCATTAGGTTGCGCGCGACCTGTGGCTGTCTTTTTCTGCCCCCCTTGGGCGTGGTGCAGCTTCTTTTTACCCTCAAACACGACCGGACCCCGGGAAAAGTTGTGGTTTAGGGAGGAAGCACAACTTTTCCGCGGACCACCCCAAGCCGGCCCCGCGGTGCCGCTTCTCCCGCATGAAGCCACGGGGCTGCGCGGGCCCTCGTGCAGTCAATGGTCCAAATTCCCGCGGCGCTCGGTGTTTCGCAAGCATACACCTCCGCAGACACGGCCGATTTTTGGCGTTTGCCGTTTTTGCGCCGGGCCCCGAGGGTCCGGTCGCTGGCAAGGACGACGCTGGCGTGCTAGCAGAGCTGCAACTGCAACCGGACGACTTTGGTATTAGATGTTGTGGTTGATGTAGTTGTGATGTTGTACGAGGACAGCTGCGTTGCGTAGCCTGCTTTTTTTTTGTTGCAGATTCTTCGTTCGGTTCCTCTTCCCGCAGGAAATGTGAGTCTGCGTTTGTATTTGTTTGTATTCAGGACGTTGAAGTGAAGTCCTTTTCCTCCCTTTACATTACTTTATATACACTCGCTCCCTGCTCGTACTCGCCGGAAATAAAACAAAATGCTTTTATTTGAAGCTAGGTCCTCGCTCTCGAACTCCAATTTGTTCGGGAAGTTAGAATCCGGCTAGCCTAGCTGCACTTGTCTCATCTGACTAAACACGGCAACCTCGACATCCCTCCAAGACAAGCCCTCGACGATCCTGATGGATCCATCGTGCGTTCATCATCATTTTCGTGTCCTCCACGTGCTTTGATGCGCACGTTAATACTCTGTAGATACAGCCAGACCCGCCCGCTGGAAACGGAACTCCTGCAGTGTGTGATGCAATAAGAGCAAAAGTGGAAGTCAAGTGGGCCGTGGCGAATAACATAACGCCAAAAAATCCTTGTGCCATCAAGCACGTAGTACTCATACATTAGTGAGGCACTTCTTGACCGTCGAGTCCACTCTGCTGGAGCCATCGTGAAATTCAGGCACTGTTGTACCTTGAGGAACACACTGGAGATTCCAAAAAGGGTCGGGTCGATGTCCGAAAAGCCAGCTTTCCTACGTGTCCTCATTACGTGGTATCTGCTTCAACAAGCGACAAGAAACAGACGGACGACCTTGAATCAGCGACACGCACAAGAAGCGACGTGAGCGACCGCTGTCCTAGCATGATAAACACGAAGTTTTGGTTTTTTTCAAAGGAAGTTGAAGCTCAAAACTCAAAGCTCACAACCAAATCAAAGATTTGCATAAACAAAGGCGTCCTTCTTACTAGGTACTGGCTTCTTCTTCTTTATCATAGGATGAAACCGAACTGAGCCCGCTGCCCAATGAAGAGCAGCGGACAGTGGCTTCTTGCACGTCCGTCTCTACAACGAACTGCTTGAGCTGCTCAAATGATGACGATAAGGATGATGTCGTCGCGATCGCGACGTTGATCATGCAGACAGCAAGTACAACTACAACGACGCACAAAAAACCACGTATCGCATCGCCTTATTCTTCTAGAAGCATGGTCGTAGAGACGGCTGTACTTTTAAGCACTTCTTCGGATACAAGCTGTCCACTATGACGATGACCGCAGTGCTGTGCGGGCGATATCACTTGAACGGGAAATCTTTGTGTGCTGCGTCTCTGGCGACCATCTTTCCGTTCTCTTGCACCGAGGGCACGCATCCTCGCCAGTCACAGTCGATGCTCTTTAGGGTGTCCATGTCCGCTGCTGATAGCTCCCAGTCAAACACTTCACCTGAAAATCAGAGCATCAAAATATTTCGTGACGTGGTCGGTCTGCTCTTCATTTTTATCTGCGCCTTTCTTGTCGTAGGCTCTTTGACCGATAAGAACTTTTTGTACTTTGGTACATGTGTACGACGACACTGCGGCGTTGAAGATTGTCATCCCCCTACAACTTCCTACTTTCGTCGAACAGGAGGAAGTAAAAATGACCATGACGATTAGCATCAGCAAGAAGTAGCTCTACATTAAATACAGGGCTGCAAGGGTTGGTGAAAAAATGCTGAAAAAGAACAGGCTTTGTATGGTAAGTACTATTGGTCTTGATTCGCTCGGGTGAGACAGATTTTGGGATGCAGATGATGCCCCGGCTGATGCAGTACTTGATGCAGACTTGCCCCGGGTTTTTGCCATGGGCTTCGGCAATTTTTAGCAGCGCCGGATCCTTCAGTGGTGAAGGCGTGTCTTCCGGACGGTCGTTGGTGCTGCCGCCCAGCGGCGAATACGCAGTCATCGCGATGCTCTCCTGTTCGCAATACTTCCGAAGCGCTTCCTGCTGCAGAAACGGGTGACATTCCACTTGCAGAACGGTCGGCCGGACTTGGCACTTTTGCAATATCTGTTGATTATTGAATCCATTGTCGCATTGGAAATCGTTTCACGACTTCCATCACGAGCATTCATACACTTACATCACTGGAGTCGTGTCTCACTCTCGTCTCCACCCATTTATTTCTAATAACGTACACCCAGATAAAAGCACTTCTACTTGACTTGTTTATAAATATAGCTGAGGTATCATTTTTGGCGCCGGTGGCAGCATGACCATGACCATGAGACGTCGCTAACCACTACTTGCTGCAATTTCCCCCTTCACCCCGAAGGGCGACGCGCTCCTTTCCAAGTAGCTGGCCAGCTTCTTACGTCGTATTTAATTTGGCTACTTACTTGTTGCGCTTTAAATTATTGAAAAAAACAAAAAGACTCAGCCCTGTTGGGCTGACTCTCAGCCCGTCAGGGTTAGCGGCCAAGCGCTAGCGTTATCATCAGGATGCCGATGCGGCTACGTTTATATTATTAGACATGGACGTCGAACCTGCTCGGGCTCCGACCAATGCGAAAGATGCAAGGAACAAAGCAGGAGATAAGAAGTAAAGGCGCAGTAGTCAGTACGTGAGCGATTTGTTGTTCGTTGAAGTTGCTGAGGCCGATACACTTGACGAGCTTTTTCTCCACGCACTTTTCTAGCGCTGTCCAGGTTTCCAGGTTGTCAACATCGTCGAGTTCCATCCGACCGGTCTCCACAATCTTTGGGAACGCCTTGCCCGCGTCAAAAATGACAGGCTCGCCGGGCGTCCACTTGCAGGCGAAGTCCACGGGCCAGTGGATCAGAAACAGGTCTATGTAGTCCAACTGAAGGTCGCGCAGAGAACATTTCAATGCCTCTTCCACAAACTCCTTGCGGTGAAACGTATTCCACAACTTCCCCGTCACCCAGAGCTCTTCCCGCCTCACCGTGCCATCTGCTATCTTCGCGGCGATCGCTATGTTGTTGCTTTTTACTTTTTCCGAAGATGTGAAGATTAAAGATTCTAGCAAAGCATCTTCATGCTAAAGAATACTTCGTCCGGACAGACAAGAAGAAACTAGCCGGACCACCCGGGGGGTGCAAGGAAGGAGCGCTTTGTCGTGCTGAAATACAGAGCTCCATGAACATGTAGTTTACATGAACAACAAATACGAAGCTGCAAACTGAAACAATCAAAATACGGCTCGCCTTCATGGCGAAAATACATACAATCAGCAACAAAATTTGGTGGACCTCGAAAGAACTACGCTTACCTTTGCCCACCTCGTGCTCGTTACCATACGCGAAGGCGCAATCGATATGTCGATACCCACAATCGATCGATTATCAAACCGAGATGAAAGACATTTCTTTTGCTCCTGGCGCAACACAGCAAGAACCTCCCTTCTATAATGCGAAGTTTTAATAAGTTAGTAAGTCAGCATGAGCATGTGAATCATCTGCTGGAACACAGTATCACCATCACCATTTTTCCTGCACCGTCTTGGAAGGAGGCGGTCGCCGTTCGGACTCCGCCCGCCTCCTGCCAAGACACACTGACTTTACATCTACTGCCCCCCTGCGGGAGGGGAAAGATGTAACGTCTGAGGCATGCACGTTGACAATTGGCAATCATTGTGTGTCTATCTCTATGCTCCATCTGCTGGCGCAAAAAAAAAAAACTTTCATCAGCTCCATATGGCAGCTTTCACAGCGGCTTCCACCTCTCCAACCTTCGACTTCCACGTACCAAGCCCCAGCTTTGGCATAACACACCCTATGAAAGCAACATGTTGAAAATTTGCAAAGTGAAAATATCAATTTCTGATGCGTGAAAAGCTAGCCCCAAAGGCCCCGCCTTCCAGGGACAGAGAAAGCCAGGAGGCAGATTGTAAGCCTGACAACGCCCGTGGAAGCGGAAAGGGTTGCTGAAGAGCATGACAGGTGTGCCAGTACAGTTTTTGCGACGAGCAACATGATACAACAATGTCACTCGCAGTGAACCAAAGTTCTCATGCGCCACTTAGGCGTGAATGTGAAAGGGAGTCTGGTATCGATTTTATGCAAGACAATAAACTGTTTCCACTTTGCAAACTTCCAACCTGGCATTTCCGTACACCCATTAGACAGCGTAATAGTTTGCGGATCAGTTTTTAGCACCGTCATCACGTCTTGAGGTTGATATATACAGTCTTCGTCTTTGAGGAGGGGCGAGTTAAACATAAAATTGTGCTGGTGCTGCTGTATTTTTTTTTTCGGCTATTTAGAATTGTTCATGTACAGAGATCTCTGCGACGATGCCCTTGTTTTTTGATCAAGTAGAGAGCGAGCGTTTGGGTGACCTTCCTTCAACATTTTGTATTGTAAGTAGTCGCGTCAATGATCATGATCTCGGCATCCGCATCGGGGAATGATCTTCAACTACGTTGATTCACATTCAAATAGAAACGGCGTCCTCCTGCTCCTACGTGTCTTCTACGAAGAAAAGTACGACAATGGCGACTGCGACGCCAAGCAGTAAAAACAGAAGCAAATCGCATCCGATAAATCAAACACAAACGACTTTGACAGACCGCGGTGTTATGGTGGTGCTTCACTGTTTTCACGCAGTGACTTCTTGTCAAATTCATTGTGGCGCCTTCGTCTTCTCGGGGTAAGTAGATGATCTACATTTTTTTGGTCTCTTTGGAGGCGGAGTCGAACCAGCTGCATTTGAAAGTGTCAAGATTGTTGACGCTGTAGCTCTTAGATTTTTGGTTTTGCCGAGGATGAGGTCAAAACCGAAAAGGTACATTTGAAACACAAGAAGCAAACTGCATGGTGTAAGTGTGTCTTTATTACGATGAAATGCGTAATTTCATTTTGGTTTGTGGATGCTGTGCAAGGGCCTGCTCCTCGAAGCTTGGCATCAATCTACACGATGAAGATAGTTGTAGTTCTTGTCGGCTTTATTACATGCGCGACGAGTGTTGATCGCCCATCCCAAAGTGGGTACATCTCGATCTCGCCCTCCGGCCGCGGTCGCGATCGTCACTCGTCCAACCAAGACAGGACCTCTTCGTTTTTTCCGGAGAAAATGCGAAAAGCGTCCACCGACAAGCTGATTCCTTTCTTTCCCGGGAGCCACTCCCCATCTTTCTCCCAATATTCGCGAATTCCAATGTAGTACTTGCCCATGTACTGCGACAGGGTAAAACGACGCTTATTTCCCAAATCGATGGAGGTCTCCTCCTGCGCCCCGATCGCTTCCTCCATCGTGGGGTAGCATTCCACTAGCTGTTGTATCATATCAAAAAAAATGAAGATATCAACTTACATAGCAATGCATGATTTTATTTCAGATACAGATAGCGTTAGCGATGCCTCTACTTTGGTGTAGCTGCCTCCCATGTAACTGCGTCCTCTGTATCCATTTACCATTAGTACACTCAGGTAAAAGTTCAAGAATATCCCGGAAGTGCAATTTCGAGACAGCAACAGGTGGTCACATCACGATCAGTTCTCACTTCATATTTCATTCAGTCTGTGCAGCCTCCTATTGTCATGATCATGAACATGATCATGTTGATGAAGATTCTGCAGCTTGTTGTATCCTATTTGTCTTTGTATATACCTTCCTGTACAAGTCTGGGGTGAGCGAGATTCCTTTGTTGCCGGGTTTCATTTCTCCGCTGGTCTTGTCCTCGTAATATTCGCGTAAATCGATAAAGGTCTTGCCTTGGTACTTTGAGAGGGAGCAGCGCTTGCGCCCACCCAGATCGATAAACTTGGCGTCGTCACCAGCGCCTGCAGCGTCGCCGCCCGCGCCTGCCTTTGCCGCGTTTTTCTTTTGGCGTTTCTGGAGTCAGTATGTTGTTATTTGTTGAACAGTCAGAAAGAAGTGAGAACATCTGAATAAAATGACCTGAGTTCTTTGCGGCCGTTGGCTTCTGCAAGATTTTCAACAGGACCAGATGCAAAAGAAACACGACCTTCAGCACGACTCGTCCACCAGTACCATTGCTAGTGAAGTACTAGAATTAGAAACAAGTAGATTTCTGGTGGTGCGCAGCTTTTACCATAAAGAGCCAAAACGAGAAATAAGGAGCGCGCTTGTTCTTTTAAATTGGGGGGGCAACTACGTTCGTGATTCACAAAAGCTAGCGTCTGTACCGCAGCCGGCTCTTCATCCTCCTCGTCGCCTTCTTCCAGCTCGGTCCGTATGGACATGCAAGGTTGGAAATCGACAAATCATGTTACTTAAATAAATCGTCCACAACAAGAAACGTCAGCTATACGGCACGACCTTTCCGGCGGCGCAGATCCAGATGTTCTTCACGCAAGCATGTTAGAAATACAGTGCTGGGCCAGGGAAGTGATTTGTCATTGTCGTGCGTGGAGGTCGTGAAGGTAAAATGTTACTAAGTCTTAGGCACATAGTGCCAGTATTGGAGAGAAGGCAAGAGTACTAGAGGTCGACGACAACTCTAAGCCTGAGTATGGGCACGGACACGGTTTCTGAAGAAACCGACAGGAGGAGGAACTGCTTCTGCCCTCGACCTGTCCTTCTCATTGCGATAAACAACATGAGAAAAATCTTCAAATCTTCGAGTCTCGAAATAAAAACGCACAAGTACGTACTACAGTTCATTTGATGATTCTGAGGACAATTTCCAACCTGAGGCTTCCATAGTCAGCTGGTCCACTTTGGCTTCCAAAGCTGGGCGAGCGGTTTGATCCCATTTCTCCTTCGGCAACATCCAACCTTTTTCCTTCGCGTTCCAGCGACCGCCGAGCTCCTTTAGTGTCGCTTTTACGGTCAGAGTGTCTCCGGTTACGAGAGTCGCATGCAGTTTCCTTAAAGTTGCTTCTGTTGGAATCAGCACATCAGCCTTTTTTTGGTGGAGCTTTTTTTTAACAATAACAGTCCAACTTACAAGAAGGCCAGGGTCCTCTAGATCAGCAGGGAGTTACAGTTTATTGCTCTCGTATAGGATTCTTCTTTATGTTTATAGATACATGCTGCACATGCTTCCTCCATAATGAGAAACGAACATGTCACGCTTTTTTTTCACGTATACTTGGACTTGCTCCAGCCGCATGTTGCTCTTTATAAAAATCCTCCTCGAGATAATAAGGAATCACTGTGAAGGTCCACCAGCTTGCACTTTTTCGCGGGCATACATTGACTTCTCGCCGTATTCGGCCCACTTCAGGGAAACCCCCATTTCGCTGTTGTCTGCCGAAAGCTGCGAGCCCAGGACGTGTTGTTTGTACCCGTTCGTGTTCTGCAGCACTCCAGAATGGAGAAAGGCTTCGCGATATTCCGTCTCCGCCACGGCGTTATCGATCGCAGACGTGGACCACGCAGCCTGCCCCTGCTCCTCGTTGACGTTGACTACAATTCGAGCGCCTTCCTTATTTGCCTGCAAGACTGAACTTGACTGCAACTGCTGCCCCTGCTCGTAAGGATCGTCCCGCGGTGCAGTTGTAGATGTAGTTAGCAATCTTGTAGTATTTAGAATGGTCGTGTTGCCAACTCCAACATCACGCGTAGCCGCCGTGGCTTTTCCACCAACAGATGAAAAGCTAAACGCTCGCGTGTCAATGCCAAGGGCGGGGATGGTTGACGTTCCACTCCTTGCGAGTTTCTTTCTCAGAAAACAAGAAGGAGGAGGTGAACTAGTACCAAATAGTCGAGCTACGGGTCGACTGTTGCAGAATATTTTTTCTGAATCAATACTAGAGTTCTTTTTCTTACAAGGAATTGATGAGTAAGCTCTACTGAAGGAGCTACTTGCTGCAGCAGTTGTCCTGTGTAAGAGTGCTGAAAAATGACTAGTATGTGTATGCCTCCAAAGCGATGCTGCTCTAACGAAATTAGTCCTGGAAAAATGTGTGTTAATGCAGCTCGAGTTTGGGCCTACACAAAAGCCCGACCCCTCGATGGTGCCCAGGCTCAGCCGCGTACTTCCGGGTCTGTAGTTCAGCAACAACTTAGAATGCGGCATGTTGTTTTCGCAATTGCATACCCTACAGCTACAACTTCATCAGTTTTGAAGTACACTCAAACTCATGGACGTCAAATTCAGCTAGCAGAAAGAGCTTCATTGCAACATTGTTTGAGGCTTGGAAACTTTATTCTACGGGATCATGGCTATTGCTTGTCAAGAAATAGAAGTGGATATTGATATTAACATACAAATGAGCTCAGCAACCCTACTTTCATCATCGTATGGGTAAGGGTAATATCCAGTCCAGCAACGATACTGGCTCGTAGGCACATCAAAAAAGCTGTTTCTGTCATCCCTCGGCACCATACAGCTTCAAGTAACCACTTCTGAAGCCGAAGCGTACAGAACGACATGAGATCGTGAATGTTGAAATCAATAAGGAGCTCAAGGAGATCATGAAAAGTCTCAAAGCAAAAATGATCATCCTCCTGCGTATCATCGAGCTGCACTACGTGCAATTACTTCTTCGGATCCATGAGTCGCATGTTGTCTGTTTCCCCATCACAAACTTCGTCACCGTGTGAATATTCAGACTTCAGCATGACTCTAAACTGCCGACGCGTTTCTGACCGCCTGGAACAGGTGCTGCAATGCGAGGAGTTATTTCCTCGGGAAAAAAACAATGTATGTGCAGCTGTTGTATATACAAAATGGAGTACTGCTCTAGCGATGTGCGTTTCGAACAAAACGAGCACGACTCCTGGCACTGCCCGTCATTTAGTGGACTTCGCAATTGAAGGCGTCTGGCCCTGACACGGCACAAAGCTAGAGACTCAGCTGGTGGATTTTTGTGTTGCGGTGAACAGAAACAAGGAATCGGACTAGCGCTCCTGCGGCCGGCGCGAAGCAGGCGACACATATTACCCATAAAAGTTTCTTCTTTTTGGTCCGACCGGCGGGGAGAACGGTCTGGACGATGGTGATGTTTCTATCATCAATTAGATTTCGTCAGGGTTGCAAGTACCGCTACGGTCCGTCGTCGCTTTCAAATAACAATTGACGAAAATGCTGGGGGGGAAGATGTATCATGTGGTTTGGGTGAGGGTGAATAGTAAAGTGTTGAAGGGTCGTGGGTCGAGTTTCTTCCGTTGAAGCAAGTTGATGCGTGCTCCGGGCTCGCAAAAACAAAAAGCGGATTGACCCCCCGCCCTCTTCTTGTCCCCTGCTATTGTGTAGCTTTCAAAAAAAACGCAATCGCGATTTCTACCCGAGCAAAAAAGTGGAGAGATGGAAAACTCAAACTCTGTATCGTGCCAGAGCCAGTCATCTGTGAAAACTAATATAACTTTATCCATCGGGTTGTAATAAAAGCCATTAAAAACTATTGTGTTTCTGTTTGTTTGTGCGTGCGAAAATAGAAAATGAACATCCGAAGCCGAAGCGTCTCTTCAAAAAAGCAATCCACCAATAACAATGAACTACATCTTCTCGCGATTCTTCAGGTGAGTTTTGGTTTTCCATGCTAGCAACAATCCGATACAACATCCGCTATAAATATGTGTATCAATATGATGAGCTTGGCAGCCCCCAAAACCTCCTCCAACGGCACTTGTCCCCCACCCAGCACAACCACCACGCATCCGTATCCGATTCCAAATTCCAGAATTGAGTCAAGAATTTCAGAGCTGCTGCTTGCTTTTTGCGTTCTGCTGCTTAAGAACCTCAGAGATCCACTTGAAAGCGGCACTGTATCCCATCTTGTTTACCAAAGAGACCTGATCAATTATATTTTGCAAATCATATGATTATGATAGATCTTCAGAATCGCAACCATTGGCGTTAGCCAGCACCAATGCCGTGGCTCCTTCTTGTATGAATATGCTGTAACTACATCTGGTTCAACATTTCATAATAAAAATTCCTCACAGTAATATCCATGGCGAGACAACAAGAGCTAGGGGGGATATGTTGATGGACGTAGAGCCAGCGCCAGCATGATCATCTCATCGCATAGAGACAGCGCTTAGCGACGCATTAAAGAAAAAAAATCTCTACCATGAAAACTTCGATGGGACCACCATTCGGACGATTCGCGCCCCCGGTTCCGCCACCCTGTTTTGCAAAGGATTTATATATTTCAGCAGAAAAATAGAAGCGTGGTATGAACGTCGCACTTATTTTTGCGGAAAAAACTCCATGGCGAAAAGCTCGCAAAATCGAAAATCAACTACAGGTCGCGCAGCGTACGTGCCTGATGCCCACATCATGATGCACTTTGACTTTTTGTACATTTTCATTTTGCTTTTTCATCCATAATGGTACGTCTGCTCGACAAACGTGCTCACCTAAGGCATGTCTTGTCGACCACACTGTGCGAGGAGGTCTCATATCCTCGAACCGTGGAGGCTCTTTCGTTGCAAGCAGGGCGTCTAGGGACATTCCAAGATATTTATCAAATCAGTGAAGATACTGTCACAAAGCAAAAAGTACCCCCGAATATCCCTGATATCCATAGGCCATAGGAAGCTGCAGAAAGCTCACGAGCTCTTCCGCCGAGCAGGCGGTTGGAATGTCAATCTTGTTTCCCAGGATGGCAAAAGGTACCTGTGCAAAATTTGCGTTTGCGTTTGGTTAATCATCTTTTTCTTTATTTCATGCACAAATAGCGACACGACCTGGTAAAAGTAAAACTACAAGTCCGTCGATCTTTCGACTTTATACTACCGATGTGCTGAGTTGTTCAAGTCTGCATCAGCATAAGCTTCAGTTTCACGCTATGGAGTTAGTAGAGGCATCGGGACGAGACTACGGACAGGCAGCAGCCGCTCCTGATGCATCGACACAGAATCTCGGTCAAGACGTTTCTTTTAGGGATTGAAAATCAATGGACACTGCTAGTCTCGGAATGCACAATGAAGTCGAACAAGAGCAAGACCACAGCATAACTTGAAAATAAAATCATACATGTCGCAGGCTCTCCGTCTCGAATAAGAACTGCAACTCAACCTTTGCCTCGTGCATGCGCGTTCGGTCAGCGGCATCTTATCCCATAGAGAAAATGAAGCACAGAGCGAGAAGATGAAAATGACTATATTGGAAGCGGCCCTGTGGCGGTTTGTCTAGTCGAGGGAATGCAGACAGCAGCTCGTGCGTCACACAAGCAGCGTATCGTGAAACTTATGAAATGGTTAATCGATCCTCGTCAAGAACTCAAATGGAAATGTAGTAACGGGACAAGACACCATCTTTCAATTATGTTGTTGATTGTTACCACATGCACTACCCCAGGTTCTTCACTTCCGTGGATTTTTTGACTTTGTGTGCGTCCTCAACATCTTTCTTGACATCTTGCAAGGTTTCAGAGCATCAATTCACCCACTCCCCGCCAACATTTTCTCTTGCATACGTCTACCAAGAAAATAATCGCGTCCACGTCGGCATAGTAGTCCTGTAATAAAGTTTTGTCTTCGACGCTGTTTTTGATCTTGCCGGTTCGTAGTACAAGTTCTGCTGCTGCTCCACGCGAAACATGTGTAAGTAACAAACGACCATCGAATACATATTGGTGACGTTGATGATATTTCTACATCATAAATGCGGAATAAAATTAGTTGCTGTAATACTATACCGATGCCTACATTGCACAAAACAACGAAAAGTACGGAGCAACGAAATAAGGAGGAAGAGAGGTGCATCTTGTGGAGGGGCTTGGGACGACACTTCTGCCCTTCTCGTCCATAAATGCGAAATAAATAAAATTCGTCGAAGAAAGTAGATCATACCTTCCATATACGCCGGGCGGCCTCGTGTCCCCCAAGATCGAACGCCCTAAACCTTCGGTTGCCGATGTAGAGTTCCTCCGCGTGCGGATGCAGTGTTGGATTGTGTGTTGTGATTCGGTCGTCGCGAAGCATGTGCAGCAACCTGTCATCAAAGAAAGAAGAGCGTCGAATGCAACAGCGATCATTTTTCTTCAAATGCGAGCACACTGCATGTTGACGCCCATGCTTTTTTCGTTTGGCTTTGGTGCCTGCGTTCTTCCCTCATGACGCTCGTCACGTAGATGAGAACCTCCGATTGCGCATGCTCTTTGTGCTCGTATGTCTATGTCTACGTAGTAGTTTATTTTCGTAGAAACAAAAAGAAACAAAACTCGATACGTCGTCTTTCCCGCATTGTCCAGACCCAGGAAGAGGATCTTTGAGTTTTCTGGCAGGAAGCCGAGCCATATTGTGAGGAAAAATCCCCCCTCCCCATATCGAAAACGAAATTTGTGATGCTGTATTTGAGTACACAAATCAGATTTGTCTTCCTGGAGAGGACTGCAGACCCATATCAAGCCTGAGTAGAGAGGCTTTGACCTGAACGCTTGGCATGAAAAGCGTCCGCGCTGTAGGCTCAACAGCATGACAAACCGCCTGTAGAATGCGGCGGAGCCTGTGGAGTTGCCTTCATGCAACACAGAGACGATTTGTGGTCGTAAATCAGCAACACAAATTTTCGAAAGCGTACCTTTTCAATATGGGGTGGGGGGATTTTTCCTTTTGATAAGCCAGCTCAGGAATTCTGAGAAACTCTCCTTCACCCAGTTTACCAAATATGGAAGTGTCAGGTTTGAAATCGTCAAAGTTGAAATAATTTGTAATGCATAAAATGCATGACCCGAGGCACGTGCGTTGCAGAGCAGGCAAGTGAGGCCGATTGTCAGCCTGTTTGGGGTTACAGCTCGAGCTGCTAAAGTAGCATGATAAAATCGCTCCTCTTGTTTGCCTAAACAGCATGACAAACTGGATTTGGGGACCAGCGAAATTTGTCTTGCGCCATTTGGAAACTGGGTTCCAACTGGCACCCATTTTATGCATGGCAAACCATTTCAACTTTGTCGATTTCACCTCTGACACATCCATACCAAAAACATCGTGCCTAGAAGCTCTTGGTCGCTTCAAACTCGTCGACTTCCTTTACAACTTCGCCGCGCTCGCTGGCCCGCTTCGTGCGGTGACGTGAGTCAAGTCGATCCAATATGTCAATCGCGGTGGAGAAAGCCGAAGCAGGAATCTGCGTCGTGGCGCCACCGGCCTGCTGGTGCCTACAGAAGGATAAAAGTAGGGTGTCCGCTGCTGTCGCTTCGTTTTCTTTGAAGAATTACGGGGACAACTTCTTCGTCCAGCAGTCTCGTTTTCTATCCAAACCCGACGCAGGGACGGGACACAGCAGGAGCTCTGTGGGTACCTAGTTTCTGCCTTTGCTGGAAAAAACCGAGAACGGAACCTCTTCACCTCCAGGCTGCTTTTAGCTTCCTCTCCAATCGACACGTCAAGACTGAATGGTGATGCGCGAGCGTCGTCGTGGCGGTGAGATATTACGACAGTGTCCTCCTCCTCGATGTTGATGTGGCAGTTTATTCAACGACGACGTCCATGTAGTCTGAAACCAGAAGGAGCGACCGTTGCCTATTTTTTCACGTTGCTGTAGCCGCACGCAGCTCGCCTTTGAATTCTCGCAACAGCGCAGTAGAAGAAAGCAGATGGGTAAGGCTCTAGTTGGTCGTCTTTTCACCTCTCCAACACCGTCGCCTGAAGGCCCAAGAAAATAAGCACAAATCAAATTGCAGCCCAAGTAGACAACTCGGCAGCTGTGCGTGCTGTGCTAACGGCAATGATGTCAATTTTATTGTTGATAACGGTCGCCTCGGATGAATCTCCAGCGCGCAGCGGCCTTCCACAAGCACCTATTGGCCTTGTTCTCTGTATAGGGCACGCACGAGCTCAAGCTGGTACGGTGACCAACAACAGGATGGAATAGAATACAATGCCGAAGTTGATCGCCGAGCAGACCGCAGACGATTCTTGTGGCTCCTCTGATGGAATCTACTTCACGGACTGGCAAAAATGCTACTACACGCGTACTACTTCCGGCCTCGTTCTTTTTATTTTCTGACTGTCGAAGTGAGGCAGGTACGTAAGCCTACCAAGTATATATACGCTGTGGAAAATTTCCGCTATCCTCACTGTGCGTCATGAACATGAAGCAATCAAATGAATGGGATAATGCTTTCGCCTGCTGCAAAAGCAAAATTAGTAGGAGTATCGAAATATTGGTGTTTCTGTTGAATCTAAAAACTCATCACGAGCCAAGAACCCGTAGAAGTTGGTCACAATAAATCGATTTTTCTATTGGTACTGCGACTAGCTTCCACAAGATATGACTCACGGAGGCAAGGCGACGAGATCAGCACACGGCCTGAACAGGATAATGAAAGCGGGCGCAACTCTGATTTTTACAAGATAAAATAAATATATGAGCCTCGTCTATGTCAGCAATAAAGAACAATCAATCTATGAACAAGGACAACGCCGTCCAAATAAAAGAGCCGCTCCCTCTGAAGCTATGCCTGAGGAGGTTGTCGCTGCGGGGATCAATTTAAATTTTTGCTTCGCGCATTTCTGTTTGAAGATTGATAATTGCGTCGATACATATAGTTTCAAAAACAGGGAGGTCACGTGCCACGATATCTTTTTTGATACAATCGCACTAAATAGAATTGGGTAGCTTTCCGCTTGAGATCTCGTCTCTCTTTCACCGCACATCTTCACGGTATTGACATCGATGAATGACTGTTCGTTGCTACTACTGCGGATGTGACATTTATTTCTGATCCAGATCGTCTTTTCAAGGGTTTCAATCTCCACCATGATATGGTATCTTTTCATGACAGAGTCTCGCTAGATCCGTTCATTGGATGACAGTGACAGTATGACGGCCTTGGCCTAGTGAGCTACAGGTGCAGGTCGGACTCGCAGGAGCACCGGAGTGCAGCTATTGAATAGGCAATAAATACGTCTTCGTTTATCGGATACGGTTGTCTTCGTCGGACAACTAGTCGCTGCCGGAGTCGTGGTCTCTTGACATTATCATGACATCATTCCCGTTGAGAACATCGCAGCTTTTCGTGTGGCTTTCTGTGTTTCTCTTAAAGCCAGTCGCGCACCCCCGCGACCGCGGGAAATTGTACGTAGTAAAAACGACGAGCAGGACCGTTGTGACAACTCAATCCGAGAATACTACAGCTGTAGCATAAGCATGTCAAGTAAGTTCAATTGTATCGAATTATTATCCGTTTTTGTCGACGCTTTCATCTGCATCGCCAGAAAAAACTGTTTCGCCACGATTCTGTTTCGCGAGTACTGGAGTCCGGCAGAGCAGGGAAAAAAACTCGCTAGTGGTTTGTACGTTCGCCGGACGAACGCCTTTCGTTTCAACCCCGTCCTTGAAATGGGGCCCGAGAAGATACGCGGTCAAACCCGTCTTTGGATCCTGGTTATGGTCGCACACGAACGGGAAGACTAAAAAGGGGCAGTCATAAATCTTGACTCCCGGCCGCAGTCGCGGTTTACACTTGTTTCTGGTCGTCAAATTGTCGGACAATGAGGCCGAGCCCGAGGCCATCAGTGTCTCTGCACGACCATGATCTTTTTCCCGGCACTCGTCGCGTCCAGCCTCTGTGGAGACGAGAAACCTTGGATCCGTGCCGTATTCTTCGGCGTGGTCGATCATGTAGGCGGTACTCAATCCCGCGTACCGCAGGGCAGCACGAACTAAGGGTAGGCTGACAGTGTCAATGTAGCGCTGGTAATCCTCCATTGAAGAGCCGACGTATAGCATCGGAACATCGAAGGTTTTCTCCGAGTAGACGCCTGGACTTACAGCCTCGCGATTAACAGAGATAAACACCTTTTCCAGTAGATCCGTGCTGCTCAACATGGCGCGCAACTTGTGGTATACAATCCATGCTCCCGCGGCGTGATTCCTCTCTATCATTGCCTTCCTTTGGCCTGGTATGGATGTGTCAGAGTTGAAATCGACAAAGTTGAAGTAATGTGTCATGCATAGAATGGATGCCAGCCCCAGTTGGAACCCAGTTTCCAAGTGGTGCAAGACAAATTTCGGTGGTCCCTAAGTCCACTCTTTCATGCTGTTTAGGCAAAGAGGACTGATTTTCTCATGCTACTTTAGCAGCTCGAGCTCTAACCCCAGACAGGCTTCAATTCGGCTTCACTTGCCTGCTTTGCAACGCACGTGCCTCGGGTCATGCATTTTATGCATTACAAATTTTTTCAACTTTGACGATTTCAAACCTGACGCTTCCATACCTGGCGTTGCGGAGTCCCAGCAGAAGAAGTACTCGGGGCCATTTTCTTGCTGGGATGTTGCCGGGACAGCTCTGTTCTTGTGTTGCTCTTTGTGTTGACCAGCACCATGATGTCGTGTCCCGTCTCTGCGCGGCCCGCGGCCTTTTGCTTCTTTCGCTCCTGGTGGAGGTTGATGTTCCAGCGCTGGTGCGCGTTTTTTGCGCGGCCTTCGCCTGCGGGGCTGAAGTTCTGTGGCTTTGATATTAGCATTTTCAGTTTCCTCCCGGATCTGATCATCCCTTGGAGTTGTGAGACCGGGCGAAGCGCAATCAACTTCGATTGCGAGTAGAGTGCAATTAGATCGCTGCTCCCGTTCATCTTTATATTCAACGACTGGTGGAGCTGGTGCTGGTGGGGGCGGCAAATTTATGGCCGACGAACAAGAAGACACGTCATTAGCTTGCATCGTCCCGGAAGACGTTATACCGTGCTCCTGTTGAGCTTGTCCACCTAGAAGCTCGTTCCTAGCATGCAGGTTTCTTCTTGTAAGAAGTAGACGGAGGCGTTGTCTGATCAAGTCGTCTTCCTCTACCGGGTCTTCCGATCTGTCGACAACTTCGAAGTAGCTCGGGCCATCTTTTCCACCTCGGTCCTCGCCAACTTCGACTCTCTCGCTCACCAGGATGTGAAGATTTCTTGCATCTTCACCTGCAACGGCATCGACAAGCTGCGGAGCATAATCTTCCTCCAGGGCACTCGTCGCGTCTTGCTGTCCCACTACTAGCTGCTGCAGATGCACAGAGGCAGTTGTTGAAGAATCGAAGTTGGAGCTTAAAGCTGCTGGTGGGTCGTCGCATGTCTTTTCCATCGTAGTTACTGTGGCTTCGGAGCTGCTTCGCATGCACATGGTTGTACTAGTGGATCTCGATGTCCTCTCGGATCTTTCCGGCACGCAGGACGCAGCGCGAGTAAAAGAAGTCTCCACAGACTTCTGTGACTCCAGGTCCTCGGCGCCGTAGAAGTGCGTCTGCATCTGGTGCTGGTCTGGTGATACAACCATCCGCCCCGAACTTGTAAAATTTTGTTCCGAATACGGGTGCTGGGGGTCGGACGGATCTTGCCTCGGATGAGTTTCAGGCTCTGCTTCTCGTGCTCGTGCAGCTGCTGGAACTTCCTGTTTATTTTGCAGGTCACCGGAAGTTGCCGCACTCGCGCCGAGGTTGCGGTTGGCTTCCTTGGAATTGAAATCTCTTCCGTGCTGGTTGCCGACGCCTTGTATCCAAAAAAAAGGTGTGCTAGTAGTGTACAGCTGCAGCTCGAAAGAACGACCCTGCACCACCAGGAATGCCCTATCGCTAATAATATCAGCAATTCCAATTACACATCAGTTTGTTAGCCGGCAGAACACGACTCAGGAGATGAAGCGAGACTATTTAAAAGCCTTGCCCATTCCAACACAAGAAGGAGCACAAGAACTACACAATCAACCCACACCATACGAGTACAAGGTTCAGAGGACGAGAGGGAAGAGCTCAACACCCAGACCACGACAGTACAGGTGGATCGAAGTACAGAAGCGCACTGCAGAGCATGCAAGACTGAGACAGTCGCCTGAAGCTTGTATGTCGTGCCAGTGTCTCCACCAGAAATAAACCAAGATTGATATATATAAAGTAAGTCTTCTTTTTCATGACAAGTGACTTCAGTCACAGGCACACGCACTAGGTAGCTTCCCTGATGCTCATCCTTGGTTCTTGTCATGATCATGCAACGATGCTGCCAGTCGCAGTCCCAATCCACGAACGTTCTCACACCAACACACTTGTTTGCATTTTCTGCGATACAACCTGGCTCTATTTGCTTTCGTCCTGCTTGTTTTTCGACGAATTCTTCCTTTCTCGTACTTCTTCCATCGGCAAGCGTTCGCACGCAGATTGTCGGGGTTTTCTTGTTGCGATACCTCCACTGAGGGGCTCGTCCAAGGGTAAAATTGTAATACAGATCTGCCATTGTCGTATTTTCGTCTGATTGGCAGAGTCGCATCAGCCAGGCAGTCCATATTGCACCACCTCGGTCCCACACCATTTCGGTTGCGTATTGTGGAGGAGGGTCGTGGACAGCCGACAGAAAAACGGCATCCAGATGAAAAAATCCTTCACAAAGGAAAGCACGACTGTCCGACGCGGCTACAAGAACCACAGCAACCAAGAAGTAGCTGCTGGTGTATTGGTCTATCAGAACTGCCGTCGCATTAGTGAGAGTGACGTTTCTCTACTGCCTCTGTAGTCTTATTTGCAGCACTAGCACATACCAAAAAAAGCCATGCAACATTTCGTCGGTCAGTCTTTGTGGAAGTGGAGGTCTTTCTTTGCATACTGGCGATGAAGCTTGTAGTTGTACCGGATCGAGATTGTAGATGCACTCGCGGACCGACTGCGCCGCTGCAGACGGAGCAAACGAGAACGAGATGAGCGAGGACTACTGCTCGACGTCGCTTCCCCGCGGCTCGTGTCGTCTTCACCTTCTTGACACGCAGTTGTTGTATCTTCCTCCCCTACAACAGGGCTACAACTCTGGTTGTTGTTAGTACCGTGAAGCTGAAGGCTACCTCCGTTGATGGCGGTGTAGTTCGCGCAACTTCCACTTTTTCGGGTCAATAATGCCTCGTCCTCGTGACGGTCCTCGATATGATGGTCCACCTCCGCCGCCGCCATTTGTGACCCCAGTCTTTCCATTTCTCGTTGTTCTTCTGAAGATGTTCTACCTCTCCTCCTGCATTCTTCAATTGCAAACAAGGAGTGTTGTTGACGAGATGGTGCAGGCACTTCTACACCTGTACGCAGTCGTTTACTATTTCCTGTGCGCAGTCCTTTATCTCTGTTTTTCGGTTGCAGCACCAGAAGGCCGTCCGGCGATGCCGTCATTTCGACGACACCTGCGGCGACATCGGGGGCTGGCGCAAAAAGGCTGCTGCGGTGCCCGCGAGGGCCCGAGTGGCGCAGGGTGTCCATACTTGACATAGGTCCCTGGCGTTTCCGAAAGGACATGCTGACGCGGTTCTGGGTGATGTACCGGCACACAACTTCTCCGTTCTTCTCAGACACGAGTTGCCAACGCTGCCGGTCAACGAGCCCCGGAGTCAAGATGAAAAAAGCAGTAGCACCAGCGTGCCTCTCTCATCCGTCCGTCGCGGTGCGACAATGATTATCATGCGAAATCTTGAGGTCCTCCGGAGATATCAAAGTTGCGGCCTCATCATGATGCTGCGGACCTGGGTCGACATCTTCCTGCCTGCCTACTTCGACTTCTTCGTTGACAGTGACTGAAGAGGTCGAAGAAGTAGCAGAAGCAGCAGACTGTGTTCTTGTTCGTGCTGTGCTAGTGGCGTCGCCAGTCGTAGTTGTGGAGGTACACAAACTTCTTTTCGCTGCGGACGAGGAGGGGCTAGTCCTTGTTCCCGTACTACAATGGTCTTGCTCGTCGTTCTCCTCAACCTCACATAATCCGCGCTCCCGCGGCGGCCCTTGCGGCAGCGCATTATCGACGGTGGGAGATCGACGAGATCCTGTGTCGAGTCGTGCAGCCGTTGAATCGTCGCTAGCGGACGACGAGATCGCAGCCGATGGCTTGTTGACGGACATCGACAACGCGCGAGGTTGTGCTTCTTGGGCAGTGCGGGTGGTCCTAGCGGTCGTGTTTTCATCGCCGGGACCGAGAGGTCCTCGTCCACTTGTTCTACTACCTCCATCGCACATCAGGCCCAGTCTTCTGCCAGCACCGCCGCCACCCGCGAGACAGGTGAAACTGGTCGACGAGGGCTTCTCGGTAATGGTGGAGCTATCAAGTGCTGGATCAACAACGTGATGAAGATGCTCTTGCTCGCCAGGAGGCGGTTGGAGGACGCTTCTGTTGTCAATGTGGAACTCCGGGGGGTGCACAAGCGGCTCAACATAGTCGGCGGCGACCCGAGTAACAGGATTTGTGTTTGGACCTCGTAGCGCATATACAGTCCTTTCTGCGGCACGCCGCGCCTCAATTTTCGTCTTGTGCCACCGCACATCAGTGACAAAAAACGCAGGAAGCTCGTCGGCAGGAAGATCCCCGTATTTTATCTCGGTCTCCTTCGAAGCAGGCGGCGCACTGCTGATGCAGTTGTAAGATCATGTGTAAAAACCTCCTCCCCACCCCATCTTCAGAGTTGTCATGCACCAGACATGCATCATCTACACGGACAGAAACATTAAATGCAAACGCGCATCCCAACCAACATGAGAAGCATTTGTAGCTAGCGCTTTGGCATTTTTTCATTTGTAAATGCTGTAAGCAGGATAAGATCAAATAGGAACCCTAAAACAAAACCCAGCAAACCCTTTAAACCCTCTAAACCCTCTCGACGTCGGGTCGGAACAGGGACTGATCAGCGGGGGAAGAAGCTGTGGACAGGATAAGAATATGGCTCGCTTCGTAATGGGGCTCTACTTGTCCTTGCTATTTACATTTGCAGTACAATACCAGATGAAGAAAGTTGTCAAAGGTCCTGGAAGATAGATCCCATCAAAGCTCCTGCATCTTTCTCTTTGTTGCAAAATTCCCATTTTGACTCTGGGGAGGAGGTCGTGGGGACGTTTTATTTACACAGGATAAGCTGTCCATGACGTTCTTGTTCGTACCATGTTGGATGGTCCTCGTCGTGGACACATGCACCAACATAGCGCAGGGAATCTGTTCCCGAAGGGACTTAGAGAAATCCGCCTGCATCTTCGAGGGTCGTGAATCTGGTGCTGGTGGTGCGACTACAGCTACTTCATCGGGGCCTGCCGATGTAGTCGTGTGCCAGCTCCTGGTCGTCGTGGTGCAGGAGCTTGACGATGATCCTGTGGGCAACGCCGGCTCGGCACCAGGGGAGGAGCTGGAGAGATGAAGAGCAGATCCATAGGTAGGGGCATGATGATCATCGACCACGTCGGCCTCGAAAAGAAATTTCACTGTATGCTCAGCTGCAAAGGAGCAGCTTTCGGAAAGCGAAACTAGATCTTCCATTTTCTTCTCCACCGCGGATGCTACAACAGAACTCGAGGAATACGACGGCGTCGACGAAAAAAGCTTCTTGTGAGCGGCACACTCGCACGGTTGCACGAAACCCGTATGCTTCCCACGCATGGTGGTCAGCTGCAAGCAGCACGCCGATAAAAAGGATGTCGACGGCTCCGAGGTCTTGGTACTCTCACTACAGCTGACAGATGCCGTCGCACATATGTTGCCTTCGTCCCGTGTATAGACCAGAGGGCTGCTTCTGAAGCCGCGGAGGGTAACCACTCGGCACAGTTGTGGAAAAACCTGGAGCACCAGCTTGGCGAAGTCATCCTTCACTGGAATAGGCAGGTCATGCACAATGACATTGTGCCTCGTGGTCGTGAGGCTGCGCGGCTCTTCGGAGCCTTGTCCTTGATTCAGAGCCATTCTCGAGGACGCTGCTCCGCTTGCAATCGCCGGAGCCATAGCGCTAATGTAGTTCAATCGCCAGAGCCGGAGCGCTTGAGCACGGAAGCCTGTGGCAATATTGGTAGTGGCGCGCTACTTGCTTAGTATTTTACATACGTCATGATCTGTTCATTACTTCTTTCCAGTCGCCGTAGTTACATACAAAAATCATATAAATAAGCTGCGGGTGAGCGACTCTTTCGTGGTACTAGGAGAAACAGAAATACAACAATAATTACAAACTCGGCTATGGCAATAGCCAAATATCGCGTATATCGTTCAAATAGAAATACGAAGTTCGAGCTGTAGCTAGACTCCGGCCTTGCTTTAGTATCAATAACACACTCACGCTGACAAAAATATGATCTGCGCAAAAATGTTAAATACGCAGACAAAAACCAAATCTTCGAGCATTGAGATTGACCTTGACGTGCCTGCTGCTGGACGACATGATCTTCAGAGAGATAGACATAGTTGTAGATCCAATTCGCTACGCGACGGTATCTTTGCATATTTCTTTATCGTGCTGAAGGCTACTTCAAAAGACTATGAGTATGATCTTGGATAGCTTGGCAAACGCGAAAAAAATGGCAAACAGGTGCAACTGCTCGGCTCTCATACAAAATTAGAACCGGCGGCTTTGCAGATGTTGATGATCGCAGGCATGTGATTACGTAGTGCAAGTGCTGCTGCTGCTGGAGGTCAGGTCGTGGTCCTGCTCCTGTTTCATCAAGGCTCTTCATTAGCAAACTTTTTTGTACAAGAGTCATGATCATGATCGTTCTGTGGCTCTACTACTACTTCTTTTTGATCTTTATATCTTATGGTCACTGTGTGTCAGCGTGTTCTTTCCCGATGATTCACATGTATCGATATGATGTTGATATTGGCATGACAATCTCTGACTGTGTCGATCACTTCTAGGCTTGCCCTCATGTACCTACTTATACCTTATCCTAATCAGTCTGCATTTTCTTGATAAAATTGATTGCTTGCGACGCTTCTAGTTTTGCCGTGTGTAGCCGCAATTGTGGCGCAAGGCCTAGTACCGAACTAGCTACTAGGTCATTAAACCACAAAACATGACGGCGGTAAACAACACTTATGGATTTTTTTACGGACTACCATGGAATTTATTTGAGATGCATATTCATATTGGCATTACAGAGGAAGCTGCCTTTGCATCAATCAGTATAACCTGCTCGAAGCTAATATGTACTCAGATCCTTCCAGAAGCTAGGCGAAAAGCAGAAGGCAGGCACGGACGAAACTCAAACTTCAAGTATAACAACTACAGCTTTGCCACTAAAAATCTGTTTTGTCAAATCATCTACTTTCCGACAAAAAAAACAAAAAATCGTATAGCGTCATTCAGTGCGATTGGTTTACTTTTTTATTCATACTAAACTCGATTGATTTTATTGCGGTAACAATACAAATGAGCACGGTTGCGGTTCTCTTTTTACCATTTTCATCTTTCTAGACAACAACTTTTACTTTAAGGAATAACATCATTCTTTCGCTTCCTCTAGCTCGCGAAGGCGAAGGCAGAGCTCCAGCGATCCTCCTCCTCGACGCTCTCGGACCACGTATCGTTTTTATTGGGACGAAGGGACAAACAACAAGAACTACTCCGCGCCTAATGAAAGTGGACAACTAGTACACGCCCCTCCGGTCATATGGATATGATTGTAGAATATCGTTGGTAAATTAACAGAGCTAGCAACGTCAAGTGTCCAGGTGGAGCTCCTCCATGATCAGGAGTTGTATCATGATGAATGATGCACACGGACACGTCCGAGGGGTTTGGGTTTGGCATAGGCATGGTCGCTCATAAGATGAATCAATAATTACTCTTGCGTACTGTAGTCACGAGGACAACGCACACTCACACTGCGACATCAATATCAAAACCTAAGCATTTGTCCACAAATCAAATGAGCGGAGGGGAGTCGTGATCAACTAGTGTCATATGCCGACGTTCTCGAACGGTGATCATGGAAGCGGTCCGCGATCTGGAGCAACCTGCCAGGTCCGGCGGTTGTATCCTGTGGTCCGTGCGACTTCTGATGGTCTTCGCGCGCCGCTAAAAACTGTTTCTTGCGATACTGCACGTTCGGAGTTATGGTGCGTGCGGTGGCAAACCGACTGGAAACAACGGCACCACTTGGGAGATCCATGACAAAGATCCGCGAAGGAAGTTGTTGTTCCTGTTGTTGTGTATTTTTCGTGGATGAATCTGGTGCCGTCAGCTGAAAAGGAAAACTCCCAAGGACAAGCGCATCTTTCTGGAAAATCTCCTCGCGTGGTCCGACGGTATGCTTGGCTACTACGTCAACGTTGCTCCGCTCGTCCTCAATGAAGTAGTTCTCCTGCTGGTGGTGCCCGGTTCTTTCCCCTCGTGCTGCTGGTGGACGTCGAGCAGGAATCATTCTCTTTTCGACGAGCTTGCGACAGTACGCCCGCCATTGGCGCTTCCTGTGCGCAATGCGCAGCCTGCAGGAGTCGGGGAGGACCTCATGTGCGTAGCCGTTCAAACTAGCTTGTCCTTCCAGTGCAAACACGACCAGCTCCGAGGGAAAAATCCTGCGCCTGCCGGTGGTCTCGAAAGGATGCGACGCACCGGTACCACAGCGACGAAACGGAAACGCAGTGGCCCCGAGGCCAATGGTTCTTCTCTTTTGTACCCACTGAACGTCGAGAATGCTACCGCTTCGGTCATCCAGAACGAAAACGGTCTCTAGCAGAGAAGAAGTCGGCACTGTTTTTGCTGTTGGTGCTCCTGCTGCTGCTGTGCCTCTACTAATACTGGGTGGTAGAGTCATTCCACTTTTGATATTTCCGGTCACTTCCTGGTCCTGGTCGAGCGATATATCTTCCATGCAACAAGATAAGGTGAACGACGGCGAGGAGGCTGCTTGGTCGTGTTTCATCCGAGTTGTAGCAGCACTACTAGTTGCACCTCCTCGACCAACACAATGCATGCTAGTACCTGCGAGCGCAGCTTTTCGTAGGGCTCTGGCGCGGAAGGCGGTAGATTTTTTTGTTTGCGCAACTGCAGTGGGTGCCCACATTCCCGCGAAGTCACGTACGTGGTACTGCTCGACGTCTGGACGCAGAAACGGAAGGTATCTCCGGCGGAACCCTTCCAGATAGGCTGCGCGTAGTTTTTCTTGCTGCGACCGAGCCCGACGGCTTGCTTGCTCGTCATGATCTAGTACATCTTCTTGTTCTTCATAATTGCAGACGGGAGCAGCACCAGCACGAGGCGAACTATTCCTCCAGGTGGTTTTATTTTTTCGCGCATGGTCCAGGTCCTGTGCAAGGCCGGGGAGAATGCCCACGCGCCCGTCGACAGTAAGTGTCGGAATCGACGTCCCAGAAATATTCAACAGCATTGACGTCCTTCTTGCGATACTGATCTCATTGATGTTGTTGTGTTCTTTCCGAATGACGCTGTCCTTCGATGCGAGGGTAACGGCACCTCTGATATTTTGTTCCTGCGGTGATTGCAGGCAGCTCTGAAGGTGAATGCGCGTCCTCGTCAAAACATTTCTTGATGATGATGCTGACGCCCACGACGGAGAAAGTTTTGCTCGGGACTGATTTTTCTGTTGAGCCAATTCCACCTGAAGCCTCGCATGATAATTGTACCTGCCAGCTCCTCGCAGTTGCATCTGCCGGAACGCCTTCTTCAGTTGTAACACACCGCGTTGCCGCTTTGCCCTGGATGTCGCCGAGATCAGTGAGAAGCTTTTGCACAGCTGCCCCTCTCCAAAAGTATTTGTATTGCTGTTGTCGAAAGCCGCGTTCTCGTCGTCGTTGCTCCTGCGGAGCGAGCTTATACGTCTTGTTCTTGAACACGGCCGGAACAAAAAATTTCCTTGCTGCATCTTCTTCATTTGCACCTTTCCGGCCGTCGTGTTGTCTTTTACTTTTGCCATTTTCTCGCAACCTTTATCTTCTTCCGCTGCCGCCTTTTGTTCTTCTCGTAGAGATGACGATAAGGTCTCACCAGTAGAACTCTCATGTTGATGAGGACAACTAGAACTACAAGCAAGGTTGAGGCTTGCAAGCACCAGTTCCAACCTGCGGACTTCGCAGCTGATGGCGCCACGCACAGTTCCTCGGCTGTCCACTACTATGGCGCTACCTGCTGCCTTTGCCTTCTCGCTATCCAGATCCAACACGCCGTCGCCGGCTTGACCGGCGTTTGAAGGAGACACGACCTGCGATTTTTGCAGGGCACGGATGCGCCCCTCGAGAAAGCGCCGCTTCGCGTACTTAACCTCAAGAGCACCGGGCCCCGCCCGCCCCTGCAGCGGACAGATGATGTGACTGACGGGCACCGGACGGGTCACGAAGTGCATCCAGCTGTCCGCGTCGCAAAAAAAATGCTGCTGTGGTCGACGTGTTTGCCGCTGTTGATTTCGTTCTCGACCACCAGCTGTTGGCATTACAATGCGGTGATCTAGTACTCCAGTCGGATCACGATCAGCTGCTTGATCGGTTGAAGCTGCGTCTGCGAGGTCCAGAAAAACAGCGCCGACACAAGGGCTTCGCAAGACCTGTGACGCGTCAGCAACATCCGCATTCAACGCCTGCGCCGCGCCGTCCATTGTCGGGATGATCGTGTTGTAGCTACGTGGACTATGTTCACGACCGACAGAATTAGAAGCAAAACCGGCAGCCCGCATGGTGTGCGCAACACCGAACTCGTCCATAGCGACGCAGTACAGTGCTGGATCTTGTTCTACAAGTTCAAGAACACGAGGATGAGGGACCTCCTGCGTGCCTTGTTCAACTGCTTCCGTCGTCCCTGGACCTAGCCGTTCCGTGCTGCGGCGCCGCTCATCTTCCGTACCAATATTTTTCTCCGGTTTTATTTTATTCGAACGACTTGTTGTATTTCTGGGAGAGAATAGTAGTAAGGGCTCAAGCTCGGGCTGGCGGCTGTGCTCGGAACCTTTGGGCTGGTGCATTTGCGCACACCGCGACTTATTTGCTGTAGATTGGTCCACCCCTTGAATATCAACAAGAAAATCTTCATAGACCAGCAACAAGTCGTCATGTGCACGGTCATGTTCGAAGGCAGGGCTTTTGGTTATTGCGCCGACCGCCTCATCTGCCCGAGCGTTGTAACGAGCGCATCCTCCATTCGACGCGCTTCCCTGGCACCCGAACCCAGAAGAGGCGGTGTTTTCGTTTTGGCCGTGGTCCGTGCTGCGATCAGTTGTGCTAGCCGCCGTACTCACGGTGGTCGGCTTCCCTTTCCCACGATCCGGACTCTTCTTCAAAAACTTGTTTTTCATTGTGGTCAGATTCTGCTCTGGGTTCAGGTTTGTATACTATATTATTTCCACCTCGCAATTATACAAAAAAAAAGTTTGCAGCTGAATACTTATATCACGACCATCTGCTTACTCCACCTGTTTGATGTCTTTGCCGAAGGTGTAGTAACAGAAACGAACTTGCTCCGACACGAGTGGGTCGTGGATGTGCCGTGGTTGTGGGTAGGAAAAAAAGTCACAAAAAAAAAGAAACTCCACACAGGAAACCGAGAAAAAAACAGAATATTAAGTAATTAACCGACAATCAACTACAAGGCTCAACACTTTTTAGAGGGACAATGTCGAAAACATCAAAAAGCACCGAACTGAAATCCATGTCTTCGCAGAAAAATCCATATTCTTTCAATCACTCAACGCAATCTACCCGAAACTACGGAAACACGGACAAGACATCACTCGCGGTCGCGGTCGCATTTCAAGGACAATGCCAAGGCGACTGCAGCACCACTAGAAATGGGACAATCATGATTTTAGTTAGCGGTCAAATCCTGTGACTTTCGCTTTTACAATCTATTATTTAACTTCTTCTTTTTCGACCTTCCAACAGACGCGGAATTGCTCAATGTGCTTGAGTTCGTGCCCAACGAGCATTTCGAAGTTCCCTTAAAATAAAGGCGTCTGTGCTACATTTGGTTGTCGTCTTGTCCCGTTCGTGAAGGTGAAGACATGGAATCTAAATATCATTATTAAGTTCTCATTTTGAAATGGGGGGGTATTTTTTACATTACAACTAAAGCGAGTTCTATGCCATGCGGAGGCTCTTGCTGGTGGTCAGCAGTGGCCTCGTCTAAGACGACCTGACAAGAACCACGACGCGAATAAACTTTAGCTTCTTTCGCAGTTTCCTGCTCCCTGCTTCTTTGTTTCGACGGCAATAAAGCACTGTTGGTTCTTTTTCTTCAGTTGCGCAGTTATCGACTATGATGGTCGGCACTGCTGCAGTAGCTGGGTTCATTGACCAACTTCTACAAGGGCCCCTCAGCCCCTCAAGCTCTCCTTGTCGTATTTTTGTCCCTGTGGTTAATCTCGAACCGGAGCAAAAGCTGCGCTTACTTTGCCACTGTACAACATGGCTACAGCTAGAGGGGGAGCGCCAAATATCACACTACAACCTGCATTGCATGGCGGCACAGGCAAAAACTTTGCTACAACTACCTTCCATAATAGTAAGCCGACTGCTCGCACTTACGGCACTGTTGCCTCCATATTCCATCTTCATTGTTCATCATGTATTGAGATAAACAAGAATTAGGCTGCAGCATTATAGAAAGAAACTTCAACGCAAAAGAAAGTGGGCACTGGACAGCCGATGATACGACTTCGATTATATTTTTCTGTTCTGTTGCTCATTATCATTTTCGCCACGAAATGCAGCCGCCCTCACAGCCCTGCTGCAGGCAGAGTTTTTCACATCGAAGCTCCTGTGTCGGAACTGCGACACCAACCCGTCGTGGTGGACGGAGGTAAAGATACATATCATGACTCGGAGTCGCAACAAGCTCTTCGTCATCTGTCGTGTTGGTGTTGCGAGTCTCGTCCGCCTTATATCAAGTTTTGCTGGTGATGAAGATGAACATGAAGTAGGTTAATTGATGATTGAAAAAAATACCCACAAGCTAGTGGTCTCTGAGGAGTAAAGCAATCAAATCGAGTAAAAACAACACCAGCAATGCCCTTAGTACTAACTTACTTGCTCACAATTAGTACCCACACCAATGTGTTTGTGCTGAGGCGATATACGTCGAGATCGAGATCCTCCAATCAATTGCATTACAAGCTGTACCTCGGTCATGGTTTTGCTACTGCTAAAAATGAAAAACAAAGAAGGACGCTCCAAAGCGCAGTGGCGTCCTAGTTTTCCTTTTCAATCGTCGCGTTGTTTGTGATTGATGATAAATACTGCTATGAATTTAGCTACATATACATTTATTCATCTGATTTTCACAGTCACTGCTTATTTGACTTAGCTTTTGTTACTCCACGAGAACCGAAGCCGTTACGAGTCCATAAGAGCAGACTGTCGACCTCAACCCGTCACCCAAGGAAGGAACTTTTAAGCAACAGAGATTGAGGTAAAGCCAAGCGGTCCTCAAGCCTTAATCTTAAACCGGTGTCAGGAATTAATTTATTTGAAGCAGCACGCTCGTGATCGTGGTCAGCACGATGATACCCTCTAAAGGAGGACCGCACTGAGACTGCCTGACTTAAATATTTTTCGAAGTTTGCAGTTGAAAAAAAAATCCACTTGTTGAACTTTTTGAATCATCGCGCAATCTTCATATTTCCAGGAGAGTCAACATAATCACTTTTCGCTCGAGGTCCAGAAGTAGTGAGTAGAGCATGTTGATGAGGCCCACTGCGTAGTACTTCTGGGATCTCGACAAACAATATGAACTACTTAAGCTTCGGCGTCTTCAAAAGGTGTCCTCAACAAAAAGTATCAACTACGAACGAATCAGCATCTTGGTCGCATGACGATAAGCTGAGGCATACTTAGATAAAGCTAGTATCTGATATAGATGCGAACCGAACTAGGACGCACGGCAGCTGATAGCTCTGAAGAGAAGTCAAGTCACGAATTTGAATTATCCATTACATAATCGATAACGATATCGAACAAGACGAAGACACCGTTACAAGTTAGGAGTGCGTAGAAGTTGGCGGAAGTCGTGATTGTCACTATGTCTTCTTCCCGTTACCTGTCGAGCTGGAACTGTGGCGGTTCAATTCCTTGATGCGACATTGGCTCAGCACCCGTGCCTGTCATATTCCACGACGGGCGCCGCGCTCCTGGAGGAGCGCCGCCTTTGTTTGCCGGGTTATGCTGCGGACTTTGTGGAAGGTGACGCAACGAATCCGGTATCAAAAGCAAAACTTTCCCCCCCGTGTCCGTCTCAGTCCTCGGTCGTCCCACGCTGAGTTTCACTTCTTTCGTAAATTGATGAGCCAGAAGATCCAGCAGCATAAACCTAATGCAAATACAACAAGTTCTTTATTTACTGACTTAAACTTATTGATGCCTTGTCGCATTCTTCATTCTCCCGAACGAGATTATGCCTCCGCGATCGCGGCATCAATGTACAACTTACTATTCACATCTAACTGTGGTGGTGTCGTAACTACTTGCAAGAATAGGAGCTTGCGTTTGCTGGCACCATCACCATGACCATGCTGTTGTCCTCGGATTTCCACAAAGACAGAGGCTGCAAAAAGCGACAAACCTAAGGTTCTATGCACTCATGATCCAAAAATACCTTTACCTCTATGAAAGGACCTTAGGGCGGCGGAAAGAAGCGCAGTGGAGCATGGGAAAAATGCTGGTACTGCTACTGTCACGGACACGAGCATTTTTTGTTCCTTTTCGTAGTTTGCAAACCCTTGGCATTCATGCGTCGCGCGTCATCCGCGTGCCGGTTTCGGCGTAATTCTTCCAGCTTTAGCCACGACTGCAAGCTAAACCAGCCGTCGTCTGCGGCACATCTGATCTGTGCGGCTCTGTTGTATGGACAATTTCAATTATTTGGAGCGTCGAGGTCATGGCTTACGCAAATGCACATGTAGGAATAAAAGATATCTAAACTATCACTGTATCATCCAATTATGTTGCCACACGAAATAGAAATTCCAAAGCAATGTAGGAGAGGCCGCTGGTGCAGGATGATTCATCGGATTCAAATCTAGCGGCATCAAAAATAAACACGAAGTTAAGCTCCAATACGAGAGTCGCCCTTTTTCCCAGTCGGATGTGTTTGCGATACGTTTGTCGGTCATGCAAGGAAAACCGAAGACCTTACATAGTTGCCGCAGAGTAAGCTCTCTTATAAATTGGAAACACTTCATTTCCTTGGTCGGGAAAAACACATTGGCCTTGCAAAAACTAACACCCACAGTACCCACCGGCAGTAGTAGACACCTTTAGCTTTATATTTACAGAAAGAAGGGATGGCTCCTGACGAGGGAAATGCATCGAGAAGCCAGCGCAACCGGGGGCAAGCCCGCAACCCTTTATGTTTGTTGGTTTCCAGGCCTTCTGTGCCTGCGTGAGGAAAAAGCAACTGCATGACAAGCTAAGTGCACTTATTTTCCCGACCAAGCCACTGACACAACTGCGGTGCATATCTCCTCCCTGAGGCTGATACTCGCGTGCAATTTCTGCCGGATCCTTTAGACCAGCAAGACCGACCCCAAAGCTTTTTTGCATCCTGGAGAGGTGCTGCGCTATTCCACCGACCAAGGCCTTTATTATCGTTCGGGACATGAGCACCTGGGTGTGATTAGCATTCTGTTACTAATAATTTCATCAAAATACAACCACTTCCAGTACCACATCGATTAGATTGATATGAAACATCATCATCAACATCAAATCAAAGAGCGAAGGCGGTGCTGCCCTTAAAAAGTTAGTAGTCTTTGCATTGCTCGAATACCTGAACGACAGAGTCGGGCAGCTGGCTTGTCCGCATGCTGTGTGTGCGGAGCAGCAGCACTTTTGCTCGCTATTGTGTGAAAAAAATCCCCTCCCCCTACAAGAACAACTTCAACTTTTAGAGATAATCAACTTTGTCGTCCTCGTCCATGATCATGAGCATACCTCCAGACGCCAACTGCGCATTGATTTACTGAAAAGCAAACTCTAACTCCCAGCTGTGAAACCATAATGTTGACATATAAGCTGCCCGTGCAGCTCCGAGTCATCGCAATTACAGACCAGGCACAGGCAGCAAGAACGAATATGGACGAAATCAGCTTCACTTGTGTACTAGAACTAGTAGAGCTACTAGAGAATTCCTTAGAATAAACTTTGATCGCTCAGCATGATGAAGTTGATTCGTGTCAGGGGTGAAGAAGGCTCATTTTCTTGTTGATACGGGTTCGCCAGTGGTTACGTTCGCCTGCGCAGCAAAGACCAGCAGGGCCGCGTACGGGTAGTCATCGCTCGTATCTGGATTGTGCTTCATGTCCAAGCCCAGAACCTAGTACATATTACAGTTTTGTTTTGATTTGATGACGCATTCTTGCACGTCGCGCGATCATCTTAGCCTACTTCCACCAGGAGCGCTTCGATAACAAAAGGCAATCAATGTCTGTGATGTCCAGCTCAGACATCAACGTCATGGACGACGAGGAGCTGCAGTACGAACACTTAACAGGAGAATCAATCGATGTAGTAGTTTTCCATTCTTGTACAAGAACTACGTCTGGACAGCACGTACTATCGTAGATCGTAGTCCCACGTCTTACCTTCTGATTAAGCAGCCAGTTCTCAATCCGTGGGTAGCGATCGAGATCGTCCGCGTTGACGGGCCCGACTAGAGAATATTCGATACCGTCTAGCCATCGCTTGTCGTCTTCCATGCCTTTTTCCACGAAGGGACACGCGAGCAGATCGTTCACACCGTTCACCACGATGGAGGAAGACCCGGACGGCGACGGAGCGGGTGAGGACGCTACCCAGTCAACGGGCGCTGTCGTATCAAACTGAAATATAATCGATCTGGGTTCGGAGGATGAATAAAGCAGACTGACACTTCTTGAAGATAGATGTGGCCAAGCAGTTTATTTTGCACCTGCAACGTGGATCATGAAGGCCTAGAATACATAATTTCGATTTGGATCAACATGTGGATGTGCATCTTATAAAAGCATATCTAAAATAAAAGCGTCGCGGAGCATGACAAATTCTGCGGAGGCTTCCGCTTGTAGTCGTTCCCCATGCCTACTAGGCATGGAGAACGACAAGCCGGAGCCTTCTGTGTGATACATCAAGCCCGCCTCTCGTCCTAGAGATAGACCCAGACAGATTTTTTGCAACGCTTATGTCATGCCCGTCTGCAATTCCACGTTGATGCTACTGCGTCCGCTACCCGCACTACCGCTTCGTGGAAGCTGGTCATCGACGTCCACAGGCTGGTAGTTGTCGCCTACGCCTGGTGGCCCCGTTGCGGCACTTGTACTAGTAGGAGCTCCAGCGGACAGCGGCACCGAGGTGGAGGAAAGGAGGCGCGATTCGGGATTAAAGTCAGGGCGCGCCGGGCGCTGCGGCTCGTAGCTCGCGTAGGAAGAGGAGCGATCGATTTGCTGTCCTCCAGGCGCCCCGTCCGGAGCTGTTTTCATCTGGATCGTATCCTCAGTCGTCGCAGTCGCTCCTCCTCCTCCAGCCGGTGATGGCGCTCCGCCTCCCGGCAGCACGTCAGCAGAGGCCTGGTTTTTTTTTTTTTGAATTTCATGCTTAACCGAAGAAGATTGCTCTGTCTCTGCACGATGATTCTCTTTCTTATGACGGTAAAAGCAGAAGTTCGCCGCTATCGTGATGCGCCCGCTGATGCCGAAGAGTTGTGGCCGTAACTGCTGGCGCTGGGCTACATCATGATCATAGATTGTTAGTCAACATACGCCCGTCGCGTGTTTCGAAGATCGTAAATCAGCGTAGTGCAGCTGGTTTCATCTTCACCTCGTAATGCTACTGCACATCAACATCAGAGACGAGCCATTTGAATTTATACCTGACTCGTTCTCGAGGCGATGCTACTGCGCACCGGTGGGCCCATTTTCTTGCCTGTCAAGACTCCTTTCTTGCCGCCTCCAGACGGCGTCGAGCTGCTGCTTACCGATCCGGAGGCTGTGCCTCCGAATGGCGGAGGCCCCGCAGAATTATCTCCGCCGTTTGGTGCTCCTGCTGTATTGTGGAGGGGGCCTTTTTTGCCGCCCGCTCCTACGGTGGAGGAGGAGGAGGAGGTGATGCTGCTGCTTCCTGTTGCTACTCCAGCCCCGCTGCCGCTACGGTACGGCGCGCGTCCATCAGGCGGACTTGAGGACGAGGATGATGCTGGAGCCCAAGAACCCTTTTGGTTCTGCTGTTGACCTCCCGCGTTTGTGCCAGCGCCTGCGCTTGTAAGGCCACTGCCTTGGTAATTTTTTCCACCGTAGCCGCCGCTACTCTGCGATGGTGCTGAACTACTGTTGCGCATGCTGGAGGAAACGACCGGGTTGTGTATCCCGGGAGGTGCTGCTGGACCACCGCCCGCCTTGCCACCGACTGCAGTTGAGGTTGACGCCGGTCCACCGCCGGAAGTTGTAGATCCTGTCTTTCCATTTCCCGCACTACCGGCCTTATTCTGATAGTAAGATGAGGAGCTACCTCCACCGGACGAGTTGCTGCCTGGCTCCATCATCCGATCCAGGTCGGCACCACCGCTCCCTCCCTTATGGATGCTGTAGTGGTGCTGGTGTTGAAGGTGCGCATGGACTCCCTTGGAGTTGGAGGCCCCCCCATTGGACACTGCGGAACTGGACGAAGAACTACTACTTGTGCGCGGGTGGTGCATCATCCCTTTGTTTGGCAAGTGGCCTGCCGGAGGTGCGTTGGCAAAGGCCCCGAACGAACTCGGGTCAAGGGGTGACACCTGCTTGTAATAAAATTTAAGAAGTCAGTTTCTCAATCTAGTCTGAATTCGTCGTCCTCGTCGCATGATAGAAGCGGATGAAGAACATTAATACTGATCATGGTGCCGGCTTCTATCAAGAAGAAAGAATCGAATAGAGTAAACATCGAGTTGTACTAGCACTTCTAAACAAAGAAATAGTACCATAGACGCCGCGGCAACGGCATTCAACATTTGGCCATGCATTGCGGCCGCGGTGGCGGCCATTTCCATCTGGACCTGTGCCTGCTGCGCTTGGGCCACTGCAAGCTGCTGCTCCGCAACTGCCATTGCGGAGAGCTGCTGCTGCTGCATTGCGAAATAGATCTGCTGCTGCATCTGCTGCTCCGCAACAACACCCGGTGGCACGACGGGCAAGATGCCCGGTGCGCCAGGGACTACACTTCCAGGTCCTGCACCGATTCCTGGCGGGGGCTGCAACGCATGATGCAGCCCAGGGGCTGCTGCCATTATTCCGGAAGGAGGACCACCTCCAGCAGGACGACCCGTCGAGGCTGCCCCGCCTCCGGGAGTGGCGCCGATGAGCTTGCTCGCAGTAAGGGCGCCGATCATCGGCTCGGTACCGGGGGGGCCGCCACCCGGCGCCCCTCCTGCACCGAGAGGCGGCTGCAGCTGCTGCACTAGGGCGGCAGGGACGACCGCCGCCGAATTTGGGTTAATATTTGACGAAGCGAGTTGTGCCCCCCCGGCGCCGGCATCTACAAACGACCCCTTGCTCAAAACATGATCGGCTTCGGTGAGTGGCTTCGACACCACCCGGGCCTGCTGTGCCTGGGGAATGAAGGCGGGGGCGTTCGCGGAAAGCTCCCCGGTCGGGCTGGACTCCTTGGACTTGGTGGTGCCGTGCGTGTGCGTTCGACTTGTCGACGTACTACTTGTGGCGGCCGCGGCCCCTCCAACTACGGGCGGTAGTTGTGGCGGGAGCGCCGGGGGAAGGGCTGGCGGGGGGGTCAGGGTCCGACTTCCGTCGGTGGTTGTGGTCGTAGGGTTAGTGTTAGGATCCATCGCACTCTCCGCTACGCTCTTGTAGGTTCCCGAAGTGGCATTTGAGTTGGTTTTTGAATAGGGTGGGGGCGGTGGAATGCTCGACGCGCTCGAAACCTTGGACGACGTTGCAGTATTGACGAGCGCCGTAGCACCGCCAACGGAAGCTCCACCATTTTTCAACTGAGGCGGGGGAACACCTCCTGGTGCCCCGCCTGCCGCTCCACCGAGCGTCCCTGTGATGGGCGGTGCAAATTGAGGTGGCGGGCCAAAATTCGGCACGCTGGCGCCGGGAACTGCAGGTCTCGTCAGTCCAGGTCCACTCGGAGCTGCAGTGGAGCTGGTGGACGCGATGGCTCCACCAGATGATGCTAGTACAACCGGAGGCCCAGAACCGCCGCCCTTTGCTGGCCCACTTACACTTGGACTTGGGCCGCCCCTTTCTCCTCCACTACCACTTGCTACAACTACAGCTGCATTTGTTCCACCTTTTGTCCCGCCCCCGCCTCTTGTTACTCCTTGTGGCGGTTTCACTCGGCTTGTGTTGCTGGTAGGACCAGAGTACATTTTCGCGGGGTCGATCGCCGGTGGCGGCCCTGCTGGCATCACAACTTCGCCCTTGCTAGAGATTTTCTGCCTTGCGCTTGCGGTTGCCGGGAGCACGTTAGGAAGGGGTGGCGGTGCAGGTGCTACACTCCCTTCGGGTCCTCGGGCTACAGTTCCATCGGGAGGTGAGACGAGAGGCGGCTCTGTACTAGAGTTACCGGCCGCGGCAGCAGGACCCCCTTGCGCCGCTTTGGCTTTGTTCGGACTCCTGGACGTACTAGCAGTAGCACCCACTCCTTTGCTCGGCCACGCATTACCTGGCGGAGCGCTCGAATTTCCACTCGCACTTCGATTTCCAGTGGTGCGCTCCATCGTTACGCCTTCTGTAGTTAAAGTTTAAGTTTTATCGAAATAAAGATGAATCCTTTTGATTCATGATCGGCTTGGATGTGTATGCAATAGATGAAATTCACACAAGATGCAGCCGAGGAGGGAGGTAAAGGAACAGGGAGGCGGAGGTTTCTTCTCCATATTAGCATTACACCACTAGCACTACTTCTTGTTAATGAATCAAATGTACATGATCAGAAAATAAGAAGCATCGCATGCGTATCATATACTCGTCCAGACGCTTCCCGGCGGGAGCTGGGACTTGTTGCTTGGCAAAGTCCCCGGCAGCATGGTCATTTTCTCCTACAACTCACTCTGTGGCACTGATGGATCTCGTGACGAGTAGCATTGTCCTCATATTTTTGCTTTTTGTGCCTGTCGCGTTCATCTTTCGCGCATCCACCTACAGATCCTTTCTCTCTTGTGCCAACGACCCGATCCCTGTTTATTTGTTTCATATTTTACTTCCGGGGGAGGAGAAAGCAGGCGACGGTCAATCGTATTCGTAATCGTAGCCTGGTTGCATTAGACCTACTTCGAGGGAGAACCTCCTAGATAAAAAAAACTCCAAGTTGTAGCTGATATTGCCGCTGCCCGCACCTCCTCCTGCTACCAAATAAAACTGAAATGCAGCGCTTCGCCTTGAGCATGCAAGCGTGGCATTCTCGAATATTGTGGGCTCGAGGTTGCAAGGAGGAGAAGGTGTAATGTCTTCTCATGCATCCATGTACAATTTTTTCTCGGAGGACAGGAAGAACCACAGGCGGGCGTCGCTACTAATCTTGAGGTTTTAATATAGGAATCATGTTAGCTTCCTCCATTGTCGATCTTGGCGCAATAAATGCAATAGTTAGTGACAAGCAGTATATACAGGATGATCACGACAATCACTCAGGAATGATATATAACTATGATGCGCGGCTGGAAGATGATCTTCTGGAGATTTATCGAGCTTTATCCTCTTTTGCACGTGTCCTTTTCGTTTCGTAGGGTAGTGTTCACAGGGTCAGCGTCAGGGATGGACACTTATAGAGTACTTTTCTCTTCTTGGCAACTACATGATTTGCATCGATCCGTCTGTAAAGCAAGCGATACCACTAGTACAATTTTTTTCACAGAGCAGCTAAGCAAATCATAATAATGCGAACCGTTAGCACAAATTTCAATTCAAGAGAGGTAATTCAAAGCCGTGTAGATAAGTGACTGCCCAGCTAAATGGACATGGATGTGGGCAACTTTCTTTCAGATGTTGATCATATTTACTAAATTGTTCTCCGTGTCTACACAATTGATGAGCTGCCACAGACTCTGATCAGAGCAAGAGCATGTTGCTCCGTTTGCGAACCCGATCCCGAAGGAGCAAATAGATGCACGGTCCTGCCGGTGCTGCAGAGCAAAAAGAAAGTACTCGACGTCGTCGAGTGCGAGTCTTTACAATAGAGTTCAGATTTCGGTGGAATCGAAAAACTGATAGATCGGCTGCTCACGTTATCGTTCGGTGGAGATTTTGGTAGTGTTGGAGCTTTTTAGGTAAATTTATTGAGGTGGGGGGTTGACAAGAGCAAGAGGACAAATCTCTTGTCGTTCGTTGCTATCTTCAAAGCGACGACCCACTATCGTCCTCATCCGCATCGTATCAAAGCAAAGAGGCCCCCACCACTCCTTGATTAACAAAAGAATTTTATGAGGTTGCCATCGTTCCTTACTAGCGACGAGGACTAACGATGCAAATCATATGCACAGATGAAATCGTGAACAATTGATAGTCATATCTACAATTTCATCGCAAGACTCACGAGTAATTCAATTTCCTGAATAATTCAAATTGAATAATTCAATTTCGTGAATAATTCAAATTGAATAATTCAATTTCATGAATAATTCAAATTGAATAATTCAATTTCATATCAAGTCTCAATCTCAATCTCAATCTGAATCTTAAATCTTAGCGAGATGAGAATCTTAATGAGTCTGAATCTTAGTGAGTCTTAATCTACATCTTAGATCACATAGCAAATCAATGCTCAAGCGTCTCAAAAGTCATGATCTTAGATCTTAAAGTTATAGTCTTAGATCTAAAGACTTTTCATACAGATTGGGGCGCAGTATCATCATACCGAAAGGGCGGGGGGGGCGCGGGGGGGCAGGGGCCCCCGCATGTGAGTCTTCATCTTAAAAATGAAAGCTATTCGCACAGATTGGGGCGCAATGTCATCAGATCGCAAGGGCGGGGGGGGCGCGGGGGGGGGCG